GCGCGTTTAAACACATTGGCGACTCTCGAAACAGACTAGCTCGTCTATTTTGAGAGCGACGCTGATCCACGATTGGAAGAGAGGCAGTCAAGTACCCCTACCGCAACAGTTTGCGGCACAGGTACCTGTCCACTCAGAAGCTCTCCATCTTGGTTGACAAGCGCCGAGGAGGGGTCACAGGCCGGGGTTTGTTGCTGTTGACAGCGGCAAAGCGTGTAGTGAAGCAGACGGGGCGTTTCAGGTAGACGAGAAGCAAGCAGGTGAACAAGTTTCTAAGCCTGTTTGTCTTTAAACTGTAAGGTGAGTTTCTTTGTATAGTATCATTTTCTTTGTGAGACATTGACGTTTTTGGAGGAGCCTTGTTTCTGCCTACCGTTTGCGCCATCGTCTTTGCAAGGACGTCATCTGCCGAGCCGGGCGTTTGGGTTGCCACGACAAAGATGGGCGCCTGTTTGAGGATGTCATGAGGGAAGTAGGGCTGGCGGCCTGATAAATGATGACATTATCTTGAAGAAGCTTGGCAGTTGTTTTGTTAATTTGCTGAGGTCATTTCCACCCTCATTACTGATCCATTTTGAGCATCACATGATGGTGAGCTCGCAAGATGAAGTTCAATTGACCTCAGTATCATTGCTCCATGTTCATTATCTATGGGGAATTATTTTCTCACAAGTTTGTGTATACAAATGAAGGCCCAGGCCGGAGGCTGTCTCGGTATGGCAGAACATCTGGAGGAGCTTATCTGATAAGCCATCCGCAAAGTCCACCATCATGCCGGATATCACCTCACATCCCTCATCAGTACGAGTCGCGCGGAAGCTCAATGCGGACACACGCCTCAGTATCACAGCTCAAACAAGCGCAACTCTGAAGTCCTCAACCCGGGCACTTATAAACGCGGTTCGCATGCTTCAATGCCATATCCTTGCAAGTTCCTAGCCCGATAATCGGGCCAGACCTAAGCAGATGAAGAACCCACGATCGTAGCCAACATAGGGACCAGCCTCAGACCTCACGAAGCCGGCCGGTCCGCTGGGGACCTTGTACAGGGCGCAGATTGTAGATCCCATATTCATGAAACCGAAGGCGCAGTCTGCGGCCGCGACGCAATCCGCCTTGCAGTCCTCGACGATGGGCCCTGGAAGGTGGTGAACCTGATACTGGGTCTCGGTGTCACGGAGCTGGATATTTCGCAAAGTATGCCTTGGGTCGGGCACGCGGCGAGACGGTTGAGGATGTTGGCTCTTCGGCTGTTGAGACGATGATGGAGGTTGTGGTGGTGACCTTGGCGGTGATGAAAGCTGGTGTTGACTCGTCTATTAATGAGCTGGTGATCGAGGTTGTGGTAGAATCTGTAGCTTTTGTCATGGTGGAAGCTATTGACTCCTCGCTGATTGAGAGGGTGGCTGTTGAAGGAGATGCCCAGAATAGCTGTGCTCTTGGTCAATATTCAGGAAGATGGCGCGACAGATGATGACCCTGGTCAGCAAACATGCGCATCAACACGGACAGCAGCCAAAGCGACAGCAGAGCCGGCGATGGTCCTGAAAGACATCTCAATGTCGAAAACTGGAAAGGTGACAACATGACTCTCTCCAATTCCTCCCATCTTTTGCTTTTAAAGTCTTGCTCTTAATTCCCGGGTGGCGTCGAGCTAGACGTTGGTGACGGACACCATCACCAATAATTTGACGGCCAAGAAGCCACTCGTCAACGGTTGTCGGCGGGAGGGTTCCACAACCGGCCGAGACATACTTAGAGGTCCATGGCTATGAGCTGCTGGTAGAGTGCTTGGTCTTGGTGTTCTAGATAGGTTCAAGCACACCTAAAGTGTAGAGTTGAAGTAAGGAATAGGTGCTGAAGCATTGCTCCTTGTTATGTTGCCCAAAAAGGATTCAATTGCCGCTACGGGTGAGGATACACGACAGAACCCCGCTAACAAGAGCGTATTCAGTCAATGTTGGAGGATGGGTCAAATGATAGCATGACCGCCTTTTTCGTCTAGGCAGCAGCGGCTACTATGGGTCAATCACAATGCTATCGTTGGCTATAGGAATAATTAGCTTTCGCAGCTGATCATAGTTGAAACCGGGTGGGTAAAAAGGCAACTGAGCCAGGGTCGTGATAGCATCAAACAAGTGCCGATCCGTACTCAACCGACTGCGGCATGCCAACCGAGATTATGACATTCGGCTACACGTTTTCAATGAGAAGAAGTAACAATTCACGGTTCAAATAATGAGTTATCAAGTCTTGGACGGCATTGAGTCGCGACATATTGTTCCAGTTCTGCCGATCTCTTGGCAATATAGGGTAGCCGGCATCCCCAACCTGTCCTGTAACAAATCGTGATCCCACTGTGGCAAGCTTCGTATCTGCGTATATGCATTGAACAGCCTCCAAAGACAGGGATCCAAGCCTCCATCCATACAAAATGGTTCGCCTCAGCCATATTCTCTCAACAAGGCAACTTGTAGGGCTGCAAGGATACTGAACGAGAACGAACTTCTGAGTGGGTACGTCAAGCTAAGGCAGCAAGGCGGTGCCTCTGGCAGGTTGCCTCTTTTGGCTTCATGTATCCAGTTTCAAAGTCACGGGTACCTGGGGTTTCATTCTGCACGGATGGATCGGCAGGTATTTTGGACCCTCTATGGCTTGGTGAGCCTCGCGTCTCTAATGCACGCACGTCATGAAGGATTTAGTCTCTTGCGCAGCCAAAAGGGGACAGGAACATGTGAGTGTCTGATAGGTTGGATACTGCACAGCCCAGAGTTGACAGAAATAGTGAGTGTTTAACAGGTTAGAGGTTGCCTGCTGTATTCTGTCGCTGATATCCCCACCCTCTGACAACCCCAGCTGGACATGGCGATGCAGGTGAGACGATAGGCAGCGAAGGCTATGAACATACCATTGAAACGAATATATAACTGCCCTTTGGTCTTCTAAACTTCTTTCCATGCATCGCAACCTCAGACACCTACATCGCACCAAATGGAATCCCCACCCACAGCTGGAAGTATCCTCGGCCAGGGGTCAGCGCTGGCCGCTCTGGATGCTCTATTCCCTGGTTTCACATCAGTCCGCAATGCCACCTTTTTGATGTTTGTCGCGCCGTACATCTACGATGCTGTCAAGGGCGTTTTCAAGACTCGACTCATCTCGTCTGTTGAGATTAGTGCGAGCGATGAGATTTACACCTATGTCATGCGCTGGGTTGCAGCTCATAGCTTGTCCAAGAACAACCACCGTCTGCTTGCGAGCAGCAGCATCAACTCGGAGGATGATGATGAGGACGGCGGTGATCCCGACTTGGCTGAGCCTGCTAGCAACAATCTCGCTGATTTGAGATCCAACATCTCCCTTTACAATGCTCGACCGTTGCATTGGACGCCCGCCATGGGGACACACTTTCTTCGTTACGGAGGCCGTTTCTTGACTTTTACCAGATCTTTGGAAGAGAACAACACTCAGCCTTTTGGCCGGCATATTGAAAAGATTGTCATCTCGTGTCTTGGAACAGATGCGACAGTGCTCAAGAGGCTCATCTACAACGCCCGCATGGAGCACCTGCAACAGCAAAGAGGACGCACCAGCATCTACCGCGCAGTCAAGGTCTACGGTGACGACCTCGCCTGGTCCAAGTACATGTCCAAGGCAACGAGGCCCATGTCTACAATCGCACTCGATGAGTCCATCAAGGAAGGCCTCATCAAGGATCTCCAGCGGTACCTGGATCCCCGGACGAAGCGATGGTACGCCACCAGGGGCATTCCCTACCGACGGGGGTACCTCTTCTCTGGACCCCCTGGCACCGGCAAGACGAGTCTGACTCTTGCGGCTGCTGGGATAATGGGTCTGGATATTTACATGATCAGCCTCAACTCGCCGCTTCTCTCCGAGGATACTCTCGCGACTCTGTTCCGGGATCTGCCCCGTACCTGTCTTGTTCTTCTCGAGGACATTGACGCGACAAACCTCACCCACAAGCGAGAGGTTATTTCGGTCGAGTCCAAAACCCCTGCTGGGCCAAAGCGCGTTCGGGAGCGGGAGCCCGTCTCCCTCTCGGGGCTTCTCAACGTCATCGACGGTGTCGGAGCACAGGAGGGCCGAGTTCTCGTAATGACGTCGAACCACACTGAAAACATTGACCCAGCTCTCCTGCGTCCAGGAAGAGTTGATTTCTCGGTTAATTTTGGCTTGGCGACTTCTCACATGGCTACGCAGCTGTTTACCCAAATGTATGAGGACAAGGCTGAAGAGGCGGAGGAGGAGATGAGAATGTCACTGAAAGAGACGGAAGACTTGAACTCTTTGGCTGTAGAGTTTGGAACAAAGGTTCCTGAGTTGACGTTTAGCCCTGCGGCTCTTCAGGGGTTCCTCCTCACGCACCAGGATGATCCTCATGGGGCTGTCGAGGCTGTCGAGGGATGGGTAGAGGAGCGAGCTGCCCAGGATAAAGCCGCTGCCAAGGCAAAGGAGCTCAAGGCTATTGAAGACGTACCAAAGGCCAGTGAGGATACACCCAAGTCAGAGGTGAATGGTGAAAAGAAGGATTAGTGGGGATAAGCGAGGTGGAGAATAATAAGGGCAAAATGCTGTGATGAGGGATACTCGACACAATGACAGACAGGACAGAACATGACATGATAAACACAGATCATAGCATAGCACAATATGAGGCCAAGACACTTCATGACTCTAATTCATATACGTCATTACTTGGTCTATCTATCAATATCTCTATAGGTATCCAACAATGCCCCCATACCAAGCCCACCAAAAAGACCCACCAAGTGCAAAAAGAAGAGTCCTTAAGAACCTCATGGGGTGAACCGGGATCGAACCGGTGACCTTCAGATAATTCATATGAATGTTGATTGAAGTTGTAGCTTCAGTCTGACGCGCTCCCAACTACGCCACCGCCCCAAGTTGCTTGGATGCCGGCCGCGATAACTCTGCTCAGGTGTGCGTGTTCTCGAGCATCCAGAGCAACATTCGCTTTACAGCTTCCAGCGGAGAAGAGTGAGGGAGTGCTTGGGAAAGGTAAAGGTTCCCTTGCCATCCCACTTGGTCTCCTTGATGCCGACTTCTTCCTTCTCGGCTGTGTTGACAACCTTGACGTCTGCGCCGCTCACGGTGTGCACCTCAACATCTCCACTGACAAGACCCTTGAGCTCAGTCTCATAGTCCTTTTCCTCGTGGATGTTGACAACAGCCAAGTTGACGATACCATCCTTGTCAAGAGCAGCAGAAACATCCAACCAAGGCGTCTCAATGGCTCCGCGAATCCAGGCGGGCTGGGTATCACCTGCGTACTCGCCGGAGCGGACGTTGACGGCAATGGTGGAACCACGCATGTACTTGCTGTAGAGGAGAAGAGGCCACCAGGTTGACTGCTTGAGGATGCCGTCCTTGGTCGTCATGAGGGGTGAGATGACGTTGACGGATTGGGCAATGTTGGCCATGCCCATGTGCTTGGATTGACGGATGAAGACGTTGAGCCAGACACTAACGGCAAGGGCATCGGAGAGGTTGTACCTGAGATGTTAGTATTGTTGATGAGAGAGAGTCAAGGTTTACTTACTTTTCTTCAGCACCCTCTTCTCCAGGAGCGCGAACGGGATCCCAAACGTTCCACTCGTCGAAGCAAATCTTTTGTCGTCGAACTGAAGGAGGAACATTGTTCTCGATACGGGCGAGATCAATAAGACCAGCCGTAATCTCAATAGCCCTCTCGGCAGATCGGGGGGCTGCACTCGTCAGTATTTACCTTTTCAACCTAATCGTCAAACATACCAGTAGCGTTCTTGTAGTGATCAGAGCTAGCAGTATACACATGAATACTGTGCATGTCGATCAAGCTAGCCGTAGTGCTACCACCCAGACCGTGGAGATCAAACTTGATGCACTCCTTGACGACGTAAGAGTCCCAAGTGCTGTAACCAGTCTCACCACAGAGGATGAGTTCAACGTTGGGGTCGAGAAGCTTGATGGCCTTGGCCCACTGGTAGGCCTGCTTTGCGTAGTCTTCCTTTGTCATTTGGCCGACTTGCCAGGGACCCCACATCTCGTTTCCAAGAGCCCAGTACTTGACCTGATGGAGTTGTGAGTTTGTGAGATGGAGTAAAGATTTGGGGGATTTACGTTGTAGGGCTTTTCACGGCCGTTTTGACGACGGAGGTTGGCGTAGTAGCTGTTTCGGTCAGAGTTGCAGTACTCGACCCATCCGAGGGCTTTATATGTTAGTGACAGTGCTTGAGATGTCTGGCATCCACTAACCTTCATCAAGAGTTCCTGTGAAATGTTAGTATGTGTATCTCTCATTGTCAAGAGTATCCTTACCGGTTCCAAAGTTGAGGCAAAAGTAAGGCTCGGTGCCAACAACCTCACACCACTTGAGAAACTCATCGGTTCCAAATTCATTGCTCTCAGTGCCGATCCAAGCCAGCTCAGGTCTACACTAGATTAGATTCTCTCCCAAATTGACGATCAAAGTGCAAACTCACCTGGCAGGTCGCTTCTCCTTGGGTCCAACACCATCAAGCCAGTGGTAGGTAGCAACAAAGTTACCACCGGGATACCGCACAACCGGAACGTTGAGCTCCTTCATAGCCTCAATGACATCTGTGCGGAAGCCGTTGGCGTCGGACAGGGGGTTTCCCGGGTCGTAGATGCCGCCGTAGATGCAGCGGCCCATGTGTCTGGGCGCGCGGCACGTCAATACAACCCTAGAAAAGATTTGGGGGTTGTGCTTACTCTGTGAATCCTCCATAGATGTTGTCTTCAATCTTGGAGATTACTGCCTTTGGGTCGACGGTAATGGTTGGACGTTCATCGTCCGAGATGCGAGTAAAGGTAGCCATGACTGTTTACTGTGGTAGATCACACAAGATGCAAGACATACACAAAAAAAGGGCCAAGCAAACGGGGATTCTCCAACATGCACACACACACTTGCGATGTTGACGATTCTAGATTCTTTAATGCTCAGTCACGAGAGACACTCAATTTATGCAACTCGAAATCTCACGCCAGACACATTATCATTATCGTGTGTGCAGTCTCCACCGCTTCACTCGGTGATTCAACTGGGGGGGAAGAGGGGGAAGACCTCCTCACCGCGTCTCTCTCGTCCGGTTCGTGCGCTTGACGCGAGCCCCAGCGATTGGAGCGCTTCACCATGATCATTCTAGGTTTCGATCGGCATAGCTGGCACTTAGTCTAACCCCCCGCAACAACACGAGACAGGCTGGGGCCCCGGTCCAACCACATGGTGGCGTGAGCTTTTCTTCTCTCTTCTCGGCCGGGGGAAGTAATTACTACGCCGGAGGCTAGCAGGGAGAAAACTCCACCAGTCCCGTCGAGTTCCCATGTCACGGTTCCGGCATTGTTGCTAGAGCCAAGCCTCATCAACTGGTCGGGACAAGTTCCGGCCACTGTCAGTTGAGCGCTTGTAGAGCAAGTCAGCTAACAGGAGAAGATGAGTCTAGTCCAGGTCACAAGGGATCTCACCGAGGCTCTTGTCATTCCGCTCTCTTCTCCACAGCGCACTAAGCAGACCTGGCCCTGTTCAACCCACATTGGACGATCCCAAAGACGGTAGTCACTCCGGGGGACCCGCATAAAGAAAGACACAAGGCCCATGCGGGGAAAACAGAGGGATGAATTGCCTGTTGTTGATGATGAGCATCTTGACAAGATTGCAAAGGTTCGGGGCTCTCGTGCCGTCGTCGCGCCAGAGGGTGTGTGTGATGAGACCTTGTCTCCCCATGTCCCCCGTTCTTCCGTTGTGTCGGGATCCTTTAACCCCGTGGGTTACGACCTTGAATGTGTTTAAATAGAGCCGTTGATCGCCTCTTCTTTTTTTTGTGATTCTCCAGTCAACCCACTGAACCAATCCAAGATCTCCATCATGGCTCTCCCTCCAAAGTGGTATCAGTTTGCAGTGTCCGTCTTTGCCTCGCTGGGCTCTCTGCTCTATGGTTATGACTTGGGTGTTGTTGCCGAGGTGATTGCCTCTGGCAACTTTATCCGTCAGTTTGGTAACGACGCAAACAAGATGTGAGTACACCAGTCATGTGTGTCCATGTTTATACTGACTGTTATAGTGGCGCTGTCGTGTCCGTCTTTACTGGAGGTGCCTTTTTCGGTGCCATGTTTGCTGGTGCCGCTGGTGACAAGTTTGGCCGCAAGTACACTATCCTGATTGGTGCTCTCATCTTTATCCTCGGTGGTGGTCTTCAGACTGGTGCCTCGCATATCGACTATCTGTACTCTGGACGATGTCTCGCTGGTGTTGGGTAAGTTTTAGACCACACAGATGCGGTTCTTGACTAACATGCCTAGTGTTGGCTTCCTTGTCATGATCGTTCCCGTCTACCAGGGAGAGCTTTGCCATCCTGATATCCGTGGAAGAGTTACTGCCCTTCAACAATTTATGCTTGGTGTTGGTGCTCTCATCGCTTCAGCTGTCGGCTACGGTAAGTCCCATAACTCAGCCTCACTGTACACCAACTAACACACTCAGGCACATACGTTGGCTTCGAGGATCACGACTCTCGCCAGTGGCGTATCGCCCTTGGTCTGCAGTGTCTTCCCGCCGTCATCCTCGCCGCCCTGATTCTCTTCTTCCCCGAGTCCCCCCGATGGCTCATCGACAAGGGTCACGTCGAGGAGGGTCTCCAGACCCTCGCCCGTCTGCACTCCCAGGGCAACGTCGACGACCCTTGGGTTCGCGCCGAGTTTGAGCAGATTCAGGAGCGCCTCGCCGTCGAGCACGAGGCCGCCGCCAAGAGCTACCTCGAGCTCTTTACCGACAAGTCTTGCTTCCGTCGTCTCTTCCTCGCTGTTGCTCTGCAGGCTTCCGTTCAGATGACTGGTGTCTCTTGCATTCAGTACTACTCTGTCAAGATCTTTGCCAAGATTGGTATTTCCGGTGACGAGACTCTCCGCTACCAGATGATCTCTTCCGTTATCGCTCTGGTCGCCCAGTTCACTTGCATGCTTCTCATCGACAACACTGGTCGTCGCTGGCCCCTGATCGGAGGTAACGCCTTCAACGGTGTCACCTTTATCATCGCCACCATCCTCCTCGCCAAGTTCCCCCCTGGTTCCGAGGGAGGTGGCGGTGCTGCTGGCTGGGGTTTCATTGTTATCACCTGGATCTACAACTTTTCCTTCAGCGCAACATGTGGTCCCTTGTCATGGATTATCCCCGCCGAGATCTTTGATATGAAGACTCGTGCTAAGGGTGTGTCTATCGCTACCATGATGTCGTTTGCTTTCAACACCATGATTGGCCAGACTACTTCCGTCGCTCTCGACGAGAAGGACGGCATTGGCTGGAGATGGTACATTGTCTTCATTGTAAGTCCCTCACCAAAACACCATCTTGACATGTATACTGACAAACCAGGTCTGCAACTTTACCAACGCCATCTTCTTCTGGGCCGTCCTCCCCGAGACCGCCCACCGACCCCTGGAGGAGATGCGCTACCTCTTCACCGAGGCCCCTCTGTTCGTTCCCTCCATGGACAAGGCCAGGTTCGCCGCCGGTCAGGATCTCGAGAGGCGAGCCGAGGAGGTTTCTCAGAAGCAAGAGTTGGCTCATGTCAACTAAAGCGGCTGCTGAAGCTAGCACAATGTAGTTAATAGCATCAAGTGTGTGTAGCATGCTTGCTGTAGACTGTTAATTGGAAGACGCACTTGTGTACTCCATTCTGTCTTTCATAGGTGCTTACTGTGATATCTAAATACATGAATGCAACGTAGAGAACTGATATGATGTTCACATGCTTCAAGTTGCCATAACAACATGGTTCCCTCGAGCACGACCCCTAATGCACACCCCCAAGTTGTCACCCACGATCCTTCACTCGTCATGATATCTACACCCTCTACACCCCTCCCAAGCAAACCGATCTCAACGGCTCCCCAGTTATACCCGAGTTGTCACCGCCCAATCACGGACTCTCCCAACTACCCCTTGGCTCCTGTGCGGCTAAGGACATACATGAGCCGATGTGTGTACCCCTGACCTTCACCCGTCGTGATCTCAACCACTAGTGAGACGTCAAAGCACTTATTGAACTTCTCTTACAACTAGTATGAACTACCCCTAAAGACTCTTTCCGAAAAACTCATTCAATTTCTTTCCCGCCTCATCAACCTTGTCATACAAATCCGCATGCGTCATCCCCTCAAGCACAACCAGCTCCTTCGGCTCCTTGGCCTTTGCAACCGCATCCTCACTATACCACTTGCTCGCAGCCTTTGTGCCAGTAATCATCAACAAAGGCCTTGGACTGATCATCTCGATAAACGCAAACGCGTCAAAGTTGCCCATGATATCCCAACTTCGGGGAATGCACGTGTTTGTCGCTCGCTTGTGATATCCTCTAGGCGTGCGATAGAAACTCGCCAGATCACGGAACGACTCGGGATAGTCATCTGGTAGATCCTCGTACTTTTCCGGCAGCATGTGGACAATGTCTACCTTTTCGCCTGTAATGTCGCTGTTGCGGTCCGAGGCTGCGGCTTGCAGCTGAGAGTGCAGGACATCCATGTTGGAAGAGTCCTTGGCAAGGCCTCGACGAGCCATTGCACCAGAACATACAGCTACTACTGTTGCGCAGGCTTTGATGCGGAGATCTGTCTGTGCTGCAAAAGGTGCATAACCACCAGAAGCACAAATACCGACAACTCCAATCTTGTCGTTGTTAACCTCCTCAAGGCTCACGAGATACGTAACCGCACACTTGATCTCCTCAACCCTTTGATACGGATCCTCAAGATCGCGAGGCTCTCCTTCTGATTCACCTTGGTAAGCGGCATCGTAGGTCAGACAGATGAAGCCGGCGGGTGCGAGGACGCGGGCGTAGTTGGCGGGTGATTGTTCCTTGATGGAAGTCCAGGGGTGACAGATGACGATAGCGGCTCCATTGCGGTTGGGGGCGTCGGAAGGAGGGAGGTAGAGGTGAGCGGCGAGCTTGAGGCCGCGGGAGGAGAAGGAGACGTTCTTGGGAGTTATAGACATGTTGGTTGATGTTGATGTTGATGTTGATGTTTGTTGTATTGTCTATATATTCATCATCTCCTCACGGCATCCCCCATTATATATCTTCAGCTCAACACTATCACCTTCATCAATCCCATGCCATTGTGGAGTGACCGTGATGCAAATGTCAACGTCAAAAGATTCTGGTGTCGTCTTTTCGGCATCGACTTTCGGACCCCGACAATCTTCGGGGTGGAGGCTAAAGACAATGCAACCTCCGACTCCGCGACCCTGGAACGAAGGCTCCAATCCAACGGCTGCGGAGACGCCACTGACTTTAACTTTGATGGGTGTCAGGCCACTTTGACATGAAGCATTGGGTTGAGCTGAGGTGGTGATGACCGGAGGAGAGTTATAAGTCCGTGAGCATGCATGATACTCTCTATCTTGTCTGTTCAGCTTTCGGACTCAGCTTCGGGAATCGTCCATTGTTTTCGGGATGATTAATTGCATGTCCGAAAGTGATTGTTTCTTATTGGATGTCTGACTACGAGAGTTCTTTGTTGATGAGTTGACTTGTCTCTTGACACGCGCCGTGGTTTCTCCTGTCTCTGAGCACATGCTAGCCGGCAGCGAAAGAAAACGCACGCCGGCTAGAGTATGCATGAGACAGTGAACTGTGTCTAGCATGTGTTTTATGAGTAGCGTAAGACGTAGTGACCTCACTGTAGTCTTGTGACTACTAGGAGATAGGTGAGGCTCTCTCTGGATGCATGTTGAATGCAAGCACAAGAAGCCACCAATTCGATGACAACAATAAGTGCGAGGGGCGAATCATAAGGTTGGCAGAAAAACAGCCTGTCCTGTTGCTTATCGTATACTCGTAAAATATATAAGTCTGGTCCTCTGGAGCCATTAACCAGACCCGGGCCCGGAGTAGGTCATTCCCCCCGATGTCTCCCCTCATTCTGAATGCCCTCACCCCCTCCCCCCCCCCAAAGACTTCAACCTGACTGACGACAGACACCAAGTAAATCACGTCGCGGACGCCTTCCCAAGCAACTCCTCAGCAAAACCCCCAACAGCATCCTTCATGGTATCCAAAACACCTTCCTCAACCCAGAAATGTCCCGCCGTCGTAATCTCACGTCCTCGAAATCCTGACCCGGGTTTGTCACCCAACTTTGCTGTCCAGGCTCGTAATCTGTGTGCCGCTACAAACACATCCGTATCTCCATAGACGGCCAGCGTAGGATTCCAGATTAGCTTCTCTTCAGCGGCCACATCGTGAGGATCCCGATTCTTGACGAGTGCTGTTGGTACCAGGGACATTGTGGCTAGGTGTGTAACTAGACCTTGAAGTGGGGAAATCATGAAATACGCTGGCTTCGGCATGGTGAGGTCCGTGATAGTAGGTAGATGCTCTCCTGGAGGAGGAGCAGCAGCACTACTCTGACTCTCCGTCGGACTGTGAAACAACCTGTGCCCGTGTCTCCCTGACTTAGCCTTTGTGATGAGCTCGTGAACACCACGTCGAAACCTCTCCTCGTCCAGCGAGAAGCTCCTCCTCCCACCTTCATGGCTCCGTCTAGGACTTCCACCCTCGTCGCCGCCGATCCTAACGCCGCGCTTGCTCTTCCCTCTTATGGAACCGTGCTCTTTCATCGCGGCGCGGGCGCTTGCTAGGACAATATTTTGTTGCTCAGCCAGGTGTGCTGCTCGGAGGCGGACTTCTGCAGCGTCGGAGCCTGCTATGGGAGATACGAATGGTTGTAGAAGAGAGTCGAGGGGAGGTAATTGACTTGTTATCATTGCTCCGTATGAGTAGCCGCCCATGAGGAGGATAGGGCGTTGTCGAGTCGTCGTTGTGTTGACGTCGATGGGTGCTGGACCAAGACTATCCGAGGATTGAGGTCGAAAAGGATCGAGAAAGTGAACATAGTGTAGGATAAATGCTACAAAGGTAGCATAGTCGTCACGTTCTGGTTTCGAAGTCCAGCTCGTCTTGCCTGCCGAGCCACTGGCGCCTCTGGTACAATTAGCCATGAATCAATGTGTCTCCAAAATACGCACCGAAAGTTGAAAGTGCCGACTAGATATCCCTTGCGCAGGAGCTGAGCAGCAACTATATCCACCACGGGATCATCATAAGATCCTCCCATGGGGGCATACGGATGCGCTACGACGGCGGCATGGCGTTGCCACTGCGGAGCGCGAGGGTTCGCCAGCAGCGACACGGGGTGGTAGACGCGACAGTCGAGGGTGAGGCCGTCATGGATGCTGGGGAGCGTCAGGGTCAAGGTCGGTTCGGGGAGCATGCTGGGCGTGTCAGTGACATCTTGCCTCCCGTCTGTCGGGACCCCGTGAGTGATGATGTAGGGTCTGGGTTTGGATCTGAGGGGATCTCGATAGCGCGAGATGTAGTACGTCAAAGCTGGGGCGCCAAGCTAGGTCCAGCCGAGGCGAAAATAGGTATAGCTACGTAATGGTCCAGGACAAGGGTCTTGACTTGAATTAATGCTCGTGTCTATAATTCTACATTTACAGCATACATACATAGTAAATAAATCATTGCGCCTTCTTCTCGCCTGCATCCTTTGCCCTCTGTCTCCTCCTCTTGATCCATCCCCTCAGCTCGTTGACCAACCCCATCACCAGTGGAACCCCCACGGGGCCCAGAAGGGGAAGATAGACTGCGATCTTGTGCTCGTCTGGGAAGTACAGCTGTCCGACCATGCTCTTTTCAAAAAATGCTCGCTCAGCTTCCTCCTCGGCGATTCTTGCATGCAATAGTCCAGACGGGTCACCTAGATTAGAGCAGGCTTGCTGGAGATGCTCCATGGTTGATGCAACACCATCAGCGACGCTGCGGGGAATAGCAATGGATGGGAGAGCAAGAGACAATCGCGCCAGCGATCCAAGCGTTGAAGAAGCTTGCAACAGTAAATCCGCAGAACGAATGCGCGATAGTGTAGACAGTCTCAAAGGCAGAGATCCAGACTGCGGCGTACCCAGCAGCGACAACAAATGTCCATTAAACGTCAACATTGGCTGCTTCAGCGTCTCAGCCGACACATGCGCCGTCGTCTCGGGAAGCTTGAGGAGATACACGCTTCCCCACTGCGGAAACATCCAAGACTGCGACGAGGTTCCTGCTTCCGAGTCGAGGCCAATCTTTTGGTCGCCCACGTAAATGACAAAGTTGACGGTCGGGGCTCCACCGATCGAGGGCGAGAGAGGCCACTCGGCGGCGTTGATGAAGGAGGCCAGATCATCCTTGCTGAGCACCTGCGACTGCGCGCCAGGTGTCGCATAAAGCTGCACCTGCGTGTCGATGGTGAAGTTGTGAATAGGACCTAGAATATCGAGCATAGGCTTCATATATTCTTCGATCGCGGCCTCAATGTCCCATGTGTTCGGTACAGCGCCGGCCGTGAATAGAGAAAACGTGAGGTGGTACGTCGGCGCATATCGGAGTGATCGCGTGGTTCGCTTCGATAGTTGATCGACCGTCTCAGGACTCAAGCCTGGGGGTTTGGCATCGGGGGCAGAAGACGTGGAGAGGAGGTACGAGATGATGGACTGCTCCTCTACAAACGTCGACTGAAGTTCGTTGGCGATATACGTCGCAAGAGTCGAAGACGAAGAAGAGGAAGAAGGAACGGCGTTAGGAGGGTATGCGATGTTGAGAACAGCAGAGTCGGAGTCTAGGGAAGCCGAGTTGCTCTCGCCGGGTGTGAGCTGGATCGTCAACGCAACGTGGGAATCATCGGCGGTGGGGGATTCTTTCGGGGCGAGCTGGAGTCGGAGGTGATGACCGGAAAAGTCATTGTGGTCGTCGAGAGCGTGCTGCGTTAGGCGCACGAGGTTCTGGGCGTCATTCTCCTGGAGCGCATCGGCCTTGACGGAGATCTGAAGGGGGAACACTGGACGACAGGCCTAGAGATGTGAGCTTGACGGAGTATCTTGTGGCATCGGGCATCGTACCTTTCCCTCTGCCCATTCTAGCATCCCATCGAGAGGAAGATTGGCACGGTAAATAGTAGTAGTCTTCCACCAGATGGGAAGACCTAGAAACAGTACTATAAGCCAGAACGACACAACGACGCGGGTGCGCCTGGTAACATCGGAGGGCTTCTCGGGAGGAGGTGAGTTGAGCCCTGGATTTTCTGCGGACGGCGCCAGAGACGATTCTTGGACGTCCGCCATGATGCCGTCCAAAAGTTGTGAATAGAGGCGCGGGGGAATTGTGCACCTTGGCTCTTATCGTGATTGTCCTTTTGCTAAGGGAGCTTGGAACACGACATCGCCATGTCACGTGATAGGGATGGTGGTTCGGTGTGTGTAAGCGCTGATGTGGAGATGCAACTTGGGATGTAATGGATCAATCATCATTCTAGGGATGCTAGATACAATGAGGAATTGGATATGCTATTTGTTATATTAAGCTATCAGAATCATTAGGTGTGTTACGTAGAGTTTCTGCAAAAGAGATGGCTGTACCTCATGCATGTATCCTCTTGATAACTGACATGCCCATATCTACAACATCGACATCTTCTAAGACGGATAGCCTTCCGCTTATCGTACTGTACCTGCAGCGTCCCATCAACCAGATCTCACTTTCTCACCATCATTAACAAAAACACCAGTCATCATCATCGTCATCATTATTTCCCCCCCTCATCTTCACCTCCCGCAACTCTTGCCCTTCTCAGTTTAAATCCCTTCACATGTCGTACACACATCCCCAGACGTCCGTGTCTCGGAGCCGAGGCATCATCACCACTCCGCAGGACTTGACCAAACGGACCAGAGTCTGACAAAAGGTCGTGTTACGAATCGGATAATTTCATCGCGAGTGTTGGGTCGTTGTAAAACATTGACGCAGACAAGATGGGACTCTCTTCTTGATTTCTACCTAAAAACCTCCCTATAAAGACTTGCCCAGGCCCTTGTCTTCCCGCTGTGGAGAGTGTTGTCGTCACTGACATCTCCTTATCGCCCATCACCCCATCGACCCACGTCAACAACACGGAGCTTGTTCTCTTCTTTCAGGTCCGACAGGTCCGAAGGCCTCAATTCACCCTCAACAACCTCTACAATGCCTGGTAAGTCCTCTACCCTCTTACTCTTCACTCTCAATGCTAATCCTCAGTCCCTCTCGCCCTGGCGGCCCCGGCCGTAGCTGGCACCATCGCATACCTCAACGCCCGCTCCTCCACCTGGTACGACCTCACCCTCCTCCGCTGCGTCCTCTCCGGCGCGTCGCGCATGTACTACCGCGAATGGGTCGACCGTCTAAACCTCTTCTACCTCGTCGAGAATATCGCAACGAACCCGAAAACCGCCGACCGTCTATTCATCATCTTTGAGGGCAAGCGCTTGTCCTACGGAGAAGTCTACGACAGAGCGCTGAGGTGTGGACACTGGCTCAAGAAGGAGCAGGGCGTTAAAAAGGATGATATCGTCGCTGTCGACTTTCAGAATTCGGATACGTTTGTTGTGCTTTGGCTTGGTCTTTGGAGTATCGGTGCGAAACCTGCGTTTCTCAACTACAACCTCTCTGGCGCGTCTTTGGTGCATTGTCTTCAGGCCGCGACGAGCAAGCTGTGCATCGTGGATCCCAACGTTGCCGAGAATGTGGGACAGGATGTTCGTGATGCGATGAACGAGATGCGCTTCGTCGTATACACGCCAGAAGTGGAAGCTCAGCTCTTGGCTACGGAAGCTGTGAGGGCGCCAGACTCCGAACGATCCGAGAGTAGTCTGTCCAATATGGCTATCCTCATTTACACCTCTGGCACGACTGGTATGCCCAAGGCTGCCGTGGTATCTTGGGGAAAGTTGATTGTTGCGGGTACAATGGCACAGAAGCTACTGGCTCGTGAAGAAGGCGATATCATGTATACCGTGAGTCTCCCCTATCTCAATCTTCAACTCCATACTAACACTGACCTCAGTCTATGCCCCTCTACCACTCCTCAGCAGCAATCCTCTCCTTCTCCGCAACCCTCCTCGGCGGCAGCACCCAAGCCCTCGGCCGCAAATTCTCCACAAAGCTCTTCTGGCAAGAAGTCCGCGAATCAGGCGCAACATCCATCCAATACGTCGGCGAGACCCTCCGCTACCTCCTCGCCGCGCCCCCCCAGTACGATCCCGAGACGGGTGAGTATCTCGACAAGAAGCACAATGTGCGTGTGGCGTTTGGCAACGGTCTGAGGCCAGACATCTGGAACGAGTTTAAAGAGAGGTTTGGCATCGAGGGGATTTGCGAGTTTTATGCTGCTACTGAGGGAACGTTTGGCACGTTTAACCTCAGCAAAAATGATCTCACTGCTGGGGCTATTGGTCGGAATGGTTGGGTATACAACATGATTATGAGCTTCTCAGTCACCCTTGTTGAAGTCGACTGGGACACCGACATGCCCAAACGCGACCCAAAGACAGGAAGATGTCGCAAGGTCCGCGCCGGCGATCCAGGCGAGATGCTCTTCAAGCTTCCCTCGAAAGACCCATATGCACGCTTCCAGGGGTACTACGGTAACAAGGCAGCCACGGAAGCCAAGATTCTACGAGACGTGTTTAGCAAAGGCGACGCTTGGTTCCGTACCGGAGATGTTGTTCGGTGGGATAGTGACGGACGCATCTACTTCCACGACCGCATCGGCGACACATTCCGCTGGAAAGGCGAAAACGTATCAACAGCCGAAGTCAGCGAAATAGTATGCCAACACCCCATCATCAAAGAAGCCAACGTCTACGGCGTATCCCTCCCTCACCACGACGGCCGAGCAGGTTGTGCAGCAGTATACCTCTCGTCGGAACCCACGCAAGAAACCATGGAGAGCCTAGCATCCCATGTGCAACACTCACTCCCCAAGTTTGCCCGCCCCCTATTCTTAAGAATCGTCACGGAGATGGGAGGAGGGCAGATCACGGGGACAAATAAGCAGCAGAAGCACGCTCTCCGTGAGGCGGGAGTTGATCCTGCGCAAAAGGACATGGGAGAGGTATATTGGCTCAAGGGGGGTAGCTATGTGCCGTTTACAGACAAGGATTTCAGAGAGATGGAGGGCGGCAAGGTCAAGTTGTAGTCTACATAGTAAGAGTCTAGGATACCCATTATCATACTGCATATACTCATTTCATCTCGTTTACTCTTCTCCCTTGGACCGTCAGTGACTCGTCACATCTACTTAAATCGACACTAGTTTGGTTCCCTATATCACTCCAACCTAGACGATATCTCACCCTCATCACCCCCGTCTCGGCACATGCATTCTATATCCCCCAAGTCAAGGTCCATTAGTCTAGTTAGCGTATGATATCTTATATGTTATGATATGTCCATCCATGCCATGCATGCAGTGCTCCATGTACATTGCTACTCGACATCCCCCTCCTCCTTTCTTCTACATAGATAGACCGTGACTCGTTTCGTTACATGGCATGCCAGTGTTTTACTTATTTTGCTTATCCCTCGCTAATGTTGCTTTCCTGCCCATCCGATGCGCTGCGAATTTCACCTCCAGCAATCACCTCATGATCCTGCTATTCCCAACCCAACTCGAGGCTGGCTTGGGCCGCCAGAGTACCCTGGTCCCATGTTGCTTCCACCAGTCGTCCCTGTCCTTTCTCTCATCCTTCTACCCTCCATCAGCCCTCGCAGTCCTCGTTTCTGCAGCCCAATCACGCTACTAAGCTCGCCACTCCACACAAAGTTCTCCCTCTCGCTGCCACCAATCTCTGAAGAGCTCCACTCTGAACCGCTCTGGCTTGTTGTCGCTGACAGTTCGTCGCTTGGGGGACGGTTAGGCTGCTGTACATTCGTGTTGAGACTAAGACCTTCGGTTCGTGCTTGGATATCTGAAGAAAAGCTGTCGCTAGCTCCATGACCCAAGGAAAAGTCCGATGTAGCAGTAGGCGAGCCAACAGGGTCAAGAGTTCCCACAAAGAAGTTGGGGTTGAGTGATCCATCAATACCACGTCCTCCTCCGGCAGCCATTGCTGTTGCGTTGAACACGGCTGCTGCGTTTCGGCTGTCAAGTAGAGCATGAAGTCGTTCGACAACTGCCTCAAGAAGCCCATCGATACGATAGGGTCGCGCAATTTGCAAGAGTGAGCAGAGAATCTGGGGTGTACAGAGCGGAGAAGATGGCGGGGGCAGGGAGCTTGTGTAGAGAAAGTGAAGGAGAGCCTGGATCGTGAGATAGGTGTGTGGCAAGTAAAGACATCGCGGTCGTGAGTTTGGTGGTAGCGAATGAGGCGTAGGCGCGGCATTGATGTTGGTCGGATTGGCCTCGTGGCCCATAGCCCCAGCAGAGATGCTTGAAGGTGCTGTGCTTGCCGGGATGCCAGATGAACCCAATGATCCAATAGTGCTACTCATGGATCCAGAGCTCTCGGCTGTCCTAGAACTCGGCGTGATGGTGATGGCTGATGCTCGTAGGGGATTGCTCGCCAGACCAGACCGGAGAGTCATGGCGTCACTTCCATCCTGAGTTGCCGTACCCTCTCTCAGGAGCTGCACAAAGTAAGGTCCCCATCGTCGTCCAACAATCCTCGAGTTGACAGGGATTCGCTCGCCCCCGATGCACAGAATATCCATATCTGACAGCTCTCGTAGAGTAAATGCCTTCTCACCAAGCTCTTCGCTCGCCCTCGAGTGGTGTCTTCCACCCGCTGTGTACCCAGCTTTGCGCGCGAGACTGAGTCCAGGGCCCGCATAAGGACTGCTGGCAGAGATGAAACCGGATAGAGGGCTTGTCTTGCGTGGGTTATCATAGAACCCAAAAGCTTCCAGCTCAACCATACACACGTTGGAAAAGTTGATTCGTCGATGATTATAGTCATCGACGAGGCTTCTCTTCCGGTTGCCTAGAATGACAAACGTGTTTCGTCGGTTCCAAAGGACTCCACGATTCCAGCTGCCCTGGCTAAACACACTTCCTCCAGCATCAATCCGGCTCCACGTGAGTGTCCGCAAATCCAGGGCCCAGAGAGCATACTCCTGTCGAGACGATGTGAGGTACGTTCCGCTGACCACAAAGTGTGTATCGATAACTCCTCCATTCGGGAATCGCAATCCGGGGGGCGAATATGTTCCTGACATGGGCCTCTCTGTCAGAGTTCCGTCTGGTGCGCGAATCTGCAGTTCCAGCTTGACATCCAAAAAGTTGTAGTTGCAGTAAATGAGCATAGACGATCCTGGTTCTCGGGCCTCCTGGCTGATTCCTCCTTCTGTGCGTTGAACTCCATTTGAGTGTCGTCGACCGAGCTTGGCTGCCACTGCAGGGGGCAATGGAGCCGTCACGCTTCTGTATGCGCCCCAGCTCCTATCCAGAGGCTGTGTAGATGTCCATTTCAGGCTTCGCAAGTTGAATACGCTGATCTGCTCGATATAGTTGTTCCTGCCGTCTTGTCCACCCACAATCACCATTTCAGCACCTCCCGCACCGTCAATGTTGATACCAATGCGACCTTCGTTGGGGTTCCCGGACGAAGGGTTATGCTGAAGAGCGGATAGAGGTGCGCGGTGCGAGGAAAAGGTGGCGGATGAAGGGAGAATACAGGCACAGTGGGCGTACCGGCCTTGAGGAGGGTCCTGGGTCGGGATGAAGGTCCACGTTCTGGTCGTGACGTCGTAAATGTAAATATCAGACATGACGGTGATTTCAGGTTGGTCACCGCCAGGGGGTTGGTTAGGGGCAGGCGACATGCCTCCATAGCAGACCATCTTGGTATCTCCAAGCGCGCACATGGAGTGAAAGTATCGAGGAGGTGGAACATCGCCTGTCGTCTCCAACTTCGTCCAGTGCCGCCTAATAAGATCCAGTTCGTACATGTCTGATGTTAAAGGGGCAGGTCGGCTTCTAGACAGAATCCTTCCTCCAAAAACATAGAGTTTGTCGCCCAAAATGGTGGTTGTGGCTCCGACCAGCGCATGGGGCTCACGACCCGTCGTTCTGTGAACATTGCACATGAGGCCCGAGAGGTGTGTGGAAGGGCCTTGTGACGGTCCTCCAACCGGGTTTGAACGGCCCTGCGTTACATTTGGTGATGGTCCAGCAGAAGCCGCCCCGGTGGCCCCTGGCTTGAGGTTATTGTTGGCATCTTGCGGTCCCTCGTATCTGGAAGAGCTCGACACGCTGCTCATACTGTTGTTGGCCTCGTGGGCACCATACATGTGCGGCGGTGGCGCCGAAGAGTTCGAATCCATGGTGCTTGTCCGGCTATCCATGGCGGGTTCTTTTGGCGGCGGTGGTGGTACTGGCGACTGCGCCGGTGATGGATCAGGATAGCTTGGCGTGACCTGACCCTCAGGGACGCTTGGTAGGTTTGTGGGAGAGTTGGAATCTAGTGGCGGCGTGGAATCTCGACTGGGAGGTGGTCGGGGTAAAGGCTTCGCGAGACTGTATTGTAGGGTCAAATTTCGAACATGCTGGATGGCCGAACTCTCGGATGGTTTCTGAACGCTCGAGGTGGACGAGCTTGCAGAGTGTAAACTCGACGAGGAACTCTTTAGGTTGAGGCGGGAAGGGCTGCGGGAGAGCTTGACCGAAGGTAGCTTGCGAATGCCTCGATAGACGCCTGAGAGCAGATCGGGAGTATATCGAGTGGTCGTCGGCGGCGGTCGTCCGTCATCGGAGTCTGAATCTGAAAAGTGGGAAAAGTCGTCGACGGCTGGAGGATCCTGCCGGATTGTTAGTTCTGAGGAATCAGCCATGGCGGTTGGCGAGTAGATGGCGCAAGTAGCAAAACATGAGATGATGGATCTGGCGAAAGACAAGGAAAGAGAATCGCGGGGATAAAGGCAGCACTGGGCAAGTAGCTGACCAAATAGGAACTCGCAAAATGACAGCTGCCCTCGAGACGGAAGCCAAGGAAGGGATGGGAGCCAAGGGAACGGGTGAGCCTAACAGACGTTGCGCTGGAGATCGTGAGGGCGATCCGGTGAGACCAGGGAGGTCACCGCTCAAGATGGGTCTAGATGGGGACTCTGAGCCAGGGTTGGCGAGGGCAAAGAGATGATGACGGAAACGTAAAAGGACAAGAGGCGTAGTCGAGAGACACGAGGACTCAGGGAGGCGAACGGAAGGGGCCGTAGCGGTTGCTGGTCGCGGGGGAAGAGGCTCCGTCTGGAGACAGGACCGAGATGTGACAGGCGGCCAACCGAACGAGGATAAGAACGACAGGGACACGGCGGGACAGAGAGAACAAGACAAGGACCAGGCAGCGGAGGCAGGGGAAGCAAGGCGTACGTACCGTTCGTCGAGATGCCCGAGAGGCCGCGATACGGGGCAGTCGGTCAAGAGGTTGCAGGTGGTAATTTCGGTCAGGGTCGCGGGCGCGGAATCGAATGTGTTCGATGTCCAGGAGGTTTGAGCAAAACGGGAGAAGTGGACAGCCGAACCCGAACACTGGAGCGCACTGCAGCTAGTGCAGCGCAGTGCACAAAAGTCTAGATTCAACAACCACTCAGAGACGTCCGAGCCAAAGCAGGGTCGCAGTGGCAGTCCTGAAGGTCGTGATGAAGGGGACAAAGGGACACCGACACCAGCCAGACGAAGTGACAGGGCGTGCGTTGGCAGCGCGCGCACGGACACTGAACGAACGTCAAGGAGGGGATCCGAGGGGTTCGTTTCCAGGGGGTTGAGGTTGAGGTGTTAGCGCTAGTCCGCGTGGGAAACGGGGGGTTTCTCCTCGGGGAGAGGTTTCGATGCGATGTGAAGCTGCAGGTGCGAGGTTTTAGCGCCAGACGAGGAGATGAGACGAGACGAGACGAATCTCTAGCAGCTGGCAGCTGGGAGCTGGTCTCTGTCTCTCTCAGTGATGGTATTGACGTTGTGGGCGCTGATCGTCGTGGACCCAGGGTTGGTGGTGCGCTTCTTTGGGGGTCTCGGTCGGACCCAAGGCCAACGGTGGAGCGGATCCCCTTCCCTTGGACAAGTATCCGTATCCCGTTTGTGGAAAAAAGTCAGGGGCAGCGACGGTAAGATTCTGAACCTAGAAAAGTTGCTTTTCAGCAATTGGGATCGACGATTATGACGATTTCTCAGTCTTGATCTTTCGGTGAGGAAAATGATGGAGGAGAGACGGGTTGTTTCAGAAGTCTCGTGCAATCAGCGCTCAAGCAGGAGCTCCAGCAGTCGCTAGAGGAAGGCGGCAACCACTGGCAGACGGGATGGTTCGGCCAATCACACTCCACAGCATCCACTAGAAAGCTCCCCCGTAGTCGCCGTGTTTTACCGCCAAGAAAACCAAACGCGTTAGCTGTCAACCCCCCTAGAAAGTGTGACAGCGCCTAGAAGTCCAGTGGAAGCAATGTGTTGCTTTTTTAGCGACAAGGGTCCCTGCAGCTAGGTTGGTCTTGTGATGGGTGGTAACCGCTACTGACGTAAGATGGGTTTGTCTCTGATCATAAAAGACATGATAAGTTTCAGAATAAACTTGTCTAACTATTCTGAGAAGGTTTAGAAGATCTTATCAACTAGGTGTTTGAGGATATTGTCGGAATTGGGTATCGTAATTAAAATCCTCTTATCTCCACATCCGCTTCAGGCTCCTCCACCTGCTGAAAGGGGTGTCTTTCGGCTTGACTCCTGTTATGCTTTGCTTTTGCTGGGGTCTAGAGTTTCTCATAGATGTAGTGTTTGTCTTGGCATCACAAATAGGTAGGCAAGGGTATTTCTGCTTCAGGAGCGAGTTCGCGACTGGTTTCTGCATAGGTACGCTACGCTACGACGTCTTGGCTGCTTGAATTCATCCCAACTTTGCCGATGTATCCCAAGGCAATGCTACCCAAAACATGATATTAGATGTTGCTTTAAGTAGTTTCACATGCTGTTCGTTGGAGGCGTAGATAGTCAAGGATCAATGTCAGCGGTGAGAGATTCCCCCTACGGAAGCCCAGAGATCAACATGTAAGACGAAACGAAACATTCTAAAACCACTCCGACTATAATTCCCATTCTAGACATCGAAAACCAGTTTCGCACCCCACGGGGCATCCATCTCGGTAGCCTTTCCAAACTAATCAAGAAACAACCAACCCGCATATACGCGAGACCACAAACGACAACCAAGACAAGGATCAGTTCCGAAACCGTCACCAACAATCAGAAACACCACGGCATGTGACCGAAACACATGGTCTAGACCCTCTTTTGAAACGGATTCAGAAAGATGATGCTTGGCGGTCATCAATCGGTGCATTGCGCAATGTGATGAGTACGCGCGGCTTACAAACTCGCTTCTGAACATTGACTACAATGAGTATGCAGTTCGGTCACCCTCTAAGCGAACTGCAAGCCTATCACAGCTGAAGTTCCGTGCATAGATGGTTGTCGGCCCGGGAACAATATGGGTGTAATAATCTCGATTGGCTTCTGTTCAATTGGGTTGGTATCTGCCTATTCAGAGATGAGCCGAGGTCGGTTCCGGCTAATATCCATTCGGCTTTGTAAATATAGCCAGCCGAAGCAAGTATCCGTCATTAAACAACCGTTCCAGCCACCGTGCTCTGCGTGGTCTTGGGAGCATCGAAATCATAGCAGACATCAGTGATGGGGAGCTCGACATGGTACAGATTGGCGCTCCACCACTTTGTAGCAAATCCAACGAGATCAAAGACAAAGTCAGACTTGAAGGTGACATCACAGTCTCCGACAACTCCTCCAGTGCCTCCAACATGCGTAGCTGTTCCGTTGGTTGAAGCGCTGGCAGACTGCTCAGAATCGAGGGTAAATTTGTTGATCAGAGCGGGCGTAGCTGTAAGACCGCTGCTAAGGTCGATGAGTCCTCCAAGAACCTTGACGGCCAGTTGTACAGTCACGGAGGTGCTAGCGTTGAGTCCAACTTCGACACTCTCGCTGACGTTGGCGTAAGAAGTGTACTGGGGAACCCAGCCGGTGGCAGAGTTCTTGGCTGAGTCAAGGACATCGAGGTGGACGTTTCCATCAAGGATAGAGATGCCAGCACCAGCGGTGACGGAAACAGCGCCTGAAGCATCAATGTCGACGCCAACAGCAAAGCCGACACCGGGACCGAGAGAGACGATTCCTGGAACGTCGATAAGGTTGAAAGTGAGAGAATCAGGGTCGTAGAGAATGGAGCGAGACCAAGCAGCTGCGACATCGGCGCTCAGGGCAACGTCGGCAGAGAACTGGGTGTCAATGTCAAAGTAGAGATGCTCGAGCTAGGACGGTCAGTACCAGCATATCAAAGAGCTTGCATCTACCCAAGAGTTGATGCCATGAAATCCAGAAACTCACCTTGAATCCCCAAAAGTTGTACTTGAGGTATCCTGAGAAGGTGACAGTGGACGCAAACTCGGCCTGGTCGGCCTTGACAGTCACCCAGGGGTCTTCCTTGAACAGGATGGTATCCTCTGGCAGTCCAGCTCCAAAGCTCAGGGCAACGCTAGGATCAAGCGTGAGGCGCTTCTTGAGGGTAGAAGAAGGAATAGAAGTAAAGTCCATCTCAAAGCTGTCTGTTCACTTGTCAGTATATTGCAACAATTTTCATACGTGCAACTCACCAGCCACCTCTGAAATATCCACCTTGGTGGCACTGCAGGTAATGGTCTGCTTCTTCTCATCGGGAGAAACATTTCCAACCGAGATAAAGGTACGCTGAGATCCAGAGTCGCAGCCGCTTGAGCCACTGGTGATGATGGTAAAGTCGCTGTACTTGAGCCAAGACTCCTTGGCCTTTTTGAAACCCTCTCCCTTTCCAAACTCGACGGTGATGGAGTCGCCGCTGCACTGAACCTTAGTGATGGATCCGATGGTGTCGAGAGCAACAGCAGGCTTGTTCATGTCGATCTTCATGTTGATGGCACCATCTGCGGTCTTGTTGCCGGGAACGTTTCCTCCAGGGACAGTTCCCTTGGGGGCGCCATAGGACAGCTTGACCTTCTTCTTAGGGACACAGTTCTCGGGGTTGGAGTGATCCTCGTCTGGGTGAGGAACAGGCGTAAAGATGACGGTGGTGTTGTGCTGAGCAGTAGCAGTTGCTGGGCGAATCGTGGTCGTGACAGTCTCGGAAGCCTTGGGAATCTTGACAGTCTCGGAGGGTTTAGCACTCTCAATCTGCGCAGCTGTCATGGTAGGGACCTGGCTGGGCATTTCCACCACAATGTAGCGGACAGAGCACGCGCATGATTCTTCAGCAACGGCATGGCCAGCGAGCAGCAGCAGATTGCTGACTGCAAAAAGAATGGACGAAGATGCAGAGATCTTCATGTTGAATGAGTGAATGGCAACTGTAGGAGATTAACGAAAGGAGGGGTGCATGGTCAACAGAAAGATGGCAAAGGGCCATATCAATCTATATAAACTAAACGATATCGTATCGTATATCGAGACAGGGTCCTATAGCGTCCTCGGTATAGCCCGAATAGGGCAGGAGGTACCACAACGGCATGTGAAGAATCTACTGGGTATAAGATAATTAAAACCGCCGAGAAGTGGAGTAGTCATGAGGTGAGAACGGTGGCAGTTGTGAGGCTAACTCCGGTTGGACCCTGCAGAGTCATCGAGTTGTGGCTTGGCCCGCTCTATGACATGGGTTTGTGATGCAGCCCGTTAAGGTAGCGAAACTCAAACCCAACAACTACAGCCCTTCACGGCAGTTTATACCCACATCCCGTCGTCGGCGAAGCCCTACGTGATCTATACCCATGTCGGTGTCTGAGCAACTTGTCCAGAGCGTCTTCAAGACAATCCCTCCCCGCTTGCGTGGACCTGGAGGCGCTGTCGCCGTTGTCAAGGATGGGCATCTCCTCGGGCAAACCGTTTGGGGGTACGCCGACCTTGACAAGAGGATCCCCATGACAGCGGACACGCCGATGCCCATCTGTTCTATTTCAAAGCAAATGACATGCGCAGTACTGCTCGACTTGGAGCGTAACCCGACGTTGTCCATGTCCAAGGAGAACATAAGGGGGCAGTTTGAGGCTGAGCTCAAGAGGCTGCTGCGTCCAGAGATGACAAAGGATGGCAAACTGTCCCTGGAGCACCTTTGCGATAACCGCTCCGGTATTCGCGATTACTGGGCATTGACCACGCTCTGGGGTGCCAAGCCGGAGGGACGGTTCGACCTAGACAAAGACGGCCCGCAAGCGAGGGACTTGCTGAGGAGCTTCCACTTCGAGCCAGGGACAGAGTACTCCTACTCCAACACGAATTTCCACATCTTGGCGCGCATCATTGAGAAAGTGAGTGGAGAGTCGTTCGAGGTGCTGCTGGGAGAGCGAGTCTTTGGTCCAGCTGGGATGAAGACTGCACGGCTCTGCGCAGACACGTCAAAGCTGCCTGAGCCGTGTGTTGGGTACGAGGGAGATGAGAAACGTGGCTATACGCCTGCTGTTAACCGTATAGAGTGGGATGGTGACGCTGGCATTGTGGCTTCGCTCTCAGACATGGTTGCTTACGAGGGATATCTGGATCGCAGCCTGTCTGATCCGACGAGCTGGTACAGGACTGCGATTGAACCGTCACAGTATAGTGATGGTACGCCGGCTGTGTATCGCTACGGTCTCTCTCACGTCGATGTCGAAGGAGTAGAGACTATCGGTCACGGTGGTGCACTACGTGGGTTCCGATCTCGACGTCTACAGGTTCCAAAGGAACGTCTCTCTGTGGTGGCCATGCTCAACCATGAGTCAGAGGCTGGAACACTCGCTGAGCATGTTTTGAGAGGTATCCTGAACCTCCAAAGACCTCAGTTCCCCGTTGTCGCACCGACTCCCGACTGGTTCGGTACCTTTATCGACGACAGGACCTTTCTAGCAATCACGGTGTCGCCGAGTGTCAAAGGAAAGGTCAGCATTTACTACGCCGGGTATGCCGAGTCCATCACCCTCACGGAGCCTTCCCGTGGAGTGTCTCGCGACATGACTGCGACTCTCACTTTAGATACACTTCACATCGAACGCCTGAAGGATCACAGGACCCTCAGGGCTGTCCGTGTAGTCCAGAGCGATACTCCCGTGGACAATGCGTTCTACCAAGGCGACTTTTACTGCGCCGAGATTGACTCGACCTTTCACTGTTACGATCAGGGTGGTGTAATGTTTGGTACTTTTGACGGATTTCTAGGTGAGGGGCCACTACAGCCGATGAGGTATGTTGGCGGTCGAGTTTGGACTCTCTCATGTCCGCGTGGGATGGATGCTCCAGCGCCTGGTGACTGGACTGTTGTGTTTGACTGTAAAAAGGAGGCTGTTGTTGGTGTTGGCATTGGGTGTTGGCTTGCCAGATCACTCTATTTTGTCAAGAAGTAGGCAAGTATTCCGCTCTTTGAGAGGATAGCAAAGGTCTGGGTAATATCCCGGCTCATTTGCGAGGAGGACAGGGTAGTTTGGTTTGGGCTGTATGCAACATGATTGATGATGATGTAACTTACGAAACAACACAGAATGAACATGAATGGCTTATTCAGATGCTCAATTCCATTGAATCCATTGTCCAATAACATGGCTGAGATCAGCCAGCTCAAGCTGTCGGTATCGTAGCTAGACACAGCTAGACCTCACGTCAGCCCGGCATCACGAACCCACTTCAGAAGCATCATGGCTCCGGAACTCGGTCTCTCAAGCGAAATCTACGGCTATCGTCAGCCAATCTCGCTGTATACGTCCCAAAACACCTCAATGGCGGGCCTCGGGATTGACATTGCTCACTTGGCTTCATCAGCATCGCCGTTTACATACCGTTTTCGGGGTTCACATGATGGGACTTCGCCGTCTAGCAGGGTTCTTCAACCTTCTTCCCTTACTCCACTTGATGCCGCCATCGGCGACCGATGGCCCGAACCCCGCCCTCTAGAAGCGCCTCATGATCAAATGTTGTGGTCACTATTCATCACTTCACGCAGATGGATAGCAACAATTTGGGCATTTCTTCATTTATTCTTCATCTTCATGCTATCACAAATGGCAAGTCTGTAAGAGACCAATCCTGGTGGTTCCGTCCACTGGTATCATGACAGTGGTCGTACTACGCCCATTCAAATCCACTTGCTCATCTGCTCGGTATCATTTTGGGTATTAAGTAGTGATCCCTTTACTGGGAAACAACCTTCTCCTTGGCCAGAGGAGTGAATCGGAGGTAAGGCTTGACAATGCGGAACTCGGGGAAGAGGGTCTTGGCCTCCTCGTTCTTGACAGAGGGGTGGACAATGACGTCCTCACCGGGGACCCAGTTGATGGGGGTGGTGATGCGGTACTTGTCGCCGGTCTGGAGGGAGTCGATGATGCGGAGGATCTCGGCGGCGTTGCGGCCGGTGGAGGCGGGGTAGGAGAGGATGGTGCGGATGGTCTTCTTGGGGTCGATGAAGTAGACGGATCGGATGGTGAAGGCAATACCCTTCTCATCGACGTTGGTAGCATCCTGCTGGTCGATCCTAGAAACTTAGTTAGTAGACGTTCATACAGTGAAAAGCGCAGCTTACATGTCGTAGAGCAGGGAAACCTTGCGCTCCTTGTCACCAATGATGGGGAACTCGACGTTGCCGCCAGTAACCTCGGAGATATCCTTGATCCAGCCCTCGTGGGACTCGATGGTGTTGGCAGAGAGACCAATGGGCTTGACACCACGCTTGGCGAACTCGGGGGCGAGCTTGGCCATGGCGCCGAGCTCGGTGGTGCACACGGGAGTGTAATCCTCGGGGTGGGAGAAGAGGATGACCCAGTTGTCGCCGATGAACTCGTGGAAGTCGATCTTGCCCTTGGTGGTCTCGGCCTGGAAGTTGGGGGCGATGGAGCCCAGACGAAGAGGAGCGGGAGCAGACATTTTGGCAGATGAAGATGAAGTTTTGAGTGAAAAAAGGGTATCAAAGTTATTTGGGAGTCAAAAGGGAAGAAAGGAAGAGGGAGGGGGCGGGGATTATATAGACAAGACGTGTTCTCCCGAGCACTGCAAGCACGACAGGCCGGTAGGAATTCCGAATACGCACGCAACTTCGCTCAGCCTTTTTTCTCGAGTGGGTTGCTAAGCTTGCTACACCTTGTTGGAAAGCTCGCCGGCTAGTGGCACGCCCAAGGGGATGCTAACCCGCGACGATCCAGCCTCGCCCAGAAGCCGGATGAGTCCAATTGAGGGCGCCACGAGGTGAATTGGCACATTGACGTTGGGGCTGTTGAAGCTCGGCGTGCAACCTTTTTGACCTGAAGTTAATCCACCTCACAAAGTATATGATCCCTCACAGGTACAAGCAAGCTTTCTCTGTCTCTACAAAACAGTCAATTAGTTACTATCATCCTCTTATCCATTCTCTTCATCATCTTCATCTCCCATCATCTCCCTCATCACCCCGCCAAACCAAATAAACAAGACACCCCTCACTCATAACGTATCTCTCCCCCACCATCACAAGCCTCCACCACCCGCCAACCTGCCCCTCACTTGGCCCAAGAACGGCAAGGCTCGGTATTGCGTGCTGGGGACGCGTCTCAATTGGCTCACTCACAAGAATTGTGCCATCGCCAGCGGCAATGCTGCCATCGCGACATTCCTGACGCAATCCCTCCCGCCTGCGGCGTGAACTCACCTGCCTGCCATGGCGCGATGGGCCGGGCACACATCTGTGCACTTCCATGGGCTTCGGAAGTCGGGGCGGGTTCTTGTTGGTTGAGGGAATACGGCAGTGAGACGTGGCAGTGAGGATAGACGCGGTGTAAGAGCCACTATTTGATCAGAGAGATTTTAGCATTGGCCATCCTTGACGAATTAAACTATTCTTGACTGCATTTGGAGTGGTGAATGTCCCTTGTTTTCGTCAACATCAAGGTGATGCGCCATCCGTAAAACTGCCGGGTCCAGCACACCATGGGCAGCCAAGACTAATCACACAAACCTCGCATCACATCGCGTTACGCCGTAGTTTCGCGTCCAGGTGTGATTGACAGAGACAGCTCTGCCCAACATCCACTTTCATCCCCACGTCGTCAGCAAGTCCGGTCTGTCGCTGGAGGCCTACCACCCGACCTGATGGAGGGGTTGAGAGCTGGCGGGGTATTGACTGTTGTAGGGTAATTGAGGTTAGCCGAACATGAAGAGACATCGTGTAGTCAACGATCTGAAGTTTGGGGACAAAAGAAGTAGAATTGAATGCATGGAAGCAATTTGTAAACAGGATGGTGGTCCCCTCAAATCATCATGTTGCTCTCATAGCACATTTGTAGCTGGCTCGTTCAGAGACGGTGTTGTAGGAGTAAATACGCATTCTGGAGAATCCCTTGCACCCAACTCCTCAGAAGAATACTCAATGATAGGCCCGTACAAGCTCTTTGAAGCCGTCAGACCTCATGCCAAACACTCGGTGATCTTAGCCTTACCACGCATCCGTTGATCGAAACGACGACTGTAGAGGCTTCTCCAGCTGTGGAAGGACCCTGCCTGCACGTGCCTCCAGCCTCAGGGTCATGGTGGGCCGTACGAAGCCTTTTCCTCAACAAGCAAGCTCCGGCCGCGTGGCCTAATGGCTAAGGCGCTAGATTTCGGTTCTCCAGCACCCGATCCCTCTAGAGATTCCAGGTTCGAATCCTGGCGTGGTCGAAAACGGCTATCCGGAAAACTTTTTGTCTTTTGAAGCATTTTTGGTGATTTTCTGAGCATTTTGGTGGTGGTGGTGATGGATTCTGAGGCGGTTTGATATCCAAATCGCGCTCTTTCCCTCTGAGCGCTGGCCAGCCCTACGCCAACGGCCCGTGTCGCGTGGCGTCTAACCCGATTAGGAATTCTTCATCTATTTTTTGATCGCGCTCCTTCCCTCTGTGACGAGAAATTCAACGACATCTCTTCCATCGCGATGCTTCATTTCTTCCGTCGGCAATTGTGAAGCTTTTCATGGTGCATCTGGATCGTGGTGGGTCGAACGCATCAGTGCTTCTCGGCTGTCCGCACACAGTTAGCTCCCCCATCATCCCACAGTGGAGCGTCCCCTTGATTGACCAGGTAAACAGGTACCAACCCGAAACCGCCAGAGGCACCATCTGCCAAGTATCTGATACATTCTCGGTGCAGTTCTCGTCTGGGAAGACGCGCTGAACAATTCGGAGCCAAAAGGCCACCATTGAACGCCACAGTACGCCAGACAGAGTCGAGTTCGAATGCAACACACTTGAAGCGTCTGGATCAAATAAAGTGGCGGCAAATAGGGGTAGTGGGGAAAAGGGAGGGATCTTCGTTCCCGGATGATACACTGGCCGTCGCTGTTATTTAGGCGTACGCTTATTCCCACATCCCGTTCCTGCCTCTTCTCCCTGTCTCGGAATCACGCTCCCTTTGGCCATCTTGACGATGCTGTCCTCCATCTCGCGCGCCCCGCGCTTTTCGGTCACTACTTGTCTTCTTATTGCTGCCGGCGTCTCTCTTTTGCTGGTCTTGTTTGCTTATTTCTCGGATGGTTTGAAGGCGCCGTTGGAGTATGCCCACGGCAAGGCTGGAGAGTACTGGGACAAGACTTTCAAGTATGCATCTGCCCCGTGACGCTGTTGGCTACGACGTCAATACCCACGTGTCGTGACGACTTGGCATCATCTTGGCTCGGCGCTGACTGTCACAGGCCCTCTACACAGGTCTACAACTGCGAGGACCCTTATCGTCGACCAGGCTACCTCTATATCCCGGCTGATATAAACGGCACCGATCAGTACAAGAAGACACGATGGATCCCGTACACCGATGACCTCCTTGACGCCGAGGATCCTGATTATGCGGTGTACCCTGCTGCTGGCGAAATCGTCTTCAACGCCACCGAAGTGGAATCCGATTACCTTGACCTATCATCCACGCCCCGACAATGGATGCCCGCCGTCGTTGCCGAGAGTCAGCGCCGACGAAAGGCTGCTCAGTATATGAAGTCGGCTGGCGTTGAGGACTATGCTCCCATGAAGAACGAGGGCGAGCTGGGCTGGCTCTGGGGCCGTCGTATTCTGCTCTTTAGCGACTCGGTCGATCGATTCATGATGGAGTTTTTCTGCAAGGAGCTCGGACGAGGCATGCAACAGCCGGCACCGCACACGACGGCTACATGTACCATCCCCGAGTTCAACCTCACCTTCGTCCACTGGCATTTTGCTGGCTCTTTCACCTACCGACCTGAGTGGTGGTGGATGACCGACATGAAGGCTATCGCCTTTGAGGACCGCTGGGAGCAGTACTGGGGACCCATGAACCAGACGATTCAAGGACCCAACGGATACCCCGATCTTATCCTCTGGCAGAGCGGTCTCTGGGACCAGCGAGCGTTCTGGGAGAGCGGCGAGGCCAACCACGAGAAGGATGTCTACCCAATGGGAACACGGGTGAGACAGCTGGTCTGGCAAGAAGTCCGCTTCACCGCTGCCCGTCTTCGAAAGTTTGTCGGCCGTATCGCCCTCGAGTTTCCTAAGTCGCCCACCATGTTCCGATCCATGACGATTCACCGCGTGAGCGACGCCGGAGATGCCACCATCTACGACCTGGACCGACTCTCACGAGCCATCGCCGAAAAGGCCGGACACGAGGTGTTTGAATGGGGCCGCATCATCACGTCGCTGTCGATGCTGTACAAGGACAAGACGCACCCGGGTAGGGGCCCCGCGAGCTGGCTCTGGGCCGACATGGTGCTTGAGTACCTGGCTCGTGGTGGAGGGGCTGGGGATGAGCAGAGGAAGCCGTATTTCGACTCGTGGGATGCTTGTCACCCGCACCTTATGAACTGGGGAGGACGATAAAGCTTCTGTGCATGTAGAATTATGAGCGACTAGACTAATAAGACAAGATCACAGTCATACTTTTTACTGCTAATCATACTGGCAAGAGTGCACGTGTAACGGCTTCATAACTGCAATTTATTATACACAGCCTTATGGTATCAACTACGACAGAGGGTATATCTCTTGCCAGGGGTCACTTATCATGCTCACTTGAAAATGGGTTGATTCTGGCCACCCTTTGTTTACCCTCCGTCTTCTCTTTGGCTTCACCGGTTTTGCACCATACTCGAGAAGCAGATCCACGAGCGCTTTGTCTCCACGCTTGGTAACATTGGACAGTGGTGTCGCCCCGTCTTCCGATGCCCCGTTTGCATCAGCTCCGTTCTCAAGGAGCAACTTGACTATGTCCGGGGGACCCCATGCCTTTGTGGCGATCAGGAGAGGTGTTTGGCCGTGTTCTACTTCGCGAGAGTTAGGGACGTGAAGATAAAAGTATGCTCTGGACTTGTAGTTGACGTCGACTCGCTTTGTTCTCAAGAGAAGATCTACCACGGCCGTGAACTCCTTAGGATCACCTCGGACCCCTGGGGGATACCTACATGCCCCTAGGATAGCCCATGTTAGAGGGTTCCGGCAATGAGGACCTTTACCACAAGCGTCTGGATCAACGTGGCCAGTTTCGAGCAGTCTTTGCACAATTTGAGAATGACCACCCTCGGCAGCAAATGACAAGGGCGTTCGGCCCGCGATGTGTTCATCGAAATCCACGGCTTTTGAATCGATGTCAATGTTGGCAACCTGCAGAAGCGCTTCAACAATTTGCTCATAGCCATCTTCAGAAGCGTAAGATAGAGGAGTCCTCTGCTTGCGGTCTTTCGAGTTAACATTAATGTTTTGACTCTGTAGGAGCGCTTCGACGATTTGTTGACGACCATAGTCGGCAGCGTAAGAGAGGGGAGTCCTTTGAGTGAGGTCTTTCGAGTTGACATCAACACCCGGGGTCTGTAGAAGCAGTTTAACCACTTTCTCATGACCGCACTGAACAGCGTGGGATAGGGGAGTCGTTTGGTCTTGGTCTTTCGAGTTGATATTGACCTTGTATCTTTGTAAAAGCACTTCAACGGCTTCCACATAGCCCTCAGCAGCAGCATACGACAGCGGAGCTCTTCCATTCTTGTCTGCTGCGTCAGCGTCAAAGACATCACTGTCGAGAAGAATTTTGACGACTCCTGGGTGACTGTTTGAAATGGCTGAGCGGAAGAGTGAAGTGCTGAGGCTCACTCGATTTGTTGCGAGTAGCTTCTTCACCATCTCTTCATCTCCTTGTTCAACCGCACAAAACATGGGTGATCGATAAGCACCAAAGAGGGAAGAACCGTAAGCCATCCGATCATCGAATTCTGTTGACCCGAGATAGACGTTGTCAGCTCGCAACAGAATATCTATGATGGTGGTCGAGTTTATCTCGACAGCGTATGATAGAACGGTTCGACTGTTGGAGTCCAGCAGATTGACATTGGCTCGCCCGATGTCAAGCAGTGTCTCACAAACTCTGTCCTGCCTATTTATTACGGCCCGATGCAGGGGAGTCTTGCCCTCTGAGTCCCGGTTGTTTGCATCTGATTCATACTCGCATAAGAGTTGACGGGTGACAGCATCATGACCCTCAGCTGCCGCGAAGGCAAGGGCCGTCCAACCTCTAGCAGTTGGCTCATCAACGGTTTCACCAACAGCGATCTCGTGCACAACATCGATCAGACCAAAAAGAGCAGCTACGTGAAGCACGTTGACTTGCTCTTTTACCGGGTCAAGACAGAACCTGTTCCAACGGTCCTTTGGAAATCCCAAGAGAGCTCGGCCCTGGATCAAGGGCTGAAGTGAGGACCAAAACGCCTGTTTGAGCTGAAAGAAGGCCAAGATCCTTGCAGGTGGTGTTTGGCGGGCGTGCATTCCCCAGTGTTTGCAAGCATATCGATAGAAAGGCCAGTCTTGAAGACGCTTCCGGTACTCGTCTCCGTTGTGGCAATGCGCTCTCTTAAATGGATTAAACGAGAGATATGTGAGGCAAACCTCAGTCATCTGATCTTCAGAATTCAGAAACCAGGTATCTCTGGTGCGCTCAAAGTACTCCTGAGTGGTGTAGTGAACGAGGCGGATGATGCCACTTTCTTGATCAACAGCGACTAGGCCCCCACAGGCCGTCACCATGTCATCGGCATCAGGGAGGTTGTCAAAGTCCAGATCTTCTTCCCCAACCTCCACGGCCAAGGCGTGCTGAAGTTCTGATACCGTGAGAGGGGACTTGGAACAGACGATCCACTGCAGCACGTCCACAGCGAGTTCCGCCCGATCAGGGAATTGTTTCTGAATACGCTTCATTGTTTGTTTGTAGGTATCGTCGTAAGCTGTCGAGCCACGTGGAAGTCCTTCGAGAGCTGCACGAAGGGCCTTTGGAGTGCGTTTGTACATCAGAGACTCGAGGTGGAGATGGGCGAGTAGGAACCTAGGAGGATCAGCGATATCGCTAAAGGAGTCTGGAGCCTCTTACATTCCGTCCACGACCTGCACTAATTGGCTTTTAATCTGTTCTTGAAGGTCGGGGCTTCGCGTAACAAAGCCTGGCAAACGTCTGAACTGGCCGTCGAGATATTTCTGAACGTCCTGCTCACTCGCACGCACCTCGACCAATATTGCCTTGGGGAACCAAGCCTCAATCTCCGGAATCGGCCGAGATGTGCACATGAGGTTGGCTGAGAGGGTAGTCTGGAGCTCCATGAATTCTGACAATAAGGTGTTTCGGCGTCCGTCTCGGGGGGGACATTCGTCGAGGGCGTCGACGATGATGAAGACTTTTGAGTATAGTGAGGATAGGCTGTGAATAAGGTCACGAACTTCCTCAAATGCCAGCTTGGAGCCCCATCTAATATGCTCTTTATACAACTCTTCAACGGCAGCCGGAATATTAGATTGTTGTGCCACTAGCTGTCTAAGCAAGTTCCCAAAGACCTGATCGATAGTTTGGTTCTCTTGCTGCTGATAATTGAAGTAGATGTGAGCCACACAAACACTCGCATCATCCCGGAACTGCTTCATGAGTTCTTCAACCACGATAGATGAGAGAATTGTCTTGCCGGCGCCGGGGATCCCCGGACAGAAGAGAGTTTGGCCATTGGTGGACATCCAAGAGGCGAATTCGGTGGATTGAAGAAGCCATAGGCCTGTTCCCGCTTGTTTTCGAGCTGAAATATCGTTCTGTTGAGCTGTGTGGTCGAAAGAGCTGAGCCAGTTGAGAATGGCGAGCCGTTCTTGACGGTCCTGAGACTGGTTCAGACGATCGACGCCCTTCTTTACTGCCGCAGTTGTCTCGCTGAATTGGTCAGATCAGTAGCCTAAGACACTTTGTGTGTATATCACCTGGAAAGTTGGTTGAGAAATGCAGTAAGCATGGCAATGCTTGAGCTGATGCGTTGCCGAAGCTCATCAGCCTCAACTGGCTCCCACTTGAGCTTCTTCCAGACTCGTCGAACGGACTTGTGAGAGTTACTTTGTGTGCTGTTCAAATCACTAAACCTGTCACAGACAGCTTGGAGGTCATGGAGAACAGCCTCGCAAGTGCCCATAGCTTGCTCTAGATTAGTCTCTTGCTGAGCAGTGAGATCCAACTCGTCAACTTTAACATCGACGTCTTGGAGTAACACAGACAGCACTTTGGTTCTAGGACTAGTTAGCTTCCAGTCCAGCACAGCCGGGAGCCTATACTGACTCATCAGAAAGATTCTTAAACTGGCTCGGTGCCCCGTTAAAGCTCTTGCGAATCTTGTGCGCCAGCTGTGCAGCGGCGAGGAAATCACCGACGCTGAATCCGAAACTCATCTTGACCAATAAAGAGATGTGTTCCCAGGTAGCCAGAGGCTACTGACGTTTGTGTGTTGGATCGCCCGATGGGAAGAAAGGAGTAGATAGGAAAGAAGTTGCTGGGGAGGTTTAAAGTAAAGAGGAGAGAGAGTTGGGTTAGAAAAGAGGAAAATTCACGCCTGGCAGAGTCGTAGAGCCTCACAAGGCAGAGTTAAGGCAACCTGAAACTTGGCGACCAATCCATCAGACGTGGCGCACCGAGCTGCATGTTGACGGCCGTTGGTTGGGTATTTTGAGGATGGCAGTGCTGTTTGTGTGGTAAACAAACACAATGGGATTTTCAAGCTATCAACGAACGTCTTTCAAGGTGAATATATGCAATTGCTTAACGTAGAATCTAGATAGATAACTTTCGATATTGACTCTAGATTGATATTGATAGCTGACTCTACTTCCTTATTCAGCAAATGGTCAAATGTCTCGATTAGGAATGAGTGACCATGCATCCAATCCATGCAACTCAACGCCTTATAAAGACGTCGCATCCACCTGCAAGGATTTCACCGCTCAACGATTCTCACTCATTCGATATACTACTGCTCTAAAATGGCGTTACAAAACCCCGAGTCAAACCAAAAGTCAGAAACCGATAATCAAGCGATTGAAAGTCCTGATGACGATGTCCTCACGTACCCAGAAGGCGGCCTCAGAGCTTGGGGCGTCGTCTTTGGATCTTTCTGCATCATGCTCTCTGTTTTTGGCGTGATTAATACTGCAGCTGTTTTTGAGTCGTATTTTATGGAGAATCAACTGAAAGACAAGGAGCCTTCGACTGTGGCATGGATCTTTTCGCTGTATCTTTTCAACATTTATTTCCTGGGCTTACTGGCGGGTCCTATATTTGATCAGCATGGGCATCGACTGCTCATCTTTGTGGGGAGTGTTTTGGTGGTTGTTAGTTTCATGTTGTTGAGTTTGTGCTCAGGTAAGATCCTACTCACTCGTGAAGAACCATAACTGACCGGTATCTAGAATACTATCAGATAATCCTCTGCTTCTCCATGCTCTTCGGAATAGGAGCATCTCTCATGAACATTCCCGCCTACGCCGTAATCGGACATTGGTTCGACAAACGACGTGGCTTTGCAGTCGGCGTTGCTTCTACAGCTGGGGGCATTGGCGGCATCATATTCCCCCTGGTTTTTCAAGCTACCCTTCCGAGCATTGGGTTCGCTTGGAGCATGCGGATGCTGGGCTTCATTCTTCTCCTGCTTGCAGTACCGTCGAATCTCTTGATCAAGACCCGTCTGCCGCCCAGTGAGCAGTTTGAATCCGCTTGGCCTGAGTTTAGGTTATTCAAAGATCCAAGACTATCTCTCTGCTGCGCGGGGATATTCTTCATGGAATACGGCATAATGGTTCCTCTGACTTATGTCGTCTCATATGCCACAGAACACGGACACGCATCTACCAATAGTTATATGCTTCCAGCACTTCTCAACGCCGGCAGTGTCGTTGGAAGAGTCGTTCCAGGAATCATCTCAGATCGGATCGGGAGATTCAACGTCCTGATCATCACAGTCGGAGCATGTATCATCTGTGTTCTTGCACTCTGGCTACCAGCAGGAGATTCAAAATCCATGCTCATAGCCTTCACTATCCTCCTAGGCTTCGCAAGCGGTGGAAACGTCAGCTTGGTTCCTGTCTGTATAGGCCAGCTCTGCGATTCGAAAGATTACGGACGGTATCTATCAACTGCTCTACTGGCGGCGAGCTTTGGGACCTTGACGGGAATTCCTATAGGGGGTGCTCTCCTCGGGCTCGATAACGGAGATGGATGGTTGGCTGTCATTATCTTTTCTGGTGTTTCGTATGCCGTGTCTTGGAGTTGTTATGTTGCTGCTAGGGTATTGGCTGTGGGATGGACTGTGAAGGCCATCTACTGAGAGTTGATTCTTAGCATAAAGTTAGGATATGAAAAGGCCTGGAGGTAGATCTTAGCAATGGAGCCATACATGATGAGGTAGGGTTTAAGAGGGATAAACGACATAGATGATACACTAATGAAGAGCGGTTGAACGAGAAATACGAATATTGTAGCTTGGCAATACATTGGCCACACAAGGAGCGAAAGCCTAGGACCCGTGCGCTTGAAAATATAATTGGTATATCGTATCTGAATACTCGAGGTATAGCTGCCAACCACTCGCCTCCCATGCATGATGCATCCATTACCCACAATGCTCATCCCAAAACAACTCCAGCTCGCTCTCAAAAATGCTATAACAAAAGAAAAACATGTAAAAGGTGACTATCCCTCCTCTTGTCTTGATGTAGGTACTCTCTCTCGTCTAAGCCAAAATGCTCATCTTGTACCCCTTCTCTTATATCTCGCCCGGTATTCCTAATCCCAGAGAATCCAGCCAGCCCTCGACTCTGGGCCATATCGCCCTCGGCTTTCTACACTGAGAGCCTTGTTTGGGGTGTTTGAGATTTGATGTACGTCGTATGGCTCTGGATCACTAATGTCGGTGTCATCTCTGTGAGCGTCGCTGGAATGATATGCTTCGCTGGTTTCTGCTTCTTCAGCAGGTGGCGAAATGGTTGCTCGTGGCTGCCATGCTGGCGCAGACCAAGGTTCTGGAATCTTTTCGTCTGGCTCTTCCTCTACTGCCACCTCTGTATCGTCATCCACCCCCTTCAGTGGTGGAGTTATGGGTTTTGAAAAGTTAAAGTTTGGGTTGGCCTCCTCAGCGTGAACTGAGGATGCTAGTGTAGCTCGGGTGTGAATGTGAACTTGGCTTCTAGATGCTCTCTTCAGACGAGGCTTGCGCTGCGAAAGTGATGACCCGACCTGGCTTCGGCGAGATTCCATCTCGAGTCGCTCCTCTTGTTCCGTCTCGTCGTCGGTGATGGCATCATCTACCAGTAACCATTGTCTGGGAGCCACGAGGAGGCTGCTACCAGACTTCCGACGATGTCGCTTCTGGTTCTTTGTCTCGGCAGACGCGGCCGCCGCTTGTCCTGCTTGCGCTGTGGGAGGAATCTTGAGGGGAATGTTCCCCATGGTGACATGCAGGCGGCGCAGGTCTCGCTGGCTCTCAGAAAAGATGACTCTGGCTCGGAGTCTATGTACTGCGCGATCCAAGGCCAGTTCGATAGCACATCGGTCTCGTATCCGGCTCAGTTTGGGCCAAGTCGCTCGCTCACCGACGAGACACGCTCGCATCATGAACTCGGGCGACGGGTTTCGCATCAACCGTGGGAGGTCGTTGATGCTCATTTCCGGAAGGATGTTGATGTCGCCAGAATACTTCTGACTGAGCACACTGCGAAACTTGGTGGCGAGGTTGGGCATAATGCCGAGTTCAGTCAGGAAGTGAAGTCGGTGAAGCGCCTCGTCCCTCGCTAGTGATGTCAACGTGTACATCCAGTCAAACTCGTCGGCGTTGACTTGCTGGGGGCGTTCTGGCTTTCTTTGAGGGGACAAGTGGTCATCCTTGGCAAGGAACGGGACGACGTGGGGGTTTACTTGGGAAACGATAAAGTGGTTCACGTTGAACATTTCCGAGAGGCGTGTCATGGGCAAGTCGTTGTCCACTGAACCATCAATCCAACGTTGTGGAGTTGGGTTCCATGGCAAATGCTCGCCCGTGATGGGATCTTTGACGAGAAGAGGTGACGCGTTGAAGACCAGAGGAACTGAACACGACGCGGCGACAGCGGACCAAATCATGACATTTGGAGCTGTGACATAGTTGAGCAGTCTCGGCAACTCATACATGGAAGCCGTCGAAACGCAAATGTTGAGAATTCGTCGTGTTCGGTTGTAAGCCTCTTGAAAGGTCATGTCTCCCATCAAGCCTCTCATGACCCTAGTAAGATGCTTGATGTCAGACCAACTTCCTTCTGTGAGCAAACGGCGCAAGTTATTCCAAACGCCATCCGTGCCATCGGGACTTTCGAATACGGAAAGGTCTCCGTAAGGAAATTCCTCGATCAACTGAGGGATTTCCTCGTCTGTTCGCGTGCACATGGCGGCGCAAACAATACTTCCAGCGCTGGCACCTGAAATGATCCTTGGCAGAAGTTGTGCCTCAAACAGGGCCTTCAAGACGCCAATATGGGACATGCCAAAGGTGCCACCACCTGACAAGAGCAATGCGCTGCGGCCAAAGCTCTGTCGAGCAAAGAGGATGCCTTCAAGCAAGTCGCGATACTCAACACTCTGGTCAAGCCGACTTTGCGTGACAACGGCCTCAATTGTCTGTATTGTGGACTCGACGTAGCGCTCGATGAGATGCTTCGTTCCCGAGTACGAGTGTCGGTAGAGATCGACATTATCCATGCCACCGAGATCTCGAGAGAGGGCAGTGCGTATAAGATGCATCATAGTATGAACGTCGCATTTGGTGCGGGCTTCGTCGAGGGCTTGCAGACGCTCCTTGATCAACTTGGGGTTGTAGTCGCCTGACGATGCGTCTCGTTTCCACTCATCGTTTCCTTCGAGAACGTCGAGTTCTTTCGCGGCAGCCTCCCATTGCGCGTGAGACTCGGCCTAGGTCTATTAGCAAGTGACGCGACAGCAGAGGCGACAGCAACTCACATTTTGCATGCGCAGACCCAAATGATGTTTCCTTTCTTCCAACTGTTGAACCTTTTGGCGCTGGTCTTCTGTCAAGCCATCCTTGCACCATAACCAAGTATCATTGGCCTGCTTGATGGCCTTTTGGATCGTACTGACGACCGCTGGACCCGACGAGGAGACGCTCGGTGGACGTTTCGCTTTCGTGTTCGACTTGACGGGAGACTTGGGTTTCGAGTGGGTAGGAACCGCACGAGTTTGGAGCAGCAGATCGGCCATGATGAAGGCCCACGCAGGTCAAGCGTGGGAACAAGGTCGTCTGCGAGGAGGGAGTGGCAGCGGCGGAGAAAGCGACGTTATAGCATGGCAGGGGAGATGTTTGGAATAGGTTCGAACGCGAGCGTTTGTAAGTTTGAGGATCGTGATCGTAGGAGGAATAGAGCGTGTTTGCGTCTTGTGATTGAAACTGAGAGATTATTGTTGAAACAGGACAAGAGATGGGAGTAACCGGGGGGTCACAAGTCGAGGAGCGAGCGGAACTGTAGGTGCGGTGCGGTGTGGTTGAGTTGGCGGAAGTGGTGGGGGTTGGCGGAGGGGCTCCGAGACACGGCACAGAAGGAGATAACGGCAGTGGCTTGCAAAGACGGCTTCAAGCTTTTCTTCCAGGCAAACACAGGTAAGAGGTGATGATCTGAGGTGATGATATTCGGGGATGGACTTGGTGATGATGAAATTGGATCTTGGTGTGCGAATAGGGACGAGAGGAATTTCTTGAATTTGGGAAGGTCCCCATGACCATGTCCACTTTCCGAGATTGAATCCACTTTTCCCCGCCATTGTTGAATGTGGGGAAAACTGCCATGCAGCCGCTGTAGAGCAGTTGGCAACCGCTAAACGCCCTGTAACGTGCTATATTTACAGGGCATTTTCCTCTTGTTGTTTGTCCTCAACACCACATCAAACATTGAACACGAGATATTCAGCTCACTGCATTCACAGCCTCTGGAACGCCCTTCGTCGTCAGCCCTCAGCAGACATCTGACCAGCCGCAAACTGGAAACGCACCCAATTCAGGGCATCCTCACCGCCTGGAGGGAGGGCGACCAACCAATCAAGGAGTCAGGAAGGGCAGCCCTTACAGGGGCACGTGGCCGCATCTCCAGGGTGGCTTTCCAACTGGGGCTGGCCTGGCCTGAGCGGGTCTTGATCCCCGCCACAGCATAATCAATTATCCCGCATTTCACATGTCAACAGGCATGGTTCTGGTCATGTTTATTGGATCCTCCGCAATTCTTTGCATCCTTTGCGCAGTTCACGCGGGCCGATGCTCGGCAGCTGATTCAGACGAGAAGAAAAGTCTGGGGAATTTGCGGGGAGGAAGGGGAGAAAGAGTCCAGTGTAAGCGAGATGAGAAAACGTGAGCGGGTGGCTACGGTTCCATCGTGGTCTGATGTTGAAGCTTCAACGTGATCTACCAGACAAAACTTTCTTTTTAATGCGGGCTACTGTGAAGAATTGCTAAACTGAGCTCCAAGTACCGGTCTGGCAGTCTTACATCTGCCTGGTTCACGGAAGAGGGAGACTTCCGTCCGACATGAGACATGGGCTGACTCGTCTGACCTGCACATTGACTCAGGCGGCTTCGGAACAGACGATCAAAGAGCGATCGAGATTCCATTCCTCACGAGGAAGATCTGCACAAGGCAGTGAACACAATGACGACAACCAGTGGAAGAACCATGTTCCATACCGATGAGCTTGCTGTCTAAACTGGGGCAAAACCTCCGGACTTGACCTTTGAGGGGTGGGCGATAAGCTTCTGAAGCTCCTCACAAGCTTGCGAGTTCGGACACTCCGGGGCAAAGGATAGGGCGACCATTTACGACTAAAAAAAGTAGTGTTCGTGCTTCGAGGTCAAGCTATCTTCAAAATGGCGTAGCAGCTGCAGTAGCTGGCCCTGTTTGAGGCTGAACCAAATCCTCAGAGTCTGGACCATCCATGTTGCAATGAGTTCCTGGCTGCCAGCCTTCCAAGCTTTTCTTGAAACGATGGATCTGCAAAATATGCAGGACAAAATTTTCTTGAATGTTCCATCGGTTGCTCATTTGTGACGCCTCTTCCGTGAGGGCCGTGAGGGCCTCGTCAAGCCATTCCCGCTGTGACTCCAGTCTGTTAACACCATACAGCTATTGACACTTGAAGAATGACTGCACCATTATTACAAGCTCACACAAATTACCCACAGAGAACAATTACAATTACAATTATACCATCCATCAACGTCACCTGACGAAACACGTGCATCAGCTCCCCAAAAAGCAACAACTCGAAACATCACCTCGTCCTACCAGATTACGTTATGGTGACGCCGTACACACGCGAAGCCTGCCCAGACACGTCGCGATCCCGCTGCTCCCCCGCATCAATACCTGCTTTTCTGCAACGTCGTTTACCAATCTACATGTCATGGATGACGTTTGTTTGCTTACAGGAGGCGCAGAGGACTGGCATGCTGCCGTTTGCCCTCTTAAATGCCTGCTTGCCCGCTTTGTCTTGGGGGAGTTTTATTCTGTAGTCTTTGAGCTCTCGACAACTTGAAATATTCAGAGGCGATTCGAAAACGATACTATGGATTCTGTGATTGAGGCCCTCAAGACCAAGCCCGTTGGGCCGATCCCGACTGTCACTCGTATGTCTTCGAGCAAATGACTTCACTCAATTGGCTTCACACTAACAATTACCAGCTGAGCCGACCCATTATCAGACAGTCGGCCATAATGGGATCCGCGCTCTGTGGGTTCTCTTCTTCATGATGGTGGTGGCTTCGGCCGTCTTCGCCCTCCTGTCGTGGAACGTCGCCGTCCAGCGTCGCATCTTCTACTTCCTCACCACCTTGACCACCATCATCTCCGCACTGGCATACTTTGCTATGGCGTCCGGGCATGCGGCCACCTTTAACTGCGTCAGTGTGCGAGATCACCACAAGCACATTCCCGATACGTTCCACGACGTGTGCCGTCAGGTCTACTGGGCTCGCTTTGTGGACTGGGCCATCACGACTCCCATCCTGGTTCTCGAGCTTTGTTTGCTGGCTGGTGTTGATGGAGCACATACCGTCATGGCTATGGTGGCGAATGTCATCATGATTCTCACGGGTCTTTTTGCTGCTATTGGTCATGCGCATACTGCTCAGAAATGGGGATGGTATGCCATTAGCTGCATTGCCTATCTCTTCACCATCTGGCACGTCTCTATCCATGGTGCTAGGGCTTCTCGAGCTCGGGGTACCAAGGTTTCCCGACTGTTTGGCTCCCTTGCCACCTTTGCCCTCATTCTCTGGACTATCTACGTCGTGTAAGTGATTTCACCAATTGTTGTGTCGCAAGCTAACAATTCTAGGGTCTGGGGTGTTGCTGGCGGTGCTTGGAGAGTCAAGGTTGGCACCGAGACCATCATCTACGCCGTCCTCGACGTCCTCGCCAAGGCTATTATTGGTCTCTGGCTGATCACGGCTGCCCGTCAGAACCGCGAGACGACCCCCGAGGTTGGTGGCTACTGGGCTCACGGAGCTGGTACCGAGGGAGCGATTCGCATTGGTGATGACGACGAGGGCGCGTAATCCCTCCAAAAGTGAACCATGGAGAAAACCTGTTTCATCAGATTGGATGGATTGGTTGTTTTGGCGCCATGCTAGCATGGTGCCTGGGGAAGAGTCATGCGTTTGTAATAACGCGCGACAATGGGCGGGTGGTAATTGGTGGTGGAAAGTGTCTACGGCAGGGAAAAATGGCATCGGAGTAGTGCGAGGTATACAAGGATGCGAACTGCGCTACATGACACGCCGCGATGGCGTTGAGTAGTTTCGGGAGTGGTCAGTCTGGTTTCAGGGAGGCAGTGCGGTTTGAAGATGAAGGGGAGAAATTCAGAGTGGCAGGGAATTCGTTTTAATGGAAAATCGTTGCAAGGAGAAATTGGAGTGTTATCTCAGTCTTTTACTTGTTCTGTCAATGAGGACACGAGCCAGGGATTGACGAATTGATACCCCTATTCTGCTGTCTTGAGTTGGCAATGCCACTCGCACGCACTCAGTGGGATCGCTCGACATTACCTTCCAGCATCGAAGCTGACAGCAGATGAGTCTGTTATTGCTTCGTAACAATTACTTAGGATCATATATTCGTATAAAAGGGTGTTGATACTCGTATTTTGTGAGGGAATGAGTCCGTCTCCTCTCGGCACCAAGCATAGCGGAGTGGGCCCGGACCGGCCGGCTCGGTGTGCCCGACTTCCGGAGGTACAGGGCCGTTTCTTGCTAAAGCCCGGTTGCAATATATCCGGATGGGGATAACCTTTTCTAGTAGTAGCTTCTCTTACCGTCTCATGTCGTTGCCTTTTCAAATTACTCTTTGTTAATTCGGATTGGGGATCCTGTATGAGCCCCGTAACAGCATCTACTGGTGTAGGCCATGTAGGGTCTATCGGCTCCAATTGCACAATTACCCTCTAGGATACGGTATTCATATCGGCCTCAGAATAGACTTGCATGGTTCCTAAAGTCAAGTCAAGCAATTCATAGAACACAGCTACCACCATCCGTGGATGATTGGGAGCTCAAGTCAACATCTCCAAGGCCTGCCTGTCTGGGTTACGTCAGCATTTGCGGCCAGAAACTGGTCTAGCTTTCGGTCTTGACCTTTTGGTCGGGCCGTGTCGACACAAACCGGCCTCCTTCTTCATTATCGCCCTGCCTTGATAGCTATCAGTCTCCGATACTGCGGCAACTTCGGCCTTTCGGAAGAGATGAACCGCCGGCGATGTTTGCGCGCGTGAGTGACCTATCACGGAGATACTGCTCCCTCCACTGACTGTTATTATAGGTGCGCTCGGTGTCGTGACATGAAAGTGCGATGCTCAGGCTCAGTTCCATGTGCGCGATGTCAAAGGAAGAGGCATGAATGCTACTTCAGGCCTGAAGATATGCGAACAACCGTTCCGATAAGGGAAGCACATTGCCTCACTCGTTGCTTACGCCTGGCTAACACTGGCCATAGCTATCTACAGTCGCTGGAAGCCCGTGTTCAGGAACAAAGTGTTCAGGAACAGGGTCTTCAGCCACAGCAGCCAGCCATGACGCCGCCGCGGTCAACCATGCCTTCGGACCAGCTCAGTGGTATAGACCCGGCCATTCTGAGCCCAACAGAGCAGTCGTCGCATACCCAGAGCCATTCGGATACCGCTGGGAGTAACACTCAGGCCTCCTGCCAAGTTGACCCTGCATTGGACTCTCCCGAGTTCAATCGCAACCCGCTCGTCGACAGCGGAGAGTTATTTGCCCGCGATCCCCACGGCAAATTCTGTAAGTAGGCCGTTTCATTTGGACATTTACTCCAATTAATTACGTTGATAGGGTATATGGGCCCAACTTCGTCTTGGGCATTTTGTAGGCGTGTCCTCGCCATCATCGGGAGCTGCATGCCTAAGCCGGAACCTCCAGTTTACCCCTGGGATCTTGAAACCATCAACCTGACCTGGAGTCCTGTTGGATTATATGATCAGCCAGACGTTTCGGGGCTCCCATCATGCGAGTATGCGCTCTATCTGTTGTCCACGGTTCAGTACCATCTCGGATCGCTCTACGAAATCATTGACCATGAGTCTTTCCGTGAGCAGGTTGAGCGCTTCTATCAAGATCCTGCAGGAGAGGCTTATCGCTCGAGGTTCTGGTATTCACAGTTTTTGTTAGTGCTGGCATTCGGCGAAGCATTTTTGAACACTGGTTCGAATAAAGGCGTTCCGGGCATCAAATATGCTTCACGAGGGTTATCTTTGATCCCAAGCCTCATTCCGTTGGACAAGGACAAGGAATCGTTGGCGGTGGTGCAAGCTCATTGTCTGGCGGCTTTATACCTACAGGCTGTTGACTTGAGATTGATGGCATTCCAGATTGTGAGTACAGCCGTTTGGCCTCCAAGTGACATTATCTGATACTGGGTAGATTGGATCAGGGCTGCGTCTCGCACTCATTGAAGGATGGCATAGGCACATGCCTCCAGAAGATGTTGGCGAGCAGCACTCAAAACGCTGCAACACCATTTTCTGGATCTTGTATATCATTGATCGAGAATACGGCCCGTTGGTTGGAGCCCCGAGTTCCATCAGAGATGAAGACATCACGACAAAGTTGCCCTCCGATATCGACAGCTCCCTAAGATCCGATGCTCTCACGTTACAGATCCGCATGTCTCGTCTAACGGCAACAATACTCAACGGTACGGAGCCAGCATTTCTGTGTTTTTGGAACCTTTATTGATGACATCTAGGTGTTTATGGTGTTGACAGGAACTTTGACGGAACTTTACTCAATGATACACAGTCGGTGCTCCACAGCCTCGCAGACGTCTCGAGAGATATCAGCGCATTTCTTGACACGAGACTTCAGAAAACAAATGTCCGATCCTCAAAGATCGCCACAAGACTGATTCTCTCATATCATCACGTAAGTAGTACCTCCCCCATACCATATCTGACACTGATGAAGTTAGTGTGTTGTTTTGACGACTCGGCCCTTGGTCATGTGTGTCTTGCAAAGGCGGTTGACTGCAAGTGATGGAGACCGGTCCATTCCCGATGGTCCCATCAGTTCACTCCTACAGTCGTGTGTTCATTCGGCATTGAACATTCTCAAGACTTTACGAGCATTAGGGGATGAGAATCTTCTCGGTAAGAAGCCAGTCTTGCCATACAATGAACTGATTTAACACATAGTACTCAGACTCCTTTCTGCCGTTTCAAATGGAGACTGTCTTCTCGTCGGCCTTTCTACTCTACGTTATCGACGCAGTATCACCTGGTTTCGTGCCCGATCAAACCTGGCTCGCAACTGCGTACGGAATATTCGACACAATGATCGCAAAAGGCAGTCCAGCAACACCACTTCGAAAACGAGAGCTACAGCGTTTGGAGCAGATCATGACATCGTACCTCGGATCCGGATCTAAAGAAAACCCCTCGCCTCTACAATTCCAAGAAGAGCCCATTATGAGGCGGGGAATGGATCTACCTGATCAACCAGCAACGGCAGACGTTGCGTATGTGGACGAGACTTCACTCTGGGGACTGCTGGGCTCTCATGGAGGGTATATCTTGTCACCGGGGGAGATTATGCAGTTGGCCGAGGGACTCAACATGGAGGATTTCATGGTTACACCTGAGGAAGGTGTGGCTCTGGGAGGGCATGGTCAGGCTGAGATAAACCCGGATACGGGGCCATGATAGGAGCAGGAAGAGATAATGGTATCATTGCAGAAGCCATGGGCAACACCTGTGCAGCGACATCTCTCTCACTGACTCGCTATCGGCTTAAGTCAACTCAGAATGGACAGGAGCTAACTCTGGAATGTGTCCTCTTTGCTAAAAGAATGAGATTTTGTTTCCCCTTATCAGCCTGGGATCACGGCTTGCTGCCGGCGATGGGACACCGGCCCGAAGGTCGGCCCCACATACCGACACCGGGATACCGGCCGGGTTCCGGACCGTCCCAATTCTTTGATGGGCTGAAGCATTGCCTGCAAGCTGAGAGGTAGGACGGAAGTTGGCACGGAATTTCTGGAACGGAAGTTACGAAATGGAAGTTATGGAACGGAAATCATCGGACGGAAGTGGTGCCGATGAGAAATACGGAGATGATATGTAACGCAGTGTTCAGGAAGTCAAAAATGATTGGCTAGGCCTTGATTCATAAGTCAAATATGTGTTTGAATATGGAAAGATGCATTAACTGCCCGGAAAGTATGTATGGCGTCAGAGGCACTTGTAGACCCAACTCGGTAGGGGTTTTTCCAGCCCAAGTCATCCGTAGTTGGTAGCCTCTTGTCTTCAACTCGACCCTTTCAGTACCTGGAAATGCTCTGGAAAATCTCATATGGCCTCGAGTGTTCAATCTGAGCCCATATAAACCTGAACCGGATCAGTAAGTTCCGCCTTCCATCTCTATTGTCTGCAATCAGGGCCCCACGCAATGTCGGAATCCACATGCCGATGTATCCACTGGCCGACTTCCTGGGCTTTGTGTCAATGCCATACGGGGGCTGTCTCGATTACAACAATGCGGGGACGGATTCAAACGTCGAATGAATGGAAAGAACAGATTCTGGAACCATTCAGATGATGGTGATATTTCGCTCAGTGGGTTGGGTCGCCGAGGAAATCATCTAGAAAACACATCTTAACTGCGTCCATTCACATCCTTGTCCACTGTAGCATATCACCCCTCACGCCCTAGACCATTCTCACGATCTTCCCCTCGCAGCAAGCCGAGTCGCCCCTTGCAGCTAATTATGGCCTCCTCTCCCTTCTGGATCGAAACTGAAGACTGGCATACCGCCGGTGAACCTTTCCGTGTGGTCAAAACGCTTCCAAGCGGCTACCTTCCCGAGTCTTCGACCGTTGCCCAGCGTCGTTTCGATATCATAGCAGATCCTCAACATCCGCTCGATCAACTTCGTCAATCATTATGTCACGAACCTCGTGGTCACGCCGATATGTATGGCAGCTTTATTACACCACCTGATGATGCTGGAGCTGCCTTTGGTGTGCTCTTTTGGCATAAGGATGGTTTCTCTACGGCTTGCGGTCACGGAACGATTGCGCTTGGATACTGGGCTATCGCAAATGGTATCGTCAAGGCTCCAGAGTCTGGAGAGGCCAAGGTCGACGTTGTGATCGATGTTCCATCTGGCCGTGTGGTGGCTAGTATGAACATCGTTGACGGCAAAGCTGTTGGTGCCGACTTTATCAACGTGACGAGCTACAGTGGGTCTCAAAAAGTAACGACACATTTTCCCGTACCCCGCTTTTACTTCTACCTCCACCAAAATCATCACCAACTTCAATCGTTCATCACGCAGTCAATTTACGTCCAAATGGCCCCAAAAAGACATCATTCTCCTCATACGCGAACGAGGATTGTTTGGAGATACAATTCGGGCGTGTCGGCCGCCCAGATCGCGCGGGAAGAGGGCGTCTCTCGACATGCAATTTACGGTGTGGTACGAAGATATCGCGACCAAGAGAGTGCCGCGGACCAACCCAAGTCCGGCCGGCCGCGCATTATTGGAGAGAGGGAAAGAAGGAGAATTTTGAGGGTTATTGCCCAAGATCCTCATCTTCAGATACGTGAATTGATTGAGGAAGCTGGGTTAAGCTGCTGTAGGGCGACTTTAATCTCATACCTACGAAAAGAAGGAATCATGCATTATAAGTCTCTTCTTCGACCTTTCCTTAGTGAAGCCAACGCCAGAAAGCGTCTACGCTTTGCACGGCGGTATGTTCATATGGCTGAGGACTTTTGGGAGAAATGGACCTTCTCTGATGAGGTTATCATCGCTCGAGGAGAGGGCCAGAGGCGTACGTGGGTCTTCTGTAAACCGGTATATGTTCTTCTCATAACTGCGACTTTTCTGACTATTTCTAGCACGAGAGACTCTTCAGACGGAATGTTCAGACACGCGTACGACCGACAAGGCACTCACAGATGTTCTTCAGCGCTTTCAATCATCGCAGGCGCCTCCCGATGGTCCCCCTGGCCGGCGATCCAGAAAGCCCTCGCGGCGGAGTAACTGCGCAGATTATCCTCGCATGCTTGCAGCGATACCTTCCCCGGATTGTGACAAGGAATAGTTACTTCCAACATGACAACGCCAGCACATTTACAGCCCACATCGTACGAGACTGGATCTATGAGTGGTGTGAGAGTCGAAGGGCCGAGGTGGTAGACTGGCCGCCTTGTAGCCCGGATCTCAACCCCATAGAAAACCTATGGGCAATCCTCAAAGAGAGGATTTGCAAGCGATATCCAGAGCTCACATATATGCCCAAGACCGACGAAGCAAAGCAGGCTCTTATTGCAGCTGCGATCGAGCTGTGGGAAGAGATTGAGCCGGAAGTCATTGATAACCTAGTCAACTCAATGAAGCGAAGAATGCAGGCTGTTGTGCGCGCCCACGGCTGGTATACTAAGTATTAGATACACCAAAAGATGCAGCTCTCAATTATCTATAGATTGATATAGAATACGATGCAACTGGCCCTCATTTGGCTGCGCAATAAGGCGCTGAAGATGTAGTCTCATTTGGTGGTGGTACTGATACAGCGGGGAAACCCGGAATGTGTCGTTACTTTTTGAGACCCACTGTACCAGTTGGTCGAGTCATTGCCTGCTGCCGTGCCCTCGCGAGGAACCGAAGTGAAGGTCGATTTGGCATTTGGCGGAGCTGTCTATGCTACCTTGGATGCGGACCAGCTTGGGCTTAAGGTAGAGCCCAAGAATGTCAACGAGTTTATCAAGATTGGGCGGGAAATCAAGGCTTCGCTGGGAACTCGAGCTCATTACGGAACATACGATTGTTACGGAGTCATCTTTTTCAACGAAGAGGGCGATGATGAGGGAGTTGTTCGGCAAAGAAACGTCACAGTGTTTGCAGACGGCCAAATTGACCGATCGCCCTGTGGCTCTGGCTCATGTGCTCGACTCGCAGTCTTGTTTGCTCAGGGAAGAGTAGCGCCCGGAAAGGCAAAGCTACTACACCGATCGATTATTGCGTCGCAGTTCCAGGCAGAGGTCTTGTCGGAGGAGAAGTCGCCCGTGGAGGGATTCCCTGCGTGTATTCCTCGTGTGACGGGCGAGGCAAAGTTGTGTGGGAGGATGAGTTTCTATATTGATCCTTCAGAGGACATTTATCCTGGATTTCTTCTACGGTAGACTTTTAGACGATATACAAACCAAAACAAGTTCATTTTCTACCCATGATATTCCTTTCAAAGCAAAATCTTTTGCTATGTGAACATGTTTCGTCGCGTTCAAGTCGGTGGTGGGTAGTTCATGGTGACACGGAGGTCTTGAATGTAGTTACCACCGCTTTGCGTTCAATGGGTTCACCTCCTCAACGCCCTTCAAACAGAAAAGACGGGAAAAGATCTACCATTATAGTTTCTATTTAACTAGTGAGCAGCCTACCTACCGAGACGCGTTGCGGTCCGTGACCCTCTTCATCTCCAGGGTAGGGAGCTGTACACAGGTCGACTGGAGATGGCTGTGTATCCCTGTATTTTTCTTCTTAGCACGTATCTTGCCCCAAACATGACGCGAGTGAAACTCTTCTATTAATAATGCATGGCTTGTAACAGTCGAATTACTTTATCTGCCTCAAACCCAACTTCCAATCAACTCCCATTACCCAGAACCTGGTTAAAATCTGGTTAAATCTTGCAGAAGGATGCATCTTGACCAACAGTTCGTCCCATCTTCTCCACTCACTTGCATCGTAGATGGAGTTGACACTACTGCCAAGATGGGCAAGTCAAGCCGGCTTATCTATGCTTATTCGTCAACTCGCTGTGAAGCTCCGCTTTCGGTCTAGTTTTGTCCGGTCCGAAAGTCCGAAATCCTCGCTTGCGACCTTATTGCCCTTTCTGGTGATAGACGATGGAGGTTGAGAGACCGAGATTTGCTTTAAAGAATCGTACTCGGTCTCGAGATATGTCCGTCTGTCCGTTAAAGATCCAGTCTTAAGAAGGAGGATCTGCCTCTTTGTCTAGTGCCGATGCTAGACCTTGAGCTTACAAACCAGGCACTTCAACTCGTATAATCGATCAATAACATCATCACCATCTCCGCTTTCCTCTGTGACTGTTTTCTGCGAGCTAAACACAGCGGAGCCGATTATCAATCCCTTCACCAGACCCACACTCCAAAACCCAACATCGCTTATAAGAAACGAGTCGCCATTCTTTGACCCTTCCATCGGGCGCACATCTTCACACACACTTACCGACCCTCCATATGGTTTCCACAAACGAAAAGGATTGCACCATCGATGGTGTCCTCGACCAAGAACGCAATGGGTCTTCACAGGAACCTTCTATTCTGTTTGATCAGAAGGAGATTGAGAGGTTGGGACGAGAGCGTCCGGCGTGCTTTCACAGCTGGTACGCCGAGATAGGTTTCGTCTTTGCTGTTGTTGGGTCTATGATGGTTAGCGAGTATTTTGTTTCCGGGTTCAACATTGCGCTTCCTTCTCTTGCGAATTCGTTGGATATTCCAGAGTCGGCGAGGACTTGGCCCGCGGCTGTCATCAACTTGACTACGGCGGCTCTACTTCTACCTTTTGCGCGACTATCCGAAATTCACGGTGGGCGATTAATCTTCTTGGGAGGTCACGTATGGCTGCTGGTTTGGTCATTGATCGCTGGGTTCAGCCAGAATCCAACCATGCTCATCGCCTGCCGAGCCATGCAGGGTCTAGGATCCTCTGCCTTCTTACCATCGAGCGTTGCTATTATGGCACGGATCTATCGACCAGGACCTCGAAAGAATTTTGTCTTTGGAATGTTTGGAGCCTTTTCTTGCATTGGCTTTTACTCGGGTATATTCTTTGGCGCCCTCGCTGCCCAAGTCCTCGGCTGGAAGTGGTACTTTTTCATCGGTGCCTGCTTCTGCGCTGGTATCTTTGTCGCTGGTCTTTTGACAATTCCCAAGAGCCAAGGCGATACGCAACCTGACCTTGGAATGGATTGGATGGGAGCCTGCACTATCGTTCCTGGACTGGCGCTGGTTGTATACGCGTTGACGGATGGTGGAAATGCTCCTCAGGGCTGGCGTACGCCTTACATCTACATCACCCTGATCATTGGTGTCTTGTTTCTTGCCTTGGCCGTTTACATCGAGGGCTGGAAGGCTAGTCAGCCTCTATTGCCGGCTGAAGTGTTCAAGACAAAGTACATGACTCGGTTGATCATTGCTTTGTTCTTTTCCTATGGATCTTTTGGTTTGTTCCTCTTTTACGCCAGCTTCTAGTATGTTGCCGCATCCACAGTTCTCTGATCCGTTAGACTAACATTGATTTTAGTATCGAAGAAGTGTTGGGCATCTCCCCGTTGCTGACAGCAGCGTGGTTTATTCCTCTGGCTGCAGGTGGATTTATCCTGGCCGTCGTTGGTGGTTTCGTCCTTCACATTCTCAGCGGACGACTTTTGCTGCTGATTTCTGGATTTGGATTCCTTGGATGCTGCATATTATTCGCCCTCATTCCTGATAGTGGCAAGTCAAACAGCTTTCTCTACTGGGCCTTTGTTTTCCCTGCCATGGTCCTTAGCACAATCGGCGTGGATATCGCATTCAACGTCACTAACATCTTCATCACTACATCTCTCCCCAGTCATCTTCAAGCCGTTGCTGGAGCCCTGATAACAAGTCTGCTCTACCTCGGCATGGCATTCTGGCTGGGCGTTGGAGAGATGGCCATTTCTGCCAAGAAGGACGTCGAAGGAGCAGAGAATGTGAGCCAGAGGAGTCAGTATCAGATCGGATTCTGGGCTGGCGCAGCACTTGCAGTCGCTGCTTTGTTCATCTTTGTCACTGTCAAGATGGAATCGGCCAAGGCGGACCTCACCGCGGATGAGAAGGCTGCGAGGGAACGGGAGAATGCAACTGAGCAGGCAACAGAATGACGAAAATATTGAGTTACGGGTATAATGAGGTATTGGAATATTTGGGGATATCAAAAGTTATTGGTTTCATGGCATATACCCAGCAAGCACTGTTGTTGAAAATGAAATGATGGACAGAGCACATCTAAGAAAGACCTCTTCATAGGGGAATAGACTAGGATTATCGATCTATATATAATGGCGAAATGAAAACTCATCGCATCTTGCTAACACCAGCGACTTCTGTTGTCTGAGTTGTGTTGAGGTGCTTTATCTCTCAGTTGAATGATCGGCAATGGCTGAGATAGTGTTGTATTGAGTCCGGCTATACACAGATCGAACATTTAGCTATTTGAAGGAAACGGTGGACGTGCAAAGTCACAAAAAGAAAAGGGCTTTGAGCCATTCTTACCCAAGGTGATCAGCTCTGATGCTGATCGCTAGATGACTTGTCCTTGCACTCGGGTCTCCCACAGTTCCCAGGCATCCTCTTGGAAGCCAAGTAACTCTCGCAGACGGGATGGTCAGGTTTGTCCTGTAGTGCGCAAGGGATGAGGACAGGCTCTCTTGCGACGGTGTGGCCGCAGCCAGTGTAGATGAGGTTGGAGTAGGTAATCTCGCACATATTGTCTAATGAAGATACGATGATCGGTTGAGTGGGTATTGGTGACGAGTGACTTGAGATTGACGATGTATTAAATAGATCGTAAAATGTCGACATGCGTGTGTGTGCGTGAAGAGAAAAATGCTGAAGAACGTAGAACGATTAAACATTCAGCTGAACAAAGAGAAACCTACTGAACGCATAATGTTTTGTTTGCCTTTAACGGTCGTTTTGCATGATTAAGCATGTACAATGAACACAAAGAAACCAAGAAACAATGCTCAAGACCCATTGCAGGAACTGGTTTGATGCACAAGAGACTACAATGGCCAACCTGTTTGCTCTACATCATTGCAACCAGGTTTTCAGCTCTCTTACTTGGTGTTGAGATTTACGCTGGGATACAAGTGAATTCCGTGGCATCATCCAGTGGCCTCGATTCATGCGAGGCATGCTTTGTTTGTATTTTGGGCCTGGAAGTGATGAAGTGTAGACAAAGGTTGTAGCCTATCTCGACATGACCAAGTAACGACGTTTACCTTGAGTAACACTCACGCTGAGCGATTCAGAATTAAACAGTCATCCTGACAACACAGGACATCTAATGAAAACTGCTGGAAGTGAAGTAGACGGCCAACTTGACCACCGATGACCTGGTGTCTTGGCTTTCGTTCTTGAGGCTATTTTAACTCTAGGCGGAATTTTGGGTAGTGGAGTACGGACTGAAAAGTGTTGGTGGCTAGAAAGAAAAGTTGCAATATAATGTTGGGTGCTGATGTGACCTGTGATCTCGTAACAAAGGCCAAGTAAGATAATGAGGATACTGAGATGAGAAGGATCAGGCACATCTGCCTCGATCGTCATGCCTAGAGCCACCAAGGATAAAAAGACAATCGTCGCCAAGTCAAATTGTTTCTAGTACGCTCTTGAATCTGTCTACGCAGGTTGAATACTGCGACTTGCCTGTCAACGTCAACCTGCCGATGAAGTCTTGAATGCCGTGTTTCGTGGGTACTTGGCACTTGAGAGGCTGAAATAATGCAGCTAAAAATCTCCTACATGGTATCTTCATGCGACGACGTCGAAATGAAGCTGATTTTTGGCCGAGACCTGTCAGCAGACCTATCCCAAGTGGAGAGCTGGTGGATTTGACAAGGCGGTGATGGTGGCACGGGAATGCCCGCACCTAGACTCTGCCGATGACTGGGATTATCCTAGCAGCGGTACGAGAACTTTATTGGCGGTCTGCAAAGGGTCCAAGTTTATTCTCCCTTGACCATGTCTTGGACCATGTCGTGTATTCATCTCGCTACCCGGTGCTTGATGATCTTGGCTGCCGATCAGAATGAGAAAAACATTCATGACGCGTGGCTTGAGAATGGGTTTGACAGAAACGCCTTCAGTTTCTTCAGCTGGTGTTTGGCCTCAATGTTGAAGTGAAATTTCGATGGAAGCAAGCCACTCAAGACTCCCTAGACCCCCAACCTCTTGATTTTCCGCATGCACGCACGGAACACTAGCTTCAACCTTCAGCTCTTGGCCCGCTGTAGATCCCGAACATCCTTGCTCGACATATTTCCTTGGCACGGCGGCGCCTCGGGAGAATCAGCTCAACCCGCAAAGAGCGGCTTGCATACAAAAGGGCCTCAAAGTCTGCGGGGAGACGGGAGCTACTAGGACGGTCCGAGCCTGTTGTGACACAGAAGATGCTGTGAATGGTTAGGACTGCTGGAAGATGGAGAGCTGAAGGCTTCCGTGTCTCAGATGGCCCACTGCCCAGCTGATGGTACAAGCTGCAGGCGAGAGGGTAGCTTTGGACCATGATCGACATTGGAACCAGAATTGGCGAATCATTTTGGTTCGTCTCTTTTTTGAGAGAAATAGCTCTCGACTTGTGTCAAGCGATCACAATACGTAGCCATCGTTAGTAGCGGCAGTCGTGATGCATCCTTGCTGCCGAGGGGAGGGAGTGAGTCTGGTATAAAGGCAGGCGCCCATCGCAGAATGTTCCATCTTGTCACCTCCATTCGCTCCTCATCCTCTTCTCTCCATCTTTAAGTCTGAAAATGCGGTTCCTTTCCACTCTTGTCGCTTCGGCGCTTGTCTCTCTCGGTAATGCTGCTGCCATTGCTCGAGGAGATGTCCCTCCCGTGCCTCAGACCCAATACGATGCCATCATCGTGGGAGGTGGTCCCGCCGGCCTCGCTGCCTTGAGTGGTCTCGCTCGAGTCCGTCGAAATGTTCTCCTCATCGACTCGGGAGAGTATAGAAATGCTCCTACTCGACATATGCATGATGTTCCTGGCTTCGATGGTGAGTATTATCGTGTCTCCTGCTGTGACACACTAACAGATCCCAGGTGTCACACCTGCGTACTACCGTTGGGCCGCTCGCAAGCAGCTGTCTTACTATGACACTGTCGAGATGGAGAATGGAACCGTCACCGACATCAAGGCTCGCGACGAGAACACCTGGTTCTCTGTCACCGTCGACTACGGCAACAAGCAGAAGAAGACCTTGACCGCACGCAAGATTGTCCTCGCCACTGGACTTCGTGACATCCTCCCCGAGACACCTGGCGTCGAAGAAGCTTGGGGCAAGGGTATCTTCTGGTGCCCTTGGTGCGACGGCCACGAACATGCCGATCAGCCACTCGGCCTCCTCGGCCCTCTGGACAAGGTCGCTGGCATGGTCCGTGAGATGCTGACTCTGAACACTGACATTGTCGCCTTTGTCAACGGAACCGACACTCGTGACTCCCGTGCCCTGGCCGCCAAGGATCTTCCTAAGTGGGAGGCTTACCTCAAAATCCACAACGTCACGGTCGACAACCGTACCATCACCGAGATTGAGAGAGTTGCCGAGGGAGCCAACGAGCACGCCGACCCCAGTCTTCCCAGTGTTCCCGAGAATGACTGGTTCAACGTCAAGTTTGACAAGGGAGGGCCCGTCGGCCGAGCTGCGTTCCTGGCCAGCTTCCCCGACGAGCAGCGATCCGACGTTGGAGAGAAGGCAGGAGTTCAACTTTATGGCGGTCGTCTGGCTGCTAACCAGTCTGCGGGTCTTGCCACAAATATTCCCGGCATCTACGCCGTTGGCGATGCCAACTCGGACAACGTGACTAACGTGCCACATGCTCTGTTCAGTGGCAAGCGAACAGCCGTGTTCCTTCACGGTGAGTGTCTTGTGTGTGTAACTTGTGCTAGCGCTAACAATAGTACAGTCAAGCTCGAGAGAGAAGACCAGGCCGTGGAGCTTGCCGGAGAGCCTGCCAAGCGTGACACTCACCTGCAGGCACGCGATGTGTGGGATACGATGAACGGCAAGCGGGGAGACATGCTGTACGCTGGAGAGTTTGAACAGTAATGGGTTGGAACGTGAATATGATTCCCTGTAGCAATGAAAGAAAAGGGCTTAATGAGTACATTTAATGCATTCTTATATTGATCTCTGTGTCGTTGAAAGCAAGTAATACCTTGAGTGGCTCGTTTTGTTGCAGTCGGAAGCCTAAGAAGATTTGTAGACGCCCAAGCACCCTCGCGGAGTATGGAGTTTCATGGCGACACAACGCCCAAGGGGAATCGTCCAAATCCATGTCAAATGAGAAGCCAAGTGAAGAGTGCCTGTGATGCCCATATCCCATTACATCACGCTTTTACAGGATCGGTTGGATGCCCAAGATGGACATGGTCTTGGCACTAGATATTACGAATCATCCTCTTGCAGGGCTAGTCCAGATAGTTGATTACTGTCAGTAGATCTTCTAGACAATGGGTTATAAAATGTGTGCTTTATGCCATTCTAACTCGATAGGAGCATGTTTCCCTGCGGGCAGTTAAGCTTAGGATAGTTAACCATCTTTGATACAAATATACAAACGCTTTCTCGGTGACTGTCTGGAAGTGTATTGAAGATTCACCTTTGAACTTTGTTTAATCACTCGCTAGGAACTTGGGCTTTCTGCTTTCAAGGTGAGAGGCCGTGATTTGATTAGATTTTCAGAGGAATCAAGTTCTGGGAACGGGCTTAGAGCAGGCAACTCACGTTGATTATTGAGGCCCTTTGCCAGGGGTCAAATGGATCAGTCAAGAAGAGTGATAGAGTCAGCGGCCTAGTAGCTGATAGCTAGCTGGGGTCAGGCGAACAAGACTGTTGATCCTTGTCCTTTTATCTTCCCGGATCTCTAGGGGCTTCTTGTATCTCTTCGAGGCCTCCCACTTGCTTCTAGTAGCTTCTATAGCCCTATTTCTCTTGGCTTTGTTCTAGCTAACTCGCTGCGTATGACCTTTAGGCTTTTCCCTATGTCGGCGCAGCGCATGCGGTCTGATTGTGCGGCTCGATTTGAGGCATACTGCCTTCATGCCTCTCTTTTGCTCATGGCACCCTTGATGACATGCGAAATAGTAACAGTACTCGGCATTGCTTGGAACTAAGCGTGTGGGTCTAGGGGAGGGCTTGATACTCATATGAAACTATTAGCTTCTCCTCACTTAAGGATAGCCGCAATGATATAATGTTTTATTTGTTTCTTGATATGCGTTACCTCGGTCTGCTAATGGTAGGAATACATGGCTTGGTGGGAGTTGAAAATTGTAAAGTGGTCCGAATATGCCGGATCATATCATACAAAACAGTCATGTGGCAAGTGCATCGAGGGACCCAAGGGTAATGCGATAATGTATCGAGTTTATAGATAAATATAGCATATAAAATGATATATCGTGATGACACGCGGCACTCATGACCTACGAATAACATATTACATTGTCCTATACCATCATGATATCCCTTCGGCGCTTTTGGTAGCATCCGTCTTCCGAACTACCAGGCCAGCCCCTGCGAAGCTATTCCCAACTTGCACATTCTCCGCTGAGTCATCGGATCAGCAGCAAGGGTCCCCTGGCATCGTCATCCAAATCACCAACTGCTCTCTTTCTTGTAACCTTTCTTGCATTGAGATGATCTGGCCTTCTTAGTATTGGGGAGGTTGTCCAAGAGGAGGCCTCTCAAAATGTTGCGGAAACGAGCCTGCGACTTGTGCTACTCGAAGAAGGTGAGTTCACCATGTGCCCTTCTACTTGTACCTGCTCTCCGACGTTGACACCTGCAACTCAAAGATCTCTTGTGACCGAACCGATCAAAACCTCGCCTGCGACTGGTGTCGACATCATAACCTCGTTTGCACGTTTAACCGGTTGCAGTCCACCAAGCGGAGCCCTAAGCCTAGGTAGGAAGATGATCTGTCGAGGACTGAACATGCCTAATCTGAGTGTGCCCACAGGATAGAAAACAGCGTGTTTGCTATCGAGCAAAGCTTATCCAGCCAGCTTGAGCCCATTGACTTTGTCCTTGACAGGGTTATGCTGGAACAGGGAACCTCCGTCACTACTTGTCTACCCTGGGTGGAGGAATTCCTACCAGGACTTGGTGACATCTTTTGCCGGGAAGCTTCTGAGCAAGATGTGTTTCTTTCATCGATTCCCCTTACTTGCAACAGCACCGGCGACGAAGTGGACTGCCTCGATCGAGAGACTGCCTGGAGAGCCCTTGACGCCTACCCCGAGTCGTCCGTCCGATTTGTTCACCCGCTAATGGACCCCGTCATCTTTCGAGATACCCTGGAATTGGCATTTTCACTCGAGGAAACTCCTAGACGAACTGCAGCCCAGGCGAGCGTCTTGGCTCTCGTCTCGACTATGGGCTTCTTCGACGACCGAGCCCTATCTCTGCCACGCTCACTCGAAATGAAGTGTGCGTCCCGAGCTGTGTTTCTACTGGAGTCGACGAATGGGATAGCTAATCTGATGAGCCTTCGGGCTATTTCCTTGCTGGTAGGTTAGCGTATGTCACTGCTGGGCTCTATGGCTGACGGTGAGAAGCGATTCCAGAGCGCATTTTCTGGGCAGATTCCCGCTTCAGTTCGGATGCATCAAATTGCCTGTCGTCTCGTCACGGAACTCGGAGGGCACAACATGAGGCCCGAAGCAGGGGTCAACTACAACGAGACTGAGATACGAGAGCTACGTTCTCTGTTCTGGGAGAGCTACATTACCGACAAGGCCACCACCTTGCGCACCGGCATAGAACCCTGTTTACCTGACAATCTGTGTGACTTGACGCCCCCTGGCCACCTGAGCCCCTCTCTGGGGTGTTTCAACGAGGGACGCATGCCTCCACCGCCATACGGCGTACTGCCGCCTTGTCTGATGGGAGATATTCAACTCAGCATACTTAAATCTAGGATCTGGCAGCTTCTATACTCGAACGAAGCGAGACAACGATCCGAGGCGGAGCTCCTACGGGCAGTACGAGAGCTAGATGGTGAGCTCGAAGCGTGGAGGATGTGTGTGCCTGAAGAGATACGACCGACGTTCTTAGTCGCCGATAGGAGTCGCATCTCGACACTCGAGGAGCTTGACCTCTCGCCTTGGGTGCGGCATCATGGCACTTCCCTGCACCTCGAGTACCACAACCTGTTTATCACGATACATCAGGCGAGTGCGAGGTATCAGTTCTCAAAGGGCTCGGATAGTCTTGGGCAGGCATGGGGGACTAGTGTTCAGTCCAGTATAACATTGGCGCTAGAGGCCAGCCGTTCGACTCTGATGTATCTCGAGACGGCGCTGGACCGGCTCGTAAAGGAAATGTTCTGGTAAGCATATGCTACACTGGACTAAAGATAGAGTTGACCAGTGTAACTACAGGGTCTCCATTCACTACCCGGTCGTCGCTCTGCGCACCTTGTTTGTAAACATAGCGGCCAACCCTTCAGGACCAGATGCAGAGTCAGATCTCCGACTGCTCTGCTCCACGTCGGACTTGATCAAGCGGATGCCCATGTCTGAAAAGATGGTCGGTGGACAGGAGTATATCCAAAAGATGGAAGAGGACGTTTCTGAGCTGGTGCAGTATGTACAGAGTTTGACTGGTTGATATTTGGGTGTCTGAAAGATATAGATGGTTATGGCGAGCATGGAGATTTGAGGTTTTTACAGTTGGAATGCATGCATTGGGGGTTCCTAGCGTTATGGTTACATATCACAATAGATTGCGCACAAGACACTCTTGATTGTCGGTCTCCATAGAAAGTATGTCCAATTTGGTTCTTAAAGCAGTCATTGTTCTCGAGCCCTGACTCGTGGCGTGCATAATTTGGTATTTAACAGAGGTGTGGACTACCTGGAGCTATCCGAGTCCCATTCTCTCAACAACCCATTCAACTGCTCATGGCGGAAAAGAGCATCATAAAAAGAGACCAGTCCTTTCCTATCTCCCTCTGCAAACTTCTCATAGACAGCAGCAACGCTACGGCTGACAACGGGGAGCTCTTCCTGCCAGTCCTGCCACTGCCAAGCAATCTCCTCAACCTTGCCGGTCTCAAAGTCATCAACCTCAATAGTCACGGGTGCATCGTAGCTATTAGCATGCAGACCCGTTCCACCCTCGGCCTTGAGTCTGATTTCTCCCTTTTCACCGTTGATGGTAAAGACGAGGGGAGCCTCTCCTGGGAAGGGCTGGCCTCGTCGGAAGCGGATGAGTACGCTTGCGCCTTCTTGGGATGTCTCTGATCCTTTAAGAGTGCCGGTTGCAAAAATCAGGTCTGGTACGTCGGACTTTACGGTCTCGATGATTTTGTTTGTTGCTGGGTCACGGACTTTGACGTTGGGGCGTTGGAGGTGGAGGCGGCTCTTGAAGTTGGCGATATCTCCCAGGACATATTGAACTTGATCAAAGACTACTCTAGTGTTAGTGGCATTTCATTCTTTCAGATGAGCATTAACTTACGGTGACCAAGGCCGATTGTGTAAATATTGCCTCCCACAGCGCGCCGAGTAAAGTAAGTCAATCCGGATGGCAATATCTCACGATCATTGGTGCCTCCAGATGCACGAAGCTCACTACTAAGGACCTTTCCGATGCGTCCTTGCTGCAGAAGCTCATGAATCTTGGCGATGGGTGGTGCAACCCGACCTTGAAGGCCAACAACGGTGCGGCTACCGCTTTCTTTGGCGAGAGTGGCAAGTTCTCTAGCATGCTCTTCGTCCTGCGCTAAAGGCCACTCCACGTAGACTGCCTTTCCAGCTTTGACGCTCGGCAAGGCAGTTGAATGATGGACGTCGACGCGAGTGATGACAACCACTAGATCGATCTCGTCATCAGCTGCAAGAGACTCGGGGTCGCCATATGCCTTTGTCTCTGCGGGGAGTTTAAAGTGCTCAATAGATTTGCGAGCAGCTTCTACGCTGCTGTTGCAGAGAGCCACGATCTGATACTTGGACTTGCCCCGCGGGGAGATGAGGTATGGGAGATGGGCGACGGCGGCCCAAGAGGTTTTGGCCGAGGCGGAGAGGCCAATGAGGGCGGTGCGAATAGGGGCCATTTTGATACTCTTTTATTCAAGTTGAATATTTACAGTTGATAGATTCATCAAAAATCCAGGTCTTTTATCTTGAGATGTGATGCCAAGATGTGAGATGGATGATGCCATATTGATTTCTAATCATGGATTTGTCAGGTTGCTCATGGTAAGATATCACCTCCTCATTTGACTTTATTAGGCAAAAGGTCAGCACGCTGATTGTTTTTGGGGTTTGTATAATGGGTATATCTTCAATTGGGGTTGTAGAATTATCCTGAAGGGACTTTGCTACATCTGAGCGGTGGTAGTTGCATAAGCATGTGGACTGGGCAGACCTGGCTTCACGAATTGGGTCCCGCCAACTTTAACAAATGACTGGATTTAGGCGTTTTACTAAAATATCAAACTCTGAAGTAGCCGAGGCATTGATAATAAATTCCACAGTCTCCAACGTCCATGCGACGCGCAAATGAAACGTTCCGTTCAACACCAAACATGGGCTGATCCCCCATGACATCCACTTACCCCAGAGGCCCAGACCAATCGCGAGAAATCTCCGACACCAATTGCCTCTGCGGGATATATCGAATTTAGGCATCAGCATTTAGATATCGTGATTATCTCGTGGAGGCTCTGCGGAGTGCCCCATATCTTGTTTGGACAATGCTCGGCCGGTCGCTTTGGTGGAGAAATGGGTGTGATATGCTTACTCCAGAGTTGAGACGGGGTCTGCTCATTCACAGGCGGGGTTCAGTGGTCTCTCTCTCTCTGTCTCTCTCTCTCCAACCCATGCCAAGCTAAGAGGCTCTGTCTAGCCAAGAATTGCCCAGACTTCAGCTCCTTCTTGGCCGAACTTGCCGGGAGATGTGACAAGCTTGACCGTCGATCTTGAGCCGCAAGTGAAAAAAAAAAGTACCCGCTGTGACGCAATAGATTCTACTCCCGCCAGACTAACCAGGGAATAAACTGGGCGAGAAGTTCAAAGGCTTCTATTGTGGAGACACATGTGGAGATCAAGAATTGTGCTGCCTAGAGGTCAAACGTCTCGTGGTTGTTCAAAATTTTGTAAAATGGTGTTTTTATTGCCTCCTTTTGTGGACTGAGACGTCATTTTTCGTTATCAGGTTAATCCCATCGAGATTCGGCCCGGTTTTATCGGCCGAGTCAGTTTGGCCTTTAGCTTGAGAAGTTAGCTACGGTAATCTTGGAGGCAAGAATGAGGCAAAATGAAAAAGATCAGCATGATTTACCTTACCCCGGCTGCACCGCGTCCCAGCTTCTGCACAATGAAATAACCGCATCCAACAACCTTACCCCCCCGGACTTGACTCTCACTGTTCGCATCGGGATATCCGTCGGATAGAACGGCTCGACATTCTCCACACCGACGTCCCCACGACGCCATCTGGAATCGGCATGTGTCTTGGTCTGCTTCCATGGAAACCGGGACGTTGCTAACGTGCTGTGATGTCAATGTGGGTTTTGTCTTGTTAGTCTGAGCTTCCGTGGTGATCACTGCTTCTTATAAGATCAAGATATTCCCGTACACATAATACAATTCTCGTGGACAGAATCAATGATCTCGTCATCACAATGCCAACACATTTCTCAAATGACTCTCCGCAGGTCATCAATCAAGATGACCTGCACATTGCCAACTCACGTCTAGAAGGATCAACAGACCACAGCCCTTCCAGCGGTGATGAGCGCACCGTCCACAACGCCAGCGGCGGCGGCCTCGAAAAGGTGGGCACCTACGACAAGTACGAGATCACAGAGGATGACTGCTACGACGAGCTGGGCTACTCGTTCCCCAAGTGGAAGAAGTGGTACATCCTCACCGTCATCTTTTGGGTTCAGGTTTCCATGAACTTCAACACTTCGCTGTACTCTAATGCCATTCCTGGTATTTCGGAGGAGTTTGGCGTTAGTGCACAGGGAGCTCGTTGCGGAGCCATGATCTTTCTCGTCCTTTACGCTTTTGGCTGTGAGCTCTGGGCTCCTTGGTCGGAAGAGTTTGGTCGTTGGCCCATCATGCAGGCGTCGCTATTCCTTGTCAATATCTGGCAGCTGCCCGTTGCCCTTGCGCCCAACTTTGCTTCCATCATGGTTGGTCGGGCTCTTGGTGGCTTGTCGTCTGCTGGTGGTTCTGTGACGCTGGGTATGATTGCCGACATGTGGGAGGCGGATAATCAGCAGTATGCTGTCGCGTATGTGGTGTTTTCTTCGGTTGGTGGATCAGTGCTTGGTCCTATTGTTGGTGGTTTCACTGAACAGTTTCTTGACTGGAGGTAAGTTACAGACTCTGAGTACTTGTGATGCATGTCTAACATTGCTAGGTGGTCCATCTGGATCCAACTCATCCTGGGAGGCTTCATCCAAATCGTCCACTTCTTCACCGTCCCCGAAACCCGAAGCACCATCCTCATGAACCGCATCGCCAAGAAGCGTAGAAAGGAGACCAACGCCAACATCTGGGGTCCCGACGAGCTTGTCCCCTTCCGAGACCGCTTCTCAGCCAAGGAGATCCTCATCACTTGGACCCGCCCCTTCAAGATGTTCCTCACAGAGCCCATCGTGCTGGTCCTTTCTCTACTCTCCGGTTTCTCCGATGCCCTCATCTTTATGTTTATCCAGTCTTTTGCTCTGGTTTATGCGCAGTGGGACTTTTCGACTATTGCGGTCGGTATCTCGTTTATCCCCATTGGAGTTGGATACCTGATTGCTTGGCTTGCTTTTATCCCTGCCATCTGGAAGAATGTCAAGGAGCGAAAGGAGAAGCCACATGATGAGAGGGCTCAGTACGAGTCTCGTCTGTGGTTCTTGCTTTACACTGCTCCCTGTCTGCCAATTGGATTGATTGGATTCGCCTGGACTATCCAAGGTCCTCCTACCCATTGGATTGGATCCATGATCTTTGCTGCAATTGTGGGAATTGCAAACTACTCCATCTACATGGCCACCATCGACTACATGATTTGCGCCTGTAAGTATCTTTATCCTGTCGATGAAACCTGTATTAATTATTACAGACGGACCCTACTCTGCTTCAGCAACCGGTGGCAACGGCTGGGCTCGAGATTTCCTCGCTGGTGTCTTGACCGTCCCTGCTACGCCCTTCTTCCAAAACATTGGAAAGTCATCCGGCAAGAACCTTGAATACGCCTCGACAATCCTCTTTTGCATTTCGTTTGTGTTGGTAGTTGCTGTGTACGTCATCTACTGGAAGGGTCCAACTCTGCGAAAGAGATCGCCATTTGCCCAGAAATTGGCGGATGAGCGACAGGAAGTGCAGGCGGAGGGTCGTCGTGGAAGCATTGCCTATGACAACAGGCGGAGGAGTAAGCATTCACTCAATGTATTCTGACCAACATGGCTAACAATACCAGGCTCGGCTGCATCTGCAGACGTTGAGCGTCCCGCCTACCCCCGACAGTATAGCAACTCGCATCGTTTCTTTGGTGAGAGTCGTGTTACTCCCCGCCATACGCCCCGCGGTACCCCTTCGGCTAGTCGGGCCAACAGTGTCCACAACATTAGGAGGTAAATGCATAACAAAGGGGATATCTTCTCATGACTTATGAGCTGTACATGACACTCGTTTGCATTGAACTGGCGTCGGTTGGCAGCCGTGGTGTTTTGGTGCCTGAGCATAGCCACATTATTTTTTAGATTGCACATCGATTAAACCTGGACGATTGTATATAAATTCTTGTCAAATTGCATGGATATCATCAAAGTTATAACCATTCTATGATATCCTCGAAACAGTGAATCTTGTGATCCTAAGTCCTGGACTCTCCTTAAGCATATACAAGAGATCTTGTCTCTTGGCCGTGGATGCCGGCTCTACAAGTAACTGTAAGAAAAGAATAAATACTTAAATTACAGAAGCTGTTATCTCTGAAACCCCAGCGGATGACCATGTGTACCTAGACGGAGGTTGAGCCAGAGCTAATGTGACGTCATTGGGTCAGTCAACCTCCCATCACTAAACCGCCTTTGATGCACACGAACCCCGGGAATGGTGCATTACATGACCTCAAAAAATTCGAATGAAAGAAAGCATTGACTGGGTACTCTCCACTGGAGAATTATCGTTCGAGCAACACGTGAACACCACGTGCTGGCCTCCATATGTGGCTGTTTACGAGCGTGAATCTTGGCAACCATTCTTACTCCTTCGTCCAACTGTACAACACGTTTCAACGACATCATGCAGATTACCATCGCTCCCGCTAGCACCAAAACTGGTGCCGCCATCGTCCGGTCACTGCTCTCGTTTGATAACAAGTCCATCAACATCAAGGCTCTCTACCGAAACGTGAAAAAGGCACCGGAAGAGTTTACGTCACACGCCAACTTCACGGTCGTCGAGGCGGATGTTTCGGATGCTTCGTCACTAGACTTTTCTGGATCGGACGCTGTTCTTGCCATTACTCCTCCAGTATATGACGGTCGTGATATCGTTGCTCACGCTACAAACGTCTCCAAGAATGTCCGTCATGCTGTCGAGAGGGCTGGTACCGTGAAGAGGCTCGTGTTGCTCTCGAGCGTGGGGGCAGAGTTCTCTGAGGGAACAGTAGGTGTAAATAGCTGCCATTCACAATCTCAGCTTACCTTTGCAGGGCGAACTCAAGACAAACCATACTGCCGAGCAAGTCTTTAAGGACACGAATGTTCCCGAGATCATCTTTGTCCGATGCACATATTTTATGGAAAACTGGACAATGTCTGTGGAGACTCTCAAGGCACCAAAGCCCTTCTTCTACTCAACCATCACGCCCTTGGACTTTCAAGTCGCCATGGTCGCTGTCAAAGATATTGGTCAAGCCCTGGCTTCAGAACTGGTCAAGGAGTCGACTCCACCCGCCAAGCCTTACATCTTGGAGCTTCACGGACCCCAGCCTTATACACCACTGGATGTGAAAAATGCATTCTCGCAGGTTCTTGATAAGGATGTTGAGGTGATGGCTGTCGAGAAGCAGGATCTGCCAGCGTTTTATGGCAAAATCTTTGCTCCTCAGATCATCAATGAGTGGGTTGAGATGGCCACGTGCTTCTTGCCTGGCGGGATAGCAGAGAAGGATTTGACGAAGCCAGGTGAAGTTGACGTTATTAGAGGCAAGACGGAGCTGATTGAGGCCATTCAAGCGGCACTGAAGTAATTGTATTGTCGAGAGTGTAAGACAGACAGAAGAAATTGAGGATTTAAATGGAATTATTTCATTGGTCAATTCCATCCCGCTCTGAGTGACGTACCCCGCCAATGATAGGCCGATAAGCATTTCTTATCGGACCTCGCATCGCGACTCGTGCAACAAATTCTCGATTCTTCAAGAACATGCACCCACGACGACCATGGTAATAACAAGGGTCGCGCGCATCGCCCTGCGTCGCCAAGCAATAGCGACGACGATATTTTCTCGACCGATACCGGCATATGCGCGATCGTCTTCATTTTGGGATGGGTTCAAAACACGACGAGTGGTGGAGGAAGTGAGGGAGCCGACCGAGACGAAACCGACCGAGACGGAAGCGGCCGAAACAAAGCCTTCCGATACGCAAGCGACCGAGATACAACCCGCAAAGAAGCCGCCGTTTGATACTGTGCCCGTGGACACACCGTCAAGCCCGAACCAGTTGAATAAAGACGAGCTGGCCAAAGACGAGCCGGCCAAAGACCAGTCAGTCAAAGAAGAACCCAAGGAAACGTCCAAAGGAAGCTCCCAGAGAAAACAGCCGGCCAAAGACCAGTCGGTCAAAGAAGAACCTAAGGAAACGTCCAAAGGAGGCTCCCGGGGCAGACAGCGGGCCGATCAATCGAAACGGAAGGAAAAGGCTCCATACGAGAGTCGTTATGGGTCAAAATGGATAACTACCATAAACAAGCGCCTACATGCGCTGCAGAAGAGGCAACGCGACAAAAAGGACATACCACATTCGATATGGAAGGAAATTGGCAAGGTGGATGACTCTGTCAAACAGAGCTGGTCGCGTGTCTTTGCCTCTAGCGAAGGCTTTCTGACACCTAAGGAAGGCGTGGGTGGATTGTGGAAACAACATGTGGCGTGGGGTGATATGGTGAGTCTCTTTGTTTCGGTTTATGTTATAGATGGCTAACTCGAGAGTTTTAGGATAACTTGGTGAGTGACCTGCCCTCTACAAGGACACGGCCGACTAATGATAAATGATAGGGTAAGTTTTCCCGGTCAAAACCATGGGCCATCTAACCATGAAGCAGGCCATGTCAACAGCGTCGTGTACAACAAGTACGCCGAGGCTTCCCGTATCAACTGGATACGCGCATTAGAGGACTACCGCAAGGATAATACTAAAGAAGAAAAGCAAATGTACCTCGACTTCTTGACACCCCAGTCAACTGGCCTCGTTCTGCGCAGCATCAAGACCCATTTCAAGTTTGTACGTATTCCACCTGATCACCTAAACTGGCCTCTGCTTATCATCCTCAAGCCCCTCACATACCCGGACCGTGTGAGTGTGTTTCACAAAATCGTCAAGCCTCCTGAACCAGGCTCGGATAACATGATTCTCGAGGCCCTCATCGTCTCCGAGTACCACTGCAGAGTCGCTGCCAGATTGTTCGAGGATCTCGTCGTCTACGACCACATTGAAGGAAAGAACTCGACCTTCAAACCTAACCAGATCAGGGATCTGAACCGCCTCTTCAGAAGGCAGCTGCTGAGCCGGCCGATTGCGGACAAGGAGATTGATGAGTGGATGGATCGACTTACCGACCTTGAGATGAAGGTACAGCTTAAGGGTGGACGTCGTCGGGATATTTCTCTCAAGGATGATCGTGTGGAATCTGCCATCAACGATGCTCTTAGGGCTACTGACAAGCTCGAAGCCACGGACGAGGAGGAGTCTGAATTCGGCAGGGAAGACCTCAACGAGCTGGAATCTTACGAGCCTTCCAAGCATGAGGTGTCAAAGCCTACTCAGGAGTCGAAAGAGCTGGTTTCGGATGCCCCCAAGGCCACAGGGTGGTTCAGGAAGATCTTCAAGTGGTCATAGGTCCTAGAAGGTACTAAGGAATCAACGTTGGAGTCTTTCGAGGAGTTGAAACGGCTCAAAGGACTTGAGTGCATTCAGGATTCAGCAGCCTCCAAGGATTCGGAAGCCCTGAAGGACCTGGAGGCACCTGGGGCGGTGTCAGAGTCTGCCGAGGAGTCCAAAGAGTCTAAGGACTCGGAAATCTTCAAGAACTTGGCGTCAGAGTTCCCTGAAGAGTTGAAAAGTCCAAGGATGCCCCAAATTGTAAAATAGAGTACATACAGAGAGAATGAATCATCTCAAGACATCCACTCTCCATGTATCGACCGTCTACTATGCTTAGAATACCATCCTCAAGTTCCATCCTCCAGCAACACCTCTGGCAAAGACAAAAGCTGCAAACGCCGCTGTGTAGAGAACCCCTGCGAATACAATAAGCCCCCAATACGAACCTTCGTTGGCTTCCAAGATGGCCCCTGCTATAGGTATCCCCGTTAAAGCGCCGAAGCTGGCGATGAAAAAAGCTGTTCCGTTTCTCTTTCCGTAGTCTTCGATCTTGCAGACCTGACTGACGCAGACTGGCGTGAGACTGATGGCTGCTCCGGACCAGAAACCGAAGAGGATGGTGAAAGATGTTGTTCTGACTTCTTCACCGTCGGCAGTCAACCATAACGTCAGGATAAAGGCTGCGCATATAAAGGCCGTTATACACATGGTGTTGAATGTACCGAAACGGTCCGCTACGTATCCTGGCAAGGCCCGGCCAGGAACAGCGCCCACGTTGAGCAGGGTGTTAAGCATGTACGCTTTCTGTGAATTGAACCCATAATGAAGGGCATAGGCCGAGATGTACGAGTAGGGTATGAAGACGGCAAACTCGATGAGAAAGATGGCCGCGGTTGTCGCCGCGTACTTGAGGTCTGACAGTGCTTTCAGGTCGATCGATGCACCGGCCTTTTTGTTCGGCGGTAGTCGTTTACGCAAAAGACAGCATGCCACGGCTCCTGACACGGCATTGATCAGAGCGATGACTCGGATCGCCCATGGGAAGCCGATCTTTGGGCCTAGATAAAGGATGACTAGAGGAAATGCGACTCCTCCTATGCCTCCTGCTGTACATGCCAACCCCGTGGCAAAGGCGCGGCGTTTATAGAACCAGTGTCCTACTGCTGCGAGGCTAGGGTTGAAGAGGAGGGAGGCGGATATGCCGCCAAGAACACCGAAGGAGAGAAGGAAGTGATAGAATTCTGCGAAGATTAGCAAGAGAGATGTAATGAAGTGGTGTGTGCCTTGCCTGTTGATAAACTGACGAATATCATTGAAGCTACCATGCCGATGGAGCCAGGGATGATGACGAGTTTGAGGTCGTGAGCGTCGACAATTGGACCTATAAAAGTAAGCATTTTGAGAAAGTATTCTTAAGGCTAAGTCACTTGCCCACTTGAGCACCGCAGAAATATAAAAAGAAGCCGTAACATCCAAAGATCCATCCGATAGTCGACTCTGGAAGGTGAGACAGCTCATTCTTCAAGACCCAGGCCTGCAGCACGGCTAGGGTGTTGAGAAGACCCATTGAGGGTATCATGGCGCACCAGGCGCCTAAAACTACGAGCCATGCTCGAGTGCCGCCTTCTGGGTAGTCTTGATCGTCATCAGAGATAAGGGTGGAGGGTTGGCTGTGGTGAGGCATTGTGACGTCTGAGGGGGTTGGACCATTGCTCTTTGTCGGTATCATGGTGTTCTTATAGGTTGGCACTTGCAATTGAGATGTTTGATGTATCTTCTTATCTTTGCTAGGATTTTCGTGTATTTATTCCAAGTATACGCCTCAGGCGTATACGGAAGTGGAGGCCATGTAGCTTACAAATGCTTGAACGAACTAACAAGGCACCCGAATACGATGGTCGGTTAGTAAATGAAAGACGGTGTTTAAGCCATATTGGCCTACCTTGGCACTCCGGTGTGTGTTTGAGAACTGTAATTAGAGGGCGCTGTGTGGTGAACCAAAAGACATGCCATCCGGAAGTCGTCGTTCCGCCCCACAACTCACCAAGACTGCAGACGACTTGAGCGGATACCAACTAGAGTACCTTTTGAGAGTTTGCTTCATATTGCTTCCACGACTTGACATTAATAGCTATGTACTTTATTCAAGAATCGAGGTTCATGTCTGTCTTAATGTTCGTTCATCACAGATTATATCTGAATGACTTGTTCTCCTTATCAGTCATATCTTCCAAGCCATGGCTCAGTTCAGGTTGGCCGTATTGCCTGTCACGGCTGCTGTTTTCTCGTGCGAGCATCACACGAAGTCCAAGAGATACGCCAACACAAATGGCGAAGCAGATCATGATGCCAATGAAGCTCTCATCGTAGCGAGGGGCATATTTGCTAAAACAAGTCAACAACTGGAGAGACGTGGAGGCACCGGGGTACTTACGCATCAAACATCAACGGTCCCACGATGTTTCCGAGAGAGTATCCGATGAATGTTCCAGCGGCGTAGGCGGCCTTTTTGGTGTGGCCAGCGACGTTGGATGTGCCTAGGCCAATGCATTGGACCCAAGCGGAAGAGAAGAAGCTGATGAGGTAGAATCCCACAATTCGCCCGGCGAGTGCGGTGTCAGGCAGTTGCCATCTGAGCAGGTTAGCAAGAGACAACACATCCAGGTTCGTCCAACTTACAGCAGAGCACAGCCGAGAATAACAGGTGCACAAGCACCGACAACCACGTACAAACGCGAGTTGGGAACTTTTTGTCCAATGTAGCCCGATCCGAGAACGCAGATGAAAGCCATGGCGCCAATGGGCAAGTTGAGAAGCAACGAGGTAAACACGTCGAAGCCCATGTCTTTGAACACGATGGTTCCAAACGTCGTCACTGCTCCAGAGCCTGTGCATGAGACGATGGATAGAATGATGATGCCCCATAGCTGGTAGCCGAAAAGGGCTTCCTTGAACTGGTATGGCTTGAACTCTCTGTTTTCGGAACCGGCGTTGTTTCCCCGTACACGTTCCAGTAGGAGACGCCGTTCCATTTCGGTGAAGCCCTTGGCGTTTTGAGGACTGTCTGGGAATACCCACCACAGGGCAACACCCCAGAAAAGGGTGGCGATGCCGGCAATGATGTACATATATTGCCATGAGTTGAGAGAACCACCTTTGATGTGGCCTAGACCATAGTTGATGAGAGGCGAGACTAGAAGGGAGCCACCACTGAAGGAGTACCACCAACTGGACCGAGAAACTTGTTCAGCGTGGGTATACCACAGTCCAACAACAAGCATGAATATCGGAGATACACCAGCCTCGATGAGTCCTAGGAAGAATCGATTCACCAGAAGACCGGCGTAGGAGGTACAAGCTGGGGTGCACAGGATGACAAAAGACCAGGCGATGCAGATCCCAGTGCAGACTATTCGGCTCGGAAAACGTTGGGCGAGGAAGGAGATGGGATATGTGCCGACGATGTATCCAAAGTAGAATATGAGGGATACCCAGGAGTATTTGAGACCCGTGTTGAGGTTGAGGTCATCTCGGAGTCCAAAGATGGCGGCTTGGCTGAGGATGGCTTTGTCGTAGTATTGTAGGGCGTAGGTGAAGCAAAGCTAGCAATGTTAGAAAGGAGTGCTTGATGGGTTAGGGCTGTCGTACCACGGGCATTAACCGCCAGTCAATCTTTCGTAGGAGACGTTTGTTGGTTGCCTCGTCCAGTTCGAGGATGTCTCCATCGAGTGAGGATCCGATGACATGGTCTCCCTCGACAGCAGTAGGCTTCTCGCCCAAGCTATTCGAAGGTTGTTCTTTTTCGTATCGTGAAGTCATGACGAACCAACAAAGGGTGCATAATACTGGGGAAAGATCATAGAGTCACAGGGAGAACGTGGGTTTTTTAAGCAAACGAATTTTTCATCTGCCCCAGACCTTACCCCAGACTCTTCCCCCTGTGACCATCTAAGCGAAGCAGCAATTCCTTCACTGGTGAAAGACCCAATCATCAGACGATTGATTCACCCAGCTGAGGTCCATCCGGTACCCCGAGACCGGACATGGCTCCACTTGTATCCGATCCGGGCGGGGAATGCGGAGGCTTGTCTGCTTTGGGAATATCCGACGGAGGCGCCTCGGGAGCCGAGACTTGCTATCTGAACCTTGGCTTTTGATATGCAAGGGGATTTTCTCCTTTCAATATTTTGGGATTGCGTCAACTTGCATTAGGAATCAAGATGAGGCTTCTGAGATTGAGTTTAGCTGTGCGACGGCCTCAATTGGCCTCGATGAGGGAAAGACTCTCCCTTGGGACACGCTGGTCTTCCACGCAGAGTAACAGCCAGCGGCCTCTGGGCTACGCAGTGGCTGGAGCTGTTGTTGGAGGACTGATAACTGCGTCTGCTGTATCCTATGGCCTCTTCCAATCACCAGCTGCAGAGACAGCACCAAAATGGAAGGACAAGGATTTCAAGCAGACCGTGGCTCCGGCAAAGTACGCCAACCATGCTACAATGATGAAGGCAAGGCCGCACCAAACTAGCCATTGAAACATATGCTTACCATTTGCTTCAGGCAGTCGACGAAATTCGAAGTATTCTAGGCAACGACGCCGTCAGCGTCGACTCTCACGATCTAGACGAGCACGGCTACTCTGAGTGGTCCACCTCCAACACAGATGTCCGCCCAGTAGCCATCGTGCGACCCAATTCGACCGAAGAAGTTTCGAGCATCGCAAAAATCTGCACGAAATACAAAGTTCCGATGGTTCCGTACGGCGCAGGATCGAGTGTCGAAGGCAACTTTAGCTCTCCGTATTCTGGCGTCTGTCTCGATCTTTCGGGCATGAACAACATTGTTGCTTTTCACCCTGAGGATATGGACGTTGTGGTACAAGCTGGTGTCAACTGGACAAACTTGAATGATGAGATAAAGCATTCGGGATTGTTTCTTCCGCTTGATCCTAGCCCGACTGCGTTGGTTGGAGGAATGATTGCGACAAACTGCAGCGGCACCAACGCGATGCGGTACGGCACCATGAAGGACTACGTGGTAAACCTCACAGTGGTTCTAGCAGATGGATCTGTCATCAAAACGCGGCATCGGCCTCGAAAGACGTCAGCTGGGTATAACCTCACTGGTCTGTTTACAGGCTCCGAGGGAACTCTCGGTATCATTACCGAGGCGACGTTAAAGTTGGCTATTATTCCGGAGAGCTTTAGTGTTGCTATTGCTACTTTTTCTACGGTCAAGGAGGCGGCTGATGCTGCTTTCAAGATGATGAGGAGGGGTGTTCCACTTGCTGCTCTTGAGTTGATGGATGATGTGCAGATGAAGGTTATTAACAAGAGCGGAGGAGCTGGAGGTAGAATGTGGGAAGAGAGGCCTACACTGTTTCTCAAGTAAATATTGACTGTGTTGGAGTCGACTCGTTTGCTAACAATGATAGGTTTTCTGGGTCAGAAAAGGGTGTTGAGGACAACATTCGGCTGGCACAGGAGATTACCAAGTCTAATGGTTGCCATGCATTCGAATCAGCCAACACGGAAGATCAGATGCAGTCTCTCTGGTCTGCTAGGAAGCAAGCTCTCTGGGCAAACCTCGCTGTTCGACCTGAAGGAACTCAGATCTGGTCCACTGATGTTGCGGTGCCTTTGTCCCGAATGGCAGAGTTGATAGGTGAGATGACTGCCTCAAGATTGTTCGAGATGCTAACGAGTAGTAGAAATCTCCAAGGAGAGGGCGAGCAAGCTGGGTTTGTACAACAGTGTCCTCGGGCACGTGGGAGATGGAAACTTTCACCAGGTGGTAATGTACAACCCTGATGTTGAGAAACAGCGAAAGGCAGTCTCAGATTGTGTCGATTCGATGATGGTGAGTGCTCTGGAGATGGAAGGCACAGTGTCAGGCGAGCATGGAATCGGACTTGGAAAGAAGGTGAATGTCACTCTAAGTATCTGTTTCTACTTGGCTAACGTCATCTAGCATTGTCTGCAAAAGGAGCTCGGTCCGGCGACGATTGGGGTTATGAGAGCACTCAAGGAGACGTTGGATCCGCAGTAAGTTTGCTAAATGCTTTATTTTGATCATGACTGACATTGGATATCTAGTTGGCTTCTCAACCCGGGCAAGGTGTTTGATAAGTGAGGACTGCAATAGAAGGAATTTTGTTAGATTTAGCACGTTTATGAATAGACACCAGAAAGACAGGACTTCCAAGTTACGATTTGATGCCGTTGTGTTTGGACAATAGGTCGTTTGTTACTGTGGCAGGAAGCCTCTTTTGGAGACGCCGCTGATGACAAGTAAAAGCATCTTATGAGACATGATGAGTCACTATGCCATTGTAAAATGTCCAAGATCCCTTTCAACATCCTCAATAGGTACCGAGGTAATTCTTATATCCTGCTTCACATCCTTCTCATCCCTGTCCTTTGCCAAGAACCAATAACCGATCATCGGAGCCGAACCTGTGGGGAAATAAAATGAGCCATTGTCGGATATCCGTAGCCGAAATCTTGAGCCGAACCGCAGCGACATCCGACGGCTCCAACCTCCACGATTCGGCTTCTCTACAATGGCGGAGCAAGATCCCAGCGGGACCTCCCAGATCGGATTCCTTCCCGTCAATCAGAGGAACTCACCCCCTGCGTCGAAACATCGACGGGCGTATTTATCTTGCGAGCGCTGTAGGAAGCGCAAGTCGCGCTGTGAACCGTTACAGGGAGAGACGCGATGCAAGAGATGTGTCGCGGATAATCAGGTTTGTGAGTTTCGTGCGACGAGGAGTACCAAGAGAAAGGCATCTCCAATTGAGAGAGATGGGCGTCGTCAACGAGGGGACGAACCTGGGCCTCGGCCTGACACGGTGGAATTTCAACCTTTTGAAACGGGAGATACACCACAGACACGACATGCAATGGAGATGAACACGCTTGAGAGCCCGGTTACGACCGCCCTAGATGCAAGATCAAGGCTTGTCTCTACGCATATCCACAACACGGCAGATGCATTGGACCTGTTGACTTTTGCTGCGACGGGGAGTCAAGGTTATAACCCGTCAGATACACCAGCACATGAGAGTCAAATCTCATCAGCTATGCCTTCGAGTGTTTACGGTCCATCAGCCGAAGCGAGAAGAATAGCAAGCGCCTGGTCTGGATTTGTCCTAATCAGAAAGGGTGTCATCTCACAGCAAGAAGTCATCGAGTACCTGGACTTTTTCTTTGAGAGACTCTGGCCGCTGAAACCTGTTGTTCCTTCTTATTATCGCAACAGAACGTCATACGTACAACTGGCCGTGGAGGAACCTCTGTTACTCACGTGTCTTGTCACGATTGCGTCGCGATACTTTCCCCTGTCTGGATCACATGGCGAAATCAGATCTGAAAGGATACACTGGCAGGTTTGGAAGTTTCTTCAGCGGTTTCTGCAGTCCGTCATGTGGGGATCGACTACGACCCGATCTCTTGGGGCTATTTCGTCAATGATTTTGCTTATTGACTGGCATGTCAAGGCTATCAACAATCCTATGGACTTTACTGAGGGTGATGGGGAAGCTATCAACTTTGTGGATGATTCTATGGCGGGGTTCAGGGAACATCCTGGTGATTCATTGACGGGTCAGCGTCGCTATGGTATGACTTCTTTGATGGAGAAGTTGAATATTGTATCTCCAGCGTACCGCAGTAACAAGATGTCGTGGTAGGTATGCCCGAAAGCTTTATTTACTCTTATTCGCTTACTGACTGAATCTTAGGATTCTGTTGTCTAATGCTATAGCCCTTGCACACGAAGGCTGCTGCTTCGAAAACGAATCCCACACACCATCAACATCCTCCTCCGAGTCTGAAGCCATCCGGCAAGAATGGAGCCGTCTCGTCTGCGTCTTCATCTACCTAGCGGATGAGAGCCTAGCCACTCGCCTCGGCCTCGAACCTTTACTCCCAGAAAAGTCGAGACAAGTTGTCAAAGATAGGTTCTCTACGACATTTGCGGATTCTTTATCTGATAGTACGTTGTGGGAGGGGTATCTTGAACTTGCTGTTGAGGCTCGGAAGGGGAGAGAGTTTCTACACTCGCTCAAGAAAAATGGCACGTCGCTTTCGAGCTTGAACTTGGTTCCTACTCTTGAGCACTTGAGACGATCTTTGAGTCGCTGGAAGAGACAGTATCATCATCACTACGGTATGTATGTTCAAAGCCTGGCCATTGGCCTTACTGACGGTGTCAAGACTCCAATACCTTTCTGAGTGCATGCTTGGACATGGAGTTTCACTACATCACCATGTACTGCTTCGCTCCCGCTGCACAGGCTTTGCCGTCATCTTCGAGAACAGCGGCTAATGCGCTGTCCGAATTTTCTGATCAAGCGGCACAGGCGAGCTACTCCCTCTTGGCTGTTATCGTTGATGTGCTTGAGCCGGGAAAGCTGATTGCATACTTACCTGTTCGATGTTGGCTGTTTATCGTAGCTGCGAGTCTACATCTGTTAAAGGTAAGTAGTTGGAGGCATGAGAAGAGTGACTGCTTACGAGTCTGATAGGCTACAATTGCCAAAGAGCAGCATGTTTCACTCTCACATCCCAACATCCACCTCCTTCGATCCGTCATCGACGCCATCCGCCTAGGCTCCCCAGATGATTCCCACATGGCCATGCGGTTCTCAAAATTTCTCGGAATCATGCTCCAGGCCTCTTTGCCCCCTCCTCGAAGCACTGCACCTGAAGGAACCCAGCAAGGTCCTGAACTAAATGGAGTAGCTTCTCAGGGTGAAGGCAGCATTGAAGGACCCTTTGCTTCCATATTTGAGGATGTGGGCATCTGGGATATTCCGCTAAACATCGATGTTGTTTCTGATCCTTTTACGTGGTGGGACTCTTTTTCGGGGAGAAATGGGTTTGCTAGGTTTCCATAAGAAGTCATTCAAACAAGATGGTGATTAAACGGACTATCTTTACTGGAAGAACCGATTTGCTGGTCTGGGAAGACCAAGATGTTCTCTCAGAGTAGTACCTTCATAATCCTTACGGAACAACCCACGCTTCTGCAACTCAGGCACCAGCCTATGCGCAACATCATCCACTCCCTGAGGCACGAAAGGGAATGTGACAGTAAATCCATCTGCTGCATCTTCATGAAGCCACTGGCCCAGCTCATCCGCAACACTCTCGGGCGTACCAACAAAGGCAAGGCCAGAGTAGCCTCCATACCTCCCTGCCAGCTGTCTAACAGTAAGTCCTTCTTCTTCAGCGAGCTTGATAACTCCAGCCCGGCCGGTCTTGCTTGCGTTGGTGTCTGGGATATCTGAAGGGAGAGGACCATCGGGATCGAAGCCAGATGCATCAGTGCCGAGTGCAACAGAGAGGGAGGCGATGGCACTGTCGTAGTGCACAAGGCTGTCCAACTCAAGACGCTTTGCCTTGGCTTGCTCCACTGTATCTCCAATAATGATGAGAGCAGCTGGAAGAATCTTCAAGTGATCTGGGTTTCTTCCAGCAGCCTTGGCGCGTCCCTTGATATCGGCGTACAGCTCCTTAGCAGCCTTGATATCCCGCGGCGAGCAAAAGACGGCTTCAGCTGTTTCAGCCGCGAGTTGTTTTCCAGGTTCGGACTGTCCGGCCTGTACAATGACGGGCCATCCTTGAACTGGACGCGCAATATTGAGGGGACCTCTCACTTGAAGGTCATCACCCTTGTGGTTCAGAACGTGGAGCTTCTCAGGATCAAAGAAGACGCCACTCTCACGGTCTCGGATGAAAGCATCATCAGCGAAACTATCCCAAAGACCAGTCACGACGTCGTAGAATTCTCTGGCTCTCTTGTATCGCTCGCTATGCTCAAGGTGTTCATCCTTGCCAAAGTTCTTGGATGACTCGGGGTTGCCGGTTGTGACAATGTTCCACGCAGCACGACCATTGCTAAGATGATCCAAAGACGCAAAACGACGAGCAATATGATAAGGTTCGTCATATGTAGTAGATGCAGTAGCCGCGAGTCCAATCTTTTCCGTGACTACCGAGAGAGCCGAGAGAAGTGTAAAGGGCTCGAAAGAAGTGACTGTATGGCTGCGCTTGAGGGCTTCAGTTGGCATGTTAAGAACAGCTAGGTGGTCGGCCATGAAGAAGGCGTCGAATTTGGCTTCTTCGAGTGTCTTGATGAAGGATTTGAGATGGGTGAGGTTGAAGTTGGCGTCTGGATAAGAGCCTGGATATCGCCATGCTCCTGTGTGCAGGCTCACGGGCCGCATAAAGGCCGTCAAGTGCAGTTGCTTTTGACTCATTGTAAATTCGAGTTAGAGATTTTAATTGTGTTTAATTAAAATGGAAAGTAGACATTACTTATGGTTAAAATCACCTGTCCTTTATACATGCAGATAAGACGCGCGGTAGTTGAAGATGACGCTAGACACCAGGCTCGATCACGACATCGGCTTCTGCGGGGAACGAAACGGGATGCTTACATATCCTGTCCGAGATTATCAATCCAGTGTCCATTTGTAGCTACTTCCGTCCAGAGTCGGAGGAATTTTGAGTGCGTCCAGTAACTTAAAGATGAAGCAAGTTGTACTCGCTACTGGTTAACTGGTAGTTACTAGAGCCGCCCCTACGAGTTTTGTTTCCTTTGCCTCTCTCTAGAGCCATAGTTTCCACGTTGAATATCAGACGGAGATTGTTCTAGGCTGCAGTCCCTTTTGAGCCTCACTGTCGTCCACCGGCGTATCGTGACTGGAGCCATCCTCACTAACAAAAGTCGGCTCTTCGATAGGCGGACGTGACTTTTCACTACACGCATATTAGAAAACTTCAAAGTATCAAGCGTGCTCAAGACTTACCCATGACTTCCAAAGACAATGCGAATGACTTGCGTCATAGCAACCAGCCCGACAACCATAACCGCCGAGTAGACATATCCCTTTGGGAAACGAGGTGCTTCCACCGTAGGATACACGAGCAGCGGGATCCATGCATTCGTTGAAGTAGCAATCGCCGTCATGAGAATTAGAGTCAAAGCTCTTTGCTCGTTGTTGTGTCTCAAGATAGTATTCGCCCATCCATACAGCACAGAAGACACCGCAACAGCAGAAAATCCAACGCTAAAAGCAAACCATTTTGCTGCCTCTGGCACATCCCAGACTGCTAGGATGACGAGTCCTGTAAAGTTGATGGCAGACGCCAACGTGATAGCTGCTGGTCTTCCAATCCAGAGATCGGCGCTAAAGTTGATGAATAGGACGAAAAAGATACCAAGACCGGGGCTGATGGCTCCAAGTTGGTTCAGTCTCGTCGTGCTGTATCGGTTAAGACTCTTGATCCATAGTAGAAACGCAGCACTGTTGGCACTTGTGTTGAAGAAGAAGATATCCCAGATGACCAAGAGGTAGAACTGCCAGCTTGTAAAGATGCGACGGAGTAAAGTCCAGGAAAAGGGTGTGCTTTGGACTTTGGAGCCTGCTCGTTCTAGTCTTGCCTTTGCGAGAGCGATTTCAGACTTTTTCATGACGAGACGGTTGGGCTTGTCTGGTGTTCCAGGCCAGATAAAGTAGCCGATAAATGCCAGAGGGAGCGTGATGATAGCGTTGATGATGAACGCCCAGCGCCAACCTGGAAGACCATTGACGCCGTCAAGATACTGAGTCGCAGCTCCTTGAAGAAGACTAGCCGTCATGGTACCAAGTGTAAGACCGATGTAAAAGGTACCTCCTCGTCGACCAATCTCGTCACTTCGATACCAAGAACCCAGGACAAAGTGAACACCGGGGAAGTATGAAGCCTCAAAGATGGATACCATGAAGCGATATGCCATAATTTCAGCATAACTATGTGCCCGGTATTGCAACAGGGTAAAGATTCCCCAGCCGAGGTCAAGACTGGGGACTAGATAGTGCATGGGGACGCGGGGGAAGAGGTAGATGAAGGGGAGAAGGCCGACGACGTTTCCAACGACAAAGATTGTCTGGAACTGAACTAGCTGGTTTCCATTGAAGCCAAGTTCCTCGGCCATACCAGAAACGTAGGCATTGTCTGAATAGTTAGCACGGGTTCAACGTTAGAGGTAGGTAAACATACTGATGTTTGTCTGATCGACATATTTCACCCAGTAAATAGCAAAAGCATAAGGAACAAGTAGTAAATCAAGTTTCAAGATGAGCTTTCTCTCTTCGGGTGTATCAGTAGGTGAGTACCAATGGTACCATTTCCTAACCGGTGGACTCGACATTTTGCCTGCAGCTGCAAAGAATGTCGAACCTCCTGCAGAGGGAACGGCACCAACTTATGCTGATCCTCATCCTGGGGAATCTCATGCACCTCGCTAAAGCTCTTTCCATCCCGCCCCCGCAAACCGACCGAGTCGTCACTCGTCACTATCATGACCGAGCACATCAACCATCTGTGGGGGGTTAAAGAGTACGCGTATCTACTAGGATCCATGTATCCGACGAGAATTGCCTTTATTAGAAAAGTTTGGGTCGAAATTGGTGTTGTCTGGCTGCCAATCGGTGGTCGGGGTTGATGATGCCATTTCGACCACCATTGCGTGAGCCTCAAGCGATAGCGCCGTCTCTTTCAAGTCTTGGCCACGGCACATATTATCCTGATAAAGCCGTATCATCTCCGGTTAGAAGTGCCTCAAGCGGACTACAGATCACTTTAGACTGCTTGATAATGCTGGATATAAAGCAGCGGATAAAACCACGCAGCAAGCTAGCAGTCACGTCATCAGCTCAACCCTGAGCTCGCTTGAACAGACGGGGTAACGGCAAGAGTCTCAAACAAAAATGCTGGTCATTTTATTATTCGCTGAATGCATATCTGGCGTATACATGAGATCGAAAACACCCCCGGGCCCCATTATCTTTTGTACATGACACATCTCTATCCTGAAAATCTGATAAAGAAAAAGGAGAATATCAACCGTGTAACCAGGGAAACAAGCCTTGCGTCCGTTCTCGTGTGAGTTGGAACATGCATGAAAAATGTAAAGAGACTGTCCAATGCCGTCCCGTAAGAATTGAAGTTTAGTGAGTCATCTTTCGCTCATGCCATGACCGGATATCTACGCCTTCTTGCTAGGTGACGTTAAACCAAATCTGTCACGCTGAAGACACGGCGCCAGTTGATTACCTTGATGTCCTCGCCCAGATCATTTGCTTGCCCTTGTACAAGATAAGGCCAAGAGCCCAAACGACGATAATGACGAGGGCTTGCTGGGGCGCAAAGAGAGCTCCCCTCACAATGACGAACCCGCTCACGAGAACAAACAGGACAGGGTTGAACGAGTACGTCTTGTAAGGACGGTGAAGCTTTGGCTCGCGGTACCGGAGGATGATGGCGCCAAGAACCGTGAGGAAGAAGAAGGAAAACTCGGCGAGACCGTTGAGAGTCAGGAGGGCGCGGAAGTCGCCAAACAGGATGTACATGGTTCCGAGAAGGGCCGAAAGAATGACAGCGTTGATGGGCGCATCGGAAGTCTTGCCCTGGCTGTCTCGGGAGCGGTTGTTGGTGTTTGAGTCGACAGTGAAGCCAACTCGGCCAACAATGGTAAAGTAGTCAGGGATCCAGCCTTTCTTGGCTGCAGCAACCGTCATGCGGCTGGCGACGAATGAGTTGCCGAGGAGAGAGCCAGCGATAACCAGGCAAACGAGGATGGCCATCAAGATGCCAAAGCCACGGCCCAAGAGCAATGTGATAGCAGTCTACACAGAAGAATATCAATCAAACTGTTCAAGCAGATATCAAGATTTCAACTTACCACTGCCACGCTGTCAGTGGTGGAAACAACCTTCCAGGGCAGAAGAATGTAGTATCCAGCGTTGGCGAAAAAGAAGCAAACAATGGCGGTGGGAATCGACGTGTTGATAGCCAGAGGCAGCTGCTTGGCAGGCTGTGACAGCTCAGAGGTGACATAGATGGCCTGCATGCGTCAGCAGGAAACTCCATGCAAGTGATTAGACAACTCACCTTGTCCCAGCCAGAATAAGCCCAGAGAGCAGCATACAGGGCAGCCGAGTAGTGGCCAAAAATTTCCCATTGGCTCAGCTGCGTCCAATCAGTCTCGGTGCCATCGGGGTTCAGCGTCTTGCGCCAAGAAAACCAAGACTGGCTGAACCACTCCTCTCCACCAATCTCTCGGTTGGGCTGCGCGAGATGGATACCAATGACAGCCATGGCAGCGACAACAACAACTAGAATGCTAAAGAACTTGGTGACGACAAAAAAGTTGTTGAGACGCGTGCTGGCCTTGGTGCTAATTGAGTTGGCAACACTCATGCCGACAAGGACCATGATGGATAGCAGCTTGTGCTCAACCGTGCCGGAGGCATCAGTGACACCAGCAGCCGAGAAGGCGCTCTCAGCAAAGGCGATGCTAAGAATGGCGAGGGTCGCCGGCATAATAGCAACAATCCAGGTCCATGCTGCCAGGAAACCAAACACTGGACCAAAGATGTGCTGAAGGTAAGGCTGAACACCACCTGGTATGTAGTTAGCACCAAAACAAATCTCATCCACTCATGTCTCAGCTTCAAACCTTCTCCAGGAATGGCGGTGCCGAGCTCGGCAAAAGTCGTGGCTCCAGTCCAAGCAAGACCACCGCCGACGAGCCAGATCATAAGAGCGATGCCCGGGGATGGAACATTGGTGTCAATTGACCCGGGCGACGTAAAGACGCCACTGCCGATGACGATGCTCACGACAATGCCAAAGGCCTCGACGGCTCCGAGATTCCGCGTGAATGACCCCTGCGCCTGCGCGTGTCGATCATCGGGCGGGTACTCGGCGGACCCCTCGCGACTCTCATCGCGGTCCTCGGCCAGCAGAGGCTGGTGGTCTCTAATATCGTCGACCTGGTGAGAAGGCATCTTTGCGCCACGTTGCGTCAAATGAGTGAAAGGCTTTGTTGACACGCGAGATCAGCAAATCGTGGGAATAAGGAGGTCTGTTGGTTCTGGTCTTGAGACGGCGGCGCAAAATGCGGACGCCAGATTGCGTGACCCCCATAGCGGGTAATCATCGGAGCTTACGTCAGAAAGCGCCACAGGGGGAGGCAAAGCAATGATCTTTTTGCTAAGAGTAGTCTCAAACTGCGACGATACCAGCCACAGTTGTTGGTTGTGTCTTTTTGGTGAATTAGATTATCTCGCGATGGCTTCCTCCTTTTGAAGTCGAAGCTTGGCCTGCATATGTCACCCTCTTTTAATTCGCCATCGAGACCCCCGTTTGTGGGAATGCGCCCATCACTGAAACGGTAACATTTCCCCTTTGCAATTTAAAGCCCCCCGTTGTTTGGACCCATCTGGCACACTCTCACTCGTCGCCTTTTCGTATTCACAGTGCAGGGACTCGCTTCTGTCATTCTGCCCACTGATCCCTGGTTCTGAAACGTTTTGACGAAACTATCCCAGACGGGTTTGATAGTCCACCAATTGACTGATGGAACTTGTGTAAACTCCCGTCGGATGTTTTATCGTGATAGGGGAATATAAAGAAGACTATGGTCCCGGTGAAGTGGTTGGTCGATTAAGCACCTTGAATTCACTTCCATTCTTTACCTTATTTTTAACCTTCTTTTTTAAAACTGCCGTTCGTTCAAAATGGGTTTCATCAACCGAAAGACTGCCGCTCTCGGCCTTCTCGCTGTGGGCAGCCATGCTGCTCCTCAGGCCGCTACCCCAACTGCTGATGCCCAGGCGGCACCCGCGACTTACACGGCGAACCCAAACGTTGGCCCTGGTGGCAGCAGCTTCAAGGATTCCGCTCACTTCCGAGTTTATGGTGGAAACGCCAACGAAGTCAGCCAGGCTATTGACATGCTGGAGGGAGCGTACGACTGCTTTGTTGGAACCCTCAAGTGGCGTTCTCCCGGTCTGTCCTTCAATGATGTGGAGGGCACTGGAGAGCACTACAAGACCAACATTTACTCTGTTGGTACTCTCGAGAACGCCGCTGGTGTGATGCACTCCGACTACGAGACTGGGCTGGCCTGGCTCGAAGTTGTTAACGAGTATCTGGCTGTTCCTGGCGTCACTGTTCACGAATATGGCCACGGCCTTCACTACCACCAGCGCACCTGGGTTGATCAGGGCCGAACTGGTGCTTGGTGGGAGACCCTCGCCAACTGGGTTGCTGATACCTACAAGACCTCCGACATCTGCGCAGATGCTCGATCCAACCACAACCAGGAGACTTCTGCCACTGAGATTGAGCTTAACAAGGTCCTCGGTGACTCTCACCAGGTCATTGTCGATGGATCTGTCGATACCGGCAACTACTACCAAGCCTGGCCCTTCTTCACCTACCTCACCAACAACCCGGATGACTTTGCCGGCCTCGGCCAGGACACTCTGCGACAGCTTATGGTCCAGTACCAGGAGGGCAGCAACGAGACTCCTCTCCACACCCTCGCCCGCGTTTCCCAGAACGCCACCGTCGGCGACATTGTCGGTCGCTACTGGGCCCGCATGGCCTACGTCGACATCGGCCACCCCTCTGCTCAGGAGGTCTTCTTCGCCCAGCGCGAGACCATCAACTTTGCCAACGTCGAGGCTTCCGGAAACGGCTACAAGCCCAAGGCTGACCGCCAGCCCCGATACATGGGCGCCAACATCATTCCCCTGGCCGTCTCTGGCAGCGAGGTTCAGGTCAAGGTGACCTCTGATGCCGAGTTTGTCGCCACTGTTGTTGTCTACCGTGAGGGCGGTGAATCATCCTACGTTACCCTCACCAACGGTGCTGCTACTGTTCCCGTCAAGACTGGTGAGCAGGTCAGTGTTGTTGTGGCTAATGCTCCTGCTGAGCCTATTCTGTACGATGGCTTCAACCTGAGCGACGAGGTCTCCAAGGGTCTGGACTACACCCTCGAGGTTACCGGCGCCACCGTTCAGGCTTAGGCATAACCCTAACTATTGTGCGGCTTTGCATTCTTGTACATAGAAAATTCCATAGATAGTCAAGGTATATATAGAAAATATGGCAATCTAAATATTAGATCCTATAGCTGTTCCAATGTGGATGAATACCCCGAAGAGTCCACGGAGTAATGAGAAGATTGTTATGAGCCTCTGGTAAGAAGAAAAAAAATTGCGGGAGATTTAATCGCAAATGATGGAATGCTGTACTGGGTTTTCTTCTTCGAAGAGAGTGAGTTCAAGATTATCTGTTGTGTATGCACCTGATCATCTATTTGTTCATGTTGGCTAGAACTATACAAGCTCCTAGAATAAAGTATAGACAAAGCTAGCAACCGATGCCCTTCAAGCATCAGCTAATAGAGGGCTCTTTGGTTTCATTTATGACTCACCACGATCGAGAGTTAATTCTATGGGCAGCCACGGTACTATCAGGTATACTCTCTCCACCATTCTCTAGAAGAGCATCAGCTTCATTCTCAATCTGATGATAGTCTACTGCCTTTGCAGCATAGCAGATAGGGATTGTCTGAGAGTAGGGCTATCACTGGGGATGACTTATATTGCGTTGTGTGTTTTTCCGAGGCCTGACCTACCACATGGGCAAAGAAATGAGTAAGACGCTAGAGTATTTAAAGAACTACCTAAATCTTTATAAACTTAATTAATTAATTTATAAAGAAAATTATAAAATAATATAATAATTAAGAGATTTTTTATATACTTTTATTATAATTTATTAATTATATTTAGAGGAGAATTAAGTAATATATTTATCCTCGTGTCTTGTTTTTTCCTTGACCCAAGTGCTACCTACAAGGCCCAATACGACAATAGCCGCCATTGCAAAAGGATCACCGAGCGGCAAGGCGATCTCGTAGATTGGTGGGAAAGCCGGCTAATTTGGAGGCCCCCCCACAAAGCCGTACGACGGTCTGAATGGTTTCCAATAATAGAAGATGATGGGCAGCCCGGGAGTGATGGGCTGCTTATTAACAATAGTCGCTGCCAACAAATATCTCGCCTCAGAATATTTCCCCTTCAAATCCCCCCAACACCACCGCCATGACTATATGCTCTCTATGTCTCCCAGCCTTGGTGGTCCCAACACCGCTACCGACACTACAAAGGTCTGGCGTTGGCTCCCTCCATCCTTGTGCTATACCATTTGTTCGCATCCACGGCGATGACGATGATGCACCCGCTATTGACCAAGTTGGGTTACTCCATCATTCCAGCCTTGATTCACTCTCCCTTTCAGCAGAGAACTGCCCGCTTTGCAGAGTCATCTTGCAAAAGATTGAAAAGTTCATCCAAGATTTTAAACAGATGGAGCAGAGTGCCTACGATAGAGCCTGGTGGATTGATCACCTAGGCCATGCTCTTCCGACTAAGTGGACCCTCAGGTTGGTCCAACGTGTTGATGGGGCGGATGGCTTCGTGGTCGTTGCAAGTAGCAAGAACGAGAAGTACCTCTACATGATTGACGTTTTTGGGTTCTGCGTCGAATCAGAAGAGTCAATGTATTCGATTTCGAATTTATCGGACCGCAGAACATCGGTTACTGGACGAGTTCGCGGGGCTCGAGTTGATCCCAATGCTGGGTCTGGGAGAACCCTGGACGTGGTTGCTGGCTGGATACACAACTGTGCGTCTAGCCACGACGGCTGTCGCCCCCCTCAAAATTCACCTCCCTCCCGACTTCTTGATCTGGACGCATTTGATGATCCAAGCAAAATACGTCTGTGGGAGACGAAAGGCACGACGAGATCCGATTCCTATGTGACCCTTAGTCACTGTTGGGGAGTTGACACCTCACATCGTGGGAAAACTACACATGCAACACTCCCTAGTCACCTGAACACTATCTTCGTACGGGAACTCCCTCAGACTTTCCAAGATGCAATCAACGTCACACGCCATCTTGGCATACGCTTCCTCTGGATCGATTCCCTCTGCATTTGCCAAGACGATCCTGATGACTGGGCCAGAGAGGCTGCTGCTATGCAGCGAGTCTATGCCGGAGCATTCTTAACCATCTCCGCGGACGGCGCGCCAGGGTCTGTTCATGGGTTCCTCCAAAGGGGGGCACGAAGGCATGTGCCCATAACGTTGAAAGTTACTCCTGACAACACCGGCTCAGCCACTGTAACAACACCGAAAGAAACCAACGTACCAGCGTATGTCTTTGAGACCCCCGCCTGGAAAACATTCAAGAAGCGAGTTTTACTCGCGTTGATGGGTCAGCCTCTATCATCCCGGGCCTGGGCTATGCAAGAACGCCTCCTTTCCCATCGCGTGTTGCATTTTACGAGTGAGCAACTCTTTTTTGAATGCAACTGCCACTTTCTATCTGAAGATGGCATCGCAATTTTGGGCCGTTGGAATTCTTTAGATCCGGGGTATGATAAAACATTAGATATATCTCACCTATCCAGGGTTCCCGCCATTCACCATATGTGGGGCTTGATATTGGAGGAGTTTACTACACGACAACTCACGGTCAAGACCGATTGGTTCCCAGCTCTTTCAGGGTTAGCGGCTGAAATCAAGAGCAAGTTGAGCGCTGATGCGGCGTGGAACAGGGCACTGGATAACCCTCAGGATGTCGAATACGTCGCAGGCCTGTGGAGCGACACATTGGTCAAAGGGTTGGGCTGGGCAGCTTTTAATCGAATGCAAGAAGGCATCGCTTTTCCAGATGAGCGACCTCTGCCAGGAGACAAAGGATACATTGCTCCAACGTGGAGCCCGGCTTCATTCGACAGGCGTTCAGTTCACAACACCGCTGGCGACTGGACTGACATTGCAGTTGTTACTGGCTACAGCGTGACACCCAAGACTGTTCAAAACCCACTTGGCGAAGTGGTGGATGGTTGGATCAGCCTGCAAGCTCCCTTGGTGAGATTGGAGCAATGTGAGCCGCCAGACACTTATGAGGATGTCCGGAGTGGCTGGACGCAGTTTATCAGGCTACGCACGCCCCATAGTGACCGACATGGGTCCGCTGTGGATTTCGATGGGCTTGGACGCCACACCGCTGAGACACGCTCCTGGGTTGAGGAGAATGAGATATTTGCATTATTTCTATCCGAGTCCAGGTGTAAAGATGATAGATCTTACAGGGCGCTGGTAGTCACGCCTGTCAGCCCAGAGAAACGAGTAAGGGCTGAGCGGAAGGAGTTTCGTAGGATCGGATGCATTTATTTCGATTCAGATGATGTGGATAACAAAGAGATAATTCATGATCTGCAGAGGGTTGAAGAGATAGTCTTAGTCTAGCATTAGGATTAATTGATCTAAGAGTAATCACACCTTTAAATCACAGTAGGAATGAAGCGAGTCTAATAATATATTCAAATCCTCCATTCATTCTAGTTGTATCAATCGAGACGAGTCCTTCTATCTCAAATCGTAAAGCCGCAAACATGTTTATCCAAGACAAACATAATCACTCCAAAGGGAGAACAAATCAAGACCAGTCCCCGTCGTCGACAATCTTTTCCCCACGCTCGGCAAGGTCCAATAGCTCACTGACAGTCCAAAGCTTGAATACATGACCAGGAGGCGTGTTTGTGTTCTCGAATGGAGTCCCACCAACAATGTAATTCGCGCACTTGCCGTACATTTCATATGCGTACTGCTCGGCATCATGATGGGACACCCATTTATCGACCTGCTTGAGAATCAAAGAAGGGTCTTTGGCGGCAGCGTCCCAGTCGGTGTTGTGAAAGTTCTCCCTGTTTTTGAAGCCCATCTTCTGGGCGCAAGTCACTCTCTCGAATCTGCGGGCAGTTAGATAGATAAACCCTCACGCGTGTTCTCCATCACTCACCTAAGTTTGTTCTGGACTCTGAGAGCCAGAGGAGCATTACTCTTTCCACTCAGCTGAAGAAGAGCCGCGAGAGAAAAGGCATCTTCAAGAGCCATGGTTGCACCGCTTGCAGAAGTGGGGAGAAAGGTGTGAGCCGAGTCTCCGATCTGAACGACTCTGGCCTTTGGGGAAACCCATTTCTCTTTTGGGTTACGCCACATGAGCTTAAAGTCCACGACACCATCCTCTGGGGTGAGGGTGATGAGGTCTTTGAACCATGGTGCCCATCCCTCAATGTAAGGGAGTGCCTTCTCAGGGTCGGTGGGCTTGGCCCAGTCTTCTTCAGCACCTCCATCATCCTATAATTATTAGCTGCTGGACTTCCGACCTTGAATCATGAGAGAGTGTGGGCTCTATACCTTGTGCGTAAGCATCCATATGATTTCGTTGTTTGTCTTTCCCAGAACCATGTGGGCGTCAGGGCCAAAGTATAGGCGAGACTCGCAGTCAATGTCTTTCCAGACTTGAGCAACCAAAGGACTCGAGAGCTTGTTCGAGTGGGTAAGTGCTTCGAAACAAGGCAAAACCTGAACTGATGGGCTGTTCCGTGGTTCTATTTATGAGCCGCCATGATCGAGAGCCAATCCCATCAGCAGCCACAATTATGTCGGCAGTGAGGTCTTCACCATCCTCGAGATGGACACCAGCGTGGTCGTCCGTCTCGAAATAGTCAACTGCCTTGGCAGCGTGGCGGATGGGAATGCCGAGGTGTAGAGTGTACTGATGGAGTAGTGAATGGAAGAGGGATCGACACATGCCCAGGCCTTCACCTAGCTTCCCTATGAAGCCACCGTCGAATTTGTACGCATGGTACTCCCTGGGGAATGGTGATTCGTAGCACGCGTCAAGGAAGCCTTGCCAATTCTTCATGGTGTTCAAAACCGAATCACCAATTCCAATGATGTCGCCTTTCAGAAGCTTAGTACATCATATTAAGAAGGTAGAAGAAAGGGTGGCCGTACCGTAGTCTTCGAAATTAGGCCGGCGGTCAATAACACGAACATCATGACCCTTTCGGTATCCTTCGATTGCCATGCCGAGACCTGCAATGCCGCCACCCACAATTAGGATGGACAGTCCGGATGAAGGATACCTCTGGATTGGCTCCACATTGTTGAACGTGTTTGGCACAGTTACCATGGCGTCGACTAAGGCCTGAAAACGTCGGGAGAAGTTGTTGCTCTAGCAATTGGTAGAAAAGGAATCCGAATGGACAAATCAGGGATATTTATAGCTGTAGTTCACGTGTATGTATAACCGAGTATGACATTTACTTCCACGGAAGTTCGGGGAGGTTGTGATCCCGTATAATCGGAGGCCGTGGATACGGCCCAGGCTCATGCGGCCCAGGGACGGGATTGCTCAATAGTCCGGCGGCATTTAGATAATGATCTGCATTACCCGTGAAGTTTAAAGGTTATGGCTGAGTTCAAAATGATTCTAGAAGACCATTTTCTAGCTTAACTTGACAGTCAACTAAGAAACACCGGTGACACAAAACGGGAGGTAGCTACCACTGATCTCCCACGGAGATGCTATTAGTTGATCCAAGCACCAGCATCGCGGGCAGTTTCAAGCAGACTACGCACTTTCACAGTAGATGCTCAAGTCATTAATAAGCGGGAGAAGGGGCTGGGTTAGAGAGAGTCATCTTCTCGATGCACACCCTGGTAATATTATAACCCAGGTTTCGAAGCTGGCCCACCGATCTGCGACCTTCAGGATGGGACATTAGTACCATGAGCGTGTAGAACCTGACGTGGCGGTGTCGAAGCAGCTCTTTCCGAGACTTCGCAGCCCCCATCTTTTCAGGTTGTTGGAAAACGAAAGAGCACGGCATCTCTCGACGGACTTTTGGTACACGTTAACTCAGTGCAGGTCTCCCTTGTGCGACATCTGCTAAGAATAGATTCTGGATAGCGTGTCGTAGACTGATGAAAACAGTATAACTTCTTCTGTGTATTTTAATCCATTCCCATCTTCTGCTATGCCTACCCGGGAGCTTACGTTCATTCCTGAATATACCATCTATATCTCTCACACCAAGTCATCCACCCCCTATAGAGCATCATTGACCCCCCACGGTCCCATTCAGAACCTCGGAATCTCCTCCGCATCCGCACGCTGCCCGGAGCACCCCCGACGATACCATGCCGGAGTTCCTCGGTCAAGCCCGGGCCGGTGACTCAGTTTCTCCGTGCCCTATTGTCAAAAGTGGATCCGGAGGGCGCGACATGTGGCCACTTGTGTCCGGGCGGAGAAAAAAGCCGCCAACCTCCGCCATCTTCCGCCCTCCTCCGCAGACTCATTCCTACCCTCTCAGACATGGATTCTGCGAAGCGGAAGCGTGCCGCCAAGGCTTGTAATTATTGTAGGAAGAGGTAGGTTACACGAGAGTGACAGTGGGCGGATATTCTGCCAGACATGACATGTTTGCTGCTCTTCGCTGCCTTTTTCGTGATGGACTGTGCTGATGATTGACTTTTCACCGCTAGAAAGAGAAAATGTGATGGCCGGCAGCCGGTTTGTTCTCTCTGTGAAGAGGCAAACAACTCTGAATGCGAATATCGCGATGAGAGTGAGAGCAACAAGTATGCGCATCCGAATCTGTATACACCAATCACCAGGTTTGCTGACTGCAGCTGCCAGACGAATCGCCGTTGAGGTGGACCGAGTCGACGAAATCTTTAGTCGGCTCGAGACCCTCGAATCTACCTTTCGCCATGCGATAGCAGTACGGAGGGACAGGAGTCCTGTCTCTACTCCCCATACCTTACCACGCCATGGAGAAGCCATCAGTCCTGAAAATGCAGCTGCCTCAGTCCCTTCGACGGCCGACAGACCAGGAACCGCATCGCTATCTCACTTTGCCAACAATAATGTCTTCAACACCACCATGGACATACCCTTATCTCATTCTTCCACCACAGGAAACCTCCTTCGCTCAGCACCCGCCAAAGCTTTACTGGGTCACTATCCTGCTGACCTGTTCCTTCATATTGAACTTCGTCGACCTATCCCCGATGATCTGCAACTCATCCCTGTTCCGACCAACCAGATAAACTTGCCCACGTTACAGCCAGATGAGACGGATATCCTGGTACGGAACTTCTTTCGGCTAGTGCATCATTTTCATCCTATTCTTGACCAAAGGGCATTTCACGACTTGTACAACCGGACAATTGATGATGGCTTACGACCTGATCTCGCTTCAGCTCTTGTCTTAGTTGTTTTGGCTCTTGGAGCTGTCGCAGCTGCAACACCAAACCTTTCAGAACCTTCTTGGCATCCTGGTATCCAGTATTTCACTCCTGCCGTCCGACTTCTCTTGGCCGAGTCTCTGTGCTCGTTTGGTGGTAATCCCATCCTGCCACAGGCGCTATACCTGGCGGCTCTTTACTATAGTTATATATCCAGGCCTCTTCTTGCCTGGAGGTTGGTCCATATGGCATCTACAGATGTGCAACATTATTGGATCCGGTGAGTCCAACGATTGAGTTGCATTGATCACAGCTAACTCCTGGTCAGCTCTGAAAAGTTGCTACGAGACGGCCAAGGCGGATCACAAGATCAGTCCATCCTCAGAGTCTTTTGGGCAATTCTTGTTCTTGAATGGTGCGTACTTGCTGATAAGTGCTATGCATGAGATACTGACTCCCCGTAGCGACATTCTCGCCGAGCATCATCTTCCTCGAAGCGGCATCGAAAAGATTGTCGATAAGCTGCCCTATCCCTGGTCTGACGGTCCATCCGAGCCTTACATGCACCGTTGGCTCGCCGATCTCTCATCACGCCGTCTACTCAACCGCATTCACTATGTGCTTTATGCCGGTGCTGAGCCAGGTACAGGAGGTGATGGGGCTGCTGAACACTCGGCAGATGAAAGCCTCCCAAATCTGGCGAACGAGTTGAACCACCAACTGGGCGGCTGGTATCATCTCCTCCCTCATAGCATACGGCCGAACTTGGACAATCCTCCATCTGGAGCAGACGATACCATGGTCACAATACGCTATCACACGACGGGGGATATCATTTTTAGGCCCTTCCTATATCAGGTTTGCGCATTGGCACCCGATGCATCTCCTAGTGCGACTTTGCTTGAAAATGCTGAAAGGTGTTTATTCCATTGCCGAGGGTATTTGAATGCTGTGGAACATGCTGTCCGCGCACCTACAGCTTCACTAGAGAACTTGCTACATGGGCGAGTAAAACCTATTTTTGAAGCGAAGTCCTAATGCTAACAGGAATATTAGAACAATGGCAGTTGTCTTGCTGCTATCATTCGCCGCCTTTTCCAAACTCGAACCCCTAAGAGTCCCAGATTTGAACCGACTGCAAGACAAGGGGATACGGATCTGTGAGAGATGGGCATTTCCGGGGTCGAGTATTGAGCAGATGGTGGTCATCTTGCGCGCGTTGAGAGCTAAATGTATTGATACGGGGTGAAGATGGCAATCATACAGTAACTACTATAGTCGTATCTTTCGTAAAAATACCCTTGATAACGATTCTCTTGAACATTGGTCCGACGTTGCCATTAAGTGTCGATCTCGCAGGTGGACACTCTCCCGTGTTTGCCATTTGACATTAGGGCGCACGCTAAAATACGCCTTGATCTCGACAATCGGGAATGCCGTGGAACCTTCGAGGTTTTGCCGATAACAGTTCTTGGGGAAAGTTTTACAATGAGATTCATTTAGAATTAGCTTTTAAATATCAAGGGATGTCAGAGGAGACTGACATAACAAATTTCTTGCGTGAACCCTCTGAGCATCACACGACACCCTCACCTCTTCAACACGTAACATCGTGCTTACTTTCGCCAACATATTACGTTAAAATCAAAACCATCGATCCAATGGCGGTAAAAGAATCACAGCCCATCGCAGCAACCAACAAGCCCGTCACTATCCGCCCGGCAAGCGTCAAGGATGCTGGTCGCGTCGCAGAACTTGGGGCCCACGTTTTCACAATCACGTTTGGTCATTCAGTGGAGCCACACGAACTGGAGGCTTTCCTCGAAGAGTCCTACACTCCATCAGCTATCACAAAGGATATAAATGACCATGACAAGGATGTTATAGTCGCGACCGATGCGAATAATGACATCTTGGGCTTTGCGTACCTCACGCGGGGGACAACTGAACCTTGCGTCCAACATGTTGAAAAGACGGTTGAACTTCAGCGCATATATGTCCACCCCTTGGCACATGGTAAAGGAGTCGGACGTGCTTTGGAAAGGGCCACTGAGACCATGGCACGAGAGCAAGGCTTCAAGAACATTTGGCTTGGAGTTTGGGAAGAGAACCCGAGGGCGATCAAGGCATACGAAAAATGGGGATACACTCAAGTGGGGGATCATGACTTTGTTATTGGAACGGTGGTTCAAACAGATAATATCATGCTTAAAGCTTTGTGAGGATTATTTCAGGTGGCGTTCGTGCAATTAGAAAGCCTTATTTGATTAGTATACCAGCGTTCTGAAATCTATAGACCAACCTTCGGACAAGTTCTCCGTGGATCACTGGCGACTTCGGAGCCGTTTTCCGGGACCGAAATGTGCAAACAAGCTTCCAAGTGACTATGTCCAACGTCGGAGCCGGGGGCGTAAACCACGGGCTTCCGATAGCGCGACTACTGACCAATGTCGCTCTCTCGATTCGCTCTAGGCTCTGCTTAGAATGACCGAGTCGTTGATTTGCCGCGCCGAGAACCTCGCATACCGGCCCGGTCTGTCGTCATATGGCGGCGGTCCGCCTATCCCGCCGCTGGCTTTAAGAGGTGCGCTTCACCTTGCAATTAATGTACCCCAAATTGGTGCCTGTCACTCTGTCTAACTTTACTCTCGCCCATAATACCTTCTTTCTATCTTTATTTCATCACAATCCTTGTGCATCCTCCACCATGTACATCCGAGCTGCCCACGCAGAGACTGATCTCCGCGTTCTTCGACGCCTCATTCACGAGAACCCTCTGGGCTTGCTCACAACAGGCATCAAATCCCCCACATACCCCTTCCTCCAAAGCAGTCATATCCCCTTCATCCTCGACGTCCAAGATGAATCAAGCGAAACCGAACTTGGCCGATTGAGAGGCCATCTCGCCCGACAAAACCCCCAGAGCAAAGCCATGATGGAAGCTTGCACCTCCAACCCTGGCGCCAACAACTTTCTCGAAGATGAGGTTCTCGTCATTTTCACCAGACCAGCTCATCATTATGTCACGCCTAAATTTTACAAGGAGACAAAGCCTGCAACTGGAAAAGTAGTGCCTACTTGGAACTATGCCGCTGCGCAAGCTTATGGAAAGGCGCGCATCTACTTTGAGAACAACGACGAGACGTCTTCATTCCTCGGAAAGGCTATTTCGGACTTGAGTCACCATGCTGAGACGAATCAGATGGGATACACTGGCGGGGATAGACCCTCAGAGTGGAAGGTCACAGACGCGCCCGAGAAGTTCGTCGACTTGCTGAAGAGGAACATTATCGGCATCGAAATTGAAGTCACTCGACTAGAGGGCAAGTTCAAGATGAGCCAGGAGATGGGCAAAGGGGATAGGGAAGGAGTTATCAACGGGTTTGAGAGCTTGCAGTCAGAGAGGGGAGATGATATTGCCAGGGTGGTCAAGGAGCGTGGTGAAATCAAAGATCGCCTGGCTCAGAAGTGAATTGGTTGAGTTTCGTCAGCAGTCGTTTAGAATGATGATCCCAAGTTCAAGAAGAGTTTTCACACATGATAGAGTCTTTTGCATTTTCCAGATTACCTATCTCAGCGCATACGGACGACAAAACCTGTCATCTCGAGATAGATTCATGATGCCCCTTAGGTAAGGGTTAGATATGTAGTTAGAAGAGACTCTATGCGAACTGTGTTTAATCTTAGACCTCTTTCTATCAATCTTAGGTTTATATTTCATAAGATTGTCCAATACTCATGAGGATTTTCTGAGATAGTCAATCCGGCGGGGTGGCCACGGACCCAAGCTCATGTGCCAACTGTCCGCTCTCCAGAACAAGAACAGGGTGCGAATATACATAGTCTCTGTGTGTATCGACCTGGCTGCAGGAAAATCCCGGTAAAATACACATCCACCAAGACGGAACGGCATGCATAACTGCTTGACTCGAGATGGGCCATCTCGGCCCGCTGATCGTCTCGGCCCGGCGGGCTCTCAGCCAAGATAAAAGCCCAAGGAGTCATCTCGATGTTCTATTGCAGACTTTCATTTCAGTCACTACAGTCATCTCGAAAGAGTCATGCTCTTACCTTTAATACAAAACTCAAATCTACGTCTTTGAAACCGCAGTCATGAAGACAATCTGTCCCAGCCGCGCCCCTCGCACCATCGGCCCGTACGTTCACGCCGTCGTCCACGGGGACTTTGTCTTTACCACGGCCTGCATCCCTCTCGACCCAGAAACAAACAAACTTATCGAAGGAGATGCTGAAGCTCAGCTTCGGCGCATCTTTGAGAACCTCAAGATCATCCTTCAAGAATCTGGCACCACGCTCAACCACATCATCAAACAGAACGTCTACCTCACCAACTTCGACGATTTTGAGGCTTTTAATAAGGTTTCGGCTGAATACCTTGGGGAGCATAGGCCGGCGAGGGCGACGATGAAGGTTTTGGAATTGCCAAAGGGGGCCAGGATGGGGTTGGATGTTGTGGCTGCTCTGCCTCGCTGAGTTCTAGACCGAATCAAGAGCAATGACGAAGCAGCTGTCTTGTTGTGCAGTGTCACTTCCGATATGGCTTGAATGCAGCATTGTCAACAGTTGCTTGTTTGCTGCCGTGTCTGACTCTTTGTGTTTACCTTTGATGAGAAGAGTCATAAACTCTATCTATCGGCGCAGTTGTCCCATCAAGGACCAGACTTCCCCTATAACAAAGAACACGACATCATCATAGCATCATATCCCAATCACCACAGTGACCTCTTTTTAGTCTTTCTGCTGCCTACAGTAGAAGACGAGTCATAAACTCACTGACCGGCGGCGAGCGGGTTCTGTATGTAGGCGTTCACTGTGGATGACATCGCACACGGTTTCACATCATCTTGGAAGTGAGTCACACGTTAAAGTCGGTCATTTTGTTGCCGACCCAAGCATAAAGGAGGCCGCACCTTACTCTTTTGCAGTCTCGCTCTTGTTGCTACTGCCGTCGTCGTTGTTCATCCCACTTCCCTCGCCATGGAGAACATGGACATAGAGGACGCGACCCCATACTTGCAACTCTTGAACCCAAAGCCAAAGGGTGAATTTCACCTATTTCCTCAACTCCCGACCGACATTCGGTGCATGATTTGGGAACAAGCACTTTGCCATGAGCGTCTTCTCTTTGTCGATCTTATCGACCGTGGAACCAACATTGCCGAATACAAGCCTTGGCCGTACCGTGCCGACTGGATCAGACCAATTCCCGACTACGTTATCCTTGCATTACAGCGCTCAACCATCAGCAAACTATTCCATGTCAATGCGGAATCCCGGTCCTGCGCATCCCGATTCTATCGGGTCCAGCTTCCTTGCACCTACCTTTTCGGAGACCATGTGGAAGAGAATGGTACTCTGTACTTAAACCCCGAACTAGATACCTTGGTGATTTCGGGCGTTAAGCATTTCGTCAACTTTGCCCAGAAAATCTGGGTCCACGACCCGAGGCGTGTAGGGCTTCTCAATATGGCGCTTCTCAATATGGCTATGGCAGAAGAAAGATTTTGGCCCCTGTATAGCCCTGGGAGCAATGACGACCTGCGTGAGGTTTTATCCCGGCTTCGGCGCGTCTGGTTCACGTTCACGCAGGACAGAAGCGCCAGGTTTCGACGTACGCGCTTTCGCGGCAGTACCGACGACACTATCTCGAGACTCAAACCACATTTCTCCCCACCCATCATGCCCGCAACCCCTGTTTTCAATCGGCAACCGGATCCTAGACCGATTCAAGCAGAGCTTAGACAAGTTTACACCAGCATAGATGACCCCCGGGTTTGGTTTCATCGCTGGCTTCGCTTTGTTGCCGCATTGGGCGTGCAATCAGATATTGAATACCGATTCATGGTTACATACGGGGATAAAAGAGGGCAAATCTGTAACCGAGCCGACGCCGAGAGATACATTCAAGAGGAGTATGAGCAGTGGAAGGAACGATTACGTGTTCCCCGGAAGAAAGTGTGGCAACCTGCATGGCTTTCACTCAGCATCGACGTGACTTGCCAAGATGTAGACCAGATACCTCGACCAGTCATGGGGTTTTGGCTCTTCCCCGTGGAGTGTCTTGGGACTTTGCCTCCAATCGGGGACCCCATGGTTCCCTACAAAGGCCCCTGGATCTATGACGGGGTAAACGCAGGGGGTCAACGAGTCCGACGCTATCAATCAAGAGCCGACTTGTCTGAGTATTGGCCTGAGCTGTGTCTATCGTATCTTCCATAGGTAGCCTGTAGGCGAAGTTACGATCGGAAATGCAAAGTCGGTTCACTTCCAACCTCGACAACTGAGTGCGTCACGTGATTGGAAAACTCGACCCATTTCTCATTTTGCCCCATTTCAATGTGCGACTCATACGATGTTGAACCTTGATTCAGACCAGGTCTCCAACAACTTTGCTCTCCATGATGATGCGCTTGCCTATATAAACCACAAACATGGAGGAACTTCCTACTAAGCCCTCTGGCATCTTGATGCAAAAGGACTTCATCACACCAGAACACGAAGCCAAACTTGTCAACCTCTTCCAGCACGAGCTGGACTGGCCTGCACGCTCAGGGCGCCTATCACTACACTGGGGGTATACCTTTAGCTACAAGACATTTGGGATCGATGAGGATATACCTTTTAAGCCGTTCCCGGACTGGCTTGTTCCTCTACTTCCCACCACAGAAGGTCGCTCGCCTGATCAGGTCTGCCTCCAACATTACGCACCTGGCACTGGGATACCACCTCATGTCGACACTCACGGTGCATTCGATCAACTGTATGCGCTTTCCCTAGGATCACCGTTATTCATGCAGTTTCTCGACAAGGAAACGGGCGAAAAAACAGAAGTGGATTTGCTACCACGGAGCATGATGCAGATGAGCGGGGATTCGAGACTTCACTGGACACACGGTATCAAGTCTCGCAAGACTGATATCCTACCAGATGGGACAGTGAGACCAAGGAAGGATCGTTGGAGTCTTACATATCGCTGGTTACGCGAGGGTGGAGAGTGCGAATGTGGGAATGAGAAGCTATGCGATACGGCACAGAGACGAAAGGGTGTTGAGAGGGAATATCGGTGGAAGCAATATGAGGAAGATGTAAAGAAGAATGAAAAGACGACGGGTCATATAGGGCTGGCGAGTTGATCTTGGGGCCTCTCCGTTGGCTCAGGGTCGATGGTTCAGTGTTTTGGTTCACTATGGGTTCTTTTTCAAGTTGAAGCATAGCCCGACGGGATGGTTCCTGCAAAAGTCATGCTGAGGATCACATTTGAAGACGAACTGAGAAGATTATCACATGGTTCAAAGGGCACAGTTAAGACAGACCAAGAAGATAAAGAACCAAATGGGTTCTGTCGAGACAACAATATCAATCAAAACAGGATGATAGGGTAGACGACGCCGACATGACACGCAGGGACCGTTGTGTGAGCCCGAGGCAGGTGATGCACAGCCCACAGAAGGCCCTTGGCAGTAGAACCAACAGCAGGCATACCTCGAGTAAACGTCTGGACGATCTGTGGGAGGTCGACATGGGCTTTCGATCCTGGAATACCAACCTAGCCGATGACGGCAGACTGCCACAATCCAGACTCTCCAATAAGGATATCCCAAATGATAAACTGCATATTGACCTCTTCAGCGTCTCCAAAGCCAAGACTACACGATGCACACAACCCCAAAAGTCCGACGAATAAAACGTGGAGTGAAAACAATCCACGCTTCGGTAAACTCGCTTGGCAGACCAGGATGTGTCTCTCGCAATTAAGAATAACCCAAATGGGAATACACGAGACTCACAAGCGAAAAGAAAGCTCGTTATTTTTCGCATGGTACCACTGCGTGGTCGAGAAAACGCCAAAGCGTCCTCGTTGGCTGATGATGATCCGATTTCCACTCTGATGATCAGATAAGATCAGTGCTCCTCTCCAGGAAACCTCTACCCCCACCCACAAGCTGAACGCGGGCCTCTTTTCAATCTCTCACTTCTTACTCGTAGGTAGCGTTCAGCTGCAGTCTAGACAACGCGACAAACAGGTTCGCTGGTTCCACTCGCTTCTCGGTTGCACGGCACGAACCCCATTGTATTGTGTAGTTCTTTTTATTCCTGGTCACATCATTCCTGTGCGCACATCCTTGTGTGAGTGGGAGAGTGTGTGTGTGCCCCATTACGATCTTCCCCTCTGGGAATGCTGGCAAGAGTATATCAGCAGAGACGTTCGCCTTGGCTTCTGTTACATTTTTCCAGAGGTGTTATTCACTTGAGGTTTAGTCTATTCTAGCTCATCTTCAAATCAGTGGTCTTTTGTTTACAATCAACCTCTTCAACATGGCTCCCACGCTAACCTCCATCCTGACCCTTGGGTTCTTGGCAGCCGCACCCGCATTTGCGCAGACTTTTAGTGACGGAATGGGCCCCGCTGCTTTTATGTGGCCGAACGATAGAGAGTGGAAGGCTGATGGGGACCGAAAGGCCCCTTGTGGTTCTACTGCCGCTGTTGGAAAGAGGACCAAGTTCCCTCTTGGTAAGTCGTCTTGTCTTAGTGGTGTACAGGACTAACACATCGTAGAGGAAGGTCACCTTGCTTTTGTTGCTCAGCATACCTTTTACGACACCAAGATCAGCATCTCCTTTGAGGATGGTATGTCCCCTTACACCCCTACCTAACCATGTCCTAACTCCATCCAGACCCCAAGTCCGATGACGACTTCACGGCCCTCGTCCAAGACAGCTCCATTGCCTTCCTCGAACCCGGCCACACATGCTTCAACATCCCCGACCCCAAGGGCAAGAAGGTCGGCGACAAGGCCACAATACAGTTCCAGTACCAAGCCACCTGGAACACGGCCAAGAATGAGACGTTCTACGCCTGCGCCGACATCATCTACGCCGAGGCCGACGAGGTCAGCTCTCGCGTGCCCTGCTTCAACGTCACTGTTCCCGGCCGTCGAGATAACATCCCCGCTGCAGAGTCTGAGAGCGCCTGCACCACGGCCTCTGCTGCGCCGGCTGCTACCTCTGCTGATGACGAGAACCTCGGTGGAAAGAATGGTCTACCTGGTACTGCTGCTGCTGCCCTTGTTGTCGCTGCTGCCGCTCTGTTTGCTCTCTAAATATCGATTCTCGATATATAATAAGGGATGGGGTATTTGGCTTACCCGGAGGGGTGTTGGGGACCCTTTTGTATATAGTACCTATAGATTTTAAACTTGCATCATAGACTCACATCGTATTAAGGTTTCATGTCATGGTTATCTGCTCAGCTTGAGCCGGCGCTTTTACCGTAGTGGCCGACGGTGGACGTTGGAACAGGGGGGTGTGGTGTTTGTCGGCCTTGCGCCGTAGCGGCCGATAGCCCCAGTCTTGACTCATGCTAAGTGACTCCCCTGGTCAGGAACCAGCTTGGGATTCTAAGTTGACTGCGACTAGAACGGACTCGAAGCTCACGACGAGCAGATCCTTGGCGGCTACCTGAGTGGATCTTTGGACCACCGGATGATCTAGCCGTCCTCGTCGACACTTGGTTTCACTCACTCGCACTTTGGATAACAGCCAGGGTTCCCCGCCTCAGGACCAGGGCGTACCCGGCCCAAGGCACATAACTACATCGTGGGAACTAAGCTATGGGCTCAGTAGAAGCCAATTTACCCAAGCAGGTCAGGTCTCCGAGGCTAGGCTCAAATACCCTTAGACTCAAGGTCGATAAGCTCTTTGACGGCTGGGTCAACGCAGCACTAGGTACAGCCCGAGTGATGGCCATATCATCGCAAGCGAGGAGGAAGCCTAGCGGCTACCATAAAAGCACTGGCATTCCCACGTCAAGACCATGAACTGATCACAAGTTTTCAAAGGCTCTTTGTAACAATGATGTCTCGGCTTTCAGCACTGTTGGTAGCGTTGGCTGCTACTGCTCGCGGCACTCTTGTATTAACTGGAACTTCAGTCCAAGTCGACAGTGTGCCTTACTTCATCTCTCCGTTCTCGCAGGGCCAGGCCTGCAATCCCGTCAATCTTAAGCAGGACCCGACGCTTGCAGACTTTATACCTGTGACGTTTGTTGCACAAACACCCTTGGAGAGTAGTTTGCATGACCTGTTTGCAACCTGGAGCTCCCGAGATGATGTGTGGCAACCAGGGTTTCTCGAAGCTATCCTTGTTGGAGATTTCAATGCGTCAGACAGCTCGCAGGAGAGTTACCTGAATATCTCATCCACTATATTACCTCTACAGCGCCCTGGCATTCCATCAGGGCCATACTTCCTTCACACAGCAACAGGAACTTTGCATCAAGCATTCCGCCTATACGAAGACTTTGCGGGAGCATTCACGCAGTCTCTTCTTCAGCGCCCAGACGGGAGATTCCAGGCGCTTTCAGCTCAGATACCGGCTTCAGCTTCAATTACTATTGGCGTCCCTTCTCGACTGTACTTCATGCCCAGCAAAGAGAAGCCTCTAGCAGGCGTGCGAGTCGGAGTCAAGGACATCTTTGCTCTCGCCGGCGCCAAGAGGTCCAATGGCAACCGGGCATGGTACGGTCTATATCCACCAGCCAACCAGACGGCTACAGCAATCCAGAACCTGATCGATGCTGGCGCTATCATCGTGGGCTTACAGAAGTTGTCGCAGTTTGCAAATGGCGAGGCAGCAACAGCAGATTGGGTCGACTACCATGCACCATTCAACCCTCGAGGCGATGGTTACCAGGACACGTCTTCATCATCTGCCGGCGCAGGTGCGTCCATTGCTTCTTATGAGTGGCTTGATCTTGCCATTGGGAGTGATACTGGCGGCTCAATTCGTGGCCCTGCTGGGGTCCAGGGCCTTTTTGGTAACCGTCCAACACGTGGACTTGTGAATCTCGACAACGTCATGCCTCTGAGCCCGGTGTTGGACACTGCTGGATTCCTGGCGCGAGACCCAGAGATCTGGGATGCTGCTAATGCGGCACTGTACGGAGACAACTACACCTCATATGCGGACAGAACGTTCAGGTACCCCAAGACCTTGTACGCGTTGGACTTGCCTACCAAGAACGATCCTGCGGCACAGATACAGCGGAAATTCGTTTCCGATTTGGCACTGTTCTTGAATACCTCGGTCACGACTTTGGACTTGGAAAAGGAATGGGCCACTTCCGGTCCTCTGCCGATGAAGGACGAGAAACTAACCGAGTTCTTCAACTACACGTACGCCGCCCTCATTGCCAAAGATCAGACTAAGCTTGTTCGTGATCCGTTCTACAAGGACTACGCTGGTAGGCACCCACCAGACCGCAATGCTTGCCCTCTGCTAACGCCTTACTAGCTGCTCATGACGGGCGTCGTCCATTTGTTAACCCCGTCCCTCTCGCACGATGGACCTGGGCTGACTCGCAACCGGACTCTATTTACGACGAGGCGGTGCACAACAAGACGGTCTTTATGAACTGGTTCAACAAAAGGATTCTCCCTGCGCATCATCTGACCTGCTCCTCTGGATTCCTCATTCACATAGACAGCAGTGGAGGCTTCAGCAGCCGCAATCAATACCTCAGCCTGCCTGGACTACCATTCGGGTTCTCGAATGCGGGCATCTCCATCTTTTCCGAAGCCCCCGACAGTGTTTTTCCCCTCGGTCAGATTCCGGTCTTTAGCTCCATCACAAACCATACCGAATACCTTCCGGTGACGATTGACGTGATTGCTGCGCGAGGATGTGACGGGTTGATTGCAAGACTGGCAAAGGACCTTGTTGCAGCGGGAGTTCTCAATGCCCCCAGCACTGGCTCAGGACTTGATGGCGGAACCATACTGCTGAGGAGAGATTATCGGTACTGATATTGGTCGTGTTTGTAGCTCTCGCGGTAGATTATTTCTCCACGACTTGTTACAACTACTTCAGAAACGTACCGAGGTAGCTTGAATACTGAGCAGCTGCATTAATGGAGGAAGAGGTGCTGTTTGAATATAGCTTCAAGAGTATTTCCCGGAGAGTCTCGCCTGATTCACATACTGATTTGCCTAACCATCGCAAGTTACACTTCTACCATTAGGCTTCTGTAGAACCATGTAAATTTCCACATGTTGTGCCGTGTAGGGGAACAAAAGCCAGCTAAGGAGATGAGTCTTTATTTAGAATTACAAATAAAAAATTCATGGGGGGCACAGGTACACAATAGTATCGAGCCGTCCTTTTCTTTACTACTCTTAGCTGTGTGCCTACACCCACTCTATCTCCAACCCAAATGATTCCTACGCCTCCAGCTGAGCTGCGAGGAAGGCGTTGAAGCTTCCATTGGCCCTAGGCTGAAACTCGTTTCCCCTATGACCTTCTTGCCCGTTCACAGCGTCCTCTAGTCGACCCCAACCACCGCCACCAGGGGTGTGCACCACGAATCGATCACCATATGCCATATCCAATTGACCCCTAGGTCCGTAGTTCAGCCACGTGTACGTGCCGTCAGCCTTCTTCTGCGCCCAGTAGTTGGCTCCCAGGGCACCGGGCTCACCGCCCTCCATACCGTACGGCCGAGTCACTCTCCTTTCCGAAATCATGCTGAATGTGAGTGGCGCACGGCACTCAAAGTCGCGGACCACACCGCATCCGCCGTTGAACTTGCCTTTTCCACCGCTCCCCTCGCGGATAGAGAACTCCTGAACTAGGATTGGATAACGCTTCTCCAGGACCTCGATATCCGTCGTCCGAGTGTTGGTCATGTGCGTGTGCAGACCACTCGCACCGTGCCAAGTTGGCCCGGCACCGGCTCCTCCGGCGATGGTCTCGCCGTAGTTGTACGCAAAACCCGGGAGAGGTTTGCCATCTTGGCCAACACCACCACGGCCAAAGAATCCCATGCAGTTCATGCAGCCCTGCGAGGCAGCGGCGGCACGGAACGCCTTGAGAAGCAGATCTGTCACTCGCTGCGAGGTCAACGTATTGCCACAGCAGACTGCTCGTCCCGATGATGGGTTCAAGAAGGTATTCTCGGGGAGAATGACCTTGGTAGGCTTCAAACATCCTTGGTTGAGGGGAATATCGCTACCGATAAGCACTCTCATGACGTATATGAGCGCCGAGTAGGTAATGGCTGGTGGTGCATTCATGTTCGATAGCATCTCACACGTAGTACCGTGGAAGTCAAAGGTGCCAGTTCCCTCTTCGTCGATGGTGATTGAAACGCGCATTATGGAGCCGTTATCCATGTAGTCTTCTGCGGTCAATGGTTCGTCGCCGTACTTCTTCCGGGTCTCCTTAAGGTAGCTCCTCACAGCGACTTCGGCATTCTCCTTGATCTTCCTCATGTAGAAGTGGACCTGGTCTTTTCCATTGTCCGCCATCAGCGCCTGGATCAGGGCTGCACCCTTGTTGTTGGCGGCGATCTGGGCTTTCAGGTCCGAGATGTTGTCTTCCAGCCTTCTCGAACCTGTGCAACCCTCGTGAGTGCCAGGCTCGAGCAGGAGATCGCAGATGCCCTTCTCGTCGAACTCTTCATTCCTCACCAAGAAGAATGACCGAATGGACGCGCCTTCATGATACAAGGTGGTCGAATCTGGAGGCATAGATGTTCCGTTCAGGCCACCGATGTCCATGTGATGGCCTCTCGAAGCCGTGTAGAAGCAGACAGTCTTCCCATCGGCCTCGAAAACCGGGGTGATGACGGTGATATCGGGCAGATGCGTACCGCCACACTCGGGGTGGTTGGAGACTAGAACATCTCCGGGTCTCAGGTTGCCCTTGTGAAGCATATCCTGATATTTGACGGCGTAGCTCATGCTTCCCAGGTGCACCGGGACATGAGGAGCGTTGGCGACAAGTTCAGCGTCAGGGCCGAAGATTGCACAAGAAAAGTCAAGCCGTTCCTTAATGTTAAGGGAAAGACTAGTTCTCTGTAATGTGCGACCCATCTGCTCGGCGATGCTCATGAAACGATGGCTATAAACTGATAGCTGGATCGGATCAGCCACCAGCTCAGCCAGCCCCGTACTGACAACCCTGGTTTCCTCAAGTAGATCGATGACTAGGTGGGAGGTCAAGACAGACGCCTTCGAAGAAGGAACAACAATGATGGTCTGTGTTTTGTCGATGATGACGGCTGGGCCTTCAACCACGTCCCCAGTCTTGAGCTGCTCAACTAGAAAGACGGGAGTCATCTGGTAGCCCATTGGGGCAAAGTACACCTTGGACTGCGATGATCGTTAGTCGTCTGTCTTTTGAACACTGATGACCTGTCTTCTCACCTTTTTGATGGCATCAATCGTATTGACAGCCTTGAATGAGGTAGTTTGCAGCTCCATAGTGAGACGCTCATTGTCCTTGCTAACCTCAGTGCTAGCACCAACTCCTCGAACTCGAATGTCGTCAACAAGAACCTTTCTTGTGGCAGGGAACAAGAATGCCAGCTCTCTGAGATGCTCCTTCTCAAAAGCGGCCCTGTAGTCGTTGTCTGCGGGCTGAAGGATCATCAACTGGGTTTCTGTTCCCTCGTACCTAAGGTGCAGATAAACGTCGTATCGGATGGCCTTGTCTTCAACACCTTGAGACAAAAGGCTCTTCCAAACATCCAACTTGAGATGCTCTACCCTGGTTTGGATACTAGGCATAGACTCATCTGACAGGCCCTCGCTGCTTGGTTCCTGCATCTCTTGCACCACTTCTGCAAGGGCCATGCCATAGGCAGAGAGGATGCTGGAAAACTTGTGGATGATGGCGCGCTTGATGTCGAGCTTCTTTGCCAGCTCACAAGCATGTTGTCCACCTGCTCCACCAAAGACAGCCAGGTTGTGTGCCGCAGTATTGTGGCCGCGAGCCTCGGTGATGGCCCGAATAGGACGGCTCATGGCCTCGTTGGCGACGTCGATGAAACCGTTGGCCACCTCTTCTGGCGTCATGGAGCGTCCAGTCTCGTTGTTGATCTGACGCGTGAGCTCGGCAAGCTTCTCTCGGGCGATGGAAGCGTCGAGCGGCATGTCCTCCGTGGGACCAAAGATGGATGGGAAGTACTCCGGCAGCAACCGACCGAGCACAAGATTCGCATCCGTGACGGTCAGGGGGCCGCCCTTGCGGTAACATGCAGGACCTGGGTGAGCCCCTGCGCTCTGTAAGAACGATACTCGTTAGTCTGAAGAGTTCGCCTTCCAACTTGGGCTACTTAATTGGACTTACCTCTGGACCAACTTTGAAGAGTCCGTTTTCCCAGAACAGAATACTACCTCCTCCGGCTGCCACTGTGTTGACATCCAACTGAGGGCTCTGAATAGCAACGCCGGCTGTGGTAGTTTCGAAGACGTGCTCAAACTCGCCTCCATATCTAGAGACGTCGGTGGATGTGCCTCCCATGTCAAAGCCGACAACAGGAGTCTTCCCATCGTAGGACGTTCGTGCATATCCAACAACACCACCTGGAAGAAGAAGTTGACGAGGTTAGCGAATGTAACGAAGGAATCAACTTGGATAGACTCACCTGCGGGACCACTCAGGATGGCCTTCAAACCACTAAAGTATCTGTAGTTGACCAAACCGCCATCGCTCTGCATGAACTCGCACCTCACGCCGTCAAGGCTGCCGCCGTCGAAGCCCCTGGCAAAGGTTTCCACATAGCGTCGAATCTCTGGAGTAAGATATGCGTCTGCTGAAGCTGAGCTGCCTCGAGTGATCATCTTGATCATCTTGGCACCTACTCCAGATGAGGTCGAGACGTGAGTGAAGCCGAGTTCCGCCGCAATCTTGGCCACCTCATCTTCATGGCGAGGGTAGAGATACGAGTGAGCGAAGCAGATGGCCAACGCATCGATGCCACTCTGCTTGATGGCGGCCAGCTTTGACCTGACCTCGTCGTAGTCCAGAGGCTTGATGATGCGGAGTACATCCCCGGTCAAGCCCTCTACCAGAGTTGGAGCGACTTCCTCCTCCTGTATGTCAAGCTTGTCAGGCCCCTCCTCAAACCCCTCGATAGTGATGCGCTCATTGATCTCTACGACGACGTCATAAAGTGTCTCTGGCTTCCGATGGTCGAGTGCAAATAGCTTGGGGCGGGACTGGTGGCCGATCTCGATTAAATCGCGGAAGCCCTGGGTGACGACAAATGCATGCCTGGTACCCTTTCTCTCCAGGAGGGCTGAGACATATCTGTTAATCATGATGCTCTTCGTAGATGAGAACGCCCACGTACCATTTGTACCTACAGTCGTTCCCATGCGGATGGACTCGATGTGCTCCTTTGGGATTGACTGAGTTCGCGGAATCTTGACCTGAGTGACCTGCTCCACGACTCTTCGGATTCCTAACGCAGAGTCAATGGTGTTAGTTATTCACTTGACTCATGGGTGGCTGTCTTTTCTCTCTCGTTCTATACAACACGAACCTTCAGAGGGAGCATCGTCATAGTTGTCTGGGTCAACCGAGAGCAGCTTGAGGACAATGTCAGGTTGGCCGTCAACCGCTGCCCACACATCCGTGAATGTGCCACCGCGATCTAGGAAGGGAATAGTCAGCATCAAAAGGATGGACTATGCTCATGAGGATGCACCTATGGCAAATCTGATGCCCTTGGGCGTCGCAGCTGTGATCGAGTTCATTGTGAAGTGTTGTCCTGATGAAGAGATGATGGCTTTGATCATGAGACTTAATCTTCCGGGGGATCTGGACTACCTTTATATAGACCCGACTGCAAGATCAACCTTCTCAAACATGCCTCCGATATTGATTCCGAGATCAACACCTGCATGGCGGGGAGAGTGCAGTGAAGATGCCAGTCGAAACCGGTCAGGAAGGTCGATACGACGAGAGTCGCTATGCCATCACTGGACCGATAAGGTCGAGCGGACAAGAGGTTCCGACGCAGTGCTCATCTGCTCCAACAAGCCTCCTCACCGAGGATAATCCAGGGAATCCTTGACAGAAATGAGGCCATATCGCCTCCGCAATCTCTCTTCAAAAATACCAAGACTACCCCAGAGCCCAAGCGTTTAGTGGGCATTCTCGTCGCATCAACCTTCCGCAAGCCACCCACCCTATCATCATCTCTGACTCGCACAACTCCAACCCCCCGGGGCTTGGCATGAATCTGCGGCCTGATGCATGCCAAAGTTAGTGGGCCTCCTGCTCGCATCAACCTTCCTGAAGCTGCCCACCCTATCATCGTCTCTAGCTAGCGCAGCTCCCAGGCTGAGCATGGATCCATCAACTAACGTAAGTTAAACCCTTGCCCTAGATATAACGCCGAGGTTAGTGGGCCGCCACTCGTCGCATCAACCTTCCATGCGGTGACTATCCTATCATGACCTAGTTGCCTTTTGCTACTGTCAATCATGGAGTCCCCAACTTCCCCAGGCTTGGCACACCTCCGCAAGCCCGCAACCTTGTCAACATCCCGGATATGAGATACTCGCTATCTAGCTGTACCTACCTACACATGAGGACCAGATAGTCGACTTTTCGTGTATATAAGCCTTGGCTAGTCCTCATTCCAGCTTTCCTCACCAGTATCCCCTCAATCTCGATAAACACCTCTCCCGTTGCCATTCCCAGTTTTCTTCCCTCACTTCTTCTTCAAGACCATCTTATACTCAATTAGATCCAATGACTTCCAAAGAGACCAAGACGGAAGGCGGCAATGTCATTCAGCCCGTGGCGAGCACACAGGTCGTTACCAACGACGATGGCATCGACAAGGCCAAGGCGGATGCCTCTGGTGCCAATGATGCAGCAGCTCAGTTTCTGGCAACCGTTGGTCCGTTCCCTCCAATGACCTCCGAGGAGGAGAAGAAGCTGGTCCGTAAAATTGATCGTTGGATGATTCCCTTGGTACGTTGTCAACATTCTCCGATTCTCTTCTCGGCGGTCGAGTCCAGACAAGCTAACTTGAGCTCGTTCGCATAGCTGCTGTTTATGGGACTCTTTGCCGCTGTTGACAAGGTTCAGTTGGCTACTGGTGAGCTTTACGGCTTCAGCAAGGACACTGGCTTGGTCGGTCAGCAATACAGCTGGTTAGGCAGTATCCTGTCTCTCGGAGTATGTCTTTTCCCTCCTTCGCTCGCCTTCGCCTGGATGAGACGCTAACGAAAGATATCTTTCCCATCTATAGATGTTGGTCGGCATTTGGCCATCTACATACCTTATCCATCGTCTTCCGGCCGGTAAATACCTGGGTGGCTGCTCCATGTGCTGGTCCATCATGACCCTGTGCATTGCAGCTTGCCACAACTGGGCTGGGCTCATGGTTCTACGATTCCTGATGGGCTTCTTTGAAGCTATCATCAACCCCGGTGCTATTCTTCTCATATCTGTTTTCTGGAAGAAGTCAGAGCAGCCTATCCGCAACGGCAGTGAGTCTTTTCTTGTCTCCCTACAACCTAGCAAGCCACCTAACGAGCGAACCATCACCCAGTCATCATGACCGTCTTCTCGTCCGTGGTCAACGGATTCCTCTCCTGGCTCGTCGGCTTGATCCCCGAGGATGCACCCCTTGCTCGATGGCAATACCTCTACCTCCTCACGGGCTCAATGAACGTGCTCTACTCGATCTTCATGCTCGTATACCTGCCTGACTCTCCCATGAACGCCCGATTTCTCAGCGTCGAGGAGAGATGGCACGCTGTGCAGCGTCTCGCTGAGAACCGTACCGGCATTGAAGGCAACAAGTGGAAGTGGGATCAGGCCTTTGAGGCTGTCATGGATGTCAAGATCTGGATCATGTTTTTCTTCAACATCTCGGTCAACATCCCCAATGGAGGCCTCATCACTTTTGGGGCCATCATCATCAAGAACCTCGGATTCGATCCTCAAAAATCTGCCCTGCTCTCCATGCCCAATGGTATCATCTCGTCTATTTCGGGCTTCATAGCCTCCTACTGCGCTGCAAAATGGGTCGGCCGCCGTACCTTTGTTGTCATGATTTCCATCTGTTTCCCCCTTCTTGGAACAGGACTCGTCTACGGCCTCCCAAGATCCAACATTGGAGGCCAGCTATTTGGACTGTACATGATGTATTGCTACTGGGGTATGTCTCTCTGCGTATGATCCTGAACACAGCTCACAACGCCTTTCAACAGCCCCATACGTCGCTGCCATCTCCCTCCCTCAAGCAAACACGGCTGGCAGCACAAAAAAGGTTGTAACCTACGGTATTCTACTCCTAGGCTACGGCACAGGCAACCTCATCGGGCCCCAGACCTTCCGCGCCAGCCAAGCCCCCGCGTACACTGGTGGCACTATTGCCATGCTGGTCTGCTATTGTACGGCTATGTTGCTCATGCTCGTCTACTTCCTTGTAGCTTCTTTGGAGAACCGCATCAAGGACCGCAAGTACGGCTCTGCGCTCAAGGTCGACGAGGGCAATCTCAACGCACTGTTTGACGTTTACCAGGACCTGACCGATAAGAAGCAGGAGGACTTTAGATATGTACACTAGATGTTGCGGGGCAGTCGTATAGTACAGTTCATACACTATGGGTGGGTAGTAGGACCCATTGTGTAGGCGTATTCACAGCTACCAAGGTGTAAGGGGAGGTGCAAGTGGTATCGATGAGAATAAGCATGACCATGGGAGTGACCAAGAAAATGGCAGGCAGAGGCTAGCTCGTGGATACCGTACCTAGTTAGCAGCTTGAGAAAGAGTCTGTTCATGATATGTTCTTTATTATAGTTGCAGCCCGGCCCTTGATCGGTTAATTGAGCCCGAAGATCGATAAAGAGTCTGTTAATTATTGCCTGATCTGAATCTTCCGGGGCTCTTGAAGCTTTTATTCCCTTCCTCTAGCCTCGCTTAGCACAAGCTCAAACCCTCACCTCCAGCATCAACAATATCTCTCCAGCCGCCGACATGTTCTGGTCCTCTCAAGTCCCTGATCTTCCAGACTGCCTCTACAACCTCTCTCGCTATTCTGACATTTTCTAGCTCGCGAGTACGCTGTAGACTGACCAATCTCTCGAGAATAAACTTCCTGGCTGAATCGCCATCACCTTGACCGATACCCATCGTGCCTACGATGAAAAGTGTCCAGAGTAGGGCATGAGATCGAAGAGATATTTTGGGGATGAGGGCAAGGATCTGTCCCGTTATGCGACTGATTGGGGAGTGGCCGGGACATAACCTATCGACCCTAAAATAGAGATAGATCAGGGCAGATAGACGGCGAGTCTCGGCAATGTAGGCTAGCTCCTCCATGGTGCTCGAGCCGCGAGTAGCATAGCCTGGTAGATCTGATTTTTCAGGCGGAAGATGTTGTATCAGACCGTGGAGCTTCCTTTCGATGCTGTCGCGGTGTTCCTTGGGGGTTGCCGGGTGTTCTTGTTTAACGTCGTCTGCAGCCTCCAATAATTGGTCGCGAGAACCATAAGTTTGAGATTGCTTTCCCGTGGCAAGATCCGAAATACTCGAGATCAAGTATATCAGCTCGTGCGAGCACCCCAGTAGCGAATCGATGATGGTCATATCAATGTCAAGCTCAGGTGGGAACCATTGCATTGGCTGGCCATCATGAGGGTCAGATAGGGCCGAGGTCGTACGCGACAAAGCCTCGTGCTGAGCAAAGTAGGCAAAGAAGAACCTGTACAGTTCCTTCTGACCGGCTGACAAGTGTGCTTGGATGGGTAACCGACTCGAAAGGTTGCGAGCGCAGCGAAGGTGTACACGCCATGCAGAGGCACTATCATGGGAGATCTTGAAGGACAGAATGGCGTCAGAAGATGATGTTCATGACAAACCGTGGAAGGAGTTCGAAGCTGGACTTACATCAAAAAAGGTAAGCATCACGAGCGTGGAGATGACCTGCTCCCAGTCCACCGAGGACTCTCGCCTGCTCTGAAGCCGACCCATCTCGGCCTGAAATGCGCGGAGTGCCTTCCCCCTGTAAATCCAGATATCTTTCCTGAAGCGGGTGTCGTTGAGTAGCGAGAGCTGATGCGATGCGACCGCCATGACCATGTTGAAGAGCGGCTTGTTTAGACCGGACATGCAAATAGGGAGCATGGTTCTTGCAAAGGGATTGTCTGCAGACCAGGTTGTACATCGGGGGCTGACTCCATAGGTAAAATAGTCGAGCAAATACATCTCGTTGTCTCCTAGAGTGAGAGGAGGTGGGTTTCGAACGATGGGCCAGCTGGATGTCGGGCTACCCCATGTTGCTACCTGGGCCTGGTTCGTCGGTATCAGCGGCGACGTGTCGAAGCCATTCTCTTCGAAAATGCTGACATCTCGGACATCACCCAAGCACTGATTACTTCTAGGCAGTCTCTGAGTAGTTGTGGCCAGGGGATCTTCAGGTTCCGAGCAATGTCCTTTCTGGATACTGGGAGAAGCGAATGCCGCAACGGCTGGCGACGGGCTGGATTGCGAGTAATCTGACGCCTCGTCCAACGTTGAATCACCCCGAACGCCACCTTCATCTAGCTTTTGTTTGAAGTCCTGGCACGTGGTGTTCAAGAACATCCATTCGTGGGTCGGCAGAGCCAAGCCACCAACTCGTCCATTCTGCGGTCCTAAAGGCCAGTCAGGTTTGAAGTTGCCTTCATGCTGCCTCTGATTCGATATACCCCCTTCTTTGGACCACAAGCCTAAAAAAAGATATGCGTGAGCTTCCCGCATGTGCAGTTCATGGTGTCCAGCTTACCTGATCGACCGAAAGCTATACCTCTAGAGAAGGCTTCTTCGCGCCAGAGCAACCTGATGCCATACTGACAGGACAGGTTCAAACGCTCACAGGCGTTGCATATTGGTCGAGCCTCTGCTTATGGCGATCAGTCCGAGTACATGCATGGCGGGAGTTGAGACCGTATTACCATTGCATCTCACTTTGCGTTCTATGACGACTCCAATCAGTCTTCCGAAATGCTGACAAGTCAAGTCAACGCCGCCACTCACCTTTGCAGGGCCAGCAACCAGTTCGCCGTCGCTTGCCATTGCGTCGTATATCTTTGTTAGCTTCCATGCTAAGATGTGAGGGTGTAAAACTCGAGCTGTGGTAGGTGACGTAACTACAGATTCATGGAGCTGGGTGGTTTCGAAGGAGTGAGGGTTCATGTCCTCCCCTTTATACCGCGATAGCAGCACCTCACTAACGTTAGTGACAGGGGTTCCCCGCATTCTGAGATAACACTACAACGTCCACTCCAAGATGACACCAGTCGGCCACCGATAAGGTTCTCAATCGAGTCCATCCCGAAGCTGACTCGCCTAGTGCAGGCGCTGACTTGGCACAATCGAGCATCACCCTCATGAACTTGGTCACCATTCCAAACGAAGTCATCAACCACCATAATATTGTATTTAAACATAGTCTTAACGTATATTGGTATTGAATAGTATCATCATGACCATGCACAGACCACTGAATTTTCAGTCCTCGATTCATGACTCGGGACTGTGCGGCGACGACGCCAAAGAGCGTCCTCGACGACCTGACCACAACTCTCCCTGCCGATGCCGGACGAGAAGTTTAATTTACTGCTTGGGCTGTAGCATCGCTTGTAGTCTGTCATTTCATTTTCGTGCAAAGACTAACGGCTATCTGTTACGGCCATTCCAAACCCCGCTTACACAATGAAGCATTCTCAGCTTCCGTCACGCACAGGCCGAATACCGACAGCTATCAACACCGCTGTCACCACACCCTCTACATTGTCCGACGAACCATTTGTTCTAGGAAAGAAGTGGAAAGAGAAGAATATCACTGTACTGTGCGTCCTCGCTCCCTAGATCTTCGAGGTCGGCTTGATCAATGTTGACAGCTTGTCGATTCTCTCCTGGTCAAACGCGAAGCATTCAGGTAGACCAGTGTCGGCCCAAGGTTTGCCCAATATCATCTGGGCTACACCAGGTGCACAAGTAAAGATTCGCGCCATGCCTTTGTAGAATATTAGCATTGCTCGCTGGTGTGATGGAATGGGGAAACTGACCATGGCCGTTGAATCCAGCGCAGACAAACTGACCTGGCTTGCCTGGGACGGACCCCAAGAAGGGAATTTCATCATTGGTGAGACCAACAATGCCGTTCCAAGCATGAACAAGTCCCTCGCCGTACTTGGCCTTTTCGAGACCGGCATCCGGCAAGAGAGCCTTCAAGTGCGTAAAGGCGTCTTGCTTGATGGCGTCGTTGAAGTATGTGTCGTCAATCGTTCGGATGCCCTCTATGACGCTCTTGGGGAGCGCGGGATTGGGGAGCGAACATCCCAGGATAACGGTGCCGTCGCTTTGGCGTTGGATAATCGAGTAGTAATGGTTCAGGGAGTATCGGAGAGAGTAAGTGCTGGTCAGCACCTTGTTGCCGGTTAGAGAAGGGACAGGGACAATGGCGTGGGCCTGTCCGCGATACGGGATGATATGAGGTGCGAGCTGCGGCAGGAGGTGTCCCGTGAAGGCATTCGTGCAGTAGACGACTTTGGGGGTCGTGATGACTCCTCGAGGAGTCTGGATATCCCACAGTTGAGGCTGCCCATCTCTTTGGCTACCCAAGTACTTGGTGACGGCGGCAGCTGGACAAAAGGTGTACAGTTGTGCGCCCTTCTCGATGACAGCATCCAGCAGCCATTGAGCCAGCTTCGCCGGATGACTTGAGCCCGCCGGCCACTCATAAGCTGCCAGAACGCCGGCGATGCGGGTCTTGTTTGTTGCCTCCTCGCCGGTGTAACGTCGAACGTGCGAGACATCACCGCCAGCGGCCTTGAAGGCCTCGTAGTTTCTCCTGTCGTGTTCGGCAAACTCGGGCGACATGCAGCATTCGAAGGTCGTGGTGTAGTTGAAGTCGCAGGGGACATTGTGCTCGCGAACAAACTGGTTCACCTTTTCAAGAACGATTCGCTCGTTGGCAAGAATCTTTACGGCTTGCTCTTTGCCGTGGTGTCTTGCATACGTCTCGAAGCCCCGGAATGCGTCTAGCAGGTGAGTCGACCGTTAGTGGATCCATGCTACCAGACCAGAACGAAATGTCATATCCTTACCAGGCCTGACGTGACCAGCATTGCGAGAACTGGCACCACTGGCAGCCTCACGAGCCTCGAGAAGGACAATGTCTTTGCCGGGGACGCCGGCCTGTATCAGCTCATAGGCGAGCAACCCCCCAGCAATGCCAGTGCCAATGACGACGTAGGGCGAGGTCGACGGGACGGGCTGATATCGATTCGACTCGAGGTGGCGGTAGGTTCGAGTAGTCTGCTGCCAGAAACTCAGACCAGGGTCCCTGATGGGTGGCCCACGCTTGCGAGATTCAGGGGTGTTGACACGAGCGGCGAGAACGCCCACGTCGGATTCGGAGGCCATGTTTGTTCAAGGTAAAGGATTAAGGATGGGGAAATCAGATAAACTAGCAGACATATGCATTTGAGTGGTATGAGAAGAATTTCCAAGCTCATCTTTATAAGCATTCAAGACAAATTTCTGTATCTGAAAGCGATGTGCCCAGGGAGACGAGGAGCAGGTCGTTTGACCACATCGGCCGCTACGGCGTGGCGCCGACTGGTGCCCAAATTACAGGTTAGACGTAGCGTTGTGCCACATCGGCGGCAGGTCCGTAGCGGCCGATGTGGGTTTCTTTAGCCCGTTTACAAGGTTGTATCATTATCTCCTACAGGGTTAGTACACAATCGGCCACTTCAGGGAGACGTACCGTATGCTGTAGCTATGCAACCAGTACAATAACAAAATTTCTTCGCCGACATTTACAGGCCCAAGCTGTTTTGCATTCGTTTAATTCCATTTCCTTCACCTCGTACGTTTTTCCAAAGAGATGAGGAGGGACTACCCCACTGTTCAGTCTGATTTATCGCGAAAAGAACCATGCCGACGACTCCCAAGACCTCCTCTTCGGCCGCATCCCACAAGCGATCGACTCAGGCGTATGTACTGTCCCCTGACCATCCGGAACGAAGATTGGACTAAGACATTGCAGGTGCATAAGATGCAGAAATCGAAAGACAAAATGCAGTGGAGAATCTCCTTGTCGGACTTGCCTCCTAGCGCGCAAAGAGTGCGTGTATCTCGAGGTCCTGAAGCAGGTCAAAGTATCAGAGCAGTAAGTTCAAATCCTTTCCTACTCAGATAAGACTGTATTGAAGGGTCAGGTATCTCTCCCATCTGCAAGCTCAGCTGGTCTCTCGAGAATGTAAGTAAAGATCCTTAGTTCCACTGATCGTTGTTGACTCGTTGTTCAAGCTGCCCGGACTGAAACTAATATCGGGTCGACATCCAGCATAGTATCACCGCTCACCGGCACCGATGGAGCTTCAGAAGATATCCATAATCCTCTGGAGCAGGAGGTGGCGCAGCTAAGCATCAGTCCCTCGGGACAACGCCGTACGTTCCATCCGAGTCTTGCTTCCATACCTACAAATCATTAACGCACAGTTAGGCTATTTAGGGACTTCCTCTTCCATAAACCTTGGTCTAAGATTTCATAATATGGTCAAAACATTCCAGCACCAAGATGACGGGTTTGATCTCCAGATAGAGTGTCCAACCTACAGCGACGTCGCATGGCCGACTAGGCGGCCGTCGGTGTCTCCGCTTCCTCAACTCCCTCCCTACGAACACGCGAAGCAACTATACGCTGCCCAGTATGCCTACATTGGCAGCATATTCTCCTTTCTCAGCCCTACTGTGTTTGGCGAGCACATGCATGAGATTTATTCCAAGCCCCTGGATCTCACCGATCGACAAAACTGCTTGATCTACTGCCAGGTTCTTCTCATGTTTGCCTATGGGCAGATGTACTCGATCAACCAGTGGACCGGAAATGATGGTCCCCCTGGGTTTTCTTATTTTATGCAAGCGTTGGAATTGCTGCCGGATATCCATGAAGAGGGTTCTGTACTTCTTGTTGAAGTCTTGTCACTCGTAGGATACTTTATGCAGAATCTGAACCGACGAGATGCTGCATTTTCATATGTAAGTCGTCAAATCCGAGCATGGTTTGTTATGCCCACATCAAGACAGATTGGATTGGCTCTGCGAATGGCTATATCGCTCGGGCTACATCAAGAAGTCTCAGACCCAACACTAGATGAGACGGAGCGAGAGCATAGGCGACGACTCTGGTGGTCCGTCTATAGTATGGATAGGTAAGTCTCTCTTGACGCTCTTTTAAGGTCCCTACGCTTAACCATCCAGAATCATCTGTGCCAAATCTGGCAACCCCATCACGATCGCCGACGGGGACATCGGTGTCCGCTACCCTTCTACAATGGCACGAGTCGCACGACTATCTCCCATCACTGCAACTAGACCTAACAAATGTTTTAGACTGGAATAGAACCTGAAGGCTCTTCCGTTGCGGTCCTATACCACTACACCAAGCTTTCCCGAATTCTCGGCAACATCATGGAGAGTCCGTTATGTTCTCCTTCTGTTCCCTCTACTCTCACCTCTCTAACTAAAAAAAAACACCGCATAGACGTCTACCGCAAGTCTCGCAAAACCGGCTCCAACCTCGTCGAATCAGTTCAAACGATCATGGGTGACCTGGACCTGTGGCTGCGCAACCTGCCCCCCCAACTCCGGCTCGACTTCAACAAACCGGTCAAAAACATCTCGCGGGAATCCGTCAGCATGTTCTTGCACTACTACCAATGCATCAACATGACCGCAAGACCCCTCCTCTTTTACGTTGTGCAAAAGCGCCTACAGGACCTAGGTCGCAATGGCACGACGACGGCCGATTGGCGCGATGGGCTCTCGCATACCACCACCGTCGTCATCGAGGCGTGTATTTCCGCCGCATGCGCTTCGACTACCATTTTAGCCGCGGCTGCGGAACAGGATCTCGTCGGTTAGTTCTCCCTGGCTTAACATTGCTTGCTTCCGCGGCTGATATGCCCCATCTGATTAGCAACCTATGGCTTTATGGACGGCGATGACGCCTTCTCCGCGGCGTTAATCCTGGTCATGGTTGACGTTGCCTTTCCGCCTACGCCCCGTGAACATGAAGCCATGAACCAAGCGCTAGATATCCTGCGCGGCATGGCCGGTCGCGGCAACGGCCATATAGGCGCTCGCAGACAGTCGCTGCTCAACCTCCAGACCATGATCAACAAAATGCCGTCCGCTAGCCCAGCCACGCCTACAACAACATCAGCGCTCGAAGCAGGCTTCGATCCGCTGCTATCAGGTCCAGGGGATGTTTTGACTGGTTGGAGTGATGGCTGTGAAGCGAGCACTGGAATCGGTAGCATCAGGGATGGTGAAGGGAGTGGGAGTGGCGTCGCAGGGATCTTCCCTCCGTTAGACCCAAGCCCGGCGTTCAACCTCCCGTTTTCGGACCTAGGCACCACAATGGAGGATATGAATCTGTGGGAAGAGGTCTACGGGAACATGGATGTGAGCATAGATTTCGATTGGAACGAGGCCGCGAGGATTGCCAATGCGTATGGTGAAGAAGGGGGGGATTTTTAACAGGGGTAGTGACCTGGGTATTCTTCAGGGGCCGGCTCTACAAGTAACCTAAGTGCTAGTTACTCGGGTGTATTCCAACTACTGATGCTTTTACTTGCGCGCCTTGTGATGTTGAATTAGCTCGCCGTGTCGTGTGCCTCGGTGTGTTGACATTGTGTTCTTTGTTATAGTTGAAGCCTGGCGCTTGATGTGTTAACTAAGCTAGAAGATCGTGTGCCTCGGCATCGGTCGTGCTTCCCGATCTCTCCTATCTTAATCACGCCAAGGCTGTTGATCCAGGATCATCACAGCCTATCGGCATTATTGTTTGTAGGACACAAATCGGGTCGACATCCCGATCAACAGAGGAGCGGTCCTTGACGGACGCACAGACGGAGTCCAAGCCCTATCCTATCGGCTTGGATTTGAGACTATATATCGTTAAGAGAGGGGACATGTCCATGAGCTGATATGAACCATCGAGTCGGCTTTTCTCTTCTCTATTAGCCATCTAGAGGATCCTTTACTGGGAATATCACATACCATGGCAACTCAAAACGGAAAACCATCCAATCCAACCCCCAGCTACGTTGCATCGGAAGGCTCTGTCCTGTATGCCAACCGTGTGTTGTACACCCGCATCGCAGAGACAACAGCACGTAAGATTGTCCAAGACTTCATAGTCCCAATCAGGAGCGGAAGAGCCTGGTGTGTTCCCGCCGGACACATCTGCCGCATCAGCACGCCCGAAGGTCCTCAGGTCGGCGATTTAAACATCTGGAATCTGCAGAACCCGAGGGAGAAGTTCTGGGCAAGCAGGACGAAGCAGTTGCATGCCGCCCACGTGTCAACTTTCGACAGGCTATGGAGTTGTTTGCCCTTTTTGCGGCCGATGGTCACAATTATAGGTGACTCGTTGGGCGGGGACAAGTATGGGACTGATGCTGTGGGAGGGAGGGTGCATGATTTACTGGGCACCAGGTGTGATCCTTACGGTAAGTTGAGTCCCGGAATATGACGAACTTGATGCTAATGACCAGTTAGTGAACAAGATGCTGACCGGTCATGACTTTGACTATCATTGTCATTCGAATCTTACAAGGGCGATTATGCCTTGGGGACTAACTGAATATGATGTCCATGATGTGATCAATCTTTTCCAGGTCACGGGGCTAAACAGGGATGACAAGTACTTCATGTAAGATTTCTCTATTGGGCGCTGTTCCCATGTCTATAAACTGACGGCAATTGATAGGCGGCCATGCCCGGCAAAGCCTGGAGACTACATTGAGTTCTTCGCTGAGATCGATGTCCTCATGGGTTTATCCACTTGCCCTGGTGGTGATCTCTCGGCCTGGTCCTTTGGGGGTGGCGCGGACGATATGCTGGCTACATGCCGTCCGCTCAGGGTGGAAGTCTGGGAGATCACAGACCAGACAGTTCTGAAGGATTGGGAATCTTCTGAGCCGCCGGCATATAAGGGGCTCCACGGGATTGAATTGTCTTAATTGTAGAAATCTAAAGAGGATAGAGGATGTCAGTGCTCCCTTTCGGGTCAGGGTCCGCGCGTAAATGCAGCTCTTTTTCTAGACATCTTCACTCGTTCACGCCTCGATATGAAAGATACGGGTCAGCATGGAATAATTGAAATCACGCCACGGCACCCAGCCTTCTAGCTGAATGTCGGTCCTGACAGGAGTATTGGCATCGAAAACAATCGAGTCTAAGTTGACAGAGCCATCATACCTCGTCAGAACTTGGAGAGTGGTCGGGGTCTTTCACGTATGATGGTAAATTGATGCTTCACGTGAGATTCGGTGTGACTTTAAAGGACAGGAGAACACAAGCAATACATAGAGATCAAAGTCATCCACAAGGATAACCCTGCCTTCCAACAAATACATAGATGGAGTCGAGGCGCAGCAGCAAAGCTATTGTCCCTAGCTACCTCTCTATGATTGAGCATTCATTCACGAATGATTCAAAGTCCAAAGCTACCGCCCTGCAAGGATAGTACATGACTTAGACCGACCCCTGTGTAGCAGCAGTACCAAACTTGCCCATGCCATTACCGTCCTTCTGCAAGTATTCAGCAGGACTCTGGTGATCGTCCACATATCCAACACCGCCAACAGCCTTGTCTAATGAGAGGGTCAGCTCACTCATCGTTCCGGACACTTTGTGTGGGCATCCTCTTACAGTAGCCGGCTAGCCTAAGGATATCGTCAGGCAATTTACGAGCAACCTCGATAGGCGTGGAGAGGACCTCATACTGATCCTGGCGAAAGTAATCTCGCTGGCTGTGAAGGGAATCAAGATTTAGCAACAGCCATGTCAAGGAGGCAGGTCAAATGTTTACCCAAAGACAGCAAACAAGGTCCGCAGAGCATCGGGGTCGGTCTTTTCGCACTTGTTTTCCCCAGCACCGTGGTAAGTGGCTGTGGAAAGAGTGAATGAGCGGTAAGCATGCAAATTTCTGGCCAGGGGGGACTCACAGCCGAGAGTGAAGAGTGCAGATCCAGCTTCCATCTCCGCGTACGTGCACTCCTCGGCCTTGGGCGCGCGGTCAGGGCCCCAGAGGTGACTTCCGGGGATGACGGCAGTGGCCTGAAGCCAGCCAAGAGGGGTCAGTCAGTGTCTGGATGAAAGACAGCCATTGGATCAAACTTACGCCATTCTTGTAGGTGCACTTGGATCCTGCAATCAAACAGCCGACCATGGGAGTAAAGAGGGGGTCGTTGGCATCGCGGGTCTGGTAGTTGACGTCGTCCTGCGTGTTCAGCATTACTTGGGCATGCTCTCTCAAGCAATCGGATAGCTTACTCTATGCAGCGGCTGCGACTCGGCTCCTGGCACAAGGCGAATCGCCACGGTTGATGAAAGTATGTATCCGCTCTTTTTGCGATCCAGATGGTCGCCTGTGTACGCCTCGAACTCTCCGCTGGGGCTCTACTTTAGCTTCATCACTTGGCTTGAGGCATCTGAATCAGCTTACTTCAAGAAGCGCGCCATGATACCTTGCCAGACGGGGAGGCGAATGATCTTGACAATCTGGTCTGGCGTCTTAGACAAGAGACCCTGTGACACACGTTAGATTGATCAACAGAAGTGACGGAAACGCTGCACTGCACGCACGTAAACACGCTGCGAGCCCTCCGGAAAGAAGTCGGCGCCGAACTCCCCGTGGGTTGATTTAGAGTTATATAGCTTGCGGCCGGAGAAGAATGGCTCGACTATTGAATAAATTAGCTGCTTTGTGCATAGAGGCTACTTGTCAACTCCAGTACTCACTGGCATCCATCGACTCCTTCAAAAGCTCAGGCTCAAGAAAGTTGGAGACGATGACCCCGCCATCTCGGACGATGATGTCCAAGATCTTCTCAAGGGGCTCAGAGGCGGAGATGGTGACGAGCGAGGGAACCATTGCTGGGTCTTGGGTCAAGTTTGGATAATAGATGAGAGGCGGCAGGAACAGGAGGTGATGCGCTGATGGCCTAATGCTCAGGGGTGATGAATGTCAGTCATATAAGGTTCACTAGGTAATATGAATCCACCTTGATCGGCCGTGGTGTCCGGTGCTATGTATTTTGATCGGGAGTAGCTGCCGATCAGATTGGGATTGATCGGGAGTCGCATCTAATGCAGTCTCTTCTGATTGGGATGGCTTCCGAGGCGATCGGTTTGATCGGCCGCGGCTTCGAGGGCTAGTTGACATGAGACTTGTCTTAAGGGGTGGACCTTTTCCTTTTATTCGATGGATGAAGGACAAAGGTGCATAGTTGATTAGAAGAATACGCTGCTTTCGTCTCTCATACTCTTCCATCACGATATTACAATGGATCGTTCCGTCAGTTCTCGCAATGACACCAAAGACCTTGATAAAAGTGAAGTTGGGGAATTAACCACGGTGAACTCACTGGGGATTGGACAAGTGGCCATGGTGAGTTGGTTCCTTCGTTTCTACGTATTGATCAAGGCTGATTTTCTCTTTTACGCGGTATAGGCGACCGAAATTCCTCAGTCCTCGGGCACTGAACCCAAGCCAGATGGAACAGACCTCGACACGGAAATCATGCACGCAGTAAACCATCGCCGACTAAAGCCCAGACAGATTCAGTTATTTGCCATTGCCGGATCCATCGGAAAGTGCGTCACTGGGGAAATAGGATACTGCTAGCTGTGGTGCTAACGACCCCTTTTTACTACAGCACTCTCTTCGTGGCTATTGGCAACGGTGTTCTTTCCGGGCCTCTCTGCCTTTTACTTGCCTTTATCTTCTGGGCCAGCGTCATCTGGTCTATTGCCCAATGCCGTAAGTTGAAAGCCCTCCGCAGCCAGCTTTCATCCACATGCTGACGTTCGTATATAGAGACCGAGATAATCACCCTGTTCCCTGTAGATGGGGCTCCCCTTCGTCTAGCTGGCCGCATGGTTGATCCCGCTCTCGGTGTAGCCGCCGGCTGGAATTACTTTGTGCGTAGAGATTTCGGTGCATTGTGCAGTTTCTGGCTAACAAGCGACAGTTCATAATGACATCCTACGTCGTCTTCGAAGCCACCGTTATCAACACAGTCGTCGAGTACTGGGGCTATGACAAATCCCCCGCCATCCTCATATCTGGTAGAGTAGTCAGCATCCAGAAGCCTGATCAGCATTTAACTAGTCTACAGTCTCGTTATTCTTCTTCTTCGCCATCAACGTCTACCGGGCAGATCTCTTCGGAGAAGTTGAGTGTAAGCAAGATTTGGCACTCCTATTGTCGCTCCGCTGACTGTTGACTCTTTCTAGTCTGGATAGCTTTGGGCAAAGTCATGCTTGTTATCGGCCTCATGTTCTACACCTTGGTTACCATGCTGGGAGGGAATCCCTTGCACGATCGCTTTGGCTTCCGGTACTGGAAAGACCCTGGCGTATGGGCCGGGGCCACCCCAACCACACGGCTGCAGTCCTTTGTCAACGCTGTCAACGTCGCTGGCTATTGCATGGGAGGGCCCGAGTATATTTCAATGATTGCTGGCGAGTCCAAAGATCCTCGGCGAACCATGCCGCGAGCCTTCAACACCATCGTCACGCGGCTTGTTGTCTTCTTCATTGGCGGCGCCCTCTGTGTCGGTATCCTCGTCCCGTACAACGATGAAACTCTAACTGGCGGCTCTGCTAAAACATACACCGGCGCATCCCCGTACGTCATCTCCATGGAACGCCTGCAGATTCCGGTCCTGCCATCGATCCTTACTGCCGCTCTCATCACGTCCATGATATCGGCCGGCAATTGTTTCACATTCAGCGCCTCGCGAAGCTTGCATGCTCTGGCTCTGGAGGGGCAGGCACCAAAGTTCCTGCGTCGGTTGAATAAGAATGGCGTCCCCTACATGGCCGTCATTGTCGTCATGCTCCTATCTTGCCTGGCCTATCTGGCTCTGGGCTCCAGTAGTGCCCAGGTACTCAATTGGATTCTGAACTTTGGCACTGCTGGCGCCATGTTCAACTGGTGCATCATGGCCATGACATGGATTCGCTTCGACGCTGCCATCAAGGCGCAGGGCCTCGACAGGAAGACGCTTCTCCCCTCCATATCGCGGTTCCAGCCCTTTGCAGGCTACTGGGCTTTCTTCTGGGCTTTCCTCTTCCTCTGGCTGCAGGGATACACCGTATTTCTAAAGGGCAACTGGAAAGTCTCTACCTTCATATTTAACTATGGCATCATTGCTTTTGCCGCCGCTCTTGGTCTCGGCTGGAAGATCATCAAACGCACGCCATTTTACCGCAGCGAGGACGTTGATCTCGTATCGGGCCTCCAGTTCTTCGATGCCCTTACTGAACACTACCGACAAGAGCGCGAGGGTGCACCAGTGACGGTCAAGGATAAGCTCCTTGCCAAGCTTTTCTAAGGGTACTTGATGATATGGAATGGATAAAGCCCGAGTCTTTGCTCAGACGTGAGCAGTCGGCGATCATCATCATAGCATCCAATGCACTCATTAGTTTATATAAGGCGACGTCATGGTTTGATAGCTTCCTCCCTATAAAATTGCGCCCGAGCTAGGTAATTCGAGATCGATACACGAGCTTTTTATGAAGTAGCAGGAAACCTAAAACCCTAGAGTTGCCCAGATATGCAATGTTGATGATGATAGCAAACATTCAGTTCCCACCGGCTTCGCCGGTTCCCTTCTTTTGCTGGCTACATTTCCAATTTGACCGTTGTGTGCAACAGACTCGACAGCCTGTCCACTCTGAACTGGCTGAACTGGAAACACCCAAGCAGCCCAGTCTCATTCCATGAACCTCCCAGGATCATCTTTGCAACTCCTAGTGCACTGGTGAAGAGGCAAACCAGGCCTGGAAGATGGAAAGGAAGAAAGAAAGTTAGTGACTAGGATTTGCGCCCATGTGCTTGGACGCTGTCGCCCACAACCACTGAACGAGCTTGGCCCGGTGACTCGAGCCCGCGGGCCACTTGTATGCAGCTGGCACATTCGTGACCCCTGTCTTGTTGGCCGCTTCCTCGGATAGGTACTTGACGTGCGAGACATCACCGCCGGCTGCGCAGAAGCCCTTAAAGTTCTTCCTTTCGTACTAGACACATACGACTAATGGGCGCCGCATCGGCGGACGCTACGGCGATGCCACCGACGGCTAGTTCCCTGCAACAAAGCGGGACTGCAGGGAGCACGAACGAATAGAAAGAAGTGGCAAGGATAAAGAGGAGCCACATCGGCCGCTACGGTCTTGATACCGGTTCCAGCAGGTTTGCTCGCTGAAGTCGCTGCACAATTTTGAGGGGCTGATGCAACATCACAAGGGTTTAATACTGCATGATAAAGAATAAACGTTACTGAATCGCACGGATAGTAACCGATTGGGTTGGTTAGGTCTGGGTAGCCGAGTATCATATCCGAAGAGGCTTGACTCGTGTGCTCGGTCGATACTAGCCCTCGTCTACACACACAGACAGGCCCCCAATCCCGACGTGTCTAGACCGACAGGCATCTTACCCCGGATTCCCCAGATAACATCCTCATATCTCATCTACTCGGCCCAGATCCATGATAAAAGAAACGACTCGACCCGACATCCCCTCCAACAATTACCTTGACGGTACGCCTTGAGTCTCTTCCTTCAAATCGAGTCATCGAGACCACACCCCGAGTCTTACACACCGTGTGCTACTTCCTCCCCCTTGACACAGCGCCCAACATTTGCTTGCTCCCTTGGCAAATCTCAAAAACAATGCTCGGCTTCAGTCGTTTCAAAGTCCCATCGGCATTGGCACCTGCCGGGTCGAAGCAGGAGAGGAGCCTTGTGAGGAGGCTCGATATGTTCCTCTTGACTTTTGGCTGCTTTGCTCAGAGTGAGTAGATTCTGATGCCCTCTTTCAATTGGTTCAAATGACTGACGTTTATAGTCATCAAGTATGCATACTCTGTGGGTTCTGATAAAAAGTAACTAATGATTTCAGGTCCTTGGATCAGTCGAATATCCAGAACGCCTATGTCTCGGGCATGAAAGAGGACTTGCACCTCTGGGGCAATGAGCTGAACTAGTATGCGCGGCACGGCTCTCTCGCAGTTTCTCTAACGCTAACATCTTCTTCCCAGCTTCACAACCTACTTCAACATCGCTTACTGCGTCATGCTCATCCCCTCTCAGATCATCATCACCTACGTCCGACCCAGCGTTTGGCTGCCCTCCCTCGAAGTTGTCTGGGGCGTCATCACGGGATTGTCCGCCATCACCAAGAATGCGAAGCAGGTCTACATTCTCCGTGTCTTCCTGGGGCTGTGTGAGAGCACGGCGTACCCTGGAATGATCACGCTGTTCAGTACGTGTACTCTCATCGAGTATGGTATCCCTCGGCTAACAACTGTAGTGTCGTGGTACACCCCTCTTGAGATGGCAAAGAGAATCGGCTTCTATCACTCGTGTCAAGCAATTGGGCAGATTATCTCTGGCGCGATGCAGGCAGCTATCGTCAAGTCGTTGGAAGGACGACACGGCCTGTCAGGTTGGAGGCATGCTACCACACTCAATTTGAGGGGACAGAACTGACCAAGCAAAATAGATGGCTATTTGTTGTCAACGCAATCATCACTGTGGTTCAAGGCGCCGCGGGCTACTTCATGATCCCCGATTACCCCAACAACCCGAACCCCCGCGCAATCTGGTTCAAGCGAACTCATGCAGAGCTTGCTATGCATCGACTTGATAGGGAGGGCCGCGTCGACATAAAGCCAATCACTTGGGCTGCTGCCAAGTACCTATATCCCCCGCCTACGTTGTACGGAACAGGTAGCTGATTCTTGACAGACGCACGTTTACCAACTGGCTGGTCTATGTCATCACCGTCATGTACATTGCCATGGTCGTTGGAACATTGGGCTACAACTACTTCAACTTGTTCTTGAAAGCTCTGACGAACAGCGACGGAACGCGTAGATGGTCCACTGAGGAGGTCAACCTCATCCCGATCGGTGGTAGTGTCATCACGGTTGTTTTTGGTCAGTCTTGCTGTAAATCCATCGTTGCGTTTAGCTAACCAGCATGCAGTATGGATCTGGGCCTTCTTGTCTGATATCCTGAAAACGAGATGGGCTCTGATTGTCACTCAAGGTACCCAGCTGAAAAGTGTCTGCCATCATTGGATATGCTAATAAATCTGTCTTAGCCGGCATTGCCGTTATTGTGGGAATCATCCTGACCATTTGGACAACAAACCCCACCGGAACACCGGTTTCGTCCGCATACGCCGGCTACTTTCTGTCTACCCTTTCGCTTGGTACCGCGCCGCTCGTATGGACGTGGCTTTCTGACCTGTAATTACCCTTGACTCGTTGCGGAAGGCCGGAGACTCTAACTAGACTGTGTTATAGTGCCCCTCAAGAACCTGAAGAGCGATCTCTTACCGTTGGTGTCGCCATCGCGGGTTACTACGCAGTTTCAGCATGGAGTCAAGTTCTCGTCTGGCCTGCTAAGCAAGCCCCTTACTGTAAGCAACTTTGCCTGGTGGTCAGCGACTTTTTTGGATCCTTGCTCATATCGATACTTTTTAGACAAGCATGGCTGGCAGTCGTCTATTGGCCTTTGCAGCTTTGTTATCATTGTGGCCGTCACCTTGCGCGTGATTGAGCTGAAAGTCATCCTAGTAAGTCTGGTGACACAGAAGCGCTCTCTAGAGCACCTGACTAATGTATTTCCCTAGCCTAAAAGGGACAACGCTATTGAGGGCACCGAGGAAGGAAGAAATCGTGCTAGCAAAGATGAGGAAGACGTAAAGGAGCCGTCCAAGGCGAGTGTCGAGTGTCCCTGAAGAGTCTGGTTCACTACTAGCTCAAGGCAAGGCAAGAACGAAACGGGGCTCACAGGTTCAAAGATGTCTATCCTAACGATCTATACGACTCTTTCTGGGTAAGATTCTTGTCCAAAGAATAACACAGAGTAGCTCGGTAGATAAATGTACTTGCGGTGATTAAATCCTAAGACAGTTGGCAGGCTAGAGTTGGGTTTGTCTACATGTTTATCTACAATTGATAACGGACTCTCCTTGTGCTTGTCATTATGATTGCTTGAGATAGTAACAAAGACCCATCAGCCACAATAGCAAAATACACAGTTATTGATGCATGACGACGTCAAACCCCGACATGGTAAAGCATCGTGGCATATGTACCTAGGGTAAGGTACACCCTCGGGAAATAATGAGTGATGTCGCACTTCTAACTCAGTTTGAGGAAGCAGAGCCACAAGGCCTACCCTGAGTAATGTAAAACTACTAGCGTTATAAGAGGCACTTAATTACACAGCCATACATCGTAGTTATCCGAACTATCAATATATCTTGATGTGGTTGTGCCTAATCTCCGTCGGATTGGATTAAGTATTGAACCGATAGTCTCCTCTAGACCTCATTGGGCATATCTAGAACTTTAACATCCCTCGGATACGGTTAAATTACGGAGCAAGAACCATTCGCTATCCTCGCAATCAAGGCATCTATCTTGGTCACGCATACTTCCACCGTAACAGTGTAAGGACGATCCTTGGCCGAAAATGCTTAGACCCAAGGGACGCAATATCACGGCATGTTATAACTGCCATCGTCAGAAAGTTAAATGCAGTGGCGGTAAGTGATGGAAAACCACATCCTATTCCCCGCATGCTCAACTCTCACAGAGCAGCCGTGTCAGCGATGCGCCGCCAGACAAAAGCCTTGTCTCTATCCAAAGCAGGATACAATTGTCCCCGTTCCGGAGAGCTACCTGCAGCGCATAGATCGTTCTTTAAATGAGCTGACCGAGGCCATCCGAAACCATACGCTAGATGCTGGTGGCAAAACAGCAGATGTGTCTCGCAGCCAGACCAATGTTCCCAGTCAGCAATTCGAGGGTCGGCTAGCACGTCCTGTGGCTGACGCGATGATTGGAAACTCTACTTCTGAAGCGTTTGTCCTCAAACTAAGGGAGACGGGGAGCTTTGCCCGTCGATCCGAGGACGGCTTTGAGGCCGGACCGTCTCTTGATCACTCGAGTCCGCACACTCAACAAGGCCATGCGAGGATGAGATTTGATACCTTTCGTATGTCAAAAATCTCACTTGGTGATTTACTACGAACTCTGCGGGTGCTAATCCTTGCTTCAGTCCCCAATATAACACTTCAGCTTCCCCCATACTCCTACGCTACGCAACTAATGACCAGAGCCGAACAAGAGTTTGGTGACTATCATACCTTTCTCCGCAAATCGTTTTGGAAGCGATTTCATGCCACGTACAATGGCGATGAATATGAGGCTAACGACAGGAACTGGCTGTGTCGCTTGTCCCTTGTTCTAGCCCTTGCCGAAGCCAACACGACGACAAGACGACCTATTCAGGTCACTGTGGATGAAGGGGTCGTCGAGGCTTTTCCTACCCCTGGTGTCGTCGCATTGGAACAGGAAACGGCCCCAATTTTGTCTGCGGGGGTTGAGCTTTTTGAGCAAGGCCTCATATTGCTAAAGGTGGCTTATGAAGAACCTACTGTCGATGATGTCGAGGCTCTCAATTTGGCTGTCAGCGACTCCCCATTCACCTTTCACTTCCTAGAACTGAACTAATCAATGCTCGAGGTTATAGTCCCATTGCTCCCACATCCTCAACCGCCGTATGTCAGCCTATTCATATGCAGGGCAGAGCATCCGAATCGCTCATTGCCTGGGTCTGGACCGCCCGGCGTCAGCCTCCTTATCCAATCTCGAACGTGAGCACAGAAAGCGGGTTTGGTGGACCGCGTTCTGCGTGGACCGCGCGATTAGCACTGAGCTTGGCCTGCGTCCAGCCTATGTTGGGGTGGGCGAGGATCCAGACTACCCGAGTTCAAACGGGTTGACTGCAGAAGAGAAAGAAGAGTTTTACGATCCAGACCTGCTTACGGCACAGATCAAGTTATGCGAGATCAAATGTGCCGTGGTTGACACAGTCAGTCAGTTGAAGAGTAAAGATATTGCTGGCCCGTACCAAGTTCTGGGCCAATGTCTGCAAAGACTAGATCGATGTGGGAGAGAGATGCCTGAAAAGGTATTTGCTGGATCAGACTCGAGTCCCTCACCACCTGAACGCCGTATATGCGCGTCCATCGCGTTACGCTTTCATCAGGTATGCTCTCTCTATCTACCTAGCCTTTCCTGCCGCTTACACCCATTTCTCAGTGCTACATCTTACTTCTTCGACCTGTTCTCCTCTACCAGTTTACGTTCCTGCTTCGGACTGAAGCCGTCACCACTCTCTCAGATGAGCTTTGCACAGTTAACAATATTTGTCTTCATGCGGCGCGGAGCAATGCTTTCATCATGCTCGAGAACGCGCAGTCGGGAAACCTAGGTTAGCCGTTTCACATTCACAAGTATATCATCGAAGCTGACCTTGACAGTAAACTATGGCTACTGGGACTCGGCGCACCTCTTTTCGTGTCTTTCCGTCCTTGCTATTGCTGGTCCCATGCTTAGCAAACACCCCAACGCTTTTCAGTGTACCAGGGACGACATTGCACGCGATGCAATTACCCACCGAAAGGCTCGCAATATTTTGGTCTACATGGCACGAGCTGGGAACTTGGCTTCAAAGCGCCATCTTGGCATGCTCGAGGAGGTGGAGAGAGACGGAGTCACTTTATCAGCACAACCAAACCCGGCGCCACGTCCCTGGAATGGCACGATAGCAACATCGGAAACGAGGAATATGGAGGTTGATCTAGGTTTTGAGGACTGGCCGAGACTAATGACCATACCAGACTCTGAATCCAGCGTGGTCGATCCGTTCTCAATATCATAATGTACTGTATATCTGCCGCATAACCTCATCGGTTAGCAGGCGTCGAATGAACAGTTTCATCGACTTTTTGGCACAGACGATATTTTAGTATCTCGAGAGAGTTTACCAAAGATATCATAGGACTAGATTACCGTTGAGCTCTGTATCTAGTACCTGTAGGTTAGCATAGTTAGCCGGGAGTAGAAAATGGAGCGCCATATAAAAACATGCCTGGAAAGGAGAAATGTGTCCAAATCTTAATAAATTGGTTTCAGACTGCCCAAGTACTTCTCCAGATCTTGGTAAAAAACACAGGTTCAAATTCGCGTATCAAACATTCACTTCCTCTACACAAGAAGCTCTCCCAACACATCTCTCACTGCAATAGGTACATGCCAAATTATCAATCTGATCCGGTCATCTCTTCCGCTATGTTTGCCTCATACTCGTCAATAGGCTCCGCGTGTACACCGTTCGATGGTGATCCTGGCCACAGACTTGCTCCAGCAAGGGAAGACACCACTGCGCGAGAGCAATCGCTTCCTTGTAGCGTTTCTGCCGCTTATACACCCCTGCGAGAACAGAAGTTGCCCACAGGGTAAGTCTATCATCATGCCCCCGGGTCCTTGTCAGTCTCTCCACTGCCGGCTTCAACAACTCCTCTGCTTCCGTGTACTGCTGAAAGTCCATGTGTGCTATTGCCAGGTTGACTGCGTCTGTGTCGTATTGACTGTCTTTCTCCGAATCTCTGTTGACCTCTTCCAGTAGAGTAAAGAGTTTGAGACCTTCCTCCTTCTTGTCGTTCTTTCGGTAGAGGCCCGCAAGCCGCCTCATGGTGGTGAGCGTACTGTGATGATCCTCCCCGAGAGTCCTCTTTTGTTTCTCAATAACGGATAGAAATAGGTCCTCCGCTTCTTTGAAACGCTCCTGCTTGCAGTATGAGTCTGCCAGGAGGTCCATCGAGGTGAGGGTGTTGGTGTGCTCTTCGCCAAGGGTCCGAGTTCTGATCTCAACGAGCTCCGCCAAGAGAGCTTCTTCTTCCTGGAATCGACACTCGCGGCCCAAGAATAGAGCCGTGTGGTCTATCAAGCTTTGCGTCTTTACGTCTTCCCTGCCCCAGACCGCCTCGGCTCTTGCCAATGCCTTTTTAGACAACTCGATTGCTGTTTCGCCTCTCTGGGTATCGCTGAAATACAATGCGCAGCGTCTCAGCAAGACGACCCAGTCACTGAGGCTGTCACTGCCAGGCTCTTCATCAAACAGGTGTTCAACATGAGGAAGAATTGCTTGGCAAGTGGATCGGTTCCCAGCACCTGGTAAACTCGGAAACTGAGCGGTCATGGCACTCAAGAAACGGCGCTTCCAGTACTCCATCTTCCCAGACTGGGTCAGCCAAGCGTGTGTGCAGGTTTGTATCAAAGGGTGCATCTGATAGGTATCTCCTGAGGCTGAATCTGATACGAGAGCCAACGCGCGGAGGGTATTCAGATCGTTGCTTAGCTTGCGATTGGCCTTCCAATCAGCCTCGAACGTGTACCGCTGCAACCCTAAGGTAGGGATCTCTTGAGGATTGAAAAGGCTCATCAAAGAGAGCAGCCTCGCCACAGATGGTTGTCTCTGTTCCATTCGTCTAATCGTGATTTCCCATGCTGCAACAACAGGAGCCGAGATAGACTCGTCTAGTGCAAGATGGCCCCCTTCCTTGTTCAGAAGACTATCCTTTTTCTGGTCAACTGTCGAGAATTGATCCAGATAGCTTTCAGTCGTCATATCGGGTGCACAATGAATCATGAAGGCGGAGGCAATGGATATTGCAAGTGGGCAGTGATTCAGAGTTCGAACAAGTTTCCGAGCTTCATTGGCATCGTAGCTGTCTTCAAGTTGGGTCCGATTTATCTTTCCTCGAAAGAGGCGCATGGCTTGGGCGTCGCTCATTTCCTCGACGTCGTAGATGGCCTTAGGGAGTACACTGAGACCCTCGGCAACAGCTTGGCTGCGCGTGGTAGAGATGAGGCAACCGTTGCGCCGCGATGGGAGGAGCTCTGCAAGCCGAGTGTCATCGTCTTTGGAAGAAAAGACGTCGTCCTCGACATTATCAAGGACCATAACCCATGGCCCTGCCTCTTCCTTGTTGAGCCAGTCACTGACGAGTCCAAGGTGGTTGGCTTTGGGATTGTAGCGTCCCGGGAGTTGGAGTGTGTCTGCGAGACATCGGAACGAGTGTTCAACCATTGTCTTGGAGCTTCCGTCTATCCAAAAGACGCTACACTTGTGGTTCTTTTCGTGCATTTTTTCAGCAAATTGGAGTGCCATCTGTGATTTTCTGTATTGTGTCAGTCAGTCTAGGAGTGTAACGTGATGGGTTCGAAATCTCATACCCAAGCCCGTCTTTGCCGACTAATGCAATACGCCCAGAATGACTATCATGCTGTTCCTTCATCCATTTGAGAATCTCGGGTCGATTGATAAAGTCTGGGTTGGGTAGGAATGGGACACTGAAGCAGCCAATGCGAGATGCAATGTCCAGATGCTGGTGAGAGACGTTGTCGAGTCCACGAACAATGTTGCCGAGTATTCCGCTTGAAGCACATCCATTAGCCATCCTCTTCCTCTACTGTTGCATTTCAAACTTACTTTTTATCGGGTTCCAAGCCGAGAGTGATGACCTGCTCGTAACGCTCGAGTTTTAAGATGATTTTGTCAACCTGGTCACTGTTCCATGGCCACTTCAATGAATTCACGCCGAATCGCCGCGGCACGTTTTTCCCTCTATTCTTCTCCAAGTTATTCTTGATAGTAGAGAGGTTCTTGCTGCAGCCATCGATGACATCAAGGGTTTCTTGGGATACGGCAAGGTTTCGACTTGAGGGGCTCACGACGACCTTCTGGGTGCCTTTGAGGGCTGTACCAAGATGCTCTATGCAAGACTTTAGCTTTGCGATGTCTGGGTTATTGGTGTCTGCAGAAGAGAATTCGAGGCATAAAATAGCGACTTGTTCAGAGAGATCAATGATGGCGGCGATATTCGCGGCTAGTTCGGCTTTTTCGACCATGGTGATGAGATTAATTTTGTACTGATGTGACAAACAAAAAATGAATCAGAGGGAGAATCATCACGATGCGGGGAATCTTCAGAGCCCGATTCTTCACTCATCGGTTCCATCACCTGACAATGTCGCCCGAGGCATAATTCCCAGGCTGCAAGTGTTGGTGTCTGCCTTGTATGGGATAAGGGAGGGGTAACTTGCAGCTGCAAGCAAAAGAGGGTGTGGGCAAATGGGCCAATATTGAGATAAGCACTCTGGTTACGATTGGAGTTTCTATGGATAAAAAGTGATGCGATGGAATAATACGCATTAAGCTCGCGTGCTGATGCGCGTATGGCGATGCCTTGGATCAAGTAAAAGGTGGTGTTGAATGTGTTGGCACGCCGGTCAACAAAGCATTAAGCTATCCTCCCCTGAGGCACCTATAACGCATTAGATCATCATCCCATGAGGTGCCGCTAAGTATATAGTACTAGAAGGCTGGCAAAATAGCGATCTCGAACATTAGGCAGTATTGAGATACGTCTTCTAGTCCTCTGGTATCTTTTTATGCCGTAATTACGCAACCGGGCTTATCAAGAATATCACAACGTCGCAAGTCTCATGTACCTTTTAACACACCTATCTTAGTCCCACATGACTATCTAGCAGATATTTACCGTCGCTGTTGTGGCTTCCATCCCAAAATGATCCAGAAAAGTCATGGTTTCGTCAGGCGCTCCTCTCCTCCTCCTCACCTGAGCCCTCAAGAGCCCAACGCGTCGAAACAGATTTTGCTCAGGCTGCAGAACAAGAAAAGTAGCCGACTTGACCTTTTCATCCACCGTTTCTCTCATCATCTCTACAATAACCAATTCCACCTCTGTGTCATCCATTTCCCAGTTCTGAACATCTGGATGAAAGGTCCAGCTCCCACCCAACTCTCCGTACAGCTTGGCGTTCTTGAACTGTAATTCCCGCACTCTTCTGCCTTTCATATCGACTGAAGACATAGTAATAGTAACAAATCGGCTTTCAATAGCCAGTATGGCTCGGTCCAAATGACCCAGTAATGACGGAGGGTCGGGCTCGCAGCTAATCTCAAGGACTGTAGCCACCGCCTTCATGTTGTCATTGTCAAGGTCGGTCTGGCACCAGAGTGTCGCCAGTCCTCCTGAAACAGACCCCCAAGACCAGGACGGGATGCCCTTCAGTTCGTCGGGTCTTTCTCCATTTTCGAGAATTGACCAGCAAAGGTCCTCAATAAGACAATCTTCCCATAGACCTGCCAAGTATCTACCTGTGACTCCCTTCGCTAGGCGCGTTACCACTCCCGCAGCAGCAGGAAGTCTGTCCTTGTAGTATGTGAAGTTGAGATTCATGATAGCCTCAACGTTGTCATACCACATTCTCCGTCTGGACTTCTTGTCTGCTATATCCAGACCAGTCTTGGCGACGCTGAGTACCTGATTCGTCGTATAATCAGACCGCGGCTGCTTGGGTATGACGCCACATTGGCAATGTGTAGCAGAGTGACACTCCCACATGAGTTCTCTCCTTCCAAAGTGAAGGAAGCGGCGAGATAAAATGTGTTCTTGGTAAACCCATCCTCGGGTCATCAGTGGGAACTCCGCGAGTGCATCCTGCTCGTCTTCAAAGACGTGGTTGATTGAGGTTCGAGCAACGAGGTAGTACTGTTCTCCGCGTTCATTAGTGCCATCCAGCACAAGAGGCTGATCCTCGACATGGGGTTCAGGGAATAATCCAACGGTTCCGTCAGGAGCTGCTGTTGCTGCCAGAGTGACATGGGCGTTGGTGTAGTACGTCGCCATTTTGACGGCCTCTTGTTCCCAGTCATCAGCGTCGTCCTGTACGATGCATAGCGAGTCAATCCAGATAAACTCCAGTCCTAACCGCAGACAAAACTCGATGGCATCTTGAAAAGTGGTTGACAGAGCGTTCCACGGGATTTCGTCCTGATGTTGGCTGAAGTTGCTTCTCGTCGTGGTGATTATCTGATGCTTGCCCCAGCAATGGCTCAAACAGGCATATACACCTTGGGTATCTTGAGACGGCTCGTGAAGACGCACTGTACACACGCCAGGCTCTGACCCAGGAACAATCTGAACGACTCGTTTTGGGAGCTTGGTCCGAGTTCTCCGACAATCAGGATGATTTTTCTGACAATCATCAATCCATTCCTTAGCCTGCACAGCCAAAGCTTGGCGGTCGGAAGAAATAACGGAACCTCCACCAAATAACGGCCAGGGATTGGGTTTGTCTCACTCTTGTCAGCACAGTCAGACAAAAGCTGAGCTATTTGGGAGCTACCTTGTACGGCAAAGATGTGAAGAACGCGCGGTTTCCAGCCACCGGGTATCATCTCCAGAGGATCATCTTCTGTGCCGGGGAACTCTTTCGGCGAGACACTCAGCCCGAAGACATCGTTGGACCGTTGATATCCTTGTCCGCCAAAATGAGAGAAATACAGCTGGAAGAAGGCTGGCTTGGCAAAAACCTCGGGGAAAGAGTGCCGCACAGCCTTAAGCAGGAGACTGCACGTTTGACACTTTTCTGAAGACGCTATAATATCCTCAAGATAACAGTAGTAAGCTTCCCCGTGGCGCTTGCGTTCCAAGAGCTCCTTGTCGGGGTCGAGGCAGACGTTGCATTTCGGCAGTTGAGGGGTCATTCCGGCTGTTCAAGCCATGGATGTCTCGGGGATGTGATCCAAGACAACGGCAAGGAGAGTTTCAGAATGGGTTCTATTAAGAGCAGACCCTTGTTGAGGCTTTAAGTGTGGCTGTCGGGTAGAGGCTGAAAAGTCGGTCTAGGGCCAAATGCGACGTTAACCCCTGCAGTGCGTCGCATACGCGGTTAACCAGATGAGGGAACTGGTGGCTCCAGGAATAAGGTTTTAGAGTTATTCCAGCAGCTGAAATTCCTTGAAGAAGCTTGACATCCTCTTGTTAAAGTATTGGCCACTTTTAGGATAGTCCCTTTATCATAGTTACCAAGCATTGACGGTGGGTAGTACCTAAAGATATGATATGCTATGGACGCAAACGAACATGACCTGGAGCCGCAAGCTAAGAGGGACAGAGACAGTGGCCAGGTGATTCCAGTTGCCCGGCGAGGCTTCAAAAGGCTTCAAAAAAACAATGAATATCAAAAGGACATGGGGGATACTCATGGGTACTGCCAAGCTCTCAAGACCTTACCACAGCTTTGCACACGGAACATCTCCTAACATGGAGGCTTTTCACACCTTAGCCACACATCATATTCGTACATAATTGAATGACAATATCTTTCAGCTGGGCTTGAGGGTTTGTAAAACATTCCCCACAAACTGTCTTGACATTCCATGGCCGATCAAGTATTACGTTTTCCCTTGGCGCCACAGGCTATGCAAGGGTTCAGCTTCTCTTTAACTCGACATCAAGGCTTGGGGCTGAAGGCAACTGGCATATTGAATTGCAAATGTCTTGCTGCCTTTGAGCCGGGCTAACTAAGTAGGGCGAGAAGCGTAGCGAGGTACGAGTCAACCAAGGTTCAACAGGCAGGGGAACAGATTAGCATATGCCGCATGCGAGAAAAGAGGAATGGCTCCAAGTATAAAAGCCTATGCATCAGCATTCCTCTTTATCAACCACTCCACGCGATATTCTCTTCCCAGCCTTTCCTACTCTCCTTTCTCCCCTTCCTTACCTTAACAACCCAAGATCATATTCCAGTTTCCTTACTCGCCACAATGCATTTCTTTCGCGCCGTCGTTTCTTTCACACTCATCATCGGCTGTATGGCCCTAGCCTTCCCCAGCTTTGATATAAAGGCAGGTCTGCTTCACAGTCGAACCGAGCACAATGCAGCAGCTAAACTGGCTCCTCGAGCTGAGGTTGCTCCTCTAACTGACCTTGCCCTTCCTCCGCGATCTGATATTGTCCCAAGAGGATCCCGTCCACCACCTCCACCGCCTCCGCCCCCTCCACCTCCTCTTCTTATTACTCTTAAAGATGGCGGGAAAGCCACTATCAAGTTCAAGAACAGGACCATCACAGTTGAGGGACCAGCTGTAATCCGTCTCACTCCTTCTTCTCTTGAGATTTCGAACGCCGGAAAGGTGATTTTGAACGTAAGACTATCTAGACGTCCGACTTTATTAAGTAGTGGCACAACTGACCGTTGTTGACTAGGAGACGCTGGCGCTAGGAGCGCCTTAACCTTTCTGGCCGGCACTCGGGTTTGGTCTGAATGGAGCAAGGGTCTTGATCATTTGTGAAGGAGATGGAGAAGACTATTGATCTGGAGTTGCGGCAAGGCAAGAAAGAGCTTGGAACATGTTGCTAAAATCGTGGACTCCACCCAGTCGTGGCTCTGGATTGCTACCCTGTCTGGAAAGTATGACTTGTTGCTTGTACAATGATCCTAGAGTTATCTCTGCGTCTTCCCAAAATCATCACTTGATCCTCATAATGTCGTCTCTTGGTCTTCTTGGAGCTTACTGGCTATTTGATCATGAGATACGTACGAACAAGACACCTCTGAGCGAATAGTTGGTACGAAATGAAGAAACCAAGGGGCTCGAATACGAAAAATGAATCGCTTCAACGTGAAATTGCAAACTGTGGTACTATGTGGGATTCATATATAGCTACAGGCAAGATTAAAGAAACCCCAAAGCCACATCATCTTTTTAAGGCTTGGGCGAGAACCAAACCTCCAGATCAACAGCCCACTCAACGACACCTCCAAAGTTCAGGCTCTGAGCCCAGGTTGTACGCTTAGCCTTTGTGGCCTCGCTCATGTATGCAACCCAGTCCGTCATGCCCTTTCCTTTTGTGCCAAACGTCAAGATGTCAGAGTCCGATGCCGCGTCGTACCAGCTCTTGGCAGTAACTCCAGCCTTCTTGTACTTGTAGTCGTAGATGATCTTTCGGATCTCGGCATTGGCGAGGTAGCCAGGGGAGTTGGTGCACTCGCCAGGCTCGGCGTTGGACACGCTGAAGCTTCCGGTAAAGGTGCACTGAGGGCCGGTACAGTTGGGATCGGTCATTCTGAAGCTGCGGCCGTAGCTGGAGATTCCGATAATGACCTTGGCGGGGTCGACTCCGGCCTTAGTGATCATGGCGAGGGCGTCGAGGGTCTCGGTCTTGTTCACGTGGGAGCGGAGGCAGTTGCCCTTGGGGCAGCCGGGGCTGACGTATTGGTTGCCGTAGTCTAGGCTGTCATTAGCATGTCATCCAATATCGAGAGTTGAAGAGACTTACCCCATTGACCGTGAAGATCATAGGTCATGTAGACCATGTAATCGACAAGGGGAGCGATCTTGGCGACAGGGAATGGCTTGAGGTACCAGTAGGCGGCAGGGAGAGCAACCGACATGGACTTGCCGCTGGTGCCGAGCTTCTTTCGCATGAGAGCGAGGAAATCAACGTAGTTGGCAGTGTCAGTAGCTGAACCGGTAGAACCAGCAGAGCCGGGATACTCCCAGTCAAAGTCAACACCATCGAGCTTGTGGCCGTTGAGAACGTTGATGACGTTGGTAGCAAACTTCTCACGGTTGGCGGGCTTGATGGCATCGCGGTACAGCTGGAAGGTAGAGGCATCAGTAGAATCAGCCCATCCTCCGAAGGAGAGAATTTTCTTCCAGGAACCCTTGACCTCCTTGAACTTGAGGAACTGCTCCCGAATAGCAGGCTGGAGGAGGACGGAGAACTGGGGGGTCAGACCGGCAAAGGCGAAGTGCATGTGAGTGTAGGGAGTCTTGAGAGCAGTCAAGTTGCCGACATCCATGTTCAGGCACTTGCGGCCAAGGTTGTAACCCTGGAAGTAACCAACGTTGAGGAACTTGGCAGGCTTCTTGGTGTTTCCGACAATCTTGGTACCGCAGTTGGAAACGCAGCCAGGAGTGTTGGCTGCGGAAGTACCGGGAGAAGCACCCTTGGCAGTCGTGTTGGTGCAGAACTCGGCGGTGATACCGCAGAAGCCGTAGCCAGAGCAGCAGGCGTTCAGAGGGCAAGGGTTCATGCCGGTGAGATCCCAACCAGTCTTGGCAGTGGTGGGAAGCTTGGATCCAGGCTTCTGAGGACCGCAGACGGCGCCAGCAATGGCAAGGGGCATGGGGTTCTTGCCAGCACTGAGACAGATGGGCTGTCCGAGCGCCAGACGATCACAGCCAGCAAAGCCCCAGGTGTTCTTGTTGTTATCGAGGATGCGCTGCTGGGTGATGCCAAAGTTCTGGGAGATGGAGTAGCAAGAATCTCCAGACTTGATGTTGTAGGTGTAGCAGCTGCCGTCCTTGTTGGGCTGAGGAGTCTTGTCGGGGAGAGTACCAGCGCTGCAGCAAACCCACTGCTTGGGAGCAAGGGTAGAGCAAAAGTTCTTGGCAGGGTTGTACTTGTTGAAGTTGGCGGTGGTGACCTTGCACTTGGTAGCCAGAGAGGCACAGCTGTCGCCGGAAACGACCTGGATGGCCTTGCAGTCAGCTCGGGGGGCGAGCATGTGTTCGACGCCAAAGAGACGGGATCGGAGCTGGAGGCTTCGGGTCTTGACTTGGCCGCCGACGGTCAGGACGCCGAGGTTGACGCTCTGGGAGGTGGCCTGGGGGATGGAGACGCATTTTCCGTTGGACCATGTCTTGACGGCGGCTTGGGCGTCTTCGAGGTCTTCGACAGAGTCGACGGCAAAGAGGCCGACGGTCTCGGCTCGCTTATCGTTGGCGTCGCAGACTTGGAAAGCCTGGGTGCCCTTCTGGAAGCTGGCCTCTGTAGATGCTGTTAGTGATCGTTTCCCAGCATGATACTATGTGAGTGAGGTTAGGTTATACGCACTGCATCAGAGTTAGTTAAAGTTCAAGCAATACTACGAGATAACTGACCTGGCAGAACGGATAAGGCTGGAAGCGCTCGACTTCTGCACCTCAGCACCGACATACAATCCAACAACAGAAGAACCAGACTTGGCAAAGAGAATAGTAGTTCCGCAAGAAGCGCCGTTGTCGAGGTAGTTAGCAAGAAGGTCAGAAGCAGCCGCGGCATCGCCAGATCGAAGAGTTCCAGTTCGACCAGAAGAAGCAGTCGTCTTGACGGTACCCTTCTCAGCACCGCAGTTGCTAGCCAGGGAGACGGAGCTCTCGGCAGCTCGGGCCTCTACACGGCTAATCTCATCCCGACGAGTTGGCGTAGATCCGGAAGTAGTGACACAAGTGTACAGCGTCGCAAACTCGCTGTAAGGGTTCTCAACGTTGAGGGCAAACAGCATGGGCTGGTCGCAACCAGAGAGCTCATCCAGACTATGGAGCTGCGTCCAGTTGACAGGGTCGGAACCGGCAGCGCTGCATTCTCGGGGGCATCCCTCCTTCAGCGGACTGGCGATGGGATCCTCGGTCTTGATTTCCTGGATCGGAGGCACGGGGTTCACGTCGCCAGGGTTGGCATCGCTATCGGCGGCGAGAGTCGCAAGAGGGGAAAGGAATGTGAGAAAAAGAAAAGAAAAGAGTGACGGAGAATAGGTTCTAGAACCCATCTTGGAAAACACAAATGGCCTTTGTTCAAAAGGCGATAAAGAGCGACAGGTGGGAAAAAAGGGAGTGTGAGGGATGGGGTGAGAATGGAGGGACGAGCTAGTTACCCGTCATCTTATGTATGGCGTCGACCATCCCCAGGCAGTGGCTTTTTCAATCTCGGCGCCAGTTCTAAGCTAAGACTGTCTCAAGGAGTGTGTGCCTGGCATGTGTTCGTCGTGGGATGGCGGCTGGAAGCCAAGATGCGCCCACAGTGGCACAGCGGTGTCTTTACCCCTTGTCTAGCGCTCTTGTTCGCTGTAGGGCTGGTCCCAACCTTGCATTACCCCAATCTCTTGGTTCCATTTCCCTCCAATGGTTACTGCACAGTGAGTGAAGGGTTCTGTTCGGAAGGGCCCAGCCGAGGGAATAGAGCGGTCCCGACTCGCCAGAATGCGACGCTCTGTGCTTTTTGAGAGGCAATTAAAGGTCAGGAGCAGGACCAGCAAGTCGGCCGCTGAAATCCTTCGCTGGTCCGGCGATTTCCTCATTGGCTCAAGTGTCGCCATTCAATCTGGTCTAGAACAGAATCGGGCCTGGTGTGGGAGGGTGAGATTTTCGACAGGGCCAGAGTGATTTGTTAGTGTCTCCACGTGAGATCTGCTGTACCTCGCTAACAGAGATTTCTGTCCTCCCTGGAAATAAAGTGGTCTCGCCCAGGAACAGGTTCTTTTGTGGCGTGCTGCGAGACAGGAGCTGCGCAGGGATTGGCTTAGCGAGCGTTGACAACCCCCTGACTAGCTTCAACAAGAAGCGGCCGACAGCTCGGTAACATTGGAGATGCTGACTGGCTTTGGAAGCCTGGAAGGGAGACTGGGTGGCAGATGTCAAGTGATGCTGACAGTGAGATGAGTGCCGTTGCTTGTCAAGGTTTCAGCGGGTATCCGTTGGTCAGGGTCTCTGAAATGCAGTCCCCAATATTTGATACCGCAGATCTGGTTGGTTCGAGTCGATCTCGTCGTTCCGTCTTCTCTCGGAAGATTGATAAAGCCTGTTGCCGGTTTCCCTTGAAACTTTTTGAGTCATCACACCGAAAGATTTACCCTTCTTGGAACTAGGCCCTTTCCAGCAGTTCGGACTTGGCATACCCGTCAGGGTCGGATCGGGCCCGAGCACTGACCCGCAGCAATCTATCGTCGGGCCGGCGTTAAGGATGTAACAACGTTGGGAATACCCTAGAGCAGCAGAAGAATTTTGAGCAGTGAGAGATTCTCAATGGCATTCATCATGTGGAAACTCATGATGTGGAATGTTGAGAAAGCAGGTTTGGGCAGAGTTGATCAACATTAGCCGCTGTTGATCAAGTTGATCAGTGGGGGTAATCTGCTTTAAATTCGCCATGATGTCACCAGCGAACTGATCGTTCGACGGAGCTTTTCAGCCGCAACTAGACCAGCCGAGAGGAATTGGTCCAAACTCTATCTTGTTTGGACAGCAAGGTTGTAGAAGATCCTGTTACATAAATCCATGCCATCTTCACGTGTATCGCTTTCAAAGCAATGTCCTCCTGAATGGAAACCTTCGGCATACCAGGTTAGCTATCTGGTTTGATAGCTGTCTAGTCATCTTAGGTTAGTTATAATAGATGGCAAGAATTATTTCATGCCAGACTTTTCTCTCTCTCGTTAGGATATTGCCTCTTAGTAGATGTAGTTTTAAAGAGAATCTGACAATAATTTATAGGATACTGAGTACAATATTTTAATAGTTCTTAGCCAGCCAAGTTGACAAGCGAAATATCCACTGCTTTCATTGAGATGCTGTAGATACACACTGTCCACTTTGAAGATGTTATTTAGAGGCCTATCCATCTCATAACCCAACCTGCTAAAGCAAAGTGACTTCGGTCCTTGACGGTTCAGATTGCGTTGGTAATGTATTTGCTCATATCACACCCTGTTCGGAAACAGGCATGTAGGATCACTACAGGAACTGCATATATCGCCTGTCATGAGCACATAACATCATAATCCATTTAAACACTTTCGTTGATCAGCCGGCTCGTGGTCCAGAAGAATAGATATAGAATCTATCCATGGACATCTGAGATGACTCTCCTTGGCCCTTTCTACTCCCTACTTGCCCGTGCATTCTGATCAGCCACCGACTGAACATCCGACGAAAACGATCCTCTCCCTACAGGTCCTCCGGCGAGGCGAGACTATCTATTGTTAGCTCGAGCTGACTCCGTGTATCTCGAGGTTATACCTCTGCGCTCTGCACCTCAGCTGCGTCCTTCTTTGTAATCTCGTCAATAGGCTTCCGAGCGATATCGCCCGCCTTTTCAAGAAAGTTTTGCTGTCGGTCATGGATACTCTGAGCAGTAGCTGCAGTGCCACCTTTGATGGGACCATGACCCGTCATGTCGGACTCGTTGGTGGCGATGGTGGATGCTTCGGACTGAGTGATGGGACGGCCTTCCATAGCCCGAGCCTGAAGCTCGTCCTTCTGGGGAATATCTCCTTCCATTTTGACTGGTAGATTATTTTGAATTTGAGAACTTGGATGTTTTGGGTGGTTGGTAAGGCAGAAATATGTGAGCGAAAGCTGTGCTGTTTTGATATAGCAGCGTCAATCGATGATATCATTCAGCATCCTCACCCAATGCTTGGTCTTCGTAATTATGACCTCACATAACAACATGAGAACGGAGGCACCTTGATCCGAAGATTGCCTACAGGCCTTTACCAGAGCTGTTCGGCCGTTGCGCAGCTGATATCCTCATTGCCACTCGTTCGTAGTCCTGAGTCAAATAGAAGCCAGGGCTTTTCAATAGGTATGTGCAAACTTAAATCCGTTAACAACTTTAAACCTTCCGCGGATAACTATCCATTACTCTATCATCCAATAACATCCTCCATACTTGTCCACGTCCATCATCATGTAATGACGTCTAAGGAAAATGAAGCTCTCTCCACCCTTCACTTCGCTAGCACTGGCCACTCATGGCTGAGGCAGAGTACTCATCCCATAGGCGAATGCCTCATCAAGGATTTGCAACCCCTCGCTGATCTCCTCAGCCGTCACAGTGACAGGAGGTGCAAGTCGGAACACACCACCCATTCCCGGAAGATTGACAATGTTACAAGACAGACCGAGTTCCATGGCCTTGTCCGAAACCTTCTGTCCAAGATCGGAGCCCGGTGCCTTGGTCTTGGGGTCTGAAATGATCTCGACGCCTTGAAGGAGGCCTCTACCTCGGACGTCACCAATACACCAGTACTTCTTCTGGAGTTTCAACAGGCCCTCTCTGAGTTGTGCACCTCTCTCACTTGCTCTTTGGCAGATACCGTCTCGCTCGACAATCTCAAGGACTTTGTCGCCAACAGCAGCAGTCAAAGGATCGTTTAGATGAGTCGTCAACCAGAGGAATCCCGCTCTCTGGCAGCCCTCCGCAATCTCTGCTGTGGTCGAAACAGACGCCAACGGTAATCCACAACCAAGGGTTTTGGAAAGAGCAAGAATGCCAGGAACAACTCCGTCTTTCTCAAAGGCAAACATCTGACCAGTTCGTCCAACTCCGGTTTGAGCCTCGTCCATGATGAGCAGCATGCCACGCTTCTTGCACTCTTCACTCATTCGCTTGAGATAGCCTTCGGGCATGTCGAGAATGCCTCCAGTGCTGAGGATGGGTTCCATGATGAATGCTGCAAGGGATCCAACACTCTGACGATCAATCATGGACCAGCCAAACTCGAGTTCAGTCTCCCAGTCATAGGATCCGTCAGACTTTCGGAACGGCGAGCGGTATGCATAAGGGGCAGGGAAGGCAAGTTGACCCGGCATGGTTGGGCCACCGTTCTTTCGGCCAGCAGAGAATGTTGCAGAGCCCGAACCCTGGGTCAGGCCATGATAACTGGCCGAGAAGGCGACAATCTCAAATTTGCCAGTATAGAGCTTAGCCATCTTGATAGCGGCTTCAGTAGACTCAGAGCCGGTGTTTAGAAAGAAGGACTTTTCAAAAGGAGCTGGAAGGAGACGCGCAAGCCGCTCGGCCAGATCCACCACGGGATGTGTGATCATGTTGCTAAGGAGGTGATCGAGTTCAGCGACATAGTTCTTGACAACCTCGACAATCTCGGGATGGGAGTGCCCAAGAAGAGAGCTCATCTGACCCGAGGTAAAGTCAAGGATCTTTCTGTTGTTGGCATCGTAGAGTCGTGTGCCCTGGGCTTTGGTGATGACGACGGGTGAGTAGGGAACACCTGTCGACATGAGGTACTTATCAGCCCTCGACCAGAAAGTAGAAACGCCGTTGGAAGACATGATGCTTTGGCAAGAAAGATCAAAGTTGAAGAGTATGGTGACGGAGAGAGAAACGACTTGCTTGGACTTATCAACCTCACATTTTATATCTGGTATTCTCTGTGGAGGGGAACCTCTTTACCGCGGAAAACTGGTGATAAGGTACAAGGATAACATGATGGGGCTTTTATGAGCTCCTTTGCCGATATTTTCCTCGATATGATGCGAGATATGCAACCCATGATCCGAGGATGTGGAGTTTTCCGCGGGGAATTAGGAGTTTCCCTTTCCGCGGAAAAAAAAACTGGGCCATTCTTCCTTATCAGACCAATACAGGATACCCAGTCAACCCCGCAGTAGATGGCCTGGCTATCAAATAATCAAGATTTGCCGGGCCTGGCAGTCCCTCATATCTCATGATCACAGTATTCACTCTGCGGAACATGGCAATTGAGGGGAAGGTGAAGAAAAGTTTCGTGTAGATTCTGTTTTCTGATGACTTCCTGGTGCACTAGACAGCTACTTTACAGATCCTCGCGCTCGAATCCACAGCCAGGACCATCCCTGACAAGTTCCTGGGGGTCAATTTCCTTCAAAGAGCCATTATCAATGTAATGCTGCACAGTGATATGCTCGCCAAGGAAGAACTGCGTTCCAAGTCCCGGCTGTCCAAACCAAGGAGAAATGGGCCCGGCAATGACGGTCATTCTCTTAAGGACTATGTAGACGTGGTAGTTGTTTGGGAATTCAGGAGAGTTCTTGGGTGTGTCAAGGTTCTGGGGGTTGAGAGCCCGCTGCGCGAAAGGAGCGCTGGCAGGAGAAATGTAACGTCCTACAGGGGTTAGATTTTCCGTTGAGTTGTGCATGTTGACAGATGTGCTTACCAGTAGTGTAGCCAAATCGATCCACGAGCATATCAGGTTCCAGGACCATGCTGGCATTCATGGGCTTGTTATCGGCATCAAGTTGGAATCCGTGGTTGTCGGGGTATTTCCATCCCTTCTCCTCATCCCACCACTTCTTGAGGAAAGCATCAGGGCTCAGACCTCCAAAGCGGTCGTAGCTGGCAACAAAGGTACCGAGAGGTAGCTTCCTTGGAAGGACACTGGGTCCAAGTCGCCTATCGCCGCAGATGTAGTCATAAAATACAGAGACATTGGTCTTGATGTTGGGACCGGTGCAGTCGCAGTATGGGTACTTGGAAATAATGGGGTCTTGGGGCAGGACTGAGGCGACGGATAGGCCCAGGAGGGACAGGGATAGGAGAGAAGGGAGCATTTTGGAGGCTCTTGAAAGTATGGAATGGAACTTGGAAAAGTCGATATAGTAGCAGGGAGTGGACAAAGAGAGAATGGTCAAAGAGCAAGTCCAATGGCTCATCATATCGCTTTTTATAAGCAAGACTCAGCCCGCCAAGTCCACCATTGGATCGAACTGAGCTCCCTTGCTACGTGAGCTGAGCGGCATCGCCAAACACAATCTCAAAGCCCTGCGTTCACCATGCTCAAAATGGCCAAGCAGGAGGCGAGTATCATTCCGTCCCGTGCCGCCCGCGCCGCGCCGAGATGAAGTGGCTGCCTGACGAGTGCTCTAGTTCATATCTTTTCCCCAGGTATGTGAATATCAAGGAGAGCTATCGACGGATATTCGTACAGAAATGAGGCAAGCCCGACGGCCCGAGGGGAGACTAACGGAGAGAGGCTGAGACGTGCAGAGAGAAGCGGGGTTTTATTGCTTATTCTGGAGGCGATCAAGTGGTCCAGGTCCTAATTCAGCTAGGGTTTGGAAATAGTGTAGCTGAATGGGTAGTGTGGCTTGCGGTCAGATACGAATTGATAAAGACGACGGGAGGTACCGAGCTGAGTTTTGAAGTACCGTCCATTCTGAAATGCCGTTTTTACATGCTCCAGAAGTGCTACTTGAATCTTTCCCATGTCAAGAGCGCAGGAATGGATCGTGCTCGCGTGGCACTACCCGTTCAGGCTGGTAAAGTTTTGACTTCCTACAAGTTGCTGCCCCTCTGTTTCAGCTTCGTAACCAGTTTGAACGTGCTCGAAATGCCCATCACTTGGCCACTTGGCAAGGGAGACAGTTCGCAATCAGTACCTCGCAACCTCGCAACCTCAATGGCGGTAACTGAGGTATCCAGTGTCTTAAACATGGATGTCGAGCACCTAGCGAGGGCACAGGCCAAGCGGGCGCCAATTTCCACACTATTGAGGAGGCGTCTCGGGTGGCTTGCGCACCTAAGATCTGCACCTCCCGCCGCCTGTATCGCAGTGCTTGGCGATAACAAAATGGAATGTGCTTCTTATTTGTGGCTAGCTCACGTTGATTTGAAAAGGGTTCATTGGTTCTGATACCACGATACTGCGAGAGCTGAAAGGATAACTGAGACAATCTCTCCTAGTTCTGCATTGGCGGTACATAATGACGATCAATCACCTCGCACATGTTCCTAAGCACTCTTCAGTACGTGGTCCAAGCATAACTCCTCCTTTTCACAACAGGGATGTGCATATTTGAAGACCCGTGCCCAAAATGGAACCGTTCCAGACGTTTATGGGACGGAGAAAACGGTCTGGCCTGTACTCAGCCTTTCAGTAGGCAATCGTTAGCGCCGGACAAGGCTGCAGACAAGGCAAGGTGTAGACCACCTATCATGAGATAGAGAATAAGAAAAGAGAATAGTGATGCTATTTTTTATGCATGATTATAATCGGCCAATGAATTTCCTGGGCCTTGTGCAAGTAGATAAGAAAACGCCCTCAGCCAGCCAACACATATAAGAGCTGGTCACCCCTCAAGATCCGCGCAGACTGTCAACAGAAACAGTGGTGAAGATGTGGTTCTCCAGACCATTCACCTTGTCCTTCAAGCCACTGCTGAGCTTGCCAACTCCGTCCTTGTATCCATTGGACCGACCGTTGAGAGTATAGTTGGTCGTCTCCTCGTCGCTGCTGCTGCTCTGGAGACCATCCACACCCTCTGGGCCAGATGCATGAAGGTAACTGTTCTCGACACTGTTCATGGGTAGATCCTTGGTGGCACCATCCTCTACCGGATTGCCTTGGACCGTGTAGCCGGTGTCACTGGCATCCACGTAGGCTTCGAGACCTTCACCCTGACGAGGGAAGCTCTTCATGAACTCCTTGTGTGTCTCAAGTGCTTTGCACATGTCCTCATGGCTCACATCGTTGAGGAAGACACAATCGCCTATGGGGGTGATAGGAACTGCAGCTCGAAGCTTGCCGTCTCTCGTCTTGAGGATGGCAGCTGTGGCATTCTCCAATAGAGGGCCATCGAACTGGGGGTGGTCCATGGAGAGACCTGCTCGAGAGAAGAGGTTTAGCAAGCGCTTGTGCTCTTCGGATGAGAGAAGTCCTCTCGAATGAGCAAGTGTGGCTGAGTATGCCATATCGATGGAGATGGCATGACCGTGTCGAAGAGGTGTCTCTGGCACAAGCTCATGTAGAGGAGACCAACTGTTACCATGTTAGTGATGCTCAAGGTAAATAAGAAGCACTTACGTGTGTCCGTAGGCAATCACGCGATCAAGCATAATCTCATGAAGGTTCGGCGTCTCCAGCTTCAACATCTCATAAATACCCGCCCGACAGATCTTGTCAGCAACAGTCTTGATCTCCTCTGAAGCACCATCAGACCGACCAAAAGCCGTGTCAATCAGCTCCTCGCAGTACCCATCAAGCAACTCGTACGTCTCGCGATGAGCACATGTAGAAATCTTGATGAGCTCAGCAAATCCGTTGCGGATCTGCGCCTTAGGAAGAGTACGGAGGAAAGTAAAGTCAAGGAATGTGTGGGATGGTGCATGGTAGGCTCCTAGGCGGTTCTTGTAGCGGCCGTAGTTGACGGCGACTTTGATGGAGACTGAGGCATCGATGAGGCCGATGACTGTGGTTGGGATGCGGATGTAGTTGGTGTTGCGGCGATAGGCAGCACAGGCGAAACTATCGAGAAAGTTAGATATAGGAGTGCCATAGAAAGCATAGGCTTAGCATACCCAGCCACATCAGTGACAAGGCCACCACCGACAACGAGGACTGGCTCCTTTCGGTAGATGCCAAACTCAGTCATAGAGTCAACAATAGAAAGCAAAGTCTCCATGCTCTTGGCCTTTTCGCCAATCATGGTCTTGTGAATCTTGAGAGTAATCCCATGATGATCAAAGTACTTTTGCATCTCTTCACCGTACAGGTTGAAGATGTTTAAATCCATGACGGCGAGGCAGCGCCCCCAGGGCTTGTAGCACTGGGCCAGCTGCACGTTGGCAACGTTGAAGACGCCATCGAGAAACTCGAAGTCGTATTCAATCTTTTCGTAGCCGCAGACTGAGAAACCCTTTGTGGTGGGCTCGACTGTGGCCTTCATATCAGACATGGTGGGCAATGGGGGTTGTAGTGTAGGATGTTTGAGGGGTAGAAGATGAGGGTGAGATGGATAGGGTACGGGATACTTGTGTGTATGGGAGACCGGCTTTTATGTCGTTCAAGCCACAGAGAGACACGACATCAGAGTGTTGTTTGTGAGTGGATCGGTTGTTGAGGCATGTTCAGTCGATTCAACTGCCGACGATGGAGTATGTCTTCACCGAGATTTGTAGACAGTACACAAGCCAAGGCTGAGATTGTACCACTTGAGAGGTACAAAAACATCAACAGCATTCTACTCATACCATTGGTTATAGATCATCCAGTGTTTTGAGCACATAATGATGTGATAGGTCTAGCGTTCTAGCCAAACAAGTCGTACCACGCGAACTCGAGAAATATTCGTGTCATCAAGTCGTGGAGATGTGGCCGGCAACCCGCCCAATGAATGGCTAAAAGAAGACTCTTGCAGAAGCACGGCATAGGTTTCTATCTAACCTATTTCGTGCAGTGTCTTGTAAATCTCCCCGTCTAGGTGTCATATACTTTTGCGGGAGGTATCGCCAAGAGCGTAAATGGCCGGGGACTCGGATAACCGTCATGGAGGGAAACACGTTGTTAGACAAAGGGTCCCCACACCATCTACGGGTATCTCAGACATTCTGGAGATGTGGGCGCGTGCCTGGATCGGATCTAAACTCAAAGGTAGATTCGATTACACTACCATCTTGCATGTGCGCGTCATCAAAGTTTTGCCCATTTCTGCCGCATGCGAAAGATGGATATTCCCGCACTCTCGGGCATGTGAAAAAGCAGTGTTTCACAGAGAATATGTTAAGATGGAGGGCCGGGGAGAAGGCTGCCGTGGAAGATTCCACGGCTGATCTGCCACTATCACAGGGTCTTTTACCGCAGCAACGACCCGAACGTTGTAACATCTGCCAATGTCACCTTGTATCTTTTGAACCAACTGCATCTCTGCTGTGCTGACAGCTGACTGTGACAAAAAATATGCAACTCCCTTGAGTAACAGTCTATCACGTCATAGAGAAAAGATGCGGTCAGCCTGTCCCGTGTTACTTGTTACGAAAATGCAACAGAAATAAATGAAACATTTTTCTTAGTGATACAACCTGGGGGGACCCATTCCCCAGGGATCGCTTCAGTGTGAATGGCCGTTTTCAGGGGTTGCGGTGTGGTCTATGAAGCCATGATTCTCGACTAGTCCTAGGGTGCAAAGTAAGATTAAGCCTCAACGGTCGAGTCAGCCCGGGTACGTACAGAAAGATGTACTTGATACTGTATTTCTGTAAGGATTGGATCGAAAGTTACATGTCGTATTCAATCGCGGGAATATGCAATATCGACTCCGTACACCTCTTGTATCCCGTCCCGTCTCTTCAACCCTCGGTTCGCCGCTTTTGGATAGTCGAGCATACAACTCTCATTCCACACTCCGGCTTTCCCCCTTCCAGCCTAGGCTTATTCTCTCAGGAATACGTCTCAAATCCAATGGTAATTCGTCGGAATGCGTTGCCCCAGGCCGCTCCACCAGACCGCGTTTCTGTGAAACAACCCCTCGCAAAGTCATGACGTCTTTGATATTTCGACCAGGCTCTCAACTCTTGGCTCTTGGCTTTCTAGCTGGACTCGACAACATTTGTAAAGCTTCTTGTGAGCTTTGCTTTAAGCAAATACTGAGCCAGTTGAATTCGTTGCAACAGCCTTGTTGTTTCTTTGTCCATTCATATTGTTCGACGTCAACTCCTGATGGCGCCTCAAGATATCGGGCCGAAGGGATACCGGGAGAGATCCCAGGTATATCATTTCTTCAAGAACCTTTCGCTCATATTATTGAGCCTCGTCCTGCTCCCCACGACTGTTGTGGTTTCGCTCACAGCCTATCTATGGAATCGATTCACTTCCGGTACTTCCGACAAACCTCGCCATGCTGAAAAGAGAGTCACCGTCCTTGTCACTGGGGTGAATATGGCCAAGGGTCTTGCACTGGCCCGCCTGTTCTACCGTCGTGGGCATCGCGTAATTGGAGCCGACTATTCTTCGCTCTCTCCTGGGCGGGTTTCTTGTGCAGTCGACAAATATTATCGCCTTCCAAAACCACCCAGCTCTTTCGATGCCAACCTCAATGATCCTTACTTGGAGAAATTGATAAACGTCGTCCAAAAAGAAGGAGTGGACCTTTGGATCTCCGTCTCAGATGTCAACGCCGCCATCCAGGATGCAGCAGCCAAAGAGATTCTTGAAACTCGTACTAGCGTCAAGGTCATCCAGTTCGGGGTTGAGCATGTGAAAAGGCTCCATGAGAAGGACACTTTCATCGAGTATACGAGAACTCTTGGACTCACTGTTCCTACTACTGAGACTGTTGGTGGACAGGGCGAGGTGATTGACTTCTTAAGACGACATGGAGGTTTGGAGTACAAGCCAGGAGCCAAGCGATATCCTGTCAAGCCTGTTGGTGTTGACGATGTTGCCCGGTTTTCCATGCCTCTATTACCTTTGGTCTCTGAAGATGCCACACTAGCGCGGATCGACTCTATTCCTTTCAAGTCGGCCAAATGCTCCTTCATCATCCAGGAATTCTTATCCGGTCCCGAGTTTTGTACTCATGCTCTGGTCATACGCGGTCGAGTCTGTGCCTTTGTTGCGTGTCGCTCGGCCGACGTGCTCATGCACTACGATGCGCTCCCCGCCGACTCTCCGTTAAGCAAGGCTATGCTTGAGTTTACAATCAGACAGGCCGAAGCAGGCGGAGATAACTTTACTGGGCATCTGAGCTTTGACTTTTTGACGGAGAGGGAAGATGAGGAAGCGACACAGTCTGAGGCGGAAAAGGAAGTGACGATGTATCCCATTGAGTGCAACCCGAGAGTTCACACTGCAACCCTTCTCTTCAACGAGACTCCTGAAATTATCGACGAGTATCTTTCCGTTCTATCGGAATCTCATACCCAAAAGCCCCTATCTACTCCCCCTCTCTCGCCCACCAACCCTCAACGCTACTATTGGGCCAGCCAAGATCTAGTAGAGTTGGTCATTTGTCCCCTATACTTGACTTTGTTTCGTGGCACGATGGCACTCTCGGAATTCCACAGATCGATACGCTCATTTGCTCATCATCTTTTGTACTGGAAGGATGGCACATTTGAGGCTTGGGATCCATTGCCTTGGCTTTGGATGATGCATGTTTACTGGCCGATGCAGTTTGCTTGGTACATGGCTACGGGATCTGTATGGACTAAACTGAACGTGAGCACAGGAAAGGCGTTCCAGGGGTAGGAGCGGTGCAAGGGTGACGAGCATTGGAAGCGGTGTTTTATCAAGTCTTGCAAGCAATTAGTCTCGCACTTCTCACAGCAAACGTTCGCCAGCGAGCTGAAATGAATGATGTTTAAATTATCGCCATGTCTTGAAACGTTGGAGAACCCTCAACCTTCTCGCCAACCATAGTACAATCAACAAACGCATCACCAACAAACTCATAAACTGGTACTTGACCCTCTGGACCATCCGAAGAATCAACCCTTCGTAATACATATGGCACTCTTCCTCCAGGGATGATGGCAACAACATCCCCAGCTTGTGCCGACTCTGGCCCAAACGCCATATCTCCATCTTCAGTCACAAAGAAGCACCTGCCCAGAGAAGCAATCTGAACCAGAAAGTCAAACTCGCGTGCAGTTGATCTCGCGTCCTCTGGTAGTGAAGCTGGCTCTGGGTGGGTAAACCATGAGTGCCATGTGTTGTATGCTGCCGTGTGGTCACATGAATGGTCCGCCCATTGTGAAAGAGTGACATTGCCACAGAGTGATCGTTGAAAAGCCCATTCTCGCTTGGACTCGTCAGAGTCTCCATTTGGAGAGGCAATAGGTTCTTGAGGCAGACCTGAAAGTTGACGCCATTTCTCTAGCAATTGTTTCCCTCCCGTTGTCGAGTCAGGATCAGGATAGCCTGGAGCTGTAGCTGCGATCTTGGCAAACTGGAGGCCATGAGTCGTGACGAGACCTGAATCATGGAGAATCCATTTAGGTTTCAGATCTTTTGAAGCTGAGAAATGACGCAACTTGTCAGTCCTCTCTGTATACATCAGGTGATAGTCGTCATCCATGAGGGCGTCCCAGTCTGGAACCCAGCTTGGTAATCCCGGGGTTCGCTTATGAATAGATGGCCTATGCAACACATGGCTCAGAACATCCAACGTTTGAGAGTTCTCGATCGCAGCCATAGCTAGGTTGCGATAGAGAAGTGCCGTCGGAATGGTGTAATCTGTTAGTAACATCTTTTGGAGGTTATCGTCTTTGAGATGCAACCCCAGTAGTCCAAATACTCTATCACGCGGATCTGAGCATTGTCTCGTCCGGAAGAGGCTGGTGGCATCCAGCAAATCCTGAACACCAAACGCTTCGGAATTGACAATGGAGTTGAGGTTGTTTATCCGAAGAGTGGCTTTAAACAAGGTCAGCCCGTTATTCGCCTCGCTAGGATAGTCCAGGAAGCCACGAGCATTGCCATCTGCAGCTCGACGTGCAGCCCAGCAGCATTTTCTCTCATGAGTTGCCAGGTTTCTAAAAGCCGTCAGGACTACACCTCCTTCCATCTGCCGGTTTCCACACTGAAAAATGACCTTGGCTGCAAGGGCATATTCTTGAACGGTCCACACTCGGGTCCACCATGGGGCGGCGAAAAAGGAAATGAGAGAATCTCGGAGAGATTCGGAGCTGGCGGTGAGGCCGTTAACGGAGATATGCGGTGACAATGACGGCTCATAGTGAAGCTCCGAATCACGAGCCGCCTCTTGAAGGAAATCCAATCCAAGATCGAAAGGTTCTGACAGGGGAGATAGGAAAGCCAGGACATATGACGCGCGGGAATAAATGCCGCCCATCAAGGCTACCTGTGCAGCACGTTCAAGCAAATCATTCTGGTTTATGCATAGAGCATCGATCCACAGGAATTGGCCAAAGTTTGCCGAGGAGAGACACTGTAGAATTACATGGAGATTTCTGGTGGCTGGGATGACTTCTCCCGATACGCGTAGTGGCAGGGTATCTTCCAGGTCGCCCCATACATAAGAGAGGGCGACAAAACTGGGGAAATTGGGATCTGACAGTGAGACTTGTTCAAAGGTGATGACGGGCTGAGAGGCTGATTCTGTCTAGTTCCGTCAACGCCGCATTCACTTCTGAATAGATGTTCTCTTACCTTGGAACTCAAGCGAAGGAGTCGTATCTCGTCTTTTTGTAGGGGAGTTCGTATCGCCATGGCTGCAGGACCCCATGTAGGCGTGACAGGGCATGAACCAACTGCCAAGACCCTGGGTTGACGCGACGCGCCTGAACGCGGAGTCGGGCTCATCTCTGTGCCGAGGATATGCTGAGTAATCAGATCATGATACAGGGTAGGTTGGTGTCTTATGAACAGAAAGCTCAAGATGTTGATCTCGTGTTCAAGTTGAGTAGCTAATAAGACAATTGAATGAAGTGTATGGAATTCTTTTTTCCTCTATAGAATTGTTAAACACATTTTTGCGAGTCATCCGTGTCTTCTAGGCTTGCCAATGCTAAAGATCCTCTTTACCGACATATACGGGCGCAAAAGGGTCAAAGGCCCGAGGGACTCAAAACACGTAGGAGAGTCTCCCAGACGAAAAACGTCAAGTATCTCTTGCTCCTGGGTCGCCTACCTATAGCCTATTCCTTGCCTGAAATGCCCTCTAGACTGCCTTATTGAAAAGGCATTTTTTAATTGGAGCGGTTAAGGAATTGCTTCACAGCCCACCTGCAGGCTGTTGGGCAGATTCAGCCGAGCCTGATTGTGATTTAAGAAGCGTGACATATTTCAGTCCCTCAACACAGAAACCCTTTTTGTCGACATGGCGCTTTTCGCTCAAAATGTGCTGGCAAATCATTGAGCTATACTCGGCGTGCCGTTGCCTATACTATCAGCATGCCATCGATCGCTGTGTTTCTTACGGACGTCTAGGACACACCGTTGAGCGACGTACTATTTTCGTTGGCTACGCCTGTTCAGCCCACGCCCCCGCCTGCGACGGCCTCCGCCGGGGCCGGGGCGTAAGTGGTGGTATCAAGGAAAAGAGTCAAGCAGGGATCGATCCCGAGGATTCGGGCGATGAGGGTGATGACAACTTTTCGGATAACGAGTCAATTCTGAGCGGTAATTCGGCTCCATCAACAAGCCTTACCATCCCGGTTGAGACATATCAAGAGGCCATCGAAGCTTTATTTCGAGACATCCTCAACGACTTTAATTTACGCTATCTCTGGCCACAGGTGGTCAGAACATCTTGTCGAAGAGACCTCGCCGAGAGGGAAATCTGTAGGCTTCTAAAACGCTTTTCAGCCGATTTGAAGAATGCAGCCGAGACCCGTCTGCACCAAAACGCTGCAAAACTTGTCCGAACAGCACGATTGAACATTGCCCAAAGAATCGTCATTTGCCATGCCGCTCAGCTTGACCCGTTCGAAAAACCTGACGTATTCACTTCTGTTGGGCTTCCCGAGGACGAGGAGATTGTAGATGAGGAACGAGAGAGGAGCGATGAAGAGAGGAATATCGTGTATGAGCGCGTGCACGAGTTTATCTTTCAGGGGGCAGCATTTGAGCAATTCACTCTGGCAATGAAACTGCACGTTGCAAAGAGTTCAGTTTCAGAGGAGCCTTCCCTGAGGCTTTATTCCTTGAGGCAATGTTTTGAGGTGCTGGTCTCGCGAATTTGGGGGTCTCCAGCACATCCCACACTGAGTCGTCTTTCGTGGTCTTGTGTGAGTGAATCCGCCTCAATCTAAGACTTGAGATACTAACTAGGAACAGCAATGCGGTCAGACTGGCCATGATGACTACCTCGAGAAGCAAGAAGGTGCTCTAGAAGAGTTGGAGACACTACTACGGAACTACAAGGAGAAGACGTTGGAAATGGCGAGGAGCATAGCTCCAGCGGACTCATCGTCTACTGGAAACGCAAGCCACTTTATCTCCAAGGTGAAGAACGTCCTGTCAATTCCCATTCGCAGGCAGGGGTCAGAAAACCTTCCTAAGCACCAACAAGACACGGACAAGGCCCCAATGCCAGGCGAAGCATGCCGCATTACGTCCAACAAAGAGCCGTCTTCTTTAGACCCGCAGCACAGGTTTCTATTAATCTGTGCACCTTTCATGCAAAGGGCCACGAAAGCGCATCAGCCCGATGTGTGCATGATTCACTCGGACCGTGATTTGTTCAAGGCGCTGCGGAGAACATACTCAAAGTGCAGAAAGGGCTACAGGTGGCGGTGGTTCAGACGAGTCACCTCGATTGAGTTTGTCAAGGTAGGCTCATTCTTTAATGAATATGCACTCCATATAACTAACCCTCACAGTTTGAGTTCTTCCTTAGCGAGCTTGTCAACATCCAACAATGCCCTTCGCTGCCTGGACGACAAGACAGGGTGGAATACGACTTTGAACAGGTAGACTTGGATCCACCCATCGGACCGAACCTCCTGTCACACTTGTTCGAGAATCCAGACCACGCCGAAGTGCTTCCTGTGCTCTTTAACAGAATCCCGAAAAAGATGAGAAAACGACTCAGTGCCTGCCCAAGGAAAGGAAGTTCCACTGGCTGGGGGATCAGTTTCGTCGAGACCCTGGACACATTCGTTGTGTTTCTCTTTGGATGTATTGGGTTTACTCTATCTCTTGTCGCTGCCGTGGTTTACACCGTGATCATGGGGGACATTCAGGGTGGATTTGCGATTGGGGCATTTCTGTTGGCTTTTGTTTTGTTTTGCGGTGGCTGTCTTCACTCTTTGCCTATCTAGATACAACCCTGCGAAATCAACAACACAATCACAATAGAAGCATCTATCCATTTAAAATGTCTCCTACTACAACAAAGATATTATCTCTACCAAGCACAATCCAATTTGACCAGATAAAAAAAGCCGCCAAGTGGGCATTGACCCATCGGCCCCAGTTTGGGTAGCGTTTGTCAGACTCAATAGCGTTGCGTCATTCACAATTCATCGGGCGAATGGTTTAGGGGTATAATGCTCGCTTCGCATCTCTGAACCTTCTGGTTCTGAAGACGATCTGCGAGAGGTCCGGGGTTCGATTCCCCGTTCGTCCAGAGACCATCATCTCAGAATGTTTCTTTTTGCGATTGTCGACGGTTGCCGATTATTCTTTTTGCACCTCCACTTGTGATATGAGATTTGTAGTTTTCTTTCTGCAAAGCAAGGTGGGGTATCAGAGGCAGCTGAATGGACAATAGTTGCGACCGTAATATTCCGTCGCATTAACTCCTTGTTGCACAAGACCACATCCCTTTACTCTGGAGCAATCACCAGATTGGCCATCAAACTTGTAAAGAACCGAATAATGTGGAATTGCACTCGCTATCTTATCGCAACTCCATGATTTTATCGCCGAAAATTTAATCAACTCGACTGCCACCCAATTACATCTTGGTCAACTCTCAGTCAACCATCAACCCAGCGCTGCCTACTCCAGCTTATAAGTAGCCATCTTCCTCGGGCTAACCTTGAGCTCAAACAGCCTGTCAATCTCATCGTATCGCCTTCCCTTGAGCTCAGGAACAAAGATCCAGCTCCAGATCATACCCAGCAGACCGAGACCACCAAAGATGAAGCCGACCTTGCCCTTCAGGTTGCCCTCGTCTGGGTTGACCATGTAGGGGATAGAAACGTTCATGGCAATACCCATGACGGACTGAGTAGCTGTGGCTAGGGCCATAGCCTTGGCCTTGAGAGCCAGAGAGCATGTTTCTCCCAGGACTGCGAAAGCCATGGCTCCGACTGTGGCAAAGTAGACAAAGGCGTAGATGACACTGCATGCGGCCTGCACCCACTTGGCAGCGCCAGTAGGAACAACATCCATGATTCCAATGAGGAATAGGAGTACCGTAAGCGCGCCCATGCCAATAACAAAGATGTTGCGACGACCAAATGAGTTAACAACGAACCAACTGCAGATGTTGCCGGCGACACCACAGGCTGTAACCACGACACCCATGTCAAAGCTGCTGGATTCGGCGAGACCGGCCAGTTGGAAGAAATAGGTTGAGTAGCCGAGGACAAAGACAATACCCACAAGATGTTGACACACAAACACACCGATACTGATCAGGGATCGGATGAGATCAGTACCTCTGAAGCACTGAGACCACGATGCCTCCTCAGCTCGGGCAGCATCTTCCTCGGCAATGGTGGTTTGGATAGCGGCAAGCTTGGCCTCGACGTCAATGTTGGGTCCGTAAAGCTGAATCAGAGACTTCTTTGCCTCGTCGAGCTTGCCCTTTCGAGCAAGGTACCACGGTGTCTCGGGAGCGAATGGCAGACCAACAGCAAGGACGATGACGAAAAAGAACTGTGTGCAGAAGGGTCCACGCCATCCCCAGCTATCAGGTCTCTCACCGAATCCCTTGATGACGGCGTTGGAAACGAGCTGACCGATGGCGATACCCAGGTTTACACCGGCTGTAGCGATACCTCGGAGAACCACGGGTGCGATCTCGGAGGTTGCGAGAGGGGCAATGGTGAGGTAGAAACCAAGACCACAACCAAGGATGAGCTTGGCAATGAGGAAGGATGCATTGGAGGTGGCAAAGACCTCTCCAAAGATGCCGCCAGTAGCAAACACGAGGCCAATGGCTAGGGACCACTTGCGGCCGATGCGGTCACAGAGGTAGGAGCAGAGGAATCCGCTGAAGAAGCCGCCGACGCTGGTGATGAGGTTGAAGGCAGATTGCCAATCAGCAGGGAGAATTGCTACTCCATCTTGGACGTATCTACATATTGTTAGTTGTTGCTGTAGTAAAATAGAGTGGAATTGTCTTACCCAAAGTCACGACGGAAGGATTCAACCGAGATGGCGGCGCCATTGATCTGAGCATCAAAGCCCCTGCACAATGTCAGTAATCTATTCACGATCAATCAGAATGCAACTAACCAGCCAATGGCAGCAACAGCATAGAAAAAGGACCATCCAATAAGTGCTGGATGGTGACGGAGGACTTGTCGAAGAGTCAAGTCGTGCTCAGCTTGACGATCAGCATTGACAACGTCGGCCTTGGGGTCCGCAAACTCGGCACCCGAGGCTTTCGGCTCCAGGGCAAACGAGGGCTTTCCTCCTGGGGAGATGTCTTCAGCTGCCATGATCTGAGAAGCTGTAAATGTGAAGAATGATGTGATGGTTCAATTGATTGTGTGAAAGACCGGTGAGTCTCTTGGGCCAAGCTTTTCGATCTTGGGATGATGCCTGAGCATTATATAGTTACAGCCCGTGACATGACAATAATCGCTGGTCACCGGCGGTTTTCGTCGTCTCGCAACGCCATGTCGAAAAACCACAAGACCCGGCTAAAGACGACAGTTGATGGCCTGACAGGATTAGCTCTTCAAAGTCACAAGACTGACATCCGAGCTTCGTCTAGGCCCGGTCTGGGGTTTGTGGGGAGAGAAGCTATTGGAGCTGTCGCGTGGATCCTGGAATGTGGGGGATCCGCTTAACCCAGTCTGGCCGTTAAGGGCGACACTCCCCGACAAGGTTTTCCAGCTGAGCGGGTGAGCCGTTTGTCTCTGCCGGCGGTCTCCAGCGGTTCTTATAAGGGGCGACATTCCCCGACGGACACTGACCGTGATTTACCACTACCCCTAACACCATGACTCCACCGAAACAAGCTGAACAGATGGACGAGACCTCGGTAGACAGAGACCGTCCCCCTGGCAAGAGGCCGGCAGCTCGCGGAACTGCCTTTTACCCGCGCAAGAGGGCGAACGCCGCCTGCCAGGTCTGCCGAGCCCGAAAGACCAAATGCGATAATCGAAAGCCGTCGTGCTCTTACTGCCTCAGCGTCGGCGCGACCTGCATACAGTCACCTGTCGACCTCTCGGCTTTTGACCCCGCGAGTCTCAAGATCCTCGAACGATTAGATGAGCTTGAGAGGCTGATCAAAGAGCCGCGTGCCGAGCAGGGGCTGGGAAATGAAGCTGTCGTCAATGCTTCTCCAGCGTTTTGTCAGAATGAAGAGATGCAATCGTCTTCGAGTTCACCTGCCAGACCTATTGGTGATCTCAATGATATTCCACTCAGGAGCATCCTTCCGGAAAAGGTGGAGAGTCTGCTTATTTGGTCCGTCCTCGCTCAGCACTCGCCTCAGGAGAGCCTCCAAGCTTCCCCTGCCCTGCCACGGGACTCGTACTCCCCTGGATGCAGTCCACTGAGTGGAATTGTCGACATGGACACGCAGAGCGTGAAAATGCTTCTAGACAACTTCTTTACTCACGTGCACTGCAAAAACCCCATCCTGGAGGAGACGGCGACCCGGCAGCTCGTCACGAGCACCATCATGGAAGGGATAGACTGGTCGGCAAACTCGTGCCTGGCCCTGCTCATCTGCGCGCTCGGAAAGGTTGCCACTCCCCTGGGACCGAGCCTTGGGTCTAAGCCGGATACAGCAAACTATCTCGAGGCCCAGAAGCTGTTCCACGCGGCGCAGAAGAGGATCGGAACGCTCATGACGCAATCGGACATAATCGGAGCGCAGTGCTTCTTTCTGTCTGGGGTGTTTCTGATGTGCAACTTTCAGCCTTTTGAAGCTTGGAGGTTCTTCTCGCAGGCTCTGGCTGCTTGTCAGACGTTGCCGTTCCTGCAGAGGGCGCATAGACGAGATTCGGGGCTGGATATGGTGCAGCCTGCTGCTGATGAGACGCAGCAGGAGGCGATTTATTGGTCTTCGTGGAAGTCGGAGCACGAATTGAGGTCGGAGCTGATGTTGCCGGATTTTAACAAGTCTCACCACTCTTCGAGCAATTTGTACCCTCCGTTTTTTCCTACGCCGCCTCATCCGCTTGACTCGAACAAGACGACAGACTCGGACAGACAGCGAGCGTCATGGCTGTTTTATCTGGCTGAGATTTCTCTGCGACGACTTTACAGTCGAATTGCGAACGAAATACTCGAGCTGCATCGTTCTTCTGCTTCTAACCTGGACTTCCTCAGGGATCTGGCCGCAAGGGTACCGGATTATGAGACACAGGCTCATCAGTGGGCTGGTAGCCTACCACCAGAGCTCTGTCTTTCCAGACCACCTACAGAAGACAATGTGTGCACGTTTGTTCTTCGAGGACATCTCGTCAACTTTTTCGAAGCCATTTACTGGGCGTTTGTCATGGCACACTTTAACGCTCTCGAGAGAGGGCTGTTACTGGACCTCCCTGGTAAAGAATACGCGGATAAAGGATTGGAGTATCACGTTATTCGAGTACAAGTGAATGAAGTCGGAATGCTGCATCGACATCACGGGACGTGGCTGCTGATCAGAGCCTGCGTCCGGTCTGCCGGTATCCTCCTCGGGGGGCGGGTGCTAGGGGCAACGATGCCGAGGGGCTGGCACGAAGCGGTGCAGAAGATCATGTACCTCCTCAGCTCATGGGAAGACGAGGCCCCAGAGCTCTCCGCACGGAGGGCGTTCCTGCAGGGGGTCATGATGAGCTTTGACAGCTGATCCGGGGAATGTAGCTTTGATGGACAAGTTTGAATCGATCGATCAACTGGTAAATGCGACGGCTAAATCCTCTTGAATTGGCCCATGGTTTCCCCAGGTCAAGTGAGATGTCGATCCTTGGCGTGGCCTGAGAGCGTCGGGGAGTGTCGCCTTTAAGCGATCACAGGACCCCAACCCACTTGGGACCTTGACCATTTAAGTCTTGATTCGTGCTGCAACTTGAATGTTTGAATCAAGACAGCATAACTGTGTAGGGCACTTGAATTAATATTTCTCTGCCTTTTACACATTCTACTCAATCTTTTCCCCCGACAAAGACCTCCGACACAGACACCGTAGAGTCTTCAAAATGGTCGCGACCGCAGACAGCAAGGGCTCTTACAGGGTCTCTGAGAGACCAACCCCTCAGAGATCTTCTTGCACTATGTTGCGAACAGATGGAAGCCGCATCGTCAACCCGGCAGGCGAGACTGTCGTTCTCAAAGGCGCTGCTATTGGTGGCATGCTCAACATGGAGAACTTCATCACCGGTTACTCTGGACATGAGCACGAGCATCGCGCTCAATTGGCCGAAGTTCTGGGAGAGGAGATGGCCACATACTTCTTTGACAGACTCCTCCACCACTTCTTTACCGACTCAGATGCCGCTTACTTTGCCTCCCTGGGCTTGAACTGCATCCGAATTCCCTTCAACTACCGACACTTTATGGATGACCTCAGCCCCGACACGCTTAAGCAAGAGGGCTTTGATCTGCTGGATAAATATGTCAACATCTGCGCTCGACACAACCTTTATGTCGTTCTCGATATGCACGCCGTCCCGGGAGGTCAGAACCAGGACTGGCACAGCGACTCTGGCATTGCGCGAGCTATGTTTTGGGACTTTAAGGACCACCAAGACCGAGCCATTCAGCTGTGGGAGGCTCTGGCCAAACACTACAAGAACAACCCCGTGGTGGCTGGTTACAATCTTCTCAACGAGCCTGCCGATCCTCACAAGAACAAGTCGGGATACTTTGGCGAGAGGCTGATCAAGTGGTACGAGCGCGCCGAGAAGAGCATCCGAGCTATCGACCCCGACCACATGATCTTTATCGACGGCAACACCTACGCCATGGACTTCCGAGCTTTCCCTGAGAACCCTCTTCCCAATGCTGTGTATGCTTGCCACGACTATAGCATGCTTGGTTTCCCATTCGGTCCTCAGTACGAAGATACCCCAGAGCAGAGAGACCACCTTCGACAGAGCTTTGAACGAAAGGTCGAGTTTATGAGAGCCAAGAATGTGCCTATCTGGAACGGAGAGTTTGGACCCGTTTACCAGAATGAAAAGAAGGAGGGAGAAACAGCCGTTGCCACCAACGCCAAGCGATTCGCCCTTCTCAAGGAACAACTTAACATTTACAAGGAGACTGACGTCAGCTGGTCCATCTGGCTTTACAAGGATATCGGTTACCAAGGCATGGTCTACGTCGACCCTCAGTCAACATACATGCAACTCATCGCTCCCTTTGTGGAGAAGAAGCAACGTCTCGGTCTCGACTTCTGGGGCGTAGCAAACAAAGACGAAGCCAAGCACATTTACGAGCCTTTCCTCTCAAAGCTCAAGGAAGACATCCTACCCGCCTACCAGAACACGAGATACCCCAAGATCTGGACCTTTGAGCGACAGTTTGAGCGAGTCATCCGTGAGTGTCTGATGAGCGAGTATGCGGGTTGGGAGATGGCGGAGCTGTTTAGGGGAAAGAGCAAGGAGGAGCTAGAGGAGCTCGCGAGCAGTTTCTCGTTTGAGAAGTGTGTTAAGAGGGATGCTTTGACTGAGATACTCAGCTTGGATTCTTTAGATGCGGTTAAGAGCAAGGGTGCTTAAGCGGGTGTATGGATAAGAAAGGAAGGTTGGGTAGAGAGGGTCGAGTTTTTGTAAATATCTCCTTGGGTTATGGGGTCATGAGTCTGGGTCAACTATTAGAATGAATGCATGTAAACGGTATTTCTCATGAGAAGGGTGTGCTCTAGTAAAAACATGCTTGAGAGCCTAGAAAACAGGGCATATGACGAGGTGAGCGAAGAGGATGAAGTTGGGTTAGAGTTCCACCACAATTGGCTCATTCGTGAGAACATTCTTGGGCCCAGAGACGACCGAAGCATTAACAAAGACAGTCCTTTCTTGACTAAGGGCTGGTAGAACTAATCCCTTCAGTTTCGCCAAAAGCACTAGAATCGCCATCCAGCCCACCGTCATCCATCCGGCCCATCCAGTCATTACCTCCTCGTATGCTCTCTGTACGCCATCTAGGACTACATCTTCACGTCCATAGGAAACATGGATGTGTCCAGATACGACAAGGCGTGGCCGGATTTGAGCGATCTCCTCGGCTAGGTATGGACATCCCGCTCGATGGAAGTCGCGCGTGTCGAGATGATGCTTTGGCGGACCATGAGTGATGATGATATCCGGTTTGGTATCCAAGGAGGAGAATCGAGTGGACCAGTGGAGTTCATCGTCAGGCCGGTACTGGAACGCCGACGTCCCGTACCGTGGTGTCCAGGGACTCCCGAATATTGTGAGTCTTCGAGGTTCAGAGCTTGGAGTGACGTCCCTAATTGGCTCAGTTGGTGGAAAGTCGAGTGCGATACAACTATCCTCGAGGTAGATGACGCTATCCCAGTCGAGATCAGCTTTCGTCTTGCTTAGGCCGTATCGTCGCTCCGGATACTTGGTGAGAAAGGCTTCGTCAAGAAGGACATCGTGATTTCCTGCAATGAGGACCTTGTATGTATGCGGCTGGTCCGACAACCATTTCAACTCGGCTTGCACTTCCTCAAAGGAACCGTTCTCTGTCAGGTCTCCGGCATGGATGAGAAGATCCCCTGGAGGTAGTATCGGGCGTGTGTTATGAGTGTCGGAAATACAGACTACCCGGAGAGGATTTGAAGGTCGCGACGGCTTGACCTTTGGATTGTGAATTGTTAGCAACTTGCTAGCTGCCTCCCGCTGACGACGGCCAGGTAGTGTGATGCTTGTAAGCGGCTGCATTCTTTGCTGGTTCAAGGACCAAAATGTGAAAGAAGCCCGGCTCACTGTTCTTGATGGATTGTCCCGCGCTGCTCCATGAGGCTGCGTCAAAAGATTGCTGGAGTCCATGCGTTTTTGCTGACCTATCATAGCCAGCTACCGTATACGATTGGCCATTGTTTATCTCGCGACTATTGCCATCAGAAGGCGTCAAGGGCATTCGGTAGTCGAGAACCATGTCCCCAGGCGAAATAGAGACGCGCGTGTACGAAGTTCAGAGTCTAGGGCCTTGATAAATTATTATTGAATTCTTCATTTGTCTTACCCTTATCACTCGGAAAGGATTTTTTGTCAACATTCTTGAAGCACGTTGCTCGAAACCAGGGTGTTTCGGATCGCCTCCCGACGTCTCGTCCAGTTCATGACCAGCAGCCAGGATTAAGAGAATCTGCCTTGTAAATCCAGAAACACCTGATTCATTTCATTTAGGAAAGACCAGACTATTGACTCAAGACACGTTGGCAATTTGGACATTCCTAGCCCTTTATCCAGTAACCGAGAATGCATGCCAAGACCCTTGGCTCCTCTTAATCATCACGCCTGGGCCACGTGGGATCGGACTTTAGCAATCTTCTCCCTCAGCTGAGGCTCACAGTTGCTTGGCGGCGGGTCCTTTACTCCGTTGGGGGGTTGGAACTGGGGAAATAAAGGGATTCTCGGATGTCGCTGAAATGTTTATTTTAACAAAAGGGCGCCCGTCTTCGAAGCTTTGGTTGAGCGTGGATTGTTGTGCTGTCCAATCTTCTCAGTCACCATGGCCTCCCAAGTCATTCCCATCAGTCGTCTCAACCTTGAGCCAGAGATGGTCAAGTGTCCGGCCTGCCAGCATGTTGGCAAGTCAATACGGGTCATGGAGTTGACCTCCAACGGACAGTAAGTTCTTATATCGCTCTCAGCTGCAGAGCTAACACGCGATAGAGCTACGACGAGTTGCCTGATGGGAATCCTGGCCTGTCTTGCATGTAACTGCGGGTACATGACAGCTCCTACGTATTACTTCCTGAGCCACTACTGCTCTCGCTGTGGGATCCGGTTCGTTATTGTACCGTGGTACGATAACCCTATTCTTCATCTGGAACGGTCACTTCTTGTCGACGCCGAGTCCACAGAGAAGGGAGACTCTGGACGAAAGATTATGCCATCACCTCTTGGACCGCCACCACAGTTCAACGAGGACTCATTGCGCAACTTTGCCATCCGCTTCATCTCCTCCACTCCATCCCTAACCCTTGAGATTCTTTTGCAAGGCGATCGCAAGTTTCCCTCCCAGGCTACAGATGTGGCATCTTCCAAGAAGCTCTACTATATCACTTGGCCTGGTCTTGCGGCTGGGGACCCTGTCGAGTATACCTCGGGCGAGCCCATGACAGCGACTCCAGCAAAGCCAGACAGCAAGCAAATCAAGTCGATGGCGTCTTGGGACCCCTCAAAGTCGACTCCTCACATCCGCGTGTCAACAGCCGAGGGCGTCAACCGAGAGGTTGCTACAGCTCAGGTATTTGCAACCTCAAGGGACTACATCCTTCACACACTTACAACAGGCCCGGATGGAGTTGTCAGCTACGTCTCACGTCGATCTGGTATCAAGGGACAAATCTCAAGCAAATCCGGCTACATGGTCTGGACTAGTTGTGCTGGCCCACTAGCTTGGATCGTGCGCAGCGTTCAAGACAAGGAGATGCAAAAGACTTCCCGTAGGATCGTCCTGATGGATGCATATGACAGACTCGTGGGGACGATTAGCTCAACTGACGAGGAGAGTGTGCGGTTGAAGATCTACGGAGACTTGTCGTCAGAGCTGATTGGGGAAATTCTGGCGAGTTTCTCTGCAGTGTCTTATACTATCTGGAACTATTCACGTCTTGAGGGAACCGATGAAGGATGGGGTGTTGCTGCTGGTGCGATGAGTGTGGCTGGTTTGGGGTTGACATTGGCTGGCATCTAATATTTCTTGTCATTAAGGGGCCCAGCTACTGGTACGGGATATTGGTACACGAAAGGCACTCATGCCTTATTGTTGTGAACTAGATAGCTGCTATGCGAGCATTCCTGGCTTAGGAAATCTACTGTCGCTGCTGTCTTTCAATTTCAACGGGCTCAGCGGGTTCTTCCTCCTGGGCCTCCTTTTGCTTAATGGCCCATGCGAGCTCCTCATCTGCCTGTGCTGCTCTCTTGGTATCTTCTTCTCCAAGCTTAACGTTCTGCACCAAGAAAGCAAGGAGGAGTAGAAGTGCAGACACAGAGACGGATCCAATAGCCAAAGTCTGCTGTGTTTGGCGGTAGCACTTGTCAATGGCGTTTCGCTCGGGGCTACCGACTTCGTACTTTTGAGCAACGACAATAGATCCAAAAATCTTTCCGCCAACCTCGTCACCAAAGTTGGCGTTAAGCTTCTTGGGAAGAAGGGAGTTCCAGATGGCGCCACTGATGGTAACACCGAGGTTGGAGCCAAAGCCAAGAGAGGAGAGGTAGACAGCGGTAGCGACGGCGATCTGCTCGTTGGCGAGGACTGCCTGTAGGGAGACCTGCAAAGAGACCTGGGCAAGACCACGACCAACTCCAAGTAGCGTCTTGGAGACGATAAAGGTTGGCTCGTTGGCAATATGTGTGCCGGAAATGTTGGTGAGATAGATGGGCAGGCCAGAAGCAAGGATGATCAAAACAACACCAAGCATAATGAAAGGCTTGGTATGCTTGACGTACTTGAGGCAAAGACCAGAGAACAGGGCACCGATGTTGTAAGCCACGCGCTGGGCATTGTCGACTCGTGTGGCAGCTCCTGGGGAGTAGTGACCAGCAACCTGGAGGAAACTGGAGAGGAAGGGTCTGTAAATGCTGTCGGACATGGCGATGACGATAACAGAGGTACAGGCGATGATGACGTTGCGTTCTCGAATGGTTCGGTAAGGGATGATGGGGTTGGAAGCAAACTTTCCGTCCCAGACGAGGAATCCGACAAAGGTCAAAACACCGACGACGAGGAGGACGATGGATGATGGTTCCTCCCAACGGTCGGTGTTTCTGCGTCCGGCGATGGTCATGGGAAGAAGAGTCATGGCCAAACCACCGATCAGGAGAAGAGCACCGATGAGATCAAGCTGGGTGGCGATATGCTTGACCTTGCCGACGGCACCAGGGGGAGCGCCATGAAGGAGGGACAATCGCTCGGTAACCAAGCCGATCTTATTGGCCCGACGGCCCATCCAGAGCATCATGGAGATAGTCGGGATCGAAGTGACGGGTAGGATGATCGCCCACATGCCATAACCCCATCTCCAAGATGAGAACAAGAGCATGTGCTCGCCAAGGTACGTTCCAGCATAGAGCGTAGGAATGGCGGAAAGCGATTCGGGGAGGGTGAACAGGAGACCTCGGTTTACCAGGCTGGTGACGTCTGCGACAAAGATTTGTTGAGTGATGTTCCACCACGTATCACCGAACGAGTCAAAGATTCCTCCAGCCTAGAGATGTCAGCTTAGTCGACGACGTGGGATTAACTAGAGTACGCACAAGGAAGGTGTCGACGTTCTGGCAAGCCGCGTACATGGCACTGCCTATGGCCATTGACAAAGCACCTCCCGCGAAGCCTTGGGGTCGACCGAAATGCTGGATTAATGTTAGTGCGATCACGAGCTGATGAGTAGAAAGGAGACGTACGTCGGCAAGCTTGGCGAGAAGAGGGTAGCCCACGATTCGCACCAGGCCGTTGACGATGGCGCCAGTGGCCAGAAGCGAATGACCATCGAAATGACTAGTCGCGTACGGTTCGTAGACGTTTTGGGTATACACGTTGAGGTTCATGAAAAAGTTCATGACGAGGAGGCTACCAATTGTTAGCAAAGTTTGCAATACGCGAGTGAAATACCCACCATCCAATAGCGATACCAAGCTTTCGAGGCGTCCATAGCTTTCGCATAGCCTCTGTGCCTGTTCTCGGTCCAGACTCCTCCGCCACAGGCGTTTGCTGGCCATCGTTGACTTGAGATTCGACTGCCATCTTGACTGTTACGCAAACTGCTCGACGACGATCACTGCAAAACACTCAAAACACGACGTCTGCTCTTTTCTTATAGGAAAAAGTCTTCCGCAGTCCTACGGCGGTCATGCCCAATTCAGGATTCTCGACACGAGGACAAACGTGGGGGCATGAATATCATTGCTCGACAGAGTATAACCCGTTCCCAGAAGTTTGTCAATGGTCGGTCTTGGCTGTAAGACCATTCCCACTCGCTTAGGCCCCTCTTAAGCATGTATCTAAGCTACCTTAGTCTGGCAAGGGTTGAGGCGGCCGCTCAAACGTTACCGAGCTTGCCGAGGGCAAACCGTTGGATGCTTGAATAATGGATCATGGCTGTTTTGAGTTTCTTCTCCGCGGTGACATCTCCACATTGTTGTGGGATGGCGAAATTGTGATAGGCGCGCAGTTGGGATAGATCCTTGTTATCTGGAAGTGGAGGATCTTATCTGATCTCCATTCTTGTCCCCTCTTTATAGCTAGACGAATCGAACGACCTTGGTGAGGCATATAATTGACGAACGAAAATTTTACCTATACCTTGGCTAGCTTGGCACTACCCACCGTTCGTCTTTGCTGACAAAAGGAAGTGGCAGGGTTCATTCCGTTGACTCGGCTCTGGAAGTCTATGGTGGAAGAAATGCCATTCTCCACTTACGTGACGAGATTTAAATACGTTCGAATATGGCAATTTTAGCCCGGGAGTAATATTCCATTGTTGATATATGTCCATACGCCTGACGCCGAACATATCTACTCGATTAAGAGTCTTGGACTGTAATATGAGCCATGACTGAAGATTTCAATATCGCCTAGAAAAAAGAAAAGTCTCAAACACCTGCTAAAGGTAAATACCCGTAACATACGATGCACAGTAAGTACCAAGCTGTAGGGATACTGCATGGTGCCCTGATATTTACTGGATATTCACGAGCAAGGAGTCAGAAAAGAACTGATCCAGAAAGGGCTCCCCATAAACATCCCCCAAATCAAAGAAATTATGCACCGTATTGGGAGCAGGCGGCGGGTTCTCTTCCTTGTCATCGATAGGATGGATGAACTTTGTCGCCACTTGGATAGTGGCACTGGAGCCGTGGCTTGATCCTTGCCGTTCCGAGCTGCTGTTGCAAGTGGTGAAACTGGATCCCGACATTGTGGGGTCGAGCAGCTCCCAGATCATCTCGGGCTCAAAGCAGATCGTGGAACTCGTTGACTCGTCGTTTTCTACTGTCTGTGGTGCTTGTGAGGCCTTGGCGTTGAGCCGTTGCAGAATCTCGACCTATAACTGAGTATTAGATGTGGTCACAATGTGTTAAAAACCGGCATGTGAGAAGAAACGCACCTTTTTAGCGATGTGAGGCCAGTTGTGTGACAGTCGTGAGAGAAACGCCTCACACGTGCCGATGTTTTCTTTAGCCTTGTCCGACACCTTTCGGTCTCTTGCAAACTGGAATATCCAGAGTATGGAAACGCATGCAGCGACTGCTTGTCCGATCAAAGGATCATTAACCTCAAAGGAGCGATCTTCGCACATCTGCACTAAGCGGGAGACCCATTCCGAGTGAAACAGTGCCTGGTCAACCGTCTTTTGTAGGAACGAGCGAGGTTGAAACTTGCGTCCTGCTCTTCGAAGCGCTACGAGCTGAACAAAGGGGTGATTTAGGGCGGCTTGGGAAGCGTGCATCGTGATTTGCATCAAGACCCATGGTGCCCAGTACTCTCGATGTTCGTTGAGATTAGACGGCGGTTGATCTGGAAACGGGGCATTTCTGATAAGGTGCCTGTGCGAAGTGTGATTTTCGAGCTCGTAGAGCTTGACTGTGAGCTGATTGTGTCGGGAGGTGGTTAACCAGGGATACTCCATAGCGCCGTCTCGGATATCTCTTAGGTATGAGATGATGCTTCCCCAGAGGCAGACATAACCCAAACAACATGCAGTGATACCGGCGTCGTGAATGTTTCCCTCGTAGGCATCCGTCAAGTCGGGGCAGTAGCTCTTCATGCTGTTTGATGGGTGTAGTGGCGGAGGTACGGGCACGCTCTTGGGGTAACTCGGGGCGCGAGATGCTTCAGCAAGCGTGTTCATATGGGGAGAAAAGGCGCTCTCTAGGATTACGATGCTCCAATGGCATCTTGACGTAGCATCGTCGGTATGTCGTGAGTCGGAGTTTGCTCTCAGGTTCGATAGTCGGAATGCCTCAAGCCTTGATGCGATGCCAATAGTCATCCACGAACGGGCTGACTTCCCAGCTGGAGGCTGATGAGCCAAGCACACCTGGGGCTTCTGTTTGCAACTCACCTATTTGTTCACATAATGAAAGCAAGCAAAGGGCCTGTAATACCTCCAGTTTCGGGACTCCATCAGCAGCCATGTCCACCACAATGCTCCTGGCCGAGGTAGCATAATACTCGATCGCTTTGGATTCTAGTCCATAGTAGAAGTTGTGGCTGGTATAGTTTAGAGCAAGAGCAAGGAAACTCCACCGCAAATAATGAGGAAATGAGGCGATCTTCGACTGGAGACGGCGTGGGTCAAAGAGTGGAAGTGGCTGGAAGTAGAGCTTCTCGCGGTAGACGGCGACAAAGTCATGAAGTAATTCTAGAGGAGGCTCAGGGTTTCCGGGAGACCTGAAGTACTTTATAGTGAGTAAATGGGATCATTTGAAATGGGAATGCTGCTGTCGCTGACCATGTAGATGGGTCCGTGGTCGTTAATGAGGACAATTGTTGAGAAGTTGGTGAACTGGCTGGTCTTCCTCGGGGGGCCAAGCCCTGGCTGCTCGGGGCGCCTGTAAATGGCCTGTAGTTATTTTTATTAGCAATAGGAAACACTTGCGTTGGAATGCGCTTACTCTGCATCCTGGTGATGCGAACTGTTGGATGGACTTGGGGAGCTGTTGTCGTAGACTTCTCGGGGCCTTCTGTGACATGGTCAGGCCAAGAGAAACCCGAATTTTAGACAAATTCCCTACAAAGATCTATTTTGGGCCCGTCGGCCTCCATGGCTCACATGGTTCCGGGGGAGGTAGACGCAAGGTGAATTAGCAAGATGGCAATGAGAACACCCGGGCTTTTCTGCGGGGCATTTAATCTTTTTTTGGCTAAAAACAATGCTTGATTAGCGATGTTCCGAGTTTCCACCAAGCGGAAGACGTACCGACAGCGCTCGCAGGATCGTCTCACACGGGGTTCACGGTCGGTTCGCCTCGTCATGTGGAAAGCGGTTGATGAATGACAAGACGACCTGTGAAGAATCTTGGTGATAAGTAGAGACAAGGCCGGCAGAAACGGCCGAATTCCCGACTGCGGGGGAGATAAAGGTCCTGGCCTATCACATTTGAGGCTTGATCCCGGCTGATATGATTTGTGGCTGGGGAACGCCTGGGAAGATAACGTTGCCGAGATGTGGAATGTGTCGGCTCATCGCTTGTTTGAGCCGTCCTGTCGGGTCGGGATCCGACTCTCCGCATGGTTCGGCTTTGGAGCCGACTACATCAAAGGTGTTGCAGCAGGACATCACCCTTTCATTATTATATATGCTAGAGCTAGACGTGTTGGAATGCCTCGAGGTTATCATAATAAAGCAATTTATACCAATCAGCTCGGAGCCTATTTCTGGCGTCACAGATCCTACAGGTTAGGTATAAGGTCAGGAACAGCTCAATTCAATTCATTTTCAAAGGGCGTCGTAAAGTCGAAGACTTGACTCTCATTCTCACACATCTGTAAGTGATTAAATCCAATATTTTAACCATTCAAACGGGGCGAAGCTCACGACCCATGTTGTAATTCGGGATCATCTCCCCACGCGATTCGAGAGAAGCACCTGGTAAGACGAACTCCCTTCTTATATGTACCTATGAAAGAGTCAGTACAGTTTTCTTCGAGAAACTCACGGCCATGCCATCTGATAATTATCTGGTTTTGCTTCTGGGGGATGCCAAGTCTCTAATAATAAATCTAAGCAAGAGCTCGTCTTTTCATTGGCCAATGCTTGAAGCTATTCACAAACTATTGATTTTCCAGCACCGCCAAGACAAACAATTTCCTTTCCCCTTCTCCTGGCTCTTCAGCTTCTTTCTCTCTGTTTCTTTTCTTGCATCTTCTACTGTAGATTCCCTCTAGGCCATGCATACGTCGTATCTCGCCAGCGCCTTCGTGGCCGTTGCGTCGCTGTTTAGCGGTAGCTCTGCAGGTCTCTGCAGGCCCTCTTCTTCTCTTCTGTCTTCAGACACCGCAACCGTGCCCTCCAGCACAACCGAGATCGCATCCACCACCACCGACGTCACTTCATCAAGTAACGCCGCCTCGCCAACCACGACAGAAGTCGCCTCTACCGACGTCTCCTCCTCGACCAGCGATGCCCCCAGCTCCACGAGTAGCCTGCCCGAGCCCATCACCACCTTTGATCTCAAAGGCGCCAACTCGGAGCTTGAAGCTGTCAACGGCCAAAGCCTCTCTTACAGGCAGCAAAGTGGCTATTCCCTGTTTCTAGTGGTGCCAGACTCCGTCGCAGACCAGTACGGGCCTGGTGAGTTTCATCTCGAGGAGGGGACAAACCGTCTCATGGTTGGAGACTTTCACGTCTTTGCCTCTTCTTTTTCTACCTCGTATTCTCTCACTGGCTACATGCAACACATCAAGAGCCCGTATTCCGTATTCATCTCATGCGTACCACCCACAGCCAGAGGACAACGCTTGGAATGTATGGTCGAGGGTACTTCCCGGACAGAGTTCAAGGTTGCATTGGCCGAGTTTACAAACGGGCATTCTTTATACATTTATGCGCCCGGACTTGCTCCGCCCACGCATGTTGATGTCGATATGATTGTGGCTTGATATGAACAACGGAGAATCATTGTATTTGCGTGATTGGCTTTGTTTCCCGCAGTTACTTCACACAATTTGATAGCGAATAAAGGAACCCACTTTGGGAGTTCCCTAGCCGTTGAAAGTGTCTTTGCTTCAATAACAAGGGCCTGAGTTAAGTTTCGATATGCTTGGATAAAGGACACACGCATTACTACCATACATGACTTAATTTTAGCTACTTTTTGGAGATGGTTAAGATGTACTGGATCTTGATGTGCTTCTCTTATTAAGGCTGTTTTTAGAAGCTAATATATCTTAACCTTTCTTCTGTATGAGGGACGATACCAAGCAGCTTCCACTCGACTCGGGACTGCACCCGCACCTCGTAGAAGGTCAAGGATTCGACTGGCGTTCTCGGCTCGTCTACGGAGCTCGCGCATGAAGGGCGAATCAGGGTGCGTTCGGTACTGGTCAATTGAAAGACATGCAATGATGTTCTCATGCATCCAGTGTGCTCCAATGAGCGGGCTGTAGTAGCGCTTATAATTGTTAGGACTGGCACCCTGGACGAGGAGCCATTCTACTGCTTCACCTCGGTGGTTTGTGATGGCTTCCTCCAGTGGGCTTATGCCGTGCTGTATTTCGGGGCTCGCACGGGCTTTGAAGTCATCTTCGCTGTCCCAGAAGATATCCACTGGTGCGCCAAACTTCTTGCACTTGTTGAGGGTGAGAATGTTGCCTTGGCGAGCGGCGAGAAACATAGGAAGCCAGCCTAGTGATTTGCCGGCAGACTCGTATAAGTGTTTTTCGAATATCTGATGTAGATATTTGGATGCGAGAGAAAAATGGCTCTTGTCTGCAAAGGTGAGAAGCAGGCGATAGATCTCCAATAGTATCTCGTGAGGCAAAGTGGTGAGCCTGTCCCGGTTTCTATGTTCTGAGGTAGCAGCCTCGAAAGCTATTGCAGACCCCGGGACAAGAGCTACTTGCTCCTGGATCATTTCGGTAGTTCCAAATGCATGGGATTGGATCATTTTGGGCGGTATTTCTAATCTCGTAGTGGTAATCAAAGTAATGAAACGTCGTAAGTTTGTTGGTGTGCTGGTAAGATGATTCTGATGAAACTGAGCCAAGCTGAACATCAAGACACCGCACTTATATCTGCTCATGCTATCCCGTTATAGAGTTAAAGATGCGAAAATTAGGCTTTCACGGATGCCCTTCCCATCTCTTTGTCAATTCTCATGACCTAGGTCTGTTCACGTCTTTCCATTGTCTACCGAACCGTGTCCCGGTAGCCGCCGGAATGCTCAATACAACCCTTAATGTGTTCTTTGTTATAGCTGAGGCCTAGCTCTTTGTATCAGTGGTTTTCACTGCTTCGTTCCTATTTATAGTACCGAAAAAATTGAGCACACTGTCATCTCCAGTCATGTCGATTGACCCAACTCGTTAATTCTTCTTTGCAGACTTGCGCTTCCCATCATTCAACTCATTTTCTTCCACCTTGGCGCAATTCTCGCAAGCCGGCCAGTTGATGAATATTGATGATTGGACGACGCTTGGCGTTTTGGTACACACCCTCCTTTTCTCGTACCCCTCGCACGTCCGATCGATGACGGTCTCGTCTTTGAGGACAACGTAACATTTGACGCATCTCTTGACGTAGCGTGATTTCCAGCACATTTTGCTTTATCGGATGTTGAAGTTTGGTAGCCGCAGGCTGTGCTACGGAAGGTTGGGATTCCTGGTAGAGATTGAGATGGTGATGGAATATTCGCTCTTGGAGGACAAAGGGCTTTCTTATATGTTCTACCAAGCTATCCTGTATACATCAAAAGCCATCAACTGCCGGTGAGGCAAGACGATGCGACAGAGTACTGACTCTCGGCGTATGACTACGCTACCCATCTCCGCATTGTCATAGGGCTAGGGTTCCACGATGTTGGGAGGACTTGTAAATCATGGTTGAGATTTTGGACGATAGATTAGCACAAGATTTTCCTTACCAGTCTCATTCATTTTACTTGGTCATGGGCCTACCTGTTCACTCCGATGCGGATGCTGTCTGGTGAGGGCGATTACAAAGTCACATCTTGATGTCGATTTGACACTCAAGAAGAAATGTGTGTCTATTGCCGAAATACGGATTGAACAATGACTTTTCGGATGCGGTTAACTCAAGGAACAAAAGAGGCCCCGACCGTGTTCCTCTGAGGCCCCGAGATGTAATTCGGCGGCCACTCGGGATCGTCATTCCACTCTGTGACATACTCATACTCCCCGCTTCCGACCGTCTCGTCGACTCCATTCAAGACGACGTGGGCCTCTGTATTTGGAGGGACGTTGACTTTGGTCCTCATCTTTCCACCTTCTATCTTCCAGTCTACTTCATACAAGCCATACGGTGAACCGAAGCTCGTTTTGGCGAAGCGAAGCGTTCCTCCAGGCTGAGGCTTCACGAGAGCCGTCTCCCAACCGGGAGATGTTGGAGAAAGACCACCCACTGTCTTGTGCATGAATGCGCACACTGAGCCGAGGGCATAATGGTTGAAAGATGTCATTTGCCCAGGGTTGATGCTTCCGTCTTCGAGCATCGAGTTCCACCTTTCCCAGATTGACGTTGCGCCCATGCCGACGGGGTATAGCCAGCTAGGACAGTCCCGCTCTTGAAGCATTCGGTATGCAAGGTTGAGCATGCCATTCTCTGAGAGGGCGTGGAGGATGATGGGTGTTCCGGCAAAGCCAGTTGTGATCTTGAACCTCTCCCAGCGGACTAGATAACCCAGCCTCTCTCTGGCAGTTGCGAGATGCTTTTCCTCTAAAAGACCAAACTTGAGGGCGAGGGCGTAAGTTGTTTGTGTATCGCATGCCATCCTTCCTTTCGGAGTAACATATTCCTCTTGGAAGAGCTTTCTAAGAGAGGCCGCATCAGATGCGTACTTTGCGCTCTTCTCATTCTTCCCTAACAGCTTCCCAATCTCTGCAGCCAACTTGGTGGCGTAGATGAGGTAGGCATTTGCGACCAAAAAGTTGTCGGTTGGACAGTTCCCTGGCATGTCAACTGGTGCTCGAGGATCCAACCAATCACCATATTGAGGCCAATCCGTAGACCAAAAGCCTCTCTCATCGCGAGGAACGCCGGCATCAAGCCAGCTGCACATGCTTTTCCATTGTCCTTTGAGCTGGCTGATATCGCCAAAGGCTGTGTACAAGTCCCAGGGCGTAATCACAGAGGTATCTCCCCAGACCGCCATTGGTCGCTTCATACGGTTGTCTGGCTGTCTTGGAAGATTTGGGATGATGACAGGAACAACACCATCTGCATCCTTCTGATCCACGTCAAGATCGCGCAGCCATGACCCTAAGAAAGCGGACGTGTCGAAGAGGAAGTTGGCTGTCGGGGAAAAGACTTGGATGTCTCCAGTCCAACCCAGTTTCTCGTCTCGTTGGGGACAGTCGGTTGGGATCGAGATGAAGTTGCCTCTCATGGACCAAATGGCGTTTTCGTGCAAGCGATTGAGCATGGCGTGGGAGGACTCGAAAGTGCCTGTGCGACGGAGGTTCGAGGCTATAACGATGCCTGTGAAATTTCCGAGGGAGACATCGTCGTAGCCGTTGATCTCAGCATACCTGTCTTGTTAGACTCTCTCTTGCGACAGCATAAGTAGGTGCGTACCGGAAACCGAAAAAGGTGAACTTGGCTTCACAGCCCTTGGTTGGTCCTCCAAGCTTCACCTCGTAAAGGGCTTTGGCTGATCTTAAAGGTCTGGTGCCCAACTCCCCATGCTCCATGACCTCTGCATGCCTGATCAAGAGGGTATCACCGGGCTTGCCAGGGATGTCCTTCTCTATTCGCAGCCAACCAACAAAGTTCTGACCGAAGTCTAGAATCTTTTTGCCTTTTGGAGTCGTTATGATCTCCTTGGGCTTTAGTTCCATGATGCGAGTGACGGGAGCGACATCAGGCGCAATCAACTCCGCCTTTGGGAAGGCCAGCTCCTCAACCGAGCCCCTGGCCTGTGCCTTTGATGCCAACGTAGACCAAGCATGGTCGGTGAGGTTACTGTCAAAGACTTCTCCGTTGTACAGCTCAGAAAGGAGGAGAGGACCATCGAGGTATTCCCAGCTCGAGTCAGTTTGACAGCACACGCTGCCATCGACTTCAAGTTGTGCGAGAAAACCTAGTTGTTCTCCCCAATGGTTCGCCACCCCAGGTCGTCCAATCCTGCTGGCGAACCATCCCTCAGCAACATGGGCACCGATGACGTTTTCGCCGTCTTGCAAGAGAGATGTGACATCGTAGGTTTGGTAGTAAAGACGGTGATTGTATGATTGCCATCCAGGGGCAAGTAGTTCATCACTGACGCGCTGACCATTGATGTGAACCTCGTATACGCCATGAGCAGTTGCGTAAAGACGAGCACGGGTAGATCCGGGATTGGTAAACGTCTTGCGCAGCAGGATAGGTCGTTTCGGCTCTGGTCCTTGTGAAGGACCGCCGATGAGCTTTGCAGTCCAGTCGGAGCGATTCAGGAGAGCAACCTCAATGGTCAAGCTTTCCCAATCTGTTGATGACCCGTCGATCCCAACAGCTCGGACCTTGACCTCCGCCCGTTCTCGAGATAGCAGGGGTGATGAAGGCCAGGGATTGTACACTGAGCTGGAAGAGTCGACATGATAGGTTTCCTCTTTGCCGTTGCGAGTTATGGCCAAGTCATAGGAGGCTTGCTTCCATCCCTTGACGGTGGTAGAATTGAAGCGCCATGATAGACGAGGAGTAGCTGTAAAGAGGCCAAAGCCATTGTGGTGGTGCTCAGCACTCAACTGGGCAATTGAAACAGACATTTTGAGAGATCGATGTCACTTGCTGATCAACTGACTGACTCGTCTGCAATATTCCCTGCGTTTATAACCGCACAATGCCATCAGCGCTCGTCTCGGCTGAACAATGTTTAAGCGAGGGGTTGTTCCGTCAGTCATACGATGGATAAATATCCGTCTGTCGGATTCCCATCTGACAGTTATTTCCGTCTCAGAAAGGGTATGCCAAGGCACTAGGAATACCATCCAGGCGGACATGTTTCCTGCTCTCCAGTCAACAGCAAGGATCGTCGTCTTGTTAGCGCCTGCTTATCCCCGCATCTTGTTGTCAACCTTCGCGGGGCCCCGGATTCAAGCAAGACAAGACCGGTATTTCGGTTTGAAGTTGGGCGAGGCTTCGGGTTGTCTTTTGTGCGAGATTGCTGTATAAAGAGCGTCGATCAGAGACAGGTTGGAGTTCTTCACGACGAAACTTCAAGATCAAGCAATTGTCTGCAGTACCACAACAACGAGCCAACAACTTTTGCCGAGGCTAACTTGCATTTACTGAAGAGGAGTCAAGCATGGTTGCCGAAAAAGACAAGATAGAGGCTGCGCCTCGCGTCTCGGGAGACGAGAACACGGGTGAAGACCTCAAGAAGGGACAGACCCTGCTCAAGTCTGGTCTTGACGAGCTGGGCTACTGGGACACCGTCAAGCTTTTTTGGAAGGTAAGATTCCAAGCCTTGAGGACCTTGATGTACAATGCTGACCGCCTAGGCTGTTCTCATTTGCAACCTCATCTCGATTGCCGCTGCCGCCGATGGTTACCAGTACACCCTGAATGGCAACGTCATTGCCAATAAGGGCTTCATCAAGCATATTGGATTGGTCAATAAAGAGGGAAAGAGCGTTCTCAATGCCAACCACACAGCTCTCTGGGGCGCCATGCAGTCCCTTGGTCAGCTGGTTGCCATGGTGTTCATGAGCCCCATCTCGGATGCGATTGGTCGCAAGATGACTCTTTACACACTCTGGGTTATTCTCGCTGGTGTAAGTTCCCACTGGTCATCTTTCTTGCTTGCATGTGGCTAACCTTACCTAGTCCATTGCTCTTGAGACTGTGGTCCGCGACTGGAGGGACTGGACTGCAGCCAAGATCTTGGCGGGTATTGGAGTTGGTGCCCTTCAGTCCACCCTCCCCGTCTACATCGCCGAATGGTCCCCTAGCAACATTCGAGGCGCCATGGTTCTCACTTACGGCGTCTGGAACACAATGGGAAAGTTCCTTGCGCCGCTTGTCCTTCTCATCTGCGAGAAGCAGAATCCCATGAACTACAAGACGCCCATCCTGACTCAATGGGTGTTCCTGGGTCTCATGCTGCCAATCTTCATTTGGCTTCCTGAGACTCCTCAGTACTATGCTGAGCGTGGACAAGACGACAATGGAAAGAAGACACTCAAACGTGTCAATGGAAAGGTTGCTGGGTACGACGTGGACACTGAGTATGCCATCATCAAGAACAGCATCCTTGAGCAGCGCAAGAGAAAGAATGAGCTGGAGGAGACCGGCCTTGGCTGGAAGGCCCTGGTAAAGTCTTATGTCGACTGTTTCACGGGAGTCAACGCCAAACGAACTCTTGGTGCCACGGCTCCGGCTTGTGCCCAACAGCTTACTGGTCTGTCATTCTTGAAGACTTACTCTTCTCTCTTCTTCCGTCAGGCTGGATTCGATGATCCATTTCTCATTACTACAGTTATCAGTGAGTTCATCCCCCTCCACGACTTGGCATCGCTAATAGTTGTCAGCTGTTATCGCGCTCGTTACATCGATCGTCCTCATGCTCTGGACAGACTATCTTGGACGCCGCATCATCGTTATTATTGCCTCGGTCGTTTGTACGCTGACAATGTTCATTGTTGGCATCGTTGGCCAGTTTTCTACTACCAAACCGCTGCAAAATTTCTGCATCTTTGTCGCTTGTGTTTGGTCCCTCTTCAACGCAGCATTGGGATCACTCGGCTGGGCTTTTGTTGGAGAGATCGCATCTCAGAAGCTTCGTGCACGAACCGCTGGTCTGGCAGCTGGTATTTCCGTCATTTTTGGTCTGACCTTCAACACCTCGGTTCCTATCATGCGTGAGTAACCCTTCTACATTGCTGAGATACACCATTAACATTGTCACAGTTGATCCAGAGGGTGTTGACTGGAACTACAACACTGGCTGGCTTTTTGGCGCCCTTGGCGTCATCACCACTGTCATCGTTTGGTTCTACGTCCCTGAGCCATCGAAGCGCAACACGGCCGAGATGGATGAGATGTACGAGAATGGAGTGCCCGCTTGGAAGATGCAGAAGTATGTTACCAACGTTCAGTTGGCGCAGCAGGAGGCTTTGAACCGACAGCATGAGAGACAGGGCAGTGTCTGATCCAGATACTGCGGCTCAAGATGGGGATATGGGGATAGGGCACGTTCGTGTTACAGTCATGTCTGAGATTGGCCAGTCTTAGTGGCGCATGTGACCGTTTGTCGTTACACAGGGAAAGCACCAAGGAGGTAGAGAGAATCACACATTATCGAGCGATGTAGGCTACAAGCTGTGCTTCTCGCATCCCCTATGATGATGTTTGCTTTACAATGGGCTGTGCCGGTTTGACCATGAGTTTGTACGACTATCACCCATTGTGTTTGGCCTGATTCAAAAGAGGAAGAGAAAGGGCAGGGCGCAGCCATGACCTTTAGTAGAATCCGTCAGATGCCGTGTGACTGTGTACCTGCTTTGAATAGAGACTGGCCTATGAAAAGAGTCTGTGAATCGTCACGCAAGAGCCAATGGACAATCAGCTCAGCCCAATCCGGGCCAAGCCCCCTCAAGCACAGCCGCTGTCCGACTTTCAGCTCTTGCATAGTCTAAATACCCATTTCAAGATGGGATATCGGGTGCCATCAGATTTTTAATAAAGCATTTACGACGCCCGGCGTTGATCCCATCATTACTTCACGACATTTCTGAACCTAACCATCGATATCACCACTTTCTGGAACCTTGGGCTTCCAAATATCACCACTTCAACCTCTAAAGACCCCAAAACAATGTTTTGCGCCTCTTGCGGACAGGAAGGCCACGGTCGCTTCTGCTCCAACTGCGGCACGGGGCTTGACAAGAAGATCCCTCTCTTGGCTCCCGCCGGTCCTGTACACTGGGCTGAACAGACCAACTATGAAGCCCTCATGGAGTACCCCGAGGTCAAGCATAAGCTCGCCCATCAGGTCATGAGAGACAAGAGACTCACCGAAGAGGAGCTGCTTCGTCATGCGCCCAAGGTGGTCACAACCCTGTACTCGTACGACCAGTCCTTCAGTGCCATGCTGAACATGAAGACGGGCAAATCCGACGCTCGAACATTTGCAAAGCCTTGTGGCTCCATCATCGTCGCTGCCATGTGTTACCTTACATGGGCCCGGTTCGAAGTCACCACCGTTCGCCAGGGTATCGACCTCGTGGCCCTGTCCTGCAAAATCACTTCTGATGCTTGGGCTCCTGAGGGTGAACTCAATATTGTCATCTCGAAGTTAGAGGAAGAATTGACCCGGATCGAGGTCAAGACGCATTTTCCTGGTATTATCATCGATTGGGGTAGAAGCAGGAGGATTTTGTCGAAGCTGTTTGTCTTTTGTGGAGACGCAGAGGTCGAGTGAATGCTTTGAGCTGGAGGTGGACAGTGCCTATCGCTGGTGGAGTGTTAGGTGTTGGGTACTATTGTGAGAATGTGGCTCCGAGGTTTCTAATATTTATTGATCTGGTTTGGTTGAAGTCACTTGTGTTGCTTGTTAGATGCATTGAGCTTTTAACTCTTGACTCATCATGAATTATTACCTGTACCAGAACGAGAACGACGTAATAGATGGGACCAGTCTTCATCCCCTGTATATGGCTGATTGCTCAGTGATAATGCAAAGCCCCAGCTCAAAGACACTGGATCACATCAGTACGGCTCCAAGTGATGACATGCCCTTGCATATTCTCTAGCATTGGTCGGAAATAAGTGCCGAATTTTCTCTAATGCGACCCTAGGCTATTACCAAAGCTGAAACTTCACGAACGGCGAAACGCCCACATCCCGAATCGCGGGTTGAGTGCCGACGTAAGCAAATCAAGATCAGCGCGCGTTTGATTGGAGACACCGTCAGCCTCCTGGTCTAGATGAAAAGAGGGTCAGAACGATGATGGATATATAAATGCGTCATGGGCGCAATATCAAGGTGGTCTTTGGATCATAACAGCATCCTTCTCGACTCCAATATGAAGATCTTCAACGTCATTCTCGTTGCTCTATCGCTGGGCACTTCCCTTGCACACCCTGAGAAGTTGATGGCTGAGAAGGCGAAAGCTGAAGCACGACTAATCGGACGAAGCACAAACCGATGCGCCGCTGCTATTGAAAAGCGCAAGGCCGATATTCTGGCCAAGCGAGCCAGCCGACTTCAGGCGCGTCACCTGCAAAACAAGCAGGCCAAGAGCAAGCACGGAAGCAAAGGTCACTTGCATCCCGAGTCGCTTCACTACACCACGATTCAAAACGATACCTGCGTGTTGGCTCCAGACACGGTTTGGGGTCCGTATGGGTAAGTCACCTTGATCTCCTCAACTAGACGTAGTCTAATATCAGCAGTGTCGATGGAGAGATGGTTCGCCATGACCTCCGCGAGTCCCAAAAAGGAATTGACTTTTATCTCGACATCGGCGTCATCGACATTGAAACATGCGAGCCACTCCAAGGTACCGCCCTCACCATCTGGAATTGTAATGCCACTGGGTCCTACTCCTCCTTTACTGGCATTGACCCTGATACCGCGGAGTTGCTCGACGGATGGACCAAGAGAGAAGACGGCACCACGGATAACGAAACCTTTCTGCGAGGTATTCAGGTCACTGATGAGAATGGGATGGTTGAGTTTCTCACTAAGTTTCCTGGATACTACATCACTCGTACTACCCACATCCACGTAACGGCGCAGACCAATGTTTCTGCAGGAACTTCGTATTCCTCCAGCAGTGTCCAGCACATTGGACAACTGTTCTTTGAAGAGGCGCTTCTCAACCACGTCTACGAGCACGGCCCTTACAGCGAACATCTGGCAACGCTGAATCGTACTACGAACAGTGAAGACTCTCTGTACTCGGATGCTAGCTCTGATGGTTATAGCGCCGTAATCAGTGTCAGCCAGCTTACCAAAGATATAGAAGACGGCTTAGTTGGCTATGTAAGTTGATCCGGATGTCCAATTCTTACTTAGTACTGATCAAGATGACAGATTACCATTGGTGTTAATGCGTCTGCTGATGCTCTTGCCATTACTGGAGGGGGTGTGAATCCTCAGGGTTATCTTCCGACGGTCAGCATTGACCCTAGCAAGTATGCTGAAGCAACTCGGATAGACAGAGCCGATGGATATTAGGAATAGGGGCGAGTTGTGGCAGAGGACAAGGCTGACACAGTGATTGGGGGGACGGGTAAGTGATGTGTTTTTTGGAAAGTGAACTGGAGTGAATCAGTCAATAGCAACAGCGAATCTTAGGCTCTGGGTCCAGAAGGTCACGCTTGGAGTACCTGTATCAGCTGGTTTACGCGTCTCGACGGTCTCGTCAGTAGTTATCTATTAAAGCGGCCATTATAACTCCTTGTAATGTGACTGGTGTCGTTAGCAAAGCTCTTGGCTCGCGCTAACCACAGAGCACAGCCCTGCCGTTAACACGAGAGATTCAAAGGCACAAAAATAAGCGACAACACCAGTAAACAGTGAGAATGGCAAAAAAAGTAACTCGACGCCGATCGGATTCGAACCGATGCTCCCGAAGGAATTAGATTTCGCTGAGGAAACCGAGTTAGTATGAAGGTGGGAACAGATGTTGTTGAGAGATACTCACAGTCTAACGCGTTAGACCACTCCGCCACAGCGCCTTCATTGGTGGTTGGTGGCGGCGTTCTTAAGCCGCAGTATATACACTCAAGGGAAAAGTATCCCAGACAATTTGCGAGATGCCTCTTGTCACAGGTTGCAATTATAGAGTACTCATACTTACCATAAACTTGCTAGAAGGAAATCATTCGTTTATTTTAGATGGGAAACATGTCTTAAAGTGTGCTCTTTATTAAGGGTTGCTCCCACATCATAAGCATACCTACCCTACAGTGTTACACGTCTCCATCCTGTGCCTGACACATCGGGTCGTTGGACAACATTATCCAACCGTGAACGGCCACCCTGTGTTTTCCCTCAGGCAAGAGTGTAGTATGAACACGGGGGAGTTGGCTGGTTTCATTTCCTAGTCGATATGCCCACACTGGACATTCTCAGCCCTTCTTCCCTGTGATTGAGCTGTTGCAAGCTTCATCGATTTGTTTGTGTACTATTGAGGCTTGGGTATAAGTCTTAGATGTGTTACGGCTGTATTATTTCTGTTGAGTTGCTCCGAGGTCTCCGCCCCCTAGCCTTGTGCAGCCTTTTGAACAAGTTCCCCGTGATTGGGTGACGCGTGGCTGAGACCCGGCCCGGGCATCTATTGGCTTGTCCCCTGAAGCGGCTCGAGGTGCGTTAAAATTGCAGTGAAGGGTCGTAGATGCGACATTTCGCAAATGCGCCAATTCGTCAACTCGCAAATGCGACAAAATCTTCTAAGGAAGGGCCTTCGCATTATGTGAAGCCCCCTCCTTAGAAACCACATCCTGCCAGAAGCCGGAGCTTAGAGTTGATGTCGCCGTTTTTCTCAAGCTGGCATCAGCAGATGGGGGAGGATAATGTGGTCAATACAGGGCTTTCTGTCATGTTATAACGCGCAAAGTACTTCTTGGTTGGGTGAGATGGATGGGGAAGATTGAGAAGGGCGGCGATACATTACATGGGTACACGGGCTACACGGCGGAAACTCTGTATTACACGGTCCAGGGTTAGGTCTGAGATCTGGGTCGTGGGCAGGGGAGAACAGGCAGTTCTGGATTAGGCAGTGACTTCACAGACGGTAATGCGGCTACGATGTAGGAGTCAATTACATCTACTGCTTCTTGGGGCTGAAGGCAACTCAAATTCTCCCACGATCCAGAAACTTGGTTGGGATATCCACCAGTTTACACCTCAAGTATTCCGCCAAGTTTTTACCCAACACATCATACGTTGAACTGGAGGCCACACCTCGGTCAAGATGGTCCTTGAGAAGGAAGTGCACGGCTGATAAATGTTAGTCTCTGCGAGTTCATAATAATCATGTATCGAATAAACTCACCTCGGATGTTTTTGAGCTCAAAGCGGAAAATAGGCTTGCCGCTGTCATCATCTCCGAGCAGGTCTCGGATCTTGTCTACTGTCAAAAGACTTCGAAGCCAATCCCACTCATCATCGTGACGAACGAAAAAGCCGACGTTGGCATCAGACCCCTTGTCGCCAGAACGAGCGTGAACAACATAGCCAAGAGGGGCCTTCCTGGTAGGACCCAAACTGGCCAGATCGATGGGGAGTGCTGTCTCATAGGTAGCCTGCTCGTAGACAAAGTCTAGAGTGTCGGTAGGGGCTGGGATAGAAATGTCGAGGCCTTTTGAGGGAACGTGGGCGACGTGAGCAACGTCACTCTGTGGGAGAACAGAGACAAAGTATTCATAGTATGCCTTGGGTTGTGCTTGTCGAGCATCTACAGCAAATGTCGCACCCGGGTAGGACTGCATAATGACATCCGTAACCGGGCGAAAGAAGTTTGCAGTGCTGAGTGACTCTTCGGTCCGGGATTGGGCAAATATTCGGACATCGACAGTCGCAGCGTCTTGGTTCCTTGGGTTCTCGGGACATCGCCCGTTGACACGGAACTTTAGGCAGTGGAATCTGGACTCGTCCAGAATGGCCCGCACTTGCCGTTCTAGCAAGGTGGCCTTCTCCTCGATATCCAGACCGCAGAGGAAGTAATGTGCCTCTGCTTGGTAGCCTCCCTTGGCGGTGATGCCGACTTTGGTGGTAGGTGGAGGCTTTAGGCCGCTAATGTTGTGAACATAACTATGGCCATCATCAGGTACTTCATCATTGTCAGAAAGGAGGCGATGGGCCACTTACACCTTGTCGTCTCCTGCTTGTTGAAGAATAATGTCCTCAAGCTGGGCTACCACGTCCGAGTTGTAATATAGAGGACCTTGAATCTCGTACAGCAGCTGTGCCTTGCACGTGTCGACAGTGACCATGCCACCACGATTCTTCTGCTTGGTGACGTAGAAAGAGCCATCACTGTTCATCTCCACGATGGGGAAACCCAAGTTCGTTACATCACCGACTAGGTCTTTGAAGCCGCTGAAGTTACCGCCGGTAACATACGTGGAGCATTCAATGAAGTGACCGGCAACAAATGCCGAGGCCAGCTTTTGATACTCGTCTCGTTGCCAGCCGAAATGGTAAGCAGCGCATCCAATGGTGGGTGAAGCGTCGGCGACTCGGCCACACAAGACAATGTCAGCCCCGTGTTTCAGTGCCTCAACGATACCCCAAGCGCCGAGATAGCACTGGGCGTAGATGGGTTCCAGACCCCAGTCCTCGAGATGTCCGCCTGTTTAAGGAAATAGAATGAGTCTGCTGCAATACTAGTGTAGGAGGATGCTGGACTTACCGTGAGTAAGACTCTTGAATTTGTTGCCCTTGGTGACGGCCTTCTTGACAACATCCAAGACTTCATCGCCGCCAATCCACGCGACCTTGAGGCTTAACCCAGCGGCTGCAATCTTTTCCACAACGACTTGGTGCAGTTTCTCAGTGTCGCTGGCACCGGCGTTGACCACCAGCTTGATCTTTCGCGAATCTAGGAGAGACAAGGCAGGCTCAAGAGCCTCGAGGAAAGAAATCTCAAACTCATCCGAACTGCCTGCACTGTCAACCTTTCCTCCTCCTCTGGTGGTCATGTTGTACTCGGATAGCCAATCGCCAACAATGAATTGGACTTGCTCATCTTTGGCCAAGTCGGCCAGTGCATGGCGCCGATCGGTGACTGAACCAGAGGCAGAGGCGATTCGCAGCGGCATGTCGATAACGGAACCCATTGTGGTTTAGGTCTTCAATATTCGTAATAATTGATAGTATAAAGACATGGCCCAAGCGTAATGACTACAAGGTGCCGTTTATGTAGGCGACCACTACCTTGGTCAAGATGCCACGGGCAATCACCGCGGACGAGTATTTCCGTTTCTTCAGCCGTTGTTAGAATCCGCAATCTAAGCCCTCGGTAGTAGGATGAACTGAGTAATGTCAATGAATGGTTGATCCTTTCCAGACTGTCATGATTCTGAACTGAGTCATGTCAAGCAGATGACTTATCCATTCCACATTCGGGTTAGACCGAGCCTGTGGCTGGCCATGACAAATGCCCAAACTGCACGGAAGAACTCCGAGTGTGCCTTTTTCAAACGTCATTTGGAGTTATACAGTTAAACTTGACCTTAGAAACACCCATTGCTACAGTGGTTTCTGGCGAACACGTTATTCTAAATGGGACCTTCCAGCATGCCCATGAACCTGAGCCAGCAAGCAATGCTCATAGCCCAACGTCCAACTTGTGATGATTAGGCAAAAAGCATTATTTGAACTTACATGCACTGGATCGGGACACTGCAGCTTGATAGTAAAGAGGCGAATCGCGAATCGAATTAACCATGTTTCTCTATCAACTATCTATTGTCTTCGTCTACTATAGCTTCGGCTTCGTGTCGCTGGTCCACCCCATGTGCAGAGCATCAACCTTGTCAACCTTGTACGTGCCGAAAAACTCCTGTTCCAACTCCTTCTGTGCCTTCAGTCGAGCTCTAACGGCCTCAGCACGTCGACTCTCCCGTCTACCCAGCTGTAGCATATGCACCTCATCAGGACCATCAACAAGTCTCATAGTCCGAGCGCTGGCCCACATGTATGCTAATGGTGTGTCCTGGCTTACACCAGCGCCTCCGTATATCTGGATGGCATTGTCGAGGATGCGGCAGAGCATTTTAGGCACGAGGATCTTTGCCTCTGCAATCTCTCGGATGGCAGATTTGGCACCTCCTTTATCGATTTGGACAGCCGCGTTCAAAACAACAAGTCTGGACGCATCTATGTCGATGCGAGCTTGAGCAACCTGGGTGATGACATGACCATGCTCGTGGAGCATCTTTCCAAAAGGAGTCTTGGACGGGTCATGGATCCGAGATAGAATGAGATCAAGAGCGCGTTCAGCCTAAGTTCTAGTTAACATTGGTGTTCCCGGCTATGACTTTTTAGAGCTGGTAATTCTTACCGCACCGATACATCGCATAGTATGATGAATCCGACCAGGACCCAACCTCCCTTGTATGATCTCAAAACCTCGTCCTTCTCCCAAGACAATGCTGGATGAAGGAACACGGACATTGTTGAAAGAGATGTGCCCGTGACCATGTGGAGCATCATCATACCCAAAGACAGAGAGCATCCGGTGAACGGTAATTCCGGGAGTTCGGGTCGGGACGAGAATGACAGATTGCTGGCGGTAGGTATCCGGGTTTGACGCATCAGTTTTGCCCATGACGATGTAAAGCTCGCATCTCGGGTCTCCAGCACCACTACTCCACCACTTCTATTGTCGCCCAGTTAGCTCTGCAGGACCACAGTCCCTAGAATTAACTCACACTGCCATTCAGAATGTATTCATCGCCATCCCGTTTCATGTCGAATCGGATGTTGGTGGCATCACTGGAAGCAACGTCGGGCTCCGTCATCAAAAAAGCCGAACGGATCTTTCCCTCAAGGAGCGGCTCAAGCCATGCTGTCTTTTGTGCAGAGTTTCCAAACTTTGCCAGGACTTCCATGTTTCCAGTATCAGGCGCCGAGCAGTTCATGGCCTGTAGTAATGGAATGTGAGCATGCGACTTGAAGGGATCCCGGGATAACACACTTCACTTGCGATTTGGCTCTTGCCAAGCTGCTCAGCCATCAAACCATATTCGAGATTGCTGTAGCCTGCTCCTTCAGCATAATGACCCTTTGGCAAAAACAGATTCCATAATCCCCTGCGATGCGCTTCTTGCTTGAGATCCTCCAGGATCTGTGGGTGGGCGGCAAAGCGCTTCTCGGCCGTTTTGCCAAGCATTTGCGCAAATACAGCATCGGCTGGGATGCATTTTTCCTGGACGAAGCGCACAACCTCATCTAACGTCTTCTTTGCTTCGTTGCTGACCTGCCCTGTAAAGGCGATGGGAATGCGAGCTGATGCTGGGGGCTCCATGGCGGTTTGTTTAGGTTCGACGGCTCTATTCAACTGTGGGTTGGAAAGCGACAAGTGGATTGTCTATTTAAGTGCTAGTGAGGTCGCACTCAATGATATTTGAGGGCCTCTCTATAGCCCTCAGTCTGTGAGCTGAGTCATGATATGGTAAATGGAGCCTTCGGGATCCTATTCCCGAGAGAATCGAGGTCTAACCGTCTAAGCTATCAAGGCTACGTCGAACCAAGCAGGCTCTAGTAATTCGTCTCACATCCTGCCAACCTTGGCATGAGCATTGAGAAAGTCCAAGTTGGACTTCTCAAGGCCTGCAGAATGAATGTATCGTTTGTTGAAGGAAGGTGAGGCACTTTACCTAGCAACATTTTCAGGTGCTGTAATATGACGTAAGGTGTGACTTTATGACTGTCGAGTTGGACTAGATCGGCACTAAATCCCATGTGCCTCGGCCCCCTCCCCGTATTCCTCGGCCGGTTGTCAGTGGACGCACGGTACAAGCGTGGCACAATTCCGACAGCTCACTGACATCACCTCTGAGAACCATCGTTCCCCGAATTCAGGCGATTGCACCATTCCTCAGGATCGTTATCCAACAGCTCTCCTACTCTATACGTCCTAGTCTGATACGGATACCCAACCTGGTCACGATGAGAGCCGTTGTCTTCAAAGGAGTCAAGCAAGTTGCGCTTGAGGATCGACCCAAGCCCGTTATTGAGCACCCCACCGATATCATTGTCAAGGTCAAATACACAGCGCTATGCGGCAGGTAAAAGAGCAAAAGTAAAGCGTTTCCAGCACCGTTGCTAACCTTTTCTTCAGCGAGCTTCATGTCTTCCGCGGACACCAACCTTCCGGAACTGGATTCATTATGGGTCATGAGTTCACTGGCATGATCGATGAGATCGGCTCGGCTGTTAAGGACCTGAAGGTGGGCGACGCCATCGTTAGTCCTTTCACCGTGAGCTGCGGCGTGTGTTTCTTTTGTTCGCGTGGATTTTCCTCCCGCTGTGATAAGAGCCTTCTCTTTGGCACTGCGCTTCTTGACGGGGCGCAGGCCGAGTATGTGAGGATACCTTATGCCGAGACAACCGTTGTCAAGGCCCCGAAGGAGGTGGATGATGTCAAGCTTTGTCTGATGGCTGATATCTTCCCTACTGGCTGTTTCGCTGCTGCCAATGGTCTTGGCCATCTCGATAAAAAGCACGTCGAAGACAGCGTCGTTGTGGTCATCGGTTGTGGCCCGGTTGGCATCTGCGCTCTGATTGCTGCACTCGAGTATAAACCCAGAGCCATCCTAGCGGTAGATGGCATCGAGCCAAGGCTGGATCTTGCCAAAAGCTTAGGTGCTGAGCCGTGGAACTACCTTACAGAGAAGGACGAGTTGGAAAATCGTGTCAAGGAGTTGACTGACGGCCGCGGCGCCGACGTGGTTATCGAGGTTGTTGGACACAGTTCGGCGCTCCAGATGGGTTTTGAGCTTCTTCGACCTTGGGGCACCATCTCTAGTGTTGGTGTTCACAATGGCGAGATCCCGTGGACTGGGAATCAGGCTTACGGCAAAAACCTCACCATCAAGATGGGAAGATGCCCAGTCCGAAGTACGTCTTCACAGTTGACGCGTCTATTCGTTGCTAATGTCTGTGTACAGGTGTCTTCACCGAAGCATTGGAGCTACTCGCAAAGAAACAGCATCTGCTAGGGTGAGCTGATTTCATCATAAGCATGTCCGCCGGTTAACCAGTGACAGTTTTATGACGGCAACTGTGATGCCTCTGAGCGACGCTCTTGAAGGATACGAGTTGTTCGACTCAATGAAGGTCCAAAAAGTCATATTTGATGCTGAGAAGTAACTGGAAATGCTAGGGCATAGGGGTGAACTACCCGGGTACTCGTGGTGACGATGAGTTTGAGGCAGTTATATCGGCCAGTAAACAGCAATATGCCCATCAAATGACTCGTTCATCATACCATCCAATATCGTGATCGTAAAGTATCATATCTACATGGTTACACTCACAGCCTAGTTCCATCAAGTGTCTTTACCCGCTTCCCGTCCACATAAGTCCCGTCGATAAGATACGGTCTCGGCTGTCCGTTGATAGGAAGTTGATCCAAGAACCTCCATCGCAGAAGTTGCTTCCACCCAGCTCGATGCCAATGGTTGAGATTGCCATTCGGGAAGAGTGGGAGAGCGCCTACAATGGATGGGTCATGGGCAATCAAGACCAAGACCTTGTCGTCTGCATCAAGCGACATAAGAGTGTTCACACTCTTGTGTGCTTCTGGTGGATCGACATACCACGAGTCGGAACTGCTGCAGGGCTGATAGTATGGTGTATAATTCGCCCTGTCGGGGTTTGGATGGCACGAAAGGTATTGTGCGCACGAGACAAGTTCAGGAGCTGAAGGTGGTAGCGCAACCTCCTCCCTCTTGAGCTGCGTTGGCATGCGTGTCTGCTCGTTTGGCCTGAATGCTCCACCAAAATGGCAGATGTCTCCCCCGAGAAAGACAAACGTGTCGTGGGTTGTTCTGACGAGGGCAGAAAGATGACCGATTGCGTGTCCTGGAGTATTGAGGAGGAATAGGCTGCCATCGCCGAAATAGTCTTTGGCCTCATACTCAGCAACCTTGGTATGACCGTCAAAGTCAACTTCTCGGACCGGTCGCCCTTGAAAGGCAGACTCGTGCGCGGGAGAGTTTGGGTTCTTTGGATACCCAGGAGAAAAGTGTTTGCAGAACCCGGGTCCCACGATGAGGTCCATGGTGTCTGGAAACGTTCTGGGGTCGCCCATGTGGTCATAGTGATGGTGACTGATGATTGCTGCCTCTATTTGTGAGAGATCAATGCCACCTTGTTGCAAAATATCGGCGAGGTTGTTGTCAACCCTGATTCCAGGAACCCTCTCATCAATCGTCTTGGAGATGGGCTCAGGGAGATTCCAAAAGTCCTTTCGGCAGCCCAAGTCAAACAGCAACTGCTTTCTTGTAGTGTCGTGCGTGATCAAGAAGGAAAAGGTCGGAAAGTTCATCAATTCATGTCCAAATATGGTTGGTTCGACCAGGGTGTCGGCTGGCACTGTCAGGGAGCACGTGGTATCAATGATCGATAGAGTGCAAGTCGGTCCATTCTGGGGTAGGCCAGTCATCTCAACGGTCTTGATATGATAGTGGTGTAAGATGGATAAGCAGGGGGCTATCAGACAACTTTGAGGTCAGTGAATAGATCTGCCAAGGAGAAATCAGCCATGACTACTGAAGTTGCTCGTTTATTTGTACGGATCAAGGATGGATTAAGCCGGATTTAGATTCCGATATTTCTCTTGCTACCGAAGGGTGGTGGGGCACCGATGAGGCACCCCAGCCTTAGACAACACAGATTCACTCACTCATAATGTGTTCTCTATTATAGTTGAAGCCCGATTCTCGAGGCGATAACTAAGCTAGAAGACCATTCAATCGCCCATCAAGTCGACAGTCACATACAGAGAACATAGTCATGGGTATATGATAATATCAGGGATGAAAAGGTCTAAGGTCCTAACCCCATCTCCTGAGCAAAGAATAGCGACCGGTCGTTCTGTATCCAACCAGTCAAGTCTGAGCCCTTGGGCGATACGCAATTCACACTGCTCTGTTCCAGCTCGGATGAGGGCTGTTCCGTAGAAGTAGCTGCAAGGTTAACGTCGGCCTGATCTCCATACGAGAACAAAATGGGCATAAAGCACCCAGTTCTACTTATCAAACCCTGTATTTGGACAGGAAAATCCTTCTCCACAGGTAGTCGGTCATGGCTCAGGCTCAAGTCAAGCGTCAAGGCCAGTTTGAGATATTGCGTTGGATTGCCCGTCAGCACATCACTCATCCCAGGGCTCTGTCCACCCGTGGCTTCTCTGGGTGATGACGGAGTTGGTTCAAGGTATGTGCACTCCATAAAATACCTGATAGCTCTTGTGATGCAATCTGCTTCCTCGTGCCTTGGGCGGTACTCTCGCATAACGTCGATAAGCACGTTGAGATGATTCTGCTTCTCAACCCTTGCATCTGTTGATGTGCAATGATCTGTTGCTGATAGCTTCGCGTCTAGCACATGAAGTGCCAGTGGTAGCGCCGTACAGCTCACTGCACTGCCCGGTAAGCAGCGTGCCAGTCCAAGCTTAAGAAGCTGACCAAGTCTCTGTGAGATGTCTGTTGCTGCATCCCAGATCTCCACACGTATTCTTTCGATCGTTGTTGAGGGAATCCGGGCACTACCACAGGGGAAAAGAGCATAGGATACCGAATTCAAGAGCAACTCGCTATTGCAGAGGGTGATTCGACTGGAACTGCCAGTCAAATTAGCGACTTGTGAATAATAAAGGTGTTGGTTAGATTGGTCCTACTGGTAATACACCCAGACAAGATGGGCAAACATCAATATGGAGTCTCTTGGTCTGTCATCCTCCTGGTGGCCGGGCTGAGTGCTCGCAAGCACCGGTGACGACGACACTGCTTTTATGAACCATGTCTCGAGATCCTTCTTGCACTCCCAGATCTGCATTGTCTTTCTGGCTGAGTCGTGTGACTGGGGCCCTGCCGGGTCTCTAACTGAATGTGCCACTGTTAAGATATTTGACAGACAAAGGCATAGATCTGCCATTAAGAGCATCATGGTGATGAGAGGCCGTTTTGAATCAGCGTCATAGACTCGAGAGCGCTGAATCTCATCTGAGAAGTCATCGTAAGACATGTCGTAATCTGCATGGCGGTCGAAACAGGCTGGTGAAATCTGAACCATTCGACGGAGGCAAAGAGACAGGATTCGATCACGAAGTATGCAGGAAAACCAAATCCGACGTAACGTGTTTTGATTCTGCAGCGAAGCAGAAGTACACTCGTTGGCCTTGAGTATCTTTGCATGTTGGATGGCGCGGCCAAGCCAGATGCTGCTTGCCTTTTGCTCACCATGTCCGCTCGAGGAACACCGGTGGGTTAACAACAGAGCACTCTGTGCCATTGACACATGATCCAAAGGGTCCTGTGCATAGTATAGGAGCTGTTCAGATGGATTAACCCAAGTCCAACGCCTCGTCGAGGCTGTGTTGTGTTGGAATACCTTTGCTCTTCTGTAAAATGAATCCTTTGCCTGGCGAACGTTTTCGAAGCCCAACCTTTTGACATGCTCTTCAGTGACAAACTTGGCAGTATTAGTACCCGCCTATCAGGACTTGAAGGAAAGCCTACCGGACATGCAGCAAAGAGCATTGAGTGGAGAAGAAGGATGTTTGGACGATAGGTCTGGGAACACGTCTGTGTTTCTGGAAAGTGTAAATCCCAAAATTCACCTTCATTCAAGACTGGTAGCATTGGATGAACATAAAGAAAGTAATGGTCAATGAATATTCTGAGCAAAAGTGCTGACGGGATCTTGTAACACCCTTGGGAGTCAAGGGTAAGGTTATCCTGTGATGGCCTTTCGGCAGGCCTGATTTCCTCCCAGCAGCCGGCGTCGATGGGAAGAGAAACTGCGGTTTTGCTCGGGCCCTTGGACGCTTCCTCATCTATGTCTGGCCCTAAAGATGTCGGGCCATCACTCTCGGTGTGGGATGGGTTGTATGAAAGCTGTGTCGAAAGATCATTTGAATGGGTCGACCAATTATGAAAGAACTCTGTGTCTTGTTCACGTTGACCGTTTGTGTAGAGCTCCTCGAAGGCAGGGGACTCAGGAGAGGTAGCATCTCCAACAGAGGTAGCCTCAACGGGTGGCGTTGAAGATGTTACTGAGACTGCTAACAGTTCAAGCGACTGAGAACCATCAACACGTTTGTGTTCTTCTGAAGTGAACCCCCCCAATAATCTAAGGCAACATAGTTAGCCATCTTGCTGACAACACCATGATCAATTTACCATACGGGTTAAACACTCGAGACACCACAATGCACTCATCGGCATTGTACCGACAGTTGCTGCATGGCTGAGAGGTTCGGGTCACATCGCAGCGAACCTTGCGCTTTCGGCATTTCAGGCAAGCCCTCGCGGCTCTCCTTCTTGATACCTTCTCCATCGAGGTGCGGCGCAGTGTAGAGGTGCTCATTGGACGGACCGTGAGTCGATTGCATGTATTATCGACCCGAGGTAAGCATTTCTCCGCTCTGCATTAAGTATAACGTGCTGCATGATGGCCCACAATTCTCATCCTCGGATGTTGATGGCGCGGGATTCAATTCCACGGCGTTGACAGCTTGTTGTGGAGTTGCACTAGATCGACTTGACTGAGGGACTTGAAGCTTTACTATCTCCAATTGGATGGACCTCATTCTCTTGCATGGTTGACTCCTGACTTGATCGGGCAAGTGCTTTCATTGCACTCGCTCTGTTTGGCTCGGGTGCTTGGTTGAGGGCACAGAGGAGCGGTGGGGGTAGGGCTTCTGAGCGACTCAACGGAGATCAGCCGTAACACAACACATCGTCGAGTGCTTGGATCGCTCAAGGAAATGATGAGACTGTAGACTCAAGACGATATCTTTTTTTTCTCATTATTACATATCCCACTCGTGGCTTAAATTACATCTCGTCAAATCGATCCTCCCTTAGAACTGAATCATGGCCGTATCCATAAATAAACTTGCATCACACAATGTCTGAAGGTCCGACACTCGGCTCATCTGGGATGACCTGCGACTCTGCATGTGCTCCAGACAATGCCTCCTGTGCTGGTATATGAGTCCCTTCAAGGAGCTGATTGTTGAACCAATCGATTAGCGGGATCATTTCGTTCATGTCAAAGCCAGGCTCGCCCGAGAAAATCCACATATCCTGGCCTTCTTCATCGACACTGGGGTTGCCAATATTCACGTCTTCGAGATCCAAAGCGCCCTCATCAAAAAAGAGAGGCGGCATACTGAAACTAGGGGCCTGGAACCTGTCGGTGTCTATCATCGAGGTTCGATGTCTTCGCCTGGGCCGGCAATCCCCGTCAAGCTCCCCTGAGCTACCAGACATGCTGAAGCTTGGACGTTTTCTCCCTGTCTTCTGTCCTCCTCGGGAAGTGGCTATTCTTTGCCATTCACTCTTAACAAGGATGATGACCTCCAGTGCCCTTGTTGCGTTTCCAAAGCACCGACCAATCTCTCCTAATGAGTGGCAGCATAACTGCAGGTCGCTTAGGGAACGCCGCGATTCACTGTAGCTACGCGTGCAGACGTCGTGAATAAAAGTAAGAGACGCTGTCAGGATGATGTGGACGATTTGTACGTTGCCGTGTCGGAGCGAGTGCTGTTTTTGGTAGCATCGAAGAATGTCAGCTACTTGATGGGCTGCTGCGACGCAGTCACTCGGAACACTTTCCATTGCTGCTCGAGTCTCTGGCGTATCCTGTGACGCTATCTGAGAGACAAGCCGACATGACAAGTAAGGGCGATAGAGGAAGATAAGGGTGGCATAATATTGCATACTGGCACCCATTAGCACGAAGCAACGTGGAGATAAACCGTCCAATGGCCCAGTTACTCACTGAAGTTGAAGGATGGCAGGGTGATAGATTCTGCTTGACCCCATCTCGCTGACTCCCAGCAGTGGAGACAAGCTTGCATGCCACTCCATCATTTCTTGCTTGGTCTTGATGAGAAACTCGACGAGGGCGCTCAAGTCAACCGTTTCTCCAGCATAACTAGCACCCATCAAGTCAGATCCATGATTGCTCCCGTTTCGTGTTTGACAATGATCTTACAGTGTAATATTTATCTGTCGCATAAAACCACAAAGCGTGACATTGGCGGCAGTGCAAGCGTGGATCGGGAAGAGCACACCAGCTTCTGGCTGCCAAGTGGTGCCCGGATAGGACTTCCAAAGCTTGCACTCTCCATCTTGTGATTCAGGCTCTGGTTTGGGAATGGTTACATTTTGAATCCCCAATCCCCAAGGGCGGCCAGCGTAGAGATTCCACATGCTGCATATTGTTAGCGAGAGTTTTTCTTGACATCAGAGATCGTACTGTTCGTGGATGAAAACTCCCCAAAAAGCTGTTTGTCTTATTTCCATATCTCGCGACGTAAGGAGCCCGTTATGCATGTGCTTGGTGATGTCCAGATGAAGGCCCAAATCAGCACTCAGTCGTGTGGCCATGCCTGGAAACGTGTATAGTCAGCCTCAATCATCCAAAGAGCGTAACACTTGTTTCACCAACCACTATACAGCCAGCCACGAGCATCTCGAGTAGATGCTGCTTCTGTGGCGCTCATGATAACCAGTGCCTGAACGGTGGCAACCGTCGGGCTATCCATTTCAACGTCCAAGAGTGCCTTTGCTCGGGAAGAAAAGAACTCGGAAGCTGGCTCCGGAAGATGAAGATTCTCTCCAGCTGCCAGGCTGGCACCCATGGCGCAACTATATGCATCAGCGTTCTGTTAAATGAGTAGTTGGTTGCAGTGGTTCTTACATGGCATTGTTGAGGGTCTCGGAATAGTATGGGCTGCCTGTATCATGTAACAGACAGCGACGTTTCTCAGCGAAAAAGGTTTCTTGGTCGACAACGTGGATGGCTGGGTCTTCCCAGGTAAAGTAGAGCTTCGCGAGGTGGGTTTCAAGGGCCAAAGGCACTTCCTGATCCAACCCTAACCTCCGAAGAACATCAATACCTTCAGTTGCCACAGAGCGGAAAGACGGAGTTGAGAGTGATTGGAGGCCGTCTGTATGCATATGTAGGTTCGATGTTGGCCCATAGTACCGCAGCTGCCCGTCCTCGACAAGCCTCAGCGCACCCATACGGGCTGATAGAATTCCAGTTATGCTGTTGTCTTCGTCTTCGGAATCTTGTTTACTGCTGTGGAGAGTGTTTCCGTGCAGAGCATGAGCGGAACCCGGTGTATCAACCAGCACAAAGTGATCGCTGTGATTCGATGTAATGGAGGCCGGGGCTCGGTAAGATTGGGCTGTATGGGAAGCTTCTGAGTCCTTGGCTAGCTGGTGGGACCTAGTATCGAAAAGGCCTCGCGTTGACGTGCCCTCGAGCAGTACCGAGGGAGAATTGAGGTCTTGTGGAAGACCATCGTTATCGACTTTGCTGCCATCGGTCTGGTCCTGGTCTCCGTTGACCCTCTGCTGTGCTTCTGGCGTAGAAGATATTTGTTTCGGGAGGGTGACTGGTTCAGTTGCGGAGGTAGGTGTTGGCTGGGGCTGATCGATGTTGTGCTCTCGCAGGACTCCCTCGAGTTGACCGATCCGCTCTTCGAGGCTGACGATTGTCTTCTTGGTCGATAATCTGCAACTTATCAGTTCCATTGATTACCCGGCAGTCCATATCCATCCGGATAGCGCAGTGATACTCACCTTCGCAGGTCACCATCAACGTTGTAGAAGCACTCGAGATTGGAGGTCACGCAGTTGGAACAAACATGGTTCCCATCGCACTACGACACCACGGGTCAAAATATGTCAGGGCTTTGCAGTGAAAAATGGGAGGAGATCGGAAAGGTAATGCAAAATATGGCTGCTTACCTTGACCTTCCTTCGTCTACAGTTGAGACAAGCACTTTTGACATACTTCTGCCCTGCCATGTTGGATAAAAAGATCTTGCCCAGAGGATGATAAGAGAACAGTGGAAATCCAAGAGCCTGAAAAACCCCACGAATGCCAATGTACCCCAGGTTTTCACCCCTGACAAAAGGGAGCTCGTCCAGCTATTCTGGGGAAGAATGCGGGGGTGGACATGACATGTGCCACTTGGTCAAAAAGGGTGCGTCGGGCCACGAGGTGGAGGCCTGAGAAACTCGACAGAAATAATACAGCCGATGAATAAAGAGCTGCCCCCACACAGGATTGAACTATGGACCTTTGCATTACAAGTGCAACGCTCTACCACTGAGCTATAAGGGCTGCTGTCATGTCATGCCCCTTGTTGATCCCAGAGACATGACACAGTCACACACGTGACGTTCATCCATCCATTGTTCCGATCATTGGAGCGTAGCGAGCGAGGATCTTGTGCTAAAGTGAAAGGATTTCAAGAGCACGTAATCAGGCAGTTATTCGGATCACGGTACAAGCAGAAGGTTATGCACAAAAGTTTTAGAGCACCTTCTGTTCTAAGACCATTGAGGTGACTTGCAAAAATGGGTCCAAATACCTGTAGCAACCATTGTCGGTGTGGTGTATAGCTAAGCTGCGCAAGACACAGTACTTAACATCCATGCTTTGGGATCAATGTTTCTTAGAATACTAGACGGGAGACAAAATGAATTTGAAATACTTGAAGAGTCAACCTCGACGGAAATCTTATTGACGGTTTGTATTTGCGCCGGGAATACGTTGGCATCGGAAACCAAATCCGCGGAATTCTACATCCGCGACCAAGATACTTCCACTGCCTTGTGTTGCACTCCCTCAGTCCTCTCCGAAGCCCCGGATTCAATGCTCCCTGCCGGCAAGGGCAAGTTACATGATGACGGTATTTATCTTCGTACTCTCCAAGAGGAGACTATGCAACACCGGAATCAATTGGCCTGGACTTCAAACTTGATCTCATACCGGCGGAGTCCAGGATCAACCATGTCTACACCCAACATCATCATTATCGGCGGAGGTGCTGCCGCCATCTCCATGGCGCACACCCTCAAAGAGAAACTTGGCTTCAGAAACTTCGAGGCATGTCCTGTCACGTCTCCATCCTACTCCATGCCACTAACGTACCTTGCATACAGATCTACGAGAAGCGGGAAGAGCTTGGGGGTACTTGGAGAGTCAATACCTACCCAGGATGGTTCGTTCACCTCGTGAAACGTAAATTATCTCACCTAATATGCTGACTTTATTTGCACAGTGGCTCCGATGTCCCCATACATCTTTATTCCTTCAGCTTCAATCTCAACCCCGACTGGACTCAAGCACTAGCTGACCAAGAGGAGATTCTCAGATGTAAGGGTCTCGCAGCATTGCTTACCTTGCCGCCTCCGTTAGTTAACGCTTGCATAGATATGGAAAACACGGTGGACAAGTTCCAACTGCGCAGCCACTTTCGCTTCAACACCGAGTGTACCGGCGCTGAGTGGGTAGACGGAGCATGGAACGTCCACTTTGTCAACCCAATCACTCGAGAAAAGTTCACCAAGCAATGCACGATTCTTCTCTCAGCGGTCGGCGGCTTCTCGATCCCTCGACCGGCTCGATTTCCTGGCATGAACAAGTACAAGGGCAGAGTATTCCACACGGCCGAGTGGGATCACACCTTTGACTGGAAGAACAAAGCCGTGGCTGTTATTGGAAACGGATGCAGTGCCGCCCAGGTGGTGCCCTCCATCGCACCTGGGGTCAAGCGACTGGTTCAATATGCCCGCAGCCCTCAGTGGTACCATCCTCGGCCCAACAGAGGGTTCTCTACCTTTGACAAGTTCTGCTTTCGTTATTTGCCATTCTGGCAGAGGTATTACAGACTTGACCTCTTTCTCAAGACAGACAGTCTCGCCTCCGTGTACGGGTCCGACGAGAGGCAGATCAAGAAGCGACTTGCTGTTGAGGCAGAGGCAAGAAGTTACATTCACAGAGAAGCACCTCAGAAATACCATGACTTCATATTTCCCGACTTCCCTCTCGGCTGCAAAAGACGCATCTACGATCCCGGCTACCTGGCGTCTCTGCACCGCGACAATGTTGAACTACTCCCAGAGGGTATACGAGAGTTCACTGAAACTGGTCTTGTCAGCGAGACAGGCAAGCGGCAGGACTTTGATGCAGTCATTCTTGCAACCGGTTTTGACGTTCAGTCTTTTCTTGCCCCAATGAAGATTACTGGAAAGACTGGTGAGGAACTTCAAGACCAGTGGTCTAGACGACGTGGTGCTCAGGCATACATGGGAACATTCGTGCACAACATGCCAAATCTTGCCATCCTGTGAGTGCACACGCCGTTTATGCTATTTTTTCCTTAATAATGGCCACACATTTACTAACGTGTACCCAGATTTGGACCAAACACCTTTCCCGCATTCAACTCTGTCATCTATGCCATCGAGGTGCAAGTGGCTTACATCACGTCTGTCCTTGTAAAGCCAGTCATCGACGGCTATGCCGACGTGATTGAAGTGAAGCAAGACGCTGAAGAAAGTTTCATTCAAGACCTGGATAAGAAGCTTGGAGAGACTGTCTTTTCCGCGGGATGCAGCAACTGGTACATCAACAAGGCTGGTCGCAACTCTGCTGCGTGGCCTGGCCTTGCTGTGACCTTCTGGCAAGCCACTTTCTTCCCCAAGTGGAGCCATTTTCTCATGACGGGGGGGTCTTCTTTCTGGATGATTCGAAGAACATGGAGGAACTTGAGGACCATCTCGCCGCGTACTTGGCTTGCCCTCATCACTAGCGTCGGGCTGGCAGCGTTCTGGGGAGGTTTGGCAGTTCCCGATCCTCTTGAGGACCTTGTCCGTTTACTGAATCGACAAGTATAAGGCATTAAGCGGCAATGGGAGAGTTTACATCTCATTTTTAAGTGTTGGTTGGTCTATAGAATAAAGGACTGAAATGCAATTCGTACCAAGTTATAGCGTTGCAAGACACTTTTGCAGAAGTACATGTCAAACTACGTAGTTTGAAGACCATCCTCGAATGCAATAATTGCAATCTTTGTGAACATAAGAGGCAAAATGACCTTGGTGCTTCAGCTTTAACGTCCCTGCATGATTCTTGTCACGATGCTTTCAGCGTTGCTCAGGCACGTCACATGGACATGGGAGGCCATCCATCATCAGAAAATGTTGCTTGGCTGATAACAGTGGAATGTAAGACTGTAGTCAAACATGTAACAGCGGAGCACACCGTCAATGCAGATCAGTAAATGTTCTGTCCATACTCGCAAACTTGCTAAGTTGCTACGAAAAGAACGCAGGTAGTTGCTCAGCATCTTTAAAGTCTGCTTCTTCACTGAATCGAGTCCATCCGTCCAACACCGCAAGGGTCTCCAAACACTTTCGCCTCATGATAACCACGGCTTCTGCCCCAAGCGGAATGCGCAACGGCAAGTTCGCGGCTTGGCTGGCCGTGAGATTCTCCACCCTCGCAATATCAACCATGTTCATGGGAAGCATTGCGGCCTGGCATAGCGCCGCAGCTGGCGGGTTATATGCTTCCTCCAAGTGCGCGTTGGAAGGTAAGTTGACCTCCAGATCTCACAGTAAAGACTTCAACGCCTTTATCATAATCACTAACTATGCTCAACGCAGGCGCTGTCGAATCTCTATCCAGAGAAGTCTCGGATCTCGGTATTCGTGTCCACATTTTTGTCCTGGGCCGTTTTCGTACAGGTATCCTAGGAGATCAAAGCGAGATTGTAAAGTTGGACTCTCACCAAGGTATCGCCGACTACATAAAGGTGAAGGATGATTTTACACAGCATCTGATGACTTCCCATGATCGTCAGCCTGGAGACCCTTTGCGAGCCGCGGAAAAGATGATGATTCCTGACTTTTGCGAACGCATAAATGGAAGTACAGCTTGAGTCATCTTCATGGCCCCGAAAAAGTTGGTCTCGAACTCTTTCTTCACGTCCTTGGTACTAAAGAAGAGTAAGATGCAGGAATGGCAATGATGGATGATCGAAGCCCGTCAACTTACCCCAGTTCTTCCCACACACCTGATATCACACATCCTGCATTATTTACCAAAACATCTATTCTTCCAAAAAAGGATTGAGCTTCTTGAACTTTCTTGGCAAGCTCGGTTTGATCTGCCGTGACATCAAGAGAAATGACTCTAACGTTGTCGAGATTTTCCAAATCTTTCAGGGTAGAGACTTGTCGAGCCGTGGCAATAATCTTGTCTCCTCGTGCTAAAACAGCTGTAACGAGGGATCTACCAAGACCACTGGAGCAGCCGGTTACCAGCCAAACTTTGGGTTCCTTGGAAATCTTCAACATTGAAGCTGTGGGGTTGGTGGATGCCATTGTGTGAAGCGTCGATAGACGTGAAGGTATAGAATTGGAGAATCAGCAAGCTATAGCACCGTTTAGAAAGATTTCCGGTTTAGTTTCATCAAACATAGAAACTGACATACTCGTCAAGCAACCTGCTTCACGATTGTCACTGCGCGGTCAATCGAGACTCCATGACGTTATGGTACCGGGTAAGTTCAACACCCTTGACTTGACAAGGATATTTCGACATGACTCATGGCACGCGGCGCGGTTAAACCACTTTTGGATAAGATGTTCCATCCATTGTGGAGCCTGGCACATTACTCAGTTCTTGGCTTCACCGGGCTATGTTGCTAAACGCATCTGACAAAGGAACTAGTGTGAGCCCGTGGAGATAACAAGTTGAAAAGTATGATATGTACTGTTGTGTTACGAATCTTATTTAACCTCGATAATGATATTGTGGACGATAATCAGGTATCTGTACTGCTGCCGTTCTAAAGAGATTTCTTCCAGCGCACTGTATCCTGCTCACCACAGCCATGGAGCTCGAGCCTCATTTAACCCAATTGTTTATCAACAACCAGGTGAGAATTCTATCCCTATGTCCTATCGAGTGCAAGCTAACGAGCCAAGTATGTCGATAGTAGTAGCCAGAAATAGTTAGTACCCCCAATCCCTTCCAGTTACCGGGCCATATCGCTGACAGCCCACAAGTGTGTCTGTATACAACCCTGTCACCGGAGACTTGGTGAGCGATCGGATTCCTGTTGCAGGCGACAAGGATGTCGATGAAGCAGTCGCCTACGCCAACGAGGCATTCAAGCCAGATTCGCCTTGGCGACGAATGACACACAACCAGAGGACGGAAATTCTCCTCAAGTTTGCCGATCTGCTTGAGGCCAACCAAGAGCGTCTTGCCTACCTTACACGACTTACTCTGGGAGCCCCTTATCTACCCTTTGGAAAGTCTGAGATTGGCACCGCTATTGGCTGCTTCCGTTGTAAGCTTTGGTTAAATGTTGCAGACAAGGTTCCTAGAAACTGACAACACAAGATTACGCCGGATGGGTCGATAAACATGCTGGTCAGAGCTTTCCCGCTGATGACGGTTTCTACAAGATTGTCCGTAACGAGCCACTCGGCGTTGTTGCAGGGTAAGATTTGGTTACTGCATACTCTTTTTTTGGCCATCAACTAATGTCTTGGTAGAATTATCCCATGGAACGGACCACTGGCCTCTGTCGGACTCAAGGCGGCTCCAGCACTCGCCACCGGAAACGTCTTCATCTTGAAACCGAGCGAGAAGACGCCACTGATGGCCGCGGAACTTGGAAAGCTGGTACTTGAGGCTGGCTTCCCTCCTGGCGTCTTCCAAGTCCTGACTGGAGATGGCTCGACAGGTGCGGCTCTCGCATCTCACATGCGCGTTGCCAAGGTCAGTTTCACTGGGAGTATCCAGACAGGAAAGACAGTGCAGGTTTTGGCAGCCAAAAGCAATCTGAAGAGGGTTACGTTGGAGCTCGGAGGTAAAAGTCCTGCCGTGGTATTTAACGATGCGAATCTCGAAAACGCAGTCAACTGGTGAGAAGACCAAACCCCGACGAAGCCGCCATTGCTAATGATTCAAGGGCCGTTAATGCACTCGTGAGCAACTCGGGTCAGATCTGTTTCGCAGCAACAAGAGTGTACGTGCAGTCGGGGGTCTACGACAAATTTATTGAAGCCTATCTTGAAGGCATCAAGGCGAAACGACAGGTCATTGGAGACCCGGAGGCGGCTGAGACACAGATTGGCCCAGTCGTAGACAAGGCCCAGCACGATCGTATCATGGGCATCATCTCATCTGCCATAGAGAAAAATGACGGGAAAGTGCTGACCGGAGGGCAAAAGCTGGATGGAAAGGTGAGTGCATTGACCGAGACTGGTGAATATGGATAAGGCCTGACTGGTACAGGGCTACTTTATCGAACCGACCGTGTTTGCCGACACTAAAGATACATCATTCATCTACAAAGACGAGATCTTTGGACCGGTAGCCGTCATCAACAGGTTTGAAACAGAGGAAGAAATTATTGAACGTGCCAACGACAGCAAGTATGGACTCATGGCTGGCGTCTTCACTCAAGACATCAGCCGAGCACTTCGGCTCAGCTCGCTCATCGACTCTGGAGTTGTTGGGATCAACTGCATTAGCACCATTTCATTTTCGTGCCCTTTCGGTGGAACAAAGGAGAGCGGCCTTGGTCGAGAGAATGGGGAGCATGCGTTGAGAGCTTACACTGAGCCCAAGACTATTCTGATTAACATGGCGTGTTGAGGGGAAATAGGCAAGAACTCGAGATACAGAATATCAACAGATGACAGACCTTGATACACAGCCACTTCTCAAGAAAACAGTGTGCGCAGTGTCAGTGGCGCCGGGGATGCCAGGTCCAGACCAGGAGCCACCTGGTCTAGTCAGCCACTAGCGCCATCAACTCATCCGGGACATGACTAATGACCACTTCCTTCAACGTGCTTCCTCCTTTTGCCTCACTCTCCTCCATCAAACATCCATGTTCGTGATCCACTGCGCAATTTTGACCTCATCTGATCCTTGGTTATCGCATCCTGCTCCTCGGACTACCCCGCATTACCCCGTGGGGATCCCGCACTCGTCACCTCGGTAGCCGCTTTGACCGAACGTTCAACGCCTGGCTCCGTATCCCATTCTCCGATCTTGGTTGATACCGAGATCGTATCATCTACTTGGCTCATCGTCCATTTATCCATCTGTATTCACCTGCGAGTCTACTACACAACCATGACTGAGACCCAGTCTCAAACTACGACAAGGGCAGCCTCCTCCCGGAAGCGCTCCAGGGCCGTATCGAACCTCACAGAGGAGCAGATTCAGCACAAACGCAACGTCGATCGTAGGGCACAGCGCGCCTTTCGTCAACGAAACAAGGAATGCATAACAAATCTCGAGGTTCAATTCTCTCAGCTACAGGGGACGTGTGCGGAGCTACGTGAAAGCTGCAGCCAGAAAGACGCTCAGATTGACTCCATGCGTGACGAGAACCAATCCTTGATAACTTGCCTGGAGGCCATCTCGGAGCTTGTGACGAAAGCCCTAAGGCAGGCCGGAAAGGCTCATGACCAAGACGTGCATGACCAAGATATGTCGCGGGGTGAGCTTAGAAGACGTGTGAGAGTCATGGAGTAGCTGCTGACTGGTTTGATAGACGAGAGTCAGGCCGGGGGCCACCAGACCGCTACGGGGACCCCTTCTCGCCAGGAAGAACCCGATGTCGACTCCTTGTCTGCAGGTCATCAAGAGCCCATGCATATTCAACATGATGCAGATGCCGGAAGATCCAACTCAGAGGAGCCCTTTGACGACCAGCTGGTGCAGAGCCACAGCTCACCGACACCCACGAATCATGCAACCTCAGTACATGACCAAGCCTATAACATTACGGATACTATGGTTAATGAAGATGCCATTTGTCATGTTTCCCCGGCAGCAAACGTGGGCTTCCTGTCACCCCCTGGAAGCCACCAAGCCCCAGACTCCCACATTCCCTACAGCGCCCAATCGCAGTCAGGAACGGAAGCATCCCACGTGGTCCAACACGAAACAACGGATGACTACTCAGGCTTTGGCGGTTCGATAGCCAATGTCGGTCATTACACTCCGCCCAACGCCGTATTCGGGATTCTACCTGCCCATGTTTCATCTACATGCCCATTGGACCTGATACTTCTTGAATTTCTCAAGTCAAGAAGGGAAATGTTGTCACACGGTCTGGACCTGGACACAATTGTTGGCCCTCCAAAACCTTCGGCACGTGCTCTTATCAACCCTGAACAGGTTGATTCGGTGCACCCCTTGAGCGGCATCATGTCTAGAGTGTTGTCAACTTTCCCTGCAGTGCAACTGGCAGAGAAGTTGTCATTCTTTTATCTAATGTGCAACACGATGAGGGTATGTATCATTCTCCATCTCATCGAGCAGCCTGGGAATTCCTACTGACAATCCAGTGGCAAATTCATCCGACTAAACAGCAATACAATGACATGCCTTCGTGGCTGAGACCGACAGTTACACAGATAGCCGTGCCACATGCTGCCTGGATCGACAATATTCCATGGTAAGCTTGACAAATTCTTGGGCTCTTGTCATGTTGTAATAGAAGTTGACTTGTTAGGCCTGGCGTTCGCGACATTCTCATAGAGAATCCAGCGGAATATCCATTCCAGTTGTTCTCAGATTATTATTCTCAAAATGTCAGTGTGAATTGGAAGTTTGATGGATTAGACGCTGTGTCAGATTTAAATGGGGAGGGAACATTACACTCAATCTTTGAGAGGCATATACGGGATCTCAGGAACTGGACTGTTAGCAAGGCATTTGAGGATCGATTTCCTTCGATAATTGCAGCAATTACTCAGATTACTGAGTAGATAGAAATATGCACAAAGTTGTGATGGTTGCTGGTCTCCTTTGGCAAGAGAGATTCATGGGATAATGATAATGACAGACACATGATGACTTGCTCAATCGTGATTTATGCTTGGCCATGAATGAGGCCAACTCTAGATTCTCTACCCCTTTGAGCCAGCTGCATAGCAGACTCAATGCTGAACCTTTCCCCCGAATAAAACCTCGTATCTACAAACCAAGTCCCTTCCTAAACCGACTTCTCCACCTGAATGCACGATCCCCCAGTGCCCTCCTCGCTATCGCCCTTGATCTCATTCGGGGACTTTTGTTCTTGAAGACCGTTGAATGCATCTCCAGAGAAGACGTAATCAAGCTCTTCAAGTGTTTTTCCACTCGTCTAGAATTCGTTAGAGAGGCTCTCATGACAGGAATTGGAGTTAGCAAGCTTACCTCTGGGAGGAAGAAATACGTGAAGGGGATGTTGAGAAGAATCATGACGCAGAATAAGATATAGAACTTCCAACCTGCAGTGTCGATGGCATATGGCGTGATAAGAGCAATAACCTTTGAGCAGGTGAGCATTGGAACTTGAGATCTGGAAAAGACGCAACACTCACAAATGTCCAGAGCCATTCGGAAAATGCGGCGACGGATGAGCCCACATGTCGCAGCTCAAGAGGAGTAATCTCTGGAGCATAGAGCCAAGGGATGCTGTTCCAGGACATGCCGAAAGAGATCTCGTAGATGAATAGAAACGCGAGAGCCATGGCTGACGTGGATGATGTGTTGACCGCGATGCCCGCAGTGAAGATGGCCATGGCAGTCAAGAGCGAGACGGATCCCAACATGAGCATTGGTCGCCGACCAACTCTGTCAAGCAGATACATGGGAGGGAACGTGCTCAGCCAGAAAGCAATCTGGATGAATCCAGCAACAAGACTGCTGGTATCCTTGGACAGCCCGACGTTGGTTTCGAGGACGATAGTAACGTAGAAGGCGATGACGTTGATTCCTGTGAACTGCTGCCACAGCTGAATCATGAAGCAGAGGACAAGTCGTCGGGTATTCTTGACCGGGGTCTTGTCATGGATGAGGTTCTTGAGAGAGAACTTTTCGGTTTGGTGCTCGAGGTTCAGGGCTGTCTCAATCTCTTGCACGACTGACTGGATGATTGGGTCATCTTCTTGGCAGTCGTACAGTCGACCGAGGACATCGATCGCTTCAGTTCGGTATTCGTGCGAATAGAGCCATCTTTAAAGAAACGTTAGTTAAAGAAGCCACAAAAGGGTATCACGATGCCTCACCTTGGAGTTTCCGGGAGAAAGGGGAGGGTAGCAACTGTCACAATAGCGAAGACGTTCTGGAAAGCAATCGGAAATCTCCAGACGACCTATTCCATATCAGCTTCAAGTTCACTAGAACAGCTCAGGTACTTTACCTCTCCCGTGAGATGCTTGATGGTGCCATAATCGAGCCAGTAGGCTACAACTGTGCCGAACTAGAAGAGCGTCAGCTGGTATCATATCAAAATGGAAGGGGAATCTTACAATCACTATCGAGAGCTGGACTGCAACAGCACGCCCCCTGTGCTTCGCATGTGAACATTCCGAGACATAGACCGGTACAATGCTCGTATTCATGCCTGGCAATGCAAGGTTTAGCAGATATCAAGAACCGACAATTTCAAGACTGACCGTTGCCAACTCCAGAGATGAGTCTGCCCACGATGAGTTGGGCCGCGCCAAAAGCAGCAGATTGAATGATGCCTCCGATGATCATGATGATGCAGCCCCAAATGATGATCTTGCGTCGACCCCATTTGTTTCCAATCAAAGACGCTACGATACATCCCACCAAGCAGCCAATGTTGTACAGCGCGACAATCAAGCCTAGGAAGCTAGGACTCGGATTGCCGATGGCATCGAGGAAACTGGGTTGGGTGACAAGACCACCCAACACGCCCTACAACTCGTTGTTGGCCACATGAAATGACAGAGGGATCAAGAGACACTTACCTGATCGTAGCCGAAAAGCAAATAAGCGCTTCCAGCACTGAATGTGATTGCAGCTTGGAGATACCTTCCACGCAGTTTGGTGAACATGTTGATGCGCCGTCAGTGACGGGGACGCGAGGTGAGAGGAATGTTGAGCGTGTTTGGTAGTTGATGTGACAGAGTCCCACGGATCAGTCAGCGTATTGATACTATTGGCTGGGAATATACTGCATCTGTGAACGTCGGTTTGATGGCTTTATAATGCAGATATCACAGTAGAACTGACTGTTTCCCCACGTTTGGTCTCGAACCCCAGAATCCCCGGATCCCCGGGCTGTAGTATGTACCCCAGGTCCACCGTTCAGCGCCACCTCACTCAGATTGTGTCGAGTTTGGACCACCAGGCCGCATTCGCTTGCGCCAGAGCAACTGACTCATGCCAACTTGTTGCGCTTTGCAAGGATGGAGGATAGCCTGCGGGGTAACTAACGTCGTTCTCTGGACTGACTCAGTCGGAAACTAATTCCGTGGAAGTCAATAGCCAATCACGACAGACTCATCGGGATGTATTGTAGCCAGGTAGTCGATGCTCTCCGGGAGACCTGGCCAGTCTCGCGGCTAATGAAAGAACCGCTGTCTATGAACTGAGTCATTATCCAGGTACTCTTCTGCATTGATTCCAGTACCTTTTAATATCGAATGTTCACCGCAAGATCCTGCTAGGTCTATGATTGTTTTCCAGCTAGTCATCAAGCGAAGAATCTGATCCCTGAAGCCGTCTATCCAAACTCGCACGATTCCCCAATACAAGGTGTCTACAGTATCGAACCACGTTCGAGCCGATCATCATGGGTTCCAAGCAGACGGGCACCATGCTTGCCGCGCAATACAACAAGGCAAGACCCATGACCCCTCCCCTAGACCTCAAACAACGACTGACGACATTTACAGCTGAGCAACAAGGTTGAAGTTAACCGCATCGATATCCCTGTTTACAAAGACAACGAGATCCTGATCAAGACAAGGAGTGCCTCTCTATGTCATTCAGACCTAGTACGCTATCTTGACCTGCAGACCTGCTCCAGTGGACTGACACTCCACACCAGATGCTCTTCTGGGGCCATACGGCCGTGGAGCCCCCCACCGATAAGATCACGATCGGACATGAGAATACAGGTTACGTGGTCGGAGTTGGAAAAGACGTCAAGGGGTTCAAGGTTGGCGATCTTGTTGGTTGCCTTGGCTGCAGCTACGCCTGTTGTACGTGGACAATGTCTAGAAAACAGTTCTATGCTGACACCATCAGATGATTGCGAGGGATGCCAAGTCCACAACCTGTTTTGCGAAGAGGCAACCGGTAAAATGCACGGCTTTTCATGCCCTGGTCACTTTGCAGAGTATTCCGTTTCTGATTATCGGAATGCCATGGTTCTGCCCAAGGGTATGAACCCAGACACATCAGCGCCGCTCTTTTGCGCTGGGGTCACCGGTCAGCATCCATCCCTTGCTCATGCCGCTGAGATCAAAGGGCTTACTAACGTTTTGTCAGCTTATCATGCTATCCGGGGATGTGACCTTCGTGAAGGACAGTGGATCGCCATTATAGGCTGCGGTGGCCTTGGGCATCTAGGTGCGTCTTCAAGATGCTATTAAGAACTTTGACACGCTAACACACTGGAAGCTGTACAATATGCCAAAGCACTGAAACTCAAGGTTGTTGGCATCGACATTTCCAAATCTCAGCTTGACGATGCGAAAAGCCTAGGCGCCGACTATGTCATCAACACACTTGAGGAACGAGACTACGAAACCAAGATCAAGAAGATCACGGGTGGTGGCTGCCATGCCGCTGCAGTATTCAGCGCTTCCAATGCGGCATACGAAAGTGCCACAAGGACATTGCGGTAAGGCAAAGCCGATCGGTCTAATCTCATTCTAGACTAACCGGTCTTGTAGAATCAACGGGCTTTTGATGGTTGCTGGGATCCCACAAAGGCCATTGTCCATTAGCGCTCTTGACATTCTCCTCGGCAAATACCGGATTGCTGGTCGTAGCAGTGGCATTCCCAAGAACATGCCGGAAGCTATCAATTTTAGTCATGAGCATGGCATCCAAGTACACATGACGACGTTTCAAGACATAAACGACATTCACAGAGTGATTGATTTGATGAATTCTGGCAAGGCTGCGGGGAGATTTGGAATAGTATTAGATTAAATAGTATCTAAAACATGCTCGTTCTGGTTATACCAGTTGAGCCAGAGCAGGTAGTAACCTTTAATTTACTACTATATCTAAAACCACTGATCTATCCCTTTTCTAGCTTATTTAAGCTCCATCGTCTCTTTATATATTCGCCCCTCTATAAAGATAACTCCTATATTAATATATAAGCCTGGATTTATCCTCTATAGAAAGATAGGGATATTAAATTTTGGCGTCTTATTCGACGAAGGAGCTTTCGACTTCCAGCCGAAACAGACTCTCAACGACTTGTTCCCAGAAATCAAGGCAATGACGGCGCCAGAGGCTCTGGAGATTGGATGGAAGAAATAGTCTCGTTATGTGGATATGCCTGAGAATTGTTGAGACTGTAGGACTAAGATGGTCAGATCTGGTGGTGGCAGGGATGTCGATACTATGTGAGGAGCACAGCTCCTCACAGACACATGTAACTTAGACCTTTCAACATCACTGACAATTATTCGCTTCATCAAGAATAGACCCATATCTTCTCTTCTCGGAAAAAAAAGCATAGGTTTCTTCACCCCGGGCTACTATAGAACAAAGCGCACTCGAGTGTTACTCGTTGCAAAACCAGAATCCGGAGACAACTATGTTGTTCATTCAATAATGACGACTGCCAGATTTTGCGATTGGTTTCTTAACAGCATCGACTATAGCTTCTGCTATCAATCTCTGAGCTCATCAGTACCGCATTCCCTGCTAGTAACAACCAGCCTTGCCATTAACAGGTCGTAACCTCCAGATGAGCCTGATCCATTGTCGTTGGTACCCCGTAAACAGAGGTCGAGCCGCCCGATTAGTGACGACGGATTACCAAGTCTCACTCGTATGTCTTGTCTTGGCAATAGGTAAAAGGGTCAGCCCTTGTTGCGGCATATTGGCCGTTTTGCTGTATGTCAACACAAAGCTACATCTAATAACCTAAAGTGACTAGGATCTTGCAGCAAACCTTCGATACTATGCAGTTAATTATATTTGTGCTCCAAAAACTGCACTCTACTACCTTCGATCACCAAACAACCGAGGCCGGCCCAATACCGCTCAACTCGAGGCGCTGTAGGCTGTTAAACACTCTGGCAGAGATGATGACTCTTTTGTCGCAAAGGCTCGACCCGAGATGCCAGTAGTGTTTGACTTGTTGTCGTGTCACGCAGGGATGCTGAGTGCACTTGACAAAAGGTAGTTCCCGTTGTTATGATTGTAATTATACTTGGTTAAGTTTTCATCACTTTTGGTGCCTTATATCCTTGAGTGATTCCATCTAGGACTTTGAACCTTAATCATAGGACTTCAAACTTTGATCTTGATCCTGAAGTTAAGGGGGAACTCTCAGTTCTTCCAACATGACAGTTCTTCGCCCGGCTCGTTCTCACTGGCTTGTGAGAAGAGTACCTTGGTGGCCAGCATATTTTGCTTGACAGTGAGGGGAAAGCCCCTACTATCGGCCAGGGTAGCACGGATATAGTTAAGGGGCTAGCGGGGGTTTAAATGCGATTGTGGGGTGATGACGCCGACCGCTTCAGTGGCTTTACCCATGCACGCAGTCTAACTCTCAACTGGCAACCCCGCCAAGAGGGGCGGCATGCCAAGAGAGCAAAGTGGAGGAAAATACCACCTTTGGGCCCAGTGTCGCCCCATTGAGGGACGTTTGGATTCAATATCAGAGCATTCTGGCTTGCTGGACGTTGTATACGAGTTCGCTTGCTCCACTACGAGGCCAATTCAAGCATACCTCCCGGGTAGACCATCGTTAAAGCCCCGACGGGGTATCACTGAACAGGGCAATGATCGCCGGACCCCTTGTCAACCCCCGTCGTGATCGCCAACGCAAGAGCTATAAATCGTTAAGAAAACTCATTCCGAGGTGGTTATTCAGCCTATTTGTGGTACGAATCTGGCTAATAATCAGCTGGTTGAATCAAATGTGCAGAAAGACAGATATATACCCAAGTTCGAATAATTACCCGAACCATGAACTCGTGAATTCTTGAGCAATAGCACATCCGCCACTCGACTGATATTTACAAGATGCTCTTGGCCTGTTTGATCTTCCCTCTGGTTGCATACGCCAGTGTGCTTTCCCAGAGGAAGCCAGACAACCCTACATACACCAACCCTGTTCTTCCAGGGTGGCACTCTGACCCCTCTTGCATCCACAAAGATGGCACCTTTTTCTGTGTCACCTCCACGTTCGTCTCATTTCCTGGGCTGCCTGTGTATGCCTCCAAAGACTTGATCAATTGGCGTCTGATCAGCCACGTGTGGAACCGCGAAAGCCAGCTTCCAGGCATCAGCTGGAAAACCCCGGGCCAACAGGATGGCATGTACGCCCCAACCATTCGTTTTCACAAAGGGACCTACTACGTCATCTGCGAATACCTTGGCGTCGGAGACATCATTGGTGTTATTTTCAAGACTACCAATCCATTTGACGACGCCAGCTGGAGTGACCCGGTCCTCTTCAAGCCAAGTCACATCGATCCAGACCTCTTCTGGGACGACGACGGGAAGGTCTACGCTGCCACTCATGGCATCACTCTGCAAGAGATTGATCTCGAAACTGGAAAGCTCAGTCCAGAGCTAAACATCTGGAATGGAACGGGTGGCGTATGGCCAGAAGGACCCCATATCTACAAGAAAGACGGGTTCTACTACCTGATGATTGCCGAGGGCGGAACCGGTTCAAACCATGCAATCACCATCGCCCGGGCTCGAAGAATCACGGGTCCTTACGAAAGTTATGAGAACAACCCGACCTTGACCAACCGGGGGACGCAGGAATACTTCCAAACTGTCGGCCACGGTGACCTCTTCCAAGACCGGAAGGGCAACTGGTGGGGACTCTGCTTGGCCACACGCTCAGGGTCTAGAGTGTCTCCGATGGGCCGCGAGGCTGTTCTCTTCAATGCAACTTGGGAAAAGGGGGAGTGGCCTGTCCTGCAACCAGTTCGAGGCCGCATGCCTAGTGGGCTATTGCCAAAGCCCAGCCGCAACGTCCCAGGACGAGGCCCATTCAACTCTGACCCAGATGACTACGATTTTAGAAAAAGGCGGAGTATGCCTTCGAACCTAGTTCACCACCGAGTTCCACGAGAAGGGACTTTCAGCCTTTCGTCCAAGGGCTTGCAGATCGTACCAAGCCGGAATAATGTCACTGGGAAGCCCCTGTCTCAAGATGAGATCGAGCTCTCTGGGCAGCGTGGTCTGGCTTTTGTTGGCCGCCGTCAGACGCATACGCTCTTCAAGTTCAGAGTCGATATTGACTTCAAGCCAAAGCTTGACGAACAAGAAGTGGGTGTCAGCGTATTCCGCACTCAACTTGACCATATCGACCTCGGGCTGGTCCGCCTCAAAGACCGCGGGGAAAAGAATTCGAAGCTAGCATTCCGATTCCGAGCCACGGGCGCGCGGAATGTTCCCTCTGTGAAGATAGTTCCAGCCCCCAAAGGATGGGAGAAAGATATGATCAGGTTGCAGGTGGCATCAGCAAATCAGACTCACTACAAATTTGAGGCAATGAGTGTGCGAGGCTCCAAAAAGCTCTTGATCGGGACGGCCTCGGCGAGCCTGGTGAGTGGTGGCAGTGGCGAATTCGTTGGTAGTCTGCTTGGAGCCTATGCGACTTGCAATGGCCAAGGTTCGGGCCTGGACTGCCCGAAGGGTGGGAGTGCATATGTCAAGCACTGGAGATATATACCAGTGGCTCAGGAGATAGACAAAGGCGTCTTTGACCCTGTGCAAGAGTAGGTGGCGGTACGACAGTCTATCCATCAATGCCATTAGTTGTGAGAAGATTGAGCTTCTATTGATGCCCTGATTGTGTGGTCTAAGAATTTCAGCATGCTCCAAGCTGGTCCCCATCGACTCTGCATCCTGGTACCTTTTTTACCAACCATTTTACAAACATGAGGGGTTCGCAAACGCTGAGACGAGATTCCGGACCGATGTCCGGAACCCGCGTGTCCCACGTGCTCTACGCTGATCAACATAACATCCTACAATTCACAGCGGGGTTACGTTAAAACTCACTATTGCCCTACGATTGAAGACTCGCCAGTCTGAAAGGCATTTCCATCAATTAGTTCAGATATCTACGGCCTGGTAAATGGCCTTCCCGTAAGCTGTCGCTCGATCACTACCAACCAGACCACTGCCCATCTTGTTCATGGTGTAGGCAATCGTCATGCGCCTGTCAAGATCCATGACCACAAAGGAACCGCCCCAACCACTCCAGAAACACATCCGCCCCTCTGGAATCCACTCAACTCCCGCAGATGGTGCCAGGCCGAAGCCGATTCCGAGCCTCAAGGTGAGTCCAAGGACTAGATCTTGCCTACAGTGTTGTTCTCGGAATATGAGCTGGATGGTGTCCGATGAGAGAAGTTGTTTGTCTCTGGCCGCGCCACCCAACGTGATGACGCAGAGTATCCGAGACAGCGAGCGAGAGTTGCCGTGGCCATTAACAGCGCCCAGTTCTGCTCGTCTCTAGGGCTCGGTATTTACGGAACGGGGATCGAGAGGCGGGTTGAGTAAGGGTTTGGCTTGGACAGACCCTGGCTCAAAGTCTGGCGAAATGCCCGTATTCTCTGGGGGGATGATTGCTGAAATTCGCGGCCAATCCTTCTCCGAGGCGCCGACCTGGGAGTCCACGCCCAGGGGAGCCGAGATTTCGGTAGCGACAAACTCCCGAAATGACTTCCCCGAAACTCGACGAACCAGCTCTCCGAGGAGATGGCCCATCGACAGGGCGTGGTATCCCGACGCAGTTCCGAGAGTCCACCACGGAGCTTGACGGGCCAGCATCGCTGCGGTTTTCTCAACGTCAAAGAGGTCTTCAGTCAAGATGGGATCGTCTCATCCCGAGACTCCGGAAGTATGAGATAGCAAATGTCGGACGAGAACATCCTATTTGCTATTTTGCTGGAACTCAGGCTAGTAGTGTAAGACCTATTGGTCGATATCGAGGAGTCCTCGGTTAACGAGAATAAGGATCGCAAGACTGAGAACTGTCTTTATGCACGAATACACATTAACAATAGTATCTTCCTCCTAGGGGTGGGTTTGGCTTTTATCCGCGTAGCCACCCCAGATATCCACCAGCTCTTCACCGTCTATGTTAATAGTGATTGAAGCCCCGAGCTCCTCGCCTGAGTTGATTGACCGTTTCAGGAGCGCCCGAACTTCCTGAAACCAACCATCGCAGTTGCCATGAACTTTGGCCATATCGAGTACCGAGAAGCGTGTTTGAGGACGACTATTGCGGTTAGGGTTTATGGCTGAATTTCAAAGACGAAAAAAGGAATTAAAGCAGTCACACGTGTGTATCAGGAGTGGCAATTTAGGAGAAACAAACTAGGGAGAAGAAACAAGAACTCAGGTATCTTTGCGTCGTCGCGGTCAGGAGCGCTTGCGCTAACAACTATCTCGTAGAGACCCTTCTGTGTAACGCTACGCTTCCACAAGCTGTGCAGTATCAACCCAAGCTTTCTGGCTGTTACTGCATCGTGCTTGGATGACGACCCTGATTGAGTCGTCTCCACTCAGCATGGCCTCGGTAAACGTGTAAGAACCCTCCATGTACCTCCAGCCCCCAGCAAGATCCGCACCAGAAGCATGAATCCTCGGTCCAACGTCCTGGCTCAGGTTGTTGGCGTCGATCCAAATGTAGATACCATCCGAGCACCCAGTGGAGGAGCTGACTTGACCCCAGAGCGAAAACTTGTATTCCTTGTCGGCCTTGAGGAGGGTCTTGTCGAGTACCTGGGCCACGACCACAGCAGAGCTGGAAGCCGATCTGATGGCGAGAGAACGAGCACCCCCCTGGACCGTTGTGTCGTCGGTGCCAATGCTTCCGCCAAGGGCGGCTCCTGAGAAAATAGTCCAGGGGCTATAGCTGGCAGGGCTGACGTCAAAGCCACCGTTAACAAGCAGGGTTACCTCCGGTTCGGCGACGGTGGTTGTAGTCGTGGCGAGAGTGGTCGTGGAGATGTAAGCGGTGGTGCTGAGAGCGGTGGACGATGCCTCGGCCGACGAAGTGGCGTAGGTGGATGAAACCGCCTCGGTAGTTGACGTGATATCAGTAGATGCAGTCTCGGTGGTAGATGTGATATCAGTAGATGCAGTCTCGGTGGTAGACGTGGCACCGGTGGCGGTTGAGCCGGTCTCAATCACCGCCAGGGAGGTTGTCGTGGCGGCACTAGACAGGGAAGAGTTCGGTATGCATGGACTTGCACTAGAGCCGATAAAGAAAGAAAAGGCTGCAATTGCAGCCACGACATTCTGGGACACCATCTTGGAATGAATGGACAAGAGGTCGTCGGGGTTAAGGAGCGTGGTGAATGAAGCAAGACCAGCAGAACAGCCTTGAAGCAAGTAATCCTAAGGGGCGGCAGAGGCTCCCTTTTAGAGAGGAGACGATACCATGTCAACAGCAGGGCTATTTTAATTGCAAGGAGTGTGAAATATTTGCAGAGGACGCAGCCAAACAATAGTTTCTCAATAGTCGCCGTTAGATCGCAGCATCTGGTAAGCCCGAGTGGGCCAAGATGAGTTGCTAAGACCAAGCGATGCCATTCTCAGCCATTTCGACTGTGGGCCGTGAAGATCTTGGCAATTTCGGCCTCAGCTAGCGGGAGGAGCTGGCGGCCTGTCGCTTGTCAGCCAGCATACGTCTGTCGAGATTGAACCAGCACGTGTGCTTCTGAACGCTAACGGGTGACGCGTCCGATATCGTTAGTCTGCGGAACCTTCAGCTCGGTAAGCCCACATCGGGAGTGAATGCCCGTTATCTCCTACTGGAATTGCGGTGATAGGTGAGAAATTCCCCGTCTCGACAGCTACTTCTATTTGCGCAGATTTTGGTCCTAGTTAAATGGCCATTTTGATCTACCTAAGTCTCGATTAGCAGAGTTGCTGTGCGTGGGTCCAAGCCAGCTTGAAACACCTGTGGAGGAAACTTAAAGGTCCAGCACACTTGACTATCTCTAACCGCCTGCGAAGTAAGAAGGGGTGGTTAAGAAGGCAATTGCAAAGATGGAAAAGGATCTGGGCATATATGTCATGCGACACAGCGGCTTGATTCACCGTGTTGTCGGCTGAAGAGGACGGGTTAACTGTATCCGCTAGTAGTCTCCTAACCTGTAGCTGCGTCTCTAGAAAGACCAGGCCTGACTGAATAGAAGTGAAATCCGAGTTGACGTCCCAAGGCGGGTAGTGAGCACGCGCATCCATGTCTTGTAGCATATACTGTGCTGCTTCTGCCAAGACGCCTCCCATAATGATGACGTTTGCAAAGGGGCTCAGAGCGTCGTCGGAAAGCACGCAGGGCTCTGTGTTGACTTTTGACAGTGTAGATGTCTGTTCTTCCTGGCCCGATCTCCAAGCTTCCCCGTGTGAGGGGAGTCGGAGATGGCACGAGGCGTCCAGAATGGCCGAAGGTCTGTAGCAACCGCATGAGCAGAGACGATCCAGTAAGGAGAGCGACCAAAAATACCGCCGAAATTGTTCCTTTTGACTGGGATGAGCCGTGGCATCATGCTCGGAAGCCATCTGCAAGTCCTGGGCAATTCGTATAGCCATGCCAATCTTGATCCAGGCTTAAACGTGGCGTGATTTGCCAGCTGTTATGTTAATCAATGCCTGCCTGCTGTAGCATTTGCCGATTACTGTCGCCATTCTCACCTGTAAAGTCAAAGATTGCCAAGAGGGTGGTTGTCTGAACCGTATACACATCAATGGTATTACACGGAGCTGTAAAACAATCCGACATGATGGCTCGCCACGAGAGATCCCCAAACCTTCTGGCTGTTTCATGTTTATTGCGCTCATAGAAAGCATGTCAGGAGAATCGGGCGGCGTTTGCGACGATGGCAAGCAATAGGTGATGCGGTAGCTGGTTGTCGAGGAACGCGGTGCGAAAGGTGGCTTCGTGAAAGAAGGAATATGGTTGGTTATGGCAGTTTTCAGAGTAATTATTGATCGAATTCGAGAGCACGTCAAGAGGGATCGCGTCAGTTCTGAATGCGGTGGTCGAGTTTATCGTCGTCAGTGCATCTGCGCCCAAGACCGGGGTTTTTGAGACAGCGCCGTGACTGTAGGTGTTCGGTTGCTGGTTCGATAGTTGAGAGCTGTGAAACACAATAGACCACTATGCCAAAGCAAAAGTAGAAGATACCTTCTGCTATTTGCAGAGGCAATTGGGCCTTATAATGCTGCTCAACAAGAGCCTATTCTGCAGGACTGTCAGCAGGTGAGTTTCAGGCCATTGCTGGCTGGTCAAGCAGCTTTCCATACTGTTCCACCCTCCCATATCCATGCTTTTGGCAATTGGAGCAGGGCAATTGGCCTGAGCAACGAGCTTTCCTTGAACCGTTGAGAGAAAAGCGGCATGTGAGCTCAGGGATCGGGAGGCTTGAGGGGACGAAGGAAAGATGGGATCTGCTGCTGGGAGATTCTCTAACCGACAATGACGACAGGCACGGCCAATTCAATGGACGGGTCGATACAATTGAGAGCGGCTCGTATCAGATCGCGAACCCATGTTGGATAACTAGATGCTCGACCAAAATGGTTCGTGAGGGCGAGTCGAGTTCTCGGTTGCATCTGCGGACTCTCACGAGTGAGATACGGGATGAGAAGGATGGAATCTGATGAACTCTATCTGTCGCGGGTGTTAACCGAGTCTCGGAGCTTAACCGAGCCATCTAGGGTGGCAGGTTCGGCTATGACCCGAGCTTAATCATTTTCATCTCCATTTCACTTCATTTCTTCTCCATGATTTTAGACATTTTCGTCTTTATTTCGCTTCATTTCTTCTCCACGGTTTTAGACATTCGACACTTTCATCTTGATTTCACTTCGTCGAGCTGGAAACAAACATCTGAACATGGCAGGTAATTTATATGTTGTGATATATCCCCATCATGCCTACACATTGTACATGTGGAACGTCTTGGTGATAATCTCCCACTTGTCCTTCATCTTCAGCAGGGTGTGGTGGTCAAAGTATCTACCCCCGCTGGCATCGTTCTCCAGCGAGATACGAACGACAGCCGTGGTAGGAGTCATGTCCAAAATGTCACATCGACCCTGAATATCTGGTGCGCCGCCGTACTTGTCCACGTATGCCCAAAGCTGATCGATGGATCCGTCAAACCAGGTGCCATTTCATTTACCGTACATAGTTGCGTCTTTGTGGAAGGCTGTCTTCAGCAGGTCGTTATCCCCCTTCCTCAAGCCATCGATGTAGACTTGGACGACGGCTGCAACGTCGTTGAGGTCCTTGGTGGACACCTGCTTGATGTTGCTAGACATGATTTCGCAGTTGACTTCGAACTCATCAGCCCCTTCTTCTTGTATGTGACATTCAAAGGAATTCAGTCAACTCACAAGAAGTATATGTGCATGTAGAAGCATAAATTTGATCAATGGGGACGCTGTATTGTATATGTAGTCGTTAAGGCAAGTAGAGCAGGCATGCCCCTCTTATACAGCTTTGTTCTCGAAGAGATGTAGTGACGGAACTGAGGAACAAGGTTTGTCAGCCCCGGAGCATCTATCGGTCGATTTACATAACGGCCCCGTTCAGTCTCCAACATGGGTTCGGCCAATTCGTAGCCCAGAACCTTTGCGGGTATAAAGCAGGGAGCACGCCCGTGGCATTCGGTAGCTAGCATCATTCACACTCAACCAGTCATCATCCAGCATCAAAATCTTTGCAACAATGAAGGAAGCCATCGTTACCAAGGACATCACCGTTCGAATTAGAGACGTGCCTATCCCCAAGCCCAAGCCTGGTCAGCTACTCATCCGAACCATCGTCTCCGGAACAAACCCCAAGGATTGGAAGTATCCCAAGGTGTGGGGTCGAGATCTTGAGCCACGCAACCAGGGCGATGACATCGCGGGCTATGTTGAAGCCGTTGGAGAAAATGTCACTGGCTTCTCTCCCGGAGACCGTGTAGCTGCATTCCACGAGCTGGGAACTCCGTATGGCAGCTATGCCGAATACTCCATCGCCTGGGCTAACTCTGCCTTCCACATCCCGGCGGATGTCACCTTCGAAGGTAAGTTTCCAAGCTGTTCTGTGCCTCCCACGCAGCCATTGACTTGGATGGGTTTATAGAGGCTGCGACGATTCCTCTCGCCGGAATGACGGCCGCACTGGGTGTCTACCAGAGACTGAATCTCCCTGTGCCCTGGAACCCCGCAACAAAGTCGACTCCCTTCATCGTTTACGGCGGTGCCACAGCCGTTGGCGCATTTGCCATCAAGCTAGCCAAGCTATCCAACATTCACCCCATTGTCGCTATAGCTGGCAATGGTATCCCTTTCGTCCAAGGCCTGCTCGAGCCTGAGAAGGGAGATGTTGTCATTGACTATCGAAAGGGCAATGACTTTGTCGCCGACCAGATCCATCAGGCCACAGGTGGTCGTGCATTGCACGCATTCGACGGCGTGTCGGAGAAGGGCAGCATTAATAACATCGGCAAAGCTCTTGCCCCGGGAGGTGCCATCGCCATCGTCCTAACTGAAGAAATGAGGGGATATCCCGAGGACGCCTGTGGTGCAGATGTTCTCTTCACAATGGTTGGCACCGTCCATCTAGGATCTCCCGCATCTGCAGCGTCAGAAGCTGCTGGCGCGGCGTACGGAGATCGTGAGTTTGGCATCGCTTTCTTCCACTATTTTGGAGTCGGTCTCGCGGAGGGATGGTTCTCGGGTCACCCTTACGAGGTGCAACCGGGTGGGCTGTCGGGTATTGAGAACGCGCTAAAGATTCTGGAAGCCGGTAAATTGTCTGCTAAGAAGCTTGTCATTACACTTGCAGACAACTGAACACAATTGGCCTTGTATGATTGGTATCTATTGAGTCTTCAGCAATATAGGTACTCGGCTTACGATTCGGCCTGTGTTTCCAGAATAGATAGTGACCTTGGTCTAACTATTGCATCTGAAACCACTGACCCATGCCTTTTTTAGCTTGCTCAAGCTCTGCCGCCTCTCCATCCATCAGTCCCTCCACAAAGCCAGTCCCCACGACAGTATACGAGCCCAGATCTGTCCTCCGTAGAAGGACAGGGACATCAGAGCCTTTCAGCACGCAAATCCTATCGCCGACTGCAGTTCCAAGTGGTGCAAGCCCTAAATAACCGCTCGTAGTGCTAATCAAGCTCCAAATATCCTCCAGCCAGAGCAGCTCCAATCTTATTCTCTGCCGAGATTCGCTGACCATCCCTTCAGACTCCTCCATCATAATGTCCCTCAAATTTCTGTCAAACCCCAGCTGTCGAAAGTCTGCGCCGGGAGCAAAGCACTTGCGGAATCGGGCCTCAAACTCGACCGGGTCTCTAGAAAATCCCAGAGTGCGCAGCATTTGGTCTCGTTGCTGAGGCTCTAACCGATCCAAGGGCTTGGCCATGTGATAAAAGAGAGAGAGGTCGCGGATAACCGTTGATCTGCTGACGGTTCTTGACTGATCTCTGTGCAACAACCGGAAGAAAGCATTGAGGGCTGCTGAACCAGTTTTATACCGCTCGCCTTGCGACAGGGCGATTATGGCACTTTCCAGCAAATCCACATCGTTCTTGGAACTATACACAGGACCCTGAGCAACGGAACGAACCGTGTCAATCTCAATGCCCCAGGCAAACAGGCTCTTTGTCTTGGCGACGACAAACGGGAGCTTGCTTGAGTCGTCTCCGAATACCTCTTTATCCGTACGCCCAGTTCCCATCCTTAATCTCGAGAGATGAAGCTTCCCATCGCCCGGGAAGTTAGGCGCCCAACTGAGAAAGTCGGCTTCAGACCCGTAGATGCCAATTCCGGCACCAGATAGAAACTTAAGGGGGGTAATATATTTCTCGATTCTCACATCACGGCAAGTGTCGACCCAGGCTGCCGTGTACTCGATGTAGACGTCCGACACCGTCTTGTTGTAGTCTGGGACAATGGGGATCTCAGTAATAGCGAGAAGTCCGTAGATGTAATCCCTTGGATCTGTAGCCTTGAGACCACTTGCAAAACCTGACATGACCCAGCTATAGTCCCAAGTTGGAGTTATTCTCAACCCATTTTTGACAATCACCCTTGCGAAGCATGGCTGTCGTATGATACTGACGCTCGCTAAATTAGTCGTTAATGCCGACCACACACTTGGAGACAAGTAGTTTGGTCTTCGTAGGGACAATTTGTCAATATTTTTCCACGTCAGTTCATACCCCCGCTGAAAGATTAAGAGCGTCGGCCAACCAATCGATGCCAAGCCATTGCTGATGAAGACCAGTTTACGGGCCAATACAACCTCTTGAAAGATCCACACGCGAGTCCAGTAAGGATCTCTCATAAAGGAATCCACAGAGGACCAAGCAAGGTTTCGGATACCCGATCCCGATTGCCTACGGCCGTCGTCGGAACAAAGAGAGGGATATCTCTGCAGCCAATCCAGCCGAGCAAGCTTTTCTTCATTCAACCTTCGCGCCGTATCATCATACATCTCTCTGGCAAGCAGCGTTATTGTAGAGTAAGCAAGCGAATGATCCCCTGGTCCGAGCCACGCGAGGACAACAGCCGCGCTTTTGAAGACGCGGCTCATGAGCTGGACCTGCTGGGTCCGTTCATCAGGGTCTTGTTGGTTGATACACACTGCATCAACCCATAGGCTTTGAACCTGATAGAGGGACTGCTTCGATGCCCAGTGGCGACGGATGTGTTTTAAGGCTGCAGCGAGGTTCTTAGTTACTGGGAATGATCGATTGTGCAAAGAAATGGCCTCTTTGATGTTGGGATCGCCCCATACATATGACAGGGCGGTAAAGGTGGGATTGTCGTCTAGGCAGACCGTGTCGAGCCGGAGACTGTCGCCATCTTCGGGTGAGATTTGAACGACTCGGATCTCAGATTTGAGCCGGTCGAGCGGCTTGTAAGTAAAAGAAGATGATGAATCCATCCTAGGCATGGAAGTAGGAGGCAAGGGGTGGCAATGCACAGATCATATATAGGACGGACACGTTCAGCCAGGGTGAGGGATAAGACTGAAATGAGGTCTGGGGGGAGTGAGGGGTAATCAGAAAGTTGGTATTTGCACAGCCTGCCTCAGATGCCTGCTCGGGTGCCTCTCTTGGTTGGCTCAGCCGTGATGGGAGCCTGTGGCTTGGTCAGCTTCAAGGGTTGAATCAGACTTGGTACTCTGGCGTGATTTCTTAACTGATTATTGGCTTAGGCAATGTGCACTCTTGTGTGGGTTGAAAGTTGAGTACCGCCGCAAGGGAATATGATAAACTCTATGATTTTACTGAGAGTCAAGGTAGAGCAAGCCTTTCCCTACTCAAGTGATCTACAGGATACTACACATAGAGAATCTATACTTATAATAACCTTGACTCAGTTATTACCCGTGACAGCGCCCCAGATCCAGGCTGCCCAGCTGCCCAGCACATATACCAACAACATCAGGAAACAAGCCTTGCTGATCAATCTACCCCTCTCGCCCTTGGGTCCACCAGATCGTTCCTTTCTCCCGTTGATCATATCTCCGAACCGAATTCTTTGCTTTCGCGTGAATTGCAAGATTCGGAGGTCGGTGGCCCACCAGCACCCAATCAACATAGCCAAAGATACAACGGTAGAGGCGGTGGCCAGAAACACGTAGACGATTGTGACACGGTCATATGAATTGTCATCAGCATCTTGAATGACGCCAGTAATAATACGAATGATGATGTTGGTTCTAATCGAGAAGTTAGTGGCGTTGCATTTAGTTAGGAATTCATGGACATGACATACGCGTTATTCATTGTCACCTTGGCAGCGTAGGCAGTGCCAAAGACATCTTGATGCCACATACTGGTCCGAATTCCCTCAATGATGGTCACCGGACCAAAGGTCTTGAAAACGGCGTAGACTGCGTAGGAAGCTGCAGCACTGCCAGTTGTCGTGCCCCAGTTGATAAGTCCCATTGACAACAACATTCCAGTGCCACAGATAAGCATCTGCGTCACACGGTGGCCGTATACATCGATCGCAGCACCGATAAAAGGACTAAGGAAAAAGCCTATAAAACAGATCAGTCCCATTGGTTTGATATAAAAACAAGGGTGTGTGGATGACCTACCAGCGTACTGAGACAACGATGCGTACCAACCAGCAGCGACGGCATCAACTCCGAAACGGTGCTCAGCAAGCTCAGTCGCGTTCTGAGAGTATACATTGGAACAGCTTGTCTGCACCATAGAGAAAAGCATGATGGTCCAAAACACCCAAGGCAATTCGAGGATCTTGCGGAACTCGAACTTTCGATTGTTCTCGACAAGAAGCTCGCCTGTGGCAGGATCAGGTGGTGCCCGGAAGCGCTTATGGGCAAGCTTGGTGAAGAAGAAAAAGACAAGCGTGCACACGTTTGTGAAGACGGAGACGCATGCTCCGATCCAAAAGACCCAGGCAAAGTTCCCGAGGTTCTAAAGAGAGGTTAATCAGGGGCTATGATGTAAAGGGATCAAGAAGATTTTAGTACCTTGGAGATGACATTGGCCGTGGAGCTTCCAACAAAGCCGCCAATTCTAGCTATACCAATTTGAAGACCAATCGTAGTCCCAAATCCTCCACCAGGTGGAAACCATGCTGAAAACACTCTGTAATAAGCAATTTGCGTGGCAATGTCACCTAGTGCTGCGACGATTTTCCCAACGATCATCAGTGGATAGGACTTGCAAGTCGCTGCGCCTGCGATAACAAATGCTCCAGCAGTCATGATCAGGTTTCCATAGAGCATAGCTCCTGCTCAATGCATTAGACATAGGTGCTCTTTGAGAAGGTAACAAGAGGTTGAATGATGGAACATACCAGCGCCACCAATCCTGTCTGTCACAACGCCAGAGAGCATAGTTAAGAGAGTGACCAGGAGCTCTTCACTAGCCTCTAACAATGCAAACTGCGTATTGTTAATATCCAGCTCTTTTTTAACTGTACTCTTTAACGACGAGGTCAGCCTGGCAGACCAAGAAGCCCCGAAGCTAATGAGACAGATGAGCAGGACCGAGCCAAGTTTCCATTTGGCTGGAACAAATGGCCGGTTATCAACATCTGCAGAACTTGAGTCTGGTGGTATGTTTGGATCGACTGGGACTTCGTGGGGTGTTGCAAGACTGACTTCTTTCGAAGCCGAAAGAGGGTCTTCCTTGGTATAATCAAGGACAGCCATGGTGAAAACGTGGACGGTCTGAAACGATGGAGTCTGAAGAGGTAAAGGTCAGGAACAGTACGTAGAAACGAAGAAGGACGGTATTTATATCACATCTTAAAAGAAGTGCGACGGGCAGCTTTTCCACAAGATCAGATAACAGCAGCTTCCCGGTATCGGGGACGTTTTTCGTAATCTAGAACATCTTGTTGCTCCACATGTTTAACGAAGCAAAAGTTTATTAGCGATTAAGTGGATTCTAGAAGATGGTTAAGGTCTTGGCCTGCATAAATCGCTCATGATACATGAACACCATCACGCGAAAGATGATGCAGCGCCTTCTCTAATGGCTGCCTCTAACGCGGCAAAGGCGCGCCATAACGTTGGTCTATCCGCTATCCTTTAACCGAGTAACTAGCGTGATGGGTCGCATCCCAATCTTGTTTAAGCTTGGATTTAGAGTTAACTATACTGCGCACCCCTGTTCCGCTTTATCGCGCCATGGGAGCGGAACTGGCCCGTCTTGATCATCAAATATCCCCAATGTTTGTCGACTTGAGCTCTTGAAATGGCTCCAGGCAATTCATTGAACTGTCCTGATCCCTTTTTTGTCCCGAGGCTTCGCAGTGGGGGGCCTGTCATCTCGACCGCTTGATCAATCGAAAGATGGAGACTTAACATCCAGCTCGTGGACAGACATACCGAAGTTGACTCTTTTTATTCATCCTTCCACTTGAAAGCCCCAGCCAGTCACTCAGCAGCTAAGGTAGTGGGTTCCAACAAGGCCCTCAGCCCTCATATCCACATACGGGCAACTGACCAGGCGCGCTAGGGTCCAGGTCTTATCGGCGCATAAGGCCGGGATGTGGTGGAGAGGTTCTTCATAATGTTCGCACCACTGTGCCATCATTAGAATGGGAAAAGGCGCCCCTCTCTCAAGCTCCCTCTCGAACAGACCTCGTACCTCGGGGAACACCCCATCACCTGAGAGCCACTTAGGATACGTATGATGCTATGATGTGTAGGCAATGTGTAGGCAATGTGTTCTTTGTTATTTTTACTGCCCAGCTCTTGATAGAACAGCTGAGCCAGAAGAACCCTCGAGTTTGGGATGTTCTCTGTAGTGCCGCCACTGGTAATGAAGCTCTTGACATCCTAAAGAGATGTCTCTCGCCATCAGAAGATTCCAAACCTGGAGAGAGACAATCTGCCCTAGGCGTCACATTTATTAGGATTTCAAGAGCTATTCCACTTTACGCTCTCTGTGCTTTTGCCATCGTCAATGCGACCTTTTACCATGATATGTTTCATACCTCTTAAGACCCTTGGAGGACACAAATGTTACATACTCTGAAGACCCAATGCAAAGACAGTGTCACTACAGTTGGAGTGTCATTCGTAAGCATGCATCTTGTTTTTTTGGGTTTATTACAGAAGTTTCAGGCCCAGAGCATGCTGAGCCGAGTCAGGTAGTGATTGTTCTTAGCCCTAGTGCCAAGGCTTTCTCTCAATTTTCTGTTACGCTTCCTATTAGCGGGAAGTGTTTCGCCCCGGGCTTCGTGACGTGGCAGACCCAGGAGATTGTTGCCCGGAAATCGCTTTATATCAAAGTAGACGATTGGTCAAAGAAATAAATTTCTGTGCACACCTGTCATTCCACGTTAGAAAAGACGAGAACTTTCGGGGTTCTAAGGTCCAGAGTCGCAACGTCTATCAAAATGCATCTCTTTCAAAAGAGAGATATGCTGGCGCATAAAATAAGCTTTGCAGCCGTCTCATACCGAAACCTCGTCATGCACATAGAAAGATATCAATTTGAAAGCTCCTCTGCGAAGCTTTCAATTTTGACCACGGGACTATGAGATTGACTATATAGATTATGCCCTAATGGGCGAGACCGAAGCCGGCGTGGCGCGGTACATAAGAGTCAACGTCATTTTGACAGAAATGCGCATAACGACGAGCTATACTCATATCCGCTGCTGGGAGCAATGCCAGATTGAGAATAGCGCGTCCTAATAGGCATCTAAGCAGAAACAGATGTCGACTTTCATTTTGACAGACGTTGCGACTCTGGACCTGAATCACTTGATAAGTTCGTTTCTCAGACGTTACAAATACCAACCTTGAAGGTGTCAGGTTAGGCCATTTCATTCATTTCATGGTATGTATAAGAACGAATCTATGCTTACACTTTTAAGATTATACCTCTAGTATAGTTCTGTTGCTGAACATGCTCTTTTTTCTTTTTCTATCTCTCTATCCTTGATTTGGAAACATGTTTGTGAGCTTTTGATGGTTGAAAGCTATAACGATGGGCTTCCCTGACTTGGGCTTGAAGAGAACTGCTGACTCGTGAATTTGCACATCTTGTTCGGCATACTCGACAGGAACTCGAAGCAAGGGTCGGCCCTTCCAAGTGATCCATTTCGTGCTCTTGTCTATCTCAATCCCGATTCTCTCCTCCAAAGGCAGCGGAAAGGAGCCATCCTCTTTCATCGGGAGCACGGGGGAGAGACCTACATAGTCCCCGAAGACGAATGACTCGGGACTCGTAGTTTGGTGCGCAATCATGCGCTTCAAGTTGATGCCAATGCGACTGGAATTAGTCAGAAGCTCTGTATCACCATTTTGGAATGATAGCCGAGAGCTCTGGACGCCAGTATCCCGTGAGCCGAGGAGATTACCAGTACCGACGTGCCAAATGCTGACCACGCCAAGATCTGATGCAATTGCCACTAGTTCTCCACGTGCTGAAATGGCCACACACCTGGAGCCGCTTCTCTCGCCTGGGGGCTTGTATATCGTTCGGACATGTCGCCCAGTAGAGATATTCCACACCCGGATGATTCTACCTTCGTCTGCTCCCACCAATTTCGAGTCAGATGAGAAAACCAATGACGAAATGCGCTCATCTGAAAAAGCCTTTAGCGTGTGGATGCATTTGCGAGTAGCAACCCGCCAGATTTGTATAGTTCCGAAGTAGCTCAGCGCAAGTAACGCCGATGAAGGTGAAAATGCGGCCTCGTGAAGGAAGTCGTCTTTCACTGGGTGTTCAAGGGCTAGCAATTGCTCGCCGGTTTGAATGTCCCAGACTGACACCTGTTTTTCTGCCCCAAGCACACTTTTCGAGTCGAGCGAAATGATAATCCGTTCATAAGTCTTGTCGATGTTGAGTTCATGCCGGAATTTTCCTGTCATCGTTTCCCGGATCTTCCAGTTCCGGTCTCCTAACTTGGACATTGCGTCCCACATCGTCTGGTTCAGGTCTACTGACTTGGAGAATGCGTATAAGCTAAAATCTGGCGTGATAGCTTCGACTACCTCTTCGCTCCCTGGTATTTGCAACTGCCGACAGTGGTCCTCGAAAAGACTGGCTTGATACACTCTGATCTCGCCGCCTACCGTTGCATACGCTATCAACTTTAGATCACCCGATACAGAGACTGCAGTTGTCCCAGAAAGACGTTTGAAAACCAAGTTGTGCCGTATTTGCCGCCCTCCAGAGTCGGTATAAATTTGCGTCATCCCGTCGACTACAGAAATTTTGAATATTGACTCGCGATATAGCGTAATGGTGGTACACGAAGCCCGCCGAGCATGTCGCATCATCTTCAACGACCGACCGCTATCAGCGTGCCAAGTAGACAATGTGGTCCTGGTGGGGTCTGAGACCGCCAATACCGACCCGGAACGAAACATCAGGTCCGGTGAGCGTGGGTATTTACTGAGTGAATGGATTTGCTGGCATGACCCGATGGAAAATATGACAACGTTGCCCTCCGTGTCATCGCTTGGGAACTCCATGTCATCCATAGTCATCGTGCCCAAGGGCGCTGCCGGCGTTGCTGGTGTCGCCTCCAAGTCCGGCGAGCCGCTCGATTCCCACTTCTTGGGCGGCATCGACTCGGACAAAGAGAGAGAGGCGGGCACGGCCAACAGAGGCAGCGACGTGACTGGCCTGGCCGTTGGTTTGTCTGCTGAGAGCGAAGATATTGCCGCTGCGATCAAGGTTGACTCACTGGAGAATGCGACCCTAGAAATAGCACCGCCCTCTGGTGCCACCAATGTTTTGACATGGATCCAGTTTTCGGTCTGCCAGATCATTACTGTTCCTTCGTCTGATCCGGATGCCAATAGCTCTTCATTTGCCGAGACTGCCAAGGCTCTGACGGGCCTGTGGTGGCCTCCAAGTTTTGACACAAGTTGACCAGTCTCCAATTCCCATATTCGGACATCGCCCATACCCGATCCAGATGCTATCAGACCTGGAGTCAATAGGCTCGTGGAAGTGACATAACTTTGGGGGTGATGGAGACGGTAAACACATTCTCCAGTCACAACCCTCCAGACTTGTATCTGTGTGGCTGAAACGACAATGACCAGGGCCGAATCCGTTGAGAAGACAATCGACTCCGCTGCTTCGAAAAGGGCACCGTCATTTTTCGTGTCCAAAACCTCCACACCAGTTTTAGCATCCCAGACAGACATCACGCCGCCCTCTGATATGAATGCCAGAAGTTTGGAGTCGGGTGAAAAGGAAAGGTGTGAGACCTTGCCTCCATGGCGAGGGTTCCTGAGCCTCTGGAGGCAATCGCTCCAGTCATCTTCTACTTGAGGTTGAATGGATATCCAGTCCGGAATCTGGGCGCTGAACAGCGTGCGCACCGGGCTCTTTAGGGGTGCGAAAACAAGGGCCGATGAGTAGACTTGCAAAGGAGCGAGGTCAATGGCATTGGCATTTGCGCCGGTGAACCGAACAAGATCAGAGAGAAGCTCAGACAGTTCGGGGAGTTCTACATCCTGGTACATGTTAGCTATGAAGTTACATCTAGCCATGTAAGCCTACCTGAGTCGCCTTGTTCAATCTCTCAACCATCACCACGCTTTCCAAGACTCGGTTCAGAAGGCTCAGGGCCTCAAGCCAGTGGAGAAGATGCATCTCCAGGAATTCAAGGATTACATTTGCAGTGTCTGGATCAATGCGTGCTTGGTCCACATGGTCAATCCAATGCACACATGCATACTGAATGTGTGAAGGCAAACAGCAGTTTACTGTTTCCTGACTGATCGAAGTTTTCTCGGTCCCTGGGTCACTCAATTCGCACATGTTCTCGCGTAAGTTAGTTCGCATTACCCTGAGGCAGCTCTCAACAAGAACAAGGTGGGTTTTAGCTTGGTCCACCCAGAACGGGTTGATATCCCGACGTTCACCATCCACGAGAAAGTCCCGAAAAGATAAATGAAGAGCCCTGACAGGAAAATTAAGACGTTCTGAAGGTGGTGGGACACTCAAGACCGAGTGCAGAAGCTGTAGCCTGTTTTCCAGAATCTCTTGGAATTCGCTGACGTCCTTGTCACCATGGAGCAACTGTGCCAATACAGGTATTGTAAGAGGAGTAGAGAGTAGTATGATGGGGCCAACAATGAGGCGGAACTCCTCAACAATCTGGCTCTTCTGCTGTGGCGTGTAACTATTCGGACCGCCCTCTAATTGCTGGCTGAGGATAGCGAGGTACATCTGATCCAGTGTTGACGCATGTGTTCGATCCTTGACAGCAAGAATCTTGTCCATCTGTCGCTTCGGATTCCCAAGGCGTCGGTCTTCCAGGAAACGACACGCAGTTGACGCGACAATGAAGAGCGGCGTGGCCATATTGACAAGTTGTTGTATCACGTCGCTCCCGGGCCAGCCTGGGGGCAGCCTATTAGAGCCATCGTTGTAACGAATTCCAATCTGTTCGACAGTTCGCTTGAGAAAGGTCTCGAGATCTTTCTGGATCACTGCGTGGGGCACATTTTGCAGGATCATATCTTGATAGATGTTTCTCCTCCCCACGTTTGAAAATCCAGCTTGGATTGGTAGTTCGGGCCTGCTGGTCAAAAAGAATTTCAATCGAGGATGGCTTAGACTGTGCGCTCGGGGGAGGACGTCGGTGATGATGCTGGTGATGAAGTGATGCTGACACTCGTCGAGAGCATCAATGACGAAGACAACGGGCTTTCCAGAACACAGTTTGGCCTTGGAAAGGGGCTCCAGAATGAGCTTCGAAAACTGTTGATGTGGCATTTGGTCAAATATCTGAGGATTTTGATCAATGGCCTCCCCGATGTATCGAGACACGGCCAATTGCCACCTTGACAAGCCAGCAGCCAGTGTCGTGAACAATCTGGAAGGATTGTCTCGGTCAGTCTCGCCTTTCTTGAAGAAAAAGCTTCCTCCAAGGGTCCCCTGTTCGGCTAGGCGCTGGGCAACAGTTCGAGATATGGTCGATTTCCCTGTACCAGCCATGCCGTTAAGCCAGAACAGCGTGGTCGAGTTCGAGTCGGGATTGCCAGCCCACTCGTAAATCTCATGCAGGACATCGACTCGGGTATTCTCCAGACACGTGGCTTGGAGCCAACTACCAGAAGAATCATGGGCGGCCCCTGCAGCAGTTGGGAGTTGGTTGAGAACCATCTTTGAGTGGGAAGTGTCCATTGACTCCCTAAGCACGTCGGTCAGCCATAGTAAACTACGGGGGCAACATGTCTGTATTTCACTTACTGTAAATGCGTAATCTTCTGTCCAACTGTCGTGACTATGACGGAGTAAGTAATGAACATTCTCGCATCTGACCCAAACTAACTTGATTGCATGAGCTCCCGAGCACTCGGTGTTTCCTCAAGTTGCCTCGCTCGTACACATCGAAGGAGCTCCACTGCAAATGCTGCTGCAGTAGCAGCGGCATACCGTTGCCAGCTGTCGTTCTTGTGCGAGTCGGCGTAGTCGCAGATTCCCCTGATAACAAGGCACGGGAAGGTATTCATCAAGCCAGCCGCCTCCATCTCGACACACAGGCACTCTTCGCCGACCATTTGCAAAATTATGTCTCGAATAGCGGCATCCTTGACCAAAGTGTTGCCAGATGCCACGGTGCCGTAGTGTATCTCTGGATCAGTTGTCTCCCTCTTGGGTCTCTCTACCTCTTGAGACGAATCGCATGCAGTGCAGGTGCTACCCCCAGCATGCGCATAGTCTGGTGAAAAAAGTCGATCATTCTCCTCGCCTTGATATACATAATGCTTCTTCATTCGGGGATACTTCTCCGTCAACCCTCGGAGAAGGTCTGTGATCCGTGGATCTTCGATCTCATGGTCAGCCTGCAATTTCCCGAGCGCGTTGAGAAGCACCGTTGGAGGCATGTTGAGAGCACCTTTCCGCTGCCAGGTTTGGTTGAGTTTGGCCTTGCCCAAATCATACTGCACCACACCGCCGTTCTGCCCATCAGGTTGACTGACAACGACATCTCCAAGTCGTATGTCTCTACCGGGACGAGGGATGCCGCCTCCGATACCCACAAGCAGGCCGATCCTAATGTGAGGCAAGGAAGATAGTAGATGGGATGTAGTGATCGCAGCAGAGGTGGTACCGTACACTCCTGCGGGAAGTGAAGCAATAACGACGTTGTGCTGCCCTATCTCTCCCCAGTCGTACGCATTGGCATCGTTGGCATGCTGATCGAAACCGTCGGGTTCATCATGACGTTCATTGACAAGAGCGGTTGCTGCAGCCCGCTCGATAGGTAACGCTGCGACCCATGCGATTGTGTAAAGAGCTGGGCTTGGTAGCTTTTTTCTCGTCGCCATCGTGAGGCGCCGAGGGGCGATCGCGGACACGCAAAAGGACGCTGAAGTTGATGTTGAGGGAATTTTCATCCGTTTCAGCTTGACCTCTCAGAAAGAGGGGTAAGCAATCAGGCATCAACCAACCTGCAGTATTTGCACATTCGGTCACTGAACACGCAGCCTGATTTGGATGGGAGCGCCACCTGAGCCCTCCAGCCTCACAGAGAGTCTTGGCGTTGGTGAGCGACATGGCAAAGGCAGAGCGACCCAAGGTCATTATTGGGATGGCATAGAGAATACTTTTGTTCATACAAGGATACTCTCTTTCTGAGTACTAACACTCGGTCGGGATGTCTTCTTGCAAAGGCTGCCTTGGCGACAAAATGGCGTAAACAAACAAATCCTACAACTACCCAAGAGCTTACGTCAAATATACTGGATAATAGAACACAAGTATTAACATTAAAACCGAAGCTACAAGACTTTAATCTTGTTCGGCCGTATGACGACAATTCGATTTTCTAAATAGTTGAAGCTGAAGTCTATTGTTCTACGCTCGTAGCGAGATTCCCCTTGACCAATTAACATAGGTCGTAATCTGGATTGACTTTTAGTTTGCTTTTCAAGCACATGGTGGGAGAAGGTATCTTGAGTGCAGAACCTTGGACTTGGCCCTCTGTTCAGGACTCCAGTTCGCATCCCAGTTTAGAGCAACTCTATATGAATGCCACACAGAGAGAAGAGAAAGGATTTTGTACCAAAGCACTAGCACGAGCGAGCATCATTACGAGATCAAAACGCAATCATAAGTGTGTTGTTCTTCCTTGCGTGATTGATGATACCAGTGCTAAGCGCCAAATACCTACGGATAGGATCAATCATACTGTTTTCGAAGAAATTCGGGTGGGAACTTGAGCACATTGAGCTCTTTACGGATCGACTTTACTCTGCCTCATTCGGGCAGAGCAACTCGAGGCGAATATTGTGTTAATGCCGGCCTGACCATCATAACCCTATTGCAAAACATCTGCAAGCATCGTATAGAAAGCCGGCTCTAGGGCGAAGCTGAACAACAGTAGGATTTGATTTACCTAAATGACATTCATGAAAATAAAAATACTCTGGATTTAAGTTTGAGAACCCTGTTTAAACGGAAGTCGGCACTCTCTTTGAGCACTTTTGTCGTGTACATGCAGCAGAACCAACAACCAAAGATCCATGACTTCTAGCCGGCTACAATCAGCCCACATCCACATCAACTGCCGGTTTACCGACCACGGTATAATCTAGTCTGAAGTACCCGTATATGATCAGTACCCTGAAGTCTCCACAGCGATCCAGACCTGCCTTTTGTCTCAAAGCTGCATTGACAATCATACGTCGAGATACCCACCCCGTATTGCATGTGAAGTTTGCTCAGGATACATATCAGATGTCGCATTATCCGGAATTCTCAGGTTTGAGGATTCAATCTTGCTATAAAGGTTGAGTCTGAACCCTCAACAAAGAAGGACAACCATACTCGCCTGCATTCACACCCCATCAGGACCTCTCTATCATCTCCATGTCTCCCTTTTCCATCTTTTTTAAGAGAGCCATACTCTTCGCTGTTGGCATCATGGCTCTTTCACCCCGAGACGCAATCCATGCCGATGATCTCGAGCACTACAACGAGTTCATGGGCAGCCTCTCCGACACTCAGTTTCTTGACATGTACCTAGAGAATCACCAGGTCAAGATTGATGTCTACGAGCACCCATCCAACCATCTCACCCGGTCCGTCCACTTCAAACCAAGTCCAAATGCCGACAAATATTTCCACCAGGAGAAGGAGCAGGCCAACCAGATCCTGGGAGAGCCTGAGCACTCGGGGGTGGAGGCTCGTGATCGTTGCAAGCGAGACGAGTATGTTGGTAGATCTGAGGCTCCGAACCTATTTGCGAAACGCGCTTCCCGATGTTATCAGTTTTGCGGAACCATTCGCCACTGCCGGGGTAACAATGGTTGCCCGCACTGTTATGCCGTTAGGATGGGTTGTCTCTGGCAGAAGTGGTGCCGCTAAGGGGCTTCTCCATTTAACCTAACTATCTGATTATAACTCCACGAAGGACAGCGTGGGAGAATTGCCGAGGGAGGAAGCACATAATGTGAGAGTCTTAGCAAGGGTCACATATGGTTGTGTACTTAAGTGTCTGTAGCATGCGATTCAACATCGCGATGACAATTCATTGACGGGACCAATGTCCACGTATTTTATGCTTCGCCTTCTACTAAGCATTTGGGTCCGAGGTATTCCAAAAATGAGAGCCAGAATGTAACCATACTAACCACACCGAATACACGGACCAGACGGACATACAAAATATCCGCTCTGTGCTTGAGCATGGGTTGCCTCACTAGCACTCTTGGCTCCATCATGTCAGATTAGAGCTAGGCAGCTACATTCTTTCTCCATATCCCTCATAAGCTGAGAACAACCATCATCACAAGAACACATCCCTTTTTTGAACTAATTTTGACTTCCTTTCCTTAGTCCATCCGGGACCTAGTTACTACCCTGGCCTAAAATGAGCCTTAGCTCCTTGCCGACAGAGCTTCTCGAGAGTCTTGAACCGTTTTGCGACCAACGACAGCTTGCAGCTCTTGCTCAGCTCAACTGCCACTTCCATGACATCTTCAACCCACTGCTTTATCAGCACAATGCTCTCAAACAGGATCCCTCCAAGTCCTGCGTCATATGGGCTGCCAAGCATGACTCATTAAGTACCATGAAGCTGGCTTTTGCCCATGGCGCGTCCATGAAGACCATAGACGCCTATACGGTTGAGCATATTCGGACTCTGTATGAAAAGCAGCCAGGCGCGAAGCCATACGGGGGACCGTTGCATATTGCCGTTCAGAACAATTTCAAGGACCTCACACTATTTCTTCTCGACAATGGGGCACGTCTGGACGTGCCGTCATATGCGTTGTGCAGCTGCAAAGGAGTCAGACACGACCCCAAATGGTATCCTCTGCATTTCGCCATATGCCACGCTGAGGAAGAGACGGTTTCTCTTCTCCTAGAACACGGCGCGTATTTCTCATTAAAGGGTGTTCCGGGACTTCGCTGTGCCATACAGTGCGCATCCCATTCGATATTGGACTCCCTACTCGAAAATGACAATTTCGATCCCCACCATCGAGACCCAGAAGGCTACACCGCTCTTTCTTATATCGTCAACTGTGCTGACTCCACGGTTGCTCGTGAAATGGCGAGTAAGCTTGCCGATCGCGGGATACCACTGGATGTCATGGGAGTAACTGGCTGTACAGCTCTCGCTGACTTGGTTGAGGCTGGACATCTCAAAGCGGCCATTGAGTTACTCGAGCGCGGCGCTGACCCTACCATCAGCGACTGGGGTGACCATGGGATAGGTTTATTCAGCGAACTTTGCTCAAGTCCCAAAGTCTTGGTTGCCATGGACAAAGCAGAGCAAGAGGTCCAAGCCAGAGAATTCAGACAAGATCTGCGAAGACTGATATCTCTTTTACTTGCAAACGGCGTCGATCCCAATCGGCGCTTAGGACATGGAGCAGCCCCATTCTCAAAACCTCTCTTCTGGGTGTTGATGGATTTGAGAGATGTGGAATGCGTCAGGATATTGCTCGACGCCGGAGCCGATATCAAGTCTGCCTTTTTCGAAAACTATGAAACCCGGTCCGAGAGTCTCCTCCGTGTCTTCTTTGAGCTGTTTGAAAAGCCTGATCCCAACGCCTTGCAGAAATGGGATCCCATCACTATAGGTCTAGATCCTTATATGGAATGCCTGTGCTTGTTGCTAGAAAGGGGCGCACGTATTGATTCTCTTGACGGCGAGTGGTCGGCGTTGAGCAAAACGTGTGAGCTCGCTATTTCTGGCATGGGACCTGTAGCACTTGAGTTTCTTGTTGAAAATGCAACATGCAGAAACGTCGAGTTGGGGCACGTTGAGTTATTGAGAGGCCAGTGGGAGAGGAACGAAAATGTGTATGAGCTATTAGATCATCTCTGTTGCAAGTTGATCGAAGAGAGAAAGACAAGCTGGGGAAGCAATACTTGAGACACCATGAAAACAGCAGTGGGAGGCTATAACATCAGAAATAAATGATATATACCAGTCTGCTCTGTGTCTCAGAGCAAGGACATCGTCAAGAAGATTCATGTTTCTGACAGCAGCATGACACAAAGTCATTGCCTTGTCCCGCTGGTCAGCGCTCAAGGGCGGTTTCGTAATGCAAGCCTCTACCGCCATGTGTGGCCTCGAAGACAGGGGTGTCTTTGGCCGGCCCCAACAGGGTCTCAAGTCTCCATTTGGCATTGTCCATGGCGAGGCGGCGAGATCTAGCAGCGTTGAAATCTGCCTTTCGGAAGATACCGTGCTTGGGCAGCAATTTCACCATTGACTGAAGCTTGGCTGTTGGCTTGTGGGTCGAGGCCTTGAGCTACACCGGCTTGAAACAGGCTGAGGGACTTGTTGGGTCTGTATGTGGACTACAGTCTTGGGGCTACAGGGGTCCATCACAAAGAGCCTCAGGGGCCTTTTCAGCGTGTCTTTATCATCATCAAGTGCTATGAGTTCAGTAAGAATAAATCAGGATTTTCCTAATGCATTTATCCATCTTGTCTGGAGATTTTAATAATGCCGAATCTAGCACCTTGATACTGCCCATGACAGGCCGGCTGCCACACATGTGATATCACTTCTGAGACAACAAGGCACTCCCGTTTTTCAGCTTTCAAGCCCGTTCCACCTCTCTGCAGACGCCACAAGGAGGCTGTGCCTTGGTGCGGAGACACCAAAGCTGGGCAAACCAGGCTTGGCAAATCGGCAGTGCAGATGGAGGATCAGGCTGGCGGCAAAAAGCAGGCAGGCAGGCTCTCAGAGAGCCACCTTCTTCTCCTCTGACCTTCTCCTCTGATCACCAGCATCCTACAAACTCTGCATATCCCCCAAAGAGACAAAAACGAGCATGGCTGAAACCTTTGGTATTGTGACCGGTGCTATCGGTCTCGCAGGCCTATTCCAGCAATGCGTAGAATGCTTCGAGTACGTTCAACTTGGTCGCCATTTTGTGCAGGATTTTGGACGGTGCCGGCTCAAGCTTGACATCGCGAAACGCCGCTTAAACCGATGGGGAGAGGCCGTTAATATCCACGAGAACCCCCAGTTTACCGATACGGAGTCAGAGGAGATACAGGAGATCCTTGAAGAAATTGCCAACCTTTTCGATACCATCCAAAGATCATCCAAGCGCTACGAGCGTAAGGCACCAAAGGAAGAGCTCGAATGCCTCAGCGATGAAAATCTCCAACCTGTCTTCCGAGGCCTCCACGCGAGATGGGCCAAAATTAGCCCACCTAAGCAGAGAGATGTCAGTCTGATGAGGAAAACAACATGGGCGCTCTACGACGCGAAATATTTCGAAAAACTGATTGGAGAGGTCACGGGCTTTGTTGATGACCTAGAGAAGGTCTTTCCCGCCGAACAGGCCCAGTGCCATCTTGTTCAAATCGAGATCGAGGACATTAGCGATGAGGAGAGTCTGACGGTGCTCCAGGAAACCGCCAATGGAACTGACTGTCTTTTGGCTGCTGCAGTTAAGGAGAAGACCAACACCATCTCTGTGAGGAACTACGTCAGGGAAATCCAAGGCGAGGAGAATGCCAAGGTGCGGCTGGGGAACGACTGGAGCACGAGCGCGTTGAGCACCGCGATAGGACTGGACGATCGCACTCGCAACGAGGCGGGCTCTGTGACTGCAAAGGGTTCATCTACGGTGCACATTGGGAACAGATATGGTGACTAAGGCGCGTATTTAGGGCATTGGGTGGTGATATGTGGTGACTTATGTCTCTTTACTAGGTACTTTCTCAAAGTATTTGTTGTCCAACATGCTTTTCCCATTCTGCCTGAATTGAGGGTTCCGGACACTGCAATATCTTTGCGGGAGTTGCGCATTGGGCAGGCGTCAGCAGCTGAAAACTACTGGTTGCGTAATGAAACTTTTGCATGCATCGCTGCCAAGAGTGTCTGATGACTTATGAGTCCAGACTGAGGCCCGGCCAAACATGAGAAATGTCATTTCACAATGCAGTCCACGCTTTAGGAATACAAGACACCTCCTGAGTATTTTGGCCCCACCTAAATGCGTTGCGTGGATTCCCCCCATTTGACCGATGATGTACTCCCTAGGTTTATGATGTAACCCAGTTCCTGACTGGAGTGAAGTAATCATGGAATTTTGGATACGGCGTTGAATTATCGTATACCCTGTAACAATCAGTGATGAAGAAAGTTGAGAGACTCTTCAAGAGTGAATTTGAATCAGCACCAGGGGGGCTGTGGCCAAGATGTGGTGGCTATGTCAACTTGTGGCTCCGCTCACACAGCGGCTATATCATCCCCGTCATTGGGCAACAATGCAGCTAAACCAGAGCTGAACCCAGGCTGCATGTGGCTTAATTTTGGACTGTGCTCGATAATTTCGGGTATATGGATCTGATGCCTGCTAGGAATCGGGAGTCGTGCGGACAAAACTTCAACTCACACGTGTTGGAAGAGAGGGCGATCGATGACTACTCAGGCTTTTGACACACGGCCAGGTGTATCCTCACAAAAACATCACGGGGAGCCTCGCATATACAATGTCCAATACCGTCCACGCCCTGACTGCCAGCGGCAACGCCAACATTCACATCGGCAACAGGCACTATTATAACCATGGGGATGATCACTGCCTTTCCGACCTACGAACCACCGATCCACGCGATGACAAGAAGCGCATCGAGGGCGCAAGAGGCGGCTTGGTGAAGGACTCATACCGCTGGATCCTCAGCCATGACAATTTCCGAAACTGGCGCGACGATCAACATCGTAACCTGCTCTGGATCAAAGGCGACCCCGGCAAGGGCAAGACCATGCTGTTTTGCGGCCTCCTTGACGAATTGGGACCGACCACACGATTAGTAGATCAAGAAGCCAAAACATTGCTGTCCTACTTCTTCTGCCAGGCCGCCGACTCGCGCATCAACAGTGCCACGGCCGTGCTCAGGGGCCTTATCTACCTTCTTGTGGTACAGCAAGATTCACTGGCTTCGCATGTCCAGAAGAGATACAAAGATGTAGGGAAGCAACTCTTTTCGGACGAGAATGCGTGGGTGGCCCTACATGACATCTTCAACAACGTGTTGAGTGATCCAAGCCTGGAAGAGACATACATCATGATCGACGCCCTTGACGAATGCGTAGCTGGTCTCCCGGACCTACTCAACCTCATTGTCAAGAGCACATCTTCCCGGGTCAAGTGGATCGTCACAAGCCGCAACTGGCCAAGCATCGCGGAGCGGCTGGATGTTGCCACGGAAGTGACGAGTCTGAGCCTGGAGCGCAACCAAGAGTTCATCTCAGCAGCTGTCGATTCATACATTCAGCACCGGGTCCAGAAACTGGCGGTTCGGAAGAAGTACAATGACAAGACAAAGGAGGCTGTCAGAGATTACTTGTCCTTAAATGCCAACGATACCTTCCTTTGGGTGGCCTTGGTGTGTCAGGACATCAAGGAATGTTCCCGCCGCACTGTACTCTCGGCACTGAAGGCCTTTCCACCCGGGCTCGATTCCTTGTATGAGAAGATGGTAGACCGAATTCGTCGCCTAAACAAGGACGACGCCAAGCTTTGTTACGAGATCCTCGCCATCGTGACAGTTGCATATCGCCCACTCACGTTAGTCGAACTTGCTTCACTTGTGCAGCCTCCAGAGGAGGAGTCTGACGACGAGGAGTTCCTGGAAGAGGATATAGAGCGTTGCGGCTCTTTCCTCGCTGTCCGAGATGGGATAATCTACTTTGTGCATCAGTCAGCCAGAGACTACTTGAGGGACCAAGCAGCATCCACTGTGTTCCCCTCTGGCCTTGGGGTGGCCCATCACAGGGTATTCCGACAGTCGCTCATTGCCATGCAAAAGTGTCTCCGAAGAGACATCTACAACCTTAGCCACCCCGGAATATCAATCGATAACATCCAGGCGCCATGGCCAGATCCACTTACACCAGTGCGATACTCCTGTGTCTATTGGGTGGATCATGTCTGCGAAGCCCAGCCCGAAGATGATCTCCTTGACGAACGTGCGGCCCACAGATTCGTTCAGGCATTCTTTCTTCATTGGCTTGAGGCCTTGAGCCTCTGCCGGGCCATATCTGATGGTGTTCATGCCGTGACGAAGTTGGACAGGTTGCTAAGAGTAAGTCATCCTCACTCCCTTAGGCAGTATCTACCTATGCTAATATCTCTACAGACATCGCCCAGTAATTCCTTTCTCTCGTTAACCTCAAACGCACGTCAGTTCATTCTCCACAATGGACCTCTGCTCAAGGATGCACCACTCCAAACCTATGTCGCAGCCCTTTTGTTTGCTCCCGTCAGCAACACGATACGAGAGTCGTTCAAGAAGGAGGAACCACGATGGGTAACAATCAAACCTGAAGCATACCAGGTCTGGACCCCTCTGGTCGCAACTCTCGATAGTCGCGTCGATCCGGTTTGGGCTGTAGCACTGTCACCAGACAACAGGCTCCTGGGGTCTGGATCGCATGACGGGATTATCAAGATCTGGAATATGGGAACATACGAGGTTCAGAGGATACTCAGAGATCACCATAACTCCATCCGCTCTCTGGCATTTTCCCCAGACGGAAAGATGCTGATATCCGGGTCATACGACAGGACTGTCAAGATATGGGATATCGCCACAGGCGACGTCAAGCAAACTCTTCACGAGGGCGAAGATGGCGACTACAGGGTTATGTCGGTGACATTCTCACCTGATGGAAAGCTTGTGGCCACTAGTACCGACCATTCTATTCGAATCCGGGATTCCACAACAGGCAAGCTTGGCCGATTGATTAAGGGTCATGACGATAACATTAGGTCGGTGGCCTTTTCGCCTGATGGCAAGCTCATGGCCTCCGGATCACGCGATAAGACTATCAAAATCTGGGATGTTGCCACAGGCGCACTGGCACGCACCCTCAAGGGTCATAGGAGTGGGGTTGGGTCGGTAGTCTTCTCGACTGGTGGCAGTCTCGTTGCATCTGGGTCCGAGGACAATACCATCAAGATCTGGGATGTTTCTTCAGGCAAGGCTATGAAAACACTCAAAGGCCATACTGGCTCGGTTTGGTCAGTGACGTTATCGGCTGATAGCAAGCTCTTGGCGTCCGGTTCAGATGATACCAGAGTGAAGATCTGGGATGCTACGACAGGCAAGGTCAGACAGACATTCGAGGGCCATTGGAATTCCGTCCGTTCAGTGGCCTTCTCAATGGACGGCAGGCTCGTTGCATCTGGCTCAAGCGATGGAACTATCGGGATCTGGGATACCACTATCAACAGAGAACGTCGGACAGTGGGAGCACATGGCAAGGACGTTACGTCGATGGCGTTTTCGCCCAACAGAAAGCTCATGGCCTCCGGTTCATATGATGAGACTGTGAAGATTTGGGATACCGCTACGGGAGAGGTGAAGCAAACCTGTAAGGGCCACACTAGCCTCATTACATCGGTGGCATTCTCGGCCGACAATGCGCTCGTGGCATCTGGGTCGTTCGATATGACTACTATTATATGGGATGTTGGAACAGGAAAAAGGCTCCTTGTGCTAACCGGGCACACAATTTTGGTTTTCTCAGTGGCCTTCTCAAGAGACAGCAAGCTGGTGGCTTCAGGGTCAGAACTCGGTACTATCAAGATCTGGGACACTAAGACTGGTGGCATCAAGAAGACCTTTGAGGGCCATGGTCGTACACAATCGATAAGCTTTTCTAACAACGGTAAGCTTATAATTTCTGGGTCAGATGACGGAACTGTTAGGATTTGGGATCTCACAGCAGGCACAATTTTGCAGACTCTGATCGGCCATGGGGACGGGGTCAGGTCAGTGTCATTCTCGAATGATGATAAGCTTGTTGTGTCTGGATCAGATGACAAGACTATCAGGATCTGGGACATTGCCACCGGCAAGGTCATGAGGACATTGGAGGGCCACTACTCCAGAGGCCCCTTGGTCTCTTTCTCGCCTGAGCATACGCCCACAGGCTATGGCGTAAATGTCGATGGATCTTGGATCACTGCCTGGGATGGATGGGAGAGACGCAATCTGTTATACCTGCCTCCCGATATCCGGCCATCGTCGTGTGCCACTTCAGGTTCGGCTCTGGCTATCGGTTGCCCTTCGGGCCGCGTCCTGTTTTTTACATTCATTAGTCAGTATCTGTAGATTAAAGTGTCCTGTGATTTCTTTTATTCTCTAGTCACGGTTACTCCTATCAAGTATAAATGCCCTCTGTTTCATGTGTCTCTCTTCGGCCCGGTGGTCGGGTTTCATCCCGGAGGCTCGCCAGCCGAAAGGCCTGCACATGGGTGAAATTCCGACTTCTAAGGGAAGTAGCTGATCCATAGGAGACAGTCATTATTTAGAAACTCATGGCTCATAGTAGGCCAACCTACTTGAGAAAGTACTTTCACAGAACGGTACTTCGTTGAAGATGCTTTATAGGGGTCCATCAATGAGATTGGCCCGTCTTGGGTAATATCTAGCTAATAGATTTGGGCATTCTAAAAACGGCTGTTAAAAATGTAGAATAACAAAAACTCCTAGATGTATAATGATCGCTTCCGGATGATTAGGTCCCCTCATTTCACTACTGGAACTCCTCCCGGTGTTCTCTCCTCTTCTTTCATCCGCAATTCCGATTTGTTTACTTCGGCGTTTTCCAGCGATATTCAACCACCCGTAAGGGCTCTTGTGTTCCTCAATGGCCAAGACTCATTCTTCATACCATTCTCGCGGCCCCTTTCAAGGCCTATCAGCCCTCTCACTACTAGCTACACCGGACCGAGAGTCGTTGGTAAGATGTTTCGTAAGGCCATTGTCCACAACAAGTTCGTCCCTGCGGATACGGCTTCTTGGAACCCATAGGAGCTGTAGCACACCCAACAGGGCCACTCCTATACAGCTGGCCCAAGCAATGACCGAGCCTGCAACACTGTAGATAACTCCAGCGAGGGGCGGAGCTATCGTTCGCGCCAGGCATGCACCAGACATGGCGAGGCCATTGACTCTGCCCAACACCTGAGGCGAAGGAGTGGCGTCCTTGAGCAGGATGAGGCAAACAGGCATTGCTATCATACCGCAGAAACTTTGCATGAACAGCGAGAGATAGATACCGCCCGAGACCAACGGCTCATTGAGGGCTGACAGGAAGGGCATCAGCGTGTAGGTCAGGGGGTATAGCACAATCATCCACAGGAATGAGTGCCAGACGCCAACCCGTTCTACAAACACGGGGAAAATGACAGCCTGAATAAGCAAGCCCAAAGCACCATTAACGGCGAGATACGTGCCGACGTCGTGCACCGTGTAGCCGAGTCCGCCCCGCCAATCAAACCTGCCCGATGGTACTTCTGGCACATCCAGAAGATATGTGGCGAGCAGGCTACCAGCAGCCATCTGGTGATACGAGAATATCAACAGAGCAAGGATGAGCATCATGACGGTAAAATTAAACGTTTTTCCCTCATAGGCCGGTGGCTCCGTCGAGGGAGGGCGCAACTCATCCGGTAGCCTAATAGAGTGAACGGTACCAAAGGAAGAGCGGCGCAAGTCGATAAAGTCATGCTCAACGGGGAGTGGGAGACTCGACTCTGCGAATTGCGGCCGAGAGCGACTGAGTGAAGTTGAGACAGCTCTGCGAGGAACGCTAGTACGCCTCAAAGGTCGACGAAGAAGGGTGGTCTCCTCATTCGGCTCAACATCGTCGTCAGCCACCGCGGTCGATTGCTCGTTTTGATTGTGCTGATCACTGCCGTTGATCTCCTTGCTAGGCTTGGCATTGGTCTCTTCCAGAAAAAAGAGGCCCTGGACCACGGCGATAGCAACAACCGCAACAGAAACGAGGTTGGGTAGCAGATACGGGTAACGGCCGAACAACCCGTCTTCAGGGAAAAGTGACGGGTAGAATATGGCAGGTTGGGCCAGGAATCCTCCCATGGCAGAGCCAATGATGCCTCCCAACGTCCATACAAACGGCTGCACGGCATATGCTTTGGCTGAAGAATAGTTAGCATCGATCAAGCCTCCAATGTCGGTGAGGGCACCCACGCTCATGCTCTGGCAGCTTGACCATCTCGGCTACCATGGTCTGCATAACCGAGACGTTGCCATTCAGCGCCCCGCCAATGAATCGTGCCAATAGCGCAACCCAGTACTGCTTAGCTAGACCAAAAATGAGACTCGAAATGCCGACGCCTACAAGGCCAAGCAGCACGACGGGCTTGCGGCCAATGTGGTCCGACAAGAGTCCCCAGCCCATCGACGTCAACGCCTCGGCGACGGCATAGGCGGATACTAGAAGTCCAGCGTAGAAAGAGGCATCCTTGTCAGATATACCTAGATCTTTCACCATGACGAATGTGTACGCCAGGATCGAGTTGAAGGCGATGGGCTCTGAGAAACGGCATATTGCTGAGACATGCAGTTAGCGAACGGTGCGGGTGGCGTTAATGGAAAATATGGAGCATACCAAGAACTAGAAGCTGTCTCGTAGGAAATGCATTTGGATCGGAGTTTTGCTTCTTGTTCCCTGGCGACATGATCTTATTTCTTTCTCTTGCGAATGTTAGTCAAAAAGATTGAGATCTCGCTGCTGCCTCTGCCCGCGGGGTAAAAACGACCAACGGCTAATTTAGCAGAAGGATTTGCGGCCCGGAACCCGAACTCAGCCCCCACGTAGTTTGTGCACCCGTGGCTACAACTTCTAACTCTGGTAATCCGAGGAGCTAATCTTCCGGCTAGCAGCTGTTAAACTGGGTCTGTTGATCAACCTGAGACACTTGATGCACGTGATGGGTCAAAGGTGGAGGTTGGTTGTGAGAATTCGGGGGCGGGGAGATAACAAAGGAGAACCTACCCGGGAGACTCACAAAATCGAGAATGAATTACCTTCAATGAATACTTCCTGCAGGTTGGAATCGATTCTAGTTGACTTTGGTTAATACTAGGACTTGGGGATAGCTCGTAGGATTTCTAGGCCTATACTCTGTGGTCTAAGTTATTGGCTCGTGGTTTTTGAGAGTGTGTAATGAATGACACGTGGATAAGTTTCACAAGAAAGAGGAGACTCTTGTCACTACCTATTCATAAATATTCATAGCATAACTTATGAGTTCTCCATTATCACACACCATAGCTTTATTACCTACTAAGCCATTATCTTATAGGATAGATGTATGAACTTGAGACTTGTATGTATCTATATAAAGTTTATTGCTGTGTACACCGCCATTGGCTCCAGAGACCTCTAGGGTCACGTGTTGCGTCATCCATAAGGCTAATTCGATTACCAATTTCGATCCAGGTTTTCCGTCAGCTCACTATTAACATTATTATTCTCATCCTGCTTATACCTACTCAGTCTGCAACAGCGTCTCTAAGTTTATGTCATGAGCACAAGTCAATCATCATCGCAGTGCCTCAATTATCCCAAAACGCTTCCAGCTCACACGAGATGGCAATGGCAACACCAGCAACTACCGCCAGCCATAGCCACTCAGCCCTTTCACCACAAACCCCTGAAAGCTTCGGAATAAGGCGGAAACGCAAGCAAGTCAGCAGAGCTTGCGATGCATGTCGTATTCATCGCATCAAATGCGACGACAGTATACCCTGTCTCAACTGTCGAACACGTGGTAAATCGTGCAGCAACACAGGCACCAGCAAGCCGTCGTCACTTCCTCAGGCAATCAATGAGATTGAAAGGTTGAAAGCAAAAGTAAAAGAGCTGGAAAATGAATTGCAGAGAGAACGCAGTGCAAGGATCTCAAGCTCGGAAACTCAGCGAGAAGAAGCATCGCCGCCATTCACGACACGAACTCCCCAGAACACTGAGCTCCAACCACCGGCAAAGACCAAGTACTGGGATGGCATTCATATCCGACCGGCGTGTTCACCTCATGGGCAGTGGCTTGGACCCTCTTCTCTCTATTACTTTACTCATCGCCTCGGCACATTCCTAAATGCTCAAGCCGATAACATGCTGGTTCACCTTGCGAGTAACCTCGAGTTACTTGGCCAACCCAATCCGCCCGACGATTCCTCGCGTCTCTTAGCACCTCTTGCCGAGATCAATAATTCTGCTGTATACCTCACCTCTATTCAAGAGGGCTACTTCATCAGCCTTTTCTGGCAAAGTTATCACACCTCACTCTACTCCGTATTGGACGAGGCATCCTTCAACAGTCACTACCAATCACTCTACACCAACGTACCACCCGGGAACTCGAGGAGGCCTTCTGCACTTGTCGACATAGTCATTGCCATGTGCATGCAGTACGGTACTTCGAAACTGCCCCGTGGAGAGCAAGGAAACCTCACTCAAGATTACGATGCCACAATGGCTGGCAGATGGTACTATCGACGTGCTCAAGCTCTTCTCGCTTGCGAGGTTCAAAGCCCATCAATATCGACCCTCCAATGCCAACTGCTCTGCGCCGCATATGTATGCAGTGGCTCATTCCACAACATGGCCGACAGCATCAGTGGTTTGGCTGTGCGCACAGCGTACACACTGGGCCTCCATATCGACCCTTCGCCGAGTATGGCGGAATCTGAACGACAGATGAGACGACGATTATGGTGGACAGTGTTTGAGCTGGATACCCTGGTGGGCCTGAAATTGGGCCGTCCGTTTCTGGTCCAAGATTCCCACGTCATGCCGGAACTACCAAGCGATAGCCTCGACGCTGCTATACTCTCCGGCTCAACTTTTGCTCCTGTTGCAAACGATACGACTTGGTTAAGCTTCAACTTGAATCGAGTGAGGCTTTATAGAGTCGCTCGAACTATTCACAATGCCACATATGACCATGATCTGGGTGTAGCAAGTGGGAAAACGGTTTACGAATATCCGGACCGTTTGAAAGATTTGGCAAATGCCATTTACCCACTCACAAAGGGTCTTGAAGACTGGGTTAAGCAGATTCCTAGCGCACTAAAGACTGGTCGCAAGGATCAGGGCAAAGCTTTCTCAATGGACGGGTCCCTTCTGGACATTGAGCAGTATGCACCTAATTGGCTCCAACGGCAGCGGTTACTTCTAGAACTGGAGTACTGCCACATATACGCCAACCTCCACCGCCCATTCATCTCATTCACTACTCATCAAGCACCCGGCGGTCGGGGTTACGAGATGGCTGGGAGAAGCGCATCTCATGCCATAGAGCTTTGTAACATCACCCATCAAATTCTGTCTGGTACGCCACTCCTCCACGGTTGTCATCAGGTTTTCCAGTGGCAGTGGAATGGAGCCATGACACTTGTCGGTTTCGTTGTGGCCTATCCGCAACATGCACTGACTTCAGCTGCCCGGGGCGCAATCAAGCTTGCGGTATCTTCTCTGGATAGATTCGGGGCTGGCTTTGAGGCTGCGGCAAAAGCAGCTATTATCGTGCGTACCTTGTCGTCTAATCTCGACTCTGTCATGGATGGTCTTGCTGTTACTCAGAGCTCTGAGGTCAATATGGGCAACTCGTCAATCAACACGAATGCCTCGGTTGATGGTATCTCCTCTTCAAATGTCATGGCTGGAAACCGTGATATCAACCCCAACACTACGACAGACGTGGATCTTTTCGACATGGCCCTTGGGGTAGATTTCTGGGCGGGGATGGATGTGCTTTGGCCAGGCGTTTCTCTTAACGCGGGGGAAGCCTCTTTATCCACCGTGCAATGAGGAGGACAAGGTTTTCAAGAAGTGGGATCAGGCTGAGGTTATTCGAGTAACTAGGAACGATTACTGATAACTGATAAATGCAATGCCGTGCTTGATGCCGAATCTTCTCGGATTGATGACGTCAGTGAAAAGCTGAATCAGCTCAACTTCAGGAGTTATTCCTATTGGCCACTCGAGTCATGACGACGGGGAGTCTCTCCCGTTGGCTGATGCTTCAGTGCCTGTGGAGACTGTCAGGGATCACCAAGTCGGAGTCTCGGAGTTGACGCCTCAGGCCCCACAGAAGATCAAGGCTTGAGTTGCTGAGTCTTCGGGCTTGGTTAATAATGTCTCCATATTGTCTATTTCTAAGCGTTTCTCGAATGTTTTTTCCGCGGTGGCCCATGCACGTCTTGGTTGGGGTAGATAACAGGCGGTCTATGTTGAGCTAGTATAAATGGCCAACAACCCAACTTCTTCAATGACATACATCACATCACAATCAATCACATACACTTTCTTGTAACTTGATACAAGAGTCTGAACTGATCGAACACCGAGCCGAAAAGCAACATCATTGTTCTTGTCTTATCCCCCACATCCATCATGGGCTCAACACCAGCACCATCTGCCGACAGCAGACTCTTCCAGCCTCTCCGACTTGGCCCCGCCCAGCTTGAGCATCGCATTGCCCTGGCCCCTCTTACTCGCTACCGTCACGACACCAGCCATGTCGCTAAGCCCTTTGTGGAGCGATATTACTCTGAGCGAGCTTCTACTCCAGGAACCTTGATTATCTCAGAGGCTACAGGAGTCTCTATGCAGGACACTGGCGAGCGACAAGGCCCATCTTTCGTCACCGATGAGCAAGTCGCTGCTTGGAAGAAGGTTATTGCTGGCGTTCATGCCAACAAGGGTGTTTGGTTCCAACAGCTCTGGTCTCAAGGCCGAGCTTCCAACCCAGAGTACCAAAGGGAGCGAGGCTTCAAGTATCGATCTTCGAGCGCAGTGCCGATGAGCCCTGATGCTGAAGTTCCTGAGGCCATCACAGAGGAGGAGATCCAGGTTCTTATTCAGGACTTTGTTGCGACTTCAAAGCGGGTCATCGCTGCTGGCGGCGATGGTGTCGAGATTCACGGTGCCCACGGTTATCTGCTGGATCAGTTTATCTCCGACTCAGTGAACCAGCGTACCGATAAGTGGGGAGGTTCTATCGAGAACCGTGCTCGTCTGCTTCTCGAGGTCGTCAAGTCTGTCGCGGCGGAAATTGGCCCTGAGCGCGTGGCTGTTCGACTTTCGCCTTATGCTTCGTTCCAGGGAGCGGAATCTTCTGATATCGAGGCTCAGTACATCTACATCGTCAAGGAGCTGAAGAAGATTGGTGCCCTGGCCTATTTGTCCCTGGTTGAAGCCCGCGGAGACCCCGCGAAGCTCCTGATTGCCAGCGCGGAGAATTCTGCGGAGAACAGGACCCTCGACTTTATCCTCAACATCTGGGACAACCTCTCGCCTGTCGTTGTCGCAGGCAACTACTCTCCGACTTCAGCTGCCGACGCTGTGGATGGACACTATAAGAAGTGGGACGTCATCGTGGCCTTTGGTCGACTCTTTTTGTCGACCCCTGACCTGGTCTGGCGAGTCAAGAACGGCATCCCCTTGAATGACTATCATAGACAGTCTTTCTACATCAAGGGCTCTGACATTGGCTACAATGATTATCCCTTCTCTCCCGAGTACGTCAATGCCCGACGGGCTTGGGCCATTAAGGCCATGGAGGTGGCTTCGAAGTAAAACACTGGTGGAAGCAACGGATTGCTTGGTCTGAGAAATAGAGCGATAGACTATCATGAAAGCATAGCGACCTAAAGACTAGAACAGCGTTATATATAAAGAGTTTACACACTTATACCACATTGACCACTAGTAGTAGCAAGAGACTCGCAACTTGTTCCCTGTGACACATACCTAGCTAGCCAACCATAGCACCTACCGAGCGTCATTCGCTATTCGAAACGTGTACAATAATCTTTCCTCTGGTCCTTCCAGCCTTGAGTCTTCTATATGCATCCGGTACCTCATGAAAGCCAAACTCTTCATCAAGGGGTATTCGAATCTTCCCTTCTTGCATCCAGCCAAGCACACGCTCAGCATCCTCGCGGCTGGTCTTCATGGCCAAGAACTCCCACTGCCTCGGCCCACCGCCCAAGAAAGCCGGCAGTAGTTTAATGCAAAACAGCTCTTTTATGCCCTGCCAGCTAACATCGCCGCCTATTTGGACATATGTTCCCCCAGGCTTCATGTAGTGGGTTGCTGCTTTGTACAGACTCCAAGGCAAATCAACGTTGTCGACAACGAGGTCAAACGGTGAACTCCTTCCACTTTGAACCATTTCTTGAAGTGCGTCCTCGGCAGGGCCCAGGCGATAGTCAATGACCTCATCCGCTCCGAGAGATTTGCAAAGATCAACGTTGGGAGTTGAGCAGGACGTGACGACGTAACAGCCAACTGCCTTGGCGATTTGGATCTGAAATGTTCCAGTACCTCCTGAGCCACCATTCACGAAGACCTTGAAAGGTTCTTTTCCATCAGGCTTGATCGAATTGTACTTAAAGACAAAAGGGGCGATGGCCTGGCATGCCGTCACGCCACAAGTGCCTACGGTCGCAGCTTGGACTGGTGAAACGCCGCTCGGAATTGGCACACAGCCCTCACTCGTAACAAGCACATACTCAGCTAAAGCCCCTTCTGGCTGCTTCTCGAGTAGGCGAAACATGACAAGCTGGCCCACGTGGAGAGTACTGTCTGTCGTTTTGACCACATGGCCGACACCGTCGAGGCCCGGAATGGCAGGCATCGGATGAAGGTATGGACCAACGAAGGGGGTTTCGGCGAACTTGATGTCGACGGGGTTAAGGCTAACAATGGAAACCTTGATGAGGGATGATTGCGGCGGGAGTGAGTGAAACGAGGTGGGAAGAGTCACGTCTTCAAATTTCAGGTACTTCTCAGCTCCTCCAACAGCTTTGTGGAATCGCCATGCTTTCATGGTAGAAGGAATTGGGGGTGAGTTGTTCTTCATTGTGTTGGGTATTGAATCCATGAAGTCTGTGGAGTTGGGTGTGGTTGCCATCGCGGGGAAGTCAAGGTACTGAGATGCACGTTCCGTTAATCCAAGAATAACAATCTCACAAAATGAGAGCCAGTGTGCTAAAACTTATATAGACAATGAGCTCTGATGACCTGGTGACTTCGGAGGGTTCGGAAGCTTTCGAAATATGAGGAGACGCAAACTTCCGAATGAGCTCTTGGCTCGGAGGGTTCCTTCAGGGGTGGTCTAACTAGAAAACATTCACTTCTCTCATGTCTAGATGCTAGCTCTAAAATGTCATGCGTGTATTGAATCCCTAGTCTAAAAGTAAAACCCATGATCTAAAAGTGTATTAAAAGAAGAAAAACCCATTGCCGCCAACCCCAAGTCATAAGCTCATATCAAATGCACACCTTTTCTGCATCATTTCTTCTCTAGCAGGAGTAGTAAACGTCATAACCGTTGTTCTCGTCTTGGCCGAGGTAAACCTTGGAGCCGCTGTCTCCATTCCTAAGGGAAACCTTGAAGTAGAGGGTCTCAGCACAGTCAACGCCGCCGGCATCATGGGTGGCGGCGTCGAGATCGTCCCAATTGGCAAAGTCAATGCCTCCGACGTTCTTCTCAGCGTCATCAAAAGGCTTGATGAAGTTATAGGTAACATCCTTGCCCTCTGGGAAGCCCGACAGCTGCCTCACGTCGGACACGCCATCGCTGCCCCTAACAATGAAGACTCGGTCAAGCTTCTCTCCCTGCTTCCAGCCGAAGCTGCAAGTCTTGGCTCCGGCGGGAATTCCGCTAAAGACAACCACCTGCTCAACTTGGGAGGCGCCATCATAAGATTCCAGGCGGACACCCGAAACTGCAGGCTGGGCAACTTCGGGGTGCTTGGGGAAGATGTTGTAGATGGCCGAGGGCGTGATGACTGTCTGTCCCGACCCAGAGGGGCATTCGCTTTCCGGCTTGTCGGGAGTTGAGGGGTTTGAGGGGGTTGGCTCAACGCAAGGATCTTTAACGAAGCATCCCTTGTGTTCACCGCAGTGGAAGAAAGATGTGCCAGTAGCGCACTCGTTTGAAGGTTGCCGGGCAGCAATGTTAGCAGGCATGGCGTTGGTCACTGCCATGAGGCAGGCCAATGAGGTGAAGATGTTGTTGATGAGAGGCATTTTGATGTTGTTGGGGGGAGATTGGTCAAGAAATTGGATCTTATAATTAAAGGGTTGAATGGCAGTGAGAGTAAGTTGATCACTGTAAACTTGGTTGTTGGTGATGTTGAGTGTTTGATGGTGATGGCGATGGTGTGAGATGATGGGGAAAAGACTCAACTTCGAGAGCTGATTTCAATACTTATATCTGTATTTGTTTCCCCGATCTATCTAGATTAGTTCAGATGTTCCGATGCCATCTCACTAAGACTCCGCCGAGACTACCCCAGTTTACGAGTTTACGATCCTCTCACCTGCCAGCCAAGCCCTCAGCCTTGATGACATTCAGCTGAGGGCCGGGCTTGGACGTGGGTGAGCGAATCACGTAGCTGCATCTAATCCCTGTTCGCTGTTGTGGCAGTGCGAAGGAGCCTCGAGTGGAGTGGGTTAATCACACACGGAGCCTATTTATGGGTGACAGCTCACCTCAGCATCTACATTTTGAGGCTTTAATTCAACTCTTGGCAGATCAGGCTCGGTGTTAAGAGCCGCAGCCAAATTTGTAATGGCACAGCCTTTATTTAAGCAGTGGTGACATTTATTTTTAGGTGGAGAGCTAGTAATAAGCCAAGTCAACATTACACAGATCAAAAGCAACATCATTTATTGCCCTCGCGTCAATATTCAGTCACGGGTGTAACGTTGGATCTCGGTAATGACTGGTCCTTCTTTCACTGTGTCAGGGTAGGTGGTCTCGAGTCTACCTCGAGGCTGGAAGGCTTTGCAGACTCGAAGGTTACTGTTGATCTTTTCCAGGCAGGATACGTATGCACAGCACAAGGGCATCGAGCATAAAGCGTGGCTGGGGCGTTGTGGTTGCATGAGTCTGCTAGCAGGTACCTGCCCTTGATAGCGTCTATTATGCCCGATCAAGTACTTCTGATCAGCAGTTCATCGCTTCTGATTCGCTGTTGGTATTGGCCCACCACCTCCACCACCTCAAAAAATAGCAAAGTTCTCTGAATTGAAAATAGTCACGTCGTCAATTGCTACTGGACTCAGGATGCGCTCATGATTTTGTATTTAATCGAAACCGCTTTCTTTCTTCTTTCCCTTAGGCTCTTGATTTTATCTCTAATTTTGGCGATGTGTGTGCTGACTAATCGCGGAAAATACCATCTTTCCCAATTTCAACTTCCATCAAGCCACAGTCATTGTCTTTTTTGCAAGGATTCTCTCCAAAATCGCTTCCAGTGGGATTTCACTGTGCAGTCCCTGGGTATCCCAGAAAAAACGGATGTTACCTCTCTAGGATAATAGAAGAAGAGTTATAGGCTGAATGGTTCCTTGAAATCATGTTTATCAAGAGAATGTCGAGTGTCTCTAGGGTAGCAAGGAATGGCCTCGGTTGTTCACGGATAAGAGAGCACGTGAGATGGCCTTCATTTATCCGCCTCCCCTCACGTCAACGCGTAGCTTTTCCGTCCCCTTTTCCGCCTCTCCATTAATCTTCCACCATCATCGCTTTCAATGGAGGAAACACCTCATATGATGCTGTCTCCCTCTAGCGAGGCCAGGGGAGGTATTGAAACAGATTCTGAGACGCGCTCTGTCCTCGTCGCAACTCCATCCGAGCTCACATCGAGCAGATCCAAACGCAGCAAGTCATCGGACAGAGTCGATCATCAGGGCCCTGGGCCTCGCAAGGTCCGCAAAGTGAGCCGGGCATGTGACTTTTGCAAGTCGAGAAAGGCCAGATGCACTGGGGATCTACCATGCGCGAAATGCGTATCTAAGGGCAGAGAATGCTCCTACGATGCGAAGTACACCCGCGGTCGACCACCAACACCACCTCCAGCAGAGACGCGCCCAAAGAGTTCGTCTACGGGCGCTTTTCCATCTGTCGAAGATACATCCAGGCTCAACGCATTACCAGCTGAGCGTGGACCCACCACCGCCGTTGGTGATGACCTTGGTCTCTTGCGTCGACCAAATGAGAGCACTGTGGCATCCAGATCATCACCAGAGTTGTCCATAGCGGAGATCCAGGGGCAAGTGTTTGACTCGAAATCAGGCCTCACATTTATCCAACGAGCCCTGAAGCGCCTTTCGGCTCAGAATAAGAATGGTGCATCGGGCAAAGCTCAACCCCTGTCCGACAACCAATCGTTAATGACGGCGGGTGACAAGCCATTGCCCGAGTTCCCCGGTAATGGCTTATCCACCCTTCCAGACCTTGTCGAGTGCAACAAACTTCTTGCACTATACTTCGAAGTATGTATCGCAACTTACCGTATGTTGCATCGGCCGACAGCCGAGAGATGGCTGGCGATTCTGAAGAGGAATCACGACGAGGGTCGAGCCTTGTGGAGCGACATTGGTCGGGCAGAGGCGGCCATTGTATTGGCTGCACTGGCTATTGCTAGGCTCCATCAAGAGAAATCCAGGGGTTTCTTATCGGTCGAAGATGAGAGCCAGGCACTCAGAGCCAGTGATGAGCTTTACGTCCTGTCAACTCGTTTCGCAGACGACGAAGCAGGGTTTCCGAGACTCGAGGCAGCGCAGGCCAAGGTCATCCACGTCCTGTACCTACTCACCACATCACGGTTCAATCGGGGCTGGTATGTCTTTGGTAACGCGCTTCATCTAGTTACAGCCCTTGGTCTTTACCGTCGTGGCAACTGGAAGAGAGGAAGAAGCTCGCGGAATGACTACATTCACACGCAATGTGGTATTCGCACTTTCTGGACCGCGTACATCGTTGACAACTACCTTGCCGTAATATTCGGGCGGCCGCGGCACTTTCACGACGAGGACATCAATCAAGATCTTCCAGAGTCAGTTGACGATGAGGCAATGACTGTAGATGGTCCCATCAATGCGGCCGATACCCCCAAAGATTGCCACATTGATGCCCTGATATTTCACGCAAGGTTAGTCTCTTTAATATCGTGCCTACCTATGTATAGTACTTGGCTCTAACTGTCAGCCACAACTAGAATCGCCAAACTTGTTGGGTCAGTCTCTCGAGAGGTATATACTTTCCGTGCCATCTCGGAAGCTGAGCGAGTTTCGGCTGCCAACCGGCTCATTCAACGTGTTCGAGAATGGCATGCGAGTCTTCCGATACACCTTGGGTCTATACCCCCGTCTATGCTCATTCCTAGCTACCGTCGCCAAGCGACAGTCTTGAGGTTGGCACACTTGCATGCCATTTTACACGCCAACCGACTGTTCCTTCTCGGCAGCTCGTCCAACACACATGAGAGCCAAGTCACAGAGTGCATCAAGGCTGCAAAGGCGGTGTTGGAAACGGTCGATGAACTGGCTCAAGAGGGTCCGATCTTCCATGCCTTCTGGTGGACGCACTACGTAACCTTTTGCGCTTTGGTTGTCACATATGTGTGGGAGATTCGACAACTTCGGATGAAGAATTCGAACTCCAGACATGATCGATCCATGTTACTTGAGTTGGCTGAAAGATGCCATACCCATCTGGCTAAGGCTACTGCCTCTAACTCACCAAGCCGACGATACGCCGTCATCCTAGAGGAGTTTCGGACCGTAATAGCCGATTCAAACGCTCGTACAACGGCATATCCTCAAGAACAGACGGCGGAATTGTCAGATATGGGCCAATGTGACCTACCAGAACACGCACTAGTAGTGGGCGCAATGCCAGGACAAGAAGTCGACATTGGGAACGCCTCTGTATTCAATGATGCCCATTTGTTCAGTCAGTGGAATACAACAGACTGGTTGGATATTGATTCTTCAGTGAGTTAACTAAACCATATATCATCGTACACGGAGACCTTGCTAACGTATTGTCTAGGCTTTTTGGATGCAAATGGATACCGCTGAGAGTATGCTCTGGCCAGATATGGGCTAGGGGTTCCAATCCGATCAAGCACTTTTCTTGCTTTCACGAGTTCGAGGCCTGACTGATAGGTCAAGTGAATGTTTGGCAGTGTGTAAAATTTAGGTACCTGGTTTTGTATTTATTGTCGCTATCAGAGAAAGGAGTCCTGCAGGCCAAATGCAACCTGATTTTAGCACCCCTTGCTGCATCATCATCGCGACATTGGTGTTTATACTCTGCCAAGGTATTCAATTACCCAGGGGGTTAGGTAAGCAAGTTACGTACCCCTCTGTTCATCACAGAGGGGGCATCACAACCTGTAACTGCGTCACTGCTGTAACCACCTTGAGCAACTTGATTGCCTCATTTCTCCACCAATTGAAGTCCGAATAGCTTCAAATTAAAGCTAGACTTTATACTTAATTGAAACCAACTATGCCTCGATTTTCAAGCAAAGAGAGCGCCGCTGCGGCGCGTGCGGCGCATGCGTATCTGTCGGGGGCATCAACCCCGCCGACAACTCGGGCGAACCCCTCACCAGGCAAATACAGCATCAAGGAGACAGCCGCGCTCCACCACGCAAATGTTGCCCTGACTAAGAAATATATATATCTATTGAAAGCTGGAAAGCCGCTGCCTTCTGACTCTAAAGGAGGGACTCCGACGGCGCTGACTGGGCCGGAAGAACGGGCTTTAGTGACCTTCATCCGTTCAGTTGAAAGGAGTGCTTTTGCGGTATCAGAAGCCTCTATCCGTAACTACGCCAGTTTCCTTCGAGGACACCGATTTGACAACCCACAGCCTCCTGTATCAGTATCGTGGGTACGGAGGTTTAAAAAGCGTCATTCAGAGCTCCAATATAAGTCCCCAAAAGTCCAAGAAGTCACCCGTGCCGCCGCCGAGACTGATGTACAACATATCGACGATTGGTTCAAGGAATTCGACGCCCTGATGCGCACCCTTGGTATCCAAAAGTGCGATCTTTGGAACTTTGACGAGACCCCCTTACAAATTGGGTGGGTAAATGGTAGTATCAAGCTCTTTTCTACGCGGATGAAACGGAACACACGGACGACTGTCTTTCAGCCCGGGAATAAGGAGTCTTTGACCTCTGTTGATGCAGTCAGTGCAGCTGGGAAGTCAATTCCTTCGTTCCTGATACTCACGGCGAAGGTATTATTAGAGGAATATACCCGGGCTGATATTGACGGCCGGGTTGTCCTCACATTCACTGATACGGGTTTCAATAACTCTCATCGAGCTGTCCAGTGGCTGCAACACTTTAACCGCTATTCCTTTGCCGCCAGCGAGACCTTCGCCGGATCCTCTATTGAGGAGTGGTTTGGCTACCCAACGACTATCACGAAGTCCCAATTTGACGAGGAATATGCATTCAAACCTCGCTACCAAGTCAAGAAGGCTCCGACCTCGTACCGGCTCCTCCTGATGGACTCCTTTTCCGCTCATGAGGATCCTGAATTCCTATGATATTGTGGGATGTTTGATATTATCCCGTACCGGCTCCCAAGTCATATGAGCCACCGTCTGCAACCTCTTGACGTAGGAGTCTATCAATACCTTAAGAATGAGCAAAAGTGCGCACTCAGGGACTTCATGATGGCCGGCGGTCTCCAGATCTCTCGATTCGACTTCCTGAACCAGTGGAATCGGATGTATGCAGCCGCCTTTAAGGCCTGTCACATATATGTCGGGTTCGAGAAGTCAGGGTTATCCCCTTTCAACCCAGAAGTCATCCTAGGTCCGCTCCGCCGGCACGCTGAAGAGCGAGACAAGCCCCTATTCCCAGTCAAATTAAACAGGGATAAGGTGACCCCGAGGAGGGTCAAGAAGCAGCTCTCTGATCAGTCTATTCAAAGGTCTATATCCCTCCTTGATACACCAACGAGGAAGGTTATCCGGCACGCTGAAGCGTGCATTGACTTCGCCATTGTGACTCAAAAGTCACATGAGAATAGCCTCGCTTTACATAAGGAACATATACGACTTGAGGGACGCCGCACACGAAGTCGACGGCAAATTAAGGGCGTCAAAGATGGTGCCTTTAGTGTAGATGAGTTAAAGTGTATGGTTGAAGCACGAGAGCGAGAGGATAAGAGACTAGAAGAGAAGAGACTGACCCGGCAGCAGAATAACCTCCTTCAGAGCCTTCGTGACGATGGCCGGCCTCGTCTCCGTGGCGGCGCGGCCGTGAAAGCAAAGCGGGAAAAGGCAGCGGCAGAAGCGGCCGCGATGGCTTCACAAGAGGCCAACCGCCAGAGATTAATAGATGAGTCGGAAAGGGATGTCCTAGAGTATCGCCGGCGCCTTTGGACCGAAGCTGACGAGGAAACCCGGCACTTCTACTATCGAATTTGGAGCCGGCACGTTCTTGAAGCTATTCCCGAGGCCGCCGACTATTTGGCCGACCTTAACAAGGCTGCAGCCTTGCGAGAGGCGGCAGCCTCGCGAGGTCAGCTAGATAACATACCTGAAGATGTTCTCTCGGTATCATCGGGAGACTTGACGCCGCTGTTGCCCGGCAACGAGGAGGAGGATCGTGACGATATTGAGATCATCATGAACACACAGATCGAGGGATTCACACAAGCCTCTTTGAGGGCCGGAAGAGGGGATTATTCGCCTGAAAATAGCGATCAGGAAGAGGATCTATTACGCCGAGAAGATTGGGGCGGATTCGGCTATGATCGCGTGCCTAATAACTACTCGGATGACGAGAGGGTCGAGGCGTGCATTGTGGTGGCCGGGATGACAATTCCCGTGCCGCAGTCGCGGGCCCGAGACTAGGCATCACATTCATTTACACACAACAATGTGGGAATAGCTTCCAGAAGGTTCAAATTACTAGAATCAATTGATCAGATGAAGCGCTTTTTAATGATTATCTTTTTATTGAAATTAGCCTTTAATTGGTGGAGACATGAGGCAATCAAGTTGCTCAAGGTGGTTACAGCAGTGACGCAGTTACAGGTTGTGATGCCCCCTCTGTGATGAACAGAGGGGTTGCGTGGGGTCTCATACACGCACAGCCGGCTGTGCGTTTAATATCACGTGACTTTTGCGCACAGCCGGCTGTGCAAATAAGATTCGTTATGTAAGCCCAAAAAGGGGTAACATACTGCAAATTGGTGCAATTTGGGGCCCCAATTCAACGATCAACAGCTTCTGTGACATCAATTTAACTTGCCGCGCCTTCTTTCAGCTATGATGAACCCAATTGGCGTTCCCACTGCCTTCCCTGATGATGCTATGCCTCCTGAAGGCCAGTATAGCTCACGGGAGGAACTATTCGCCGCAATCAATGCTTGGGCAGCGCCTCGAGGCTATGCCTTTTCAGTCAAGACCTCTTGGAAGACCCCCAATGGAAGAACTGGGGTTATCTACAACTGTGACCGCGGAGCAGGGAGACCCCCTAAGGTCAATCCGACGAAGAAACGGAAACGGAAGACCACAACACGCCGTACAGGATGCACCTTCTCTATCACAGCAAAGGAGAGCCTATGTGGGACTATGTGGAATCTCACGCATCGCCCCGGGGCCGGCTTTGATCAACACAATCACGAACCAAGCTTCAGTGAACTAGCACATCCAGTACATCGTCAGCTATCATCCCCAGATAGGTTAACGGTCCATCAACTCAGCAATGCCGGCATTGAGCCAAAGAAGATCCAATCCTATCTACGCATGAACACAGATACACTTACTACACAGCAGGATATCTACAACTACATTGCACAAGGCAAGCGAGAGCTTGCTAAGGGTCAAAGCAACATGCATGCCTTTGCCAATAAACTTAAGAATAAGGGCTTCTGGAGTCAGATACGCCTTGACGAGAGTGGCAGAGTCACATCAGTGTTATTTACACACCCAAGCTCATTGAGATACCTCAAGCTATACCCTGAAGTACTTATCTTGGACTATACATACAAGATCAACAAGTACAGCATGCCTCTTCTCGATATAGTTAGTATTGATGCTTATCAACGATCCTTCTATATTGCATTCGCCTTTCTTAGTAGCGAGGAAGAAGGGGACTTCATCTGGGTCCTTAAACGGTTGCGGTATATATATAAGCATTATAGAGTAGCCCTTCCATCTATGATACTCACAGATCGCTGCCTAGCTTATATGAATGCTGTTTCTTCTCCTTCTTATTTCCCTGAGTCAGCCTTATTGCTATGCCTATAGCATATCAATAGAGCGGTCCTAAGCCATTACAGGCCTAGATTCACTCGAGATAAAGACAATACTCAAGGGCAAGAAGAGTAGGATGCGTTCTTCAAGTCTTAGCATCAGATTATGGCCTCAACGACTAAGGATATCTACAACGAGAGGCTTGAGAAGTTCAAGCAACGCTACACCCCTGACCACCTCAACGAGGTGGGCTACATCATAGAGACTTGGCTAGACCTCCATAAGGGGAAGTTTATTAAGGCCTAGGTTCATCAACACCTTCACTTCGATCAATTCATCACGTCACGGGCCGAGGGCATTCATCAGCTCATCAAATCTCACATAAAGACCTCAGCAATTAACCTTTTTAGGGCCTAGAATATCATCAAGCTCATCCTATCAAACCAGCTCAACCAGCTCGAGGGAAACCAAGCTCAGCAGCAGGCCAGCATACCTATTGATATATCTAGGCCACTATATAGTAATATCCGTGGTTGGCTATCACATGAAGCCCTGCGGCTGGTTGATGCTCAACAGCAACGACTATTAAGAGAATATCCTACATGTACAGGAGTCACTATGAGGACTCTTAGTCTGCCCTATGCTCATATAATTCAGCCCTTACTACAGCAAGATCAACCCCTTCTGCTACATCATTTCCACACACATTGGCTTCTCCATCGCCCAGGAACCCCCCGGCTTATCATTGAGCCTCACAAGCAATTTGATCGCCTAGCAGCTAGTTCAAAGCTTCCACCAACAAGCACACAGCGTGAGCCATATGCATCTGAACGTGTTAAGAAAGCACTACAGCGAAAGGCACCGCCAAAGTGTTCGAAGTGTGGTATACGAGGCCATAAGATGAACTCTAAAGCATGCCTTTTGCGTTACGACGATCTATTGCCGGCTCCTACTCAAACCTCTACAACAACACATATCACAACACATTCAACCACTCGCTCTATGACCCGCTCGCTATCCCCATCAGGGTCCTCTATGGTATCTAAGACTATAGCCTGCACAACAACACATACAACAACACACACAACAACTCAGGTACTATCTCCTCCGGTAACTAGATCAGCAACTGTTGCTGCAGGCGGTGCAAGAGAGAAGTCCCCATTGCGAGGTGATCATGCCCTTGTTATCTTCCAACGATACAAAGAGGCACGAGAGGCCTGGTATGCTACATTGACCAGGAGAGCTCAGAAGACCGATCAACTGTACCGGAAGGCTATGAAGCTGCCTCAGAAATATGCAAAACGTGAATATGAATGGTGCCTTGATTATAAGCAAATGGGGCCCCGTTGCCAGGAGGAATCAAGGGACTGGAGGCAGGAGGAGATGATGAGTTATATTGATTGGGATAAAGCTGAGACCAAGCGGGTTGAGGAGAGGATACAGAAAGAAATAGATGAGCAGCCTTTCTCACGGCACAGAGGAGTCAAGCATGTCTGGGAGGCTACTAAGAGAGATGTTAGATTACAAGGGGGGGGGCTCTAGTGGCGGGAACCCCCTTAAGAACATTTGCAGTATTGACGGGAAAGGTAAGTGGTATATATCATTCGAATCAGAAAAGAAAGGCAAAACTCCGAGTATATATACCGTGACCCAATGGCTCGATTTAATGGGGTTGTGGCCGAGTTCACATATAGGGTCAAGTAGGCTGTGTAGTTAGAGATATAGTAAGTACTAAAGCAATGTATTCATTGAGCTATTCTGTGACCTCACTGCCTCCCTTGCCAAATCCACTGAACGTAGCCATTTCGATCAACATTGCACACATGAATCCCCGACATCTCTGCGGCGTAAAGGGCTGGTTGATAGTTGGTCATACCTACAGCTAGAGAGGGCCAATTCACGCCCGGGACGCCAATTGCCTGTTGGCGATAGAATTGATCCATCTGCTGCAGATGGCCTCGAGTCCACATCGGATTTACACAGTGTGGCTAACAAACCGACCGTCTAACAGACCGTCTAACAGACCACCTTCAGACCGCAGTCCAACCGACCGGCCATTCTCATCAGACCGACAGACCAGAGCTGCCGGTCGGATTAGGTGGTCTGAGTCGGTCTAGGTTAGTGGTTTCCAGGCGTCCCATTGGTCGACTCAGCCTTCAGGTACCCGTGCCATCCCCACTTGTTCGGCCGTTCGAGTTTCGCAGTGCCAAAATAAGTGGGGCAGGGCAAAGGTAGCCAATAAGAGAATCAGCTAATCAGACCAAGACCGACCAGGCTGCTGGCCCAGACAGACCTAGACCGACAGACCGAGAGTCTTGGTGAACCCAGACCGACAGACCGAAGGGGCCGGTCTAGGTCGGTCGGTTTGTTAGCCACACTGGATTTACATCAGGGTCAGTGCGCTGTTGCCGTTGGGTTATCTAATGACCGAGGTACCCAACATGCCACTCTCCTTCAAGGTGATACCCCCCCGGCCGTGGTACCTCGCGAAGGGCATCACCTTGAGGACCGTATACGGTATTCCGTGCTGCTACCAGGGCTTGAGGGTTCTGCCTATACAGGGAATTAGGGGACCTTGGGTCACTTGGCAAGGTATGCTGATTCCACCAATGCTAATATGTCATTGGGTTCTGCATTGGATGACCCATACCACGCGGCGGTTACTGTTGATTGTTGGCAATAGGCTGAAGAACAAACTATTGGTTCTGATTAGAGGCGTAAGTTAGCCCAGGTTGCGTTGATGTTTGGGGGCAGATATAGATAGGCACATTCTGAGCGTTATTTTAGTTGAAGTAAGACATCTTGACGGTATCTTGCACTGCATTGATATGAAAATGAACAGCTTCCTACGAGGGAGAAGCCTCTGCTTTATATACTATGATATATGAAGTGATTCACTCGTACCGTAGCGCCTATGGTGTCATGAGAGGCATTATGTCTTCTTCACCGGTCCTAGGCAGATGAGAATAGATCATATATAATGTATTGAAATGACTATAGCTACATATGATCATCTCATCTCTCAATGGCGTGAATCAATGCTATTTCAATTGATCAAGGGGTGACCCTCTTACTCACACACACATGTATCGGGCTTACATAACGAATCTTATTTGCACAGCCGGCTGTGCGCAAAAGTCACGTGATATTAAACGCACAGCCGGCTGTGCGTGTATGAGACCCCGGGTTGCGTAAATCGATTACCTAATCCCCCGGGTATCAAACAGGAATGGCTTATGCTTTCCCGAGAAGCCGGTATGTTTAATTGGCTGTGGAAACCAGGGCCTCTTCCGTGGATGTACGGAGGGATGGAAGACTACAGGGTCCAGATCCTGTGTCTGAGGGATGCAATCATGCAAGGGAGAAGTTATGGAAAAAAAACGAGTCATCCCGTGTTATTAGATCTAACAGGTCATTTGACAACTGACTCTTTAGTTGTTGGCCGCACGCGGATTTAAAATCTCACACACCCTGGGGCGGAATCCCGTCCTCTTCTCTTGATTGATTCGTCTGCTAAGCTGTTGGCTTTCACTGAACCATCGAATCCTGGCATGAGGCTTAAGGTTCCAACGCAAAGTGAGCTCTTTGTGTGGTCTTCTGTGACAGAGTTTATTGAGGTTCGGCTCCGCTCCCTGCTCCCCGTTTGTTCAGGAACCAAACCTCGGTTGCTGATGAATGAGCTGGGAAGGGAGACGTAACTGAAAACACGTGTTGAAGAACCCGTTCCCATGACTTAATTGACAAGTTCCGTTCTCATCCTTGCGATGCGAACACCAAGGTAATTGGGATGCAGTGGTTTCTCTTGGCTGAGACATGAAGTCTGGCTTTTCGTTACAGCGGTGCGGCACTGCCCAGGCCTCAACTGAATAGCCGAGTTCTGGACAACCCGAGTTTCGTACGCTGTCCCTGCTTTCAATACCCGACAGAATCTTTGTGGTTGAGAGGGGAACGTACGAAAAACACCCCCCTCGCTTCGCCAATTTTAACCGTTTGCGGTACGCAACAGTTTGGCATGCCCCTCTCTTTTCAAGGAATATTCATGATCTGGCAGCCATGGCGCAAACCATCCAAAAGCCACGCCATAACCTTGACGTATTGACACCACATCTCAACACACCACATCAGAATGTCACTCTTCAGCTTTCGCTACATTCGGATTAGTGAGGATGATGGATGCTGATGTTTGCAGGGCGGTAACTTTCACCATCGCGAGATGGTGACGCTGACAGCAGCGGGACTGGGATTTGTCGTCGGGGATAATTGGGAAACTCAACGTCTGAAACCTTGTTTTGACGCCACTTATCAAATCTCAAGCCAGTCAAGGTTGCTTATTTGTTACTGAGACGACCCAAAGCTCGTGAAGATGGTCTGCTTTACCACAGAGTCGAGGTCACTGCACCTTTTGTGAGTGATCGCCGACCACCCTTTCGGTTGTCCCTTGGCCGTCCCACCACAACAAACAGAGTCTAGCTGTCACGTTCCTGAGTTGTTGTGATACAGACAGTTTCATGCGGAATTTTTTCCTCGGGAGATGTACATGGAATGCTACTCTTTTTTGAAGCAACCGAGATAAGGGTGAGTGCGCGAGTGCGGGAGGGCTCAACTCACCCCCTTGGGATCTCCGTTGGCGACTTTAGACCCTAGTTTGCGGAAGAGTTGGCGTAGAAATACAGCGGTCTTTCAACAATACACTGTGATAACGCGAGATTCCAAGTCCGTAGAAGCCCACCCGTTCATAGCTGGCAACCGTTTAGCTTTCACACAAGACTCCACTCCCCTCCCGTGTTGTTGGCTACGGCCTCTTGATGGCTGCACGGCGACCTTCAACTGCAGACCGGGCTTGAAGTTTAAGGCTGACCAACCTGTTGCCAAGTTCGGCTCATGGCAAGATTGAACGTTAAGTCTGCCCACCTGCCGGGCATATAAACTCCAGAGCGTTCCTGGGTAAGACAGGGGAACTCTGACATCCATTTCCAAACCATCGGTTTCGAGATCAGATTTACAAACACCATTGTTATACCATTCTCTCAGAACTCAACTTAGCACGAATTACCTCCAAAATGCCGGAAGAAAAGACCGGGACAACTCACAAAGTCTGTTCGGTGATTCTTCGCCTGGGTCAAATTGCCTGCGCTACCATCGTCATCGGCATCCTCGCCCGGTTCAGCTATGTCCTCACCATCGCTCAGGTTCATGAAGATGGCCGCCTAGTCTATGCAATGGTCGTGGCGGGCATGTCCATCGTCTACTCGTTCCTGCTGTGCCCGCCTTTCAGAAACCTATTCCTGAGTTTCCCATGTGACTTTATCTTGTTCATCATGTGGCTTGTGGCGTATTGCCTGCTCCAGACTGTATGGCCCCTCTCATACAATAATCGTGTTACTTTGTTTGAACAACGTTGATTGCTAACTGTGATCGCGATTCATAGAAATCCGGGACCAACACATGCTCCTCCACGTGGTATCGTACCTACTGGGGTTACTACTGGGGCAGGTACTGGCGTGTTGGTCGCCCTGGAGTTGTCAACGTCGGCAGAGCAGGATGCGGACAGTGGAGAACAGTCCTTGCATTCTCTTTCATTGCTTGGTTTGCGTACCTACTTAGTGGGATTCTGGTAAGTTTTACTCCTTTACACACTCCTTTTGCTCTCTATGAAAAGAGCCATTTTCTACCTACAACCACCACAACCTTTCACACTCACTGCTTCTCTCAAGTCGTTGTTTACCTTGACCTTCGGATGACCACTGACATGAGTACTATTAGGGAATATACGTCTTCCACAGGTACATCAAAGTCAAGGAGACAACCGCCGAGTTCAAACACCAGGCCAAGAAACACTTGGGGTAAGTTGAAAATACAGACTGATTTATATGTGGAGCTTGAACTAACTTTGGTTGTACCCAAGCCGTGACTCTCAAGAAAACGACTACGGAAGACCGGTTAATGAACCACGCGGGGCTGGAGTTGAACAGCCTGTTACGCAGGTGTCTCAGGTCTAGCAGAAAGAAGGTCTACTGGGAAATTCCTTGGGCACATGTGCTATAATTGGACGTTGCTGAAGGATGTTAAGTCCGTAGGACCTGTAGGCTGCTTGTTTGTGTGACGGAAGTTGGGAAGAACTGGCTGTAATCACTAGGGTACCAGATTGGACTGGGCTTCACAGATGAAGAAGATTAATCGAGAAATTCGGTGGCTCTTTGCTCCCTTTGGTAATTCGAGGTGCTTGACCCAGTGTTAGTTCATTCCTCTATAGATGGTTGAGACTTAACGACCAAAAACCACGATCATAATGGATAGGCATCCTTAATAATCTGCAACTTATCAAGATCCACTCCAACACTCCCCTCCCATTTCCCCAAAGTAAAACCCCCCTGAGAGGGAACCTTTGTCGGCAACCAAACCGAATCATTCTCAGGATCAGGTAAATACCTATACAAGATCCGACTATTCCACGGACTCGTCAATAGCAACTTGAAACAACATCCATACTCCGCCGTCCATCTCAAAACTTCCATTAGCTCCTTGATCAAAATCTCGCTTTCCTCGCGCAGGGACTTGCTTTCTTCGAATACGGTCACGCCGTCGAGGATGCAGAATACCATTCTGTGGTGCGGGAGCTGGCCTATGAGCAGGTGAAATATTTCGCAGAGGTCTGTGATGCTGACGAGATTCGCTGCTTGGATCCGGCGGATGATGTGTGGGCTGAAACCCGGGTACGAGAGGAGCAGCTGGATTATCAAACTTCGCATCATGCCGTCGGCACCAAAGTCGGGATCGTTGGGCCGCGAATGTGAACCGCAGAAAAAAGAAACCACCAGCACGGAGCTTGTGTGATCTTGCTCTTTGAGCACAGAGGCCTGGATTGAATCGATCAGTTTCGCTGCAATGAAAGATGTTGACTTTTGGTTCCGAGGCGCATTGAAGTTGAGGAACATGGCGGACGATGTGGCCTTGGTGATCCAGCTCTGAAGCTTTCGGGACTGCATGGCGGCAACGAGACGGTCTTGGTCGGGTCGTGGAATTTGCCATACCCCGTGTAGGTTAGCGGCGATGTCAGTTTGGATCACGGAGCTGTCATAGTCAAACTCAGACATGAGGCCCTCTCGCACGCGGCAGATGTCTAGCATATATTAAGTCAGTTTCAGAGATGATAGGAAGATTAGTAAAGAGTACCTTGTGCGAGCTTCGTCTCGGACTTTGCTCTGCGGATGGGAAGATTTGGACCTCTTACTGTTCGATGATCAAAACAATCGCACATCAATAGTTTAGGATGTCCAACTTACTATCTTGTGTCCTCGGATTCATTCTTGAGTCACTACTCAAGAACCGGGCCAGGATGTTACTGATATTCGTTACCTGCCACTCCACTCGTCCCAGTCCAACCTGTAAATCGCCCGCCTTCGACTGAAATTCGGCTTTAAAATGCTGGAACTCGTCGCTAGATTTTTCAAGGTATCCAACGAGCTCCTTTTGGTTTTCTCTCTCTTGGATGCTTTGTGCCTGCACCGTTTGGGATATGGTTTGAATTCTCTCATAACTGCACAGGCAGGCGGCGCTGTTGAAACGATCGGCCAGCTGGCGGACCTCGTCGAGAAGGCCGTCCAGCTGGCTGGCGTAGGAATCCTGCTGAAAGATGCTTTTGAAGAGAGTTTCTAGTCCTTAATTAGCTTTTGCTCGGGTTACAACGACTAGGTGGATTGAACAAGTACTCATTGCTTTCTCCCTATACCAGACAACGATGTGGTGAAGAGCTGCTATTATGGCGGAGTAGAGTGCCGCACTTGCTTGATGGAGTTCCTTGGATCGTTTGAAGATGCCCAGGGCTACATGTGTGCATTGAAGCAGAGCTGGAATCTCAGCCAGGGCATCGCAAATATCAGATCTTAGATCGTGTAAACGTGCGGCAGCCTAGACAAATACCGTTAGAGATTAATCGCATCAATTGCAATGAAAGACGGCTGTACACACCCTGAAGATAAGTCTGAAACCTCCGAACAGCACCGAGAAGTACTCAGATCCGGAAGGCAGCAGACTCGCCCAAGCTTCAAACGCCTTGCTATTCCGTCCAAGGCTGCGGAGGCCCTTTCGAATCTTGCCCCACATACCGGATGCATCATAATAGGTCTCTTCTGCGCGTTGAACCTCGGTTAAGGCGTCGTTCCAGGTATGGACGCACTTGTCCGTCACTTCTGTTTTGAATTTTGACCCTTGAGTGGTGTTTTCGTACTCTTCCATGGCTGTTTTAAACCTTTGTTTTTCTCGTTCGGCGTCCCTGTATATTTCTTCACTACTATATGTTAGGCCAGTAAAGGGTAAGGGGTTATGGAATATCATACAGAGAAACGTGGTCATCCTGATGGTCATATGTGGGTGCCAAGGCTGAGACACCCTCTCTCTGCAGCCCCACTACTACAGCATCTGAAGATGCTGCTGGTTGGTCATTGCTGAAGGGCTTTCAGAATGCACTCGTGGCGTCGCTCTTATCTCTCGCAGCTGCGATAGCGGGATGAATACTGCGTTCCAGTCGTTTATGGAAATATGTGTCCAAGACGGCGCCCAGGCGACTAGTCGAAGTGGACATTTTTAACTCGTTTTGAGCTGTAGTATATGACACGGGTTCCGGACTGACTGACTAGGTGTGCGGTAAAGCACTTGACTAGTCCCATGAAGCTCAGTGTTCAAGAAAGAAATCTGCTGTGTCGAGATTGAGGTTTGTGAAACGCAGTATTCTTGAAGTCTCGCCTAGGGCCCGTCATGAAACCAACGCCATGATATATTAACCTCGGTTCAACATCTCTCTTCATATTCATCTGCCATCCGCGTCCTGGAGGTGGCTGGCCTCACCCTTTCAGCGTACTAGCCTAGGCAGACAGGTGGTAGTCGATACAGTCTGCCAAGTCCGCTCAGCCCCCAGGTTTTGGTCAGTAGCCCCTCACCGAATTCGTGGGCGTTTCACCTGCGCTACCGTACGGTGACTTGTCATTGTAATTCCCGGAAATGTGCAGAGGGTGACGCCTCCTCACTGCTACTATTCGGGGAACTTCTGCACCAGTGACTGCAAAGGGGAATCCGAAGCGAGAGTGCAAACGTTGCTCTGCGCGCAGGAAATGACGGAGAAGAATGATGATTGGAAACATCGAGAGTCAGGCTATCACAATGATAGAATAACCGACTTGCCTAGATTCAAACCGTGTCAGCCTGCCTTGAAATTTGCGTTGTGCAACGACACTAATGCGCCATGCCTTGCACCCCCTTGTCGCGTCAATTCGTGATTATTGACAGATCTTTTGTGGCTACACCAAGTCGCAAACTGCATGGCGTTGGTCGTAAATACACCTTGGAGGCAGTCGTGAAAAGTTCCAGCAAGGATCTCGAGCTTATGTAGCTGGGCGAAGTCATCTGCAAGGCCGGGCCGGCCCCCCATGACATGGGATAGGTAATTCGGAGCAAGCACTGTACCCTCTTTGGTTTCACTTGCAGGTAAGCTGAGAATTGCGGCTGGACCTCTTCTCGCCTCAGGGACTTGGCAGTCATTTTGTGTATCTTTCGGGTGCCCACCGTGACCAACCATAACCAACGTGCAGGAGACGTGGTCGTGCAGTTGAGGAGCCCCGGCTCAACAAAACACAGCTGTGAGGAGAAAAGTCATGCAATTCAATGTACGAAGTTGAATATCAGCACGAATAGGAAAGGCAGACGTTTGAGCCAGGTAATCGAGGAGGCAGTGTAAGCCACACCACCATTTGGCATTTGGCTCGTCGCTGTTAGTCTGGCCCCGCTCGTGTGAGAGCCAACGGAACTCACTCAGTTACCCCATCGTGGCTTTTTTAAAGCTCTGTGGCCGTCGTCGTTTACTCTAGCCGAAGGGGGGCTGAGGGCGGCAATGCCTTCAGCTAGTCGAGCAAGGCGGCGTTGATGAGGCCTTCCATAAGGCCTAGAACGGCAATGGATCGGCAGTCTTCTCTCTATACCTCCTTACTGGTAAAGCCTAGAGGTCAGAAAGCCACAGCAGGTGACGGTGGGATTTCAAATTACAAAAGCGTTTCTAACAGTGGCTGTGAAGGGACACGTGTATCGAGTATGAGAAAGAGGGGTAAACTGACCATGATTGCTGTTGAGCGCCGGTGGAGGCTTGGAGCATGGAATCCAAGTTGAGGCTCTTTTTTAAGTCCGCTCAGCTTCTGTAGCCTTGTCCTTTGAAGAATAAAGTACCTGCTCAGTTCCAGTAAAGTGTGGAAGCTGGCTAAAACTTTACTCACATCGAATGATCCTCGGGTCAATTATGGCCATTGCCATCATCTTCATTAAAACATGTCCTTTACAGATGCCCAACTTCCCTCTGTCGCTCCAACAGGGCACGTCAGCATAGGCGATGCCGAAACTCCCGCTTTCAATGCTTGCGAGCGTTGTGGCCACAGACCTGCCATTCCTCTTCGTCAACATGACAGTGATATCACTTTGCTCAGAGGCCCTCGACAGCCTACCAAAGAGTCCAGTGATTTAGGAAAAGAAACACTATCCCCGTCCCCACCATCTCAGCTTGGGTATGTGACCTTGCCCAGTTCCGCTGGAGACATTGCTGACAGTATATGTCTAGTGGGAGTGAGAAAAGCGCCCATACAAGAGCAGATGACGACGCAGATTCAGAAAGGAAGATGCCCTCCCCAGAATGGATCCAAGAAGTCAAAATCACAAGGGTTGCTCCTGAGGAATGGCGACAAGTCAAGAAAGAGGGCAAGATCGACCCTCGCCAGAGCGTCCTCCTTGTCTCTTCAAAAGCATGTGTCGAGACTAATCTTCGAAGAAAACGACCAATTGCCGTGAAAGCGAGCGCAGCCAAAAAGACAACAGTGGATTCAGTTGCCAATGAATCTAAGCAATTGGATGTACCGTACAGACTTGCTCTCAACTCCCCCTTCCTCCTGGATGCCATCGGGCAGTGCATTGGGGTAAACCTCGCCGAGGCTCAAAATGTTCTTGTCCGTCCATTCAAGTATCTGGTTTGGTATGAGGCCGAGATAAACAATTCTTCAAAGAGCTTGAATTAGCCCACGAGGAGGCCGAAACTGAGGCTAACATTCACCTGGAGTGTGATACCCAAAAGATTGGCTACAGGAATGACAACGCAGTCGCCAGAAGAGATGACGAGCAATCAGATACGGCAACAGAGGTCGTAAAGGCTACAATCGATCGCGCCAAACGACAAAGAGATGAGTTTCGTTGTCTGTTAGAGTTCATGGATAGGGATATGGCGGAAATCTTCGAAATCAAGCGTCAGATATCCAACAAGACCCTGAAGGCAGTCGCCTTTGAGCATCTATGGCAGCTGTTTAGACCAGGCAGTGTTGCATATCGCTCTGTCACTGAAGACGGCAAGATCCGATACCAGGCCGTTCGAATCCTTCACGTCACCGGCGGCAGAGTATGTTTTGACTCTGGCAAGAAATGCTCCTTCGATCCCGTTCGCGATCGGAATTGGGAACCCGAGTCCGAGACCGAAGAAACGTGTCGCGAAATCATCAAGTCATCTGATCTTGAGACTACTAGTTTCCTCATTGATTGCTTCTATATAGACTTCGACGGTTTTCGGCTGGGCCCAAGACCGAAGAGGTTTGTTATTCAGCGATACAAGGGCACGCGCCCCATTCATTCACTGCCACTCTACCCTAGTCTTCTCCATCCGGAGGATCATAAAATTCAAGAAATGCTCCTTACGAGAGGAGAACAGTTCATTAAGCTCGCGCCGGGAGCCCACAGGAGGTACGATGGACGTACTATTCGAGAATCGAATCTAACTGCGCTACCATTTAACAATTTTGTGATAAATGAAGCGGAGGTATGTGGGCTTTCCAATCTGGATGGTCATTTCTGACAACTGGCGCAGGTGCATGGTGAAGTGATGGTCGACCAGAGGTCCGGGGTCGAACACTTCAAGAGCAGCATGTTTAAGTGGAACCTGAAACTCGGTGGTGGCATTCTCTTCGACCCTACCCAGTCTGACTCCCGAGAGACCTTCGATCCATTGCCAAAGAAGCAAGACGACAACTGGGTCACCGACGTCGTCGACGACTCGCAGTTTGAGGCAGACTGCCGGACCGACTTCCTGCAATCTACTGATCTGCTTTCCTTTCAATCCCTTGGAGGACATGTCTTTTCTGACGAGCGTCTCAAATTGCTTCCGCAACGTCTGTATGGGTATTCCTTTGTCGACCACAAGTGGCTTGCACTGGATATAGATTGTCTCTGTGACATACCGCCCCGATTTCTCACCCCAAACTTCGAGGACTTGGTGTTACCGAATGGCCATGGAAAACTTCTTCGGGCCTTGATCAAGAACCATATCCGATCACCCGAGCAGAGCCCCGCCGGCCTAGGCGAGATTGCAGAAGGATTGTCTATGGACGTTGTCGCAGGCAAGGGGAAAGGACTTATCATCCTTTTTCATGGCCCCCCAGGAGTTGGCAAGACGTCAACAGCCGAGTGTGTAGCCGCCGAGTTGAAGAGACCCCTAGTGTCAATTACTTGCGGTAAGATCGGCACCAACGCGAGGCAAGCAGAGCAATCACTTGAATCGTTCTGTACTTTGGCCCAGAAGTGGAAATGTGTACTACTACTGGATGAGGCCGAGATTTTCTTGGCGAAGCGAGAGAAGGGAGATATTGAAAGGAACACTTTGGTTTCTGGTAAGTTTGTGCAAACATAAAACAAACGTTAATGCCTTTCTTTCTCTAACTACTATGCTAGTTTTCTTGCGAGTGCTAGAGTACTATTCAGAGATCATCATCCTCACAACAAATAGGGTCGGTGAATTTGATGAAGCCTTCAGGTCTCGGATCCATGTCAGTCTCTACTATCCGAAACTCGACCAATCATCGACCAAGGAGATCTGGGAGAAGAATATCTCGCGCCTAAAAGCCATAGGCACGTATATCGACGTTGAAGTCGACGTTGAAGAGGACAAGATCCGGCAATTCGTCGACCAACACTGGGAGCTGAACAAGGGCAAGCCGTCCCGAAGATGGAACGGCAGGCAGATTAAAAATGCATTCCAAACGGCCATAGCAATGGCGAAGTGGGACTTTTATGACGCTGGGCGGAGCACAGAGCTCGAACGACCTTTCCTCAAGGCTGCCCATTTTAAGTTTGTCGCACGAACGTCTGACCATTTCGACGACTACGTCCGCGACATTCACGGCTTTCAGGAGGAAGAAGATGCATATAGTATTCTTGCTGGGCGAGAGGATCTTCGCCAAGACGACGATCCGGGGCCCTTTGCCAAGCACTTGGGGCAGGAGAGCGGTCGGGCGGGGAAACGCCTGCCGGTGCGCCGTGGAACGAATCCGTATCATGCGGGCTTGGCACAGACTCGAGGGTATGACCTTGATGACGACCTCGATGAGGATGAGGGTAATGAGGTGCGGCGATTAGAGCTAGAATTAGAACTAGCGAGATTAAAGAGTCAGAAGGGTCTCAGGGCTGAAGCAACCAGAAGCTTGGTGGGGGATGACGATGATGAGATATGGTAGGTACGGCAGTTATTTTTTTTATCTCTTTTTATTCTTCTTGCTCTTTTCCATTTGTTATGATCAGCCTGGTAGACAAACGGTTGAGGTATATACATCAACGTACCACATCTGGGCGTTATGCTATCCGCCATCGACCATCTTCAACTAGTTATCTCGACCTACTTATTCAGGGTATGGGTGAAAGCCGCCTCTTTCTTCAGCTTACCCTGTTGATCCGCCGCTAGTTACAGGCCAAGAAGTGCCAAGACATGCAGGTTTCACGACAACATGGAGTAGTGTCATTGGCTACTCCTACAGTCTTTTCAACTACATGAAGGTGAGAGCTTGGCGCTGCATTACCATACGAGCAGAGCATTCACAATAACAGTGGCGCGAAATGTCTGGTAACATGATCTGACCCAGCAAGGACGGGCTGCGATTGGCTGTCTCGCTCGTAGTTGGACCGTTTGTGTACAGCACCACAGTACTCGAACTCGAACTCGAACAAGAGACGAATACATCTGTCGGCCGAAACTCGGTCATGAACCACGTGTCTCCAGATCGTTGTGGCGTGAATTGTGTTTCTTGGTGGGCGCTAACGTTGAGTTCTCACGGCGTGGTCTGCTTGATAGAGTTCGTATGACGTCGTCCAAAATCCGGGGAAGTTCAACGCTCCGACAAGTGGTGGTAGGCTAAAAACCGGAAATCCGGCTTCTCGGTACTCGTCAGCTGCTGCAGTATTTGACATAAAGGGCCGATAAAAAGGTCCCGGGGAACCCGTTGAACGGGGAAAATCCATTTTCATTACTACTGGGGAAAGATCTCGCTCTTTCAGTTCCATTTGGCTCGACAGATTATGTTCTGATCTCTATTTGTTTGCTTTGTTTGCATGTCACGCCAGCCAATTCCGGCCAGGTGGTACAGTACTTTACGGGCTCTCTAACTTTCCCTAACGCCGGCGTCATACATTTGCAGCCTCGGCGTCATGACAAAGAATTTTTTCCACCGTTACCATTGTCGTAGAGATCGGCGATGGGGCCAAACGGTGAAGTAAACTGGTCCACGATACACAGAATTGTCATTCCATGGTGTAGCAAGACACATGCATGGATAACGCGTGCGGACTCTCTCAACTGCATTGCACCATTGTCCAGCTCAATTGATCCTCTTTCCTTGGAAAGAAACGTTTAATTAATTTCGAAATGATTCTCTTCAAATTACAAAGCCAGGTCAAATGGCCGTCCCAATTTTTCTGTCAACCGATGGCCCTGTTTGAACCGGATCTCTCGGAACCTCCACCAAAACTCTTCGTGAGTATCAGCGACCTCCGAATGGTCCGGCCACTCGTATCTGGGGTGGCGCCCCAAACGTCATCTGCCCCTCGATTTCTTCACCCTAAAGGCTGGAGTAATCAGCCCCCCAGAGCCCCAAGTGAGGCTAACTCTGTTGGCAGATGATGACACAACTCCACGCATGGCCACCTGACTCTAAGGACGGACCGATTCCCAAGTCTGGAGCCAAATTCTCGAATACTACGCTACGAAGCCGTCAGTAACTTGCAATCATTGGTTGGAAGTTCGAGCTTGACATCATGGCCGGTTTAAGTGAGCCGCGGTACGGGGAGGTTTGGGGAGATACTTAAGGTCACCTCCGGGAGATCATCACGAACTTGGAGTTTTGGATCACAACGACATCTTTCATACAATCAACTACTACTCATACTCATCTGAATTATACACATTGTTATACACAGACGATTGCCAATCATGGCACCGTCTTTCCTCACTGTTCACTTTGAAGGCCAAGATGCAACTTCTGAAGAGGGCAAGAAGGCGGGTGCTCGTCGCTCCTTAGTTGGGCTCGACTACTCGCCTTTGCCTCGCATCACTGGAAGGTCTTTGCTCTTGGCATTGTTTGTTTCTATGGGTGGACTCTTGTGAGTGATAATTATCGCTGAGTCGAGAGATGGCAGTCTTTACTAACCTGTTCCCTAGGTTCGGTTATGATACTGGTCAGATCTCTGGCTTCCTTGAGATGCCCGATTTCCTTGATCGCTTCGGTCAGACCAACAGCAAAGGCGAACATGTCTTTAGCACAGTCCGTTCCGGCCTCATCGTTGCCCTTCTTTCCATTGGAACGCTCATTGGTGCACTGATTGCTGCCCCGATTGCGGATCGTATTGGTCGCAAGTACAGCATCTCCTTCTGGAGTCTTATTATCAGCGTCGGCTTCATCATCCAGATTTCTTCAAATCGTGACTGGGTTCAGATTATGATGGGAAGATTTGTCGCTGGACTTGGCGTGGGCGCTCTCTCACTGCTGGTTCCCATGTTCCAGGCTGAAAGCGCGTAAGTGTCCCTTGGATATTCCAAGGCTTATTGCTAACATGATGAAAGCCCTCCTTGGATCCGTGGTGCCATGGTTTGCACGTACCAACTTTTCATCACACTGTAAGAGCCCATTGTGAGAACGTGGTAGCAACTCTGCTAACACCTACATAGTGGCATTTTCTTGGCAGCCTGCTTTAATTACGGCACGGTCACCCATCAGAGAAACAGCTCTGCTTCCTGGAGAATCGTCATCGGCATCGGTTGGGTCTTTACCTTGACTCTTGGCCTCGGAATCCTACTCTTCCCCGAGACTCCTCGATTTGATTACAGACGTGGCCATGTCGACCGCGCTCAAGAGACCCTCTGCAGGATCTATGGCGCCACACCCAATCATTGGGCCATTCACACTCAAATGGAGGAGATCGAGTCCAAGTTGCAGGCTGAAAAGTTGATCAAGGAAAAGTCCAACCCTGTCTCCGAATTTGTTGCCATGTTCAAGGCACCACGAATGGCATACCGCATCTTCATCGGTATGTCGCTTCAAATGTTTCAACAACTCACTGGAGGTAAGTCATTTCCCCTTTGGCATCTGCTCAATACTAACTTGCACTTCAGCCAACTACTTTTTCTACTACGGCACCACCATCTTTCAATCTGTCAGCATCAGCAGCTACAAGACTCAGATCATTCTCAACACCATCAACTTTGTTGTCACCTTCATCGGTCTATACCTTGTCGAGCACTACGGTCGCCGCAAGTCTCTGATTGCTGGCAGTGTCTGGATGTTCATTTGTTTCCTCATCTTTGCCTCAGTTGGTCACTTTGCCCTGGATCGAACGACACCGCAGAATACACAAAGTGCCGGAATTGCCATGATTGTCATGGCTTGTCTCTTTATCCTTGGGTTCGCTACCACCTGGGGACCCATGATTTGGACAATCATGGCCGAGATCTTTCCCTCTCGCTACCGTGCAAAGGGAATGGCCTTGTCGACTGCCAGTAACTGGCTTTGGAATTTCCTTCTGGCCTTCTTCACGCCATTCATTACAAAGGATATCGATTTCCGTTACGGTTATGTCTTTGCAGGCTGCAACGTTCTTGGTGGCTTGTTGGTCTACTTCTTCGTCATTGAAGGCCAGGGCCGCACACTCGAGGAGATCGACACCATGTACCTTGAGCGCGTCAATCCTATGAAGAGTGCCAAGTGGACGCCACCTCCTCCCGAGGAGATGTCCAGAATCCGCAAGCAGGCTGGTACCGACCTTGAGACAGCGGCGGTTGTGAGTGAGGACGACACGCTGCACAGGAACTCGGGCTTTACCAACGACGGCGGCCATGCTAGCCGTGCAGCCAATAAGGAGGAGGCCCCAGGAACAAGTCACAAGGAGGGTTAGTGAGATGGTGTGTTGGCGTCGTTCTTTGAGGAACATTACTGGATGGATGCAGAGGAATGGAGGAGGTGAGATTGAAATTGTAAGAACAAAAGATGTGCGCATTGAAAGCTATTAGCGGTTACGAGTAACGAAACGCCGTATCATAAATCAACTGTCATTATAACATTTGTCTTTGATCATCACGGGGTCCTTAAGCAGGAGCATCAATTGGAAGAAAAAGAAAAAATGCCATTATCAAGATATCATGGTAATAGCGACCGGCTAGTGAATCAAAAACTCCTCCACAAGATGTTCTTCATCGTTAAACAATGCGTAAGGATCCAATCCATGCAAGTAACAATCGTGTGCCATGGTCCATCCCCCATCATCCCGTCGGCGCAACACAAAAGCCTGATCTCCTCCAGGAAGGTAGACGATTTGATCGCCCACATGGGCTTGCGGACCGGCTAATCCCATATTTCCCTTTTCAGTGGTAAAGAAGCATCGACCGTAGCAGGCAAGCTCCATCTTGTCGGCAAACTCACTGAACTCATAACCCAAGTTGTAATTACCTTTACGTTCCTTTTCCTTTCCGACACCTAGCCACCAGAGATAGAATTCGTGCTCCCGTATGAACAGCGCTGGATCCGCTGCTTCGAGTACGCCTGAACCGTTGTGACGGTACCATTGGACGAATCCAACATCAACACTTCGCAGCTCTACTGGTTGAGCGGCTGATATCGTGGCTGCGAAGGCTGTTGATACAGATGACGCAAGTGAGGTGTTCCATTCAGTGGTGAGAGTTGCGGCCAGCGATTCCCATTCCTTCATGATACGAGCAAAAGATTCTGTTCCAGGTGCAAACGTCGTGCCGGCAGAGAGCTCAGGGCCGATGGCGCGGATTGTGTCAATAATCTTTCCCTTGATAGCGAGCAAGCCATCTGGACGGAACGCTAGTCCTGGGAGGACATTTCCTGTAACGTCACTGGGGCTAACCTTGGATCGTGTTCCATCTGCTGTGCGATAGGAATAGCCGTCTTCACCTCCATCTTGGTAAGAATGGTACCAGCGGCGCTGTGGAAGGGTTCCTACCGTTACAGTGTCGGTGAAGTCAGGGACCCAGGATGGTAAAGACTTGGAGAGAGGTCCAACACCGAACCATTTCAAGATGCCAAGGTCTCCAGTTCGTCGAATCGCAGCCTCGGTGAACTGGCGGAATATGTCCTCGACTGGCAAGTCATAATCCACAGCCATGAAGCCAGGATCAAATAGGCCCAGGAGACCATACACTCTGTCCCGGACTTCGCTCGATTGACATGCACGGCTGTATTGTACAACCTCTGCAGGGTGGCTCCCAGGTCTCAGCATGCGGAGTCTCCAGACGTGGCTATCGTTATCAAACCCTACAAAGGGATGATCTGCCTTGTAGCCCGGGGCGCTTGAAACACTGGACAGCCCTAAAGCTCCACCAGAGATATCAGCACGATGGCCAGATCCTAAGTCCTTCCAGGGAGCCGACTCCTCCCCACACATAATGATGGCTTTGCGGCTAAGAGCCACTTCTTGAATAACCCAAGTGCGGAAGAACCAAGGGCGCCTGACCAAGGCCTTCCAGGCTTGGCGGTATTGCGCTGGAGGTCTTGGTAAGTTGGGGAACGTGTTGTTCGCATCGTCTTTGAGATATTCAAACACCAGATGGGAATCGTCGGCAGCCTCACCCAGCCAAACCAAGACTTGGCGGGCAGACTTGTAGATATCTCCCATGATGGTCACTTGCTGGTTGCGCTCAGCATGAGTTGACTGATCAATGCAGAGGGCATCGACCCATAGTGTCCTAACATCGCTTGCATCACGAATATGTACAAGTGCAGAGTGGAGATTAGCAGTGATAGAGACGGCTTGTTCGTCCAGCTCAATGCAGTCGTTGATGTTGGTGTCTCCCCAGACATATGATACTGCCTCGTAGTCTGGCTGGAGAGTGAGGTCGCTCTCGATTAGACGACCCAGCAGAGGTTCTGCCCTATTGTCTGAGGGAAACAACTCCAGAAGTCGGATGGCGCTCTTGTTGTGTAATGGACGATATGCAAACTCCGAGGAGGCCGCCACAGAAGCCGTGGACACTGATGCTGAGTTCTGCTGCGTTGGTGCAAAAGGGAGTGCCTGTTGAGACTCGACCAGGTCCTCCAACCGTTCTTCCCAGGAAAGCTTTTGTTTCGCGGTAGTGTCAGCTAGGAGGACCTTGAGTTCCTCGTAGGAGGGCAATCGCCAATCTCCATCCTTGCAGTTGTAGCTTTCCAGCATCTGAATCACCTTGAGTCTTTCAGGAATACTCCGGTACTTGTACTGCCTGCTCTGACGTATTGCTGTTGATACGTCAACTGTAAGGCCCGGGCATGTAGGATCAGCACCAGCCTTGAGAAGCATCTCCAATGCCCAAATATTGTCTCGGAGGGCGGCCATATGCAGCCAACTGGTTGGCGTGGGTTTTGGATCCTCGTCTCCAAGCGATAGATTGGCAACAAGTACCGCATCTATATGAGATCCGGGATACTCCGAAGCCAGGTATTTGATGTTCTCCAAGTACATGAGGCCGCAATTGAGCATGCGATATCCCATGTTGCCCCAAGTCTCTGGATCTGAGACGAGCTGCGAACCATACTCGTCGACACACCATCGCAGCAACGACAACTTGCCAGCATTCAAGGCCTTCTTCTGTACCGCTGCAGCGTCGATAGAGGCGCCATGTGAGATTAGGAGCTGTGCCATTTGAGCACTCCCAACATTGGAGGGTACTTTTTCTGGCAGAACCCCACGTTGAAGGAGACTCGTCACAAAGTCTATGTGGTTATGTCTGGCACAAAACAACAAGATTTTCTGATGGTCTGAATCCTCAAGCCCTTGCTCATGCTGCATAAGGCCCTCCAAGAAGGTAAAAAGTGTCTCCGTATCATCGTCCTGATATCGTGACATCGACAGGGCGATCTCAGTTGGGGTTATGTCTTCGGTCGATCTGTCGTACCTGGATATGCACGGCGCACGCGTACGTGGACTTTCACCGTGTGCCACCAACAGCTTGGCGGAAGAGAGCTGCTTATTAGCGGCCGCAGCATGTAGAGCTGTTCCGTATGAGCTGCCTTTCCCTTGTCCGCCATCCACCATCCTGGGTCCTGCGACATTGGTGACGACGTCAAATTCCAGAAGCTGCTCGACATATCCCAGTTCACCCTCATAACAGGCAATGTGAAGAAGCATGATGAGCCCAGGATCGTCCTTGGCATACGAAAGCCCGGCTTTCAAAAGATGAAGGATGATGCCGCCCCAAGTACTGTCAAGGTCAGATTCCCACAATGGCCGATCGTAGTTTACTCCAGGCGGCCAGCCAACCCAAGTCATGTCGACAATATGTTGGGGAGAAATGAGGGCGTCAAGGGTGACCTGAAGTAGATTGACATTGTTGTCTTGTTGGTTTAGCGAATCGTCTGGTTTCCCGAGCTGCTCAGGGAGTCTTCTTGGGTGCATAGTCGAGAGCAGTGCCCCAGCGGAAACAAGAAAGTGAAACAGCTCAGGATAGCCTAGAATGCAGGCGTAGGACAAAGCCGAATTCCCATCACCATCTAGGCAGCTGGGTGACGCGCCATGGCTGATCAGCAGTTCCACCATCTCAATGAGCTCAGGACATGACTCTTTTGGGGAGTTGCCAAGCCAGCCAGGTTCAATTCGAGCCACCTGGATGGCGACCTGCAGGATATCAGTCTCTTCCGCGAAGAGATTACCAGTGTCGTCCTTGTCTAGAAGCGAACGCGCAAGTTGATAGTCAGGCTTCCACCTCTTTCTTAGACATTTTCGTACCCCTTCAACGTGATAAGGCTTGAAAACTGGTGAATGTTCGTGCAGGGTGAAGAATTCATCGAATTTTGCCTGTTCAAGCTGTGTCAAGGCTCGGGTGGTGTCAAAGCTGTCATCTCTGCCGCACAGGCTCACGAGCCATTCTCCTGCGGCTGCCACTGTGTCCTCATCTGCAAACGAGTGGTCGTGATCAGGTTCTGTGAGCTGCATCTGGGGCTTGTTGTGGGAATGAGGTTGGGATTGTTGAAAATGATGAAACGTGAGATGGAGCCATGGATAGTTGCATAGAGGCTTATCTAATCCAGAACCCTGACCTTGTAAGCGCTAATGATGGGTGAAGAAAATGGTGTTAATAAAAAGGATTGGATTTGATATAGAAAGGATTGCAGCAAAATGCTTACCGGGTTTTAATTCGACGTCTTTTCTTCGTTTTCTAGATCAGCCGAGCGATCTTACTGTAAGCATTAGGCACCTCTTTGGACATTGTAGTGAACAGCTGGCCAAATGAGATGAGTAGGATAGTGTCCTTTACGTAGAGCTTCTAATTCTAAGTAATTGTGTAAAAACTACTAGTAGTGAGTAGATCTCACTTTGATCTTGACGTAGGTGTTTGCTTGACATGTCGTTTGGAGGCTGTGTCTCATCAGCCACCATTCCTTTCATGCTTGAAGCAAGGTGGAACCCTCTCAAGTAGGTAGCTTAATCACACAATTGGACTTGGACGCCAGTCGATGAAAATGAGCTGTCTTAATGGCCGTAGTCGGTATTCTCTGATTGACTGTCAAAATATGCTTGATTGCCTTGGGCTAATGCATTCGCACCCGATATCATTATCAAGCTTCACACCAAGATTCCGCCTACCCTCCCTGCGCGGCCTAGCTCGAGGAGCTGAGTCCAAGAATGGAGTAGCTGGCGGATATTCTGCATACCCCTACAAGCGACCAAACTTGATAGGCCAGTTTATACGTGCTCATGTGGATCAGCCAGCATGGAGAGGCCCAGAGGTTGCATCGGGGCAGCATTTGAGCTTCCGGATGGCCTGATAGTTTGTTTACCAGCCTAGCTTGCATCTCAAGCGGCCGTCACTTTCAATATGGAAAGGTCTCGACTCCACCATTACCCTCGGCCTAGTCTCTCGGCTACAGGGTCCGCCGTTCGTCCCCTCCCAAATGGTTGCGTGGTTTTCTACTTCTTCCTTTCCATCTCTTGTTCCACTCTTGCCGCCAAATTCACCATTGATCGACTCGATTTCCCTCGCAACAATGCGTGTGGCTGTCATTGGCGGTGGGCCGTCCGGTCTAGTCCAACTCAAGACCCTCCTCAGCGCCCACGAACACCTAAAATGCAAACCTTTTGAGCCACGTCTATTCGAGGCGAGCTCCAAGGTCGGTGGAGTTTTTCACTCCCATGTTTACGAGGATGCGGAGTTAGTGTCTTCCAAATACTTGACTTCATTCTCCGATTTTAGACCAAGGCAAGACGATGCAGACTTTCTGTCAGCAGAGAGATATGTCGAGTACCTGGAAGAATACGCAACTCACTTTGGACTTTGGGACTGGATCAACTTGAACACCAAGGTTATCAACATCAGAAGACAAGACCAGGGACATGTTGTTGTGTACCAAAAGCCCAATGGGGAAGTCGACGAGTGGCCATGCGATGCCATTGCCATCTGCTCTGGTGTCCACTCAAAACCAAACGTTCCTACGATCCCCGGCATTGAGAACGTCCCTGCCGTAATGCACTCGTCAGATTTCAAGACCCGGGCTCAGCTTGGAAAAGACAAGACAGTCATGATTCTGGGAAGTGGCGAGACAGGTGCAGATTTGTCTTACGTCTCCATTACCGCAGATACTAAGCAAGTTGTGCTCTGCCATCGCAGCGGATGGGTCGGGGCCCCCAAGGTGCGTTGCTTTTATACGCCGAAACCGCAGTTTCTAACATGTCGCAGCGTAACCCTCACCAGCAGTTCCTCCCTTGGTTGTTTGGTTATGCACCACCCGAGCTGGACACCCTCCCTGTTGATGTGGCCCAGATCACCCTCTTTGACACCATGTATGTACACCCCATTGTTCGAGACAGCATGGTCGTCTGGAACTACTATCACACGCTCGCCTTGCCTCTCGGAACTTGGCTTGGTGGTGGCTCCAAATATGGAATCGACATGCACGTCGGGCAGGTTTGGGGAGAACGCTTCCATATCTCGAGGTGTAAGTGGACCACTGCTGCTCGAGTTCAATATGCTGATTTCGACAGTGTTTCTTAACAAAGCTTGGACTCGCGTGTCACCATATATCTACTACCCCTGGATACCTGAGAAATGGTCACTCGCAACACGAATCCGTCGCTTCTTTATCGCCCGAGACCTCCCTCGCCCTTCACGAACGATTGATGTGGCTCCTTTCCCCTCGCATATTTCTGAAGACGGCGTTGCGCACTTTCCAGTTCTTCCAAACAGACCAGAGTCGGAGCGTATCCAGGAGACTACCGTCAAGCCTGATATAGTCATCTACGCCACCGGCTACGTGCCGACATTCCCATTCCTCAACTCAGATTCGGGCAGTGATAAGCCCTACCCCAGCTCTACTGATGCCGATGTTCGCGCTGTCTGGAAAAGGGACGATCCCACCGTTGGATTCATTGGCTTCATCCGCCCCAACTTCGGTGCAATTCCTCCTCTGGCCGAACTTCAGTCAATGCTTTTCATCCAGAATCTTGTCAGCCAGCTTCCAGACCTACATACAGATGATGAATATCACTATCGGCTCATCGTGCCCCCCTCGGCCCGCATTGGATACGGCATTGAGCATGACTCTTACGCGTACCAGTTAGCGAAAGACATGTCCATCGCTCCCAGCTTCACCGACATCATCCGACTATCCTTTAGCTCTCCCCGAGGCTGGAGGCTTCCCTGGGTATGGGCAGCTGGGGCCTCCCTCAATCCCAAGTTTAGGCTCGTGGGGTCTTGGAAGTGGGATGGCGCAGCAGACGTACTGACAGGAGAGTGCTGGGAGACCATCTCGAGGAGGAAGAACCTATTTGGTGACATGTCGATCGCTGTTCTACCGATGATTTACTTGGGTAGCTGGAGTTTGTGTTATTGGGCTTATGCGAAATTCTGGAACGGAATGGCCAAAATCGGCTTGTCCAAGCCTTTGAAGATTGAAAACGTGCCGAAGCGGCTAATGGAGGAGTTGTCGAGGAGGGAGGAGATGGAGAAGAAGGGAGGTAGTCAAAATGGGGTTGACTGGGTGGATGTGAAGCATATTGAGGGTTAAGCGTGAAACATGTATGAAGCCGGCAAATATGGCTCATCAAATCATAATATCTTTTCAAGAAGCCAAAATGAAAATGGGTGGAACTAAGCTCCTTTAGAGAGTCATCTTGGCGTGTCACGGGCATCATTTAAAGTGCACTCTGCAGAGCTTGGGAGGAGGCTCTCGATACGGCCAGGGTGGCCAGAAGCACACTCGATGACTATATGGCCCAGAGTGAGAGTCATACCTCAACGAAAACGAGATGAAACATGACCCTGGTTTTATTTCTTGTAGCCTTTCCTAACCAGTGGCCAAGTTCACCTGCTGACCAACCCCGTTCTGCTAACACACGAGTGGACGCCTACCAACAAGAGTACATCGCCAGTAGCCAGATCCCCAAGATTGCGACGTGTTGATCGATCTCAATCCTGGGCCGCTGTAGACTCAGGATCTCAATCAGCCAGAATGAAGAGCTTACAGGGGCTTCCTGGCCCACCCAATGCGCTTTTGGCCTCCATCAAAAACCACAAAGGCAGCCTTGAGGGCGATGTCACCAAAGATGTTGATGCCGATGCTGTCGCTAGGCTGAAGACTGCCATAACAAGTCTGACCGTCATTCGTGGCGGCGCCAAAGTTGAGGTACGTGCCGGGAATGGTGATTGTCACACCGCCAACAGCAAAGCTGAAGGTGGGCAGGCTGGTACTGCATCTGAAGGTGTAGGCGTTCATCCTTGAATCGAATCTGGAACCGCTGACCTTGGCATAGTACGCTTGGTTGACAGTGTTGGGAAGAAGGAGAAGCGTAGTGCCAGTATCAGCAATGCCATTGATCGACGTGCGGCCAATCTTGTCGTTGCCAACGGCGTATCCGTTGGATGTGAACTGCCACCATCCACGAGAGGAATCAACAGGCACGTATCCAATGTTTCCAGTGTAGGTGGAGTTGTCGATGTAACCAAAGTTGTAGGTTCCAGGCCTTTGGCGCTTGAGATTTGCGGTGAAGACGGGGGAGCGAAGCTGCGGGATAGCGTTGTCGAAAAATGTCTTTTGCTGCTTAGGCCTGACAGTGTTGAGAGAGCTGAAGCCCAGACCCATGAGGCCGTCGAGGTTTGGCTCCGAGTTGAAGCTGCTGTCGACCCTGCTGGCAGTCTCGACAGCCTGGTTGTTGACGCTCAAACGTCCAGCAGAGACCTTGTCGAGATAAACATCCCCAGTAGACGAACTGCCGTCCCCGTACTGGATGCTGAATGTATAGCCGTTGAGCTTCCTGGAAGTGCTGCTCTTACCAGGGTTGTAACTGGTACGCTGACTGGCTCCCTGGGTGCTATTGGTAAAGACCCAGAGATCCGAAGAGCCCGTGTCCAAGTCCAGATTGAGCACTTGGCCTGGAGTACCAATCTGGATGGGCGTCAACCACTCAACGTCTCCGTCCTCGGGGGTGGTCACAACAGTTCCAGTTCCAGTACCGGCTCGCTTGGCCTTGTGGGATTTGGTGTTGCGCATGACCTCGGCGAGACCTTCAGGCAGAGCGGCTCCGTATTTGAGGTATGCCCTGGCAAGAGCCTTGGGACAGTTGGCAACGTAACCGGGGTTCTTGATCTGCTCGACCGAGAACTGCTGATCCTGAGATGCTCGAAAAGGACACCCAGAGACAACAGCCCCGAAGGCCAGACATGCCGAGAGGAAAGTCACCAACAAAGGTGCCATGATGAGAGGTAAAGTGACGACCTAGAAATGGTTAGCAAGAACAGGAATAGATCCAAGTAAAGATCCGTGCTTTTACTTCTCTTTCAGCGATGGACTGTGGAATGACTGGCACTCTTGCTCTGGGACATCATACCAGTCGGGAACAGGCAATTGATATATCCAAGTTTTCGAGTTAGGCTGATGCCATGGTTGGTTAGAACCATGGTTCGACTTGATGGCCTCTCCTCGGCGTATATTCAGCCTTGGGCTTGATCTATCATGCCCTCGATGCCTACGTGCATGAACCTTGACATTGGGAGCTTCTCCTGAGGCGCTCTCATGACAGCTACTCTTGAAATATGTCTTCGAATCTTGGAGTCGATGATGCACTCGGTGATATTGTGGACGCGCAACATGATTCACTCTGTCACTGCTATTTTCATCTTCTCTTTCTTGCTAGATGCAGAATAGACCCAACTCTCTGGTTGGCCTATCAACAGCGTCTGCTCATCATGTGTGCCTCCAGCCTTTATCCAGGCGGCAGCATTCGACGATTTAGTAATTAACCCATATCCTCGCGGTCTGCGGGTGCTTCAATCTTGGGAAGCTGTACAATATTTGCAGGGTCGGTCAGTTCTCGGCCGATCCTATAGACGCGACTCTTCCATGATCCCGTGGCGGCCATCTCCGTAAAGAGAGCATAGCCTTCGAGGGCGGGCTGCATATTGGTCGAAATGGGGGCTGCCTCATTGAAACTAAGAGGATAACTCCCCTTTGTCAATATTTCCACCTCTCCGATCGATAGCTTATTTGATGACCTTGAACTTGGGCAATCTTCGTTTAGCACTGTCCGTTTTGTCTTGATTAGCGTCATCCAGAGGTGTCTTGGTTGTGGGTAGTAATGGCGCAGATGGCGCTTGGTGGGTATACTTTCAGTCTCCTTCTTATGCCTATACTCATCATTGAAACGGGGGCGGCGTCTTGGGGACTGACTTGGAATGGAGTGCTGCATCTGAATAAGGCGCCACTCCAGCATTGCTAGAGAAGTTCCGTAGAGGATCAAGTTTACTCAGCCACCGCCTTGGTGTATGGTTACGTATTGACGGTATCAAGACGCTCAAGCCATCTGAACGCCCAATCATGCCTAATACGAGCACCATGGTCTCTGGTCAAATGTCCAAAGTGGTTGTTTTGATAACGAGAGATCAATTTACAGGAGAGAACTCATAGGCGATGTCCAAGATAGGTAGACTCCATATCCTCTTGTTGACAGAATCGCAGGTCTTCAAGCAGCATTTCAGGGCTCGGAAGACAAAAAGTGGCATGCATGATAGCAGGGTTTTTTTTTTTTTTTTTTTTTTGAAAGTGATATTTGATATTGATTCTTGCGTTGAAAGGCATTGGGCATCATGGCTTGATTGTGTAAAACTGTATCTATCTGACTAGGTTGCCTTGATCTACCCTTTGGGTATGCTATGAGGTTGAATTATTTTTCATATCCGGGGCTGATTAGGTGAAGGACTAGAAGCGAGGTAGACTTGGTGTTTTTGAGTTAATAAACGCCAAGCATTTTCAACAGTCGCCCTCTATCCTCTATCTAGACGTGCGATACTTCTACGGCAGCCCAATCGGCAAACTAAAAACTGGATAATGTGTGAATGGATCCTGTTTGTTAGGCTGACGCGCAGGGTAATGCATGGTCTCTTGGCCACCTTTGAGTGGTCTCAGTCTTGCTGAACCTGATGAGTCAACTGTAATCTCTCAAGGAATTGTAGGTCTCTGCTCGGATGAATGGCGAGAGCCTACAGGGCTATACACTGATGTACAACGAGATTCTTAATCAATGTACACATAAATGGCGCAATACATGCGCTGTTTGTTGGTTACGCGAGGTTCAAGGGGGACTGGCCCGACGCCCGGCGCGAGCCCTTGAAGATACGCCACGGATCGTGGGGCCGGGTCCAACTCTTATCTTTAATTTGCTCTAACAGCGGCCCGTCCTAGATTAGGCATAGTTTCCCCGTCTGTCATGCCATTGAACCGGGATCAACACGGCACGGTCCTGGAAGGAGAAAAGCGGGAGGGGAACCCTGCATTTCAACGTCAACCTTGTCCAGTTTGCTAACAGATACTCATCGCAGCTGCGAGATATGGAGCAATATATTGTACTTTCTATCGTGATATAATTGGTTATTGGTGGTGAAGTGTCCCACAGACTTCCACCACTGTTAAATCCATCACGATCCCACTGTCACTCCATCGTTAACTTTGCCCCGAGAGTTCGTCCCGAAAATGTCCACCGAGGAGAGACAGGAAGCTACACCGCCCCCGCTCCAGGAGGCCCTGGCGGAGAACCCCCTAGAGGCGGATGTGAGTTCTAACGCGTTCCGGCTTTATCTTGTGGCTCACCGTGTCTTGTAGGATGCTCGTCAAGACAATGATTCGGCGTATGCTGCCTCGTAAGTCTTCTGCTGCGACCTCGAGAGACGGCCATTGATCATGATGATAGGGAAAATTCGGCTAGCTATCAGACATCGCTAGCCTCAAGCATCATTAACTACAAGTACGTGCCCCGTTCAGTTATTAACCTGAAGCTCGTCTAACTAGCACCTGCTCTGTTGATATAGATATGAAGTGAGCATCAGTATGCCTACCAATGTTTTCATAGCAGCTTACAATATCCTCCTAGAATGGACGTCGCTACCATGCATTCCGTGCGGGAACCTATCTCCTGGTATGTATCCAGAGACTCACATACCGGGAATGAAAAGAAGGCCAGCTAACAAAGACTAGCCAAACGACGACACAGAGCAAGACCGCATGGATCTAGCACATCATATTTCTCGACTCTTACTCGGCGGTGAGCTATTCAGGGCACCTATCTCCGATAATCCCCAGCGTGTCCTTGATCTCGGCACCGGCACTGGAATCTGGGCGATGGACTTTGCCGAGTTTGTCTCCTCTCACCAGGGTTGATATCATCATTTTGCTTATACTGATACTAGCGAATATCCCTCCGCAGAGGTAATTGGAACTGACCTCAGTCCCATCCAGCCAAAATGGTAGGCCACTGGTGTTTTTGCATGTTTGCGTTTACTGACTCGAATGATCTAGGACTCCTCCAAACTGCGCCTTTGAGGTGGATGACTTTGAAGCAGAGTGGCTTTATTCCAAGCCCTTTGACTTTATCCACTCCCGTGAACTGGAAGGCTGTATTAGCGACGAAGATGCACTGTTCCGGCGTGCATTCCAACACCTGAAACCAGGTGGCTACATCGAGTTCCAGGCCGCGTACCCGCGCTGGCTCTCTGACGATGGCACTGCAGAAAAGGCTGAGAACGCCCAAAGTTGGCTCAAGACTCTGATTGACGGGTCCGCCAAGTTTGGAAAGCCTCTCGAGGGTGCTATCGGCTGGAAGGATAAGCTGGTGAAGGCAGGGTTTGTGGATGTAAAGCAGGAGATTTTCAAGGTATGTTACACTCTGACCTACCTGTCTAGGCGTTACTGACGTAGAAGATTCCTATTGGTGCCTGGCCCAAGGATCCGAAACTCAAGGAGGTTGGGAAATATCAGATCATCCAGCAGATTCAAGCCGTCGAGTCATACACTCCTCGAATCTACGGGACTGTCCTCGGTTGGAAGGAAGAAGAGGTCCAGGTGTACGTGGCCAAGGTCAGGAAGGAACTCAAGGATCCATCGATTCATCTTTATGCGCCGATCTACGTGGTTTATGGAAGGAAGCCCGAGTGATGAGTTCCACGCTCCCTTAGTTATCTCTAGTGTAGGTAGTTTGGAGTGAGATGGGTGATAGGGAAGTTCTTATCCCCCCCCCCGCCGAGGGTTGCCCTTACATATCCGATATCAGCCTTTATCCGTTTCCACCACCTATACCCCTATCCGTGTTTGTTATTTGGCATCATGTCAGCCCTCTGGTCCACGATCCTCTCAGCCAAGTAGCCTTTGAGAGTACGGGTTGTAAGTAAAATAGGAGCTGATATTGGCAACTGCGAATGAAGTTTTCCAAGTATACATGACGAAATTGAAACTAAGCGGTACGTCTAGGTGCCCTTAGATCCTGGTTACGGTATTTAATCAATTCCATGTCATAGGTCATTGTTCTAGCACCCCTCTGATATCCATATCTTGAAATCGAATGATCAACTCGTGCACCTGGCCCATATCCGAGTTGTCAAAATTTACAAGCCCACCTCGCGACGTCGGCAAGTTGTTCGCTCCGAGACTGGTATCAACACCAAGACTGCGAGCATAGTCAGACTGATTGTGCAGGATGACAGCCAGGCACCAGTATTCTCTCGTATAACGATAAAAGCCTATATTAACTCCGCCCTCGGAAGGTTCAGGGTGGGATGACTGGTCTTCGAGCAGAACCAGGTCTCGAGCAGCCCAGGCCCGCATCCAGTTCCTCAGCCCTCGGGTAATTGGCAAGGATGTTGATCCATCATCTGCTCCGTGGTGGTGATGAAAAATGAGGTTGTGAAATGCTGTATTTCAGTAAGCACTCTGACCTTGCACTCAATTGTTTTTAGACTGTCGCAAGGGCTTACCACTGGTTATGGCAAAGAGGTTCAATAAACTCATGTTTTCAAGTATTCTCCAGTCCTGTGGCTCGAGTTCGCTTTTTAATATTCCTCGAATCGCATCAGATAACGTCGTTTCGTGATCGGCATGCTGGTATTCAGAGCATTCGTCAAGACGACTCAACCACGTCTCGGGGGTCGGAGCGTCGAAGCATGCTTCAGGCATGGCTAGACTAAACTGGAGTTCACTCACTACCATGCGCGGAGCAGAGTTGTGGAACATGACGAAAGCACAGTCGAGGAGGAAAACATAGATGAGTGTGCGAATGCACTCTTCTCTCAACGCGAAGAGCATCCATCTTCTAAAGTGATTGCTCGGATCTGGGCCACCATAGACCTTTTTCTGAGTGACGGGGAAAAAGAAAAGGCTGCGGGCAACGCCAACAACTTGCGAGAACCGGGTCCTACGTGCCACCGCCATCTGCTTTTCACTCCCTTCCCAGGTCATGATGAGAATGATGGCATAGGCTGCACGTACCATATCGAGTCGTAATTCAAGCTGCAACAGCTGGGCTTCATCATCTGTTTGTGGGACAGCATCTTCAGAGAAGTCTGCATCGTGATGAATCCAGTCTCCTACCGCCTCGACCCACAGCATGGCTTGATCCCGGTCGGTCTTCTCCGGGCTCAGACATGCCCCGATTAATGACAGGGCAGCGATCAGCTGAGCAGGCTTTTGGGCTGCAATAAAAGTCGCCTTGTGGAATACTGGCCAGTTTGGGTACCAAAAATACCAGAAGGCTTCCATGAATCTATCGAGATTCAGAGGTGAGAAGAATCGAATACATGAACGCTCCGTTGATGGGGACCAGTTGATTGTTCTGCCTTGGCATCGCATGTTGTGGCAGACTACGCCTCGGATTCCTTGGATAATCTCGTGAGACTTGGATTTCAAAGGGTGAGAGTAAACTCTTTGGTGACTTTCTATCAATCCTGCGTTGTCTAGGTGTCCGGACTGGCAGGGAAAATCGGGGGAGCTCCAGTCGTGATATAATCTCGTGTCGAGCAAAGGGTGGTGCCATCCAGGCACTCGGTCCGATCCCGGCCAAAGGCGTGCTGCTGGGCTTTCTGCAAGAATATTCACTGTCGAGAGGGCCTTGCCATTTTGCCCCAAGGTGGACATGATCTTCCGTCTTGCCAAAATGCTGCCGCACTCGAACGAGTTTGCAAGGCCATGGGTTGCTGTAAACTTGGTAAGGAATCGAAGGTTCATGGGCCGGGGTGTTGACTTTGGAATTAATGACAACGACATGGGGTTTATGTTTGGGGGCTGCCAGTCAAACTCGGTCGCTGATGGGCAGTCGCGTAATATATCTGAGAATCTACCGTGAGCGGAGAAAGCCGAGGCAGACTCCTTGGTTTCAAAAAGACTCGATGCAGCGTGGGTCGGAGACAGTAGGTGAGTCAGACGAGATGATGGTAGGCTAGGGACTTCTTGTTCAGTTGATGTTGGACAGAAGAGCTCCAGGTCGGGTACAAGTATTTCCAGTGGCTGGCCGCCCAGAAGTTGAGCCAGCTCTGTGTCCATCTGTGGTAGTGAGGGCGGCGTCGGGTGCTCTTTGTCGATGGTGGTTGTTGACCGCGATGGCGAAGATGTTCTGTAAGTGCAACATAGACCTTGATTAAAGCAAGCCTCGCATGGAAGTGAGCGGCTACATTTCTTCTTTAGCCGCGCGCATCTTGTGCATGCGTTCTGCTTGCGGCCACGTTTCTGTCGCGGTAGAACTGGTAGAGGCTGGCCCGCCTTGAGACGTTCTTCACAGGTTCTCCAATGTCGAAGTAGCGCATCCCTAGCGTGCAATAGATTAGAAAGAGCAAGTAAGGACAGTAAGAAGGGTTATAGCCGACCTGCGATTAAAGCCAAGGGAGCAGAATTGACAAGTGTATGCACGCGTATTACCGTCTTGCGTTGCGAGATGTCAACACGGTTACGCGGTCACGGGGGCGAATGATGACAAGGAAAGACCCACGAGAAAGTTGATGACGTTTCAAATGATCTTAGAAATGCCGCAAGGTTAGCATGGCCTGGTGCATGAGGATGGTGCACTGCAAAGTTCTCACGGCAGCGTCAAGAACCCGTTGAGCGATGCGCGAAGGGCCGCTTACCCATCTTAAGGAGCTTGGCATGGCAAGAATGGCACTGGAAGGGCATCACTTCTTGAGCGATCTCGTACCTGAGCAACGAGGAAACAGAGCGAGAACTCAAGGCGAATAATAATGACTTGGGAGAGAAGAGAGAACGTTTGGCGAAAGAAAGGTGGATTTCAAGGGGCTGGCACATCCATCTTCGTCATAGCGTCTAGGCATTCGGCCCCAAAGCGGCAAATTCACCACCCCCGCGATCTAGTGAAATCTTTTTCTCGGATTGGGTCCTGTACAATAGCTCCAAGGGTGATCACGTGCGTTTGGTCACCGACCGGAAGAACGCCGGGGCACGTAGGGTAGACTAGACCCGGTTTGGAAGGCCACGGCGCAGCCCGGAAGGGAAAGTGGGAATAGCCTCAGGATGAAAAGGAAGGAGGAATACATAAATATGGGTTAAAGGACAAGCCTATATTGCAACGTTACAGCAGCTATTAGTCCCAAGATAAATACGTATACTCATATCCTGAGAGCCTATTAAACGTATTCCATCTAATTAATAAACCTAGATCTATGCCTGACTCTGATATTCACATTACTAGGCTTGTTAAACCAGTAGTTACTCGTCTTCCACTCTGTACAAGCATCCTCTAAATCAAAAGAAAGCAGGAGCTGAGCAATCATCTTATACATCTCACACAAGGATATCTAACAACTAGTTAATTTTGACCATACTCTTTAATACAAAGGTACTTACGTTCTTCCCGATACAGGTTCTCGACCCGCCTCCGAACTGCAAATGGTGTTAGTGGACGTGGACAAAAAGCACCTGGACCTAGGTTTTATCATACCTGAAACATATACCGGTCCATATTCTTCGCGTCATCCCGAAACCATCTTTCAGGCCTGAATTCATTCGCGTCGTCCCCAAAAATCGTCTTGTCGCGATGAACGACGGCTGCGTTCACTCCAACTCTTGTTCCTTCAGGAAACCATTCGCCACAAACCATGCCTCCACCTTTGGGCACGTTGCGCGGTAAGGTCAACCCAACACTAGGATGCATCCTCATGCCTTCTTTGCAGCATGCCTCCAGGTACGGGAGCTTCACGGCTTCGCTGTGTCGCACATGCGGGACGCTTAGCTCCCCAGACGCAGCACCTTGGCGAATTTCCTCTGTCAACTTCTGATAAGCCTGTGGGCTCTTGACAAGATGGTAGAGGATGGACGAAATCGCCGCTGCGGTGGTATCTGACCCTGCAAACCTATTTTCCCGTTAGCTGCTTGTGAAGCGACGTAACAGGGTACTGGGCACAAACAAAGCAACGTAGACTTCAACTTTTGCTTCTGTCAATCCAAAGTTGACCTTGTCGCCCTTTTCTTGAATTATTTCGAAGAGAGCTGAGAGGATATCCTTTCTCTCAACAGTTTCGCCATTGTTGAGAATTTCCTGTCGCTCGGCGATGCATGATTCGGCTGCTCGTTCAATCTCGTTGATGGCAGTTAAAGCACCCCGTACACTTCCAAACATTGTCCCTGCCAACGAGAATAGAGTGCGAATGTAAGTTGGCATGGCCGAAGCCACTGCCAAAATCGGCAATAAAGTGTCCAGTGATCTGATATAACCTCGATGGTCACCACCTTCCTTCAAGAAGCCGAACATACGGCTGAAGAACAGCTGGCCTATCACGTCAAAAGCATACCTGTCCGCGGTCCTGTCAGTAACTTGCTACCCACTCATAAAGGCCATAGGGGGAAATACATCTGAACCCAGCTCGAAATGTCGACAACTTCCCCAGTGTCGGCATACTCCCGCATTCTTGACATCAACAAGTCTGTGCACAGATCGATGCCGCTCTCGGCTCGTACGATGTTTGTCATGGAATACAAGCTATTGACGATCCTTCTGCGGCTTGCATGGAGTCGTTCATCCAAAGATGTGAAGTGGTCAGGGTACTTGGCTATGTCGAATGAGTGCTTGTTCAGAGTTTCCAGATAGTTGCAAACGTACCCCATAACGGCCGCCACGGAAGATAGAAATCAGTCTTGGGAAGTTAGCAGGTCCAGGAGATGCAAAGGAAACTGTCGATTATTACCTTGGTGAAGCCAGAATTAATGCTGTAAATTGATCTGATCGCATCTGGGTCCGAAATCGCAACTTCATCGGGAGCAATCCGCACGATGGGCCCTATCCGAAATCCATTTAGCGTTGCCATGTATGTACTGAGCCTTGAGACTTACCTAGCCTACTGTGAAGCTTCCTTTGGGTCTTGTCGGCGCTGGCTCCGGCAACTTGCATGACAAGCCATGATCGCGACACTGAAGCCAAGAAGGGTCCAGGATATTTAGCGAGGGGATGGAGATGTCTGGTGTAAGCGATCCAGAAACACCAATACAGTATAAATAGCCCGAGGAAAAGACAAGCGCATGTGAGCAAAGGAGGAAATGAAAAGGACACGCCTTTAAGCGTTTCGGCAGAGATTGGCAATATCATTATAAGTCGAGGCTTGGTGTTCGTTCTGGAGATTTGTCAAGTATTTCTCAAGGCAGACACTTGGACTTAAATAAGGCGTGGTCACATATGCAATCCAAATCCAGTGGTTGTACAACTGGGTTGACCAGGCTGAACAGTGAAAGTTATCGGGATATTCAACATGGTCTTTGAATTTCCCGACTCTAGACAATTACCACACACATGTCCGCTCAAAGTTACTCACAAGGACATCGTCACTTGACCACAGCACCTAATGTTCTGCTATGAGGGTATCCTTTACGCTTGGTACTGATCGACATTGCCCAGAGATCGTTATTGACCAAGGTTTTCGATCATGCGTCTTCCCCATATTCAACACTCATCTAATCCTGGGACAAAAGAAACGCACAGACACGGCACATGGGCGAATGCGGGGATGAGTGCGGGGGTGGTGAAATTCCCGAGCGTTCGGATCGCGGCTCGGCATCTATGGGAAATGACCCTACCTACCTACCTACTCGTTTGTTAGCCTAGTGGCACAGGTCAGGTAGGAAGGCTGTTTCGTCTCTCGCAGTTGGTCTATTGTGAAAGGGCCAGTTCCTCCATCACGCCCGGCTGGAGTGGCCCTGGGACTGAGCTGGACCCATGCTTCCCAGGCGGTGTTCGTCATCTGTCGGATAATTTCCCACCTCCACAAGACGCTGGCCACAGCACGGCATTTTCCCACCCCCTCTGCGGGGAAGGGGAATCAGATTTCGTGGCCGTGTCGGGTTGCTAGATGCAGAGGCGGAAAAATGCCACTCATGACGGCTTTTGCCACCCCAAGACCGCGCCGGAGTGAGTCGAGAATCTACAGGACATGATAACTCACCCCTCTCCCATCCACCTTGTATAGATATATCTCGAGGCGGATGATCACAGACTTCCAATATTTTACCATATTTCTTTTACAACTACTTCAGCTTGGTCCTTGGCTCACAAATTCCATCAATCTTTTCTACCAAACATGTCCAGCCGTCCAAAATCCAACTCGGAACAGGCCCCTGCGACCGCGCAGCATGGGCAGACGGACCAAGCTACCGTCAACCCTTTGGTCCTACCTCCAGGAACATCCAGCACTACCTTCCAGGAGTTCATTGTTGAGGTCAAGGAGATCAGCGGATCCGAGAACGTGACCATCGTCAGCAGCAGCGAGCAATGCAACAAACAGGACTACCTTGACCAGAGCAAGGTCCATGATATGTTCCACCTCACTGGTCCAGAGTATTTCATATCCTCGGCACTTATTACCCCGCGCAATGTTGCCGAAGTGCAAGCCATTGTTAGGCTATGCAACAAGTTCGAGATTCCCCTTTGGCCGTTATCTATTGGCCGGAATATCGGGTATGGGGGAGCAGCGCCTCGAGTCCCCGGATCTGTTACCATCGACCTTGGAAAACATATGAATAAGGTTTTGAAGGTTGATGTTGAGGGAGCATACGCATTAGTCGAACCCGGGGTGACATTTGCGGATCTTCATCAGTACCTGGTCGATCACAATCTCCGTGATAAGCTCTGGATTGATGTGCCAGACCTTGGAGGAGGCTCTGTTCTGGGAAATACAATCGAAAGAGGCGTAGGCTATACACCATACGGTATGAAGACTGCCTCTCTTGACCGGTTACAATGACAAGCTAATAAAGAGTCAGGGGACCACTTTATGATGCATTGCGGCATGGAAGGTAAGCATTAACACTAACCATACTTCATTCTACCTTTTCAATGGCGTACTTGTCAGACACTTGATCAAAACACACAGAGAGACACGGCCAGACTTTAAAGATCTTCATAGCTAATTCACTTGCTAGTTATCCTCCCAGATGGAACTCTGGTTCGCACGGGAATGGGTGCACTCCCAAACCCTGACGCAGACCCTGACGCTCCACCGCACGAACAAGAGCCCAATTCAGCTTGGCAGCTTTTCAACTATGGATTCGGTCCATACAACGACGGGATTTTTAGTCAATCTTCACTCGGAATTGTAGTGAAGATGGGCATTTGGCTTATGGTTAACCCCGGCGGCTATCAATCCTACCTAATAACCATTCCTGAGGATAAGGATCTGCACCAAGCCATCGAGATCATTAGGCCACTTCGGACTTCCATGGTCCTTCAGAACGTCCCAACAGTCAGACACATTCTACTCGACGCAGCTGTCATGGTAAGGAAAGCAAACTCCTATTATCTTTGTCATGTGTTGCTTACAAATATCATCAGGGTAACCGCGCATCATACACATCTTCAAAGAAGCCTCTCAATGACTTGGAGCTGAATGAAATTGCAAAGAAATTAAACCTAGGGCGCTGGAACTTCTATGGGGCGCTTTATGGCCCCGAGCCAGTTAGGAAGGTTATGTGGGATGTTGTCAAGAATGCCTTCTCAGCAGCTATCCCTGGTGTCAAGTTTTACTTCCCAGAGGATATGCCTGATAATGTCGTCCTACAAACCAGGCATCTTACGCTTCAAGGTATCCCGACCTACACAGAGCTAGAATGGGTGTAAGTCTTCTTAACTCCAGAGCAATATTTGTCGTAGCTAACGAAATGATAAGGAACTGGCTACCTAACGGCGCACATCTCTTCTTCTCACCTATTGCCAAAGTCACCGGTGACGATGCCATGGCGCAGTACCAGCTGACTCGGAGCCGTTGTGAGGAAGCCAATTTCGATTTCATTGGTACCTTCGTTGTTGGCATGCGTGAAATGCATCATATTGTTTGCCTTGTTTTTGATAGGGCTGATGAGGATTCATGTCGCCGCGCACACCAGCTTATCAGCACGCTTATAGATGACGCAGCGAGGAAGGGTTGGGGAGAGTACCGCACACACTTGGCCCTGATGGATCAGATTGCGGGAACATACAGCTTCAACAACAACGCACAAATGCACTTGAATACCCTCATCAAGGATGCTCTGGATCCAAAGGGCATTATCGCCCCGGGGAAGAATGGTATCTGGCCCAAGAACTATGATCCGAAGAAGTTCGCCGTGGCACCGGCCCCTTGGACTGCCGGTCCGCGACTATAGTAAAGTAAGATAGCTTAGGCATTTAAGACTGATCTTATCTTGATCTTTATGATGCACAGTGGTGTTGGTAGTTTGTTTAATTATATAGAAACTAGTTTTTGCATGTTGCTAGATCGTCTATATACGCGTCGTGTTTCTCAAAGTCCATTTACTGTCACTAGAAAAGACAGTAATTGCACAGAAGATATAGTTCTAATGCATATCCGCCTTGTTTCGGCTTTCACTAGTCTAATATTACTCTCTTAGTCAACAGGCCAAGGTCAGGAAGGAGCTAAAAGATCCGCCGGTTCATCTTTATGCGTCGATCTACGTGGTTTATGGGAGGAAGCCTGAGTAATGAACCTGACGTTCTCTTGACAACTTCTAGTTAGTTTGGACTGGTATAAGTCATTGAGAGACACGCCTTTTGTTAGAGATCATCCTTTTATACAAGACATCGATTTTTATTCGTGTCTACCGTCGCAGCTAGATTCAAGTACAGAAAAGAAACATTCTACCTAGTTCAAGGCATTGACATGAGATCTGAAAGGTGGTCGGTCTACAGAAAGGGAAAGCCTAAAAAAATGTATGTTACAATATATCCAACGTCGCCCTCAATGTACACTGTCAATGACTCCTTCCATACCACCTTCAACTCGCTCAACAGCTGCAGGGAGTTGTTAATTAGGAACTCAGGAATCAAAAACAATAAGTCACAAAGCTTACAGTAATAGGGCACGCCCCCAACGTAGCCGATAGGCTTTGAAGCACGCTTTGAGCTCGATGAATCTTGTGGATTGCCTCCCACGGGGGGTTTCGGATCTTTGTCTGTAAAACTAACATGGCATCTGGAGTTGATGCGGTTAGTCTGGTATTCGCTCGAGGTAAAGGGGAGTATCCAAGAAAAAGGGGAAATGAAGAAGAAGAAGAAAAAAACTTAGGAGAGTTAGAATTGAGAAAATGTCGACTTACGAGAAAAAGTTCAATTGATCAATCAATCCATTCCACTGTTCCCTCGTTCCTCCAGTCTTGTCGATCTTCCCAGGCTTTGCCTTTCCAGTTTTCGGGCGTAGAGGATCCGAACAATAGGCGTTCGGCCATTGCTTGTTCTTGGTCTTGGTTGGAGTGACCCGAAAGTGCTCTTGGTTGTGAAGATTGACGGCGCAGATGACATTCACGGCACCCTCTAGGGGACGAGTCCCTACGCTGAACTTGCCCCTCACTGCCGTGGTGCCAGGGAATTCGAACTCGCTGTCAGAAGGATTCTGTGTGTCGGGCCCTTGCAAGTGATCTTCGTCAAAGCCCCCGAGCTGTAGTTCGAAGTTGCGCTTGTGATACCAGCTAGTTTTCGGGTTGGCTTCATACTGTAGCAACCGATCAGCAATAGACAACACTGTGTATCATTCTGGACTCACGTCATCTTTATCAATGCCAAAAGAATAAGGCTGGTTCCTGTCATAGATTTTGACACGTTGCCTGCCGCCAAGTCCGTTTTCCGTCAGCCAAGTTTGATCGTCGTCTGGTCCCCATGGGAACCAATCGGCCCTGCCCTTGTCGACATCTACGTTTTCTCTGGGGTAGAAATGAGGCAATTAGCATATCTATCGATCGAAGGACAAGTGGCAGTAGGAGAAAGAAACTTACGGATCGTCGTAGTAGTTGACATTAGTCTCGATGTTATTCAACAATTCTGAAATAAACAACGTGAGTAACCAACTCAAAGACCCGAAGCGTGAAGGGGAACTTACTATGGCATAGCCCTTGCAGATCGTTTTGCCAAGTTGGAATGCAAGTCCTGGTTGTACCAAACATGTTGGAATCTTCCCGCAATCCGTATGCGATATGACCACCCTGCTCAGTTGAGGCAAATGGGAATTCATCACAATTGAGCAATCCATTCTTTGGAAGGTTAAATGCGGAAGGGTCAGCAAATAGTTCGCTCATCGTTCTTTGGTCCTCCCTGTAGCAGTATCCGCGCTTCCCCCCCATACCAGGGATTTGGATATGAGGGCATGCACTCTTCCGGCGCTCATCCTGATTATCAGAATCCCAAGTCAGCTTGCAACTTGTGGCGGTGCATGGCGACCAAAGGGCCTTTCTTCTAAAGGTTGTCCCCGTCCAGGTTTGAGTGAACATGTTCATCGATGTGCAGATGCCGGGCATTGTGACAGTGTCGCCGGTTCCACCTTGTGATGTATCGATCGTGAGAGCGTAGTCGGCAAAGAAGGTTTTGCAGTTGTCTGTCTTGGTCAGCATCGTATCTACCGTTGGTGATAGGCTAGCCAGCTCTGAACACAGACTTACAGTAGAGTGTTGGCATGACATCCTCACATTGGGGCGCCAGGTACGGCTTCGCTCCCGCTGGCTTCCCATCCTCATCTGACCCATTGCCATCTCCATCTTGCCTCACTTGCAGTTCGCGGGCGGTCGGACTCTCCAGCCCCCTCTTATCGAAATCGACACTCCTTGGCTTACATCGGGGCCCCTTTTCCGGTGTGCACCTGAAGTCACCGAACTCAAATTCGGTATCTTTCGTCTCGGAACGTCTCTGAGTATTCGAGGACACATTCCCCGTGCTGCCGAGTAGGAGTCCGGTAAGTTGGAGGAAGCTGAGGCGCGAGGATGTCTCGTTGGGGACCTGAAAGATGGGATTTGGAAGAGGCTCGTGTTGCTGGGCGAACAAGGGCAGCGATCGCTTCTTGTCATCATTAACCGACTTGACCGTCTTGGGACCGTAAAGATCGATTTCTTGCAAGGGGAAGGGGAAGTAGTTCTTGGTTCTCCAGTCGCCATAGAGGATGATGTCAGCCATCGCCGCGAATCCAACGCGATACAAGAACTTGACGCCGTATTGGTATGACCAAGAGATTCTCTCGCCCAACATCGTTGATGCTATGGCATTGGCGTAAAATCGCAGGGTTGTGTTGACGAATGCAGACACGTGAGCATCAACCAGAGTTTTCTATGTGCCATGTTAGATTTAGTCTCCATATACCCATCAAAGAAAAAAAGAACTTGCCTGAAAAGAAGCGAAACCTCCGCCGACCTTGATTCCCATGTTGACCTCAGGGGTCACGAGAATGTCAAACTCTACATCGGCCTCGACGTTGGCTTGAAAATCAGGCTCTAGGCCTTCTGTCTTGTTGACAAGGCTCTCCTCAAGCTCCTTGCTGGCCCTCTGTCTCGTGTTGTCGTTGTTGGGCATGTACATCTCGATAGGCGCCAGGGCATATGTCGCCCCGACGCGCATTTGGCCCCGGACTGTCACTTTTCCGTTGAGTTGACCCCAAAGATCAAATGAGGGACCGACGGCGGCAATCCCCTTGATGGCCAGCCCGGGGTAAGTGAGCGTGTCGATGAGCTTTTTGCGCTTTGTTTTGTATGCCAGGGAAGCGTCGCCTTCGATTTCGATTCCTGCAGTGACTTCAGGCTGTGCGCCAACAAAGGCGTAAGTGTCGATGATCTTGGGTGGCACCACGGTTCCAGAGAAGTAGTAGGCGTATCTCGTGTTCATTTCGATGCCAATGTCAGCCGTAACATCCAGGCCGGCTTCGACAGTCACCCCGGCATTGTTCTCACAATGGAGTCTCCCGCTGTACAGAGTGAAGTACTTGGTCAGCCCCATTGGCAGCACGCCCGACTCACCTTTCTTGACATCGTTGAGCTTCTTCAGCCACTCCTCAAAGGGGCCAAACCAACGCCGTTCAATTTCAGATCCATGAGTGGCGATGTCTTCGTTCGGACAGTCTGGAGAGAGAGTCACTCTGGAGTTGTGTTGCTTGAAAGACCGCCTCTTGTTCTTGTTGGCGGCCCTGGCCTTGTCAAGGCGGTGTCTCCATTCGTCGTAAGACCTGTGCGGTACTAAATCCCGGTTTGCACGTTTCTCCTTGTCGACTGGGTCGTCTGCGACCTTTTCCTTGTCTGTTGGGCTGTCTTCCTTACTGGCAGGCTCGTCTGTAACGTTGTCCCAATACTCCATGAGATTGGTGTAGTCGATGCGGATATTCACAGGGTCGTCGTCACGCTCAATGAGATGGAAGTTGTAATCGATTCTAACCCTGTAGATCCCTGTTTATCCTAGTTAGCTGATAGAAAGGCTATATAATACTTAGTTGACATACCGTTTCGGTTTTCCGTAGCTCTTCTCTTGTGAAGAATCCAGAGTGGAAGGTCATCCTGCTCATCCTCTGGTTCCATGGAGACAATGCGAGCCCATGGACCCTCGCCAACGTGCGACGGAAGACGGATGATGGTATCCTTGGCGCCTTTATAGAAGGTGCGACGGCATTGGTGCGAGTCCGCGGGATGATTGCAGTAGACCCGGATCGTCTCGTCGGAGTGCTCAAACACATTCGACAGAACGGTGCGGTTCGTTGTGACAAGGGCTCTCTTCTTCAACCGTCGAGGCTCCTCACGCTCCACAACGGTGAAATCATCACCGAAAGCATTGTTGATAGACCCTAGCGGGCCATCCAGCATGACAAATCCATAAGGATCAGAGCCCGGATTGTCGTCCAGGTCATCAGGAGTGATGTCATGGTTGTTGTTGCCAAAGTTGTTGGCCCATTGCCAGGTGACATCAGCCTCGTCATCGTCGGCACGGTTGCTCCAGAGGTACTTGGGCTCGACAGGCCAACTGTTGTCGAACTTGGAGGGCGGATCGCAGCATAGTGGATACTCTGGGGAAACTCCCGGATAGTTGGGGTAGTCGGCGCAGTTGACAGCATCCTTCTTTTGCCACTGGATGGATACGTGAGGGACGAGTGCACGGGTAACAGCGAGCTGCTCTGAGCCGCACTGTTTCTTGGCACAGGTGTACATGTCTTGCCACTGTTTGTCGGATGATGCATCCTTGACCTTGGTCGCGTCGTTTGACCATGCACAGTTCTCGAGCGGATCTATAGATGAGGTCAGTGAATGTCCCGCTTGGCTTCCCTCCAAGGTGGTGATTGGAAACTAACCTTCCTTGGGGCAGCAGTATGACCGGAGGTCACCGTTTTCCAGGTCACACATGCCTATGGTTAGAAACTGTTAGCCGTGACCTTCGTTACTTGGGAAAAGACGCAACATACTTCCGTTGTCTTTGTCCCCTCGCCATGCGACGACCTCAGCATCCTTCCCACAGTTGTCCTTGGAAGGGCCACAGTCGGACCACCAGCACTCGTTCACAATCTTGGTGCTATCGCAGCAAAGCTAGGAGTACTCGTTAGTCATATGCCAGGATTCTTTTTAGTAGGAGAACTCACACTTCTTCTACCAGAGTAACAGTTACCCTCACCTTTGTGGTCTGTGTAACTGTCTGTAGTGAGCTCAAATTGGCTGTCACCGCATCCTCGATCGCAGCCAAACTCGCTCTTCTTTGGGGCACCGACCCATTCGCAGTTGGAAGGCGCATGTTTTGTAGGACAGCAGATGTGATGGTACTGGCCCTCTTTGCATTTCTCCAGTGCTAGCTCTTGTTGGATTTGCCACGGCGCGTGGGCAAGTTCCACAGATTTGTATCCGGAACCGCACTCTGCTTGTGAGTTCTTCTCGTTGCCGCCACGAGCACACTTTTTCGGGATGTAGCAGTTCTGCCCAGTATAGGCAGACAAGTCCTCAACAAGCTTACCCTTCTCATGGGACTTGAGAGAAGTATCTCCCAACGCATTGGCCATGTTTTTGTCGCCGAAGAGGTCGTGCATGGCGTCGAATTCGGGCGTGTCCAAATCCAGCGACCAAATCATGAACCCTTTGAGGCAACGGGATGATTGGTACAACTTCTTGGCCTTGAAGGTTTCAGCGTCATCGAAAGATATCCACTCGTTGGATCCGTAAATCATCCATTTTACGGTGGACTCTTGGTCGTAAAGGGGACGGCCGGTGCCCAACTGCTCCTTGTGCCCTTTGATCTCTGACAAAGGGGGGTAAGAGTCAGCAATAAAACCTTTGTTTCAGATTGAAGAATAAACTTGCCAGCATATGAGAGGATACCTGCCTCATTTGTGCAGTCCCCTGGGAATGATGGACCGGAGAAGAAGCAATCCGGGGGTTTGTTGCATGAGGGGTCTTTCATGGTGAAGCCTCGCCCGTAGAACCCGTAACCCATAACGACTTTGTCGGACGAGACTCCGTTGCGCCAGAGCAGATCTAGGCCGTCCTCAATCTCTGTGAGATTGGTGTGCCCTTTGAGATAAGGCCCAGTCGCCTTGATCTTCTTATCCCAGACCTATTTTGCGGTCAGTTGTGCCCAAGTGATAGGGGAAAGAGAAACTCAACGCCATGGATGTCATATGTCATGACATTAAACCAGTCAACGTATTTTTCGAGCCGCTTGATGTCGAATCCTCTAAGGTACCAGTAGCTAGATGGGAGAGTAAGAGTGAGCTGCCATCCAGGGTCAACCGAGTCGAACGCCTCGCGGATCTCAGAACAGAGAAGAACAAAGTTGTCATAATCTTCCTTGGCGCCGCCTCTGTCATCCGCCACAGGATATTCCCAGTCGAGATCCACCCCATCGAGGCCGTATTTTTGGATGTACTTGATGAGAGAGCTGATGAACCTTTCTCGATTGGGGACAGTTGATGCCATGTCAGAGAATCGATACCGGGTCGGCGGATCGTTGAAAACCCAGCCCCCGATAGCTATGTTGACCCGGAGTCCGTCGTATGTCCGCTTAAGCCGTGCAGTTCGGGCCACCACGCCCTTGTTCTCGTCGGTGATTTCGAAGTCTTCCGAGACATACTCAAAGGCAACGTTAATGTGAGTGAGAACGCCAGCAGGGATATTCTCGGGTTGAATGCGGTTGCATTCTCTCGAAGCGCCCCAAGCACCATAGTATGCAATTCTTACTTCGGATTCCATCGCGTCCGAGGTAGATTTACAACTAGGCCGCCTAGATAAATTTGTATTAGCCCAACGCTTCCTATCTCGGGAATGCTTGTTCACGTTTTGACTCACTTGACAGGCTTGCAACCGCCCTTGTTCTGGCATTTAGAGTTACAGAACTCGTCTATGGTTCCGCAATAGCCAAACTCGCTGTAAGGGTTCATCAGCTCCTGGCTCTTCTTTGTCGAGATCCTACCAACTCACCTGCAACAGACATTCAGAGGGCAGTTAAAATTCTCCTTCCGAGCATACTTGCCACACTCTGCTTTTACGTTGCAACTGCCTTGACATCTTTATTCATCAAAGATCAGTCAACCGCTTCTCGCAAGCACAAGATTGGAGTACTCACCCTTTACCACAGAATTCGGGACCAAATCCACACTTGCCTTTGAGCATAGGAATTCATCGTTAGCAGATAGTCAAATGGAGCTGGTGAGAGGGCTTTCTTACCATTCTTGCTGCAACAGCCAGACTCGCATGCCTTGGATTTGCTGCAGGTGTAATCTTGTTGGGCAGAAGCAAACGAAGTGAACACAAAGAGGAGAAAAAAGACGAAAAAGAGTTCTTTCAGCTTGGCAGACAAAGCCCGATCCAGCGGGCTAGAACTTGTTGGCTTCATGACGATGCACATGAAATCGATACGAATTGAAGATAGAGATGTAGCCTAACGACCATGGTTGATGAGTATATATCGTAAATGGAGTCTGGTCTTGCTTTCACAAAGCTCCCGATCGAGCGAGGTGACAACCAACACACGGCTCCGAAAACCACGAGTCAATTTACTTGAGCGCAGGCTTGATCCACTGGCAAGGTATGCATGCCTGAGCAATGATCCATTGCGGAGCGCCGGTTGGCTTGGCACATGATCCTCAAGCGCTCATTCTTGAGCCCTAAATTTGTCTTCTGTTGGCTCTAGAGAAAGTCGTTCTTAGGACATGAGACAAGAGCGTGACATTTACAAGCTCTTTTCAAAGTAAGAATCTCGTGGCAGGTGACGGAATGGTCTAATCAGGCTGTGCTGTCTCAGGTAGATGGTTAACCTGTGGAGTTTAACATCTCGGCCTGCTCGGAAGGATAATCAATCCAGGTGCAGGGAAGGCACAGTGTGAATGCATACTCGCCTTGTTTCAGCTTCCAGCAATCTAACATTACTATGTCGGTCAACCGTGTTAGTCTGTTGCATTCTTTGACTCAACATCTCAACATCAGATCATCTCGGCGAAGCGAGATGCAATGCACGTCCAAGGTCTGTGCATTGGAAACCTTTTGAAACTATGCCTTGCAAAAGCTAGCCTGTCTAATTTGTGCGCATCTCAAAGTGAGACGAAACTATCCACCAGTTGGTTAGCAACCTTTTAGACAAGGAGTTGGGTCATGATGCTTGGAGTTTTCCCGTTGAAGACCTTCGAGCGCGCTCATCTATCCCATGATCGAAAATCTTGATTCTCAACAACCTCATTGTATGCTTCTTCCGTCATGGTACCTCTGTTCACGCTTCTGGCCTGGTCCGCCTTCACGTTGCCGGCCTCATCTCTCAAACTCTGGAAGACTCCTGGAAGTATTGCCACGACAGTACCTGCAAGATGTCGAGCTGCTTTGAGTTCTGAGCTTGAGTGCGGGCCTCGACTGGTCCGTCCAGCTGAGCTTGAGACCCTCGGATCTCTCACAGAGACTCTTTTGACTCATTACTGCAATTCGACTTGCGCCACTTCCATGAAGGTTGGTGCACTCTTCTACGAGTCGCCTGTCCCATGTATACTGAACATTAGTAGGCCTGGGTCGAAAATGTCGACAAAAACTGCGGCTCCAAGCACCATGACTGGGGGTTCAACATCTCAAGGTCTGGAAACGATATCGCGAAGCCATTGTACTGGGCCCATCAAGCCTCCTGTATCACAGACAAGGAGGGCGGGGAATTTTGCATTCCCAAGATTGCCAATCGAACAGTGGAAAGGTGTAGTGATTGTACACTCAAGTACCTAGCCTCCTTTGTCGGTAACGATTACGCCCCCGAAGTCATTGAAGATGTCGGATTCTCGAAACTTCTGACTTCTTGCTCGGCGGATGCAACCAGGTATCCGCATTCAACAGCAACAGAAACAATTCCTGATCCCGTGTAAGTTTTCCTCGCTCGGTGAGTGACTGGTATGGAATCTGAAATTAATGCAAAGTTTCCAGGTCGACGACAGAGCCGGTGAGGGAATGCCGCGGCACTACCCACACTGTCAAGCCTGGCGACGACTGCGACTCGATTGCGAACGCCTTTGGGATCGCAATAGACCGTTTCCAGACCGAGAATGGCATTGATACAAAGTGCCAGTCTATGAAACAAGGCGACCAGGTCTGCATCGGATTGAGTTGCGATTTGCGTCAGGTTTGTCTGCACAATGACGATGCTGGTTCAAGAGACTTGAAACTAATCATCTCCCAGGTTCAGTCGAACGAAACTTGCAAGGACTTCATTCGTGAATACAACTTCTCATTGACAGAATTTCTCTCCTGGAATCCCATTATTCACTCTTCATGCAATAATTTTGCATCACTAAGGGGCAGAACCATCTGTGTTGGGTAAGCATCTGCCTAGCTACATCTGATGAAATACTAACCTCGAAACTTCAGCCCTCCTGGTGAAGGCAGCTACAAAGGCCCTCCTCGAGTCACATGGGCGACCTCCAAAACCGTGCCGCCAGGCGTGTGGGAGCCGGCATCAACGATTGGAAGGGACGCGCCCAACAGAACAGACACGGATTCCTTCAGAATCCCAACCGTTACGATCACAGGCAACCCTGCAGCGATGACCAACTATGATAAGTATGTTAAGTGGTGCCCGTTTGATGATGGGGCCTACGAGAAGGCTTTCGCCGTAGAGGAACTAGATGAGGAGTGTCGGGAGATTCTTGAGCCCTACTGTGAACCAGAAGCAGTCGGTGAGCCACTTCCAAGCCCAACATTTCCCTCAAAATGTCTTCCTTCGACGGCATCGACTTCAACATCTTATCAAGTTGTCGCGGGAAAGAGTTCGCAGACGACGGGTAGAACGAGCAGCCCTACAAACTATTAGGAAGGGGTGCGCTAGACACCCCAGATAGCCGGTCGTGCAGGGAGGTGGATGATAGTGTTCTATGGGAGAGTTTCAACACTATCTTGTACTGATACCTACTAATTTTCTTGGTTTGACTGTTGAAGTATCAAGTGATGCCATGATTTTCATAAAATGAGAACAGAGAGAAAGCAACAACTAGAGACCATAGAGAAGTTCGAAGGGCCAACATGGATAGTCAAATTTCGCTTATTCTCCTTGATAACCCTAGGTGAGCTAGATAGGTTAGTTTTCGGGCCGCACTTCTCAAAGAGTAGGATCTATTCACCATCCATGTCCCCGTTAAGTTTCCTTGTCATTTGAAGCGAGTAAATCGCTCTTAGCAGGGGTTTTCTACATGATAAGAGCTTCTATTGCTCGTCCTCCTCGTTTCCGATGACGCAGTGACTTTCAGTAGCCTCCAGCAGTGTGTATCCATCCGAAAAAGTAGCTCGCATGCCCTCCATCGCGCTCGGGTCGATCTTGTTGTTCCAAACCCTGTTTCCATGGGCGTCGAGCCACATAAGCTTGACCAAGTTTTCCCGGATGGCCTCTGCATCAATTATGTAGAGGAGAGCTTCTGCTCTACACGATGCCGCTACGAGTCTGTAATTCGATACTTCCCCCTCTTCACCCTTCAGCTCCTCTAATTCCCTCTCTTTCCGCTCAATTTTGTGGGGGTAGGGGTAGAAATCGCCAAGAGAAGGCAGCCGGGCTACGATGGTTCGGAGAATCTGGTCCTTATCGTAGTCAGGGCCAGCGTCATAAAGAGCCGCGTCTTCGAGGAGGAAATATTCCTCTGGGCAGGCCCCGGACAATCCATCTCCTTCACAAGCCCAATCTTCCTTCAGCTCTTGGTATTCATCCTCCAACGCAGGTTCATAGCAAGCTCGAACCCACACCGGAGTGGCAAGGCCCCATCTGTTGGCGCATATGTTGCGCTCCTGGATGGTCTGGTGAGGCTGAAGAACCCTTGCAATGTTATCCTGCGTGAGCAGGGGGTGATCCTCTCCTCGAATTCGGCCTCGGCTTCGGGCGCGCTCACGACTCTCGATGGCCACTCGGTGATAGCGCTGGGTGTTGAATCAGCCGGGTCATGCTTGAAACCAACTGGGGCAGTGCAAACCGTTCGTTCACGCGGCTGAAGTGCGAGATACTTCTTGACCAACATGATCCATTGTTCTGCATCTGCATCGCGTGGTTTGCTGTAATCCCATTCCTCCTTTATCGCTCACGTTAGGAGTCAGTAAGGGGTTCGGGATGAGAAAGAACTCGCGAAATAACGCACAAGGGCGAATGTGTCAAAGGCGATGCGACCGTACTCAGCCTTGGGCTCCAAAGACTCCATCTCGTTTTGGATAAAATGAAGAGGAGTCGCAGTATCCGCCACTGCGCAGGTGATGAACAGAGTAGAGCGAGGTCTCGACCGAGAAAAACATTCGGACACGAGGTTGGTGAAGGGAGAAGTTGTTGGTTGGGACCTGTGTTAAATTCGGTGGGTTTATCTTCACGCAGGGGCAGCACAGTGCATGCGTCCTATTCGTGGACACATCTCAATGGATTCCATGCTGCCTATCGTTGCGGCCCGGCCCGTTTCAGAGCACCCGTTTGTGTGGTCCGAGGCTGTTGGTTGTGAAGTTTGGCTAAGAGTCGGCAATCAGCTGAGGTCGGTGATTTCTGGTCGCACCCTTCCGCCGAACCCCCGTACCAACAACGCAGGGCGTCCTGTCCTTCATCTTCCTCCAGTTTTCCCCATTTGCCTAAAGGGTACGACATGCGGTGTTGGTTCCACCCCAGTCTTTTTCCCTCGGAGATCAATAAGTGATTGATATTGTCAAGGGGCTGTGAATCATGGATCAAGGTCGTAGAACAATGTTGGCTGCGAGTTTTTTGGAATTCAGCAAGTATCGTCTGTTGTGTCTGAAGACCGGACTCTCCCGTTGTTTGGAGTTAATGGTAGTTGTCTTGGCTGTTACGGAACTAGAGGAGAGAAGATGTCATGCACTTCCTTTTCGGCATTCGGAGCTATAGTCTATGCCGTATATGCTGCCTCTATAGTCTCTACTACATTGACCACTCTTCAAACTTAAGTATGTAGCATTCCATCGTATAGTTAGGTTGTAACCCAACCCACATCTTACTTACGCCAAACCTCGCACTATTATTCACCACAGGATTGTCTTGAGGTGCTGGTCACCTCCGTACCCTTTCGTTTCACTACTCTCCCTGCGGCAGTTACTCTTCCACTCATTCAACATGCTGCCGTCTATCATTTATTTCCTTATACCCGCCACTATTGCGTTGCATCTGCCCCCAGGCTACCACGCTGGCCTCCTCCAGCGTGCAGAGGAGAAAGCTCCAGTTCCGAGTGATACTATCACATCGTGCACCTTCCGCTACACCACTGAGTCCTCAGAGGGTTGTGACTATGTGGAAGAATATTGGGGTGTTAGTCACAAGGATTTTGTGGCTTGGGTAAGTTGGTGATCCCGGAATTGAGATCACTTCCTAACGGTTTGCCTTCCTGCCAGAATCCGTCAGTCCAAAATGACTGCAGTGGGATCAAGTCTGGTACTTCCTACTGTGTTGAGGTCAATGAAGGAACGCCCGCCCTATCTTCAGTCAGCGAGACGGCCACCAACACACCAACCGCAACCAGAACCCCAGGACCTTCCCCAACGCTCAATGGCACGGTTGCGGGTTGCAACAGGTGGCATCATGTCAAAAAGGTGACACTTGCGATACCATCACCAAAGAGTACGGCCTCACAACCAAGGAGTTTGTGAAATGGAATCCGGCTTTGAAAGATGACTGCAGTGGTCTTTGGGCCAAGTACTACTTTTGCGTGTCGATTCCAGAACACAAAACTGCCACAACTTCGGCCTCTACAGCGTCTTTAGCTCGCCCAACTAGCACTTCCCCTTCCGCTGCGACGCAGGAGGGCATCACCAAGGACTGTACCACGTGGCACATTGCCAAGAAGGGGCAGTTATGTGATAAGGTCATAGCGCAATACGGGAACTTGGATATTGCTACTTTTGTGGAATGGAACCCTGCAGTTGAGGATGACTGCTCGGGGCTTTGGTCGGGATATGCTTACTGTGTTGGTAAGTAACCCATACCTACCTATGCTAAGGCAGTCAACCATCTTGCTAACATCAGAACTGAAGGCACCAAGACCAACCCGACGAAACGTCCCGTTCCTGCATCTACCAAAGAAAAACCCGTCGCCACTGAGAATCCAACTCCAACTGATTGCGAAACGACTCACCCGAGCCCAACTCAGCCAGGAACTATCTGCAACTGCACGAAATGGCACAAAGTTACTGGCACGGACGGCTGTTGGAATCTCATCAAGAGGTATAAGATCACTGAAAAGCAGTTTGATGCTTGGAACCAGAAGGCGGATTGTGTGTTGTGGAAGGACTACAATGTTTGTGTTGGGGCATGAGCATAAGCACTCTCTGCTGGGTTGAATGTAGACCTAACAGGGCTTGCCCAGTTATACCTAGATATTTACTTACTTAAATCTCATATGTAACCTTGGACTTTTTCTTTCTATCTCTAGTCACTCGTGTGACCTTCCAATTTGCGGATACTGGCATCTATAGCTCCAGAGTTGAGGGAGTCATGACACAGCATTCAAGTTACAATCCCGGAGAATGGCCCAAGCCAACTACTGAGATCATGAAAGCCCACAAAATACTGTATTCGGTAGAAAACCTATCAATTAGTTGTCAGAGATGTCACGGTGTAGAAAATGGCTGATTGCAAATCCGTAGCCGAGAGTGCTGCTTCGTCGTCACCAAGTCGATGCAAGGCGCATGTGAAAAATATTATTTTCTACATCTACAGCCCCAAAATCCCCATCCATTGACTACAGACATAACCTTGCGCCGTTCCACCGGACATGTTTGGTGTCCAACTAGGACAGGCGGCTATTTCGGACCCTCGTGAATCACGATAGGACCTTCATTCCCATTGCAGTCTTTCCCGCCATCTCTGCCAGCTCAAAGTGCTGAATCATTTTCGCTGAACCTGATCCGCCCGACACACCAACCACACTAACCGCCGCCTTGGTGGTGCCGTTTCCAGGCGACAAAGCGTAGACAAAGTTGCCAGCAGCCGCCAAGTCGATGAGTCCCGGGTCACCGTTGCAGGACAAATCCAGTGAAGACAAGATGCTTGCGTCTTCGACGCTCATCTCAACAAGTCGGTTGCGGCCAACATCTGTCACAAATGCTGTCTTTGTCGCAAGGGAGATGGCTACCCAGCAAGTCGCCTTCTGGCCTTCAACCTCTCCAGTAGCCACGGTAGTTGCTTTGCAGCTGGCAGGGTCGACGCTCAAGATGGCTGCTCCGAACGCTGCGTCTGTGGCAAACACGTTGGATGTGCCTGGGACTACCTGCGAGCCAAACAGTACGGCTGTCCCTTGGGGTGAGCTGCGGGTTTCGTCTTTAGAGACGACTGCTGCGACTCCATCGCACTCCCGGACGGTAAATACGGACATGAAACCTGTCTTGTTCACAGCTGGATCACCCTTGACCATAGTGAACAACATGGACTCGTCTTCGGAGAAGAGAACTTGCGAAACCGTGTTCGTTGGCCCCACAGGTGGTGTCGTCTGTCCAAGGTCGAACGGTCGTAGTTCGTCCATGGCAGTCAAGCCCTTCCTCGAGAAGTTGCTGCATGAAACGCCAGCCTTGGCACCAGTCGAGCCCACGCACACTATGTTGTTCTTGGCTGAAGCGGCGACGGTGTTGGGGAACTCGCCGGGGACCTTGACTGGTTCGCCAACTACTGAGAGTTTTGTTGGATCGGAACGTGAGATGGCCAGCATGGTGAGCGTGTTCGAGCCAGCGTTGACGGCGAATACGTGCTACAGCAGAAAAGTCAGCAAGGATCACAAGCATGCGTTTTGGAGGGTTCCCCTGGGCTTACATTGCCAGCAATGGTTAGGGCTGACTGGCTAATCAGTGCATCGGGAGTTGCGGGCTTGCCGTCAGCGTCAACAGCCACGGAGCCGGCGCCTCCTGTCATGGTAACTCTACCCTTGGAAAGAGTACCATCATTGCCAATTGGAAGCGCGACAACCCCGTTGGCCTCATCGTTGGTGAGCAAGTAGATCGCCTTGCCCATGGTGGAGGCACGGCCCATGCCGGGGCCACAGGTTGGATGGCTACTAACTTCTTGTGCCAGGCAAAAGAATGCCGAAAGCAATGAACAAAGTCGAATTGATGAAACCATTTTGTATGATGAGTTTGAAGTTGTTCAATAAGAGAAAGTAGACGAAAAGAAGGACGTTCCGGACGAGTGCAGGCCTGCTGCGAAGAATGAAAGTTATGAAATCCTCGGCGGATGTATTACAGATTATCTCTGAAGACGCTGAATACAGTCATCTTATATACTATTTACGGCATGAAGGCTCAGCATCCAGAGTCGCTGTCTTGGCGCATCAACCAAAGATCCAAACCCTCGAGTTGAGGTAATCCAAATTCCCTCTTTGGGAAGCGAGAAAGATGCTGCCAACGTGCCAGGCAACTGGGATGTGACCCTCTTTCTAACCTGAAACGACATGAGCGTGCCGTTCATCCAGTCTCCCGGGGCAAACACGACAGGGCCATCTGACATGCTGAGACGACTGGAAGATGTGTGTGCCCCCAGCCGGCGCTAGCTGAGGCCAGGTTTCAGGGGTGTTTCGAAGATCAGCCCTCTACCCCTCCCATTTTCAGCCCCCAAGGCGATGAGAATATCAGAATTCCCCAATCCGGCAGGCCCCAACCTGCCAATGCCTAATGTTCCCCTAGACAGGGGTCATGCCAGTCGCAGATCCTGTGACGTAGCGAGAACCCCCCAAACGAGCCCTGGGTATAAGAAGCTCGTCTCGTCCGGAAACCGGCAGCCAAGTTCGTTTCACTTTCGTCTTAAGGCACATCTGCGGCAGCCAAGCTATCCTTTTGGGATAACCAAGCCAGGCGGCGTACTTGACATTCGGGTTAGCTAGCGATTGATGAGACGCCGAGTCCGACCTGAGGAAATGAAGTGCCAAAAAGGAAATTGTGTTGACTTGGGTTTCGAAGTCGTGCAGTATAAAGCCTGTCGGACTTCGCGATAGTGCATCATAGGACAATTCCATTCTTAGACCATCATTGCCCGAGTTGAGCTCGGGTTAATTTTCTCTTCTTATCATTCTTTCGGTCAATCGTCCACAATGTTTTACCATTTTGCCTTCACCTTTCTCTACTTTAGCTCGCTGGTTTCCGCCACCGCACATGTTAGCTACCACAACACACTCGAGCAGGCCTCGAGGCTTTACGCCAGACAGGGACGACAAAGGTGTTTAGATCCTAATCTGATCCAGTCCGCCAGCGCTTTGACAGGACAAGAGCCGGGGACTGAGGGCATCAAACCAGGCCAGGCGCCTTCCGCAACGTGAGTCAACAGCCATGAGGTATCTTTGAGCAAGGTTCTAACACCCTGAACTCAGAGATGCAAACAATTTTATCAACTTCTGCAAAGGGCAGAAAATTACCAATGGTGTTCAGGTTAAGTCCGGCTCATGCAACCCCATTCCCATGGGCCGGATCCCTGCCACATCCAACATGATCTCGGCCATGATCACCAGCCCCCAACCCGGTCAGGCACTTACAGCCGGCACTACGTTCAACGTCCAAGTGCAGACTTCGCATCTGCGTGCCGGCAACTTTGTCAATCCCACTACCAACTATTATACTGCTCCGCAAGATCTCGACCAGAATGGGGACATCATCGGCCACTGTCACGTCACTATTCAAGATATTGGCTCGCTTAAGTCGACTGTGCCCCCCGACCCAAGTCGCTTCGTCTTCTTCAAAGGTATTGACGATGCTGGAAATGGACAGGGACTGCTCCAGGCTGTAGTTGAAGGCGGATTGCCTGCAGGCGTGTATCGCGTGTGCACCATGATTGCAGCGCAGAACCACCAGCCCGTGACGATGCCAGTTGCTCAACGAGGCGCTCAGGATGACTGTACCAAATTTGAGGTTGTAGATGGTCAGGGCGGTGGCGGTGCATCTGCCTCTGAGGGTCAGCAAAATGGCTCTCCAGCCAGCCAGGCCCCGGCGACAACTTCTAAGCCGGTGAGGTTCGGAAAAGGAAGAGGGCGTGGAAAGGGTTTTAGAAGGCCAGGTCAACGAGGGCAACAAGGATAGTCGCTGAAATTGTAGAGCTTAGTGTCCCCAAAATGTTATCTCTTGCTCTCTGTGAGGAGGTCAAGTTCAACGGAAACAAGTAGATCTCGCAGATTTTCAGGATGCAGAGCAGCATTTAGCTCTCTTGCCCCTTCAGACCTAACTATCAACCCAATGCAATAATTATAAGTCATTTATCCATCCAGGACAATTGCATTAACCCTTGACAGAGTGCCAACTGTACTTTTCCCCTGCCACTCGTTCCTCAGAAACGAGAAGTAGCTGCCTACCCTATAGAGCCTGGATCAAAACACGCGCCATCCCAAAAAGGAAATTCTGATTACCACTGTTTCAACCGGGGCGTGTCAGGTCGCGTGGGGAAATCAGGGGATCCTTGTTTCATTGGCTGTTGCGCGCGTATTCTAACCGGCAATGACACCTTGACTAATCATGGGCAAGAAGTGAACCTCCAAGCAGTCAGACTCGCACTTCTTGACCTTCATCGGTCATCATTTCTTGCTCTTGTGCAGCCATTTCCCCCTTTGTCCGTGCATCTGCGTTAGGTCACGATGAGTAACAGCATCTTCCGCATGTTCAATCCCGGTGGTTAGTCCTGGCCCCCTGCTAGTCGCGTTCGTGCAGTTAACCGCTGACGAGAGCAGAGCCGAAGGAGAATCCAGTGGAGAAGAGACGGGCCCAGTTGAGGCGGGCCCAACAGTAAGACCATCTCATCTCGATGGACCGTTGAAGACCGTCCGTAGTGACCCGCCGTCCTAGATCCTACCGTAGCCGCAAAGACAAGTACACAAGAACACTCGAGGAGGAGCTTGCCAACTCACGATCTAAAGAGGTGGAATTGATGCGTGAATGTGAGCAGCTGCGAGAGGGTCTCCAAAATGCCCTTCATCAGCTTTCTCAACTGGGCGCCAATGTCCCTGCCGAGATCAAATCCAAGGCCAGCGGGAATGCCCCCAACGAATACGCAAGCCCATCCACAGCGACAGGATTGTCAACGAGCGTCTCTCCAATCTACCTGGGAGATCATGGCAGCCAAGCGGTGGATATCATTCCGTCTCCGCAACTCATCTCGCCGGAGTCATTCGGTGACCTTTACAGTCCAACTGAAGGCCAACCTGGCCCAATCTTGTTCAATAGTGGGGGAGGACTCGCAAATAACTCTTGCGTGAGTGAAGTGGACCAAATCATCGTGGGCATGGAGTTTGTACTAAAGTAAGTCTGACACCTTGTGGGAGGAGTGGTACTAATGCTGGGGAAAGGATTGAGGAACCCTGTCTGGGTCATCTCCATGGCGACGTCAAGAAGCCCCACGAACCTGCAAACCATGCTCTGACGGCCTCTTCCCAGCTCATGGCTGCTTGTGACTACCCATCGCCGACAAATAGATGTACTCCACTCGTGTCTCCGAATTTTGGAAATACACCGACGACCATGCTGGAACGGCTGTTGAGTCTTGCACCAGACCTGTCCGATGAGGGTGAGATGACACCAGTTCAGGCCTGGAATAATATCCGGTGTCGGCCAAACTTTGGCGGACTTAATGCGCGAAGCTTGGGCATACTTGCTGAAAGGTTGAAGAAGGCTGTGAAATGCCACGGGTAAGTGAACTTATGGGACCTGGGATTTAGCACCGTTGACGAATTATTAGGTTTGGCGCTGTTGTGAAGCAGTCTGTTTTTGAGGGCTTGGTTTACGAGACACTTATCGTTGGGAGGACCTTTTGATCGTCCACTTGAGTTGAGCTGATATGATGCTTCAAAATACGAGGCACCGTCTTTTTACCATTGAGTTATGAGACAACATGGACTCTCGACGGCAATATCTTTGATCTTGGATGATATGCTTCCTACGGCCCAAAGAACTTTTGTGGGAGATGTAGGAGCAGGCAAATGGACGTCCAGCACCTACAAGATCCAAAAACATCGGCAAGTAAAACCGGCCACATCTTCAAACTATTCAAAGGTCGCGTTAGCTCACAGTTGACAAGCAAATCGACAAGAGGTTCAGCAGCCTGACTTTGCAGCAAGGCAAGCAGGATTGATCACGGAACTGTAATTACCAGTGGCGTGGGGATGAAGACTTGCATGAGTGGCAAAGGGATGTTTCATAGCTCTTGGGGGTTCCTAAAAGGTTTACTAACCCCGTTTCCAAGGGGCTCTAGTAGATCTATATGTATTAACGATTCTATCCTGCCACAAACTTGACTAGCCGTAAGCTCTATGCACAATTTTGGATGGGCTATTGCATCAAGTCCATTTCAAATAAGCCTCACCGATTCATCTTGATATCTTAAAGACTCTACATGAAACAGATGATATCTAATGCTACCCTCTACTTAGGACCAGACATCCCAACCGCCCTGTAGATCTCTTTCACGTACTCAATCGTCAGGTCAGATCCCAAACCCACCGGGTACAACTTATTCATGACGTAGACAATAGTCATCTTCCTGTCCAAATCCATAATGGCAACCGAACCCCCAAGTCCGCTCCAGAAGCATATCCTTCCATTAGGTAGCCAACTAGGGACCACTCCTTCACCAGTTATCCCGTATCCGATTCCAAACCGCACCGGCATGTTCGTCACCAGGTCTATTCCGCTCGACATCTCTTGAAAGATCAAGTCGATTGTTTCTGGCGTCAGAAGGCGTTTCCCGTCGACACAACCTCCGAGAGAAATTGTGGAGAGAATCTTTGCAATAGATCGCGCATTGCCATGCCCGTTTGTCGCCCCTAGCTCAGCTTGTCGCCACGTGGTGGTGTTGGCCATGTCGGGGCTAAATTTGGGATTGCTCATGACCCGGGCAGCATTGGAGTCGAGATTACTATTGGAGTCGCTCTCCGTGACTATTGCCCAGGGAATAAGGTCGGAGACGCGGTGCAAGTCGGAGTTGGCAACCCCAAGTTGGAAATCAGCGTCAAGTGGCTTGGAAATTTCATCTCGAATGAAATCTTTCAGAGTCCGCCCTGTGACCTTTCGAATTACCTGACCGATCAGGAACCCGTGGGTGAAGGAATGATAGCCAGAAGCAGTTCCTGGAGTCCACCAGGGCGGCTGGGAGGCCAGCAGGGAGACTGCTTTATCGAAATTACACAGGTCATCCAGCGTTACTGGCTGCTCCCAACCCGGAACACCTGATGTGTGAGAGATGATATGCCTGATCTCAATATCTTGCTTCCCATTCGCGGCAAACTCAGGCCAATAGGTTGCCACCTTTTCGTAGGGGCTGATGATTCCTCTATCAATAAGAATGAGCGCTGCAAGGCTGGTGATGGTCTTGGTGATGGAGAAGACGTTGACAATCGTGTCTTTCTCCCAGCTGCGAGTACCACTTTCGTCAAAGTAACCGCCCCAGATGTCGACTACATTCTCGCCGTCTATATTGACGACGATCGAGGCACCAACCTCATCCCCCTCAGAGATGTGTTTGCCTAGTAAGTCGCGGAGGCCGCTGAAGGACGCTTTAGAGTTGCATTTGACAAGATGACCCATGTTGCTTCAAGAGAGAGGGAGTGGGAGACCTGAATGGGATGGTGGTATGTGGGGATTTGAGGGCATAAAGGCGCTGAGTTCATTTGGGCATGACGTGGCTCGGTACTTGTGCCTTGAGCCGATCCACTCGTGCCTATTTATGTACCTTGGACACGAAGTGACCAGCTTTGATTCACATGAGCCGATTGAATCGATCCTTGTTCCGAGCAGGCCCCGGACCCAATCGCCCTCGGGACTGAAGCACCACATTATTGTGGCTATATCCTTATCTGAACGAACCTCGTGATCGGATCATGTTTTGATTGGTCGTTCCGAGCCCACATTAGTCCGACCTCGCCCATCGTCCTGCCCGATTCTGATTCTTCTCCTGGGAGAAGGGATTTGTCAGCGAATCCCGGATGCTCTGGATCGATCCTTGTCCTGATGCTGGTCCTAGTCTGCGGCAGATGTGTTATGCTAATCTTGCTCAGTCAGATTTTGTCATGCAGTTGAAGGCTGTTGGCAGGGCGGGTATCAGGTGCGGGCTGTCCCGTTGCCGAACACACATACCCAGCTTCCGACGATGCTTCAGGTACCTAGACAAACTTTATGAATGTAGTATTTCTTTTATTCTCGAGAACTCGCTGATATCCCTCCTCCATGGTAATGGCAGACGACTCACACCGCCACTCTTAACTCATTCACAAGGTAAGTCTTCCCGCAGAGCCTCTTACAACAAAGGGCAAAAGCCGTTCAGACTCGACACTGTCTTGCCATGCCCGCTTTTGTTAAAATCGACATTGACGGGGCTCCTGCCACCCTCGGGGATACCGTGCCTCTCGTTATTGGAGGAAACGACGTCTTTTCCGACGACACCTTCGATGTCATCAACCCCAGCACGGGGGAGGTTGTACACAAGAGCTCCAACGCCCATGTGTCCCACGGACACGCGGCTGCTGAAGCTGGCGCAAGAGCGTTTGAGTCTTGGAGCCGGACGACACCCGCACATCGTCGAAACATTCTCCTCGCGGCCGCCACTATTGTCGAGAAGCGGTGGTCAGAATTGAAGGAATACATGATTCAGGAGAACGGCAGTGACGAAGGATGGGCAGAGTTCAACATATCCCACGCCAAGGAGTGCCTCCTTGACTGTGCGGGTAGGATTACTACAATCGAGGGGAGGATACCCAGTCCCAGTGACCCAACCACAGCTGCCCTCGTTGTGAAGGAGCCGTACGGCGTCGTTCTGGCCATGGCACCCTGGTGAGTCAAGACAGCAGCCAGCATTTCCAATGGCAGCAGCATGGCTGACAGCAAGTCAATAGGAACGCCCCATATGCCTTGGGCTTTAGAGCTGTAGTATGGGCGATTGCTGCCGGCAACACTGTGGTCTTGAAGGGTTCGGAACTGAGCCCTCGCTCGCTCTGGGTTGTTGCCTCGGTGCTCCAAGAAGCAGGACTCCCAGACGGAGTTATTAACTTCATCACTTGCAGCCCTCAGAATGCCCCAGAAGTTACCCAGACCCTGATCAGCAACCCCATCATCAAGAAGATCAACTTTACTGGCAGCACTACCGTGGGCCGTATTATCGCCGGGTGGGCTGGTGCAAGCCTAAAGCCCCTTCTTCTCGAGCTGGGTGGCAAGGCACCGGCCATCATCTGCGAAGATGCCGACCTTGATGTCGCGGCTAAGCAGTGTGTGATGGGAGCATTCATGTACGCGGGACAGATCTGTATGAGCACTGAACGTATTCTGGCCCACAAGTCCATCCGCACAAAGCTGGAGCAGAAACTGAGGGAATGGACGGACAAGCTTTTCGGTCCGCAGAACGAAAGCCCCGTTTTGATCACAGAACAAGCCGTGGCCAAGTCCCAAGGCCTGGTCCGGGACGCCTTGGCCAAGGGCGCATCATTGGTGTGTGGCAACGTGGACGCGACAGAATCGACCAAAACACGGTTACGGCCCAGAATCCTTAGCAACGTCAAGCCCGGCATGGAAATCTACAAGACCGAGTCCTTCGGCCCGGTAGTCTCCGTCATCGAGTTTGAGACCGACGATGACGCTGTCGCCATTGCAAACGACACCGAGTATGGCCTCACCGCAGCCATCTTTTCTCGTGATCTACGAAGAGCTTTGGGGCTTGCCAAAAAGATCGAGACAGGGGCGGTACATATTAACCGCATGACTGTTCACGACGAGTCAGCCCTGCCGCATGGCGGTGCTAAATCTAGTGGCTTCGGGAGATTCAATGCTGGGATGGAGGAATGGGTTCGAACAAAGAACATTACATATGATTTATGATTGAATCGCAGGATGCTACCGCGGAAGAATAGACACTGTTGTCTCGTACATGTTTGTTACTGGCTTGTAGAGTGTAATGCAAGGGATAATTGTGCCATTTCTCTCGATAACTACGCCGCGGAGCCTTGACGTTCTCCGTCCTCTGTGCCGGCTATGCTCTTTCGCGAGGTGGCTAGTTCGAGTACACCTTAGCACTAAGCTCGCCTGAACCATCAGAGGGAGTGCAGGCGAGTCGGGATTGTTTCGGTCCATCCATCCTTAGAGTGGAGTGAGTGCCCCGGTGCGTGTACTAGATCCGTAGCGGCTCCGAGGACCAGCATGCCGCTGGACGCACAAGCGGCTGTATGCGCAAGCGGCCGGGCAGGGTTTCGGGTATTTGCACGTATACCCGTGCCCGACCGCTACGGGTTGACAGCGGTATTGCCTGCGTATACGTCATTGAGGCCATTGAAGTTTTTGCATGTTTTTTGAAAATAATTCTGAAGAATACCTGATGTACCCAAGACTGCCTGATGTATAAGTTTGAACCTTCGTCTAGTCCGTTGAGAACAACTGGCAAAGCGTTCTAACAATCATCTCGTTCCTCTTTCTAATTTTCCGCCGACACAACAAGTGAATCACTCCCCACTCACCCACCGCTATCCATGGCTTCTCCGCTCCCTGATGCCATGAAGGCGGTGGTCTTCAAGGGCCCTTTTCAGGTCCATGTCGTTACGAAACCGGTGCCACAGATTCGCGAGCCCACTGATGCGATTCTCAAGGTCTCCTCGACTGCTCTTTGTGGCAGTGATCTGGTACCGCATCTTGAAGCTCCTACTTGTATCTCCTCTGACCCAATTGCAGCACTACTACCGAGGCCATCAAAAATCTACGCCGGGATTTATCTGCGGGCACGAGACAGTTGGTCATATCGTTGCGCTGGGAGCATCAGTCGACGGCTTCCAGATTGGCGACCATGTTGTGGTTCCCTTCTCCACGGCATGTGGCGACTGCTTCTACTGCGACCAGGGGCAGTCCAGCCGGTGCTCTAAGGGCGTCCTCTTTGGCTCCGCTACGCCGACCTTTACCGTTGACGGAGGACACGCCGAGTTCATCCGCGTCCCGCATGCCGCATCCTCGCTGATGAGAGCCCCGGCTTCGATCCCTAAAGAAATGCTCGTCTTGATGGCAGATGTGTTCCCTACAGGCTATTTCGCTGCAAGCCGCTTTCTCAAGGATCTTCCCCAGGCACAGGAAGACCCTGTGGCTGTCGTACTTGGCTGTGGGCCTGTAGGTATCTGCGCCATAGCCTCGGCCATCTACCTCACGGGCGGCAGAGCCAAGATATTTGCTGTCGACTCGGTTCCAGACCGTCTACGGGAGGCCGAAAAGCTAGGCGCCGTACCCATCAACCTCTCGGATAACCCTGTTCATAAAGTCAAGAACGCCTCGTCTGGCCGTGGCGCAGATGTCGTGATGGAAGTTGTCGGCCGTGCAGATGCTCTCGAACTCGCGTTTGATCTGATCCGGCCTTTCGGCAAGATCTCTAGTGTGGGAGTTCACAACGAACAGATTAGCTTTCCTGGGTTTGCCTTGTACTCCAAGAACGTCACAATGGCGTTTGGACGATGCCCTGTGCGCAGCCTGGTTGAAGAAACCGCACCAGTGCTGGCCAAGTTGAAGGATCAGCTGGCCTTTCTTTGCAAGAAAGAGATTCCCCTTGATCAGGCTCCCGAGGCTTTCAAGTTGTTCGAGACGCAGAAAGCACACAAGTTTCTCTTCAAGATGTGAGACAGCTGGGGAGATGTAAATAGGGACATGGATAGGACATGGAACAAATCGATGGCCTCACTTGAAAGCCATGTTTCTAAGCTTGAAATGCATTCGCTCTGTCTACCTAGGTAGACTACGTGTCAAAATACCCATGGCCTTTACTTGAATTCGACGAGGCAGGTGTTACTGGCATATAGGCGGAACGAAGCTGGTGGTACGAGTACGAGGTAAGAGAGATAACATTCATGTCAACAATAACAACCATGCCCATCATCATACTATGGCAGCTCAAGAAGCTACTGGGGCACTATATCCCTGAAAGTCAGACTTTTCCGCCAAGATAACGGGCAGTTCGTCCGTTACCAATGAGTCGAACGCCGACTTCTCCTGGGGTTTCCAACCAAGAGCGCGTAGCCTGTTGGCACGATTCCTAGCGCTCTGACCAACGACGGCCAAGGACCATTCTCCAAACAGGTCATTGTAGAGGTCGCTCGGGATCTGTCGAGGTGTCGGGTCCTGGATTTTCCCTGACTCTTGAAGCGCCTTGCCAATCTCCTCGGCGCACCTCTCCCACGAATACTCTTCTCCATTCTCTATGAAAAAGTAGGAGTTTTGGAGAATCTCGTCTCCAGAGGTGGACTCCATGTAGTGCAGGATGGCCATGTATCCTCGTGCGAGATCCGCGACGTGAACAAAACCCCAGACTGCCTTGCCTCCTCCCACATAACCGGCGTAGCCGTGCTTGATGGCGAACCGGGCCATGGTCGGGACCTGGATAGAGAGGCGGTTTCCCTTGCCCAGCCCATAGATGACGGGCGGGAACACAATGGATATCTTTGCCTTGGCGCCGAGTTCGGCACGAGACTTGAGGATGGCAAGGTCGATGGAGCGATGTGGAGCGTCGTCGGCGATGCTGTCGATAGTTTCGGGCTTGTCATCTTGGTATATTGTGTCGCTTGCGTGGCCGCCATCTGACCCGTCGGTGATTGCACTGCAGCCGCTGGTATGGATGTAGATGCTGCTCTTCCCAGCCTTGGCGCGCTCTGCGATGCCATCCAAGACAGCAGCGGCGGATGGTAGGTGGTCTGCCGTGGCGGTGTGGATCACGACATCGGCAGCAGAAGCAGCTGCTCGGATTATATCGCCATCGTCCAGCGATCCGAGTATGGTTTTGGACCCAAGTTTCTCGAGGCTGGCCTTGGCCTCCTCCCTTCGTACCAAGGTTGTTACCGAGTATCCTTCGGCCAGGAGTTCTCCAAGAATTTGGAGCCCTATGAAGCCGGGGCCGATGAGGAAGACGGATCCTTTGGTCGCCATGTTTGATGCAAACTTGTTCGGTTGGGTGAAACTGCTGATAGAAGTGCAGTGTGTTAGTTATGATTTTAGGATAGCAAGCGCGTCAGGCGCACAGTTATAGATGAGCAATCCAACCGACTGATTCAGTGAGCATAATGAGCCAAGAGTTGATCAAGCTGTGAGGTGACCACAGTTAGGTACAGTAGGTAGCTAACTAGTCTGCCCACTGCGGATACACCATATTGCCGGACTCGGACCTGAGCACAGCACGCTGACAAATTCGGAGTGAGTAAGTCAGCTTGATCGACCCATTACCCCCAGTCAAAGACACGAAGAGCGTGTTGGCAAAGGCTGGAAGGTATCGTCATCTCCACCATGATCCGGCTATATGGCTATTGGGCCCGCCATCAAATACCTCTCACCCAGGATCCAGACGCCCAACCCGCGACGTAACACCTAATCCGCGATGTAACACCCATTTAAAGCATTTGGTCGGGTACCTTGCCTGGATGTCCAAGGTTGGAGCGTCGGTTGACTGCATGCTCCTCCCACACCCGGTATCCGCTTGACGTTGAGGAAATGCCCCATAGCCGACCAGGAGGATGACAAATTGGTTAGTGCGAACAGCTTATGTAACTTTATGCTTATTGATCGGCCCGAAGTTGCCACTAAACTAGCTCAAATGTGGCAAGATAACGGGCCCGTACGAACGAATGCGGCTGGCTAGATCCGAGCGCTGGCATTGCTGTTATAAGATACCTACCATGGATGGGAGGCACTCGGCCACCTGTCATGACTTCATCTGCTGTGATAGCGCTAGATTACCAAACCAGCTTTTCGAAATCGCCTCATAGTCTCAATATTCGCAATAGGAGGAATCATCCACGTCGTGCAGCTTCGGTTCAAGCCAGACATCGGCAAGGCCAAGATTGACACTGTCTGTTTCTGTCCTAATTCTTGTGATGAGAGACGCCGCCACTGACGCTGCCCAGGTGCTTGATGATCTGAAATCGCTCAAGCATCAGTGTGTCCTTCCCGACACCAAAGAGCCATACATCAAATCCATCACCGCTGGAGCCGACAACTCCATTGAAGGGTTGCAGGTACGTGAAGGGGGTTTCCCACTCTTGCTGAATCTGCCTAACGCACTGCAGAACGGGTTTACTCACATGATTGTCACCGAGTTTGAAACCGTCGCGCATCGTGATTATTATGCAAAGTCGGATCCCGCTCATCTGGCCGTGGGCGGTAGCTTGGGACCTGTTTTGGAAGGGTTGCAGGTTCTTGATATTGATTCATGAGGTATGGATTTTGAGAAAATGGAGGTGTAGTGTATTGCACGGCTGTTGTGATCTGGTTAGAAGCATTGCGCAGGATATACTGGAGTAGACAATTTGACCCGGCGTTATACACCTGTCTATCTCGTCTATCCGGTAGATGAATCGAAGCAACTGTTCATATCACAGCCATATCAAAGATTACTTGGTTCTAGTAAATCCATCAGTGTAGCAATCACCATGTACATAGTGTCTCCTCACCCAGGTCGGCTTGGCGAGTAATCCTACTACATACGCCAAAGTGACGTGAATGGGCATTGCGAGAATTTGCACCGACACAATCGCGCAAGTAAACTACCTAAAAACAGCAGCAGCCAAACAACCAAAACCACGATGCCACCCTCATTCGTTACAAGACAGCGCGCCCGGGCTGTGTATCAAACTTCCTGAAACCCCTCAGACCATCTTCGTATATCTCCCTCACTGTCCTCCTGTAGGGCCCTAGGCCAGCAAAGTAGAACATGGGAACCGCCCTCTTTCCTGGCACGTTACCACCAAAGATCCAGGAGGTTTCGATCCTGCGGAACAGGCTCTTGGAACTCAATCGGTCGCATAGATCCGTCCACTTCTCTTCTGCCTGAGTTTCGGCTTCGATTACGCCATGGCTGGGCAGTCGACCGTTTGCGTGGCCGTTTTCGCGGCAGCCACCGTTGATACCGTTGGCTCCGTTGGTGACATTGACCTTCTTGACTTGACACAGTGGGCCCTTCTCTGCTGTGGCAATCAGATCGGAGATGAGCTCAACGTGAGTCTCGATTGCCGGTGGGAGGTTTGAGAATGGACCATTTGGACCACAGATCATGAACAGGTTGGGAAAGTTTGGTACGCAGATTCCCAGGTACGATGTTGGCCCCTTCTTTGACCAGCGATCCTTCAGCGTCTCACCGCCTCGTCCCTGGATCGCGATGCGTGTGTAGCTGCCATCGACAGCATCGAAGCCGGTTGCGCAGATGACGACGTCGAGCTCGTAAATCTTGCCTTCGGCAGTCTTGAGGCCGTTGAGTGTGAACTCGGTGATGGGGTTCGTCTTGATATCAACCACGTCAACGTTGTCGCGGTTAAACTGCTCATAGTACCCAGTGTCACACAACGGCCTCCGGGCATAGAATTCTCTGGGACAGAGCTTGCGGGCTTTCTCTGGATCCTTGACTATCTGGCAGATCTTTCTCTTGATGAACTCGGCGGCAGCCTTGTTTGCCTCCTCGTTGATAGTGATATCACCAAAGGTCCAGAACATGAAGCGAAAACCGTTGCCCTTTTGCCAAGCGTCTTCAAAGATCTGCTCACGCTCCTCTGGGGTGACGCTGAAGGTGGGCCGAGTGCTCTCTTGGAACCCGTAGGCAAACAAGCTGTCCTTTGCCTGGTCCCAGACCTGGCCGTACGACTCGTTCAGTTTCTTGCGACTCTCGGCCGAGACCGGGCCATTTCCAGCAGGGACACTGTACTGGGGGTTGCGTTGGAACGAGAACAGCTGCTTGACCTTGTTGGATTTTGCGATTGCCGTGATGACCTGGATGCCAGTGGAGCCGTTCCCAATGACGCCGACTCGTTTCCCCCTAAGATCGACGTCATCGGGCCACCTGGCTGTGTGGTAGAGCTCGCCCTTGAAGCTTTCCATGTTGGGAATCTTGGGGAAGTTGGTCTTTGAGAGAAGCCCAAGTCCCGTGATGAGGTACTTAACCTTGAGGGTCTCGGCCGTCGACAAAGTAACAACCCATCTTCGCTCTTCCTCTGCCCAATTTGCGGATAGGAGCTCGGTATTGAACTGGAAGTGTTTTCCAAGATCGTACTTTTTGGCCACATGCTTGAGATAAGCCAAGATTTCAGGGCCTTGAAGGTAATTCTCTTTCCACGGATACGACTTGAGATCCTCTGGATCCCACGAGTATCGGTAGAGGAATGACTGGGTGCTACTTGAATCAGCGATAATTCTTGCTACATGGAAACGCCACTGTTCTCGCCAAAGAGGTTCACTTACTCAGACAATGCGCCGGGGTAGCGATTCCAGTACCAAGTGCCTCCAAAGTCACCTGCCATATCAATGCCCTTGACTTTCAGATTCTGGTCGATGAGCTTCTTTACCTGGTAGATGCCGCCAAAACCGGCACCAACAACCAATGCATCAAGATACTGAGGCTCCATCTCGAAGTCTATGTGCGCAGACGGTGAGACGATTGGGAAAGCTAACGGTAGGTGGGGGGAAAGACGGAGAGAAAAACCGCAGGGTGCAGATGCAGCGTAAAACGAGGCAAGGTGAGATGGAGCTGGAAACAGGAGACGACTTACCCCAGATTTATGTTGCGGGGCCCCGCAGTTCGCGAGTTAGGAAACCCACGGTGCAAACTCAGACATGACTTGCTTCAAAGCACTTTGTCTTACTGGACGGGACTGACGGATAAAGATCCGGGAATAAGCCTGCCCCGCGGAGCTCACCCGGCCATCCAGAGGAAGACTGATAAGCAAGCGTGGCCGATGTACAGGAGCATGTAGCCGACGCTAAGCATCTCAGGGGGTGATATAGCCGGCGCGGCTTTGTGACGTGAAGGAGGGAGAGAAGCTGAGCGGCGCTCGATTTAAAGGACGGAGCAGGAAGAATGGAACCTTCCGATTGAGGTGAACGCTGCAGAGGACAGTTGAGATATCACCGCCGATGTCAACAAGCACTCCTATACTGGCACCGGCTTCGGTATACCCTCTAACAGTGGTTCGTGCTGATTCTGGTACAAGATCGACAAAAGTCATACGCTCTGGTGCTCTTTCTCTTCACTTTGCAAAAGACGTCCCAAAAAATATTCAACTCGCATCTACGGCATACTCCTTGGCCTTATTGAACGCATGTCACAACATCCGATGGATCTCAACCCAAGAGACATTCGCTTCACAGCAGTGTTTTCTGAGGATTGGAATTGGCCATTTAACCCCAAAAATCCTCGTTCGAGACGGCGGAGGTTTGCCCATACCGGGGAAAGGGTCTCGGGTTTCACTGCAGTCTTCTGTGACGACTGGAAAGACTGGGAGCATGGGAGTAATGCATCCGCGGACGGTTATATGCTAGCACACACACAGGCACAGGGCTCTCAATCTCGCCCAAGCAATGGGAGGTGTAAACGGAAAAGGGATTTGAATGATTTGGGCAGCCGCGAAGACGCCGATCCTTCCCCTGCTGAATCTTGGTGGCAGACACACCCTGAGGAACAAGGCATTGCGAGAGCACCGATTCTACTCCCACCCATACCGCCCATGTGTCAGATAGCAACCGACTTTGATGAAATGTGGTCTCTATCGCCAACAGCTTCAGGGGACTTTGTTCCATCATTTACGCCGTCGATTGATGACGAAGATGAAGTCCAGCGAGGGCCTGCAACACCCTCCTGCCCAACACCCTCCTGCCCAACACCGCGAGTAGCAGACTTGTCATATCCTATGTCTATGGGCATGGAGGCTCGAACTGAGCACCAGTGGCCTTGGTTCCTCGCTTCGGACAATTTCTTTCCTTCGCTGCCAGATCTAGTTACCCCGGGGCGAGGTATCGCCATGCCACCCACCGACGATCTCGACGGCAACGGGCTCTCTCTTACGAGAGGGCCAAGTTGCCAGAGCGGAGGTTTTGACTACTGGAGTGAGTTGCTGCAATGTAATACTAGTCTAGATAGTTGGCGGGCAATCCAAGGTAAAGGTGAGATGGGGAAATCGGCAGTCGACCATAACTCTCAAAGTATGATACACTGGCGGTTGGAGAGCGAGATGAGCTGAATAGACCTACTCAACAAAGATATACATATATCGTATTACTATTAACCTCGACGTGGCGTACATAGGAGACAGGGAGCTGATGCCTACAGACACACGATGGAGTTCGCGAAACATGCTTTACGTTTTCTAGATTGCTTCTTGAAGACGCTTACTAGTTGAGCCATGATTGACGGCACTCTATGGATCGAGGTCTATAGCTTCGATGGTCTCTTTGCCTCAAACTCCTCCCTCGCATTCTCCTTCAAAACCCTCCTGAGAATCTTTCCGCTCGCGCTTTTTGGTATCTTTTGTACCAGTTTCACACCACCTCTTAGCTTCTTGTAGTTTGCCACGCGGGTACTGAGCCACTTCTGTAGCTGGCCGATATCCAGTGGCTTGGAAGCATCCTCAGTCACGATGTAGGCTCGCGGAACCTCAGTGGCCAGCTCCTCGCTGTACACACCCATCACGGCACAGTCAACAACACCCGGGAATTCATGGAGACAGCCTTCCAGCTCGGCAGGTGCGACCTGGAAGCCTTTATACTTGATTAGCTCCTTGACGCGGTCTGTGATGTACAAATGCCCCCTGTCGTTGATGTATCCAATGTCTCCGGTGCGAAACCACCCGTCCGGGCTCAGGCACTCGGCCGTCTCTTTGGCTTGATTGATGTAGCCATCAAACACATTCGGGCCTTTGACGTGCAGCTCTCCCACCTGGCCCACCTGGAGCTCTCTTGCCGCCGCTACCTCAGCGTCTCCGCCACAGGAGTCAAAAGGCTCACAGATCTTGGCTTCCAGATTCGGCAGCAGGGCACCGCAGCTTCCAATGTCGACATCCCACTCATCCCAGGAGCCCTGGTACAAGCAGGGACTGGTCTCTGAGAGTCCATAGCCCTGCTTGATGCGGACCCCCAGCTTCTTGTACACTTGTTCGATAAGCTCGCGCGCCAAAGGTGCGGCGCCTGAATGCGTCATACGCAGGCTGGAGAGATCGTAGGATGATGCCACAGGGTGCTTGGCTAGATGAAGGACGATGGGAGGCACGATGTAGGAGAAGGTGATTCGCTGCTCCTGTACCAACCGACACCATCTGTCCAAGTCAAAGCGTGGCATCACGACAGTTGTCACGCCCGAGTACAAGGGACTGTGGACGAGAACCATCAACCCGTAGATGTGAAAGAATGGGAGGCAAGCCAGGATCTTGTCGCCCCCGGCTCCTGGCTCTGGAAGGGGAATGTCTCGAACGGTCCGGCTACCGTCCCAGGTCAGATTGAAACCTTCAGCTACCTGTAGCTGAAGGACGTTGGAGGTGATGTTGTAGTGAGTGAGCCTGACAGCCTTGGGCTTCCCGGTGGTCCCTGATGAATAGGCCAAGAAGGCGGCGTCGACTTTGGGATTGATCTTGCTTGCCGCATACCTCGTGGCAACGCTCAGATTCCGGACTCCTTTCCAGTGCTTTAACCGCCCTGTGGGGTCTCTCTTGGCCCCTAGAAGAAGGATGTGATCCTCTGCAATGCCTGCCGCACTGCATGCCTCCTTGACTACCTCGATGTTGGCGTACTGCGAGACGACATACTTTGCGCCGCTATCCCGAAGCTGATGAGAGAGCTCCCTGGCCGTCCAGTCTGGATTCGAGGTCGACACGACTCCTCCAGCCCACAACGTTCCAAAAATGATGGGGGGCATGTCAATATCGTTCAATGAGGATATTGCCAGCACGTCGCCCTTCTTCCAGTCATGACGAGACCTTAGACCTTTACCGAACTGTTCCGCAAGCTGTTTGACATGGCCGAAGGTGTACGTCTCGTTGGTAAGGCCATCTCGGAAAATCGCTGCCGGGCCACCACATGGGTCAGTATCAACCCAACACAGGGCCTTGGGAGCGTGAGAGACATACGGTGGTTGTCCGGAAACTTGCAATCTTTGCGTTTGAACAAGAAGGAGAAGATGTCAACCAGTGGGAGGTCCAGATCGGAATAACGACTTTTGACAGGCATGGTAGGCTGTGAGGCGAATCGTCCGGGGGTTCGGAGCAAAGTCGATGCCGAAATTAGAGCGTCTGTGATGTTGTTTGTCTAGGTGAGGATCCTGTTCAGTAAAGACCCAAGCGGTGCAGGAGAGAGCAAGACTCAAAAGATAAATATGATTGATGGACATGGAGCATACACCATCCATCCATGTTCATGTAACTAGAAGGGACGGCTATTACTAAGATGGGAGCCAGTTGACTGAGACCCATTAACATAGCCGAGACTGGGTCACCCACTAACTAAGTTCGGAGCCGGAGACGGTTGCTCGAGAGTGATTCCGGCCCTGCCATAATGCCGGCTGCCGAGGCCTGTCAAGGGTTTGAAAACCGGCGCCAGGTACTCGAACCGTCAGCTCACGAGTACATTGATACAAGAACGTTACTTTAACAAGACAATTCTATGCTACTGCGAGGCGCATTTTTGGGTATGGCAAGCTCGGAGACTGTCAACTCCCTGACACTGCCTCGAAGGACGGATTCTCTGACGGCAATGGTAGATAGCTGGACAAGGGGAAAAGCTCATTAGCGAGTGAACCCACCCCCAGGTTGGTCGGTGAGCCAAAGTCAATAGAATGCAGCATGTCATTGTCAGACAGCATGTCCAAAACGTGAGCGTCGTTGAGAAAAGATACCGCGCCAGGCCCGACATGGTTCCCACCGCCTGCGGGTTGCCTGTCCCGGTTGGCATGTTCTGCCGTGTCAGAACCACTGCTATTGTTAGATAGCAAGAAGTCAAAGATCCTCAGGACCCAGTTGGCTGGGTCCCATCGGCCGCGAGCTTCACTGATGACCATCTGGCAGTTATCCAAGGCTGATCGTGGCAGGTGTGAGAGAGCCCCTTGTGGGTGTTTAATACCACGGTAAAAGACAATGCCAGCTACGAAGAAGCTGGAAAAGACCTCATGGGGCATGACGCCGAGCATTGAGTTGGCAATGATTGTAAAGGCCGTTGCTGAGATGACGTATGCGGCTGACTCGGTGATCTGGCAAGATGGAGTTACAGCGCTGGGCAGGAGTGAGGAGGAGCTGGCTGCCTCGTCCGGATTCTCTAGGTGGGTGAGGATGAGCTGGAGGTGAAAGATGGTTTTGAGGCTCAGGGCAAAGACGTTGGCCGTCTGTCCCTGTTGCTGGTGTGCCCAGTTAACGCACGCCGGGAGCTCAGCCTGCCACGCATCCAGCTGGCCGTGTAGATGGGCCGTCATTGAGGCATTCTTGCCCGGACCGGATCGAGTCTCGACGATGCTCCGGAGGATCAGGGAGAGCCTCGAGAGCTGGATCAAGTAGTGGGCATGTGACTGTTGCTTGTCACGGTCTTGGTCTTGCGGGCCGTCGCACTGCATATCCTGGGCAAAGTCATCGAGGTCCAGCGGTTCCGTATCGCACTGGGCCATGTTGAGACGACACGGACGGCCCAGCAGGGTGGCACAATAGGCGTCGCGGACAGCGAGGACCCAGAACAGTCGCTTGAGTAGGCTCTTCCGACCTCTATCCACGTGAGTGGACGTGCTCATTCTATGGATGCCCAGAGACTCTGCAATGGTGACGCCAAAGCCGACCCAGGAACACGGGTTCCAGTAGCTCTTCATCTGCGGGCCCCAGAATGAGAGCATGATGACACACTGGAGTAGGACGATCTTATTTGTCTCGTACCCAATGTCAAACAGCAGCTTTGCCTTGTCGTAGAACTGGCGCCTTGCGTGCCAGCGGCTCTTGAAGCCGGCACGATAGATGTCACTCGAGTCGCAGAAGGTGGACCCGATGAAGCAGACGGTGTGGAGCAGTATCCAGGGCAGAGCGCCTGCGTCGAGGGAGTCCTTGAACTGACCCAGGTCGACGATGGAGTAGAGGGGATAAAACCTCTCGACAAAGGCTGCCACCATGGCGGCCAAGTCCTTGTCGGTCGGCCGCTCAAAGACGCCCTTGACCCTGAGATAGGCCACGTCCTGGGGCGACAGGTGTGCCGGGTGGTCGGCGCAATCGACGGTGCCCGCACGGTCAGCCTTGGAGAAGTGCGAGTCCGCATCGTGCATGACAGGCTTGTTGTTTCTGTCCCGGACCTCCTCAAGAGCAAAGGTTAGAGGGGAGGCGTCGCTCATGAAGATGATGCCGCATGTGTTGGTGGCGTCCTCGACGTTCTGGCCCTGTTGCTCCAGAAACCTTTCGAACATGGAGGCTAGGGAATCGCGCTGCTGACTACCGCCGTCGTCGGCCTCACCCGTCGAGCTCTCGGCTGCTTGAGACGATTCAGGCACGCCCGCATCCCCCTCGGCATTGTGATGTGTCGAATCCAATGACGAGGATGGTGAGAAGGTGACGGAAGGCGGGGGACCCAGTGCCGATGGGTCCCGATCCGACACCACGCTCCCGCTCCCGACGGGGCTCGGAGGCGCATCACGGCTGCTCTGCTGTCGAGTCTGTTCTTTGTGCTGCTTTCTGGGGTATGTGCCCCTTCGTGAGGCCACAAGAAAGCAGTTGGGGGACTTGTTGACGCGACAGCGACTGCATGGGAGTCCAATCTCGGTCGCGTCGCACCGCACCTTTCGCGAACTACACGGCTGGCAGGCTCGGGATGCGCGCAGGCGGACTGGGTTGGCTCGGCCTTGCTCAGGCATTCTTGATACTGTAGACATCCAAGCGCAATTCTAGATGACTGATGAGAGGAACTGATGGCCAGCAAAGGAAAGAAGTGTGGATGGATGGTGCACGTCAAAGGGGCCCTTCACAGAGAAGACGGAGGCGACCTAACGTGAGATTATTATAGGGACCAGAGCCGAGAGCCGCTGTAACCATTGAGTTTACCCCGCACTTTGGGTCAATGGAAGAGGACTCGCATTTGGATCCTCTCCCTCCCATCATCATCCTTTTCCATGTTTGCATGCAAGTCCATCATCAGGAGCCAACCGCCGTCTAATCATGTTATTCTTCCCCCAGCTTCCGCGCTCCCCTTCCCCACACAAACCACGCATCCTTCTTCAGCTCCTCAGGTGTGAAGGCTGGGATCTTGATCTCCTGAAGCTCGTCGCACCTCACATAGGCGCTCTCGTCCTGGAGCACGCTGGTCTGCGCCGTCGGGTAGAAGCCCGTGGGCTCCTCGTACTCATACACGGCCGTGAATCTACCCTCGGACACGACCTTCTCATCTCCAGACACCCCCAGCTCCTTGAGGTCGAGTCCTGCGGGACAGGCTGTCCAAGTGTGTGGCACACCAGCTCCGATGAGTACCATGGTGTTGGGTGGGATCACGTAGATCTCGCCGCTCAACTCGGCGAGGGCAACGCCGTTCATGACGAGGATCTTCTCCACGATGTATCGATTGCCGTCTCCGGTCGCCTTGGGGGCCATGTGAACGTGACGAGGCATCCTGATGTTGACGTCGAAAGAGAAGATGCCGTGCGGTCCGCGGAACGCTGGCGTCGTGGCATCTGTTCCGTGACCTGGGCTAAAGACGTGCAGTTGGCCTGGGATGTTCATCTCTGGAGGGTAAGCGTCCTTCACCAACACCCCCTCACCGTGGATGATTTGGCTTCCATTGGGGAGAGTAAAACCGTATTTAAAGGAAGACGCCATTGTCGAAACATCAGATACTTGTACCGTAAGGGCGTTTACGACTGAGGTAGAGTAAGTTGGAACATTCCAGGATGCCACAGGTGGCTCAAGAGGAGCGAGTGCCCCCTTTAAGGAACGAAACCTCGCGTAAAACAAATCAAGGTGGGTTCTTTTGAACCGATTCGTTCACTATCTCCGCGTCTTGTCTCAATGATAAGATTCCAAGGGGGCCAGTGGAGAAATTTAGGCGTTGCTTCTTGCAAGGTAGGGCTAACCTTGTTACTGTAATGGCTTTTATCTAATTGTGCTTAGCTAAGGGCTTAATTTTACAGGGCCCATCCAACATTACTTGGCTAACCCATGCCACCACCTCTGAAGCCGTGTACAGGGTGGTAATCCAACAGATATATCCGGTAATCCACATACAACCGATAAGCCGCTCCCGAGCTTGTACGGCTACATTCTACTAAAAATGGTATACATCTTGATGCTCGGGTTGATCAGCCTCGTACCCCGGATTTCCTTCTCATGCGGGGTGCTTGTCCCAGGCCATGCTCGACCCCTGGCTAGCTTGGAGGCAAACCCTCAGATTTTGAATAAGATCAGACGAGAAGTCGGATTTCGTCCGTCTGGCCCCGCTGCTTTCTTCGTGGCTGAATCATTACCTTATCAACTCCAACATCTTATCAGCAATTCCTTCAACTATGGCTAAAGATGACCTTCAAAATGCGCAGCACTTGGAGTGCCCCGAGCAGGCCATGGAGCCTTGCCCCAAGGGAGACACGGTGGGACATGGTAGCCAGTTTGAGAAACGTGTAACCCGCAAGGTCGACATGCGCCTGTTACCTCTGTGCGCCTTTGCCTACCTGCTCAACTACCTTGACCGATCAAACTTGGGCAATGGCAAGATCCTCAACCAAGAGACTGGGGACTCGTTGCTTCAGAAGACTGGCATGAACTCGGCCCATTACTCCATTGTTCTCACCGTCTTCGGTGTGGCATACACGGTCTTTGATATCCCGGCCAACTGGGTGATGAAGCGGTACGTCCGCCCGTCACGGTGGCTTGGCCTTCTCATGTTCCTATGGGGGGTTGTTACTCTGGGGTTCGGCTGGGTCCGGAACTTCACCACCGTCCTAGTCCTGCGCTTCTTCATCGGTGTCTTTGAGGCTGGCTTTTTCCCAGGTAAACAACCAGGTCGTGCATTGCTCCGGCAAACCAATAACAAATGTTCATCTAGGCATCGTGTACTTGATCACCTTTTGGTATGCAACGAACCAGCGGTCTCTCCGCATTGCCTTCGTGCTCGCATCGGCGACTCTTGCTGGAGCCTTTGGGGGCTGCATCGGCTACGGCGTCGGGCACTTGAACGGTGACGGCGGCCTCGAGGGCTTCCGATGGCTTTTTATTATCGAGGGTGCCTTGACCATCACCTCTGTTCCTCTGGTGGTGGCATTCTTGCCCAATTGGCCGGCCGTGACGACCTGGCTCGACAATGACGAGAAGAGATACATCATCAGTCGTGTCGAGGAGGGAGCGGGCGGGTTCACTCGGGAGAAGGCGAGCCGACGAGAGATTCTAGAGACTTGTTTCGCTCCACGTATGGTGGCCCATTATCTGGCCTATGTAAGTCAAGATCAAGTCCTCGATGGCTTTGCTAGGTACTAACGGACCGAAGTTGGCCAACGCTGTTGTCCTAAACTCGCTCGCCTATTTCACCCCTACTATCGTGGCCAATCTCGGATACAAGTCCATCACGGCTCAGCTCATGACGGTACCTCCCTGGGTCGTGGGCTACGTCGTCTCATTAGGCCTGGCCTACTCGTCTGACCGTTTCAACGCCCGTGGTTTACACATTGCTGGGGCAGCCTTTGTGAGTGGCGTAGGATTCCTCGCCTGCACCCTGCTCCCCGCAGACGCTTACTCTGAGCGCTACGGGTGTCTCTTTCTCATCGCCTGCGGAGCCTTCCCTAGCGCTGCCCCCATGGTCGGCTGGGTTACATGCAACGTTCCAAGCAAGAGAACCATGGGACTTGCCGCGGCCATGAACAATGGAACAGTGGGAATCGCATCTATCATCTCGGTTTGGATTTGGCCGGCCAAGGATGCGGCGAGCGGATTCCCTACGGGAAACATCGTGTGCTCGGCTGCTGGATTCCTCACCGCGGCCCTGATGCTGGGGCTCAGATTTTGCTACGGCAGGATGAATAAGAATGGTGAGCTGGACGCCAGTGGGGTGCAACGAGTTTGGGCATACTAGGTGACTGATGTAGGTAGTCAGAGGGAATACTGCCGTGGCCGAGAGAGGCGAGGGTTCTACCGATAACGACACCTTGACAACGTTGATCCCAAGGCACTAGTACATGGTGGGCCAACTAGAGGATGGCGGTCCCCACGGGCATCCGGCCGGCTACATGCGAACCGGTTAGATAGACAGCAAGCTAGATGCTTAGCCAGAGGCATATACCCGCCGCACCGAGTTTGATCTGCGGGATCTACACGTAACAGCACAACACTACCGGTTATTTCTTGTGAGCAAACGCGGGCCGAACCATCAAATAATGCTTTTCAGACCACGACCTAGCCCCGCGACTACGCAGGCTTGGGCAGCTCCTGGTCAGAAGAAATCGGCCCGGCCGAATCATCTCCATTCCTAGTCGTGGCATTCATAACCGAACTAGACAAGAACAAGAGGGCTTCACGCAATCAAGGCACTAGAGATTAACACCATCCAAACATTCTCCTAGTGAAAATTGTCCTGTCTTGGTCCTACTCCCTCACTCCCTTCACAGCTCTAAATCATGGAATCCATCCAGCTAGACCCGGCCTTACTCCGAAACATCAAGTCCAAGACTGTCCTGGTTAGCGGAGCCGCCGGAGGAATAGGCCTGGAGATTGTACGACTATTCTATTCCAATGGAGCGAGCGTGGTAATGGCCGACCTTGAGCGAGGACGTCCAACAGCAGAAGCATTCATACGTACAGCATCTGATCCTTCACGTGTCATTTTCGTTGCCGCAAACACCCTCGCCTGGGACGAGATGAAGCATCTATTTAAGATGGCAGTCAAAGCTTTCTCCAGTTTGGATGTGGTAATCGCCAATGCCGGGGTCATGGAAAGCCACCCAACCCTCGACGTCGAAACCGTGGACGCGGCTGGGGATCTGCTGGAAGCCACGGAAGCCTCCAAGGTGATTGATATAAACTTGAAAGGTACCTTGAGCAGTGAGTCTTGATCCGGTGCCCCACTGCTTCTGATAACTAACGGCCGGCGTGTAGCATTGAGGCTTGCTTTGCATCACATGAAAGGAAACAAGGAGCGCTTCGCCGACGGCTCGCGAGGATCCATTGTCCTGGTTTCCTCAACTTCTGGATATTTTGGCGGAACAGGCGTCGCGGCATAGGTCTCCTCAAAGCATGGCGTGACAGGGTTGCTAAGGGCAGCTCACCTTGTGGCAGCGAGCTACAACATCAGAATCAACGGCGTAGCTCCCTTTGTGACGCCAACAAGCATGGCAGGTGGTTTTGCGAGCGAGTGGGCTGCCGCAGGACTTCCCAGCAATACAACTGAACAGGTAGCACGAGTAGTTGCAGCTATCTCCCAAGACCCTGCCAGAACAGGGTCATGTTACATGGTGCGTGTCTACTATTCCCCGCCGCATCGTGTTCCTCTGACCTAGGAGAATGAATCAGACCTGCGGAAACATAATCAGAGAAATGGAGGCTACACGACAGGCGCTTTTGGGTCAGTGGCTGGGTAATGATGTCGCACAGTTGATGACGAGTGCCAGCACTTTCTTTGCAGACTTGGGCGGATACCCTCTTCCCAAGCTGGAAGCCTTGCAGGATTGAGGTCAAGATGAAAGACTTGTACATCTTCAGCAAGGTGTCACGAGTGCTGTTTTGGAGGCGAGGTTTGCGTGCCACAAGACTCGTACATTCTACTCGGGTGGCCGTATAGCATGCCACATAGTCGCTCATTCAGAAGAATTGGCATATCGCCCACCATCAGTTGGCCATTCACCAGGAATTCTTGGAAAACTCTACTCCATCCGCAACCCACAGGTCCTCCTGCGCATGTTCCATAACTCTGTAGAGAGGAGAGGTTCCAGGATGAGTTCCTTGTATAAAAGCTATAAAGCTATCTGTAACGTGCTTGGACATCTAGTTTGAGGGAATGTCGGCCTCTAGTCGTCTCTCACGGCTATCTACATAGACGGGTATTTAAGAGGCCGAGTGGCGAATGAGTAACCGAACAGATACCCTCCTCTATAAAACGCATGAAATAAATGTCTGCCAAATCCTGCCTTGACGAGCCGAAAACAGTATGAATTACAACCCTGCCAAACACGAATCTTCATACACCATGTCATCTTCCGAGAATTCTCCCGCACGCAAGGTTACCGGCCTGCAATATTATGGGAAAGGGGACATCCGACTGGAGCAGATTACCTCACTGTAGGTCGCTTTTGCTCACTTGCATCACGTTCAGCTCACACCTTCCAAGTCCATGTGGCCCCGACGAAGTCAGACTCAAAGTTGCATACTGTGGCATCTGTGGCAGCGACATTCATGAGTTCCTCGGCGGGCCCATCTTTCCACCTCAGAAAGGGGAGACAAACAAGTACACCGGCGTGAGCCTACCAATCACCATGGGCCACGAGTTCTCGGGGACCGTTATTGAAGTAGGTTCCCAGGTCAATGATATCACCATAGGCCAGGGGGTCGCCGTAAACCCAGCCTGGGATCATCGCCACTACGGTGCCGACCCCTGCGGACCTTGCAAGAGAGGTCGGTTCAACACTTGCGATGACATGACGACGTACGGGCTTGGTGCCCCTGGCGGCGGCTTTTGCGAAGAAGTCGTTGTCAAGGCCATGAATTGTATTCCTCTGCCTGATGGTGTCAGCCTCAAGGTGGCAGCACTCTCCGAACCGCTGTCTGTTGCACACCACTGCATCGACATATCGGGCTTTAAACCCGGTCAGACAGCCCTTATATGTGGCGCTGGACCAATTGGCCTGGCTCTTGCGGCTATATTGCGCGTCAAGAAGGCTTCCAAGATCATCATGAGCGAGATTTCACAGTCCCGTATAGCGCAGGCCCCGAAGTTCGGCGCTGACGCTGTCATTAATCCGCTAGACAAGGGAAATGATGGGGGACATCCGCAGCCAGACCCAGTGTTGACCACTGTGGCACATCTCACAGAAGATGGTGTCGATGTCGCGTTCGATGCCACGGGTCTGCAGTCAACTCTTGATCTGTGCATTGCTGCTACCAGAGCAGGGGGGGTCATCTTCAATGTTGCCATTCACGAGAGGCCTTTGCAAATCAACTTGAACGACCTTGTAAAGAAGGAAAAGAAGCTCATGGGTGGAATTTGCTACCAGAATAGCGACTTTGAAGCCGTGTTGCAAATCTTGGCAGAAGGCAGGCTCAACGCAGAGGATATGATCACATCCGTTGTACCGCTATCCAACGTGGTGAATGGAGGGTTTGGTGAGCTGATCAATAATAAATCAGCTCATGTCAAGATTCTAGTCAAACCTGGGCAGTAGGATGGCATTGGCTTGCGAGTTTGGGGGCTATTGTCATGATGAGATAGATAGCTGCGTACAGATCAGACAAAGCAGGAGTGACGGTATGATGAATCAATGTCAGTTGGCGACCAGAATCCAACATGTTACAAAACAGTGGTTCATCTTGATGTCTCTGCAGTAACGATGTATGCAAAGGGGCAAAGAGGGGACAATGGATGTTTAGTGAGGTTAATGCGGCTGGAATAAAGTCTTGATCTGAACCCGCAACTCCAGGTTCTATCAAGCTGAGACACAGCTTTAGGTTTGATGATATAGATTCATTTCTTCAAAACCACTCCGTTCTTTATAGAAAACCCCTAACTAAAGACGATGCCCCCGTCGACAACAATATTTTGACCTGTCACGAACTCCGAGTCCGGTCCACATAAAAACCCGCCTACCACTTTGGCCACATCCTCTGGAACGCTTACTCTTCCCATTGCCGTCAGCTCGGTGACATACTTCTGGATTGTTTGGCCCTCGGCGCGACCCTGCATCTTGCCTAGTGTCCTATCGATATGCTCCCACATTGCGGTTCCCACAATCCCAGGCGCGTAGCAGTTCACGTTTATCTTGTGTTGGGCCATTTCAATGGCGAAAACCTGCGTCAAGCTTCTCACAGCGCCCTTGGAGGCACAGTAGTGGGCCAGGAGGGGAAACGGCTTGTATGCTGCGATTGAGGAAGCCCCAATGATCTTGTATCCTGTGCTACCCTCGGGAACGGGCCCCTGGGCCATCATCTGTCGCGCCGCGTGAGTATAGCAGTTCCAGACTCCAGCAAAGTTGACGGCCATCGTCTGTGAAACGTCCTCGTCAGATATTTCGAGAGCAGCGCCAATGGGTGCAATGCCAGCGTTGGCCACCATGACTGTCAAGGGGCCGAGGCGCTGGCAAGATTCTTCAACCATGGACTTGACCTCTGAGGATGAAGTCACATCTGCAATGATCCCGACAGATGTACCTTGGCCGTGCATCATGTTTAGCTCGGCGACCAGGCTCTCCACATCATGCGTGTTGGCGGCAACGTCGTTGACGATGACGGCATAGCCTTCAGTTGCCAGGCGGCGAACGATGGCCTCGCCGCTGGAAGAGAAATTTCCGTTAGCACAACTATATGCAGGGGTTCTTCAAGGTTGGTCACAAGGGTTACCGTACATTCCACGGCTCGAACCAGTCACAATTGCTGTTCGCTTAGGGTTGAGACGTCCTCCTGCGGCTTGAGCTCCCATGAATCGGCAAGTCGGAAGTTTCACCAGTGATTGCGCCAGCCGACGACGGGCGCAGCATTGCGCGGGCATTGCACGAAGTGAGTGCATTGGCTTGTAGAAAGAGGAGGAGACCATAATGCATGAAGGTCCACGAGAAGCTCAACAACGGTGACGAAGCCGGCGATCGAGTCAGGGAAACCACCAATGTCACGTATAGCCTTAGTTAAGTAGTTCTTCAGCCGAAATTGCGAGTACCACCTCGGAATATCGGGTGTTTGGTTTGGCTCGGGGGGAAGAGATCCCAGCATCCGTGACTTTACCCCGGATTCTACTCATCTCGATCGGGTTAGGATAACCGTAACGCGGTACAATCGGCCCCGCCCCCAGATTTACAAGTCACCCACAAGGCCGTGGCCAGGGCCGCCCCCGAGAAAGTGATTACAGGCTTGATGTTGTAGGGATTTGGCCCGGGCATATAGGAATCGAATCTAGATGGGCATGCGTATATGTTGAAGTCAAGTGCTGGACACGACACGAGGAGAGTTAAACCAACCTTACCGGTTTCTTTGACAATGCAATCAATGAAAATAAAGCTTGAGAGCCCAGTTTTAACACAGTGGTTGACGAAAAGCGGTTCAAGCGCTCCCAATACCCAGAACCATTTCCCAGTGCCCAGCATAAGTTCGTCCTGGTCGGTTATATGCTACCGGGTAGTCCCTTGCTTGAGTTGGGGGGGACGGAGCTCAGCCACAAGCGCATCACACAAGTTACAACTGCTGGTTTCCAATAGACCCGGAAGCCGAATAACAATGAAAGGGTAATGCATGTTGCCGGCCCGCATGTGTCAGAATAACAGTCAAGGCCATCAAGCCAATACTTGACCCAATGGCTAGCCGCGTGCGACCCGTATATTATTGGCAAGGTCTGCAACTTGATCGTTTCCACCTTCTACCATAGCCTCCAGCGACACTTCCTGTCTTGGCAGCTCTATTTTGCTCCGCACTCATCATCTCTGTATTTTTACAAGATTCCAAACGTCTCCCCGCCGGTCACCCATGTGGATTACTCGACTTGAAGGCCGTGCCCTTACAGCCGGCATTACCATCACATGTGGAACTGCTTTCATGCTATTTGGTTTTGATCAAGGAGTGTTTGGGGGCCTTCTTGGTCTCCCATTATTTCAGTCAACCTTTGGATACCCATCACCCATGATCCAGGGGCAAATTGTGTCAACCTACGACATCGGATGCATTCTCGGAGCCCTGATGACCATCTTTGTCGGCGACATCATTGGTAGGCGCAGAACCATATCACTGGCCTGCATCTTTGTCGTCTTTGGCGGTATACTACAGTCATCGTCGTACTCGCTCCCCCAGATGATAGTTGGGCGAATTGTTGCTGGCCTGGGCATTGGAATGAACTCGGTTGCTGTGCCAATGTGGCAGAGCGAGACATGCAAGGCCGAGCATCGAGGCAAGCTCATCGCTCTTCAGCTGGTACTCGTCATTGGCGGAATTGCCCTCTCCAACTGGATGAATCTTGGGTTCTCTTACGTGGCTGACAATCATGTCAGCTGGAGATTTCCACTTGCATTCCAATCTGTCATCGCCCTCGTTGCCATCGCCCTTGTTGCTTGCATGCCCGAGTCCCCTCGTTGGCTGTGCACCAAAGACAGGCACGCCGAAGCACAAGAAATCATTGGACGTCTGATGGCAAAGCCAACCAACGATGAGGCTGTCGTTGAGTTTCTCCAGCGGGTTATCTCGTCGATTTCTCATGAACGAGAGCTTGCCAGGGTCGGTTGGCGAGACATCTTCACCAACGGTGAGCAGCAGAACTTCCGCCGAATCGCTCTCGGCGCTGGAACGTCAATCATGCAGCAAATGGGAGGCATCAACGTGGTGGTTTATTACATGCCAGTCATTCTAACTACTTCTTTTGGCTTCGACAGTCGTCAGGCTCTCATTCTCTCGGCATGCGACTTCATGTCGTTGATGGTTTGGGGAGGCGTGGCCATGCTTGTCATTGATAAATGGGGACGTAAGAAGCTCATGCTCATAGGTGCCTTGGCCCAAGGAATTTGTTTCGCCATTGCTTCGGCGGGATTGGCGGTTGGCACGAAACCGTCGCAGGCCATTGCGGTCACAGCCATCTTCCTCTACCATGTCTTTTTTGTATGATCTCTCCCCATGGCGTTGTGTGCCCCGCTAACTCTGACAGGGCCTTTCATTTTTATCGATTCCTTTCTGCTATCCCTCCGAGATAAATAGCCAGCGTATGCGGAACGTTGGCAGCTCTGTTGCCATGATAGCAAACTGGGCTTTTGTCTATGTCATTGTGCTTGTCACTCCTATTGGTATAGTTCCCTGCTTTCTTTTTTGTTAAGGAGCTCTCTTTGCGGCAATCTCGAAGCACTTTCTGATCGTTTATTGCAGGTATTGACAACATCGGTTGGAAGTTCTATGTCATCTTTGCCGTTACCAATATCACTTGGTTGCCCTTCATCTGGTACTTCTACATTGAGACTTCCGGGCTATCCCTGGAAGAGATTGACAGACTCTTCGAGATCAAGTACAAGGCCGAACAGCCTATTTCCTGGAAGGAGGCGACGCGCCTAGCTAAGGAGGGGGTTTTAAGCAGCAGCTCGCACAGCCATCAGAAGAGACTGGAAGATGCGACCGTGGTGCATTATGAATGATATCAATAGTGCCTTCGGGGTTGATATTAATAACTATGCTATAAGTTGGTAAAAACCTCTACTACAGTTATAAAAGTTAGCATTTTATTATGTCTGCCGGCCAAGAAGTTACTAGTATCCCATTTAGAAACTGGCGAGTACTTCCTAAAATACGGTGCAAGATCCCCAGCACTATCCTTGTCAATTGGACTCGTCTGTCAGCCCTGCTTCCCTCCCCTTATAGCTTTTATAGCCCTTAACTACTCTTATAGTAAGATAATCTAGGGCAAGATATAGGATAATAACGCTATAAGCCTTACTTCTTAATTATTATTTTATTTTATTATTAGTATATATACCAGATTTATTAGCTATATTAAATAAAACCTTAGTTATTAATATTTTAATTTTATAAACTAAAGTTAATTATATTAAATTTTATTTCTTAAAGTTTTAATATAGAAATTATAAATTTTATTAATTTTATTTAAGAATAAGAAAATTAAGCTAGATAAATTACTACTTAAATACCTAAGTAAAGTGCATAAATATAGCATTTAGTCTATTCATAAGAACTCGCCGATATGGCCCCCTAGACTCATAGCAGACCCTCCCCGCAGATAGCTATTATGCCTCCTCTTGAAACAAGTACTAAAGCCGTTCAGCCTCGACACTGCCTTGCTAAGCCTACTTCTGTCGAAACCAAGAGTAACGGGGTCCGTGTCCAAGTGTTAGCGTGTCTCTCGTCATTGGGGGCAATTTAGTCTTTTACGATAACACCCTCGGCGTGACAAAGTAGCAGAGAGCTAGAACTCGGGCTCAATAGCATGGATCTTTCTCAGCCGTAAAACCATGATAATCCCTGATCTTGTAGTGTACCTTTCCTCCAAATTCCCTGCCGGGATCAAGTCCGCATCTCCATTCGCCTTCAAGGCCTCCTCCAAAGTGCACAATCCAATCTTGGCAAATCCCAGTCGTTGATACAAGTCAACAGTAACAGCATTCTCAGGCTTGACCATGATGCGTACTGTAGCACTCTGCGTCTCGGTTTCAAGTCGGTGTTCGATGAAGCGGAAAGCTTCTCGACAGAGCTTAGCACCGAGGCCTTTCCCTCTGTGGTTGATGGAGGTGTACAGGCTGAGCATCTGCCATTTCTCGCCTTCCATGCCGTCTAAGGACGGTGATTGGCCAGATTGAGATGGGAGTGCATAATCGTCGACTGAAAGTGGCCCACGTAGGTTGACTTGAGCGACCCATAAGGAGGTCTGTCCCTCTTGATAAACGCATGCAAAAGTTTCCTTGTCCGGGCCCTGAAGCCGTGAAACCCAGGCATCATTGGAGAAGCGTGATTCGATGTCCCAAGTTGAAGAGAAGGATGTTGGTGATTGCTGGAGTGCTTCAAGTCGCAAGGTCCTGTACTTGTCGACAACGGAAGAAAGATCTGTAGCGGAGCGGTCCACGTGAATGAAGTGATAAGACATGACGGATGATGCGATGAATATCGAGATGCACAAATTCTCAGGGATTGCCTAAGAGAAATTTGAGTACCTTTGAAACCTTTTTAAGTTCACAAGAAGTCGAGTGCCCTCTCAGAGCAACACGCCGGGTGGACCTGAACTCGCACCCTACAAATGACGAGAACCCTACGAGTGAGTGACAAGACCCACCTATACCAGCTTTATTGCGGGAATTATTATCACAAGAGTTATATAATGCCTCTCTAATATATCTAAAGGGCCTATATAGTAATTACATAATATTTTATTTTATTTTATTGTGTTTTATTTCTTCTCTCTTCTTTCTCCCTTAATATCTCATAGTGTTTAGGCATACTAGTTAGAGGGAATAAACCCCGGCTTTGTTATCAGTGGTGAATCATTCAGGGAGTGAACTGTAAGTATCTCGACTGGAGTCACTTCACAACAGGATAAGTAGAGAAATAAATAAAAGAACAAGCAAGAAATGATTGATATGTTGGACCAAGCAAGTGAATCCCAAGTTATTGCCAATTCGTAAGACTCACGTGGACCAGATTGAGGAGTATGATATGAGTGAGACAATCTAATTGGTGGTTAGACTAGACTAGCTCCTGTGAAGGGCTGAACTGGACAAGGAAAAAGCGGGGCGGCGCATTCAAGTTCTAACTAGTAAACTCACATCAGGCCTTCGTTCCACTTCCTCTTTCTCTCAATCAACGCAAGCATCTGGAACATTGCTGGCAATAATCCAACATGTCGTCGTTTGACAGCGCTGAGGGGTATCTCTCGGAAGAAATCAATCACTGGCCTCACACATCGCGTACAGACATCGAACTCAACCTCGATCAACTAGCAACTGACCCATGCTTGTTACCCCCTTCTTCTCTAACCGAACCTGACTTTTGGTTGTCGCAAAATTTCCAAAGCCCTACTGCTGACCCCTTAGCATTGCATTCTACGGCATGGCTTGGCGAGGCTGGACGCTCTAGCCTTCCTAAACAGAATATGGACGAGGGCAGTTGTTCCGCAGAGGTTACGGGAACCGTCGCCAAACCCCAAAGGCAACAACAGCAAGACAATGAGCCAACGACTTTTCAGGCTGGAAGACGGTTTTCCCTGGCACAAGGGCGAATTTTAAACAAATGGCTAGCCGCCCACACTCACCACCCCTATCCCACGGTCATGGATGTCGAACTGCTCGAGAGAGAGTCTGGGTTGAGTAAGCAACAGATCTTGACCTGGTTCTCCAATGCCCGCCGTAGGAAGAAGCTTGGGCGGGCAGCTACATCCAATCTCTCTTCAGACTCTTCGGGCACTGGTCCTCGAAATATACCTCCTCCTCGTCCATCTACCCCTTTTGTTGAGCAACAAACCCCTCTTGAGAGATGGGAGAACTCGCCACCTGAAGAGGAGCCTTCAGCCTTTGCCGATATCGCACGCGCAATATCTGATGCATCGATAGCTTCTCCGTTCAGGTCTAGACATGCGTCATCCTCAATCGCTGGCTCTGTGAATAGTGGAGAGACTTCGGGATCTAGCCAAAGTTCCCATGCATCTATCAACTCTCAAACATCAGATGCATATTTTCGGCGTTCTGGTTCGATCAGACGATTGGTCAAGAAACGAAGGCGAACTGCAAAGGGCAATAGCGGGAGAAATCTCTTCCAAGTCTGTCATCGTTTCCAATGTACGTTTTGCACCGAAACGTTCAAAACGAAACATACTTGGCAACGACACGAGAAGTCGTTGCACCTATCTCTCGAACAATGGGAGTGCTCACCATCTGGTCCATCCACTCTAAACCAACAATCAGAACCCGTATGTGTATTCTGCGGTCTTCTCAACCCAGATAGTGTTCATTCCGAGACCCACAACTACGATTTCTGCCGTGAGAGAGATAGAGAAGAGCGGGTTTTCTATCGAAAGGATCACCTAAGGCAACATCTCCGGCTCGTTCACGACTCCCAGTTCTCGAAATGGCCCATGGAAGGGTGGAAGCTAGAGTGCGATGATGTACAGTCACGATGCGGATTCTGCGACATTAGCATGACGACGTGGACTGAACGACTGGACCACTTAGCGGAACACTTTCGAGAAGGAAAGACCATGGCTGATTGGCGTGGGAATTGGGGATTTGACTCAGCAACTCTCGAGATGGTGGAGAACTCGATGCCTCCATGTGTGTCATATTATTGTTTCAACCTATGTCTGAGACTAGTGTTGCTAACGCAGGCGCAAGATCTCATAGAATACGAGCGAAACTCACCACTACCATTTACAACACAGCAGGGCGCACCATACAGTTCCACCAACGCGTTTGATCTACTACAGTTGGAGCTGGATTATTTCTTCTCAAACTACGTCGACATCAACCAATGCGTCCCTCCCGAAAGAATTCTTCACTTGGAACTCTGCTCTATCATCTTCGGCGCCGAAATGCTGCATCGGCATTCCCAACCCAATGCCTCGTCTTGGCTACGTGATCTTTTGATGGGGACCGAAGACATCGCCAAGGAGGCACAAATGAGGCCAATGAAAAGTGCTGCTAGGTCTCGATTTACTGACCTGAGGATTCATGGCAAAAGCAACATTTTCGAGGACTGCACACTTGAGGCTTCCCTACGGCAATACGTCGATATGTTACAGATGTTGAACCTGGAGATAAGTGATGATGAGCTTCAGCGAGAGGCGTGTTCCATCATCAACCACAACCCCAATGCTTCACCCATGTTCGCCAACTTATTGATCACGCTGGTCTCTCGCTCAACGACTTGGTTGACTCCATTCCGCATTCGGACAGGGCTGTCTACTGCTGAAGCTAGTCTATGTCCTACCAACACTAGCACTGGTCTCGGCATCAATTCTGGGCACCTGCTAGATCTTACAGATATTCGAACCTTGGGCATGGCAAAAGACGCCCAGGCAAACGACGCCACTACAAATCCAATGACGACTACCCAAATTCTGGATAGGGCTAATGTCAGAGTGCAAGAGCAAAGGGCGATGTCGCTCAACGATGGAAATATGTACAGAGGTTTGACAAGGGATCTGTCACGTTTTGTCGCAAGCCTCATGTCTCCATTGAATCCAAATCAGCATGTTCCGACGGATGAAGAACTTCAGTTCCAAGCGCGCTGGATTATGTACGATAGGTATGTAAACCGCCAATAATACTCGGACCAATTTTGACCCAACAACAGCGACGATATGTGGAATCAAACTCCAGCTGACAATCCAAATTGGCTCTCGGAGTTTAAGAAAGAGTGTGGCTTCTTTGAATAGCTCAGCGCCATGGGCAGCTTGCGAGGAAGGATTTGGTAGTTTGTTGTGGGCAGCGGTGTAGGTAGTGAAGCTGTGATTGGGATGGAGGAGCCTGTTTAGCTGGAATAAGGCAGGTGGGCCCTGTTCCCCGATAGAAAGAATTGAGCGGAATAGGTCATCGAGGAATTAATGACAGTATTTGCTTGATCTTCCATCCAACCATCTTAGAATCAACAGTTACATTAGCTCGTATCGATTCTTTAGATAACTTCTATAGCGGTCCCTTGCAAATTCAACATTCGACTCAACCACGCGCTCAATAGCTCCCTCTTCTTCTGCTTCTTCTGCCGATTCTAAATCCACAATGACGATTCTGTCATCAACTAATAGATAATTATCCAGTTTTGGGTCACCATACATCAGACCAAACGAGCCAAGCTCGCCATAGGCTGCCCTCAACCGACGACAAAACTCATCAGCATCTAATGGAGAGTCTAGTGGCTGCTCAAACGGCAGAACGCCATTGACCTCGGACAGGAGTAAAGCTCGCTTGCCGTCACACCAAGCCAGTCCATAGCAGATCGGGATGAGGTGGCCCTGAACAGACCGCAACCGGTCGTACATGCGCACTTCGTTGTCAAACTCTTCGTCCCATTCGGGCTTCATCTTCTTCAAAACGATTCGCGATGGAAGAAAGTAGCCGGGGAAGAGGGCCCGAGCAAAGTTTTGGAAGGTGTATGGCAGTGCTAAAAGTATCGAAATGATGGCTTGATCAAACGATGACCGGATAATGGTTAGGCGTAGGACGTTTGGATGCTCGCGATCGCTCCAGTCGCCAGCTGCTAACACGGTATTTCCGTGAAACCGGAACTGAGTATCAAGTAGTTAGTCGAGTGGAAAATTGTGCCTGATAGTAGAGAAAGTATCAACCTTGACCGATATTTGGCGCCAATTTCCTTCATCATACTCTTCAGCCATCGCGAAACATGAACTGTTCGTGGTGGTGGAGGAGTTTGAAAGAGATCAGGGGCTTTGGCGGTTCTAAAAAGGCCCGAAATCACGTGAGTGATCAGCAAGCTAGCGCCCCACACACGCAACAGACGCCTCAACTGGCAAACTAGGTTGATTCTCACAAGTAGTTTGGAAGATACAAGATCTGGGATATTCTAACCAGCAGTGCCATCACGCTACAGGTAGCTTCTTGCTATTCTGCCGCCGCTATTCTGCAGATGTGATTCCTTTCTAAGAGCCCAGGCCAAGGACGGGCACGCGGGCAAAGAAATGAATAAGATGGTAGAGTATAAAGAGAATTACCTAACTCCTAATAAATATAAGTAATTAATTTATAAAATATATTATAAGATAATATAATAATAAGAAGATTATTATAGATTTTATTATAATTTATTAAATATATTTAGAGCAGAATTAATTATTATACTCGTCCTTGTGCGTAAGAAGTTACGGGCGGGGATGCTCAAGGGCCAACAGCAACAGCATTTGCATCCATGCAAGTGGCTGCTGCCTAGAATTTCGCTGCTTAGAGAACCAATACCCCGCATTGGAGGCATCTTTAGCTATGCTTTGATGCTTCACTCATAAACTCGTGCCGTTGTTTCGTTTCAGTTGCCCAACTGTCCTCAAAATGTCATCGTCCGTCGCAACGCTCATCGGACAGCACCCGTCGAATCCTTGCCAAGAGACCCATTTGGCCTCAGGAAGCTCTAAGGCATGGACGAAGTCATACCCACCCATCACTAACTTGATCGTTCACTCCAAGATGCAGGGAGATCAAGCGACACAGGCGGATTTTCGGGCTTTCCACCCTGAATACAAGGATGACTCTCTTAGGCTCCAAGAACGTGGGAATGCACCAAACGAGAGATCCTACAGGTTAAATACGGAGGAAGATGGAGTTACGTGGTTTCACACAGAAGTATCCAACATCGTCCTGGCTGCCTTCTCAAGGTATCCTCGGGTTTTACAGACTTCTCACGACAAGCCAATCTCTGAGTCTCGTGACGATCACACTGTTGACGTGGCCTACTCTGTCTACTCCGGAAAGACCCGGAAACACGTGGCTATAGGCGAATTCAAGAGGGGTCTCATTGTCCCGGGGGAGTGGCGACGGGGAAAACTTGACACAACACCTCAGAAGAGCTTGTCCAAGGAACTTCGGGGGTGAGTATCCACAATTCCATCTGGGTCAAGGATTGTCTAACCGACAAGAGTAGCTACGCCTGCAGATATGCATGCCCACTTGTGTTTTGCTTCGACAATTACACTCTCATTATGCTTCAGTTCAGGGCAAAAAAGGTCAAGGGGTTAGAAGACGCGAAATGCCCTGTGGACTGCTGGGTCCTTCCGCGGGACAACATACACGGCACCCCCCTACGATATGCACTTTATCGATTCATTGTCCAGGGGTTTCGCCGATGCCAAGGCGAAGCTGCAGTAGATGTCGCCTTCAACGGGCAAAGACCATCTGAGCGCTGTTTCTTCAATGGTGTTCCGTTCTGGAAAGCAGAAGATGGGACAAAGATCTCTGAGCCATGGAACTACCACAGAGTGGTGGAGGCATCTAATGGTGCATTTTATTGGGCTCGTCCTGGAGGGTTAGAGGCTGTCCAGTATAATGACGGCAATACCGTGTGGGATACTGCTACCTTTTGGGAAGCCCAGGAACAAGTGGAAGAGGAAGAGGAAGAGGACCTATATAGTGCGAACTGATGGTTATGTAACCTACAAGGTGATCTTCGGGCTCAGTTAACCCATCGAGGGCCGGGCTGCAACTATAATAAAGAACAGATTTTCAACACGTCATAACATCATGACCCGATGTTACTAACCTAGAGGGCAATTTGTTCTTTGTTGTAGTTGAAGCCCGGCCCTTGATGGGCGCTAACGGAGCCAGAAGATCGTAATCAATTATACCCCTAATTCAAGACTGGCGAGTACTTGCTGAAATACGGTGCCAGATCCCCAGCGCCATTCTTATCAGTCTCAACTGTCCCGTTGCCGAGACATCGGAAACGGTTCCTAGATCGCCAAGTGATATCAAAGTGCTCTCCACCGACCTCCTCCAGGGCTCTCTGATAGTGCACCAGTGAGCCAGGATACAGACCCGTCACCTTTCCTACACTGCGGCCATTCTTGTAAAGTGTGCGGCACTCGCCCGACCACACGGTGAGCTTGAGGAACTCTTGTGCGTACTGGTTGTAATCCTCAACGGCCTCCTTCTTGACAGCAAGTGTTCTACGAGTTGAACTGGTTAGCAGCGAACAGTCTCTCCTGGAAAGTGTCTTACTTGATATCGTGGCGGTTCATCCTCATAATCCAGCGGAGTAGATAGTCACCAGCCCAGGACATCTGTTGGAGAACCGAGCCATGCGAGACGGCGGGGTTTGGTCCATTGATCATGCCGTAGTTGGGAAGATTCTGGACCTGGGTTGCAAAGAAAGCTTCCGGGTCATCCTTCCACATCTCCTCCAGGGTCGCGCCGTCACGACCAACTAACTTCCACTGCGGCAACCAAGAGCTATCAAAGCCCGTGGCGCAGACGATCAAGTCAAACTCCTCCTCGCCAGCATCTGTCTTGATGCCCTTCTCTGTGATGCGTTCGATGGGATCCCAGCAGTCGCGGCAATTTGGTTCCTGAAGGGCTTCGAGGTAACCGTCTCCTGGAGTGATACGACGACATCCCGCTTTGAAATTTGGGAGAATCCGCTTCTCGAGGTCTGGTGCATTGACTAATGACGCGTGCATACGGTTTTTGCAATAGCCCTGGAAGATGACCTGCGCGGGGTGATCGAGACACATGGCGAAAAAGAAGCCGTTCAGCCTATTATCTTGTCAGCGTTGTGCGGTACGCCCAGAGTCAAGGCGCATACGATTGCTCTAAATCCTTCCTGTAGAGGTAATGGGTGTTTGGGTCCTCCCGCCAAGTCCTCTTCTGTTCCTCCGAGTATGTAAAGTTGACACCTTCTGGGGTCTTGTCTCCTAGGAAATTGACCGAGATCCAAGTTGGTTGTCGCATGTAGTTGACCAACTTCTCGACTTTGGGTTGCATCGTCGCGACGAGCTGGATACCGGAGGCTCCATTGCCTATCACTGCCACCTTCTTCCCTTCCCATTCGTAAGAGTTGTCCCTGAGATAGTGAGTTGGTCAAGTCTTCTTCAGACTCGGGTTGTCAACATACCATCGCGCGCTATGCAAAAGCTTGCCTTTGAAGTCGTGCAAGCCCTTGATATCCGGCCACTTCCATTTGCTATTCCAGTCAGCAGATTCCAGACAGATGCAGAGGTAGTGCATACTTGAGAAAACCTGAGGCATTGATAAGGAAGTCCGCCTCGTCCTCTTTCAGCTCTCCGGCCTGCTCGAGCTTGACCCTCCATTTGGCAGATCCCTCGTCCCATACAGTCTCCCGAATAGTTGTGTTTAATTGGACATGCTTTCCCAGGTCGTACTTCTCCGCAGTGCGCTTTATATAGGCCTGGATCTCCTTCTGGTCCACGTAGAACTTGGACCAGTCTGGGTTACCTTCAAAGGGAAAGATGTAGGAATCTGAAACAGATCAGTGCTCGCTCGGTTCGTCAATGGTCGCTCTGTAAATCTCTTACGAGAAGGAATATCGCTGCCAACATTCCTCGTCAGTGCAGCTCTTTCGGTTATTAAGGCAGACACCACTCACCATGCTGCACCAGGATACGTGTTTTCGTACCAAGTTCCACCAATGTCCGCGTTCCTGTCATAAATGGTCAAGTCGATCTCGTCCTCGAGCTTCAGTTCATGTTGGACCTTGTGAGCTATCATCAGACCGCCAAAGCCTGCGCCAACGCACACGACGCGCATCTTGCGTGTCGGAGTGAACGCGGGCTGCTTAAGCAGGGGCTCCGGGGTGATCGTCATTGTTGCTTATTGCCGAATTGTGGCAGGATGAAGTCAGAGGGATTGAACGGATGCACCAAGAAAACCTTAGCAACATCCCTACAGTTTTTGTTTGGGCCGGGTGCCCCTTTTCAACATGAAAACGACACAGATATGCATGTTGGCCCATCAGGCCGGCGCACCGGATCCGGAGCCGGATTGTTATTACTCACCGACAGGTTGGCTGAATGGTTGCTTACCCATCTGTTAGCTTTCCTCGTTTGATTGGAACGATTTGACTGCGCCGCCATGGCACGTCGAGGTTGTAAGGTTCTCCCCCGGATATGTTACTCCAAATGAGATAAACCCCCTGCTCTTGCGGGACAACTGACAAGGGGCTCAAAGATCAACAAGCTGTCCGCAGCCGGCAGTTCAGGGTTCGACAGGTCAACTTACAAATAAAGCGGGTTCGATCTGCAACTGCCCTGTCAAAGTGAAACGCAGAAAGCTTGGCTTTTGATTCTCCAGATATTGTCGGCACAGTTCACGCTTGGTTTAATCCCAGCATGGCCTTGGAATGATAAACTCGGTAACTGGAGTTACATGTGTATACCTCGCGTAGATACTCCAAGTGGCTCCCCGTCCAGGCCACAGTGTGAAAGGCTGTTGGTTTAAGGGAACGAATTTCATCCTGTATCCAGAATAGCCCCACTCCCCTTGAAGGTTGGCTCAGTTAAAGCACGCATATCAAGCGAGATATTAACGCGTTCCCCAGATTGTCATTGCATGAACGATAGAACTCAGGGATTAGAAGTAGAGTTTATTATTGCGGATTGACGGCGAAGCCTTAAATGTCGTTTCTTGTTTGCTAAGGTGATGCTGTCCGTTAGCAACTAGCCGATATAATGCTGTTCCGACTTACCCTTCCTTGAGTTCTCCTTGTCTTGATTTCCAGAAACCCCATATGGCCCCAAGCCTGAATTCAGGGGGAAGAATTTAGCTCGGCGCGACGGCCGTTACAGTCCCCGAGCACGCCGAGGACAGGACAAAGAAGGCGCGCAAAGGCGTCCTACCTAATTGCCCCTTGTCACCATGGCAGTCACCGGGGAATCTTTCCTTTCCTTGTCGCAGCGACATTAGTCCTGGCGATCTGTGTTTGACAACCAACACGATCCGCTTTGGTTGCGAGGGTAGCGGTCTTCGTCTCTTGGCGAATGGCCTACCGGGTCCTCATAGCGGTGAAAAGAGGTGCAGGTCACAGGGGTTGGAGGCGTTGGGAATGGGGTAACGGCCAACGGAGACATGGGGCCCGGCCTTTAGGTTCTTGAATGAAACCCTTTCAAACATTTCCAGATGTTGCAGTGAGAGATGCAAGGAACTTGACAAGGGCGCCTCCTGCATTCTACTGTAATGATAGCTTTACCTTGTGAAAGAGGATTACGTCGATCTGATCAACCAGGAGATGCTTTAACTACCGATGAGTAATTCACGGTACCGAGACATTGCTGGGTCGTACCTAGCGATTGGATCAGGAACCCTGCGCGGATGTCGGGGTTTCGTAGATGAAGAGCTACTCACTGCCACTTGAACGAAATCTTCAAGTTTGATTCCACAGACAAGCACCCTCCTCCGCCATCTCTATTTCCCTCTCATCCTTCCGTTTGCCGATTCATCATTCTTTCCTTTGTCTTCGTTCTAGTCGCCAACCATCACGATGTCTGCATCCGGTGCCTGGGGTCCCGCGCCTCCTGGTGTGGACCTTTCCGAATCGCAAGACCGAGAAATCCTGACTTCAGTTATCACTATTATGGTGATTGGAATAACCGCTGTTATTCTACGACTTGCCGCACGGTTGAAATCCAGGGCCAGACTGGGGCTGGATGACTACTGCGTTCTTGCAGCATTGGTAAGTAGAGGCTTCTACCGTTTGGCATGGCAAAACCTGACAGTAGACAAGACCTTCGCCATCGGTACCGCTATCCTATGCATCATAAGCGTCCCATACGGAGGTGGAAAGCACCTTTGGGTGGTGACCTCGGACGAATTCACGACGCTGTGGAAAATGACATACGCCTTTGTCCTCATCTACGCCACGTGTGTGTCGTTGACCAAGGCATCCATCCTACTCTACTACAGACGCATATTCGGGGCCAACTGGGCACATCATATATGCATGGGCCTCGTCGTCGGATACTGGGTCTCTATCACCATCGCATGGTTTTCTGGGTGCCGCCCGGTCACCTATTTCTGGGAACAGTTCACCAAACCAACGGCCAAGGGATACTGCATGAACACTTCGCTCTTCTACTTTATCAATGGCATATGCGCTATGCTGATTGATGTTGCCATCTTGATTGTGCCAATGCCAACCCGTGAGTCTACTGCGTTGACCTGTGTGACATTGCTGGGCTCACCTTTTCAGTCTACAAGTTGCAGATGCCGCTGCGCCAAAAGATTGCAGTCGGTGGAATACTTTTGCTAGGTGCCTTGTGAGTTGACAAGAGTTTTGCGGTGTAAATCATACTGACGTATCTAGTGTTTGTGTAGCTAGCATCATCCGCATCATTGCCATGGACAAGCTGGTAAAGGCCGACGATTTCACCTGGAGGATGGCCCAAGTCTTCATCTGGTCCTGCTGCGAGCCTTTCGTGGGCATCGTGTGCGCCTGCCTCCCTACATACGGCCCATTCCTTCGAAGGTTTTGGAGAAAGATTGGCACATCCGACCGTTACGTTTCTGGAACGAGCAGCAATAACCTGCACAATACAAATATCGAAAGGAACAAGGCAAGGATGCAGTGGAAACAACTACATGGGGATGATGTTCAGCTCCGCGGTGACGACGAAATGGAGCTGACGACGGACATTCGCGGGGGCCGTCAAGCAAGTCTGCAAACAAAGGATAGTGACGGCGATGAAACGGCCGAGTATGTCGAGAATATTTATGTCCGGAAGGATATTTCTTGGACGACAAGTCCCAACGTATGATTCCTGGGGAACATGCGACACCACCGAGTTGTATCTACCTAGTAGGTAGGTAGGTAGGTACATGAGGCTATCAACCACAACAGTAAAAGACACAATCCATGACCGCATTAAAACCCCATCCTGGACTTACGTATAGTGGCATGTGTGATGTATCGGATTACCAATGATTATCTATACACTTGTAAGCAATTATGAAGAGGATTGATGACAAATAAACTTCACAAGATCCCCACTCGAAGGTTTTGGTCGTCACCACATCAACCTCCCACCAAGAGCTCACCAACAACCCATATCAAAGAAGCATTGAGAATAAGAAACCTCCAACTCAAGTTACAACGCCCCTTTATTTCTCATTCACCATGAAAGCAGCCGTCATTCACGCCCCCGGCGGCCCCGAAGTCCTCCGGCTAGAAGACATCCCAATCCCTGTGGCAAACCCGGGCCAGGTCCTGATCCGGGTCAGGGCCTTTGGACTCAACCGCTCCGAGCTCTTCACTCGGCAGGGTCACTCCCCTAGTGTACAGTTTCCCCGTGTCCTAGGCATCGAGGCTGTCGGGACAGTCGCTGCAGCGCCAGGTGGGGAGTTTGTGGAGGGCGAGGTTGTCGCAACCGCCATGGGAGGTCTAGGCCGCAATTTTGATGGCGGATATGCAGAGTACACCTGCGTGTCAGCGGCCAACGTGCAGGCCATTCCCCGGGACGTAGCTGACGGTCTCAGCTGGAACATCCTTGGTGCAATGCCAGAGATGTTACAAACCGCGTGGGGATCGCTATTCAGAGCACTTAAGCTGAGCAAAGGCGACAAGCTCCTTATCCGTGGGGGAACAACGAGCGTGGGGATCGCCGCTGCTTCACTCGCTGCGGAACACGGGGCAACGGTCATGGCTACCACGCGAAGGACCAGCAAGGACGTTGCTGACCTCATGAAACGGCATGGTGTAGGAGAGGTAGTCGTCGACACGGGAGAAATTGCAGAGGATGTGTTGAAGATCTGGCCTGGGGGAGCTGATAAGGTTTTGGAGCTGGTTGGAACCTTGACCTTGGACGACTCGATGCGGTGCGCAAAAGAAGGTGGCATTGTCTGCATGTCTGGCATAGTAGGCAACCAGTGGGCGTTGAATAACTGGAACCCGATGGAGTCTATTCCCTCGGGAGTCTTTCTCACTGCTTACAGTGGTGGACCAAAGGAGTTCATGGAGACGCCTTTGGGCGATCTGGCACGGAAGATCAAAGATGGAAAGCTGGAGTTGCGAATTGGCAAGACTTTCGGTTTGGATGATATTGTCGACGCACACAAGTTTATGGAAGAGAACAAGGCTTTGGGTAAAATTGTGGTATTAGTATAGACGGAAGAATCTTGGGTAAGCAGAACGTGGTTCCCAGTATGAGAAGTCTGTGCCACCTGAGAGAGTGATTGCTTCATGGGTTAATCACGCTGACTTATGGAAGGATTTGTTGTTTAATTGACGTTGATAGCTTCAAAGAAGTTCTAATCTAATCTATAATTGTGCTCTGTCCAGAAGACAGATCGAGATGAAAGAAAAAGGCAAGGAAATAAGAGAATGCAAGAGAACACGAAAGGAAAGTTCAGTAGTCAGGCCCAGACTCAACAGACCCTGAAAGGTCATGATAACTCTCCAGCCCACTCCTAAGGTCGCCCTTATCGTGACTGATCTAGCTGTACCATCCGTTTGGCGACAGCTCCAACTACAATCCTGTTAGCAAATCGAAATCATTATAGCCGATGGGCCGCAACTTACAAAGCTCGAGTTTATCTTCTTCAAGTCTGCAACTCCAAGAGAAGCACCAGAAGCCGTAATCTCCGTTTTCAAGAGCGTGGCTGCACGAGAAACTCCTTCTGCGCCATAAAGATTGGCGAACATGAATGGACGGCCAAGACCAACCGCCCGAACCCCAAGGGCAAGAAGTCTAAGAACATCGGTTCCATAGCGGACACCGCCGTCGGCATAAACCTCAATCTTCTTGAAAACCTGGGGCGCTTTCTTATGTATCTCCAAAGCCACCTCGAAAGCAGAAGGAGAACCATCAAGAGCACGACCTCCATGGTTAGACAGGAAAATTGCTGGGGCACCAGCTTCCATGGCTTGTACCGCGTCCTCAACGGTCTGGATACCTTTAGGAATAATAGGAAGCTTTGTAAGTTTCTGCAGATCCCTGTAAATGGCCCAAGTCATGCGTCTGAAACTTGCGGAGCGAGCCTGATTGGTGTTCTCCTCGAATCGAAGGGCGCGATGCCGCGTGCGATCCCCAGCCGAGTCCACAGTCAGAACCAGGGCCTTCACTCCTAGCTTCTCCATGCGTCGGAAAAGAAGGCTATCGGCGGTTTTATTGTTCGATACGTAAATCTGTTGGGTTGTTAGCATAGTGACTTTCGAGAAAGCTTAGGGTTGCGTGCCTGTTGAAAGAGAACCTGGTCACGGGTCCTGGCAGCGGCAATCTTCTCCAAAGGTACGCTGGAGGCAATGGAAGGCTGTTTCCGGTCAGTGCTCTCTCGTCTATCAAATCAGGGGACAAGAAACGTACGATATAGAGAATATTCTGCTCCGCTGCCGCCTTAAGGAGACCGATCTCGCCCTCGGCATGGGCGAGACCTGCAGTGGCGCATGGGCTGATAAAGAAAGGCGCAGAGAACTTGTGACCAAGAATAGTAGTCCTAGGCTGTATTTAGCATTTTTTGCTTAGCTTCTCATTAGGACAGGGTGGACAAACTCCATGGAAGACTCTATGTCAGTCACATCAACCATGACTCGAGGCCGGAATCGGTAACGCTCATACACCTCCAGATTGTTCCTGTAAGACCATTCACCTCCCGAGCCGTGGCGGTATCGGGTGTATGCAGAGCTGTTCATCGACTGTCTCGCGGCCCAGTCAAAGTCCGGAAGGCCAAGGATTCGAGAGAGGTCTGGCAGGCTCCCGTTGGCGGTGGGGAACATCTCGAAGGACTCGTCAATCCTGCTCTTGTTAGCCCGAAGCTCGGTAGGCGTACACGGAGATAATTCCAGTCAACATACATCGTGTCGGGCTCATTGAGGAAAGGTCTGGCCGCTAAAGCTGCCGAAGCAAGAGAGAGGACGCAAAGGAGAGATGTTTGACGCATTTTGCTCGATGGAAGTGACAGACTGGTATTGAATGAGGAACTGAATAACTTGGAAAGGGGATCTCAGAAACTTATATATCAAACGCTGGTCTAGCACGGTCTCCCTGCTTTGTCCGGTTCCCCCAGCATTCATGGCCACATCGTGGGCTGGGTTTGCGTGGTTCAGGGCAGCTCAGCACATAGCCTCAAAATGATCCACAGCTGTTCGTTCTCGGAAGTGTCTCAAGTAAGGTTTTAAACGGAATTATTTTATGGTAAAGTTAAATGGAGAGTCAAGCCAAAATCTCCTACGCCCGTGTCACAAATTACAACGCCCCGCTAGCGCTAGAGAGCACAGGAGAGGCAAGCCAAGCCACAATTTCCCTGATTTTCGTTCTCGTTATCGCCGTCGTTTTCGTCCTCCATGGCCTCAAGTCCCGACTTTGCTCCTCTCATTCAATACTATTTCGGGACACTTGGTTTCTCGTCCAGCTGCTGTATCAGCGCAAGCACGACAAGCCACAACGTTGGTTTGATCGGCAGAAGTGGCATGATTTGTAGTACTATGATATCCTACTAGATGAATGGCTTAGCCTAACAACCTCACAGTTCTTCAAGCATTAGAGCCGAGCCCAAAGTATCTTGCCTATGCTTGCATACGATTCCTATAGCGTGCCGTAGCTCGTAGCTCAGCTCAACTTGATCAACGAGTGACCAGCGTCTTGAAGTCGCCTCGCTCCTATCCAGAGCAGTCAGTCATAGCTCACTACGGCTTCCTGAAGGCTCATGGATAGTGTCAATGCACCAAGTGATCATCTTCTCATATCCTGTGCACTTCAGCGACTCGGTGATGGACGTGATCAATGCAAAGGCCCATCGCCGCAAAAACCAGCATTCGGTTTCGCAGTAACTCAGGAGAACGGCGTAGTAGGCAACAATAACCATAGAAGGAGGATTCCGGTTTCTCATGAGATCGAGGAACTCATTCCCCAGTCGAATGGGCCACATGAACGCTGCTCTTAGCTCAGCTGGTGTCCCCAAGACAGTGCTGCTCTGTTGAGAGGCCACTATGCTCTCAATGAGCATAGTCGATGCGCTGATAGCTATGGACGTTTCCTCGCCGCTGGATGCAAGACTGTCGTCTGACAAGCAAGCTCGGACGTAGCTTAGTCGTTCAATGAGAGGTTGGTGATGGCTCTGGATAGTGGCAAGGGGCAGTCTCTGGCCGAAAAGCCCATTGAGTGGACCCTCACGAAGATCCTTCTCGAAACAACGGAGTATTACAACCATGCCTGCGACGAGAGCAAATATATCGGCCAGGGCATCGACGGGTGTGAAGGCGGGGTTGTATAGTTCAAAACTGGGCAACGTGGCAAAGGCACTGATGACGAGAAACATGGAGCTTGCATACGCGCTGTGGCAGCTCTCGGGCGTAAGGCTCTCCCCCAAGGCTGAGCTGAGCAGTATGACTGCTTGGCTCTGGCGTTGAGAGGCAGCGAGTAAGTAGGCATGCCGTTGGGTAGGTCTAAGATAGGCCAGATGGAAAGCCGAGAATGCCAGAATCTGATGCAAAAGGCATGGAGAAGAGAATGCTTCTCGCGGCACAGCTAGTTGTAAGGCTTCGCGTGCAGTGGGTGTCCGGCTTACGGAAAGGTAGGCTTTAGCGGTGTAGTGGTGCATCAGCTCGAGATCTGACACTTGTGTATGGTTGGTTGGATAGCCGGCATGCCATGCTCTGTGGAGGAAGCTTGGAAAGAAAGGGATGGTCTCTTCTGAAGGCGGAGGCTCCATGCCCGATGCCGTCTGCCAGGGAGAGGGGACGTCGCCTATCCCAGAGGAAGCGCTGGAGTTGAGTGAACCATCTTCACTGCCATGATTCTTCTAGAGATGAGTGTCAGTGGCCCCATTGTCTTATCGAAGCTCAACTTACACTTGGTCTTTGTTTGCGGGCTCGCCGTTGACCTGAAGTGCCTTCGCGAATGGGGTTACTGTCGGTGCCCAAAGTCAAGCTGCATGGCAAATGATGTCGTCGGCAAGCACCGCAGCAAGGCTGAGATTCATCGCACTATGAATTATTAATGGAATGTCCCCGGACTTATCCTCTACATATGTTCTGTTGGTGATCACAGTGGGAAATTATGTAGCTCTAATTCGAGCGAAGGGGGTTCCATGCCTTGACGCGCCTCTGCTTGCATTGTAAGCAACCGTTACGAGACTTCTTGTAGCCGAGCCGCTTCATCACGGCAAATCTTTCCAACACGTGAGAGTTTAGATGGGATTGGGACGATTTTGCACTGCTGTCGGAGCCAGGGACCAAATGCTAAATCTGTGGGAAGAAGAGAAAATTGAGGAGATAGCGAGTTTGAAGGACTTGGGACAAAGTGCTGACAGGGTGTTGAGGTTTTGCCTTTCTCACATGGTTAAGGAGCACGCAAGGGCCAAGCACTCCCTGTCTCGTTCTCGTTCTCGTTATCGTCTCGGGGAATTTTGTCCAATGAGAAGCCATGCCTCAGTGAGCCAACGACTAGACTAACTACCGAAAGTCTAAGCTTAGTTGGCAGATAGCGTGGATTGAGCTTGGTGGTCCGGTCTTGGCCTTGATAAATACGGGAACGACGACATTATCAATGCAGCTCAGCCACCCCAAGGAATGAGTGTCTTCAAGTTCTCTTGTTGATTTTGGCCTCTTCTCTCATCTCAACCTAAGAAACGGTGTTCCAAGATGGATACTAGGTACGTTTGGAAATACATCCTGGTCATGCAGCTACCGGTATATAACTGCCTCAAGGCAACTAACACTGCCTCAAAATTGTAGATCTTACATGCCAAGGTCTGGGCATGACGACGCTATTTCGCCCTTGACAGACTCTTCGGGCCTCAGCATGTCCGTATCGACGACCGCAGTTTCTACGCCAACCGACACCTCATCGTCACGACCGGAGACTCCTGTTTACGAACCGGGCGAGAGAAAAATAGATTACGAGTGTTTTCCTGAAGTGGTTCCATCGAATGACCCAGAGCCGGCGGTATTGGAGAATGCAGTCACTGGGTTCAACCTACCAGAAGTGGCATGCACATACACGCATGAGGTATCAAAGGAGGTTGTTCCAACATATGCTGGCCTTGAGGTTTCAACACCGCTGGAACCACCCACCGGGGCCGTGACGCCGCTGCATCTACTTGGGGATCAACCTAACTGGATTGATTGCCCCTTTTGCGAAACGCGAGCAAGGACCACGATAAAAAAGAGGCCCTCAAACCTAACACAGTAAGTTAATCCAACAGTCTTTTGTCTACTGGCTAACACGATCAGTATCCAGGCCGCCTTCCTACTCGTTGCTACCGGTCCCGGGGTTGCTGTTCCCTACACTGCAAGGTGGTGTTTTAATGTCGAACAATATTGCGGAAACTGTGACAACAGAGTCGCATATTTGTCAAGGGGGAAAGATCTATTTATTTGCAAGGAAGCTCGGAGATGAAGAGACGGTGGGGTATCCTAGCTTGATACAGTGCTGTCTAATCTTTTATTTTCTTCGTGGTCCAATTCTCAATGTTGGGTACTAAGATTTGCTATTATTATTATTCAGGTTTAATATGAAGAAGCTGGACGCCAGAGGTTCAGTAGCATAATATTATAAGTAAATGTAGCATAAGTCGTGGTGGGGAAGTTAACTTGCATGAATGAGCAGACTGGTTCAATTGACAACTCAACGATCTATAGAACATGACAAATGAGCTTTAATAATATAGGACTTTCTCATATCTCCGCAAAAAGCAAGCTAAAGTCATGTTAAGCCCAGAGATAATACAAGCATCGGTACTATGATGGGAAATGAAGGCTCCAACGCTATGCCCTGCCTCGACTGACTCGCTTGACGATACTGTGCCAATCAATATCATCCAGATCATCAGCGTGGACTAACACTACCGATATTGAGAGCTTTGTGTAGCTGTCCCTTTGTACTCGCGTATCGCATGCGAGACTTGACGTTCTGTTAGTGGCGACTGGGAAATATCGTGAGTAGAAAACCAACCTTGATCGATGTGCCAGCAGGAACCCAGGCAGTGAAGACAGTTGCGACCCTGCAGGAGATTAGCATGACGGATGTGTATGCGTACATTTTCCTCACCTTTTGCCTTCGTCACCAAGGTCGTATTCGACATCGTAAGCAGCGTAACGCGGGGCGGGCTTCCCCTTGGGATCCACGGCAGATGATAGTCTCGTCAGAAAAAACTCATAGTCCTTCTCTGGAGAGATTTCCTCCACGACAACATCGCGTTCATCATCCGAAATTTTGAAGATGACGAAGCGAGGCTTGTCTGCGTCTCTTCGGGATCGGAGTTCGTTAACGGCAGCGATACACTCGTCCTGAATTTTTACACTGGCGTCGTTGTTAAAAAGAGTGGGTCGAAGAGAGGGTCGGACATGGGAGGGTTACCCTGAAGGGATGTGTTGACATTAACGTGTGAGAGGGGAACACTGCTGGGCATGGAGAAATATAGTACTTACCGACATAATTATATCCTCGGAATAAATAAAAACAATGGTCGTTATTCAAGAGGTTTTGGGCTCGGTTCGGAGCTTACTCGAGCTTTGGATTCGAGCCAGATGCGTTTTGGATTAGATGGTTCAAATAAACATAAGAGAACCAGAGCACTTTTACCGTTATTGCACGTAGAACAATGCCAATGGATAAATATCAACAGCAAGATCGATGACACTATATAAATAGTATATGGCACAGCCTAGCACTTCATTTAGTACAATCTTTTTCAATCGATGCCACTCTTTGTCAGCCTTTTGACAGTTTCCGCGGCTCCATGCGAGCTGACCAGATGGATCTCTTCGGCGTCTTCGCTCATCAAGCGCGTCTCTTCCGCGTCGCCGCGGGTCCTTGTGTCCGGACCGTGGCACCGAAAAGTGGACCCAAGCAACTCGGGCGTTTGACGCGACGCGTCTGCGACTGATCCGTGCGAAGAGATCGGCTTTTCCGGGGGTGCGGACCCTCGGGCCGGCGGGACCGCGGCTCCGCGTCATCTAAATTCCGTACGCATCTGTTAGCAACCCCTCAGACATCTGCGAATCTTGCAACTGGCATCGAAAGAGACCGGCGAGAACCAGCCAGCAGTTGACAATGGATACCGAAGAAACCCTCCAGCAGCGCCGGAGGCGGCTCGCACAGGTTTCCCGAGCGGTAGGTAGCTATCCACGTGCCAAGAAAGGATTAGAGCTAATGACTCCCAGTGCGAAGCATGTAGGGTGCGCAAGGTATGGTATGATGGTACCCATTATCACATGTGGCCTTGACTGAACAATGCTCGGCTATTGCCAAGAAACAACGTATGGGAAGTATCAATCTCGTAGAGCCGATCAAATGCGCCGCGTGTTCTGGTATATCTACACTGTCGACAAAAACATTTCCCTCCTCTAGGGCCGCCCCTCGTATCTCCGAGACTCTGAAGTGGATGTTTGGCATCCTAGAAGCTCCCCAGACTCTGATGTTGGGCCTTGGGATCAACTTTTGATCATGGCTGTCAAATTTGCTAAACTCCAGGGTCAAGTTTATGACCAGCTTTACTCGGCCGCAGCACGGAATGCTCACCCGGTTCAACAAGCTGAAACGATCCAACAATTTTCGGCCAAGCTGCAATCCTGGTATACTGGGCTCCGCGAGGTAAGCTACGATATGCTTGGCCATGACAGGTGTGGTTAATCCATGCTGACCTAATGCAGATTGACTCAACCCAGATGAAGCAACCTTAAGTGTTTGAGCTTTCACAGAAGAGCTGGGACATCATGTACTATTCCACAATGACCTTGATCCTGATTAAAGCACCACCAACCGAGGAGGAAGCTGGTGTTAGTCAAACGTGCCTTGAGGCTGCCCGAGTTGGTTTGCGGTGTCACCTTGCATGCTTTTCTAGTTACCAGATAGCCGACAGCCCTGGACAGGTGTCAGAGGGCGAATATGCAAGCTGGTTGGTTCCTTTGGTTTTTCTTCTCTGATTTTCTTTGCTCACACACTCCTCAGGGTTCTACATCAGTCATCGTTAAACCCGTTCATTGCTGTTTTCCTCCACGCTATCGCGGCTGACAGCTTGGAGGATCTCTGCCCGCTAGACGACGTCGTGGCGGTTTTGCAAAAGGTTTCTGTCGTGTCCAACAGTTGCCAAGCTCTTTTCAAGGTCTGTTCCACATTCGCTCGCCTCGGTCGGGCTCTAGTGATGGATGATACGAGGTTGGAAAACCCAGAAGGAGGGCTGCAACTCTCTAATGACCCCAACCCAGGTCCTCAATCTGGGCCGGAGACTTTTGAGGGGATTTTTGGAGAGGGCATGAAAAATGGCTTTAAAGTAAGAGCGTAGGAAAATGATATAACTGAGTGACTTCTTCTTCTTCATTGTTATCCTTCGTCAATTGAGCATCGCCCCTGAGAGGTGCGAGCAAATTTTGTCCAACATGATGACAGCCAGGTGAATTAAGATCAAGATTCCCTAGTCGAAAGAAAAATGCGCCCCATGAAGTTGTTTCTATTTATTGATCGTAAAGCCGATTCTTCATAATTCTTGTCGATAAACCTTGAACTGTTCGACTTGATAGTGCAATTCCTCAAGCGCGACTTTTAGATGCTGCGCGTTTAGAGACAGGTGGCCTCCATGCATGTCTCCAAGATTCCTCAAGACGGCAAGTCCTCCATTGAGGTGAATGCCTACTAGACTCGGCGCGTTGGCCCTACTTAATTCATGCTCAAGGGTATGAGCTCGTAGGAACTCTAGGTTGGTAAACAAGACACTCCCCAAGACTGCAAGTTCAGCACTTTCGACTGTTGTATCCAAGCGCCGGTTCAATGCCCATATAGCTTGGTTGTAGTGAAGGGTAGGAAAATCAGGTTGTAAAGCAGTGTCGTGCGATGGCGTGTAACTCCGTCTGCTTAGTACGCTTATAGCTAGGGCAGCGTGAAATGCCCATGCTTCTGTGTGGGCTGCGTAAAGGACGAATCTCTCCCAGATGGGTGATTGGAAGTAGAGTGAGAACTCTTGAGCGCAGATAGAGCGGAAGTAGTCAAAAATGGTCGCCTCGATTCTGTCAAGGTGCCTTAAATGACCAGGTACGCCGAGCTGGGCTGAGAGTAACCCTTCTCCTATGAGGCTTCCATGTACAGGGGAGATCAAAGGAGACGGGGTAGCCATTGATTCGATTACGAAGACCAAGGGTGCTGGTTGAGAGGGATCTCGATGTGACGTGGAAAAGTCACAACGCCGACCAGTGCTTACGCACGGGGAACAAGCTGGCCTTGCTTCATCACACTTTTTACGCCTGATTCTGTGAGAGGGTCAAATACTGCTCTTCTAAGGTCCTCAAATATTCCTGTAATGAACATACTTGCATGTCTTGCATCCAGTCCTGACTTTGGGAACCCCTCGCGCGCCGTGGCGTCTCTTGGGACTTGTGACTGCCCCCTGCATAGGCACGTCAGTCTGCCTTGGTTAATCCGTAGAAGCGGGGTTTTGGCCAAAGGATCTGTTTCTCAATCGAGCCCCAAAGTCCTTCAAGCCGATTGATTCACGTTGGGCAATTGTAGGAGGAAGCAGGAAATGCACGGTCAAAACTGACGTTTCTCGTGGCTCTAAGCTGATGCTTACTGAGGGGAGGTGTCAAGGTGGGCCTCAAATTGGACGAGATGATTGGACCGAGCGTATCCCTTGACGAATCTGGGTTAGCATGTCTTTGATGTCGGCGTTGTTGATTGGATGGATCTTGAACGTGCTATTCCATGGCATCAAAGTGATATTGACGTTCACAGGAGAAAGTCGAAGAAAACCTGTAATGTGGAGGTCTGGAACGAGTATATATAGCTGGAACTACTCGCAAATTATCGGGTTCAACTTACTCTTACATCCATCTTCAACTTGCCCACGCATCATCTTCATCCCTATCATCACCTACCTATTTTCATTTGAATATATCGCTTTTCACCATGTCAGACATCAAGCCTTACCAGATTCATGTGTCCGACTTTAGAGTCGATAGGCTCAACCAGAAACTTGCCTTGACAGACTTTCCCAGTCAGAATTATGATCCAACATCTGCCTCGTGGAAGCTAGGACCTCCTGTGAATGAGATCGAGCGACTGGCAAGGGTGTGGCAGTCAAGCTTCGACTGGCGCCAGGTTGAAGCACGCCTCAACCAGTTGCCTCAGTTTACCGTCCCGATCGAAACAGCTGACTTTGGGGCGTTTGACGTCCACTTTGTGCACAAACAGAGTAGCCAGGCGCATGCCATCCCGCTCCTCTTCCTGCATGGCTGGCCCGGCAGCTTTTACGAGGTGTCAAAGATCATCGACCCTCTGGTGCAGGGTGAATCACATGAGGATCAGGTATTTCATGTTGTTGCACCAAGCCTGATTGACTTTGGGTTCTCCTCGCCAAGCAAGGTATGTGTCTGAGTGTTGACTGTCGAATAGGACTGACAAGGTGCACTTGCAGAAGGGGTTTGAGTTTGAACATCATGCAGACGTTTATGACAAGCTTATGCAGAAGCTCGGGTACGATCGTTATGGTAAGTGTCCTTTGTAAACACACCAACAACATGATGTTAACGTTACGTTAGTGATCCAGGCTGGAGATGTTGGATGTCTGGTCATGAGATACATGGCCAAACTGTACGGTCCTTCACGATGCATGGCTTGTCACACAAACACGCCCGTACCCAGAGAGCCGACAAAAGACACCCACCCGGAGTTGCATGCAAAGACCTCGGCAACGCAGCTCACAGAGACTGAGCAAAAAGCTCTGGAGCGTACGGGAGTCTTCTATAATGAGGGCAGTGGATACTATAAACTACAATCTACGAGACCCTTCACCATCGGTTACTCGCTGAGAGACAGTCCTGTTGGTCTCCTGGCATGGATCTATGAAAAGCTTCGAGAGTGGAGCGATGACTACCCGTGGAGTGACGAAGACATTCTCACCTGGGTTAGTATTTACTATTTCTCGACGCCTGGACCAGAAGCCACCAGCAATGTGTACTATGCGATAGAACATGGCGAGCTGCCAGCGTTTGCTGTCGCCGCCGAGTATATGGATGTACCACTGGGTATTTCTCGGTTCTCTAACGACCTCGTGCTTTTACCCAAGTTGTGGAATCAGACTCTTGGTCCAATAATGTATGAAGCTGACCATGCAAAGGGTGGTCACTTTGCTGCTTGGGAAAGGCCGGACGCAATCGTTCAGGACTTGCGTGCTATGTTTGAGTTGTTCAAACATGGCCGTGAAACGTATGTGGATGGTATGAGGAAGAACGAGTAGTTACTAGTTGGCATGTGAGGAATCGAAACTAAACGCAATAGATAGTGTTTCATTGATCTTCAATCACTGATCTTCGATCTTGAGATCTAGAAACGTAACCCCTGTATGCTCGCCTGCTGTAGTGGTGTGCGCAAAAGTACCAAAGACCGGGCCCGTCATCTCCCGCGCAGCCAATTCCCGAGTCTCGCAGGACCCTAGCTCCAGCCACTCTTCCTCCACTTCCGATGTTGAGTCCATGGCAAATAATCGGTACCTGGTCGATGTTGCGATGATCTTGAGGCCTAGAGTCTTTGTGGTTTCCCCGACCTGCAAAGTGGTTGTTGATGTTCTGTCGAGTCCTGTGGACGCATTCCAAGCATGACAGACAACTTCTCCGGCGTCAAAGTCGTAACTTAGGGATACGTGCCGCATGTGGTCCTTGTAGACGGCCAACCCTGCCTTGATGCCCCGACGAGCCACTGTCCCTGTGGTGGCAATGTCTATGGATGTAGTTGCGGTAGAGTTGAGGCTCCTCTGACGTTTGCCGATAAACGTGTTGGTTCCCGCTGGCGTTGATAAGACACTCTGACTGGGGAAGAGAATGTATGGGCCGTTATCTGTGTCTGGCAACCTGTATCTTGACAGGTCCGGGTCCCTGATAAAAAGATCTTCCACTCTCGCTGAGGGGATCAATCGGCTTGCCGCATCCATCCTATTCCCGTTTCGCTCAGAGAAGCTCGTCGCTACGAGACCAGTGAACTCCATTCTCGGCTGAGAAATCACTGGCCAACCCCCGTCAGGCCAATCAACAGGTGTAAGGAACGTCTCTCTTCCCAGAGGTTGACAAGACTTTTCGTTCCTTACGCCCAAAACCACTGCCCACCATTGGCTATTGGCGTCTTGAAACAAATCGCCATGCCCAGTGTTCTGGATATACTCGTCAACCTTGCCGTCCGCCGTCAGGATAGGATTGCCCTTGAAGTCTTCATATGGACCCCAAATACTCTCTGATCTCGAGAGGGATAGCATATGATGCTCGAAGGTACCCCCCTCGGCAACCAGCAAGTAGTACCACTTTCCGAGGTTGTAGATGTGTGGACCTTCCGTGTCATATCTAGCATGACCTTGCCAGATCTCTCGTTGCTCTGACAATGGTGTCCCTGTCTTAATGTCGATCTCGAATTGCATGATCGTACACGATGGCTGTTTCGTACGATCGAGAAGGAAGCAGCCGTGGAAGTAGACACGGCCGTCATCGTCGAAAAACAGCCCTGGATCGATACCTTTGAATGAGATGGGGATTGGGTCACTCCAGTTGCTACTCCAGATGTCGGTGGTAGAAATAACAAAGTTATCTGTTCGAAGAGTTTTGCCGCCGTGACCCGCGTTCGTGCAGACGATATAGAAAACCCCGTCGTGGTATCTAATCGTAGGAGCGAAGAGACCCCCGGATGCGACCATTGAATGGCCTGTGTCAAGAGGTACCGATTTCGTGCCCGCTGCATATAGGCTGAGCTACTCAGGCCGATTGATAGCATTCCCTGATGAAGAAATTGTTAGCATCGTGATGCATGATCGAGGCGAGGGCCGTATCTAGTATGGAATTACCGATATGTGTCCATTCTTTCAAGTCCCGAGATGCGTAGATAGGCAATCCGGGAAAGAAGTGAAATGAAGATGTAGCAAGGTAGAAGACACCATCGACGTGCACAACTGAGGGGTCAGGGGCGAATCCTGGAACGATTGGATTCTGGTATTGAGTCTCGTTGTGCATGGCGTGGAAGGATGAACGAGGAAGGGCTGAGAGCCTTGGAGGGTGAGTGCATATATCTTCTGTTTAGAGATGAAAGTGAAGAGTTAATTGCTGCCGAACTCTAGTGCCGTTGAGACGAGAGTGCCAGCTAGGTACATATCCAAAATCTGCGAGAAAGGAGAAGACCCCGGCTTCTCCGCTTGGACTCGGTTCCCTGGTTTTGGGTAGGGAGAGTTGCGAATATTCCGTGGAAATTTCTTGCGCGTCGGAATAATATCTACCTTGGCTCTGGATTTAAGGGACCGATAAATCCCCACTCAACTCGTCCGATACTTTTGAGTCTAGCTTCGAGATGGCATCGAGGAGTGTGGAGAATAGCAATTTCGCGCGAGACGAGAGAGTTTGGCTCTCGGCACGGTGTGATATTTCGAGTAGAATCACGCCGACTTGGCGAAGCTTCTCGACCTAGATGACGTTTGTTAATAGTTACGAGAATACAGGAGGACGGACGTCCAACGGGTTATTTGACTCACAAGAGGCTCTCCGTTTGCCAGTAAAGCCTCAAATGGGATACTCGTGACAACCGTAAGGAGCTCATGAGATATCTCTGTGTTGCGGAGGGCAAGCATATCTGGGTTATTGGTAACTCCGAAAAGAGCAGACAAGCCTTGCGCAGACGCCTCTCGGAGGAGAACGAGTCGCAGGCAGTGAAACGTCACCAATAGATTGGCATGCTGTATCCAAAAGGTGCGTCGTTGAAAGCCCGTGACTGATTGATCAGCGTCTTTCGCTGTATGTGACCCGGGATCACGGAGCCAAGGTGGCATGGCGTCAAGCGCGCTACAGAATGCCATGTATGATTGTATGATGCCTCGTTGAAAGGAGTCTGTTGGAGGCGGTTCTGACACAGGACTCGTCTTCGAGTTTAGACGAGATAGTATCCTGATATCGTGCAGCAAGTCAGCGGCAAGCGACCACAGTCTTTGGGATAGGCGAAAGCCAATATGTAGCTGGTTCTCGTAAGGCGCCTTGTAGAGGGGCTCATCTGCGTCTTCTAGTAGACACGGCTGGTCCTCTTCTTGATCAGCTGACACCGCAGTCAAGAGAGATCCGTCCAGATGTGCCTCGTGGAGGGTAGTCGGGACGTTGTTTAGGACCGAAGCTGATTTATCAGACACATAGAGAATACAAAAGACATTCTTCCTTAACTGAGACTCAACCTGGTTAAGTCGGCTGTAAGACGCCTCGTCAAAGAGGCGCATGACCAGAGCTAATCTGAGGGCATGCCCGAGCACGTACCAGGACAGCCGAATCTTCCCCAGAGTATGGAGAGCGACAGCTTGGAATACTCGAATAGACAAGGAGCTGGATTCCGGGTGAGACACATCCTGATCCTCGTAGCACATCAACATGCCACGTGAAGCGGCGAGGAAATGGTGCACCAGCGCGGAGCCAGGAGTAAACACAGAGGCGGGGACCTTGCTGCAGATGTTGGCACACGCCGAGGTGACCAGAGTAAAAGCGCGCATGTCGTCAAGGGAAGGCCCACACCAGTCGGTATCATAAGGTGACATCTGGGGAAAGGCGGGCTGAAAAAGGTAACGAGAAGCCGGGAGCAATAAGCCGACATGCTTCTTAAGGCTGGCAAGATGGATGATAGGGCTGATTGGGAAGCACTGTTCCATGTAGAGGCCTAGACACTGTCTTACAGTCTGTTCAAGAGGCAGGCCTAGGTTCTCGATTGCTGTCGTAAGTGTCTCGTGTATGTTGTGTGGATAATAGTCAAAAGCGAGCCTTGACCCAACAGCAGAGGATGAACCCCTGGCTGGCGGAAACCCGAACCCAGCCGTTGTATCAGCTGAGGGTGTTTGGAGACCAACAACCTCAGCTGCGGGCGCTGGAGGGTACTCTGGGCTGGAGCTGGATGGTGGCAAGGGCGCAGCGAAGGTACTGCGCTCAGCAGAACTCTCCATGCCCTCCGCCTCCTCTCCACGTGGAGTCAATACGGCCGCTGCAGTTGCTGTCTGTGTGGGGTCCTCAGATATGGAGGGACTCAGAGTCTCGGTTGTGGACATGGAAACACGAGGCCTCGGCCCTCGCTTTCTTCGCACAAGGGTGTACTCGCACTCCAGGTTCGATGAGCGACAGTTGGCACATTGCGGAGGCTGAGAGTCACACTTGATCTTCCGCCGCCTGCAGTTGTCGCACGCCTGCCGTGCATACCTTGCGGTCCGCATGGCCAATTAGCGTCGAGTCCGTTCGGTTACAGCCAGTATTCGAGGTCGTAGAGAGTAAGTCGGGATAAAGTAGATGTTTGGTTGAAGGCAAGTGATGACCTAGGATTGACTCTTGGGACAAGACACGGCGAAATTCCGAGAGGGGACTGATGTTTTAAGGATATTCCGTCCACGCTAATGAGGACCTGCTAAAGTATTTCCGAACTTTGGCAGGGTGTTGGTTGTGGGTTCTGAAGCCGCACTATTTGCCGAGAACTATGACCCTACACAGCCAATAGGAAATTAAGCCGCGGATCTCCTTTAAGACACATGACTTTGCTAAACCTGGGGAATAATTCCGGCCAAACTTGGCTTCTCACACGAGGTAACAGGGGTCTCTCTATTTCCCCAGAGTACGGATCCTCCCCAGGAACTTGGGACTCCGCATTTTGTTGCAGCTCTTCTCTCCCCAGTGCAGCTGAGAACTGCAACTCACACCTAGTATGGCCTCCTTGGACCGTGTATATAAGACACAAGACCTGCCACCTTACAGAGACAAATCAACCCTCTAGCTTCACTCACGCAAGCACCCATCGATTCAGCAAGCTCAACTCTACAGATCTCAATGATCGACTCGAAGGAACCAGACACCACTCACGGCGAGAACCGCGTCGACTTGAACGATATCGAGACACTCTCGCGCGCCCCCGAGAACACCGCTCGAGGGTTCGACGTTGTGAAGAGAAACAGGCGCGTCCTGGGATGGTGTCAGTCATGCACACCACGGGAGATCCAGTCCAGCTGCTAACCAAGTCTAGGCCTCCTGATCTATCTCCTGCCCATCAACTTTGGGTTCGAGATCGCTCTAGTCGGCAAAGTGCTCGCCATCCCGAGTTTCCTCGAACGCTTCGGCTCCGACACGGACAGCGGAATCCGTGAGATTCCCGCACGAACGCAGCAGATCTTGAGCGCCTCGTCGACCATTGGAATATTCGTCGCTGCGTTTACTACAGGCTTTTTGTCGGATGTATGGGGTCGCCGAAATGTTGTCTTTGTTGGCTGCTTCCTGTGCATCAGTGGAATTCTAGTCCAGGGCTTCTGCACCTCAATCATGATGCTCTTTGGCGGAAAGCTTACGAGCACGCTGGGCTTCGGACTCGGACATTCCCTTGCGCCGGTCTTTGTCGCCGAGATTGCTCCAGACGAGCTCCGTGGATTTTGTTTGACCCTCATCAACACGATGATAGTCATTGGGGCGTGGGGATGCTCACTTGTGGGCTGGGGCGGAACCTTCATTGAGGGTGATTGGGGCTGGCGGATGCCTATCTTTGCCCAGCTTGTGCCTCCAGTCTTGATGTTGGTTCTTGGATTTTTCCTCTTGCCAGAATCGCCATCTTGGCTCCTGATGAACGGCCAGCGCGAGAGGGCAGCTCAGTGCCTGCGCAAGTTCCGTGGGCCAGATTTTGACGCCGAGGCGGCCTTGGTTTCCATGGAAGCAACTTTAGCGAAAGAACGGTCTTTGAACGAGCAGGGTTCGTCCTATCTGGAGTGTTTTAAAGGATCGAATCTGCGTCGAACCCTTATTGTTGTCCAAGTTTACGTCGCTCAGCAGTTTGTCGGGTCGGGTTTCGTGTCGGGATACCTCCCGTAGGTCCTCCCATTTCCCCATGTCGTGTACTAATAAACCGTCTAACGCATGTCATTTAGATATTTCTTTACTCTCTCTGGCGTTCGCAACCCAGTCGGCGTAGCCCAAATCTCATACAGCCTTCAGCTGCTTGGCAACATCTTGTCCTGGCCATTGGTCGACAGGCTAGGCCGCAGGCCCATGATTGTTTGGGGAACCGCAGCATTGGCAGCTGTCTTGCTTGTCATTGGTGGTATCAGCACCATAAACAAGAGCAAGCCTGTTCTATCAGCCGTGGTGGCCTTCATGTCTATCTGGGGCTTCTTGGTACTGCATCCGTTCTAGTCCATTAGCTACTGCCTTTGCTAACCCCTTCAAAGTACCAACTTACCCTGGGAGCGGTCGCATACGCTGTAGGAGGAGAAACACCCACGCCTCGCCTCCGACAAAAGACATACTCGATCAACGTCATGAGTAACACGGCCGCAAGTGTCGTTGTCACCCAGCTGATCCCGATCTTGATCAACCCCGGAAAGGCCAACCTTGGAGGAAAAGTTGCCTTTGTATTCTTTGGACCATCATGCCTGCTTTTTATCTCCCTGTGGCTTACCTTCCCCGAGCTGAAGGGTCGAAGCTATCTGGAGATGGAGGAGATGTTCCAAAAGGGAGTGCCAGCACGCCAGTTCAAGAGTTATGTCTGCAAGACAGATATCATTCAGCCTGAGGATGGGGAGAAGCCAGTTGTTATTACGAAGGACTAAATGCCGGGCGGCAATCGGATGTTGTGTTGTTTCGTGCCGGGTACCAAGCGGACAACAAGATAGGATAACATCTTGGTGGTCCTTAGGAGAGTCATGAATTCCTGGCACGATTGGGGATTGATGCAATCATGTATTAATGACTGTGCTTTTTGCTGTTTTGGCAGATAGCTTCTTGTCATTATTGCAGATAATAATAATGCGTCCTTCAGCCAGGATGAGATCGCTTCCCGCGGACTCCCGATATCCTGCCTCGCCGCCACTGATGTGCGTAATGTAGTTTTTTGCGTTCGGCAATTATCTGTAAATGCCGACTCCTTGGCTTCAAATGACCAGGGGCTGCCTTGCGCCCGCCCTGGTCGACATTGAACCTACAGGGACTGCATATCAGGGTCCCGGCGGTTTTAACTGTGTGACGTACAGTAAAGGTAAAGATACGAGAAATCTTAGGGCGGTGCAAAGTAGAACCAAAGAGCTCCTTAAATCTTGCTTTGACATGCCATTTTTTTCTTTTCTAGCATCTCGGGGACCATTGCTCGCCACCAATATTGCCGTACACTGACCCCTGGCGCCACACCTAAGTTACCCTTCACCTATCGAGCTCCGCTGAAGCAAGCACCTGTGTCAACATACACGAAGAACCTTTCACCAGCGCGCCTGGATATGAGTCAATCAATGAACTCGCCATGGGAGTCACTGGTGCAGGCCATGGGTGATGCCCTAAGTAGGGATTATGTTGAAGGCTTTCTTAAGGACGAAATTGATGCCCTTCATCATCGGGAAACTTGCTGGCACCAGGCTGGGACCAAGGGTTTGTACGAAATGCTCCGGGTCAACACCTCAGAGTCTTCGGGGTGGAACACGACGATTGAACATGGTCTTTACAACGTATCCAGCTTCGGCAATGATTACTCCATCGAGCTTTTAACACGGCACTTCATCGTCAATGGAGTACCTAAGTCGACATACATGTGGCTCACTTTTGCACACAGTGAGTCTTGAAAAAAGGAACAATAGCCGGGCTGTCCAGAGTTAACAAATATGGTAGTCTTTACGATGGCTGCTGGTTTTTTCCTAGTGTATCCAATTATCCTGTTGCTCCAGTCTGTTACCGTTCTATGCGATCTCATCAACAATCCAGTCGCGAAGCATAAAGTCAAGAGATGGGAAACAATACTGCAAGGCTTTGGCTTTTGCCCGCTCCTGATTGCTGGCCTAAGCACCGGAATATTAGCTATGGGTACCTCTGACCATTTCAGGACCGAACATGGAGTGTGCTTCCCTTTTCCCTTGTCTGATAACAAGCCAATAGCTGACATGCCACGAAATAGATCATTGGCATTATCACCACCGTGCTGGCATTTTTCATCATTATTACATATTACGCGGAACTCTACTTCAACTCACAGATGAGCCGGACTGCACGCGGAACTTGGTGGCGTCAGAACATCCATTATTTTGACATGGTTATCTGTCAGATCATCCTCGTCATTTCGGGATTTGCTCTATCTGATGGATTTGACGATCTCGCCTTCATGGGCCTTTGCGCCTTCCAGCTATCAACAAATTGGTCATTCTCGCTGGGCATGGCGGTCGTCTTCATCTGGAATAGCGCTGTGGTTATGATGACTGCTCGGTGGTTTTTGGTTCGGAGGGCTGAGGGCGAAACAACCCGGCTTTGGAGGCTGGTCCGCTTTCGACGCCGCCAGCGCACGTCAGAGTCCCCTTTGATCACAATGCAGGCGGAGCCTGACTCAAGCAATTCTTCGTCTGTTTAATTACTACGATAGGCCAATCTCTTCCTTTTATTAAACCGTAAATAGATTCAAGCTTTAGATTATAGGGTCCTATTCGCTACAATAGAGCATTTAGATAACCATTGTCAACCTGGTGTCTACAGAATCACTGCTAGAATGACACTTTTAATTGCTTAGCTAGCCTGGGTAATGCGGCATTAATCGACGAAGATGACCTCTCGTCACTAGAATCAGCATCTATACCAGATTGTCGAAACGTTGAAACCTTTTCATACGGGTCCCAGCTCGGCAGCCCGCGGGCGTCAATCCGGCAGTCCGCGGGACCCCGGTTCCTGAGTAAGCGGGATATAAGCCGTACCTTTTGACCACGACCCCGTCACGAAATCTTGCATTGATCGAGTTCCTCCAATTACGCCTCTTCATGGAGAATCGTGATCTAAGATCGCCAAGATCCACCGCTACCATGTAGACACTCATGCGAAATAGCTGGAAACCAGGGCAGCAGCCACACAAGGCTATGCCTAAATTTAGAATTGCTCTTGAAGTACGTGTAATCCTGATCTTCTCATGTTGATGAAGAAGCATTATTATGTCGCTATCTTGGATATGTCGCTTCGTTTCTCACATGCCAGATTTCAGAGATATGATGCAACCAATGCTATGTTCAGCAGTTCACTACTCTGTCTTATCACGACCACGCTTTCCCTTAATGTTTACTGAATGGTTTGCCGGCGCTTGTTTACCAGGTTGTCAAAAGTTGAGGCGTGAACCGGGATGTCCGGACGGGGCGTTTCCTTGAACGCGTCAGCCAGCGAGCTCAAGAATCAAGACGGCGTTTTCGGAAGTGAAAACAACTCCGGCAATGCTGTCACAGGTGTCTTCCTCCAATAGTGGGCCGCCATGAGCCTCAACTCCAACCTTAGCTCCACTGTGGCCCACGGGCATGGACTTCTTAACCGGAAATTCGGATGAGTTGTAAAAGGCCTGACAGATGTACTCCATATATTATCTCAAACCACTGCTTCAGCTTTGAGCTTGTTCCTCTACTTTGATCACACGCGCTGAGCTTTGGGCTTGAACCTCTGAACCATGGCCACCACCACAGCAAGATCTACGGAGTTCACCCAGCAACAAGCAGACGTCCTCAAGAGCGGCTGCCATGATTTGATTGCAGGATACGACACGTCTTACGGCTATGTTCCAACCTTTGGAGCCGGAATTGCATTCTGCATTCTCTTCCTGCTCAGCACCTCCGCCCATGTCTTTCAGTTTGCAAGAGTGCGAAGATGGACCTCGCTGACTTTCGCTCTTGGAGCTATGAGTATGAAGAACGCAACCTCATTATCAAACCGCTTAGTTACTGACAGACCTTTTCCAGCTGAGTTAATAGGCTGGGCTGGCCGTACTTGGTCGAGCAAATGCCCATATAACGGCGATGCATTTCTCATGCAGATTACTACGCTCATTATCGCGCCAACCTTCTTCACAGCAGGGCTCTACGTCATCCTCGGCACGCTTATAAATAGACTGGGACGTAGCTCTTCACTTCTGGGGCCGAAAATGTATGCCATTGTCTTTCTGACAGCTGACATCGTCGCGCTCGTTATCCAGGCTATCGGTGGAGCGTTGGCTTCTACCGAAGCTGACAAGATCAACGGGGACACGGAAACGGGAACCAACATAATGGTGAGTGGTTTCTATCACTATGAGATCTCAGTCGACTGCCATTGAGCTACAAGGCTGACAGATTTGTTTTCGAATAGGTTGCCGGCATTGTGTTCCAGATGGCAGCCATGATCGTTTTTACTGGCTTGGTTCTAGACTTCATGAGAAGGGTGTTCATAAAGAAAACCTACCTTTCATATGACAAGACTGGACTCGGATCGCCCACAAGTCTACCAGTGACATATGCCTGGCTGCTGGCGGCAGTCTGTGTTTCTTTGGGCATGATTTTCATTAGAAGCATCTACCGTACAGTTGAGCTCGCGCAGGGTTGGGAGGGATATTTGATTACCCATGAAGGTTACTTTATCGGCTTGGATGCTTGTCTTATGATTATCGCCGTGGGAATCTTTAACTTTCTTGATCCAGTATTTCTCTTACCAGAGAAAGACATTCGTGAGGGGCTCTTTGCTGGTGAGCACGAGATGAGCGACCTAACGTATGAGTAGGTAGCTGAGAATTTAATAAGAAAAGAATAGAGCTAGTATAATAACTCCCTTATTAGATGACCTTTTATAACTTATTGAAAGCTAGCCCAAATCCTAAGATAGCTAATTTTGTAAATTGTAGAAGGTTTCACCAACTTCAGTAAGCGATGCCCATGCCACGTAGATGATGCGTGGACGGTGGTTAATGGATCAGCAGACTATAGAGAGGAGGACTGCACGGAACATCGGGGTCATTTGCCATGGGCAGAGATGGTCATTTCAATTTATTCCTTTTTTTCTTCTGTTTGGAGCCTTCTCCCCATACTTGATTCATAGGAATATTGGTACAGTCCCGCAAGTAGCAAACAGGAGCTGCATGCGAGTCACGTAGCTGATGAACTTGGTCCCGAGATCCTCTTGTTTCCAAGCAAATTCGACCATGGACATAACTTGACGGAGATTTCGCCCACTCTTTTTGCGCTTAGCGCTGGAGACTAGATTGAGGAGTTGCAATCTGCGCGCATCGGATCTCGCCTCGCAGCCAAATATCAGAAGGGGGAATGGCCAGTTGCACATCCCAAGCTGCTCCATCAGATGGAAGCCTTCGTCAACCATCTCGCTCACCTCGGAGGATTCGACGGTGATGTTACTCGCGCAGCATTCGATATATACCAAGGCCGCTAGCTGGTATATTCTGGTGAGTGCGGTGCTCTCCGATGAGGCAAGTGAAAATTCCTCATCCGGTTCCACCGGGTCAATCTCCTTGATACCCCGTTGGAGCATTTTCAGATAGTCTTGGTAGGCATCTGTAAAGAAGCCTGGATCAGACGGGCTTCGTAGGTTCGCCAGTGCTCGTACAAGGTATTGTAGCAGCTTGTGCGATGGTCCCGCGGGATATACGAGCTGCGCAATAGTGTGTTCAGCCTTGAAAGATCCAATGCGGTTGTGTGTGTGTGTGTGTGTTGACATACCGCTACATGGTCGGCGAGGGGATTGTCCAGCGGAACAGCGCCGGTCCCATCGTATCTCTCAACCCATTCCCCCGGAGAGATTCCACGCGGCCAGTGGAGAATCGTGAAATTACCGAGAACATAATGGTAATGTAACCAGCCAAGGATAATCATGAAGTCTCCGTCGTCTCGTAAGACATTGTTTGAAGACGATTTCTCCGCCACGTCCCTCGCGGCACATATATACGGTGCCCACTGCGCATAGGACTGAGTAAGGATGCGCGCCTGCGCTCACGTTCTTGATGAGTAGGTAGGATATTGAGATTGCTGCTGGTGCGGAAGCATACCTCGTAAGAGCCTAACAGCATGGCTGCCGCGACGTGCTCACACGGCTCCACGCCGGTGAGCCCGATGTCGGCTGTTTCTCGCATCGCCTGCAGGGCGGCAGTATGATACTTGATTGACTGGGCCTGAAGCCCGTGCAGATACAGCGACGAGACAGCGAGCATGGACTGCATGAGACAGACTGTGGAACGGGAGCCGCCTGACAGGGTCATCCGTATCAATGTGCTTAGAAGGGCTGAGCTGTCTTCGCCATAGACCATGAGACAAGCCGAAGCTACCGACTCGACTGCAATTCGTTGTTAGTCACCGAGCCACCACAGCATTCTTGCAATAACTGACAGTAATAGACAAGACTTTGCTCATCTGTGTTCAGGGCAAAGGGCATCCATCTGACCGGCCGAGCTAAGGCAAAGGAGGAAGTCGGAACCCGCCGGACAGCTTCCTCGGGGAACCACAACACTTGGTCACTCAAGCCATAGTGCGCCTCAATATCGTGAGTTGATACATTGATGAGTTGGACGTGGGACGTATGAACTAGGTGCTTGGCTCCTTGGACCGCTGGCGCGACTATGGTGCGCTTTCGGTCGCTGCGGCGAGGCCATGAGAGCCGCAGGCTGTACCCGTCGCAGCGCCGGTTCGATCTCTCGCAGCGCAGGCAAGTCGGCCGGGTGCGGTCGCAGAATAACTTGCGTTCTGGGATGAGTTAGTGACATGGCCCCTTGAGAAGATGAATGCCAAGAGCGCGCGCCTCTGCAAGGTCCACAGCCCTTCCCTGTCGGCTTCACAGGATCGTCGGCCATGGTTCGGGGAATGTGATGCGCAACAATGAGTAAATTTAGAAATCTGTCGAGGATCTTCTCAGCCGTGTGGGAAGAAGAGGAAAAAGAGGCCCGGAGAAAGTTACCACATGCTCTCTTATGGAATTTGGGATAGAAAGAGCGTCGAGCGAGCTTCCTTCGGACTTTACGGCTGAATCACCCGACTGGCTCAAGGTTGGACCTTGTGCGGCAATGCCGAGAATGGAATACTGGCAACTTTCTGCGGGTGTAGCTCAGAAGAGGCTAGACCTGATTCGCACATGCACATGCACATGCATATGCTCCATTAGTCTCAAGTGGAGTGCGTGATGCGTTCGACAGCATCTTCACACTGGACAACTCCCAAGGCCGTGTAGATAGCTCATACGAACTCCTTACAAATCTAAGAGCTAGTGGGATATCTCACAAGAGTGTTTACAAATCCAAAGGTCTTTGGAAACCGCACAAGAGCTTCTTACAAATCCAACTGCCTTTCAGTCATCTCGGGAGAATGAAGATAAAAGGGGAGATAGTCCCTCCAAGGTTACTGATGTTGTGCCAGACAACTAAGGCTCTCGCAGGATCCTCCCCTTAGCTAAACAACTGCCACCATCCCAAAGCACTAGAGATTCATACTTATCATTGACACAGCGGACTCTACACAACATGCCTTCATATCTCATCACGGGAGTTTCTCGAGGACTCGGCGTAAGTTGAAGACGTTGATTGATACACTTGTAACTTATGATTTCTTTCTTCAGTTCGGATTCCTCAAGGTTCTTTCCGCCGACAAGAACAATACCATCATCGGTCTTGTCCGCGACAAGAAATCCACCGACGCAAAGGTCAAGGAGCAGCTCGGAGACCTGGACAATGTGACCATCCTCCAGGCCGACATGCTTGATTACGCTGCTCTCAAGGTGAGGCAAAGCCCAAATCATCGCTTGGCGAGAGGAGATCGTGAAAACTAAGGGAACCGGATCTAGGCCGCGGTGCCTGTGGTCGAGAAGATCACGGGCGGGAAGCTTGATTATATCATCGCCAATGCTGCCTGGGCATCGCCCTGGTCGGCGTTCAGGAGTATTGACTCACTGTGGGTGCACAAATCGGAAACTGGGGGCGGTGGTTGTTCTGACTACGTCAACAGAGCTAAGGAGCCCGAAAAGCTCGAGGAAGACTACGTCTACTCTTTCCGGGTGAACGTCGTTGGCAACGTCCACCTCTTGAACCTTTTCATACCCCTTGTGCTTAAGGGAGATGTAAAGAAGGTCATCCACATCGCATCTGGCCAATCCTCTGTCGACATGATCGCCAAACACGACATCTCCATCATGACCCCATACGCCGCCAGCAAGTCGGCCATGAACATTGTCACGTCCAAGTTCAGCGGCTTCTATCGGGAGCAGGGCGTGCTGTTCTTGAGCGTTGCCCCCGGCTCTGTGGCCACTGGCTACTATAAAGGAGACTGTAAGACTCGCTCCTTTACTTTCAAGACAAAAAAGAAAAAGAAGACCAGCACTGACCAGTACCCAGTCACGGATGAGATCAAGGCCAATATGGCTTCTACAGGTGACAAGTTTAAGAGGTACGCACCTCACTTCGAACGCGACTTCACGCCGGAGGAGTCCGTCAAGGAGGTGCTCTCTGTCGTTGAAAGATCCAGCATTGGCCGTGGTGATGCTGGTCAATTTGTTTCTCAGTTTGGAAATCAACAGTGGCTGTAGGATGCTCAAGCGGCAGATCATATCATCCTCTGGGGCCGTGAAGGCAGATAGACCATATAGGCCATATAGACAAGAAAATCTATTTGCTGCTTGATTAACACAATAAGCATGCGGGTGCGGTGAAGCTGATCTGTTACTCGTCGGCAGGGACAGGCAGGTAAGAGAAATCCGCGAAAGACTTGCGAAGCTGAATTGAACGACTCACCTGGCAAATCGGCACGTTGTCCGTTCTATTCTGCCATCAACAATCTACCGCAAGACTTTTGGATTCATTTGATAGTTTGTTGCGATGTAGCAAGTTGAATGCATGAGAAGGCGCATGGTGAAGGGACGATGGAGAGTAGATGCCACTATAGGTGACTCAACGTCTTGAAATTATAGGTGGATGGATGCTGAGTAAACCTCGATAACTTTCATGAGGGTGTCCAATCTTGGGCCCCCCGGATGATGAAGATGTTTGAAAGTCACGATCCTTGCATGTCCAAAATTGCTTTTCGCGGCAATGCTAGAAAAACAAGTTGATGACCCTAGAGCCCGCAATGCGGACACTAATAAGCACACTGAATAGCAGGTCTTCACAAATGCGTACATCGTCTACCATTGATGCTAGCTATAACCAACTTTCGACACACACCAGACGAGAAGCAGAATCACCCACAGGTTTCCTATTTTTCCAACTCGGAATCTCTGTCAACCTCGGACCATCCCTTCCCAATCAAATCAGGCCTCAGCATCCCTCTTCATAGTTTCCGCAATCCACTTGACAGTGGGTTCAGAGAGCTTGTTCATCTCCTCGTCAGTCATCTTGTTGGTAGCGAGGTACTTGTTGGGTCCAGGGACGTGAGCGCCCTTCTGGAAGCCTGGACGCTCAAGTAGCCACCAGAACCACTTGGAGACATTCGGAAACTCCTCAATGGAGCGCAATCCAGAGAACCCTGGAAACAGTCAGAAACAAATTCAATTACAGTCCCTGTGGGTGTGAATATGCTTACGAATTGCAGAAACCCACGGCCAAATGGCAATATCTGCGATTGTAAGACGGTTGCCGACCACAAAGCCAGTCTGGCTCTTCTTTAGATGGCCATCCAGAACTCGAAGCAAGCGGCGGCTTTCATTGACAAAACGGTCGATTGAGTATTGGTGGGTGCCTTGTGCAGAGCCTGCATGAAACATTAGGTGGGGTTCGCGGCCTTCAGTATGAATTATACGTACGAGTGAAGAAGTTGGACTGGCCGAGCATAGGCCCAAGGCCACCCATCTGCCACATCAACTAGGACAGAGTTAGCAAGAGGTGCTTCGCCGTGATTCGCACCGGAGACCGTAGGCTCAATTGAATATGGAATCCCTTACCCAACTAATGGTCTCCCAGTGCTCCTTAGTTCCGTAGGGGTAGGAGATTGAGTGGTTCGTGTCGTACTTCGCCACTAGGTATTCAAGTATGGCTCCCGACTCGAAGATCTTGAGGTCCAAGCCGTCATCCGCCTTGTCTGTAATGGCTGGGATACGTCCATTGGGGTTGATCTCAGTAAACCACGGCTCCTTCTGCTCGTTATTGAACATGTCAATCTTGACCAGCTGTATCGTGTGTCAGGTCCATCGCTCAGCCGGCAATAATAAGGGTGGCGGCAGTACCTTGTACTCAAGCCCGAGCTCTTCTAGGGCAATGTGAACTTTCAGCCCATTAGGCGTGCCCTCGCTGTACGCAGTGATGTTGGTATTGGTGGGCATCTTGTTAAATATTAAATGGGTGTGTCGAGATCTGGTTGGCGAGAATGTTGTAGGACGACGTAAGAATTAGCTGGTGGCAGGACCATGGATATATGTACCAGAAGGATCATTTTTCGGTCTCAATTATATTCCGATACTTCCATGATTATTATCTTGTCATGTCGGATGGACGGCACACCCAAGTTGAGAATTATTAATCAACGGGCCAGACACCTTTGGCAGCTGATCCAAGAGCGAGACCAATCCCAAGCTGAGTATCTGGGCAACTTTCTCATCTCGTCTGTATAAACAATCACTGAGCTCTGGTTGCTGCAAGTTATCGAGGACCTGCTACCGGATTAGGAAAAGTGTGTTGCGTAAGCTTAGGAGAGGCCCAACATTAGAGCTTGATGTGGGGTGATAGTCTTGGTATCAGGACGAAATAATTAATCAGCGAGTCGGACTTTCTGAATCATTTGAGCCGTTACATGCGAGGTCATTGGCTAGACAAGCAAACCTCCACCCATAGCGGCGTTGACTAATAAACTGAGCTCTACTGACTGCAAGATGCCAGGGACCAGATACTCAATCAGGAAAAGCTCCATCGCTGTGAGTGGTAGATCACCTGATATGGTGTAGGACTTAATTTACCTACCTAGGCAACCACAACGTCAAGAGCAATATGATGGATCTGTCTTTCTCTTTGGCATGCGCTCCCGAAAGCCTCCCTCTCCCCTCCGTTTCGTCCGCCTCGCATTTCCGAGAGTCCGGCCTCTCTATCTAACGACCATGGATCCCTCCAAGAAGAAACGTCTCCTTTTTGTGCATTCCACCGGACCGACACATGTTCACGGCCGTGATAAGACTAGCAGGGCCAAGATCCGTCGTCATGTCATGGAAGACATTGGAAAATCACGACGCAAGCCCCGGCGAAATCCGCAGTTCATGATCAAAATGCCCTTCTGGAGCCAGGATCCGCTCAGCGTGCTCGAGCAACAGTGGGGAATGGACGCGTTCTCGGCCTACGGAATCACTTTGTTGGGTTCTGAAGGCAAAAGGTTTTTGGGCAATGCCGATGCATTGACTCCTGAGGGGTTCTCGTTCCCTTTTGCCTTTACCTCGTCCGCATTCCTCCGTCATTTCAAGGCCATCTTTTCCGACCAGTCTATACTCAAAGCAATCCATCGTCAATCATCTGCGAGGATCAAGGTCGTGGCATTAGAACGCGCCTTGGAGACCATCACATGCATCGAAGCGGCCATGGCCAGTCCCAGCTTTGATCCAGCGATTGGGGACCGCGTCTTCTATGCCATCTTGTCCATCATCTGCTATAATGTAAGTGGAACGCAGGTTGTATGCTGCTGATTTATTCATGTTAATGATCGTGCCGCCAGCTCTTGGAGATGGACTTGGATCAAGCACGCGTTCATTTAGAGGGCCTCAGCTTGCTGATTGCTGCTCGAGGCGGCATGAAATCTCTAACGGGCAATAACGAGCTGAGATTGATGATATTCTGGTCCGGCTAACCCAACCATGTCTTGGCCCTCGACTGTTGCTAATTGCCACCTCCTAGGGTCGACGTCATGACGTGCTTGCTCTTCGATACCAGACCACGCTATCCGCTGCCCCAGGATCTCATCCCTGCAATGTCACAGACTGACCCATCAAACGGTCTCCCGTTATCACTCTTGAGAATCATGGCGGCGGTTGCTGACACGAGAGACTCGCAGCTGACTCACATTCCAGCTTGTGTGACCGGATTAAACGCAATAGCTACCATGATCGAATCAGAGCTGACTACGAGAGGGGATTCCCTATGGAAAGATGAAATCTTTCTGGGGCTACGAATTAATCCCCTCGCACATCTTTTGTTCGACCACCCAATACGATCTACTAGGTTCTCATCGCCCTTGGATCAGACCCTGGCATCAATACGGCTAGGTGTCATTGTTTGGATCATCTGCGTGAAACGTATGTATCGATCATGGCCCGGCTCTCGCATGGCGTATGTGCCTGAGTTGCTAGACTCTCTCAGCACACAGTCCAGCACCGCCTCGAATACGTCGGATGATATTCTTTCGGTGAACCTGTGGCTTAGTGTTCTTTGCGGGGTGGCATCTTGTCACGGATCGCGCGAACGGAAAGCGGTTGTCAGTTTGATCGTATATAATATGCAACAACTAAACAACAAGGAATGGAGCGAGAGCATGATGGATGTACGGAAAATGCCGTGGATCAGCTCCTTCGAGGCACCCCTAGCTGAGGTGAGGCGTGACGTTCAATGTCTCCGCGTCTTACAATAACTTGCTGAAGGAGATAGCTTCTTTAGCATATAGAATTAGGCAGCAAAAGATCGTGTGCCAGAGGCATTGACGGTTCTTATAGTGACTCGGTACAAAGGAACACGCAGCAAACTTGGTCATAACCTCACTTAAGCCCGCCCTCCCAAAGCCGACCCCATGCATCCTCACACACCTCAGTCTGAAGCTTCTTGATAAAGTCGGTCACGGTGATCGGCTCCTCGCCCTCCAACGTCAACACACCATCCCTCACACCGCGCCAGCCTTCGACAGGAAGTTTAAGGTGGTCGTGCCCAATGCCGTAGAAGTACCGGCCCTTGAACGTCCCCTCCCCGCGCTGGATTGTCTCGTACTCGGCCTGGCACTCCTCGCAGATTATGCCCGTCGCGAACGTCACGTAGAAATACGCCGATCGGCCTCCCCACCACCGAAACGTGCGCGACGGGTTGCAGAAGCCTCCGCAGCCGTACCACGCCTCGTCGGAGCCCAGTAGGTCTCCCTCGTCTTCGGGCGGGTCGCCCATCTCGCTGTCATCGCTGTCATCGCTGTCCATGTCTGCGCCTCCGTCATCCACAGCCTCCTGCTTGCCCTCGCTGTCCACCTGCTTCTTTCGACTGTCTCCATCGATGGCCTGCTCGCGGACTTCTTTCTCTTCATCATTGTCACCTTTGCTCAGCCGGGAGAAAAGCCCAGAGCCGACAATCCGGGCGTATCGGCGGAGCTTCTCGTCGTTTCCCAGTGCCCGGCTCAGAATTGCCAGTGCCTGGGCGAGCATCCAGAGATACAGGCCGTCGTTCCATCCGACCGAGTCACTCAAGCCTGCAAAGCTGTCGTCCAGCAAGGACTGCAGTACCTCTTGGAACTTGGCCACTGGGCCCATGACCATGTACATGTACGCCAGACCTACGCGTTGCCGACTGGTGTAGAACGCAGAGATTCGGGGGACATCTAGGGAAAAGGGCCGCTGCATGAGGCCAGCGAGGGAGTTCAGTCGCTCCGCCTTGTAGATGGGATCTCGGGATTTGCGGAAGAGCTCTACCTGGACGTTCACCATCGTGTCCACGGCTCTCTGGATCATCCAGGTTGCGGTGACGGCCGTGATCGGGAACAAGAAGCCTGTGGCATGGCTGTCAAACACCTCGTCCAGTGTCTTAAGAGCCTTCTTAGGATCCCGACAGACCTCAAAGTAGACGAGAGCAAGATCCAAGCGGAGAGGCGTGCCAGCGTCGAGGTTGTCCAGGAAGCCAGTCACTTCCTCGTAGAATTTGACCATGAACTCCTGTTCGCCCGTTTCGCAAGCGATGTCACAGAAGATGGAATGTCTCTCTTCACCCTCGTCCTCGTAATTTGAGGCCAGCCAGGTGATTCTCTCCAAAAGACTCCAGCTCTTCAGAACCTGGATGTACTCGGTCTTGTCTCTCTTCCTGTCGAGCACTTTCAGCTCGCCAACAAGGTCCTCAGCAGGAGTGATGCCGTCAGGGTCGGCAGATTTGGCGTCGGCATAGGATTTGAGGGCTGGACCTAGATAACCCATTTTCTTCTGGGCCTTGGCGCAGGCTGTATGAACGATGCGTTTGAGGTGCGGGGGGACCTCGTTTGCCCGTAGTTCAGCGACCGCGGTGTCGATGACATCGTAGGCTTCTTTCTTCTTCTTCTGATACAACAGGATGTAAGAGAGAACACAAGAGGCTCTGTACCACTCATGATCTCTGGGATTGCAGAGCTCTAGAGCGGTTCTGCATATCTTCTCAGCCGGCCTGAGGTAATCTTTCTCAAAAAGAACCTGTGACACGGCACGGTGGGCACCTGCATCGGGCTTGATCTCATCTCCGAAGAGGTTCAGAATACCCAGGGTGGCTACTGTTTCATCAAAGCCATCTTCCTCTTTAGCTTTCTCCTTGTTGTTGTCGTCGTCATGGTCTTTGCTATCCTTGAACTGGTCAGGAAAGTTGATATAGGCCTGTTCCATGAGTAGTTTTCCTAGGCCAGTCTAGTTGTGAATCATTAGCAAGGTCTTTTTGTTATTAGACCGCCATAACCTAGGAAAGTCATGCTCTTACCACGTTCAAAACACCACTCAGGCGTTCCCACGCCTGAATAGCATCATGAGAACTTTGTGCCTGGTACAGTTCGCGTAGATATCCCTTGGCCAGGCCGAGGCGACTCGTCGGAGGGTCCTGACCAACACGCTGCCACCATTCGACCGCGAATTCACTAAGGGCCGCTTTGATTTCTGGCTTCTCGAGAAGCTTCGCCCAATATCGTATTCTGCTGTCGGTGTTCGTGGTTGATCCCTTCTCATACACCATGCCAGCCCTGCCTAGCATCTCGGAGAGCCCGGTTTTGTTGGACAACGCCTCGGCGAACGCTTCTAGAACCTCAACCTGCTCCTCAGGAGTGTGCTGATCGATTTGTATGTCGTACCAGTGGGCGAAGAGATATAAGGCACAATATTTTTGAAGGTCCTCGCTCGCATCCGTTCGAGAAGGCTGGGCAAGCTTCGTGCTTGTCAGAAAAATCCTGCGGTGCGCCTCCGAGGGACCCCACCGGAAAAGAGAAGATCCATGGGAACTGTTGGTGAAGTAATTCCTCATGGAACGTTCCTGAAACTTCACCGGAAGGGGTCCATCCTCATAAATGTCGTCGTCGTCGTTATCGTCGTCCTTCCTCAAGTCTTGTGCAGTGGCTGTGCTGGCTTGGTGCTTTGCTCGCAGTTCAGCGTCATAGCCGGGGTCTCCGATTCTGAGGAACTTGGAGAAGAATTCGGGAATCTCTTCAATATCAAATTCGTCATCCTGTGACAGACACTTCACGAGGGACTGAACCTCGGTGAGCGTCAAGCCTCGCTTGGCGAAAGCGATCCAGTGGAGCAGTGAGGCGGCGACCTGTTGATGGATGACCGGCATTCGGCGCTGACACTCTGCGAGGAGAGTCTCATAGATATCGTGAAGATCCTCGGGTTTCTTCTGCTCGAGTGCTCTAAGGACCGCACCCTCGCGGCCTAGATTATTAAGACGGACGAGCAGATGCTCTGCGTAGAGCATGTCTAGTGAAACCTATCAGTATCCTCAAATAGAGGCAAACGAGAAGAATGCTCACTCGGAGACGCCTCTTCCACCTTGACAGCGACCCTTTGCTGGACGTAACGACTGAATCTTCTTAAATGGTTGAGAGAGTTGATCTGATGCCAGATCAGAGACTTCAGGTCTTGGCGCTGCTTCTCCTTGGTTGCTTCTATCCGGATCATCTTGGTATCTTCAGGGAGATCATTCAGGCGCTCAGGTCTGGAGGTAACCGCTAGCGAGATCCTGAGCCTTTCGTCCACGATGAATTTGGACAAGAACTCCTTGAAGCTATCCCAGTCGGACAGCTCATCCAGTCCATCAAATACGATAAAGAGGTGAAACTTAGAGTCTTGCTCAAAGACAGCCCCAAGCAGATACTTGGAGATGTCCCGCCAAAGCGTGGTGTCGAGGTCGATGTCATCCCTCGCAATCTGAGCGTTCAGCTTCTCGCAGGCAGCGTTGTTAGTCTCTGCGATCTGATTCACCAAGGTGATCATGCCACAGATAAACCACGCGAAGCTCTCTTCCTGCTCGCGGAAGTAGAAGTGGGCGACACAGGTGTGCCCCGTGTCATCCTCCCTAGCCCTCTGCTCAAGCATGTCGTGCACCGATGCGGCCAAATGACTCTTTCCGGTGCCAGGTTGCCCGGTAATGGCGAGAATAGGGCGCGTCCCGTCCTTCATATTCAGCCACTCTTCCCACTCGGGCTCTGAAAACACCCAGCTGCAAGAATCTGTGAGAAGCGTCTCCTTCAAGACCTGGTACTCGTGGTCGTCTTGGCCGACCACGGGCATGGCGTTCCGAATGCCATTAGCGGACGGCGGTTTGTTCGCTTGCGGCTTCTCCGGCTGCTTCTCCTTCTTCTGCCCGCCAAATAGCTTGAGCAATTTTGCAACGTCGTCTTTTATGCTCGCTGTATTCTCGTGAATGGTGTTGATAGCATGTCCGACCTCCTCCAGCATTTCAGAATGAGACCGTTGGTTCTCCTCAAGCTGGGCGGTCATCTTGAGCGTCTCCTCGGTGTTCCCGAGAATAGCAAACTCGGTGGCTTGCTGCAGATGCTCTAGCCTCTTGTTCATGTTGGATCTCGCTCCCCCAAGCTCTCCATCGTCGCCCTTGAACAGGTTGGAGATCCACTTCTTGAAGCGGCCGAGCTCAATGTACTTGTGCGCGAAGCCACACATTGTGAGGATTGAGGTGAAGACCTCCATCAGGCAGTTCTGATAGGCCTTGTATTTGGGAAGTCTGGTCTCCAGGATGGTGATTCTAGTGAGGAAGCTGTTCATGTCGTCGAAGAAGACGATGACGATGTCGTAGTCGGCCGACACGGACCGGCAGGCCTGGAGCAGGTAAGTCAGAGCCGTTCCGATGGCCGCCGCCGGTGGGAATGCTGGCGAAGCCGCGGATATGATTTGATTGGCGCCCTGCTCCACAAGATCCAGGTTGGAAGCGAAGAGAGTCCTCAAGCGGTCGACTTTGCCCTTGTCGTGCCTGAACTTGTGGAAGTTGTTCATCTGGTCGGTGCCAAAGTCGAGCATGCCCTGGACATTGTCGAATTTGCGTTGTAGGTCGAACCCAACGACGCCCTTATAGCTCTTGAGCGCTTCCTTCCATAGGTCTGCGACATCGCGATTGTCATTCTTCAGTTGCTCCTCCAACTCCTTCTTGCGGAGATCAGGCTCGGCAGACATGGTGCAGGAGGGGCGATGAGAAGGTTGTGAGCAGTGACAAGAAAGGAACAGAGAGTATGGTTCTACCCTGGGAAATGCGGATGGATATACCAGTGTATGTGCCACTTGCAAGGGTCACTAGAAGCCCCTGCTCACAGCATGCGCCATTTTCGAAGCTATCAGCAGTTTTGAGGGCCGAAAATGGCAGGATGGACAGCTATTGGCCCACGCTGGGCCAGCTGAAACGCAGGTAAGATGCATCGTGACCCCAGAGCGGGGGCCCGTGTCGCGAGCGCATCATTTACCTTGATCGAGTCCCAGATGCCGATCAGCCCTTGCACGTGGAGGTTGAAATTCATCTAGCTGGGTGCGATTGCGAGTACGATGCAACGTCATACACCTTGGTTCTCGAAGCCAGCCAAATTCCATATCCATACACTGCTGCGAATGCCGAATGGGGGAGACTATGGGATGGCGTTGAGGCCTTTGATAAAGGGGCAATAGCAGGAATTCATTTAGAAAAGATGAATACTTGGAAAATTAACCTCACGACCCTTGTTAGGGGCATTGCAGTCGAAGCCGGCAATTAATTAATATTATTTCATTTTCAAGACTAGAAGAGCTCGTGAAATAGAGGTGGATACATCAGCTGCTTATCCCCTATCGCTCTTTCACCCCAGGTCTTCAAATTTTTCTCTGGTGAACTGCTTGACCTTTACACTCTCTCGTCAGTCTCAAAATTGAGAGAAAGCGATGACAAGACGAGATTCTGCATTTGAGTGCCTACGTAGCGTCAATGCCTCCCTCTCTCAGCAGGTGGGCGGGCTGTTTACCCATGGCCCTGTGATGGTCAGCGTGTATCTGGTACGGCCCATCATCAGACATGGCAATGCACCTCCCTGATTAGAACCTCCTGACCGTGCGAGTAGCTACCTCTGAATCTATGTGCGATGGGTGGCATCATGTCTTTGGCTTACATCCTTGGGGCCTTTAAGCACTACCGCATTCTCCTAATCTCTTCTCTCGTGCTCATCGTAATCTTCTGTAGACTCTTGGTTCTTATTAATGCCGATCGAGCTGCTATGCTCCTAGTTCTTATTGGCTTTATTGGACTAGGAGTTAGAGTTATTATGGCTCTTCCTAATGTTTTTCTGACATGTGCGGTCCCGCCACATTTGATGTACGTTAGCTAGGCTTTTAGTCCTTGCTCATAGCTCTCAGCAGGTCCACAGACACACTGTCTCGCACACTCTCCTGCAACCATCCAGGGAAGCCGCGTAGAAAAGAAACCCATCCTAGACTCTCGGGGACGACTATCTGTGCGCCATATGTAGAGTAGAGCTGGTCGACAATTCTACCAGCTACCTCTTCAGGAGTCACAGTAGGATCCCGCATCCTCCCCTGCTCCTTGAGCTTTGCGATCATCGGGGTTTGTACCCACGTTGGGTGCACAACGCTGCAGGTCGTTAGTCAGAGGAGAGAGTATAGACCGCAGTTGGGAGTCATTACCTAGTCCGCACCATGGGTGCTTTATAAATATGTCTCAGTTCCTGCGCGAGGCCTTCTGAGAATGAGAGAACTGCGGCCTTGGAACATGCATAGTCGACGTTGCTGGCTTGAGTACTGAAGGAGGCCATGCTCGCTATGTTGACGATGTGACCGTGGTTTCGTTGCACCATGCTTGGAAGAAATTCCTTCACCAACAGGATAAGCGCGATAACATTCACTTCAAAGAGCTTTCGGATCTTGGGTTCGGGCAGGTCCAGGAGTGGCATTGCATTTCCAATACCTGCATTGTTAACGAGGACAGTTGGGTCGCCGTGTTCTTTGCGAACGCGATCTGCGACAGAGGCGATGGCGGAAGGGTCTGACAGATCGACTTGGTAAAAGAAGGTTCCCGGCACTAGAAAATAGGAAGTTAGTTCGTGCGGTGTAGCAGGCGACTGAGTATTGCCAAGAATACTCACACAGTGCACCTTGGGGCCCATTTAAGTCCAAGATGATGACTTTGACGTTCCTCTGCGCAAGCTTGGCAACTATCGTGGCGCCGATACCACTACTTCCACCAGTGACCACCACGACCTCTCTTTTCCAGTCCCAAGACTTGTCAGTCAGATAATTGTTCACCTTTCTCCGACTCAACCATTTGTTCAGCCTGGGCAACAAGCTCAAAGCCAGCAGCGCCGCGGCCCCGGCCTGGAACTTGGGCAGTTTGGCAAGGCCTGCAACTCTTGCCAACATCTGGTGCTTATTCATTGCAAGAAAGAGCAAGGCCAAGTGTGATGAGAATAGAATGCGGGAGGTGTGAAGGATGGTTAGCGAATTCTAAGTTGTCGCTAACAGAGTTAGAGACTAAATTGAAGATATCATTCTAACCCTTCTCGATTTTATTTATCCTTCATCTCATTTGTAAGTGGCACTAAATGTCAGTCAAGTTACTTCTTTTCTCATCCTCTCGCACCCCAGTTAACTAGCCTTGGTTGGCCTGGCCCGAGGGATCTTCTTTGCCAAGAGAGCGGCATTAATCCAATTCAAGCGATGCCAAACCCAGGCGCGAATAGAAAGAGATATTAAGCGCCAAATGTCCCTCGGACCTTGTCCCGAGGCGTTCCCGAGGCGTTCCCAAGGCATTCCCGAGGCCTGCTCTCCCGGACCTCGCATCTTCCCATTGTAGTATAGTGCTTTGATATCCAGGTTACTACTTAGTTGTACCTAGTACATACAGAACGTGTCAGAACGGACCTGGATATCAGCGGATATAAGACACTATCCCGGGACTCAACCCACCGGTTTTGTTTGCTTATTCTTGGCTTAAGCAACTCAATCGCAACCTTTCAATCACCCGAAATCATTCATGATGAGCTCCATCAAAGACGTTGACATTCCCACCTATGACGGGTTGAAACTCCGAGGGACGCTTTACAGCGTCGGGCAGCAGAAGCCCTGCGTTATCATGTCTAGTGGTGTTAGTGGCCACCAAGGAGGTTTATAATTTTGCCCTGACTTTTACTGACGTCCTGCTTGCTTAGTTTTCCGGTCTCCGGTCTCATTTCATCCCCGACTTCGCCGCGCGGTTCAGTGCGGCCGGTTATGGTGTCCTCTCATACGACAATCGCTGCTGGGGAGATAGCGAGGGTCTTCCCCGTGAGGAGGTTGACCCTTGGCTGCAGACGCGAGATTATTTCGACGTCTTCAACTATGCTGCCGCTCAACCTGAGATTGACGCAGGAAAGATTGTCTACTGGGGCTCCAGCATGTCGGGTGGCAATGCCATCTGCGCCGCGGCCATCAACAAGAATATTGCAGGTGTCATCTTACAGGTGCCTTTCGTGTCGGGCGAGTCCATTGCCCGCACTCCCGGGATGTCCACGAACATGTTGGTTTCGGACCGTGGAAAAATCGTCGCAGAAGGCTCTCGCACAATGCTGCCGAACTTCCCCAGCTCGATCGAGGAGCTCAGGAGCGGCACCTCTAAGGCAGTGCTGAAGGACCCGGGGGCTATAAGCTTCACGGAGGAGATGCAGCGGCGTGGGTTGGACTGGGCTAGGGTTTGTACGGCTCAGAGCTTACTGTACACGGTGCTCCACGAGCCGTTGGCGTACATTCATCGTATTTCACCAACTCCGATGTTAATGATTGTCTCAGACAGTGACGTCACCACGCAGACCCATTTGCAGCTTGAGGCCTTTGCGAAGGCCCTGCAGCCGAAGAAACTGAAGATTCTCAAGGGAGCGGGACATTTTGATCCGTATGTTGGGGAGGCGTTTGAGGAGGGAGTTGAAGCACAGATTGAATTTCTAAAGGACATCTTAGGGTAGATAGGCGGCCCAGTGGTGTAGCCCAGTGAAGACAGGGTATAAATAAATTAGATCTGAAATGAAGTGTACTCTAAACTACAGTGTTACAGTGCTCTTGTAGAAAGGAAAGAGAGGCTAAATTCGCTGAGGCTACGAGTGCTGAGTTTTCATTTCGGCAGACCAACAACTTCATCGCCACGCCAGGGCAGAGTGTGGCATATGATGCTTAGGCCATATCCGTGGCTGAAGGTGAGATCAGCCAAGTTCTACAAAGCTCCCGTGGCGACTGGAAAGCCCTTCGACAATGGAAAGAATCCAGTTGGTCCATGCCTTTACTGCGACCCGGTTTACTACAGATCGTTGCCGATTGTGATGGCCCTCGTTGCCTCGGCTCGACAAGCGTCCTCGGCACGTAGCCCACCATGTAGCCGCCTTTTACGCAGGACTGACCTGCCACTCCGGTGAGCATCCTCGTATCTAGAAGCGAATCATCCGACTGCTATGTGATTTCGGGCCCTCGGGCGATAAGACCCTCGGGTGCTCTACGTGGAACTATCAACTATCCTACGTACCATGAAGCAGTCAAGTCCTGCACTGTATAATACTGTATTCTAAGTCTCTGATATCAAGAATGAGACATCCAACAATTGGTTACTTCTTTACAAACTTTCAGCTCCGAGCGAAGCGACTCAAGGCAAATCGAAAATGAACGGTACCTCTACCAAGTTCACCCTCAAAAATGTTCCGGTTGAGAACCAGCGTCCCCTCAAGGTCATCATAATCGGCGCTGGGTTTTCTGGCATCTATTCCACTATCAGGTGCGTGGTTCTCCCATGTCTTGGTGCCATGGTCGCTGAAGCGGCCAGAACAGGATTACACAGAGGCTGAGAAACATCGATCTCACCGTTTACGAAATGAATGAGGAAACTTCCGGAGTCTGGTATGTTGTTGCAAGCAAAGCTCAAACGCCAATATGTCTTAAGACTTTCAAGGTGGTTGAACCGATACCCGGGTCTAGCATGCGATATTCCTTGTGAGTAGGCGATGTCTTGGTGCAAATGATCAAATTGGGTAAAGCTGACACATTTTGCGCATCCATAGCGTACTCTTACCAGTTTAGCTTTGCTCCGAACCCTTACTGGTCTTCTCTCTACGCCCCTGGACCAGAGATTCGAGCTTACATGCAAGAAGTCGCGGAGAGATTTGGGGCAACTCGATTCATCAAAACCTCACACAAGGTGGAAGCAGCTACCTGGGATGCCGAGAAAAAGCTATGGTAATGGCAAATTCATTCCATGGCACTGTTATTGATCCGCTGACATCTTGGTGCAGGAGCATCAGAGTTCTCAACGTCAAGTCAGGCGAGTCGTTCCAAGACACGGCAAACATTCTCGTCTCGGCTCGAGGTGGACTGAACCAGATTTCTTGGCCCGACATCAAGGGCCTGAGAGACTTTGGTGGAAAGCTCATGCATTCTGGAGCATGGGACGAAAGGTAAATAGGTGACGTCTCGGACAAGAAGCTCCAGGACTGAAGATGATAACAGCGTTGACCTGCGCAACAAGCACGTCGGGATAATCGGCAATGGATCAAGCGCCATCCAGATCGTCCCAAAGATCCAGTGTCTAGAAGGCTTGAAACTTTCGTGCTTCGCAAGATCTCCCACCTGGATTTCGTCCTCGTTTGGAGACAGGGCAATGGAGAAGATGGGGATGGCCCCTCAAGACACCAAGTGTGCGCAACAAACCATGACTACGAAGACTATCTCGAGACGAAGAGCTAATAACGCTTGGCAGTTTCACGACGCCACCAGGAATACATGGCCCGGAACCCCGATAAATTTCTTCACTTCAGGAAGACGCTCGAGGCCGAAGCGGCTAAGCTATACGCGATCACGCTTCAAGGTACCAACGAGCAGGTTGGCGCAACCGCGCTGTTCGAAGCGGGAATGCGCCAGCGTCTCGATGGCAGAGAGGATCTGACGACGGCCATGATACCCAAGTTTGCTCCCGGCTGCCGCCGTCTCACGCCTGGGCCTGGATATCTCGAGGCTCTCAAGGAGGAGAACGTGACCTTTATCACCACGCCAATCCAGGAGGTGACACCCAGGGGTATCAAGCTCACCTCAGGCGAAGACGTCGAACTTGACGTCTTGATCTGTGCCACGGGGTACAACGTCGAAGCGCCTCCCACCTTCGAGGTCACTGGTCGCAACGGAACTACCTTGGCCGAGAAGTGGAAGCCATACCTCCAGTCATATATCTCGGTAGCGGTAGATGAGTTCCCCAATTTCCTGCTAATTGGAGGGCCTAATAGCGGCCTAGGATCCGGGAGCCTCATCGCTGTGTTCGAGGCGCAGGGTGACTATGTGGTCAAGGTAATTCGGAAGATGCAGAGGGAGGACTACGCGACTATCGAGCCCAAGGCGGAACGGGTGACCGACTTCAGCCAATACATCGACGAGTACTTCAAGGGCACCGTGTATACAGACGAGTGTTCGTCGTGGTACCGTGCGGGCAAGACCGGGTCTAGGGTTGTGGCTTTGTGGCCGGGCTCCTCGGCGCAGTGCCTCGAGGTGCTGCGTTCGCCCAGATGGGAGGATTTCGTGTTCGAGAGCACCGAGAAGACGGGGAATCTCTTGCGGTGGATGGGCAACAGCTGGAGCTTGACCCTCACCGAGGGAGACCCTTCATGGTTCCTCGACGCCGACGTGGTGGACGTGCCTGAGGAGGGGAAGCCCGAGGAGGGCAAGTTTTACAAGAGGCGGCCGTTTTCGTACTAGGGACGGATGTGGGATGTCGTGATCTTGGCAGAGCGCTTGGTCTCGGCTACATCCCAGCCGTGAAGTCGGAGCATTGCTTTCCGAATGTTCCGAGATACTTGGGCTATAACGTTATGAAGTTGCGGGGAAGACCCAAGTTGTCCTAATTCCGACAGTGGGACCGGCATTCTTAGTCTTCTCTCCCCCGCAATTGTTGAAGGTAGATGGTGTAGGGTTGCCAATCGAAAACGTACTGTACCTCCTAGACAGGGATAACTAGTCCGCTCCTCTGACCAGCCACCTCCGCGCCCCAGCAGAAACAAACATTTCCCACCACCATCATCATCATTCTTCTCTCCAGCGCCATGGATCAGTTAATCGAACCAAGGCTCAGAGCTACAATGCATCGCAAGCGGTCAATACAGGCCTGCCTCTCCTGTAGGGCGAGAAAGGTCCGCTGCGACGTGTCTTCCCGTGGTCAGCCGTGCACCAACTGCCATCTGGATGCTAAGAACTGTCTTCTGGTCGACCGCGCTTCTCGAATGTCGGAAGCCCCGCATTACTCAGTTCGTGCTCTACGTCGGCTGACCTTTCTCACGCACAGAGGCCAAGAAGCACCGCGCAGACGATCACAGCGCCAACCCAGTGACAGATCATTTCACCAGCAACAGCAACAGCAACAGCAACCGCCAACGTACCCAGGCGGCGACGCCGATGTCATGGCATCCCATAAACTCTCCCAACTGGGGGAGTCGGAGTGGAATGCAGAGGATGCAGCATCGGTGGACTTTGCTAACTTCTGGGGGCTCGAGATGGATACGGCTCTCCAGTATGTTAACCCCTTTGATGGAAACAACCCAACAGGCGCAGACCATGACCTCATGATCCCTGAGTCGCTTGAAACCGCCAACCGCATGCGTGAGATAGGTAAAAGATTTCCATCGCCCCTTTTTTGTCCTGACTTTTACCATCTGACTCGAATACCGGACAGAAGCAACTCCCCAAGAAGGAATGCCGCGCTTGGGGGACCAACTCCGAACCAGAAGTGATTCAGGATCTGTCTATCAGAGAAAACGTTTGAATTACGGCAGCGCTACAGTGCTCTACTCTCACTACCGGTACCTCACCATAGGTAACCTGTACAACATCCCCCATCAGGACCTCAGCTACCTGGAGGCCCAGGGATGTCTCCATGTCCCAACTCGGCCAATTCTAGACAACTTTGTCGAGCAGTACTTTTCTCACGTCCATGTTTTCATTCCGCTGCTCAACGAGGGTAACTTTTGGGACATGTATTCCCAACGGGAAAACGCCACCTCGGATAACAAGATATCTCTGCTGCTCTTTCACGCTATGTTGTTCGCCAGCTGCAACGTGAGTTGGCCTGGAAACGTCATCTGCGAAATACTGGTTGAGATGTGAATGCTTACAAAGTGCTAGTTTGTGCCCCTGGAAACCATCCAAACGCTAGGCTTCTCCAGCATTCGAACGGCGAGAGCTGAGTATTACAGGCGAACCAAGGTGCTAAATCATCATGCCTAGCTACACAACTAGAGTCAAGACTGACAAAAGGTCTACCTTCTTTCACAGCTATTGTTCGATCTGGAAACAGAAACAACATCCCTTCCGCTGGCACAATCTGCCTTATTGTTAATGGGCTGGGTACCGCCTTCAAACGCGACCCTGAGCCCACACAAGACCTGGCTAAGCCGCGCCATTCAACACGCGAGAACCTGCAATGCAGATCGACATGCCGAAGTCTTTGAATTGCCCACGTCAGCCACTCCAGGCGAGAGGAAACATCACAATGCCCTCCGCAGACTGTGGTGGTGTTGCGTCATCTTGGACCGCATCTCACCCCTCTGCACGCGATTCAGTCTCCATATCACGCATGACCGTTTCGACTTCAAGTGCAGTGCTAGGCTAGGCACGGCCGATCTTCAAGACGAGATTTATCGGTCCAGTGTCTTCACTCCAGCCTCAAAGCGACGTCTAATTGCCCTATTCTCTACATTTCTCGAATTCGCCATTATACTGACTGATGTGCTGAGCCTAACATTTCCTTTAGAGGATACCGTCAAGTCCCCCGGGGAATCACTCGAGGATGAAGACCTCAAAATCACAAAATGCGACGCTTCGTTGAAGACTTGGTATGCACGCGCCGCAGCAGAATATCCTCCCTGCGAAGGCGACTACCAGAACCTGCCCGACAAGCAGCAAGGCGGGACTAAGGCCATGATTTTATTTACAAATCTTATGTATATCTACTATCAGTGAGTAGATGGAACCTTGTTATGCTACATCCCCCTCAGCCCGCTCTAACTATGCACAAGCACCGCTGTCATCGCTCTCTGCCACTACAAGATTCTCCACCAATCGCTTGCTTCAACTCAGACGGGCACAGAAATGGGAGAAGTCGGAAATTCCACGCAGCTGGATGCAAGTCGTTGCGAACTGGAAAACTCCATGGAGAGAGTAACAAAGTTCTTTGGGCTTCTGAGCCGGTGTCGGCTTGCCCGCCGGCTGCCAATATCAGCGTGGGTGCACAAAGGTCTTAGACAAATACTGCAATATTGGGCTAACGACCTCCTTGGGACAGAGTTGCCTGCATTGCAGTGCCTCTAACCTTGCATGTCATTTCCGCTAGACTATCTTGTCTCAACAAGGAGCTGGCGTTTGACTTCACTATTAGCGGATCTGATTCGGCTTCCGCCTCGAGCCAGCAGCGTCTAGATGTCTTGTCGGAGACCATGACGGCGTTTGTACCACAGTACGACGGCGTCGAATGGATCAAAGAAACCGCAAGACACGTTGCCAATCTGGCGCAAACCGATCGCTTGTCTCTATCTCAGCCCGGCCAGACATCTATAACGGATTGGAGCCAGATCTTGACGAGTCAGCCGAATACGTACCTGAGAATGATTTGGACAGTCGACTTGTGCATCAGCAAGGGAAGACTACCTGAGAAACACGATTTTCCCTCGTGGCTCCTCGGCCAGTTGACATTATCCAGATCTACCTCGGTCCAACAGCAAGAACAACCTAGCGCCGCGGCAAAATCAACAGCGCATGGCGGGTCCGTAAACTGTGACATCGAGCAGATTCTAGGCCTCGTCCCTCAAACAGCCGAGTATGGGCCATCTGGGCGACTGGTAGATGAAGAAAGTAACGATTTTGGTAACGACTGGGGCCATGGTGACAACGCGGTTGGGACGGGATGGAACTTCTTAGGGACTTTGCAAGAGTAATGATGGATCTAAGATGAGATGTGAGCCAATTTCTCGGCAAGATCGCGCAGGTAAGGAAAGGCGTCTGTTAATCCATAGGTGGCAGTACCGAAAAGCAAAGTCATCGTTATGTCCTAACACTTGGGACCTAGGTTGCCTCATTATACCATGCGACACAAACAAACTGGGCATCGCTGTAACATTATCTTTTGAATTATTAAATGGAAGGAACTCCTATCGATTATGCCTTTTTGAGCATATCACCGAGATTCTTAGATATCGCAACAGTCAACTATTAAGCCCCCTGCCATAGAAGCCACACAGATCTATCCCTAAAGCTAAAGTTTAGAGGCATTGGTGGTAGATTGGTATTCTGTATCGGAAGAAGCCATCGTGAGACAGGCCCTCGGTGCAAGAGAGAGGTTTCAAAAGTGCATTCTTGTGGAAGGTTGGCCACTTGAATAGTAAGGCTGGATTGGTACCTCAAATTGACTCACTTGCTCTAGGAAACCGGGTTCTTTGTGAGTCTCGCTGAAGTACCTTTGCTGATAACGAATTTGCCACAACATCGGATATCCTCGGACCTAGCACCTACTCAAGCCGAACTACCATGCGCCTTGGTCTGTTGCCTCGGCTCCATAAACTACCGTCTAATGCTAATCGGCATGAAAGGTTTAACTCATTAGCTTAAGAATGCGGCCGCTAATGATCGTCCCTCGGCAAGGGGGACCCGTATTGCCGCGGCGTGGCTTGTCACCTATGTTAACAGAACATCGCACTGAAGACAAGCCCTAGGACTGGTCCGTTCCAACTATGCAATAATACCCCACGGGGAAGGTGCTGTGAAAAGACCTGGAGCTCATGTACCCCGGATTACTGGCCTGGACTTGGACAAATCGCGTCGAAGCTGTGCTTATATATGTCTTTCGTTCACTGCCTCGTAGTTCAACGTTGGGCTTCAAACATATTTTTACGTGCCCTTTGACTTGTGAGATAATTACCTGGTATTATTCTCATTAACTGTGCCAAGTCATCCACGAGCCATGGAGGAACAGCCGACGCACCAAGCGTAAGTCACCTAGCCGCGCAGAATCTAGCTTCGTATAAGCCCGTTATTCTAATTGAATAAAGGTCTGATTGCCGTATCGACGACCTCAAAGTCCCGGGAACGGTGGATATGAGCATCGCTGGTAAGTCTGATCCCTTCAAACATCACTAACAGCCCCATTGATTTAATACGGTACTTTACGTAGAGGGACAGCAAGCTGCATATGGACTGGCCTTGTATCCTGTTCCATCCAAAGACCCCAACGATCCTCTCACAGTGCGTTATACTCTGCTATTCATGCTAATCACGTTGCTAACTCACCCGTCTTTGTGCACAGTGGTCGAAGCGGAAAAAGTTCACTATCTTGTTACTCGTTTCTATCTACTCGTTCCTATCGAATGGCGCACTATTCGGGCCAAGTGTGTATGTCAATTATCTTGCCGAACTATTCCAAAAGTCACCCAACGAAACGTCTCGCCTCGTCACGTATCCAAACCTACTATTCGGTTTCGGTGAGTTCCACCAGTGCATTATTTAAGTTGGGAACCAAACAGGCTCTAACATTTATTCTTAGGTTCCCTCATCTTTGTGCCGATGTATCACAAGATTGGGCGCCGGCCAGTCATGCTCGTCTCTGTTATTGTGGTAAGCTACCCTTCCGCCGAGAGCCATCCCTCCGGTTCGAGTGCTCACTAAATATCCTCTCAGTACTGTGCCGGGCTCCTGGGATGCGCTCTTTCCAGCTCTTACAATGTACTCTTTGGCTTCCGTATGCTCCACGCATTTGCTTGCTCAGTCTGCGAGGCGTTGCCGGCGCAGGCTGTGGCAGACGTTTTCTTCCTCCACGAACGCGGCAAAGCACTTGGCTGGTACACTTGTATGTGGTGCCATCACCGCATTGGCTTCTTTCAGCGGGATCAATTAATTTGCTGACGTTTTCTTTGAACAGTCGCCCTTACCACTGGCACCCTAAGCGCTGTCCCTGCCAGTTACATGCTCTCTAGTGGGAAGTCTTACAACCTCTTCTTCTGGGTCGAATTTGCCTGCGGATGTCTGTTGTTGCTTGGTACGTTCTTCTGCTTTGAGGAAACCATGTACATTGGAAGGACAAAGGCTCTAGACACTAGACCGGATGATCATGTTGTCAACTGTGAAAAGGGCGATGAGCAAAGTGTTCGACAAATCGAGAGCCGAGCAAGAGAGAGCGATCCAGAAATTTCCCAACGAAAGACATACCGACAACAACTTAGTCTTTTCGACAAGACCGACCCCGAATCTCCAGTCTTTCTAATGATAGTAACTCTACCCTTGACCTGTTCTTCCCGGCCAGCGAGGGCCGTCATTTTATGGTAGCTGATACAGCGTGTCCTGCAGGTCCGATCATTCACATACTTTATCGTTCCTCCGGTCTTCTGGGTTTGCACCACCTACGGTTTGTTCAGAGCCCCAAATGAGGAGAGGTGGTCGTTAACCGGGAATCCAGGCATGATCATCGGCCTCGGAGCTCTTGCTTTCACGTCAACCTTTCCAGTCATCGTCGCTGCGCCGCCATATTCCTGGCCAATTGTAAGGAGTTCAGAATGACTGCTCTGACCAAGGCCATGCCGTCTCAAGGAGAAAAGTAGCGCGACTGACATCTATTGCGAAGGAAAACACGGGCCTCGTTGCCGTCGCGTCCTTTCTCGGCTACCTTGTTGCTATGGGCCTTTTCGGTAGGCTGCCTGATCGATTTGCAGCAAGGATGACTAGAAGAAACAAGAATATTCATGAAGCGGAGCACCGCCTTTGGTGCCTTGTCATGGTATTCTTGATATCCCCCGCATCGCTCATTTTGTATGGGTACTGCGCAGAGAGGCAGTTGCATTGGATTGGCCTTGTCTTTGCCATCGGGATTTTCCAGTTCGGTATGTGCTCTAGTCGTCCTTCAATGATCAAATCTAATCCTCCTCTTCCACAAATTAGGCTCTTTCTTCTACCTAACGTACACGCTGGCCTACGCTATGGATTCATACGAGGCCAATATTCCAGAGATGTTAATCGCCATGAATGTTGGGAAGCAAGCCATCTCGTTCGGATTTGGCTTCGAGGTCATTAACTGGATCATCGAGAAGGGATATATTACTATGTTTGCGGGCATTTTCTGTGGTGTCATGGTAGCTAATAACCTGGTGGTGTTTATCTTCCTCGCATTTGGTAAGTCTATGAGGAGATACTTGGGACAGACCCGACTGGGAAAGACGCATAAGAATAGCGTTACTTAAGGTACTTCGAGCACATGGCATCCGTTGACAGATTCTATTAGCTGACTTAGGGTTGAAGAGGTTTATTAAGTGATTTATTAATTACTTCATCATGACGAGGGGTCATTATGTTTAAAGATAATATATACGCCAACTAACAAATTTGGCAATTCGCCGAGATATCATATTTAAGCTCTAACTAAGCCTATACTCCTATTAACTTACCCTAGCAGCTACTACCTAAACCTTTATATCTTTATAACTAAAACCTTCCTCCTTAATAGCTTAAGTCACTCCTATAACTTAATGACTTAAAAATCTCAATCCCCTCCCTATTAACTTATATTAGAAAGAAGCCCTAGTAATATATCCTCTATAACCTATCCTCTAACTTCCCCGCTTTATATATATCCTTTTAGCGGCTTTAATATTATAATTAGCTCTAATAGGCTATTAACCTAGCCTATATTTATTATTATTACCTTAATAAGATAGCGCCTTATAGACTTTATAAGTCCTTTAAGCTCTAATAGCTCTATATATTATATAAAGCGCCTAAGCGCTCGAGGTACCTCTTAGCGCTTTTAAGCTATAAGAAATACCTTATAGGCTAAGATAACTAATTTAATATATTATTTTTCTTTAAGTATTATTTATTAGTCGCTATAATTTAATATTATATTAATATTATAAATTAAGAGCTATTTTATATTTTATATAATCTAGCTTTTTTCTTAAAGATTAAAAGGATAAAAAAGAAAATAATAATCCCTATAAGTAATAATAATAATAATAATAATAATAATAATAACATATATAATAAGTATGCGACGCATCTAAGTATGCAACGCACTTTTCCCTCTTATACCTAACCTTCTATTTAATTAATTAATTCTATATATCACGGCCATAATATAAGCTAGGCGGAGAACTATGGCAGAAATACTCTAACTAAGCAAGGGACCAAAGGGACTAAATATCGCTCGCATCGGTCTAGGGACTAAATATTAGAAATATTAGTCTTACCTTAGACTAAACCTAGAGAATATCGGTCTAAAGATTAACTATAAGTATATAAAATATACTTATTATACTTTCTTATATAGTAGCTACCTTAGCTATTAATATAACTTAATTATATTTAATACCCTTAAGTATATTATTAAATATAATATTATATTACTCTTTAAGGCTATATAATATTCTCCTCTATTAATATAAACCTAATATAATTAGTTTATCCTATAAGAAATATCCTCTTATTATATATTAATAGCTTTTATTTAGAGGATTACTTATATTACTTTAAATAATATTAAATATAATAGCTATTTAGGCTACTCTTAGTAATAATTATTAATAGGTTTTACTTATTATTTATTTACTTACCTCTATTATATTAATTTAAATTAACCCTAATAGTAATAAAGAAATAAATAATAATAATAAAGAAATTAAATAACTCTATGCCTAGGTTATTATTATAATTACTAAAATAGAGGAACTTAGAGGACTTATTAATTATATAGCCGCTACTTAGTAAGCTTAAAATTAGTAATACTATAAGAATATCTAAAATATTAATAATATAATAGTTATTATTATAAAGGGTAAAAATATTAGAGAAATCCTAAAGCTAGAATAATTAGAAAAGTTTAATAATATTATATATAGATTATTAATATTCCTTATATAACTATATATATTTATATTCTATTATCTTATATAATTTACTATAATATCTAATAAGGTCTAGTATATTACTAGGTATCTTACTAAGTATATTATAGCCTAGTTTAAACCTACTATAAAGGAATACCTTATTAAATTACTTAGTAAATACTTGCCCTAGATTATAAACCTCTACTCTAGCTTTAAAACCTTTAAAGCTATGCTTTAATAAGCTTTTAAAATAGTAAATAAAAAGGCCTAGGTAAAAAAAGAAATTAAGATACTTTAATAAACTCGCTCTATATTAAAGTATAATACTAAATACCTTTAGCTCGCCTTAAAGCTTAATTAGGACTAAGAACCCTTAATATCTTTTTTCTTTAATAAACTTAAGAAAAAAATATAAACTAAATTCTATAAAAAAGACTAGCTTAATAACCTTATTAATTATATTAGCTAAGTAATTAAGATTAATAATTAATAATTCTCTTAAAAGAAACTTTAAAACCTATATAATAATAAAGAAAATTATTAAAAACCTCGGTTTAATATTAACTAAGGGTAATACTAATAAAATAATATATCCTATAGAACCTATATAAGACTTATAAAACTTAGAGTAACCTAATAAAAGAAATATAATTATTATAAACTTAAATATTAATATTACTATAAAATAAATTATATTAAGAAGATTTATTATAAAAAATAATATAATATTAAGGAAGGTTATTATTTGCTATAATAATAGCGACTCCCTAAAGGTAAAAAATAAGTAAGATTTATATAAGCTAATAATAAATTATAGATAGCTTTTTATATAATTAAAATACTTAGTATAGCTTAGACTAAGTATAATAATACTAGTCTAGAATTAAGAGAAATTATTATACCTTATAACTAAATATACCTTACTAAGGAATAATTTAGGCATAATAATTACCCTTAGTTAAAGCTATAATATATTATAATAAAACCCCTAAAGGCAGAATAATTCTATCTTATAAATAAATCGAAATAGAAATTATTATTTAAATTAATTAATAAACTTAATAAAGACCTTAATACTAAGACTATTATAATAATAAGGTAAATTAAGTAATATTATAAGGATCTTAATTATAGCGCCGGAGCTAAAGCCTAATAGTAATTAGCAATAGCCTAGATTTAGAACTAATAGAACCCTAGGATAAATAATAACTTATAGAAAGAATAATATTATTTATAACTCTATAATAAATAAGGAAATTAATATTAGAATATATTATAAGAATAATATATTTAAACCGCGAGGGAATATATAGATATTACTAATATATAAGATATATATATCTATATATATTACTAAATAATAATTAAGAACCTATAATATCCGGAAGTATTATTTAATATATAAGATAATATATAAACCTACTTAATATATTAGGAATACCTTAGTATTTCTTAGATATTATATTAATATTATTAATATAAAGAATATAAAAAGGAAAAATATAAATAAGATTATTTTTTAATCCCTTTATTATATTAGCTTAATAATAAATTATACTTATAGTATAAAATAAAGGGATATTAAGTTTCTTATTAATATAATTTTATCGGCGTTATAAAAGCGCAATATAATAAAGACTTATATAAAGTAATATATAGGTATAAATAAAATAATTATAAGATTAAGAAATAATAGGAATAAATCCTTAGAATTACCTAAGAGAAACCTAGAACCTCTAGATTAATAAAATAAGAAAAAGGAAGCGATTTAGATATAAAGGATATCCTTATCTAAGTATATTATAAGGAAATAGCTATAAACTTATAATAAGGATTATACTATAATATATATAATAATAAGTATACCTAATTAATATATCCTTACTATAAAGAAATCTTATAGATCTCTTATAAGGACTACTATTATAGTATATATATCTAGAGTAAATAAGAGAATAATTATTTTCCTATATAGCTATAAGGACCTAATAATAAGCCCTACCTTACTTATAAAACCTATTAATATAAGATCTATAAATAAAATAAAGGGATTAATATAGCTAATATCTATTTTATCCCTAAAAGGGATAGATTTATTACCTTTAAATAATAATTTATTATTATTATATAAAAGATTATAATAGAAGAAAAGTAAGCCTTAGAAAAAAACTACCTTAATATAAAAGTAATACTTTATAATAAAGATATATACCTAAGATATAAGAAATATATCCTAAGTATATATAATAGATTTAAATTAATAATAAAAGAGGGATTTAATTTCCTTATATATATAAAGAAATAAGAAGATAAGAGATAATATTAAAATATCTAATTATACCTTAGAGAAGACTAAGGACTAATAGACTAAGTCTTATAAGATTATATTAATTATATTAAATATAGCGACCTCGATAAGGTCTACCCTATAAAGGAAAGGAACTGTTACATGCCCCAGTCATACGGGTTCCCCACGTGACGGATCTAGCGCTATAACAGTCAAATCCAGCAGCCATTAGTTAGGAAGAATAAACTTAGATTAGATTACTTACATTGTGCCTTCTTTGCTCTCTATACTTTATGAATTATATGACTTCAACCAGATAGCTGCCAAAGTCAGCTATCTCACTGCCGCTTTCAGCGGTACCTCTATCCCTTACCAGAGCTAAGGGATCCATAACAGGAACTATAGTAATTACCCTAATAATAGCTAAATTATAGAATAAGCCTATTAGGAATAGCTATATAAATAAGATAACTATAACTATAAGGCATATATTAATAGCGAGTATAAATATAATTACCTTAGCTATGCCCTTAATAAATTAAAAAACTAGATATCTTATCTAATATAAGGTAATAGGTAGATAAATATAGGAATATATTATTATAGAAAGCCCTTTACTCTATAAATAGAGTATATAGGTAATAATACCTAGAATTAAAAATATAAATTAAGGGAGAATAATTAAATACTTTAGTAAATAATAGAGCTAAATAGAATTACTTTAATTTAATAATAGTAAATAGGCTTAAGCTATTATAGAGGTATAAATAGATACCTTATTTAATTATTAACCTAGAAGGAACCCCTTTTAATTATAATAATAGAATTATTAATACTAAGATTAATTACCTTAAGGTTTTTATTAAAAGAAAGAATTAAGGGATATTATTTAATATTATATTAAATAAGTATTATAACCTTATGCTTAGGTACCTATAGTTATAATAATTTAACTTATATTTCAACTAAAGAATTAGCTAGATATTCTCTTATAATATTAAGATATCCTTTATATTAAATAATAATTTAGATTAAAGATCTTAAATTTTTATTAGTAATAGAGAAATTAAAA